AGAAGAGCTTTTCGTTTTGTGGTCACCATCGTCGTCTTGAAATGTACGTCTTCCTGGTACTCGATCATGGTCTGCCATGGCTCACCATTGCTATCTTCCATTCGTCGTTGCAGGGCATCTCGGTAGATGCGGTCTACGTTAGGCATCTGATAATCTTTGGTTTTGTTTTGGATGACGATGTGCGCTTCGTTCTTCGATGTCGAGAAGATGGCATAGACGTTGCGGTCGCCACTCCTGACATGGTACAGATATAGATAGTTGAAAGGCGCTTCAGCCAGGTATGACTCTTTGGTCTTTACTTGTCGCAGCGACGATAAATCGAAACCTTGTTCCAGACCTTTTCCGAGAACACCCTTCTGCGACTCATCGAATGTACAGGTACTTCCTAGCTCGAGGATGGCGCGGATGTTGAGTGGTACTTGCTTCTCATATACGCCCTCGACACTGGCGTGGTTGAACAGTGCAGAGATGCTTTTCGCTTCCTGGACGTATGTCTCTTCCGACATTTGAAGCTTGAACAAATGGATCGACGGGTGGCCGTTGGGCAGACTGTGATTGACAACCTTTTCCACGGAGCAGCCACTGATTGAGACATCAGGAAGGTCTTCGCTCCTCAGGTTCAGATACAGGGTCCGAGGTACGATGATCTTGAGAGCGTGGATCTTCTTGTCGATCAGAACAAAAGCCCTGACCTCGCCTGGTGTTTCAGTTGGCCGTAATTGAACAAGCTGCCATGTGCTGATGTACAAAGACTGGGCCTGGTTTCTGAAGAAGCTGCCAATTGCATCAGAAGCGTCAACAGCCTTCTCTCCGAACAGCTGTCGTCGGCGCTTCCGTGCTTCTCGTTGAATCTTCCACTTCTGTTTCTGATACATCAGCCATCCGGAATAGTCGTGATCGATGCTCGGCATAACTTTGGGCAACGCGGCATATGGGTCGACGATAGGCACTGCAGGCTCAGGCTCCTTGCGCTTCGCCACCATCTTGGTGACTATTCCCTTCTTCATCTGGGACTGGTTCTGGGTCAGCTTTGCCGAGCCAAAATCTTCAAAGTCTCCAGACAGCTTGTTGTTCGCGACGTTGGCGTCGCCATTAGTCAACACCTTCTTACTGAACATGTCCGTCATCTTTGTCTGTTGAAACTTGTCCTCCTTCTGACGAATTCTGCGGTCAAGCCAGTCGGGATGCGGCACCCTGGGCACGGGGTTTCGAACTTTCTGGTACGCCGCAGGGATGGTAATCAGCTTCTGAATGACGGACGCCAAACGTTCGCGGTAGTAATCCCAATCAAGAATCGTTCGAATGTCCATCTCTCCAGGATCGTCTCGTAACCATTTCCTCAGGAAGTACCTCTTAACAGACTCTTCGGCCGAAAAGATTGCTAAAGGAACAGCGCGCTCAGTGACGGGAGCATTCCTAGGTGTCTTTGAGATGATGTACTTGCAGTTCAGACCTTTGTCCTTCACCATCTGTTCTCCCAAGAATTCAGCGAGACGCTTAGCAGTCGTGATAGCGGTTGATTTCTGCGCTCCGTACTCCTCCAATGTCTTTGTCATACTCTTGTTCTCAACAATCAGGTCGATAAGCTCCTCGTCTGCGAGTGTTGCTCCACGAGTATCCAGGATATCAAGCCATCGGTTGGCGACCTTTGCGACGGCTCCATACGTCTCCTCAAGCGTCGTGCCTTCCAAGAAGAACTTGAAAATCTGGGCCTGAAAATTCTTGATGAGCTTCAGTTCACCACGGCGCTTCACCTCGAAACCCTTCAATTCCGCCAGGCTGCCATCGTGATTGAAAACTGCATAACGCTTTTTCAAGTTCTTATCCTCCTCTTTGGAAGTTGGCAAGATCATGGCCTTGTACGGTCCATCGACTTCAAAAAAGATGGAGTTATCGCTGTGCTTCTCGTAGCGGAACGTCTCGGGGTCTACTAACGTCTCATACTGGTGATTGGTATACTGTGCGTGAACCAAGTGGTTCAACATTGTACAAGGGTATGAGATGGTCAGCTTCTTACCATTGCTGAGTTTGAAGGCAAAGTTCTCGGGAAATGTTGCTGGTAGAATAGCCCAAATACCGTCAGTGTCCAGTTCCAAGGGTCGTCCAATGCGCTCCACAAGCGAGCGGGCCAACTGAATGATGCGAGCACCAGTCAAGCAAGTGACACCAGCCATCTCAAGAGAGTACCAACGAGATCCCTTTCGCATGACATAACCATAGAAAGAATTAAGAATGACTTTGTGTGCCAGCTGCATAGAGTCGAAAAGAACGATCATCTTCTTTGCATCTTCAATCTCAGTAGCAGGAGCACCGGCGGCTTTGAGTGCTTCCGTCTTCCCCTTCCAGACCTTTTGCTTGCCCTTGAAGTCGTAACGTCGATCACGAAAACCGCTGACGGTGTCAACATAAAAAGGATTCTCTCGTTGGCAGATGATAGCCTCGCGCTCGATCGTCGTGGCGTCATGGACTTTGTGGTAGATCTTCTTGGAGTAGTCTGTTAGACGTTTCCTAACAAGCGCAGCCTGTTCTTCTTCCGAAAGATCTTGGAACGTTCGCTTTGGCGAGTTGGGAAACCTTCCAGGAAATTGCTCGTTCTCTAAAGCGTTACGAACCATGTTGTACTCGTCGCGCTTGGCTGGTAGGTATTCACCTCTCCAGGCCCATGGCATTCGGCGATCGCACGTCTTTCCTGGTCGGTTGAAGTCGCAAGCCGCGCAATTCGACTCGTTAATCATAGAATCAGGTTGCAGACGGTTAGTTGTCATGATGTTAGGATACATAGACGCGACGTCCAAATGATAGATGAGAGGCCGTTCGCTACGGTTTGGCGTGTTCTTGAGCTGCATGAGCTTCTCAACAATCTCAGCTTTGATCTCTTCGTAATTCGTTACGTCCTCCATCTTCTTCTTTTCTTCAACCTCGATGCTGAACTTGAGTGCGGCGTCAAGATCGTTGAGCAATTCGTCAATAGCCGTAGGGTCGACAGCGAAATTATAGGCGATGTCGCTTCGGAACACGCCAGCTTCCAGCGCTTCGACGTGACCTCCAACATAAGTCTCTGACTCGAGAAGATGACCCTCCCAGAAAGCTTCCTTGGGTGGATTGTGCTTATTAGGTAGCACGATGCCCTTCTGGTATGCCTGCACCATCAAGAGCATCTCGCAGAGGGTACCTGTACCCTTGCGCAATGCATCGTCCGGTCCGAGTGGAAGAATCTTGCACAGAGCGAAAATGAACGGATGTACGTACTTCATGTACAAGTAGTAAGTAGCAACAGCGTCGGAGACGGAGTACTCTGCAAGCGTTTGCGGTCGCTCGGCTGCGTAGGGCGTCATGAGTTCCGGGTCGAGCTCGTCTGGGTCGTATCCGAGCTTAGCCATTGTCACAGCTTTTAGACCACGACTACCTTGAGGTAGGTAACTGTCTCGACTAACCCAGGCAAAGGCATCCATGTGGGCACAATAGTCCGACTGATAGATATCCTCGCTGTTCTTCCTGAATCCGATTTCTTGATACATGTCGATACCCTGTACACTAGATCTTGCTTCGACAAACGGCCAATCGAAGAAGTCTCCGTTATATGTGACCATGACTGTTGGTCTAGCTATCTTGATATGTTCGAAGAACCGTTCCAACACCGCCTTCTCGTCCGGCTCGTTGAAAATCATAAACGGTCCTTGGTACTCCGGCTTCGGTGTGTACTCGAAGTCTGCAATGTCTTCCGATACGATCTCGCGGTTTGTGATGAGAAATCCTTGACCGTCGATCATGTACGATATCATCATGATCTGATCGATGGCAGCGTCTGGAAACTTCAATGGGAGTTTTGTCGTTTCGATATCGTACGCCATGACGACGGGATCTGCTGGTGTGAGGCGTTCCTCTATGCACTTGATGCTTATTACGCCATGCTTGGCCTCGACAGTATACCAGTTTCCAATTCGGACGTCTTTGTCAATAGCCACTCGCACGTGGTAAGGAACGTCGTATTCTCGGATATCTAAAATAAAATCGCTGGCGTCAACAGTAGTCATAAATCGTTTCTCGTATTCGTGCTCGTCGTTATCAAAGAAGTCAAAGTCGCCGTTGCCACTATGCAAATGTTAGCCGAAGTCCACGCGTAAGAAACCAGCCAAACTCACTTTGCAACCTCTGCATATGTGTCCATCGCGTTGACGTTCTTTTTGTTCTTCTCTACGATTGGATTGACAGCCTTTCGTACAGCCAACAAGTCGTTGACATTTGCGAAGGTAAGTTGCAAGAACTTTCTTCGGTACCCTGTCAGGTGATTTGGCATACTCAGGTCCTCCTTTTCCACGATCTTTATGGATTTGATCAATCCCTCGTATGCCTTTTTGCAGTACTCTTCCACATCTTGTTCTCTGCCCTTCTTGATCGCCAATAAGAAGTAGGGGTCGTATTCGAGCGTCGCTTTGAATGTGTCGCCTTCTTCGCCGATGAAGTAAAAGTCCACACCAGCTTTGCCACCTGGTACTTCTTCGTCTTCTACCGTTGTCGAATGCATGTTGACGAGCCATCCGACCTTCTTCTTGCCAGAATCGAAGCGCGCGAAGCCCATGGTTTCATCGATGCGGTTTGCCAAGCGAGTGGATTCGAGTTTCTCGTTCTGAGAGGTACCCTCACCACTGCGTAGTGACGAGGCGTCGACCGTCTTCGGTTTCCGTGGGCCATAGGATGTGTTGCCCAGCTTGCCTACCCGGCGGAAGGGCTGGCCTGCGCGTCGTGGCGCCATGATATGTGGTAGTGGTGGAAGGTGAGAGAGTATTAAATGCTAAATATGTAGATCAGGGTATCATTGGAGCAGCGAAGAGAGCGGAAAGAGCGAAAAGACGGGGTATCGACAATTGGCGGTGGGAGTGTAGTGGAGGGACTCGCAGGTCTGAAGGGTGGATCGGCAAATGTTGGACGCGACGCGCTGGAGCGTGTTCGGCGCTTTCCCCTTCCCAGCAAATTGATTTTGGTGTGGCTGTGCGGCGGCCCTCAGCCACACTTTGATCGATCTCGTCGGATCATACATGCTGGATATTTTCGGGCCTATTCCGCATCGACAGAAAGTCCACGAGCCGCGACTCACGATACAGCACTCGCAACGACGACAACCACCAGCGTCCAACTATCTCTTGACAGCCTCGTAGAGATTTATCGCTCACATATCTCTGCCTCCCCACCTCCTAGTAATCCACCCATCACACCACAATGGCCGACGACACGCGGAATACCGTCGATGTGAATGCGCTTCCACCAAAGCCCCGCGCGCCCGCCAACACCATGCCCGGTGGCACAGCACATACAGCAGGAGGCGAAAAGACTTCAGACGGTGGTCCCACATACATCGACGCAGTACGGAGTCTCGGACCAGAATACTACTTAAACTTCCACAAGCGACCATGTGTAAGAGACAGTCAATTGCAAGGACTCGCAGCAGGGTTTGCAGGAGGAAGCTTAGCTGCTATAATAGGCAGTACGTCGCCATTGCTTTCTAAACGAGACCTGCGGACAATGTACTAAAACCTATCACAGAGCCGGTCATCACAGCCTCCAACTGGGCCGTAGCAACCTGGTGCGGTGTGTCCGTCGTCTCCTACCAAGTATGCCAGTACTACCGATCGAAAGAAAAGGCCGGCATAAAACAAGCACAAGAGCTCATGGAGAAGAAGCGCGCAACTATCGAGGCGAAGAAAGAGGCACGACGGAGAGCGAGGGAGGAACAGGATCGACTAGAGGCAGAACGAAGGGCAGAAGAGGAGAGGAGAAAGAGCTGGAGCTATTGGTACCAGAAGAACGTCAAGTTTTGGTAGAGTGTAGTAAGCATGAGGGCTTGAGAGATATGATGCCATGTACAGTTGTGTATAAGAATATGTACTATATGCGCCTTGACGCGACATGAATTACGTGGTATGGGTCACTTGACTATCTTCTCGCATTATCCGACTCTGATGACCTGTCCACAATAATGCCCCCAGGAGGACCTCCTGGTCATAGCCATGTTCAGTGACTGTATTCTCGACATGGCCTGCGGCTACTAGGATATATGTACCTTCGCCGTCCTCCCAGACTGCAACAGAGTGGTTGAGCCGATTCTCTACAGCCATGCAGTTCTCGTTCTAGGACATGGCACCACTCTCTTCCGGCTCTATCTGCCGTGTGATTTTCAATAGCGGAAGGGACAAAAGTTCGATAGCAAGACTTGTGTCTGCGCGGCTAGACGGAACCTTCACGACAACAACCAGCATCCGGCTTCCACCTAGGTATACAATCACGAGCACTACTACTACAAAGCTCACATTCCTCGACGAGTCATTCTGATCAATCGGGGTAAATACCAGCTGCACCAGCGGAGCCTGAGTCTATCTACAGAAGAGAAGCGGACTCAGGATCTAGGCCCAGAGTATCGTCAGTACAGTGATGAACTGAACGATTGGATGATGCAACATCTGAGCTGCAACCCGGAGAGCTACGATAGAACGAGTCTCGAGGCCACGAAAATGCTCACGAAGATTGGTGGGAATCCATCTTAGGTCGATATGGACGCAAGATTTGGTATCGACGCTTACACCCAAAGCACTTCTTGGCTTCACTCTTGTTCGGTTCAACAAGCGTCATTCTCTTCAAAGGCCATGTCTCGCCATATCCTCACGATCACCAACTTTTCCCAGCCCGCCTTTTTCCCGCTTGACCCTACCGTCTCCGCCATCCAACCTGAGCCCCAATTTCTTATGCGTTGTTTGACCACTTCCGGTTTGTTTTGTGCACACAAAAGCACGTATGCGACGCCTCGACCCATACTGAGTGTCTCCGGTACCTGTTCCAGCATCCTATTCGTCACTACCATACCATCTTCCCCTCCTGCATACGACAGTTCCAACAGATATGAGTCTTGTTCGAACGATGTCGCTTTCTTTCCTTCTGGTATGGCGTTGTACTTGTTGTGGCTCGCTAGATCAGGCAACTCGGCCGGTACATATGGCGGATTGAATATGAAGACATCGACAGAATGCGGCCGGATAGCACTCGCCAAGTCGCCATTCACGACATCGGCGAAGATGGAGCGCCCATCCTGCTGTTCCTTGATCGCATCGCGAACCGTTTGGGAGGCAGCTTTGCAGGCGAAGCTGTTGATATCAACCCCAAGTGTCAGTACGTCGTGGCGGTTGAATATTGTGCGCGCATTCGCAGCGACGAACGCCAATACGACGCCTGATCCTACGCCCACTTCGAGCACCAACGGTGGGGTTGTGGAAACATCTCCAAATCGTCCCTTTAAGTATGCAGTTTCCGACGCAGAAGAGAGCGTGTCGAGTAGCAGGTACGAGTCTTCAGCCGGTTCGTACACGCGATCAAAACATACATGGGATGTGGATGGTGTTGGCAGCATGGTCGCGATTTTGTTTCGAGATCGGAGGTGTCGGTGTGGGCCAATTGGAATGGAAGGAGCACCCTAGTCTAGAGTAGAGCCGAGGCTGAGGTCATCACTTCTCGAATGCATCACAGCTGCTCTGCCACAATCTTTTGAATCTTCATCCATTCTTTTGCAACAATGAGAGCCTGTGCACGGTTACTGGCTACCGCGACAGATGCGGGCGCATCGAGGCCCTTCAAGCCGGCACCTGCTGCCTTGTTGCCACCAATACCACTTTATCGACGTCTGCTACGCTCGCATAGGAAAAGGCTAGGCGTGGAGGAGCGATTACTTGGGGACATGTACGTCAAGGCCGAGTTCAGGGCACACAGGGACGTCGAGAACCCTGTGCAAATAGTAAGTCATGCACATTTTTGGACAGTCGCTTTGCAATGTCACAGATTCTAAGTTCCATAGATTGGGTTTCTGTCGGAATGGCAAACATACTGCCAAATGCTAGAGGGAGACTCGTGGAAGGAAGCCAAGATGGACAAAGCTAAGATTGACAAGATGAGCGGTGAGTTTTATGGACTGGTACAAAGACACACACTGACTGGATCACAGACCAACAAATTGGTCAGCTCTATGAGCTCATGCAACAGATCAAGAACCAAGCTCAGGAAGATGCTGATGCCGAAGAAAAGCGCGTGACAGAATTGCTCGACAAGAAGCCTTCGACCGAACAGTGATCGCAACGTGTGTGAATCTCAGTTTTCATTCAACAACGTCCAATGGCAAACGTGGCTAGCTTCACGCCTACCGATGAATGCGTAAACACGAAGAGCTTGGATACTTCACATGGTACTCCAAGATGTACTATATATCAGAAATACCAGATCAGTCTCCAACATCTTCTCACGTCCACCTCTTCCGTCGCTCCATGATCGTTGTCCATCTAAGAAACTTCGCTTCACAACCTGAAGCCTCTCAGGTGCATCCCAACTTCCTCCAATAAGTCCCAGTCTTCGACGGGTACAGAATTTTTCAAAGGGAAAAACGCTATCAATACTGGAATTTCGTCTTGCGATTGATTATTCGAGAGTTATATCTCGTGCAAAGTCTTTGCTTACCGGATATGTGTGGTTGTACCCTATACGATTCTCCAACATGTGGCCACTCCTGGATTTCCATGAGTCAACCTTGCGGCTTTCTCTCCGATCTCCTCAGCTGTCCATATCGCCAAACCTATCAGACTTTGATCGCACCGCCCTACACCTGTCCTATGTGCAACGGCGGATTTGCAGATCGAGAGACAATCGAAATGGTGCAAGGACCTTGGGGTACTAACCAAATGCTTCGAAACCATGTTGGTGGCGGCTATGCGATTCCGGGTCAGTGGGGAAGTGCGCCATTCATGTCTGGTGGATGGAGAGGTCCAGCAATTACTTCAGGAACTACATCTGGCGCTCTGATGCCTATACACCATAGGAATCAAGGCTTCACTTACGATTACCGTCTTACTGGCCCTTATATGCCTCAAAACATGATGTCGCATGCTCCGGTCATCACGAGTGGACCGATGATGGGTAGTTCGGCAATGGTTATGAACGAACCGATAATACACGATAATGGGTTTGGCGGATACGACGATGGCTATATCAGCGATTATGGTGGATACTATGACGCTAGACGCAAGAAGAGGAGGCACAAGAGTCATTACAAGTACAAGTATACGGATAAACCCGTAACCAACTGCACAGTTATGTGAGCTGCTAGTGTGCTGGAGTCTGCGAGATTAGCTGTGGATTTCTGCCTCCACCAAATATAGTAGCTGACTCGTTGTTTAATCAGAAGCATAAGTCAGGATGAGAGTGCCCTTGGAATAGTCCGCCTAAGAGGTAGTCGAGGATGCCAGAGTGAAGCAACCACTGTCCTGGTAGCGAATCACCGGTACGCTTAGCTTTAGGGCAAGACCCTGCATCCAGACCAGAATGCCTTAGCCAACGGCTGGAGCACCCAAGAGCGCCCAAGAATGAGGCGACAAGACGATCCCAATTAGATAACGACTGTGAACTGCATCTCCCGATCGTGTGAAAAAGTCGGCTTGATCACAAGAAAACGTAAACAACTTCCCGTGCTCTTGCTTTGTTCGAAGCGCTACTTCGGCTACGTCATTCGTCACGGGGGCCGGGCTCCTTGTAATCAGACTTCCTAAAACATTAAACTACTTCTCCTGAACTATAAACCCCTCCACGAACCGCACCAAGATCCAATTCAGACCACACACTTCGCAATGGCAACCAATGCGCCTACCTTGATCAACCTGCCACCTCCGCCGTCCGGCGAAGACACGCCTGGTGATGCTCCGTAAGGCACATGCGCTTGGTGGGGCTGAATCAGATAGTTAGACTGACGCTGTACATGTAGAGGCACCCCAAACTCGGTCACGACGACCATGTCTGAGCTCTCCACTGTTGCCATCAAAGACGGACATCGTGGCCACTTTCCCCACCACCGGAATCCTGCTGAAGCTGAACGTGCCGACCGCATCTCGCGCCTAGCGGGTCTGGAGCGCGTTGCAGTCTCGGGTCGCAATCCTCAAGGACTCAACCCAGGGAGCGCAGCCAACCCTCCTCCAGGTTACTTTGATGCAAACAACCAGCCGCAACTCTTCCGTGAGCGCAGCACTGTTGGTAGTGCCAGCGCGACTGGCTCCGTTGGCGGTCGCACAACGTGGGCAAGCGGCAGCGATGTCTACGAGCCCGATCGCATGAGTGAGGACCAGGACATGGACACATCAAGCATGGGGGGCTTCAGTGACGAAGCTGCTTCCCTTGTTGGTTTTGGTGAGGGTGCGCGAACACCAGCTCGACAGCATAGCCAACTCGGTAGCCCTGCTGTCGGAAAGGCAAGCGCTCTGCCAGGTTACTTGCGAGAACAAACCCCGACTAGTCCCATGTCAGGCGTCAGTGTACCTGTCAGCTCAGGATCGACACAGACCATGTCCAGCATCGAGCAGCAGAAGAAAGAGGCACGCATGATGAATGGCATGACGTACGATGACAACGTCGTCGACACGACTAGCCATGCGCCTCCTGCCAGTGGCCGCGACGGAGACTCAACTTCAGGAGACGCCATTCGCGAGCACATGGCACAGCGTCAAGCTGACCAGGATGCTGGTATGAACTATGAGCAGCAGAAGGACGCTTAGGGAAATGCTTTTTGTTTCACTCGAGTCATGCTTTGAGGCGGGCGTTGGGCAAAACTGTTAAGTTCGTGCATGTCTGTCTGTCTACTGTTGACAATTGGTCACGAAATTAGTATGGGCGGAAATTGAGTAGCCTGAGAGCTGCGTGGACATGAGATTAGTTACGAATGCGATGCTGTATGATTATTATCCTTGCTTGGAGTCATGTACCTTAAGCGATTGGCGTGTTCCCCCAGCTTCCGTGTCCATGCGCTTCAGTATGACGTTGAGCGCGCCATTGAATGGCTTGGAGCGACCCTCCGCCGCCAACGCTCAAGGTAGTGCTTTTGTAACCCCGCAAGGCTGTGTCTGCCCTTGCGCCATCATGGCCGATACTGTTGATGGTCATGGCATGCGGCGAATCACACCCCGCATTCTGCAGCTTGCGGCCCAAGTGCTCTGGGCAGGTAGAAGGCCATCTTCTGGGCTTTGCACCTGCAGGCACGCCCTCCCCACCTCATTCCACTTCACATGTCGCGAACAGTCCTGCCCAACTGATAGCTGACTACTGTGCGAGGTCTTGTCACGTCTCCAAGTGCAAAACCCAGAACACATAGTTGTTTACCGTGTGCACGTTTATACTCGTCCACGAATTCCCGTAAACACTTCTTGCGGAGCCCCGCATTCCCCCAAACATAGCCGTCGTCGCCATGGCCGACCACAGCAACGAAGAAGCTATCGACATAAAGGAGACGTCGCTCAACAGCTCCGTGTCTTCCATAGGCCGCACGCCTCCGACAGCGCTCAAACTGGGCTCCAGTCCCAGTCCGGCCTCTTCACACCGCTCGAGCTTCGCGGAACACATGCGAGGAACGCCTACATCACCGCGCGCGTCACGGCAACCTTCGCTCACACAACAAGCTCTGCAAGACCTCCTGAACAACCCACCAACCAAGGGCGGTGACCCAAAGTTCCAGGGACGCGATTGGAAGTCAGTCAGGCTTGGAGAGATAGTCGACCCTGACCTAGTCAGATTTGTTGAATACGACACCAGTGTTGAGGATGCGACAAGCGTGAGTCGGATTCAGTTGTCTCTGTGCACCTGAAACTGACTTGCATAGATACTGGTCAAACACGGCGCTCCTAATGTCGTCCTTCTGCGCGAAGACGCAAACACACGACATGCGACCGGCACTTTCGATTACAGCGACCTGAACGCCTATCTCCTCCTTGTTGTCGGCCTCGCACACCCCGAAGAAGGCGACATCGCGTCGTTTGATGAGCTTGCAAAGAAGGGAAGAGAAGGAAAGCCTATACCACTCAAGGACGTGAAGGAGGTCGGCGGCAGGAAAGAGCCCTTGATTACTCTCGATGAGACAACAGATTTGTCCAAGGCTATAGAAGTCTTTGGAAGCGGCGTGCATAGGGTCTTGGTCGCAGAACAAGGCACCTCAAATGTCAAGGGCATTCTGACGCAGTTGAGATTGGTGCAGTTCTTCTGGGAGAACCGATCAAGCTTCCCAGGTGTCAACCAGCTATACTCGCAGCTGATCAAAGACTTGAACCTTGGATCCAAGACAGTCCTGGCCATCAAGTTAGTATGACACAATTTGAAAGTGGCATGTGACTGACTGGATACTTAGTGGAGATAAGCCTCTTGCGGCCGCTCTCGAGCTCATGAATAACGAAGGCGTATCGTCTTTACCAGTCCTGGACGCGCAGAACAACGTTATCGGCAACATATCACACGTGGATGTCCGCGTAGGTTTCTTCTGCCCCTCATGCGTACTCAGTGGCTGACAACTCCATTTCTAGCTCCTGACAAAATCCACTTCCCTACCACTACTTCGCTCATCCTGTATCCACTTCATATCCGTCATCCTGTCAGAGCGAGGAGTCAACGATGGCAAAGATTCCTTCCCCGTCTTCCACGTCAACCCATTCAGCACCCTCGCGCATACTGTGGCTAAGCTGGTTGCAACTCGCTCGCACCGCATGTGGGTCGTCGATGCACCGTCGCCTGCATCATCTGGACCATCAACTCCTGCGATAACACCTGCGATCGTTGTTCCTCCCTCGCCAATCACACCACTTCCCGGAATGGCAGGTCCTATACCTGTCAATTCGACCGCCCCGACGCACCTTGCCAGCACTGGAGCTGTTGCACCAGCTATCTCTGCATCCGCAATGTCCACCATGCCAGGGGCCAGCCTCTCTGGTAGACTTAGCGGAGTCATCAGTCTCACAGATATCCTCAATCTATTCGCAAGAGCAAGTGGGCTCAATCCCCATGATCCCGATGAAGCACGACGTGCTAGGCGCAGGTCGAGCTCCAGTAGCATGAGGCAGAGCATGGACAGTTCAAGGAGTGAAAGTGTGTCGGCAATTGCAGGACGAAGGAGCAGCGTGAGCAAGCGAGAAGAAAACGCACCCACAGCTCAGGGATTAGGTATTTCCAGGGGACGAGGCTCATAGTCTTGGTTGGACAAAGTCTTGGTCTCTTGAGGGTATCCCATTGAGTTGCAGTATTGATTGGCGTTACCAGCGAGTTGTCGTTCCCAGTCGCTATAGAGTAGGCATGCCAGCTCCTGTACCGCATGCATGTTAATCGGCATCATGATGAGCTTACAATAGTCATTTATTTGCCAATGCGAAAATGCGAAAAACTAAGATATTTGAGTAAATAGAGCTGAAATGGATTGTCAGTTACCAAATTCCCTGTCACATCATCCTACTTTTCTGAACAACAGACCATCATGTATTGAGGATGGAGGTAGCGGCCATTTCAGTTTCTCCACTTTGGCCTCGGTCGGTCCGGCTGGGGTTGAAGCGTCTGCAGCATTTGTCTTCGGTTTATCTTGAGCGTGTGCAGACGCTGTTGTTCTGCTGTCGTGCTTCTTCGAAATGTTTCTTGTCTGTTCATCCTGACGCTGCTCGTATTTGTTTTCAGAAGAGTTGACCGCCGAAACATTTGTTACACATATGGGAGACTTGAGTCGACCTCTGAAGCGAGTCGATTTTTCACATCGTCTTTTTGTACGTTTAGGAAGAGGTTGAAGTACCATGGTTCGTTATGCTAGCTACTTTAGAATCCGTCGATTTTGGGTTTAACAAGCATTCTTTGTAGGCATGCGAAAATATGTGCTTGGGAAGAGGGTTAATGTTAAATTTTGGGAGGAATTAATACATTTGGAGAGATGCTACCATGGAATTGGCGTATTGATTGTCAGGGTGATGAAGGCCGTAATGTTTGTACTGTCGTGGTGCTGTGATTTGTGCAAGAGGTGCTGGCAGATACGTTGTTCAGGACGTGGAAGTAATGAGATGGGTTGGAGATCGATCTATAGTGAGATACTGTAGTTGTATAGTATGTATCTTGACATTTTCCCGCATTATCCAAGCGGGACTTCATTCACGTCATCTTGGACACGCGAAGTGTGATTGTTCTGTGACTTGGAGTGCGATTGTGACCTCGGGTTGAGATGTCGCCATTTGGGGTGTTGGCTGTTTTACAAAGAACATTGGCTCAAAGTAGCGAGGCAAGTAATGTGGAGCATTGGTGTCGGTCTCCATCGGGGAGGCAACATTGGAAGGTGCTATCGCCTAACGGGGAAGGTGCCGCCAAGGCTCGCTTCTCTCACAGGTCGACCAATATTGCTCCCCACTCCGGGTTTCTGTTTCTCACGAACTTTCGAACGACAAAATAACGGCAGTCACTCTTTACAACCAGAAGCAATTGACTACCTCAAGCACTAGCCATGCGTGAGTATCATCCTTCTGGTCGGCTCTTAGGAGGATGCGCGGACTTTTCGAGTAGCTAGGACACCCAGATGCGGGTGTTTCCTAACACTCGAAAACTCGACATCTCCAATAGCCAGGCTTTCCTATAACGCCATACGCTTACATCCACAAAGCTCCCAAGTTCGATCCCTCCGAGGTGAAGGTCATTCACCTCCGTGCGACCGGTGGTGAAGTCGGTGCCTCATCCGCCCTCGCCCCCAAGATCGGTCCTCTCGGTCTTTCCCCCAAGAGTATGCGACAACCTCTTCAAAGAAATGCGTCTGGGCACGAATGCTAATCCGTTCCGCAGAGGTCGGTGAAGATATCGCCAAGGCCACTGGTGACTGGAAGGGTCTCCGTGTCACTGTCAAGTTGACCATCCAAAACCGTCAAGCCGCCGTCTCCGTCGTTCCCTCCGCTTCCTCCCTCGTCATCAAGGCCCTTAAGGAGCCTCCCCGAGACCGCAAGAAGGAGAAGAACATCAAGCACACCAAGTCTGTTCCTCTCGATGAGATCATCAGCATTGCCCGCACCATGCGCTTCAAGTCCATGGCCAAGGACCTGAAGGGTACCGTTCTTGAGATCCTCGGAACTGCCTTCTCCACTGGCTGCAAGGTCGATGGCCGCAGCCCCAAGGACATCTCCGACGACATCAAGGCCGGCGAGATTGAGATTCCTGAGGAGTAAGCGTTAGCACTAAGAAGTGTTCAACGATCACGATGGAACGATACATGCCATAGAGGGTGCTACATAGCTGAATGAGGATCATGTCTCCCACCAGAGTTAGCCATCTCGGGACCGGTGGAGTTTGCACAGCTGCGGCGTTTGGGATTTTTGATACCATACCACAAAAGTGACCCAGGCATACGACAATGATACAATGCATTTGTCAAATCAACATCCAATTCTTCGATTTGCTGTGACTCGATCTCTGTGGACAACATCAGCATGTTTACTGCACATACCATATCTCATTAACTCTGCTGTAATGCTACTCAGTACAGAGGGCTGAGACCACTGTCATCAAATATCCAAGCCAATTCAAGCGACCAACCAAAGCTTCTGTGATAGGTTGACTAATGCTCGAGCGTGAAGATCAAATAAGCATGGTAAGGTCAATGCAGAATGCGTCGCAAGCTCGGAGTTTTGCACGGTAATTCCGCGACTTCGCGTCACCAGTCGGCGCCTGGCAGCTGAACAACCAAAGCAGTCGCTCCAAAATGTCAACAACACGCAAACTTCACCCGTACAATGCGTCGAAGACGGTCAGACGAGCTGCCTCAATTCGCGAACGAGGCTGAATTCCCATCATTCCGCCTGCGCCGCCGCCACGCATACTATCTAGTTGGCTTCCTTTTCGTCTGCTGGATTCTGTATCCATCGCGCAACGCAACACCTGCACCTGGAACTGGCGATAATATAAAGGTCAATTGGTCAAATTATGCGTACAGTGTGTATGCAACCGATCGCGGGGAACTCTGTCATGCAGTTATGGTCCTGGAAGCGCTCGCTCGATTCGGCAGCAAAGCAGATCGCGTTCTCTTCTATCCCGACCACTGGGATACCAAAGTAGATAGCTCCCAGGACCGGGACAGTCAACTGCTTACTTTAGCACGCGATACATACAACGCGAAGCTTCATCCTGTGAAGCTACTTGAAGTGGCTGGTCGTAGTGAGAGTATGTATTACCCAACCACTTACCCATGCGGCGAGACAACACAAGCACATGGCTAACAGCATTGTAGATGGGTGGAAATGGGATGAGAGCGTCACTAAGTTCCTAGCTTTCGGCCTCGAGTACTACGACCGCGTCATCGCCCTAGAATCGGAGATCACACTCCTTGACTCCCTAGATGAGCTCTTCCTCCTCCCTCACACTCCGGTAGCGATGCCACGCGCATATTGGACGGATAGCAAACCCTGGCCACTATCGACAACGCTTATGGTCATTGAGCCTAGTCTTGACGAGTTAGAGAAGTTCAAGAAGCGCATGTTGGAAGGCGGTGACCCTATGCTGGTCGAGATGCATAGGTTTGACATGGAGATCATTAACGAACGCTTCGAGGAGAGCGCATTAGTGCTTCCACACCGACCATACGCCCTTCGTACTGCAGAGTTCACGCGCCACGACCATTCGGACTATCTGGGCGGTGCGAATGAGACATGGGACGCCGAGAAAGTGTACAAAGAGGGAAAGATTGTTCAGTTCAGTGATCGACCGCTGCCTTCTCCCATGGTCATGTGGTCAGAAGAGTCATTGAGGGATATGCAGCCGGATTGTGGAGGCAGCCACGAGGGAACATGCGCTGAGAGACGAATATGGAAGGGCCTGTACGATGATTTCAGGAAGAGGCGGAGAGATGTTTGTAAGCTGCTGAGCTTGCCAGCACCAGATTGGAACAAGATTAAGGAAGAGTTCCGCCCAGCGACTGCGATGAAACCAGCTATTGATGCGTCCTCAAATGAGACTGCTGCTGCTCCCTCTGCTTCTGGCGGACCTCTACTTGGAAACTAGCTAGCCTTGGATATCAGCAGAACCGTGTGCCTATATCTTATGTAGCTCTTAAACATCGCTTGTGTATCCTAGCTTGGATGCTTCAACACGCGGCCCGACTATAAAGTCTGCTAACCGACGCTGACGATGATCTGAAACTGATGGGCAAACGGCGAAAACGGCACGGTTATGCAAGGACGGCAGAAGACATGACAACGTCATCTTGGAGGAGACCGTAGCATTGCCGCTGGTGGTGGCTGTCGCATCAGGAAGCAAGCTGAAGCTTATTTGATTGCTACAAATATACACAGTTTAATTGGTGATACACTCTGATGGCTCGTGACAACAATCTTAGACAAGTGACGGATTTCTGCCATGCAGCGACAACGCGAGTCCTCTTGTTTGATGAGACATGTGGACAGCCGAGTACTCGCCATTCCGCACAACGTATCAGCCCGCGCGCTCGCTGCTCGGAAGGATCCATGGCGGCGCCGCCACCATTCGCGGATCCACCAAAATCTCCGAAGCATCTGCTTATCAGCTCTTGATTGCATCCTTCAACACTGTCGATATCGCAGCTGTCATACAAGAGCCCCAAATGCATGCCTACCTCAGAGTGTCAAGACAAGTATGTCACAACAGAAAGAGCAAGTGAGGTAGCACAAGACATGCATGCTGGGGTGACAGCCGTTTGTTTTAGCGCAGGACCCATCTGCGGCCGGGTGGTGGGGATCATCACCCACCTTCACTCTAGCCCGTACTTGGGGTAGATCATGAGCCAACCCACTAGGTGCAGGTCGTCAACGCGCAGGGTAACCATGACTATATCTCAAGATACAGAAAAGGAGCGTTGTATTGCAGCTAGCAACGCGCACTTCGTATAGGGGTCGCATGGATAAGTAAAAGAGGAGGGGTAGGTTACAGCACGACAGCAGCCACAAGGAATGCGGTACGGGTGTGAAGCCGTGGGCGGCACGGACAGGCGAGCGTGGGACGCTGTTGCAGCAAGGCTTAGCAAATAAGTGGCTGGCTTAACCTAATATCTCACTAAAGGGGCGCTTCCCGGTAGTGCATCATGCGCTTGATGATCTGTGGGCCTGCGAAGTGAATAGCCTAGCTGGGGTGGGAAAGCTGAACTCGTCAGTGCGGAACTCGAGTATGTCTTTCCTCTCTTCCCCACGTTGTGTTGACGCAGTAGATGGATTCCTGATTCATTGCTGATTCACTACGCGTGGTTGTGTAGTATTTATATCCGCAAGCATTCCCGTCCTTCCTTGCAACCATTGCTTGCTTTCTCGATACGGATTCGACCAGGACAACAACAAACACAGCAATGCGCGATTTCATACTGGCCTCCGTGGTCACGGCCTCAGCCTTGTTCGTTGGACAAGCTGATGCTGTCGCCGCCAACCCTCTTCCCAAACCCACGAGCATCACCTGGGGCGACTCTGGCTGCTTCTCTTTTGGATCCGTCGAACTCGATGCGCCCAACCATGAAGTGCTTTCTGCCGCCTTCGATCGCGTTACCAAGACAATCGCAGAGCTGAAATGGATTCCCGCAGCCACTGAAGCCCCGGTTACATCGTTTCAGCCTTTTCCGACCCCGACCGGTGCGTCGAGAAAGAGCAGGAGGCAGTATAGTGCGCCACCGGGAGGAAATTGCACCGGTACGGTCACCAAGGTCAAGGTTGATGTTGCCGACGCCCATGCTCAGCTCCAACATGGTGTTGACGAATCCTACACTCTCGACCTCGCAGCTGGTTCGGATACCATAGACATTACCGCGGGAACCGTCTATGGCGCCCTCCATGCCTTGACAACACTGCAGCAAATTGTTATCAATGATGGCTCTGGTAACATGGTTATCGAACAACCCGTCGCCATCAAGGACGCGCCACTTTACCCAGTCCGTGGAATCATGATAGATACTGGTCGCAACTTCATCACAAAAGCCAAGATCTTTGAACAGATCAATGGAATGTCTCTTTCCAAGCTCAACGTCCTGCACTGGCATCTTATTGATTCTCAATCTTGGCCTGTGGAGATTAACGCCTTCCCTGAGATGACCGAAGACGCCTATTCCGCCAACGAGGTCTTCACCCAAGACATGTTGAAGGAGGTCGTCGCCTACGCCGCCGCACGTGGTGTGCGAATCATCCCTGAGATTGACATGCCCGGCCACGCCAGCTCCGGTTGGGCGCAAATCGACGAGTCCCTACTCACTTGCCAACACAGCTGGTGGTCTAACGACAACTGGGCACTTCATACAGGCGTAGAACCCAACCCAGGCCAACTTGATATCCTCAACAACAAGACCTACGAAGTTACGGCCAAGGTGTACAAGGAAATGACACAAGTCTTCCCAGACAGCTGGTTTCACATTGGCGGCGACGAACTCTTTGCAAACTGCAATAACTTCTCATCTGCCGCCCTCGCCTTCTTCAATAGTGGAAAGTCAATGGGCGATCTCTACCAAGTCTGGGTCGACCGAGCCCTGCCAAACTTCCGCGCGCAGGCAAACAAGACTTTCGTCATGTGGGAAGATGTCAAGCTCTCCGCTGATGTGGCTGCTACTGGCGTTGTCCCCAAAGACGTTGTCCTCCAAGCTTGGAACAACGGCCTTGATCACATTAGCAATCTCACCGCACAGGGTTACCGCGTCATCGTTTCCAGTTCCGACTTCATGTACCTCGACTGCGGATATGGAGGCTGGGTTGGAAACGATCCCAGGTACAACGTCATGGTTAACCCCAATGCGACAGACGGCTCTCCTAACTTCAACTGGGGCGGCGGAGGCGGTTCTTGGTGTGCACCATACAAGACATGGCAACGCATCTACGACTACGATTTCACTTTCAACCTGACCGACAGCCAGAAAGCGCTTGTACAGGGCGCCATCGCACCTCTGTGGTCCGAACAAGTCGACTCTGTAGTTGTATCTCAGAAATTGTGGCCGCGTGCCGCTGCACTCGCAGAACTTGTCTGGAGTGGTAACAAGGATGAGAATGGCAACAAGAGGACCACGGAACTGACACAGCGTATTCTCAACTTTAGGGAATACCTGGTTGCTGTTGGTGTACAGGCTAGCCCGCTGATGCCAAAGTACTGTCTTCAGCATCCGCATCAGTGTGATTTGTATCTCAACCAGACAGCATTGCATGCACCTGTTGCTTAGAAGGCTGGGGTATTTCGTTTCTGTATCGGTGGTTTGACCATGATGATCATGACTTTGCTCTTGGTTGTGTGGGTGGAATTGTGAAAATTGGTCGAGCGATCATGGTCAGGAAGGAAGAGCGACGCCTGCGTGTGTCGCGGATTCGTTTCTTTATAGACACAATTATACCCGTTTTGGTCTGAATATACTATTTCTTGTATAAATTGAAACTTGGATATGCCGTGCTCTGTTGCTTTGAACTTCGGTAGTACTGAATGATATCTTCGTGATGAACCCTTGTACACTTGGTCAACAAGCTTGTGCTCTTAGTCGATCTATCGTGCAACAGATGGATTTGATTTAAATGACTATTGTTGGACCTGCCCTAAAGATCACAACTCCGTTTAACATGCTTTCGTGAATTTGAAATGTGCACAGTATCTTCTGTCGCGACCCATGCTCCTATTCTTCGGGTATCAATTTCGCGCCCCACATTCATTGCTCCCTCCTTCGCCTCGTCCGTTCTTCCTTACTTACGGCGACTTCAGGTTCTTGTCTGCGAGGACTTCATTTGCAGCGGCCATCTCTGGGCTGGTAATGTCCTTCTCGCCTAACGTTTGCGAGTTGGAAGTATTGTCTGAGCTGGTAAATGGCTTCTTCACAGCATCCTTGAGCTTCTCAGTAGTAGTTTTCTGAAGCGAATTGTTGTCATCTTCGGTAGATGTAGAGGTAGATGTAGAAGTAGAGGCTTCAGGAGCGATAGGTTCTATGGAGATGTTTTAGTATCTTTGTCAGATATTTGTGCGAGTGAGTAGGCAACAAATTTGAGTGGTAAAAGGACGCTAATCGGATATGGACGCAAGGACGAGTACGGACCTTGGAATTGGAGGTCGATGTCGTCACGGGACGGGCCATCAACATCAACGTGAGATGGAGTAGTGCTTGTAGCTCCTGGAAGTCCATTGACGGGAGGCTCTATATTGTGTTAGCGTACGTGTGCTTGTACATTGCTACACAACCGGCGACAACGCCGTTGGAGAATAGCACAAAAATGGGGCAACGTAGTCGTACCCTGGAACTGCGCCGTGTGGTCGGTAGTAGCCATAACTGATGCTATAGGTTAATTCAAGGTTGACTAGGTTGGGATATTCAGATGATGGTAATCTGACGTGTCGGACTTACGTCCGCGGGGCATTTGGGGTTGTGATATACATTCCCTCGCGCTACGTCACCGGCTGACTGTGCGTGTCCTGGCTGTCGCGTGCTCAGATGATTGGGACTGGCCGAGGCGCGGCCACCCCCGCTATTACGCCTCAGACCCTGACTTGAACCCTGAACTTCAGCACTATTTGGGCCAAGTGCTCGTCAGAGGCGCGCTGCCAAAATCTAGAAGGGGATCCAGAGATCTCGATTTCTTCATGCGGAAAGAGGACAAAGTCCTGAAGTATTGTTTGGCGTGCTTGGCTAAGGCTAGATGGCGTTCTAGACGATCCGGATTGTATGAAGCCCGTTCTCGTAGCGCATACACGGTAAACGAGCCCTTGTACCTTCGTCCAGTTCTGCCAACAGCATCTCCTTTTTGTCATCTGCAGAACAGCGAGCCACTCCAATCCTCTCGAACACATCGTCGTTGGACTCTGTAAGCCTGAAAAGCAGGCACCATAAGATAGTACCCTCATCCGATTTACCTACTAACCGCCCAGGCATAAAGAACAGTCGCTCTTGTGTATGATCGTCATCGAAAGCTACCTCATCATCATACAATGTATCGAGGGAGGCGTGTATTCGTTGTTCTGGGCCCTTAACGTTCTGTTTATAGACGATAGTACTGCCAAACACCATGTACCAGCTTATACCTTCGTCGTGTTTGACACCTTGCAATCTCATAGGCTTGAGACAGCCACGCAGATCTAACCATCTACCTGTCACCGCTCCTGTGATATCTTCAATTGCGTAGTGAAGTACAACATCTTCGGTATGTATCAAAATTTCCTGTGTGGCCCGACCAGTGTACTGTATTAGTCCATCCACAGACGCCCAAGACCAGGATGGCGCGCGGTAACTAGGCGGGCGTGGCTTGGGGCCAGTTACATGCCACATTAGGAACTTCTCAAGATTCCTGCACCACATGCCAGCGACATAAGCGTCTTTGATATAAGGCATCACATGCTTAGCCACACCTGAAAGGGCAACCAACTTGTCCCCTGGGACCGACAGGTTCCTGGGACTGTACGTCCGGACCAACGTGGTCCATAAGTCCTCCCAGTTTGTTTCACCTATGCTGTTCCCGTCAAGCTGTTGTGCAATGCGTTGTCGGTTTTTTGCTTCAGATTTGAGAAATGCTGAAGTATAATATAGACACACAAGCGGTAGCTCTTGAGGAAAGGTCTCACATACAGTATGTTCTCGACACTCCCAGAACAACTGGTCTTGACAAAAATGCAGAACTCGTGGTGCAAGAAAACGCTCCTGGAAAACCCAGCCACGTTTGTCGAGAGGCGAGTGCAGTAGGACATGTGTCCGGAGGAGATAGTCGGTCATCAGACACTCCACATGTCCAGTGTCTGACTGGACATCGTCTAGGTTGACTTTGACGCGCGGGCGGCCAATGTACAGAGGGGCACGGTGTCGGAAAAGGCCCTTCGTACTATCCTCTGCATCTGTCGCAGATATGTTACAGTGAGAGTTTGTATATACCATATCCATCGAGCTTGCTTCTCGGTACCAGTCTTGACGATCATCTCCACTTTGAATTATGCACAGTGAATCGATCCACAGGTAGAGAATTCCCAATTGTCTGGATACCTCAATGGCCTCTTGGAAAGTCTTGGGTAGATCAGCCAATGGGAAACAAAAGTTAGATTCAGATTCCATTGCTTGGGTGAGCTTGAGAGGCATGTTGTTGCCCCAGCAATGGCTTGAAGTAGCATAAGGACCGATTGGTGGTTCTCGTGCTGTGCGTATGAGCCGAATGTAGTTCTTGTCTTCAATAGGGTCGGCCAGGTGTAAGAGACGCGTTGGGTACCAAGTGCTACCGCCCTCAGATGTGTTGCAAGATTGATGTGAACTGGCACACTCTTGCAACCACTTGGCGGCCGTCTGCATAGATTCAGCTGAAGAAGTCCGGTCACTGGTAAAGCTAGATTGTACATCGGAATCCAGAGATAGCGTACAACCTGTTCGATGGTCAGCGCAAGTGTGTTCTACTGTGGCAAGACTTACTCTCATCCGGCTCTAGGATGAACATGTTCCACTTGTCGTAACCTACAAACACGGGATTGTAGCGTATCGCCAAGCTGAATGTATTAGGCATTGCCCAGTGCCCCAACTCCGCAGTCGTAACGAATGCAAGCGCAGGAGTCTCAGCTGGAGAAACCTCACCCTCTCTTGAATCAGCAGTATGGAAGGATTCCTGTTCATGACTGCACAATCTATTCCAAACCGTCTGGCAAATAGGACATCCGTTATTCGCCGATGTAGCAAGGGAATCGCGTGTTGTATGATGACCAAACTTGTAGATACATGTTAGCCTCGTCGAGTAGAGCCGGGTATGAACCACCCACTGCAAGTACTTACCCTGTATTCCGTTCCGACATCACGAGCATGCGGGTAATTCTGATCTCCGAATCTTGTCACCCGAAGGATATGATGACGATGCTGCAATACGCCAACACAAGTATCGCAAAACATCCTTAAGGTGACGTTGTTCAAAGATCGGTAGGTTCATGTTCGGATCTGGAAGACCAGGCTGCAATCGTAAGACATTAGTACCCCGCCACCTATCCTGTCACCTTAGCCGCTGCCATAAGCCTTTCTTTCCTCCCCTCTTTCCAAGCCTTGTCAAGTGCCTCCAATTTTCCGCCTAGCATCTGAACATTGCTCGGCTCAAGCATAACGACGCCTCTTCTTACATCGATATTACGCAGTACAAGTTTGGCACCCATGGCCATGTTGGTGTTGAGCCCATCGATTCCTCGCAGATCCATGGCATAGATCTTGAGTCCTTTAGCATCCTGCAGTAGCAGCTTGAAAGGACCTTTGCTCTGCATGGGTGCTGCAGCCTCAGCAGTCCCCTCGTTCTCTTGTTCTACAACGCGCACAATCTCTCTCCCTTTTGTCATCTCGCCCCGCTCTTGCGCTTCGATGGATTCGACCTGGGACCAACGCGAGTGGCCAATGTCTTCGACGTCAAGCACTTGACAGACAATCGGGCCAGAGACGATGCGGGATTGGATGGTGCCTTTTAGTACATCATTGGGAAACAAGGAGGCTGCAGGTTGACTGAGCGACGTGGTAATGTCGGTGGCTAGTAGGCGGAAGTGGGCGGTCTGCTTGATGGCGGGCAATGGCGTGTTCGGTCGGGTTGTGGAGAGGAAGCCTTGCAGCCATGCTGCGGTAGGATAGAGATGTCGCGCATTTAGGTGCTGTGTTAGCTCAGCTGCGATATTAGCTGCCATACCGGTAATCAATTGGAATTATGTGAAGTATGTGCGTGGGTTTGCTTCTTCGCGGATAAGGCTAAAGATGTGTGGGAAACGCGACGCGTAGAATGACGTGGGGCGTTCGTTCACGAATTGTGGCCTCGGCCCCTTCACATGAAACTCAAGCTTCAACATCATCCCATCCGCCAAACCTCACAAGACTTTCAAAGAGACAACATTACAACATGTCAACTATAGCCTCTCCCCGCGCCAGTTCCTCAGTCCGCAGCCCCTCATTAACCCGCACCTCAATCGACAGCAGCTCGTCGCATCGCCCACCCCCAGCCGCACGCCGAAACCGCGCCGCTCTTCGCGAATTCTACGGCCTCAAGAATGCTCCCAGAGACGCAACACCAGATGCCAGGATATCCGAAGAATCTTCAGCAACACAGCTTGGGCCAGAAGAAGACGAGACACTCACAGAGCTCGACGCTGCCGACTTCAACGCAGAAGCCTTCGTAGAGAGTTTACTTGCAAAAGAAGGCCTGAAGGGCGTTTTGAAGGTAGAGGCAGACTTGGTATCTCGTATGCTATGACTCTGAACATGGTAGCGGGTAGATCACAAGCTAATGCTGCTTCAGAGATCAGGAATCTAGATAGCGATCGCAAGTCCCTGGTCTACGACAACTATTCCAAGCTGCTCTCCGCAACTAGCACCATCCGACGCATGCGCGGCAACATGGACCCTCTCGCACCGACTACGCATACCCTCGGCCCCGCCATATCACACATCGCCGAGACAGCCGCTTCCCTATCATCCTCGCTACAGGGTAGCCATCAGTCAAAAGAAGAAGGATTAGGCATAAGCATACGTGTTGAGCAAGATGAGAAAGACAAACTGGACATGAACAAGAAGCGGAGACAACAAGACACGGTCAGGTGGGTATTGGACACACCGCGACGTCTGCAGGACATGATAGATCGAGACCAAGACGACGACGCAGAAAAGGAGTGGCAAGAGGTCAGTAGGATACTCGACAAGTGGAAAGGTGTCGCTGGCGTACAAGAGCTCAGGGAGCAATGCGAAGCCATTATGCAGGATGAAGACGACGAGGAAGACGAATCAGAATGAGGCATCTATTCTCTGGGATAAAGAAGACACCTTGCTCATCACAACATGAATGCTCCTGCACAAGTAGGCAAGCATGATGCGACCAATCATACAACCACCTCGTACCCTGCCAACATAGGTAAACGGCCAAAGGGATGCTCGCGTAGGACTCCAAGACACTGCAAGCCGCATACCAAGCATTACCACTACCCAGCGTTCAAGCCGCACCAACAAATATCTGGGGCCTCACAGCAGCTTTGCCAAAGCTTAACGGTATACATACCACGTGTCTGTTCAGCTGCTACCTACCCTGCCGCCTCGTGGAGGTCGTTAGATCCATCTCTAGCAAAATCCGGGGCCGAAACAAGACGGGAAAATAAGGCAAAAACTTAATTACCTTGTGTCCGTCCAAAAGCATAGGAGATACTTCTTGCATCTGTAACAAGCTTAACTTGCTACAATGCACGAGCGTTCATGTGCCGGCGATGAAGGACAAGAGGAGACCACTGATGTCGTTACAAAAGCTATAGCTTGCAATAGGACCAGTATCTCACAAGCGACCGAATCAATGATTTCTTTCTACCAACTGTCCACCGCAAGCGGACCTGCGAAAAAGAGAAGGATATATAATGTACGTTATCGCATCAAAAATAAAAGATGGGCAAAAACATACAACAGCGGGGATTCGCTAGTGGTCACCCACCTAACTACTAATCCGCCGGTACACTGCTTGTATATGGCTGAGCGGACGGGAAGCCTAATTTTCAGTGTCCTATGGTCGTATGTATCATTTTGACCGATCTGTAATCTATTGTACTCGAATTTTGCACAACCCTCAAGACTGGAATGCACGCTGGAAACATGAAGACAAGTAGGGTACCAATGTAAAAGACGAGGTGGAAAAGGTTGAGCATCATGTGTAAAATTTGAGAGCCACAACATGATAGATGTTTGGACAATTGTGTTGGTACATGACGAAATTTGAGAGATATCTAACGTATAAGGCGCTAAGCAGGATCGACATATTCGACCCTCTCCGCACACATGGTCTTGCACTTTCTGAGATAAAGCGTCAGACCCTGCAGCTAGAAGATCTCATCTGTACCATGCCATCAACCAGCATCGGCCCAGAACAGTTTCCTGTTATACCCTTCCATCTACCATCGCTACGCTTAGCTTGCCGCATCCTTGACCACACTCTCCCAAATACCCTGCCAATCCGCTTCTCCACCCCCATATCTCGCCTCAAACGCATTCATTGCTAGGTTGCCCAAGAATGGTCTCACCAACCGATTCACAAGCTCTCCTCTGGTCATCTCCAGCACCGCAGCGCCTTCTTCCTTCTCGAGAGCCTCGATGAGCGGATTTAGGAATAATGTCCGCTTAGGCTCATCAGCATCTGATCCATTGACCGCAGTTACAGGCATCGCAGGTGCTGTCGATGACCTGGTAAGAACCTCGTTGATCTCGTCTGTAAGAGACATCAGCGTCGGTGGTGTGACAGGCTTGTACACGGCGTCGATGGTGTCGGAGATGAACAGCCACTCCATAAGTTGGAAGTCATCGGGATCTAGAACAACTAGCTCGTCGAGTAACTTGCATGTCTGAATTATGCCGGCGTTGTTATAGTGTTCCTTGTTCGGAGCGTCTGGCAAGAGGGCCGATAACCCAGATGTTAACTCGCCATTTACAACCGGCCAAAGTAACGCGAGGTGAATAGGTGAGGTCTTCAGAATGATAGCACGTAACAGCACTATGACATCTGTACGGGTGATTGACGAAGGAGAAGACGCGGGTGTTGCGGTAAGCAACTCGACAACCTTCTCCAGAACCTGGGGTATGTTCGGCGTGAAAGCGTCCTCAGGGCTACCTAGAATAAGAAGCGCAATGCGACGTAATGTAAGCTGTGTCTTCCGGTCGGCTTCCTGCCGAGCAGACGTTGCACCTACGCCAAACATGAGGCCAGCTGTTGTGGGTGCTGAGAGCCGTGATAGTAGTTCGGGGACTCGCTCCTTGTCAGACTGGGTCCACTGTGCGAGGATAGGCAGCCAAGCTTCTCTCAGTAGAAGGGGCGGTGTATTGAAAAATTTGGGGTCATTGAAGGCATCATAGATGTCTTTCTTGAGTAGCTTGTTGCCTTGTGCAATCTTGGTAAGACCTTGAAGCAGATCCAACGTGTTCCTCGATACGTTCTCAGGGAACGCTTTTGCACGGAAGGTGGGGCCAATGACAGATGCAGAGATGTCAGAGACGACCTTTGCAACACGATCATTTTCTACCAGAATGATCGACAGTTTTGGTACAATGGTGGTGAGGATAGAAACAACGTCAGTTGCTCGCTTCTGTGCGCGGATGCCGTTGGTTATCGCAGTCGTCTTTTCACTTGCAGCTTGATTTGAGTCTTGCAAATAGCCCATGGAGCGTGTTGTGAAGATCGCAGTCAGGATTCTAGCAAAGATATCCTGTACACGTGATTAGCACCTCTACATCGAACGAACACATATACTTACTGCTAGCTCTCTCCGCATCTTCCGCTGCTCTCCGAAGTTAGTGTTATCAACCTTCTGACCTATGACAGCGGTGAACTCCAACAGCGTAGGCAGAATCTGTCGATGTGGGAGGGGATTCGCAAGCACGTCTCGCAAGAATAGAGTGCAATCCTGCCATATCTCGTCCATAGCATCGTCCTCTAAAGAAGTCGTATATTCAACCAAGAAGGCGACTAGTTCGGCGTCGGTAAGATCAGAGGTGAGTGTTGACTGTCGATTAGTGTCCAAAGCCCCAGGATCGGTCCGGCTGTACACGGCGTTGAAAATCGCAGGTATTGTGTGCTTTGGCTTTGACCCGTTGAGGACATTCAGAAGTCCTGTAATAGCTGGTCCTTGCGTATCATCAGGGGTCGCATGCGCCCATAGGACTACCAATGTCTCTAGACATTCCAGTGCCTCCGCAGCGAAGAGATGTTCTAATGTACGGCGGGCTCGATTGCGCATGCGCAGAGAAGTGTAAGAGAACGACGATGCTGACGTATGGTCTTGTACTTCTAGCATATGTCCCCATGACCATATCGCAAAGCATATACGGACCGTGTCTTGGAAGCATAGGAGAACTGAGAGTCTGCTGTTCGCGGTTGGCGTGCGAGTTTGGTTTGTATCAGACGAAATCAGGCCAGATACCACGTTGCTGAAGAAGCCCTGAGGCTGCTCCGGGGACTTGCTGGCCGACACCCTCGTCTCTTGTGTTGTCAAACGCTCGTGTGCCTTGGCCAAAATCTGCTCTAAACCGTTCATGAGCGATATCAGAGTGGACTCTGGAGATACTGTCGGCACGACTTGTGTCTTGGCGAATGTTGACTTGAGCTGCTCAAATGCAAGGTTGATCTCTTTGCAGAGACATTCCACAAGCGGAAGGAGGTTTTGGAATATTGTATCAGCGAACATTGGTAAAACCTCAACGAGGAATTGAATCCAGTCATCAAGGACCAAACGACTAGCTGGGGAGGAAAACCCGAATTTCAAGCACTCAACAAGCTGAGGAGGTGGAGGTATGGGCGCTGGTGTATTGTCTTCCGAATCTCTGTTCAAAGCTAATGACAGACGTGACCGGTTCGCTGGGTGGTTTGGAGGTTTTGGTTCTGGTACGGGCTCTGGTGGACGGGTAAGACGGAGTTTCAGTGCGGCCAACTCTGCATCTAGTAAAAGACTTTGCAAAGATGGGCCTGCTGATCGTAGTCTTGCCATCAAGGGTACTTCAAGTTCCAAGTCTCGAAGTGGCGGAGCAAATGGACTACGATAGATTTGCGATATGACGGAGACGGACAGTCGGTGTAGTTCGTGTATATGGGGCTCCAGGTTTGATTCCGAAGTACCGGCTCGAAGCGACAATGTGGTCAAGCAGGTACGTACGAGCCACTCCTGGATGGAAATTCGCGATGATGATGGTTCTGGCCACGTAAGAGTTACTTCGGCAAGAGTTACCCAAGTGAAGTGTGTTGGTCTTTTGATGACATTAAAGACGTGTCTGAGGTAGTACAGGCATTCTTTTGTATCATCTCTTCTAGAGTGCGGTGGTCGTTCCTGCGACCCCTTGGTAGGTGCCAGATTGCTTGAAGCTAGGAGACAATTGAGCGATTGGATGTGTAGTGCAAGTACTTCAAAGACTCTATTCAAGCTTGGTAAGTCTGGCAACCAGTTTTGCATGAATGTCGAGGTTTCAGAGCCCTCTTCTGTCAGAGTGTCCAGAAGTAAGAGTAGCGGCCTTGTCAAAACAGAATGAAAGTCACCAGCGGGCGTTGGGGCTTGCGTGACGTTACCACTCGGTCGGCGCGTAATGGTCACACGCTTTTCTGACTGCAAGTTCAATTCGTGCATGATATGCGTCCAGAGTGTCGCAAATCGTCGGGCACAGTCGGGAGAGTTGTTGGAGATAGAATCGCGGCCTGTCTGCTCCACGATGATAGAAGCAATGGCACTTTCAACCATCCGGCTTGTAGGTGCAATGGAATGCAGCTGCAGCAAGGAGCGTGCCGTTTCGACATGATATTTGGGCAATGTCGGCGAGAGATATTGCCAGAAGTACTGAACTAAAGGTTGGATGAGCTCAGGCAATTGGCTAGAGGTGATATGAGGTCTCGACGCAAGTGCTGTCTGAAGTGCCAGCAAAACAGTCGTAACAGCACTTAAGTGCGAGAACGAAAGATCTTTGTTAGACTCGTCAGACGTTTGGAGAATGTCTGCAAGCATGGTAGTGAGATCAATGTCCTCAATGGCCTTTAAGCATTGCGTTTTGAATACCAGGTTAGACAAAATCTTGGAAGGCATCTCTACAGAGATCTCAGAGTCCGTCGACTGGATGGATGCTGTGAACATGCAGGAAGCCTCACGAAGCACGATTTGACCAAGCAGTGGTGGCTCGAAAGGGGGGTCAGCTGCATCAAGACTTCCTTGAGATTCTTCGTAGAATGCCCGGATTTGCTGGGTCACAGTGGATCGTGGTATCTTGAGGGCTGCAGATATCTGCTGGTCCGTTGCTTGATCGCCTCGAAACGACCGGTCTGGCACTATCTGCACAAGTGAATCTGCAATCTCGAGGGCAAGACTCATGACTTCTGCGCCCGCTGGTGATTTGCGGGTCTTTCCGGAGCTTTCATTCAAGGACACAAGTGACGAAAGCACCATTAAAGGCATGTGATGCAGCAACATATCTTCTTCCTTGAGGTTGAAGCGGGCTAGAACGAACTTGGCCAACTTCATCTTCTGTAAAGCTTCATCATTAACTGCCCCATCTGTCTGCAAAGAAGACGTGATGAGGTGAATCAGCTTGCCCCAAATGAGGCCGCTATCGACGCCATCGAAGAATGCGCTAGCACTTCTCATGACTTCGTCGACTTGGTCCTTGGGTGCAGTCTCGCTGTACGAGTAAACGCTTCGTAAAGCGGGCAGGAAGATCTCGGGTACAATCAACCCACCTACTTCCCATCGGTCCATGAGAGATAAACAGACTCGGAAAGGACGTGCTCGCTCGGAAGGTGATGCGCTACGACGATTAATCATCTTGAGGACACTGTTTGTGAGCGCCTCGAGACCGTATCGCGAAAAGAAGGCGGCTTGGTGTGCTGAAGGATCTACTGTCGTACTGTGCTTGTCCGTTGTTGGAGATGTGACCCCATCGTTGGCCTCAACAGCAGTGGGTTCTGGGCCCAAGAACCATGCCCAGAGCCGGCGGTTCAAGCTCATGTCTCTGCGCGACACAACGCTGGCAGCGGCAGCTACAAGTCGTTCCAAATCCCCTTTGCCAACACGCTCCTGCAGGACGGGTGAGTCGAGAGGTAGATGGCTGACCAACAGATCGAGAAAGCCTCGTTGAATGAGTATTTGAGGATCTGATAGGCCTGATTCGAAGCAACGGATAAGGAGACCAGGCTCTGGCGATGTAGCTGCCTCCGCCTCCTCGGACAATGTTCCTGAGGGCGTAGAGATGTCAGAAGGAGAGTTGCGCCGCTCTGGCCGTCCGAACTTGGGCAGGCGACGTACGAGGAAAGCAAGTGCACCTTGCCTCCTAGAAGGGTTCGTAATGGTTGCCAGGAAAAGGCATTGCCAGAAGTGAGACGAGGCACTGGCCGTCTTGGAATCGGCTGTCTCGTGTGAATTGTCTTGCACGGCGGTCCGCAACCTTTCAGTTGCAGAAACCATGCGCTCAAAGTCCTCGCTTGTCTCATCTTCTAGTCCAGGTAGGAGAGAAAGTATGATTGCTTTCAAGGCCGGGCGGAGTGCAGCTCCGTCAAGCTTCAGGATGTGCTTTTCGAATACGGAGAGGTAGAGGGGGCGGACCGAGAGCGAGGCGAAGGAGAGGACTGAAGCAAGGCCTGGGAAGTAGAGGTTGAGGTCACGGGCGAGTGCATCTTTCTGGGCATGGGTCAGCTTATGCTGGGCTGACGTAGGGAGGCAGGCATACACCGATGGTAGAGAAGATGTAGTCATAGACTTCGAGGGCTTTCTGGTGAACGCCCGAGGGCAGTGTTGGATTCAAGCACTGCGCTAATCGCAGTGCGACAGTATCGCTATGTGGTATGGCGGGTATCTCTGGAGGATGCGCTTGCAGGGCCTGGACGGTGGTTTGTATAAGCGCTTTGTCTCATGTTGGGAGTAGCATGGCGGTATTGACCTTCAGCAGCCGTCCCAAGAATGATATGTAGTCGGCCCATTCCTGCTGTGCAGTGTCCCAGAGGGCGAGAGCGCGTTCGACACCGGCCGCATATCGTCGGAAGTTCTTGTCTTTCTTGTACAGAGCTGTTTTGTTACGGTTAGCTGCACGAAGTCCCAGACCCAGAAAGAAGACATACGCTCTTCGGCTGCATGGCGCGCCGACCGCGGTGCTGGACTTGAGCGGCCAGAGCCCGGTGGTGAGAAGACCTGCAGGTTAGCAGTGGGATCAGCCGACATACTGTGTCTGGCAGGTATCGATGTGTCCGTGTATCAATGGCAGGGCGCTGGACATGCTGCTCCTGGTCGTGGTGGTGTTGAGCATATAATCCGCTGCCTGGCCATCTACCAAGACCATTGCGACCGTGGACACGAAGCACTTCGGCGCGAAGGGGTCCGTGCCGTGGGACATGCCCGTCATCGACGCGCGCCGCACGCGACATCAGCTACAACACCATGGAGCCTAGACAGTCGCCCTACAAATCATCGAGGCCAGCGCAACATGCACGACGCAGCACCGGTGATTACTTCATCGTCGTCGCATCTTGCCCATAACTGACCGCAGCAGGCCTCACACGATCCCCCACCTGCCCCACCACCGGCCGACACCTTCCAACCTGACCATCATCACCACCACCATGACCCTGACCATGACCATAATTCGCCCGTACACCTGCCGCCTCATGAATATCCTCCGCCCGACGAGCCTCCACCATCCTACGATGACGCCGTTGGGATGACCGGTGCGCCACCAGGCTATGGCACCTTCCGACCATATAGCGAGGAATCCTCCATAGCGAGCAGCGAAGTCGAGTCCACCCATCGCGCACTTCCTGAATGGTTTGGACAAGCCTTGGTCGTGTTCATCTTCATATGCCTCATATATGGCTTCTGGGAGTTCATCAATACTCCTGATGTACCCTCAGAATGGCCAGGCAATGGGCATTTCAGACCGTCGGGCACTTGAGGCCATAGAGATAGACAAAGCCGGGGTGTCAACGAGACACTTGAACCAACTATCTCATAAGACCATATTCTACCGACGAGACTAACGAGACTGACTTCGGCCCATGTGCGATTGGCGCTGGGCGGCACCTATGCCTCACATGCTGGGCGAGAGCTGTAGATCATGGACACAATTATCCAAGAAGGGAAACAACGAGTCTTCGGGACACTTCAAGGGATAATTTGGCTCTGCGATGCGAAAGCATAGGCCCATTCAAAATATTTTGCCAGTATCATCATGGTACACACATTGGCCATCTTCGTCCGACCGGCCGTGCCTTGAGATCCAGGCCAAGTTCCAACCAAGACGACAAAGTGCTTTGAGGGCACAAGGGTTGGAGGAGAATATTTCGTCCACAACAAGAGCACTAGAGACGGTAAATACTCATCTTGGATTAGATCCAGAGTAAAATCTATCCCAGAGGAATTCGCTGCTATATTTTCTTCTAGAGGGCTAAGAAGATCGAAAGCTATGCATACTTCTACGTAGAGTATACGATGCAACTCATCATTAATGAGCTTCTCTGTAAGCGCTTACCTACATAGTAAGGTTTTAGGCACATCAGACATATGACACGAAGTCTGCCCACCTGTAATGACTGAGATGCAAATCCGATAACCAGTCTAATACTATCTCGCAAGCTCCTCAATCAAACTTCATGGTGCGGATTAATCCGACAAAGTTCTGCCTTCGGTACCGTGCTGGTCGTTTCATGCAGCTTGTTGTACTACCCAAGACACAATATTCATCCATTGCTACGTCAACGCACTATAATCTCACGACTCAGCAACTATCACACTCACACCGGCTCTGAACCATCCTTAGATCTCGCGATAGCGCAATAATGTGGCGGTCGCTGCGATTGCTGGCTAAGAGTACGTAGTACGTCGGAGTAAAGCTTAAATCTAGTGTTGATGCGGGTGAGTTCTAGTCACCCGATAGCGAACTGGCGATCTCAAAACCAACAACTTAGTCGTGGAAATAATGGTGTGGCTAGAAGGGTAGCTGTGGCGAGTGTCGGCCCGCCCTGTGGGGTTTTTGCTGGTGTGGCATTGAACCTGACCGGCGCTGGTGTTGGTGTCACAAGTACTATATCTGAGGGTCGAGCGGAAGAAGGGCACTACTTGGACGACTCGTATAGCGCTGTTCTAGTGTTTTTCGAATCGAAACTGCGGATCGTAGGCGGGTGTCTCCTCTTCCGGAAACCGATTCGTGGTCGGGAAATCTGCTTGGCGGTCGGAGATGGAAAGGGTAGATGGTCTCTTTACTTGACAGTTGATGCTGAGTTGTGAGGTTGTTCAAGCGACGAAACATGTAATTTTGCAGGCCTCATTTTGAGCGTCTCAGCGAGTGTCCCTCGTTCATCGTTAGAAAAGACATGTTACCGTGTCGCTGTGCTTGAGGTAATCATCGCGTTAAGAGCGTCTGTCGGAAAGGAGTGACATCGACACAACTAATACTACTACACCAACGCTTGCGATGACATGCTGATAGGAAGCACCGCGTGTACATGCTCAAAGCAATGCCAAGTCCTCCCCTAGACCTCCCGACATGCGACAAGCGACCCGACAAAGCTCCAGGTTTCTTTCCCCGAAACAAATCCCGTCCCACATGCATCAGACTCATCTCGCCTCACCCAACGCCAACTCCGGTCCCAATCCAGTTTCCAATCCATCCCGAACGAAGACGATCCAAGCCGGCAGCAAACACCCGAATCAGAATCGGTCGACGTCTGCGAGCTGGCGCGTTCCTTACCCTTGCACCCAGTCCCAGTTCCCCATCGAGAAGACAGGAAATGATCCACATGAGTCTAGTCTTGTTCATCAGGTACCCACCTGTGCACCTGGCTCGCAGCATCATACCTGTTGCGGCAATCTTCGCGGCCATGGCACGCCAGGCAGGGGTTAGCCCGTCGACATGGATTTTCCTGCTTTTCACAAGCTGCAAAAGCTTGGAGCAAAGGCAGTGAGTGGGGCGCGTGCTGGCGCGGCTTTTGGACCCCACGCCGCGCTACGCTAATCGCTAGTTCGGGGCGAGATCCGGGATCCCGAACGTTGGGTTTAACCGTAGCGTGTGTTGCTTGTGGGCGTGCTGTGGTAGGCATAGGCGATTTTGTGCACGGTGAAGTGAATTGGGATAGTCACATACGTAGTCGGGGTCTTTGTGTTTGCGGATGTGCTGTGGAGGGTGATGTTACCCGAGGTAGGCACTAGACGACACAAGATGAGTGTATAGATGAAAAACGCTTCCGGTGCTCTCCAGAACTCCAGGGTGGAAACGGAAGTGCTCGTGAATTGTATAGTATTAAAGTAGATCTAACTTGAGAAAAGGCTTCAAAAAGGCCTGTTGTGGTGGTAGCAAAGCGTTGTCCGGATACGGGAAGGACACCTCAGTCAGCGACTTCAATTCCTGTAACGTGTAAACTCATACTTCCTATCCCTCTTCATCCTTCTCTTCCCATGCGATCTCCTCCTTGAGCCCCAATACCCACCACCTCCGTCTTCTGCATCTTCTTCACGCTTGCATCTTGGGTGTGCATGATCCTCATGTGAGCCCATCGGCCAGATGGGTATGAAGCAGACCTCTTCGTCCGCACATGCTCCACAGTCCTTCCACGTTGTCCAGCTTAGAAACTCAACTAGATCATCGATAAGTTCGACAGCATGTGAGGCATACACAGACGTGAATGAAGAGTGAGACGTAGGCGAAGAGGCGATGGAAAGGGCAGTCAGGAGTGTGTCGCATAGCCGATGCGTCACAACGTATAGGTTGAGGTGCGCCAGAGAGGCGACCGGTTGTGGCGGTAAAGGCAATGTGGGGATGTACTGAGACACACAGCGTTGTGTCTCCAGTGTTGCGTTGCGAGCGGAAGAGATGAAGGGACGAAGTAGCGTGGCGAGGTAAAGAGTAAGTGCATCCTTGTCTTCTCGAATGTCCTTGTCGGTGTGAAGGTGATGAAGAGGTTTGCTGTACCGCTGTACTACCATGTCAGCCACTGCTTGCCAATCGCGCAATTGTTCGTCTGTGTTCCAGTCTTTCCGCAGGATCATATCCGTGACATCGTCTTTGACACGCATACGGTCACCCTCTTTGACATTCTGTAGTCTAGGCATAGCATAGTCGGACTGTACGTCGTTGTCAAACAGCCCGTCGATGTTGGGGTAAGCAAAGACGCTAACGAAGTTCTCAAGATCCAACTTCACCCTATTACCGCCGATCCCTTGGTAGCGCGAGGTGATAGCTTTGAGGTACTGCCAGCCATCTGGTCCCTTTCCAGATGCACCACGGTGCTCGTGTTGAGATATCGCAACAACGTCCTTTCTTTGCAGATGCTCCGTAAAGTCACAAAGTATAATTTCGAAGCCAGCCTCCATGCGCAAGACGCCATCGATCTTATTTTCCCACAGTGTTTTGGTTAGATTGCAAAGACCTTCTGCGCGCTGATATTCGCCTGCCATAGGGCTATCCAAGTCAGTGAGATTAAGGAGTAGCATGTCTTGGGTATCGAGTGTGCCATTAGGAGTCTTTCCAGCGGAAAGGCCATCAAGGTATAGCAGGCGAAGGTTATGTTTTGGTGTGTAAGTGTGTAAGTAGCCGTACTCGGTGCTATCTTTCGATGCGTGTGAGCTCAGTGGCTGCTGAGTGTCGCTTCTTTCTCCACGATGTGCAGGAGGTTCACTATTAAGTCGTTCATAGTGGTTAAGATCATACGTCGAGGGACGTGTTCGTGATCGCTCGTGGGGTGGTGGCCGTTTCCAAGGAGGCCATGCCGGCGTCACTCCTGGGAGTTTTGAATCAGCAAATCGCGCAGCATCTGAGTGACGTTTCCTACCATCATCCATCATTGGAGATGGTTTTCCGTTATGTCGTCTGTCCGGTTCATCTACTCCATAATGAGGTCGATCGTTTGGCGGGCCATGCCCTTCTCCTGGCGGCGGTCCCCGATGAGGCCGTGCGAAGATGAGTGCGTGCTCTGGTTCGAACGCCAACCACTCTGTCCCGGATATCTCTTCTTGCTTCGAAGTTCCGTGGTAGAGCTCTGTCCCAGCTGGTACTGTGGCGAGGAAGAAAGACATTCCATTGTGATTAAGTGACGAACCCCATTGTCTCATGGACGAATGAACGGCATTGAAGACATGGTTTGCATTAGGCACTTCCGGAATTCTGTTTGTAGCATGCGATATAGGAAGAACAAGAACGGAGAGTAGAAGAACAGCCAAATGCTGGAGATACATTGTGTAGTAGAGAGACTTTCAAATCCCACCTTTAGGCCAGAATGAAGGCAGTTGCTTATTAGCGATCCTCGCATAACATTCTCTCAAGCAAAATCTGTGAACTACACCGGGTATGAGTTTTTCAGTAGCATACGCGTTCGCGATATCACGATAGTGATTCGTGTCGAAAGTGACGCGGCTTCAAAGAAGTGTTGCGAATGCACGCCGATTTCGGCTAGGGAGATTAGATAAGATGTCATCCTGTGATTGGCCATGGAATTATCTACAACCAGACAGTCGTCCTCGCGTTTCTTGTCATCAACATGAACCCAGATTCGCATGATACCGCATTTCTGATGGACGGTAGAAAGATGCACGGCGAATTTTCGCCGTGCGAGGTTGGCGGCTGGCTCACAATGGCATCGGCCCGACTGGTACACAGGACTGTGGCCCGGCTGCATGCACCCCCGGTGAGACCATTCAGAGGACTCCATGTAGCGCCCTCAGATCGGCGACGTTGGGTTGTAATGACAGCGCAATATGCACTTCTTCGAGACATATGCTGCGGGGCGGAGTTGGTGTTCCAGATCACAAATTTCTCTTCTTGCACCTTCCTTTGTAGACAAGATGCAGATGTCTGTGCCATTGTGCATCATCAAAGCGTTAGCTCGCTTGTCTGCAGGCGCAGAAGTCGTTCGAGGTTAGCATTCAGGAACCAGTGCGGCTATTCCGCACTTCACGTGCGAATCCCGGCCTTTTCCGCCTCAGACCAGCGCCACAACCTCACTACGGCTTGATGGCTGGCAGAGCGCGGAATTGCGATAGATGGAGCCGTCTGCCTGGCGCCCGCGAGTCAACCGGGTCGTTCGATGGATTGGACAGGTTAACACTGACTCGCTATCATTATACCCGATGGCAATAGGTGCACTGCGATTTGAAAGGCATGTGTCAGCCTAGGAAATGTGGGTTCTAGTGGGTATTAGCAGTATCGACGGGGCCTCTGTTCTTGCTCTGGAGTTTCGGTGTTCGGTGTCTTGGAAACAGAGACAAGCGAGTGCGTCATTGGGCATGGCGTGGTGTGTTGGTCGGAAGCAGTGACATGGACGCGGTTCGTCAAGTGTTGGAAGACTGCACGGTGCAGCCATCGCATTGCCTTCCCAAAGCCGTTGATCATCGCCAGGGTCCAAAAGATGCATGCTGGGATCCCCATATTCATGCACGGTTGACAGCTTGGCCAGACTGTTCGAGGTGCAGATGGACCGGGAAGGTTGGAAGCATTCGGACAATAACCTCTCGACTGGAAATGATCAGGTCATCAAAGGGCTGTTCAACCCATACCCAGACATGGGGATTGCGTGTTTGAGAGCACACGAGCTCTGCACGCATGCCGTGTGCGCCGTGCAACAGCCCTCCCGATGAAACGCGCACTAAAAAGCAAAGGGCCAGGGCTATATGCGCTTAGCGACCAGGTTAGAACGGATTGTGGGGGCCATGTAAGGGCGCAGAGGAGCGCAGACTGAAGAAATGAGGGTTCGTTTGTAGCGCGACCCAGATCGACCCTTCCCAGCAGATAAATAAGCTACTGGAGAAGAGTGGAGTACACTAGCTCTCCATCGGGCCATGGCCATTCCCATTATTTTCACCGGTGGGACAGGGGACAAATCGACCTAGATCTCCTGCATGAGTTTGACACCTTGACAAGTCGCAAAGCTCGCCAACCACAGTACACAGCGACCTCGTGGCGGCACAGTCAAACCTCCGACGGTCATGGTCAAGCGAATCCTTCTCACGGCCTGTAATCCATCCGGACGGCCGTCATCTTGTGCTGTGTGACTTGGACCCTTGTCTTCCATGCCGTCGCCCTGCCGCGGCCATGAAAATCGCGTGTTTGGCTGCTTAACGGCCGCATCGAACGGCGCGTTGTCAGGGCCGCAGGATTGCCGCCCGGAACATATGCCGTAAGCTCGCACATGTTCAGCTTGTAACTGGCTATGCAACGGTGCGGTAACTTCAGAAACTATTGGACGTAGCCGCTTTATGATGTTGTTCGTGCACTAGCGTGGCACAAACACCAGCGCAGCGTGACGCACCTTTGTCACGAGCAACCACCATGAGTTTTTTTTTTGATCGATGTATGCTCGGAGTCCGCGATGGGGTCGACCTCATCGTGCATACGTTCCTCTACCGTATGTAAGCTCGCGGGATGGAACCGTTTGGGCGCCCTGCTTTCCAACCTTGGAATGCATGTGATGCAATGTGACTGGAAGCCGTAGTAACAGCCCTCATCTAACGTAATGTGTCCTATCGATCCATCGACATGCACGTCTGACTGGAAGCCATGCATGTCCCAAATTCTTGAAACGGCTTGGCTTGTTGCTGAACCATGACGATAGCCACCATCGCGGAAATAGTCTCCAGCCGCATAGCACCGCCATGTCGTCGGGTGACATGTCTGTCGGAGCTCGCTGCGAAATAAAAACACTTGCGGCATGGCTTCGTCTAGTCCGTAGTGGGGCCACCATCGCTCTCGATCGCTGAACATACCATATTCGCAATCCGATCATTTGCTAGACGGAGCAGAACGCCCGCCAATAATCCTTGCGCGGTGAGCACAGAGATGATTCGCGACGACGATACAGCCACCCTGTCACAGGGTCCCGGCCCACATGAGTGGATGGCACCGCAAGTCAGCCTTGTTAAGGCAGTAAGGCCTCCCACTAACGAGCCGGAGTCGCAGACCATTAACCCCCGACCATGTCGACATCCTGGCGTGACAATCCGTGGTAGGACTGGTGTCGTGCCTACAATGTTGTTGGAAAGTAGCTTCGAAGCACCTGGATGACGTAGTCTTCGTAAAAATGATCAAGAAAATGAGAGAATGCGCAGCGTCGTATTGGTCAGGAATTGGGATTGAGATAGTGGTCGCTATTCAACGTCACTCGTACCAAGCTAGTGTAGGCAACAGCAGCGCCATATGCATCTATCCACACCAATTCCCAACAAGCGTTCTAACCGTGCTGTGTCCTTTTCGAATGATCCAAATGACTCTACTCGATACCTAGGTATACTCTAGTTTGGTGAAACGCCATAGCAATGCAATGATGCAGACAATACTGCGTTCGTAGATGAACAGGAATGCGAATGCAAAAACAAACAGGGTATCATGAACGAAAGTGAAGTGTTTATAGTCCTGGCAGCCCGTGGCCTTTCGTTGTCGGCGGGTCTCCAGTTTTTCCGCCTTCTGCGCTGCTAGCGAAGGTTTACGGCGACGAATCGAACCAGGGCAGGAGATACAGACTCTGTAAACGCTGAAGCGATCCTTTCCGAGACGACACAGTTGGTAAGTGTATCAGAAGCACGTTGTCTAGGTGGAAGTCGTTGAAGACTTTCTAGATGCTTTGAGATGAATTCTCTTGACGTGATCTCTCTATAAAAATCGTTAGCGACGTTCGATGCTGTGTGGGAGGGAGTGCGTATTTACCATGTTGTCCACACGACTGAAGACCCTGTCGCATCCTTCCCAGTCACACAAGACACCCGGGTTATGCTTTGCCTCATGTCTTGCAAGATCCTTTTTACTCGAGAAGCCCCCTCCTGTTGATTGTGGGCAATCGCCATGACGGCAAAAGAAAGACTTTGTGTGTCTCTTGTAGTGCTTCCTTAGATCGCAGCCCCGAGTGAAAACTGCTCTTGATGTGCATCCTGGGAAGGCACAACTCCACGTACCGTTCTTGTTCGGAATGCCATAGGATCGAAGGTCTGGCGACGAAGGAGAAAGTGATCGCGAGAGGGCTGGTGGTGATGTCTCTGAGGGGACGTTGGAAGGAATGCCACGGCCTGTGGATGACGATGTAGAGTGCGATCTTGACGGTCGAGGTGCGCCAAAGGACTGTGAGAGCAGCGTTGAGTCATGCGCGAGCATCGGAGGAGATGCCATTCCAGAGAAGGATGGGTAAGAGTACGACGTTACTTGAGGTAACGGTATTGACGAGGGTTGTGTCGACCAGAGTGCGTGGGGTGGGTATGGGGAGTCCATGACCGGTCTATAGTCTTGTGGTGGTGTGTACATTGCTGTGTGTCCTGACATGGTCGTTGATGGTCGGTGTGCCATGTGGTGTAAGGGTGGTGAGTACATGATGCTGGGAGGTGATTGACATGTGCTGGAGGGGTACAAGTGACCCATGCCGTCGTCTGGCGCCATGAGCGCTAGTTCTGCTTCGGAAGAAAAGAAGGTCATCATGGGTAGGGCGAGGTGGTGTAGTGTTCGAGAGTAGTTTGCAGTATTGCGGAAGTATATCAAGAGGGGATATCTGGCGGTCGTTAAATGGCCGCAAATCGAAGCCAACGCGGGTTGTATATCATGCAAAGAATAGGCCAGTGCGTCTAAGCGGGAAGTCCAACAGATGGGTGAGAATGACCAGTCTTAAGGCACAGACCCAAACTCTAGGGATTAGGGTATGGTAAGGCTGCTAGTCCGGGGTGTACAGGATTAGCCCGGGAGCGCACTAGGGACCACTCCACAACGGTAAGGCTGGGGCGTGAGACTCGTCGAAAAAGCGTAGCGGGCAGTGGCGGTGTTGTGATGTCTTGCAGTGCCTGAAACTCCACTCGGCCCTGGAGGACGGCCTGAAAATGACCAAGTTAGAACTTGCAAAATGCTGAGCGGTCGACCATGTGGCATATACTCCTCAAGGTAGATCCGGGGCGCAGACGAAGCTTGTAATGCTCTGCTGAAGGATAGATGGCTCTGTCGGGTCAGATATCCGACGAGGGAGTAGTAGCTACTGCTTGTCATGACGGGACATGGGTAATTTGGCTAACGCTTGTCGCGCGCTCGTCCCAATGAGATACCGTCCCATAGTTCGTGGTCCCAGTTCAGACCAGGTGCATAATCCCTTCACAATTGCGGTGGAGAGCGAGTGAGCCTCGCGGGCCGGCTAGCTAATCCTTGTGGGTGAAGGTACCGCCAACATGGCGACCGCACCGCTCTAGCGCTGGTCTGAGGAGTGGCCTACTAGGGCTAGTCTACTGGGAAAGCTTCATCCATTTCGCACTCGCTTGTGAACGACCCGTTAAGGAAATAATGCGATACCTAGCCAACGGCTAACAGCGCTTCGGTTGCCAGCATTTAATGGGATCGTCTCATCTCCAGGCTTTGATGAACATGGTATCTCGAGGCCGACATAGCGATGAGTGCTGAGCGCGACCACAACGAAAGCCACACTTTAGACTACGCCTAGTCCCACGGGCTGTTGGACCGACACCAGAGGCGGTAACAGATGAGGGGCAAAGGCGCGCTCTCCATGGCTTTGGAGATGATGGCCTGCCGATCGCAGCATGGTAGGATAGCGACGAAAATGAGTCGCTTACGCCGGCAAAAAATTTGGGCGTAGCGCATGGGGGGTACGCCCCGCGCTACTCTTGGGCCGGGAGCCGTGAGATATTTATAACCCCTGCAGCATTGAGCCCTGCGAGCAACATACAATCAAGAAATCATAGGGCAGGGTCTGAGTAAGCGACGTTTCAAGCGGTCTGTCAAATGGTCCAGTGTCTGCGGATAATTCTACTTAGTATTCACCGGCATTCTCCCTCCAGTAACAATGTCGCAACCTGTGACGGGCGGCCAGTGTTTGCCAAGACAGCTCCTGACAACAACGGTTTGATTACTTTCCGAATCACGACTCGTCCTGGTCAACTAGCTCAGCTGCGTAGCATGCAGTGAGCCTGTTGTTTTCGACATGGCTAAAGGGCGAAGGACGAAACATGACCAACGAGCGTGAGGGATGAATAGATGGATCCACATGCTGGCCAAAGCCAACGACAGTTTTCGAAGCGCCCGTTGTTCCAAAGCGGTTAAACTTGGTCTGGAAATGCTAGTACACTGTTGTACCTGATCGAGCTTTTTGGTGACAATGAGGTACACCGCGTTGTCTTCGGACCGTCGGACATACGCCATTTTGTCCGAGACTTGCGTATACACTTCGGAGCAAACGGTGGTAATGCAGACTCGGAGAACTTCTTCCCTAATCATGAAGGGAGTCCAACTGTCAAAAGTCGGATGGCCCCATTTCAACACGGGTAACGCCCGTGTAATAATGGCATATCCAGGCGCCACCCGGGTTGTACCGTTAGCAGCAGTCAGCATGCGTTGCCTGGCGCTTCTGCAATATCTACTAGATACACTATAGGTATACTCGATCAAAACATAGTTGGGTGTGAAGAAAGGCAACACAGACACTGTATGACTCTATGTAATGCCCCCTTCAAACAAAGGAGAAGCCCTGAAAGATTAAATCGCTTTCGCTGGCCAGCAATCGCAGGAGGTTTGAGTATAATGCGTTGCAAGAGATGACAAATGTCTCCTGTGATGGATGGCTAGCACCTTACTCGAAGAACGCCTTCCATCCTTGATCCCACCTTCCGCCAAGTGACTGACGGTTAAAGTCAGGAGCTTGCGTTGCGCTACACCTGCAACTCTTTCGATCCTCCGGAGAGTTCCTTCGTCACTTGCATAGGTAGCTTTGTTGCCTAGTGATGTGACAACGCAAGAGACATTGCCACCTATGGCCGCGCACCGGCGCTGCCTATGACCCTGAATGGACCAAACACCAACAGCTCGTATGTTAGCTGGCTCGCAAGCGCTCGGAAATGAACAGCCCCCCACCAATGCACTGCGTCTTAAGCTGAGCGAATCCAACATGCATTAAATTGATGATTCTTGCTCATCCACTCACGCTATGCTGTAATTAAGAGTGTAAATGGGAGCATCGCACACTAGGGCGAGGCAGATTTCGTATCCAAGGAAGAATGAAATATCATTTCAGTAAAATTTGAGGCCAACCGGAGACTCTGGAAGGTCGAAAACATCTTCTAGCATCTAACTGCGACATACCCCTTCTTCTGAGCAAGGGAAACTGGCTCAACCTGTCATCCAATGCCATCACTGCCCTAATGACGATATCCACTACAATCGATCTAAGAGGCGATGATTAACATACATGTAAACGAAGGATTCGATCTGTTCTCAGGCTTCCTACCACCATTTTTCTTTGAGAGTCATGCGTAAGTGATATCAACGTTTCCAGATCCCATGTTCGAACAGTGTGATATCGGTCCGAAGCCGATCATAAACTGAGTCTAACCGCTTCGAGGATCCGATACGATTGGACGGTACTGTAAACCTACAAGGGGGGTATACAACGGTTCTGTATCGGCGCGGTCGGCTTAGGCGACCCCAGAAATGCCGAGTATCCTCGTACGTTAGGCATCGAGACCTAACGTCCCGCATCGGTGACATGCAACGGGCCATGGGAGCTTCGTCCAGTACTCAACAACGGCAACACCCGAAGGCATCTACGGCAGCTGCTGCAGCCACAAAACCACAGCTCTGGAGTCACACATCTGCCAGTATATCATTGGCCGTTATAAGAAACATTAATGCCTGTGCCGTCATCGTTACCTCCAAACTTGATACGATCGAACTAGCAGAGCATCTTCTGTCATTAATTTCGACAACATCTAAAATTAGGCATCGCGACGTCGCTGAAGATGTCATTTCAAAGGTCGTGAGAGATCGGAAAGAATGTCGAGGTGAAACGTGGCAGTGTATGTCTTACACAGCCTCAATCGCCCACCTACAGATCTGCAATCGCCGACCTGCGGACCACCAAACGCCGACCCACGAATTCCCCAGCATTCATCTCCACGCTGAGTATGACGCTAGGAACATTTCCTGCATGGGTCGGCGGATTTGCGATTAGACGTCACGGCTGCGTCGTCCCAGTGGATAAACCAGAATAAGCAGCAATGATGCGGGAGGCCTAAGGTGCGAATTGCAAAATCATATCGCAGGGTGCCTGAACACACAGCCTTGGATCTGTAATTAAACTACACAGAACACTGTTTAGAGGCTGTGTTCATGCTTCTTTCCAGGACTAAGTTGAGTCAAATTTCCAGCATCTGAGAGACATGGACCACATGCGAGGCGGACAAAGTGAATCGAATATGGTGGTTCAGTGAGTCCCTATTTTTGGACGACATTGAACACGGAGCAATTTGTGTGATAGTCAGGATCTGAATGATAGCATGACCTGAGGCGGGCAGTATTTGTAAGCTTTAGACAAGATCCGCGATGCCAAAGTACTCGACTGCGATCTTCGTTGATACGTACAGCTGCTCATTGCTCTCAGTACATGAGCTACATCTTTAGAAGCAACTTCTCTCGAGGTTTGATGTTGATCTAGGCATGTCATCTTCCTGCCGTTGTCCATTCTTTCACCTGTCGGATGTCCATAACCTTCCCATCAGCACCATATCTCCCTTGCGCGTCCCACCAATCCCTCTTGACGCATATCTCCGGTCGCCACCTCATCGCCTTTCTCATTTTTTCTTCGCTCTTATCTTCTAACAAATCTGCAACTAGAGAGCCAATTGCAGGACATGCCATAAAACCGTTTCCAGAGCCCCCAACTGCTACAGTCAGGTGCTGCAGATCGGGGTGCTTGTCGATGAGAAAGATACGGTCAACAGTATCTGCATCCCAGCACATACGTGCGAAGCTGAAGTCCCTTTCTGCAAACTGTGGCAATGTCTCAGAAAGAAGAAGACGCATACGTGATGCTGCTTCTTTAGGAATTTGTTGGCGTGCGAATGGGATGGAATGCATCTCTCCATTATCATCGATGACAGGGTTGATGTATCCTGGATGTTCATCGCAGAGCTTCATTTCATGTCTCTCACCATCCGGTTCAATAAAAAAACCTCGATCCACACCATAGAGGACAGGTAAGTTCCGGCATTGCTCTGCTTCTTCGGCGGAGAGTGGGATGTGTGCGAGTGTCCACGCTGTGGGTCGAAGCTGTCGCTCGAAGTCTAGGAGTAGGTCGCTGTTCGCACCAGCCGACAAGATGGTTTGCTGAGCCTTATGCTCTACACCGTCTGTGGTCCTCGCCCCCAGCACTGCGTTCTTGTCTGGACTATAAAGGAGCTCGCCAACCCTTCCTTCCATGCTACCAGTCACAAACTGCACGCCCAATCTAACAGCCTCTTTATGCATAGCCCTCAAAGCCCCACTAGCGAACACCCACCCTGCAGCTTCCTTCTTCCAAAAGCCCCTCCAGCCTGGGAAGTCACCTTGAAGCACTCCTTCGGGCATTGTCCTTTGGAAATCATGCTTTGTGTTCAAGGCCACAGGAAGTGTCTTCTCGCCTTTGGCATACTCTATACATCGCTCAAATGCTTCATCGCCCACGGCGGCCATGATAAAACCGGTGTCGTGGTAGAAAGGCGAGAAGAGGGGATCCGTTTTCCATGCTTGCATCGCAAGCTGGGTCAGCCGGTTCCAGAAGAAATCTTCTTCGGAGTCGGAGTCGGACGGCTCGTTGCTCTCTTCCGCGATCTTGTTGAGATCTTCGCCGGCAGAAATGGCAGAGGGGAATGGGTTGCCGTCAACGACTTTGATGGAGGTGTGACCACGGCGAGCGAGCTCGAGGGCAATGGAGCACCCCCATGTTCCAGCGCCTATAATGAGGAAATCGCTACTCGTCTGCAGCATGATGAAAACGTGAGGTGGTGTATATAAGCTGCTCTGGGGGCCTCATTGTGTGTGTTCTTGCTGGCGCCACCTTCCACTTTGAGACCCCCCCGCCAGAATCTGGCGGGAAAGGCGTCATCGACTGACGATGCTGAGCTCGTCCGATGCTCATGTTTCAATTGCACCTACCTAGGCGACTACGGCATTCATGACGCTCTCGCCGAGCTGGAGCCGCAAAACGCGTGAGCACGTGGAGATGGGCACGCTATCTCAAAACGGCCGGGATCCCCGCGGCGAAACTTGTTCGACGTCACTTTCAGGCCAGAGCAACAACCTCGCGCGCCTTGATGTTCCGCATACACCCTGTGATACCGCGCAATACCTGGCGAGTGAATACAGTCGCCAGACAATGGAACCAGACACGACTAGCTGCGAAGGCGGCGGCGGCCACTCCTAAGGGCGGGCGCGTCGGCAAGGAGAAATACTGGAGCGACGAGAAACTATCAATAAGCCACAAATATCCATTGAGCCTAGCTGTCGCGAAGGTAATACACCCTGACAAAGAGGTCAAAACGAGGAGGAAGAAAACGCGAAATGAAAAGAAAGCGGTAACAACGGGAGGCATCCACGTCAGAACACAGATCGTAAGTCCTGACCTATGCGGTACGTCAAGTCCCGAATGTTTCTTCATAGAGGCGAACTGACACGAGTTACTGCCAGACGACGTATTCAAATATGTCGGTCACGAGTTAGACAAGTACAAAGGTTGCGACATCCTCGATATCAATCCTGGCGCTGGGCTCTGGTCGCAAAAGCTGCACCAATACCTCCAACCGCGAAGCCACGTGCTCCTCGAACAACGCCATGACAAGTTCAAGGAATTTCTCGACCCTCTCCTCACGGCGCCCGGCTCCAAGTACTCGCTCGTCGACGGAGATCCAACCGTACTGCAGACATACCGCGACTTGGTGACAAATGGCGTATTCCCGTATCAGACCGTGCTGGATGCCGAAGACCCCCGAGCACAGGAGCCAAACAACACGCTGCTAGTTACAGGCTCCCTCGTCTGGGACCCAACACTCCCCGGTCTTGGCTTTGACTCGATGGCGAAACAGCTCGCCTACCACTTCAGCTCCGCCGCATGGGCGAATGACCTGTTCCATGCCTTTGGACTCGTGCGCACATTATTCTGGGTACAAAACAACGATTACGCTTCTATTATTCCCGAATCTATCGGTATCTTGCAGAAGACGACTCGTATCATGGAGATGACACAGAACACGAAACTCTTTGTGACCGCAGAGCGCGCCCCACGCAACAAGGGTAGAGCTTCTTCGGGCCGTAACCCGCAATATGAGATTGAGACTACCGTCCGTGCTATGGCGAATGGAAGGAATCACGGCATAGAACTTCCACCACACCGACGCGACAACATTCATGATTTTGCTACAGATATTGAGCGAACATCCAACGGCACAGGTATAGTCAGCCATGCTGAAATGGAGGAATATCTCCGCGACCAACACCTAGCCGGCAAGAGCGCCGTTGGTCTGCTTCCCTTGGGCACCATCGAAAACTACGAAGCATTGAAAGACATTGCGGAGAAGCATCCGGAAATAGAACTATTTGTTCCAGCGGAGGAAGCTGCTACAAGGAAAAAAAGACGAAAAGTACCTCTTGATCACCCCTACAAGGCCAAGATGAGAATCGCGCACAACTTTTTCGCTTCTCAACAGCAGGCATATAAAAACAAAGCGTTGGCATCGGCCATTGCAGACATTGGCGAAGAAATGTACAAGCTCGAATGCGAGATCCTCGGCATGCAGGATGGCCTTGAGAAGGATTCAGCAATGGCTAGGTTAGCCGAACTGAACACGAAGTGGGATCAGGGCATTCAAAGTCAGAACGCAAACTACGCCATGGCATCCGTAGCAGAACTCGATGACCGTATCTCCATACGATCGCCATCTTCCTTCCACTTACAATGGGACACCCGCCCTTACGAACCTTTCGTGATGCGCAACGATGAAGTCTGGCCTCAGAATCGCCTGTCCCTTGTCTTCTCCGAACCCACTCCCAAGCCCGTTTCCGAATTCCCCGACTTCCACAAATGGGTAACAGACTTTATGTTCGGACTTTTCGCACATCCCAAGGATGGTGTCAATGCTGCCCTCGACAAGATGCAGCACGGACTGAGCGATATTATAAACGAGTGCCCTACCTTGAAGGACCCGGAAAAGGGTGGCCGATTACAAATGGAACATCTTAGGGTGAGGATGCTGACGACCGAGATGATCATCGAGCTTGTGAAAGCGTACAAAGATTGGCCGTTCAAGGCGCCGGGCAGTGATCATAGTGCTTACTTTAAAAACAAGCATGTGGAATCTGTGACCGCTGGGTTTCATGCACCAGAGTCTCTTTAGAATATGTTATTGAACTTCAGAATCTGTCAACTTTTCTTTTCACGAATGAAGAAGATAACACAATCGAAATGAATGCGCATGACGTGTGGAGTGCCATTGACGTAAGGAGGCTAAGAGACGTGACGATTTGGAAAGAAACACGTACGCAGCGGCAGACTATTCCCATTGCATGGGGAGGAAGATGAACGACTTTGAGGAAATCGGTATCAAGGTGACTTGCTTTCTCTCGAGCTCTAGCAATGCACTCAGAGATCTAGCATGCGACGATGGTGGTCGGGGTGAACATGAGGCTGATGTAAGTTAGCATGGCTTCTATCAATAGATCTGACTCAGGCATGACCGACGGCGGTGTGAGTCCTGCGCTATCTGGACTACTCAGACTTTGTAATGCCATGAATGTAGAAAAGCTCTGGTACAGCCTTTGGGGAACTCCAGAAAATGAACTGTTGGCGCAATGGAAGCGTTCTCCCTGCTCACCATTGAAGCCAGAATGAGCAGAGCAGAAGAGAATGACATATCGTGGTTCAATTCGATTAAGCCAGTGCTCAGGTAATCGTTTTAATACTCGAGAGTCAAGATCTAGTTCTGAGCACCTTATTCCCAACTCTGAGTGATGTCATCGTGAACTTTGTCATCTATCGTTTCGGTATCTCATCCTTCAGGTAAGCCCAAGATGCGCACATAACTGTGACGAAACTTCTACAGAAATAGAAGTGTCCTGTTGCGGGACTTGCCAAGCTAGTAGACTTGGTACCACAACTAAGTATGTCGAGCGGCGATTAAGTGACGAAATAAGATCTTTCGCTTTTGGGTCTCGATCATGTGGTACATAGCTCTAAATGCTTGTCTATGTAGAAATGGAAATCCGGATCGAGTGTGAGCGTATTTTCATCGTATCCTGGGGTTTCTCACCAAAGTGGTACAGTTAGGCTACTGTCCTTCTAAGAAACCGCGTTTGTCAGGTACTGTGGATCAGCACCCACGGCACGCGCAAGACGCCCCTGAACTTCCCATATGTTTCTTTCGGGGATAGGTCTTCTGGTTGAATGCCACCATCGTTCGGCCACGCTATGGAAATACGCAGGTAGATCTCGTCGTGACTGTGCATAGCAGCTTTCGCGTCTTCGTATCATCGTTGCAATAGGTCAAAATGTCGATAACTCCGAGGCACCAGTAGATTCTGATTCTGGTAGGCCCCACGCTGCGGCGTCATCGCAAACACACTTTCCTGATGATTATTGATAGATGAAAAGCAAGCCGAATGTTCGGCGCAAGCCGTCGCCGAAGGCCCTCGGCCTCGTGTACCACACAAGCTGCAGGCTTGCATTTGACAGCGTCCACGATCTGAGTGGAGACGATCTGGCTTTTGTCCGATACAAGAGCTGCGGGATGTCTAGCGGCAGCGCCCGTCGAAATTCAAGGGGAATAAATTGATGGTGTGGCATTACTGCAGGAATCGATGTACAGGGTATGAGGTGCTTTAGACGCGTCATTGAAGCGCCAGACATCCAACGTCGCCGATATGCAACTCGGAACAAGGTGACTCGGATGAGATATCGACGCCACCTCAGGAGTGTATCTCGGTGGTGTTGGTGGATGGATCCAACGAGGTGAGAGAACACGAAAAGGGGAGACATAGCTTGGGCGGAACTAACCACGCTAGTGGATGAAACAAGCCTAGCCTCTTTTTCCTTGTTCAGTGGCTTCGACGCGACTTTCCCAGCTACCATCATCACATCACCCCCACTCTCGCGCTCGATCTGGCATTAAAAAAATGTCCGGAGCAGACAACAACCCAAGGAAGCGGAAAGCTGAGCCTCGCGAACGGCAAGATGGCGACGAGAAAAGAGCTAAGGTAAGTCCTTTTCTTCGTGCGACTGTCAAAACTCCGACCGTCCTTGCAGTCTTGCCCTTACAGTTCTATTTTCGTCATGCAGCTGCTGCCGTGATCTTTATCAGGCTGATGTAAGACCTCAGGGTAAAAGAAACTGGGATATGCCCCGTAGGGGTGGGATCCAATCTCGTGCTATCAAGCCCGGTGATGCGGGCATATGGGCAACATGCGCTATGAAGAAGGAAGCAAAATCCGTCTCTGACCTTCGAGATTTGTTCCAAGAGGTAAGAAAAACCTTAATATTGCACTGCGATCGAGTTGTACGACCGACGATGCTGATTAGTGGCAGTACGCTACTACGCTGTATGGCACGGCCGAGTCCAATGGCACGGCTGCAGAGGACAGCTCTGATTCCGAAGGAGGTGATATTGAAGCTGAGATCAAAAAAGAGCTCGCCGATATCCGCAAGCCGGCCACAAAGCCATTGTTCACATCCCTCAAGCTCGATACCCAATGCTGTAAGGATTGCCAACCATGCTTATGACAATTCATGCTGACCAATCCAAGTGATGTTCTTCAGGACACGCTCACCTATCGAACCTGTCATGTTTGTTCATAAGATCTGTCAGGACATTGCAAATGGCGCACAGCCAAAGAACTTACGTTACGTCAAGCGACTAACACCCATCACTGCAACAGATAAGGCTACTCCTCAGGGTCTTGAAGCTGTCGCGAAAGAAGTCCTCGCACCCCACTTTCATGGCGCAGATCAAATGGGGAAGAAGGTGAGTACAAGCTCCTTCTATTAGATGATGCAGCCTCGTCGTGCAAAGATCTTCGCTAATGCGCGTCGACCCAAGTTTGCAATACGTCCATCGATACGCAACAACAAGGAATTTTTGAGAGACGGTGTCATCAACACAATTGCAGCTGCGGTTGGTCCCGGGCACAAAGTCGACCTCAAAAATTATGATCTCCTTATTCTTGTAGAGATTTACAAGGTACGGTTATGCCCCCCTGTGGTAGTCACGCGTCTTAGCTGCACGGTGTGATGAGATTCTGGTAATTGCTTACGTCTGATAGAATGTCTTGGGTATGAGCGTGGTTGGGCCTGATTTTGAGAAGCTCAAACGTTTCAACATTGAAGAGCTTCGTCAGCCATTGTCTTCTGTCAAACCAGAAACCGACGATCAGTCGGGAAAGATCAACAAAAACAATAGTGCCTGAGAAGGAGATGAACGGATGTGCTGCGTGGGGTAGCAGTCTCGTGGCTAGAACGCCCAGCGCAACATTGTCCACAAACCGAATAAACCTCCGATCGGGGCCACTATGGCTTGCATTGATGGTTACCCTTGGGATGAAGCAGACGACTGGTGAAACATCGGAGGAGGTACAACAGCTATTCAGATGCTGACCTGAGACCCAGCGTTCTACTGCGACTCGTCTCCGATCTGTCGGGTGTATATTTTAGGGCTTGCACGGACCGCCACCATTATGACGGAAGGGCGTCGATGGTGTGGAAGTAGTTGACTGGCCAGGTCCTTGTAACAGATTGCGCCGAGCGAACGGAGGCCCCATACCAGCCTGACGTTGCGCTGATCACAACATTCCGCTCTCTCACACCACACTCATGTTCACGTGGTCACTTACCGTCTCTCAGGTTCCATCAGCATGTGCTATCGAGAGACGTTAATCATTGATGCATCCTTGAACCTTGCCTCTGCATAGCCAATCATGACACGCGATAGGCGACATTCTTACCGGACGCCTAACCGCTTGTAGGTGCTCTTAACGAACGGTGAGAACGCCAGCCTGGACGCCTCTCGCGTCCTTCTCCGCGTCCTTCTCCGGCTTTGCTAGTCTTATTCGCTCAGAAAGAAGGCGCTTGCCTACAAGCTCCGTACACGCATGAATGACTTTTGCTTTTCCGCTAAGCAGGGGATAAACGAGAGGGTAGTCGAGGTGGCTTATAGAATGATTGGAATTTGTAGAAGTGCTACTATGTGTCGACTGTGATGCGAATCGGTTTGGCCGAACGAAGGAAATGGTTTCATCAACTGGAATTCAGCATACTCGGTCTTGCTCGGTCTGGCGTTACGATGCTTTTGCTTCCCGACGTACATCGGAAAATCTGTTGCAACCAGATCGATCTATGTCGACACGATGTAAAAGGAACACTATGAGAAGTTGTTCATGTAGCATCGGGCCATTCTTAATGCTTAGAGAGTCCCTGACATGCAGCAGTCCACAAGCTCCCGGCCTCCACTTTCGGATCACGCTAAGCCTCGCCTGAATCTAGTACATCGCTACCCAACTCTTTATAATGCATCTTCCCCCGCTGGATGTCGCAATCTATCCCCTCACCAGTATGAGCCGTGGTACGTATGCTCTAAAGCACGCTCGGCCCTCTTCGTCAACTTCATCATCTTCGTCGTCTTCATCAACATCTTCACGTACTGCCATCACTACACTCGACTTTCCTAGCATACAGAGGGTGATCAGATCAGTGTTCCGATCCTCGAAAATCACTGTGCAGCAAGTTGAAGTTCTACAAAGATGCCTCCATCAAGTTTACCTCACAAGACTAGAAGATGGTAGTTGTTTAATGCTTAAATGCCCACCACCTTACAACGTGCGACTCCTCCGGCACGAGAAACACCTCCTGGAAACGGAACGGAGGACGCTCGAGACATTACACGAGTACACACAAATACCTGTCCCTCAACTCATCAAGTATGATGGTCACGGCGGACCGCTCGGCACACCATTTCTCATGATGAGCCACATAGCCGGTCGCAAGCTTTCGGAATTTGCGCCGTATCTTACAGCCAGCGAACGAAGTTCCATCGACCAAACACTGGGTGTTCATGTCCGCGCTCTCACTACGCTGTCAGCAACCCAATTCGGCATGACACACCGAGTCTTCGCCAAAAAGGGCAGCAATTCCTGGCGCGAGGCCTTCCTCGCTCTCCTCGAAGCAACAATCCGCGACGCGGAAGATATGCTCGTCAACGCACACTCTGAAAGCATACGATTCTGGGTCGGCAAGCACGCGCAATGCCTAGAAGATGTCATTGAGCCGCGTCTTGTGGCCTTGAACGTATGCGACCCCGAAAACGTGCTTATCGACGAGCGTACTAAGCAGGTCGCTGGTCTGGTTGGTTTCTCAAACGTCATCTGGGGCGATCCGCTGATGAGCGGCGGTATGGCGGATGGCAACGAAGCGTTCTTCGCCGGCTTAGGGGACTACCCGGTCAAGACTGCGAGTGCGAGGACCAGAATGCTCATGTGAGTGGTGGTGCGGGTAATTAGGGGGTCGCAGTACTAACCGTGATAGGTACAAAACTTACAGAGCAACAGTGCGAATTGTCGCACACCACTACCGGCCGCATGACGGCATCGATGAACTTGGTGCGAGGCGAGAGTTGAGCTATGCGCTCAACGACCTTGCAGCCATCTAGGCTATAGTAGCGTAAAAGGCCTAGAATGGCATTAGATTTCTCATCATGCTTTGCATCAAGCGGGTCAGGTGTTAAACGAACATACATGGCGTTACAGGAGTGCTCCAGATGTATGGGTACTATATTTTTTTTTATCTGGAAAGAGTTTGGGCTTCAGGGCGTAGAGCGTCTCTTTCTTGCACTATGAATGATCGGGGATAGCCAGAAGAGTAGTCGCTGCAGACCATTGACATTGATGGACTGTTTACGGCTAGGTGTAGCGAGCGGTGTAACATCGCTGTGTGCTATTACTGAACGCCTGGATTAGTTACGAAGGGGCGTAAAGTGCTGAGTTTCACCGCATAAGAATGAGCTTTTTGCAAGCTTACATTGTGTATTATACTCCCTCCACAATATGAGTTTCACTCCTACTAGACGATACAGTCATACCGTCCGTCGTTTACGCGTGTCTTTGCTCATTGATTGATGCTTGTCGCGTGAGCTAGTGACTGGAGAGGGAAGAAAGTGGATATAGTTACCGTCTTGAATTTGTCGTAAATGTTATTACTTCGCCTAATGACGCGACGGTACAGCAACTGGGGTAGGCGAATGTTGTGATTCGAAGCAACATCGCGGTGTCATAAGCCGCTCAGCCCCAGAAACGTGCATAGACACACAGAGAATGTAACGTTCTACCTCGATACCCATAAGTACTAATTTGCGGAGTGGGTCGAGCTACTGTGCCGCCCTTGGCCATGGATCATAAGTGCTGACGACCCATAACCTACAATTACCATACATGCCATGCATCGTCTACCCTTGCCAACACATGCGTGTCCACTGCCTACTCTAATGCTCCATCTCGCTCACCCCTGTTTCTGGAATCGATTAGTGGTAATCTGTGGAAGCACATCCGCCAATCATCTACGTCGAAGTTCGCTAGATAACGCCTCATTTGGAGTAGTGCGAGGGAGGGGTAGGCGAAGATAGACGACACATGGCGGGCCGATGTTCTTCGGAGTTGCACGTTCGTAGCTTCTCGCTACTTTTGTAGGAGATGGGTAAGAGCGGCTTAGCGTGAACAAAGTGGGTGACGACGAGGCTGTAAGCCTTGAAGGACAACTGTAATTCAGGTCTTTCCAATCATGTGACAAGTCTGTGTTCACCTGCCTTTCTATATAGATTCGGTGCCTCGCTCGCTTATTGTCATGTGCAGAGTTTACTTGTGAAGAATGACCACAGGATTCAAAGGAGATGGCCTTCAGTTTCGGAGTACGACAAGCGCCTGGTGGCGAGGAAGATAACATGGCTCGAGCTGCCACTTCCCGAAACAAGGCTTGAAGGATGATGTTTCGGAGCGACACATGATAAGAGATGCGCCAAATAGTTGTCATTACCATGAGTTTACAATTTCGCGTCAAGTCGAGTTGAGCCCTTTAGCGCATCGTCGATAGTAGACATAGCCTGGACAAGTTTTTCTTCTTGCAACCTCGGTGCAACGACTTGTACGCAAAGTGGTGTTCCAAGGTAGATCGATCGATCGAAGTCAGCCCCTAAAGAAAATGTTAGCCATACAGCAACTCGGTGTGCTTTCAGCACTCGCCAGTCAAGCGGCACTACTTACAAAGCTCTCTATTTGCCTTATCCCAGCTGCCTAATGGCTTCGTGTCCGCCACCTCTCCCTCCATATCTGCCGTTCCGAATGATCTTACTGGCACAACACCCGCCGGGTAATCCAACAGCACGAAGGAGCTAGTGTAACTAACACCATTGTAGCGGTCAATGGGCGGCACAGGATGTGGCGCAACAGGACAGATAAAGGCATCAATCTCGCCATGCTGGTCTTTCCAGATCTGCAAAAACTTCTTTCGTAACTGCTCACGTTTACCGTGGAGTTGCTGGACTTTGGGAAGCTCCATGGGCTTCTTACGCTTGAGCCGTGTGGATAACCAAGGTGAGAGAGGCTCTTTGAAGGACTCCAGGATATCGAACATTGCGTTTCCGCCCTCAACACCAAAAAGTGCGTTAGCGAGGGATTGGCATTGTGAGAAAAGTGGTGTGATATCCATCTCAACCACCTCAGTTCCGGACTTCTTCAATTTGTCTTTGACTTCATCTAAGATGTTCAGGATTGGAGGATGCGGTTCGATGACTCCATCTCTTCTGACGACACCAATTCTCAACTTCTTTCGTGTTGTGGACAAGGAAGACCATGGTGATGGCACGACATCCGGGTCCATTCCCCAGGGTTGCTGTGTTGATACTGCGGAGAAGAAGAGTTCGACGTCGCGCATAGTGTGGGCGAGCGGCCCAGCACTGGCTGGGATACCAATTTTCGTCGCTCCAGGCAGCATACCACCCTCTTGGCCGGCGTAAGGTATGCGTTCCCAGCTAGGTTTGATACCAAAGGTTCCATCGCACATGGCTGGTATCCTAATACTACCGCCAACATCTGTACCCACACCTAATACCGAGCCGCGCATTGCGATCAATGCTCCTTCTCCCCCTGAACTTCCGCCAGCGGTTACAGCGGTATTGAGTGGGTTGATAGTGCGCCCAAAGACATTATTGTGGGAGTCCAGAGCCATGAGCGTCTGGGGTACATTTGTCTTGCAGTACAAAACTGCTCCAGCGCCCAGCAAGCAATCGACCAGGACTGAGTTTTCTTCCGCTGGCTTGAAGCAAAGGGCTGCGAGACCAATAGAAGCATCGTAACCACGCACCCTAAAAGTATCTTTGAGAGAGACAGGCACACCATGCAGAGGTCCAAGAGGTGCTTTTCCTGATGCTAGATGGTCGTCAAGTTCCGAAGCTCTCTTCAGCGCATCATCGAAGAAGACCTCTGTAAGGCAATTTGTGAGTTGATGGGCAATCGCCGCTCTCTGTTTCAATGTCAGACACTAATAGGCGATGCCAACTGCGGATTCAGTAAGAAAAGACATACTTTACAAAAGGCTCTCGTTACATCAATGCACATTAGTTTCCTGGCCTTGATCGCTTCGGCCAGCGCGACAGCATCATAATTTTCGGTGATGTCCAATTCCTTCTTTGTTAGAATCCCGGACTTGTGTGGTATATCCGTATAGCTCTTAACATTGGCCTCGGGTAAGCTGCTCAGCTTCCACTCCTTTGGTATGCGTCCGTCTTGTTTTTCCTTCTTCCGTTTTGATACAGACTGCCAATCGGCCTTGGATGATAAACTTTCCTGAGACATTGCGATGCTTGAGTGTGTCGAAGACCAGCGTCGTGATGTCGCGGAGATGGTGAATGCTAGGGTAGAAGCCGAGGTATGCCACGAACGGACTAGTGCCTTGAGGGGTAGGGAACATTGATTGCTGACTCTCAGGGCATCATCGACTGGAGGCATACGAGCAGACAATTCTACGCTAAAGCAGCGCTTCTCGGCGCGAGCTATACCATACCTTCTTCCTACTCCACGGATTGCGCGCCGCGAAGCATACGCGCGTTTCGACATTGGCCTCGAAACGGCTTCCTTCCAATCATGTTCGCCATTAGCACCACTCTTCTCATAGAACAGACTCTTAATTCAGGAAAGATGTCGTCAGGTACCAAAACCTGATTGCGTAAGTAGCAGGCTGGAATACTTACCCGAAGACGGCAGGACGCCTCCTTGCGCTAGGGAAATGAAGCGTACCAAGAGGATGTTGAGAGGATGAGATAAGGATTGCGACGAGGAAGAACCACGGACAACGACCTCAAAGTCACTGCTACCGTTGGCATGATCCTATGTAGGAAACGGTCACATGTTTACGTGCTTCACATGGATTTTAGTTTGCTGACATCTGACATGACGGGGAGTCGCGATCGCGTCTGTAATCCCTGTTGCCGTCAATTGAGGGCGCGCCACAAGCGTCTCCTGCCAGCTGCCCCGGAATATTTTCCCGCTTGGCCCTGGCTGGCACCGCGACGCACGCCGTGCCCCCATTGCTAGTAGCCCACCCATTGATACACGTTGCTTCTGTACTCCTTTCTCTTCTTCACTCTTACATCACTTTGTTACCTTGTTGTCTAATTGCATACTCGCATCTTTCGCCATGGCCGCCGGTAACTTCTCACTGCCTCCGGGGCAGCACCCTTACTACCCCATTGAGAAGGAGATTGTGGGCTACCTGGCCAACAGATGGGGCACGCTGGACCTGCTGCTCATGTTCGCTGCTGGATGTGTCGCCATCTTCAGCGTCACGTATGTCATGGTTAAGCGCCTGCGGCCCAATGCCAGCACCGGTGACCTATCCACCATCATGTGGTTCGTGCTATGCGGCTGCATCCACTCGTTCTTCGAGGGCTACTTTGCCTACAACTTCAGGAACATGGGCGGATTGAACGATCTTTTTGGACAGCTGTGGAAGGAGTATGCGCTGAGTGACTCGCGTTACTTGACCCAGGACGCTTTCGTTCTGTGCATGGAGACTGTCACCGCTGTACGTACACACCGCTCCTCCCATTGCCCCAGAGCCCGACTGCAGTGACTAACGCACAACCTCATAGGTTTTCTGGGGCCCAGGTTCCTTCCTCTGCGCCTATCTCATCTCAATTGACCACCCCCTCCGCTACTCGGCTCAGCTCATCGTCTCGCTTGGTCAGTTCTACGGCGACGTTCTGTACTACGCTACATCGCTTTTCGACCACTACATCCTCAACCTCTCATACTCGCGTCCTGAACAGTTCTACTACTGGGGCTACTTTGTCTTGATGAACGCTTTCTGGATCGTTATCCCTGGATACCTCATGTACCAGAGCGTCATGGCTACATGGAGCGCTTTTGCGGCTGTCAACGATGCGGCAAGGCTTGTTGAGAAGATGGGCAAGAAGCGCAACTAGAAGAATGCTCCGTGTATCAGGCTTGTCGACACGGCTTCCGTGGACAGAAAATCACTACCGTCGGAGTGGAGGCGTGCTGGGATGGAAGTTATTATTACTATGGATTGAATGTTGGGATGGACTGCAAAAGTATTCTGGACACGATACAGGGACGCTATTTTGATACCCTAGATTTGAACGCGCATCTTGGTTCGAAGGCGCTTGATCGATAGGCTTGGATAATGCTAATAGAAGAATATGGCAACTAGATCCACAAAAGGAGAACTACCGTTCTGCTATCTGACTCTCCGCGTGTAACCCCGAAAGTGCCGATCACTCGACTTAGTGTTTACCCTAATATCGGCTTTTCGCGCGTCGTAAGCACGACCCTTGCCGCACATCACAAACAAGCCGTATACATAAGCTCTCGACAAGGTCTCCGACCTATTGGGCATGCTAGTTTCGGGCAGTAAACCTTGATATTCACAGTCATGCATCTATCAAATGCTTTCTTCGCACACTTGTGCCTCCTCGCCTCTTCAGCCGCAGCCCTACCCAAGACCGGCAGCCATGCTTCTCATCCTCTCTCCCTTCAGATGGCTCAATCGATCATTTCTCGGAACCAGGGTATCCTGGCCAGCCAAACGGACTCTTCTGCGCTTCTGCAAGCCGGGTTCGTTCAGAAGACGTTCCATCACATCCTCTCCACCTATCCAAACACCTCACTAGCACCGACGCTCGATGCTTATATCACCAAAAGTGTCGATTCCATAGTTCCTGTCGTCTCTAATGCCACACGCGATGCCACATATCCCTTGGATCGTCTAAGTAGCGGGAACGGTTTACTACAATTATGGCAGGAAACCGGAGAAGAGAAGTACAGAATAGCAGTCGAAGCACTAAGGCAAAGTGTGGACTTACAGCCTAGAAATAACCAAGGAGGACTGTGGTATTACGTCTATCCGTACTGGAGTTACCTGGATGGCATGTTCAGCCTTACTCCGTTCCTTGCGGCATATACCAATGATCTTGGCAACAGCTCTACAACAGAGACTGCACTAGAGGATATGGTCCTCCAACTCGACTTGCTATGGCAACACTGTTACTTTGAAAAGACTGGTCTTCTTGTGCACGGCTACGACGCTTCTCGCACGGCAGTGTGGGCCAACAACGTCACGGGCGCAAGCCCACATGTGTGGGGACGCAGTCTAGGATGGTATTGTATGGCGCTCATCGACACGCTTGAATTGCTGCCTCTTGCCGCCACTCATACACGGCGATACATCGAAACACGTTTCCAACAACTCATGCCAGCTGTTGTTGAGGCGGCGGACGCGAAGACAGGGGCCTGGTGGCAGGTGATGGATAGGCCTGGTCAAGAGGGGAATTATCTGGAGAGTAGTGCGAGTAGCATGTTCGTGTATGCTTTGCTCAAGGGCGTGAGGATGGGATTGTTGCCCACGCATGCGATGTCGAATGGCACTGTGGAAGTTGCAAAGAGGGCGTACACCTACATCGCCGATAGCTTTGTCGTGCATAACGGGAACGGGACGTTGGGCTGGAATGGCACGGTTGGGGTGTGTAGCTTGAACTCGACGGCTAGCTACGAGGTAAGTGATGACAAGCCGCAGGAGTCCAAGTGGATGCTAATGAGGTGTCATAGTACTATGTGGGGCAGCCGATTGTCTACAACAGCGTGTTGGGATCAGCGGCCTTTGTGCGCGCGAGCTTGGAAGTTGAGAGATTGAGCATTTAGCGTGGTGAGGACATGTGATTTTGGCGGTCGTGGCGGGCACAAAAGCAATTGTAGGACAGGAGACTAAAATAAACATGGTGATTGACCCCACGCAAAAACCTCCGGGATCAGTATCATCGGTAATTTGACCAGGCCTTGGTATACCGCGAAGGCATGCGTGGCATAAATCCACAAAACCTGTTGTTGTTCTTGCAGCGTTCTATTGCCAGGGGTGTCTTTGACTAAGAAAATGGCGGGGTTGGTCCGCAAGCCAGTGACCATCGCGATGTTCGCAGGTATCTTGGATGTAGTTGTAATGGCAGCGGATGTGCAGCATGGGTTCGATGATCGAATCGTGGGTCAACGTGGTGTGCACAGCTGCTTAGGCGAGCATGGCCTTCATGGATGTTCCCGAGGGATAGCCCAACCTCACTGGGCTGCGAGATAGCAATGTCTCAGCCGGCATGTAAACAAGAGGCTGGAGAGGCTCGGACTCGACGTCGTCTAGACCAAGAGGCTGCATAGGAAGTTTATGCTGAAGGCACAAGCACCATCGGCTTATCGCATTGCTTGTCGCCGCCGACTGGGACGTGCTGCACACTTGGCCAGCCCGGTTTTACTGGCGGCCCGCATCCATTATTGGGTCATCAAACATCACACCGTCCCTCTAGCAGTTCGCTCAGTCTGCGCTACGCTCAACCATCCCCTCTGATGGGGTGACAGCTTTCACCACCGTCATCACCACCATCACTCACCTATACACTCGCTGTCTGCATTGTTGCGCGCCCCTCCTCGCCCCTCTGCCGCCGCCTCTACGCACGCAGAGGCAGCTCCGGCGTAGCTCTGGAAACGGCCCGTCAGCCTCGACGACACAGAACACCAAAACACCAAAACACAAACACCCTCGGATCCGCGCACCGACAACCACTCCGTCCCCCGCGACGCCTGCCCGCAGCTCCAATGACACTGGGACTCGATGCCCGCTTCCCCCCGGCCCAGTGACCCTGAAAATACGGCTGGACAGAAGAGAAATGGCACGCCGGGCAAGAAGATGGGCGCGACGGACAAACAAGCAGCCATGGACGGCAAGGACTTTGCCAAGGCTATTGGCATCAACAAGCCCGCCAACGTGCGCGACAAGATAAAGCGCTGGCAGCAGGACGTCGACCCCGACGCCGCGAGCAAAGACGACGCCGGCGCATCCGCTCCCGAGACTTCGACCAAGCCTGCAGCCTCGCCCAAGCCGCTGACGACGCCAAAGACGAAGCCCCACGACGACAAACCCAACTGGAAACCCGTGCACGAGCGAGGGAAGTCGGTCGGCGCCAGTCCAGAGCGCCCGGGCAGCGCAAAGAAGACCCCCGTTCCCCACAATGAACTCGACGAGGACCTGCTCACGGCAACAGCGCCCAAGAAGCGCGTCATCAGTGATTCGCACTGGCGCGCCAAACAATCACCACCAAAGGATGCCGCTGGTCGCCCCCTGCCAAAGACAATCCCAAACGCCTGGGTGCGCCCCTCACGCATCATCCCCAAGAAGCCCCCAAGCCCTGAGCTCAAGCCTTTGGCTCCCGTCACGCCTCAATCAAACCCTCTGCTGCCCTTTGCTGAGTACATAGGCAAGAGCACAGGACAGGTGAAAGCCCAGCCGAAGCCCCGCCGACCATCCAAACCGTCGAGCTCAGAGAACGATCCTCGCCCGACGAGTAGCGGGGCAGGAAGCGGCAAGGGTGCCAAGAGTGCGAAGAGTGACGAAGCGCCGTCAGGTTCTACCTCGCCTCAGCCCGAGAAGGACAAGTCGGAGCTTGTGAGAGTCAGGCGCAGCAGACGACGCGCGCGGACATCACCACGGGCATCCATGTCGGCAGAGGATCTCATGCCCTTCACACCATGGACACGAGGAACAGGACGAAGATCCGGCTCAGTACAGAGTGACGACCCCCGCAATGTCGTCACAGTCGAGTACGCAGAGAGCTCAGCCCCGTCTATTAGCGAGAGCCGAATCACTTCGCCACGAGACGATGAATTGCGAGAGAGACGGCGCCGGCGCCGTCCGAGAAGCAATGGTGCTCGCACAGAAGACGAGAGCACCAAGCCGGCGCCAAAACCCTCACGGAAGAAGAGTCGCAGGTCCTACCCCAGGACCCAAGAGGAAGCTGCTACACCATTGATCATTCCAGCAGCCCAAGAGACGACCACTTCCACGAAACCACCGGGAAGCCGCTTAGAAGCCTGGCTCAGCAGCACGCCCGACCCCTTGGCAGAACCCAAGCCCCGACGCAGACGCAAGTCCAAGGAATCTATATCAAGTCCAGAATCCGCCTCCAAGGCCAGCAGATCCGAAGTCACACTATCCACCGACGTAACATCCGAGATTCCCGTCAAGAAGACGCGCTCGCGCCGCAGACGCAAGTCCAAGGAGTCTGTATCGTCTCTCGATCTGCCCGCTACGGTCGAAGGCTCAGAGGTTACTACCTCTACCAAGACAACGCAAGATGAGCCTACCAAGAAGTCACCACGAAGGCGCCAGTCAAAAGAATCAGTCTCATCTCTCGACCTGCCTTATAAGGCTGAGCAATCAGAAGTCAGTGCGTCCACTGAGACGACACGGGACGAACCCGTCGAGAAGCTCCGCCGTCGCAGCAGTGGTAGTGGTGGTGGTAGCAGAAGGCGTAGAAGACGTTCGAGCCGCGAGATGACCATCAACACCCAAAATCTTGATGAGGCTCTGTCTACCGTCGTTTCAGATGCCACGACCGAGACGACAACCCAGGACCAGGAGAGTGAAGTATCCGTCACCCCAACGCCCTCACTCAAGCGCCGTGGCGCAAAGCGCGGCCAGTATTCGCCCACCAAGGGTCGATCCATGTCCTCTCCTCTCCGTGAATCTACCTCGATCGATGATATACCCAAGGATGACGTTACTGATTTGGACGCTGCTTCCTCTGCGCCTTCTTCATCTGTCGATATGCCAGTACCTGATGCCATGCCTATGCCTTTGCGACCACGACAAATTCTAGGTCCACGTATGTTCCCTTCCACTGGCAAGCGCCTTTCAACCATTGCTTCGTCGCGGTCAGCGCACTCATCGCAAGCGCCAGCTTCTGATACCATTACAACCATCTCTGAGGAAGCAAGCACCGTTCCCGGAGCACCTGCATCAGAAGTAGGCTCGTACTTGAACCCGGAAACCTCGACTATTATTAGCCGCCAGAGTACCCGTCGCAGGAAGCTTGCCAGCCATGCGGATCTCATATCCGTACTTTCCATGCCCAAGGCAAGCTCAAAGTCCAAGAGTATCGTCTCTGCCCGGAGTATTCGTACTAACAGGAGTCGCCTGGCTACTGCCACTATTGACGACATAATGAAGGAGCTTACTGCTGATGAAGAGAAATATATGCGGGAGCTCCGCACCTTGGTCGATGGTGTTATTCCTGTCCTTCTCAGCTGCGTCCTTTCCAAGTCCGAATCCGCCATCGCAGCTGGCCTGTTCTCTCGCTCTTCCAAGTCAGATCCAAGTGAAGTAACCAAGCCAATCGTTGACATGGGTGTCTGTCTAGAGCGACTCAAGAACTTGCACAAGCGCGTTCCTAAGGAAGACTCCGATGCGCTTGTCTCCTGGGCTCAGAGCGCGCAGCGGGTGTACTCCGACTATATCTCCGCGTGGCGCCTTGGCTTCCAAGACGTTGTAATCAGTCTTGCACCAGCAGATGACGATCCTTTCAAGCCCGCGAAGGTCGTCAATGGACCAGAAGACGGCGCGCCATGGGACGAAGGCATGCCGCGAAACGCTGAAGGATACGTAGTCAACAGCGATGGCGAGCGTGTCGACGTCGCCTATATGCTCAAGCGCCCGCTAGTGCGACTCAAGTATCTCTCCAAGAGTTTGAAGGTATGTTGAGGTAACCTGTCCATGTTAACGCAATGCTAACATCAACCAAGGGTATCAACCACTTGAAACCCTCCGACCGAGTAGAGCAAATCTCAAAGATCTTCCAGGATCTAGTTACGGCAGCACGCAAGCGGTCGAACGACGAACAAGCCCGCCTCGAAGACGAGGCTGCGGCTAGCGTTGATCCCACTCGCGCCCGTGATCCCCGAAGCCTCGCCCCCCTTGCGGGCGTCCGGGTTGATTCCACGCGTTGCGTGCGAGCCAGAGATCATTTCGATCTCCACCTGTTCCACTCGAGTGGTCAGGAAATGAGTTGTCGCGTTGAGCTCCTGCTCCGCGACAATGCACCAGGCACAGGAGTCGGAGGTGACATACTGTTCTGCGAAGTGGACCCGACAGGACGTTGGTTACTCCTACCACCTGTCCAGCTCAGTAACGCCTCCGCACGAAATGGCGATCTGCAAGGCGAAATAATCGTCATGATTCGTGGGAAACAAAATGATGGATCAGAATGGAGTGAAGTCATGTCCTTGATATCCGAGGATGAACAGGCTGGTTTCGAGTGGGTGCAAATGCTCGGTCTCAATCCCATCCCACCTCCAATCGAAGAAGTCAGGAAAAACCAGGCTACATCCAACAATGCGCAAAGGCCGGCCAGCAGCCACGGATCGTCTTCCCTCCTTTCAGCCGCAACCCAATCTACACTCCCACAGAAAAGCAGGACACCAAGCCCACATGAGATTGACATCCCTATTGGCGAGCAACATACTGAAGTATCAAAAGTATGGCACTACGACACCCCCGATAGGCGTAACCAGTCTCGTACCATATCGCCTATCACTCCACCCAGTGGTGATGGCTCTCATATCAATGCATATGATTCAGAGCCCCATACGCCCATAGATGCTATGCAGACCGCCTATCAGCTCCTCAACGATCCTGACAGGACGCCTCGCGGTCTTGACGAGGCAGTACGAGCGGAAGGCACCGGGTCACCTTCGAGCTTGAAACGAACAAGGGCGAAGAGATTATCTAAGAACCCCACTCTTTCCCCACACTCAGCACGGCCGTCTCGCCAGATCACGCTCGAAGATCCGGCAGAGCCAGAGAAGACTAAATCGCCGGTCCAAGAGACTAAGCCACGTCGGAAGTCTACTAAGAAGCGTCCCCAAAAGAGCTACAGTGTCTGGATGCCATCCTCTCAAGTAGATGATTCCGACGAGTCCGACGAATCTTACAGTTCTGAAGAAGACAAGAGCACTGTCAAAGACTCGGAGATCTCACCACCTGGCTCGCCTCCCTCTCCACAGCGTCCACAAGCACATAGGCGAGTGTCCTCCGTTCCCTCGCTGGAATTACCGAGCATCCCAAGACAAAGGAAGTCAAGCCGTCCATCAACACCAACACAAGATGCAGAAGATGAAGAAGACAGTGTTCGGGAGGCTTCAGCCTCTGCACCACCGAAGATGCATGGAAAGAGACACGATATAATTGTCGAAGATATTGTAGAGCCCAAAACAGAGGTCGAGGAGCCACCGCCAACACCACCACACCGATCTTCTAGTCCCGCAACCCCTGTAACCCTCAAGGGAACCAAAACGCCTGTATTCACCCCAACACTACCTGGCTTCAAGAACAAGAGGCGATCATCATCACCCTTGAAGCATGAGTATGAGCCTTCTACCTGCACAGAGGAGTCAAGCGAAAGTGAAGAAGAATCTCCCTCTGAGGATGAGGTGGGCGAGGAGGACGAAGAAAGCCTTACCTCGGAGTCGTCAGAAGATGAACTGGATGACGACGTTCCCATGCCGCTCATGCCAATCGGATACCTTGGGCCACGCGGGTATCCTGGGCGTACATACACCACTGGCAGAGAAACCAGCCGTCCTGCCCCCACAGAGAAGGTAGAGAAAACCGAGAAGGTTGAAGATGAGACTAAAAAGTTCCCCAAAGTCTCACCTCCCGCATCAATCTACACTCTTCCCAACGGCACTATCACCCCATCGCAATCCGCGTCGAACACGCCATACAGAGCTGTTCCGCAGGGTTCCGGCAAGGCTTCAAAGACCATCGCATCTATCTTCGCCTGGTCTGATAATGGCCGATGGGATAGTTTGCATCCAGACGAATGTAGCATCGTCGTTACGCCAGGCAAGATCGAGGTCTACGAGATCTCGATCAACCATTCTAAGCCTTTCCTGGCCGACGGCGACGAGATCATCACTCCCGAGGGAGGTGCTCCCCTAATTGCGGTTGAGCTTACCCCTCTGGTGCCGTTGCGCAAATCGACGGCCATTGATATCTCCATTCGCTCTCCACCTACCGCAGAGTCGCGCATTAAAGCTGGCAACAACATCATGTTGAGAAGTCGCAACGCAGCTGAGTGCTCGCAACTATATGCCATGATCAACCAATCCCGCATCAACAACCCGACCTACATAGCTCTTCAGAACGCCCGCGGCCCTTACGGACAATCTAGCTGGGCCGAGGCAATGGACCGCCAGAACGCAGCTAGGACAAGCGCTGAGTCTTCTGGTTGGCTAGGTGGCACGTTGGGAAGGAGAAGCAGCTACCGCAAGTCAAGCACACGTGCTGCTTCCATCTCTGCAGCCACTGAATCGTCCGTTGGCACTATGAATTCTGCCCTCCGCTCGGCATTGGGTCGCTTTTCGTTCGGCAAGAGCGGCGTCTTCAGCATCCGCAACTCGACCCTCGGATCTCGTAGTACAGGTTCCTCGTTCGATAACGGCTCCAACTCTCGACCTGGCTCGGGCGCAACTACACCTACGGGCGATGGAATGCGAGCGCCTGGTGCACCAGCTGGCATTACAAACACCAAGTGCAGGCTTTACGAGCGAGAATCACTTAAGAAATGGCGCGACATGGGCAGCGCACGGCTAACAATCATGCTGCCATCACCCAACCCAAGCGAGCCATCGTCACCCATTAACCCACGACAGCGCGCACCTGGCACAAGAGACCACACACAGGAGCGACGCATTCTGCTCACTGGCAAGAAACATGGCGAGACATTGCTTGACGTCACTTTGTCCGAGACATGCTTTGAGCGTGTCGCACGAAGTGGTATTGCTGTTAGCGTATGGGAAGACCACATGAATGAAGACGGTGAGGTGGGTGGTGTAGGCAAGACTGGTGGTGTCTTGGGTGCAAGAGCAAGAGTCTTCATGATACAAATGAAGAGTGAGAGGGAGTGCGCATATTGCTTCAGTCTTCTGGGTAAGCTGAGGTACTAAGCCACAAACATGAGAGGGAGAGAGGAAGGACTGCACCAACAGAACGCAGCAACACACAACACGCATCCGCCATCTCGTCACTACTATCGATTTTGTGCTTTTGTACTGCGAGCAAGCGTGGCGTTCTTTTTCACGATTTACAACGGGCGGTATTTCAAGAGGGCTTTCTGTGATACCAAATTCCCTATACAACTTTCGCTTTGTAATACTGCTTCATGTTCGTTACTTTCCTTGTCCATACTGGTTTTCTTATGCATATGGATGGAGTGTTTTCTTGTCTTTGGGGAATATACACGTGTCTTTTGCGTTTGATACCAGGTGTGTATGTTTGAAATCCTTTGGTTTTTCTGAGTGTGGGAGGTATATAGGATTAAGGCCGCGTTGGGCGGGATGGGGTGGATAGATTAATGGACAGATGTGTTGTCGAGACTTTGGGTGTTCTTGACTGTGAAGTAAACAGCTGAGGTTGACGACTACGGCGGGTATACCATCACAAAGTCCAACGCCCTCTTCTTCAGCCTAGCAGCACGCGGAGGAAACCAACGAGAAGAGAATGTGGCAAGTCCTAGTTCAACATGTATCACCTCACTCGCTTCATCTACTCAAGATCTTTATCCTTGCATCCTTCTGGTGCAGTCACAGGGTTACACCTTGCAGCTAATCCTCCAGGAAGCCTGGCCACATAGTCCCAACCCCATCGACTGCTCATACCCCACGCTGGGAAATCGGTACTGACGATCTGCGCACCGCTCTCGAAAGCACTTTCCCGCATCTCCGTAGTGCGGTTCAGGATGGTATCGAGAGGCACGTCAGCACGAGTTCGGATCAGGTATCCCTTCTTCACAAGACGCTGGATCTCAGCGGTGTCACTCCCACGCGGTTCGTTGTGCTTGATGAATGCAGCATCGGGTGAGCCTTCGAGTGCGTTGGTGAAGACAGTACGGTTCTGAAGTGATGGTGCACCAGTAAGGTAGAGCTCACGAGGCGAATTGGGATCAGTGGGCTTCGGATCGTTGTCGAAGAAGAACATCAGCCGACCGCGCACGTCTTTTAGCTTCGGCCACCCATGCTGCAAGACAGACTGTTCGAGGGTGAGGCCATTCTTACGCACGTCGTCGGGGCGAATGAGCTGTTCCTTGGGGAAAACAGAGAGAATTTCCGCGTCGACGTTCAAGAGGCGTGGAAGCGTCCAGTTTGTCGCTTCACCAGGGCAGGCACCGCCTAGTTGACATGCTGGCGCATCTGTCTTTAGCTCTAAATCGATGGTAATGGGTACGTGTCTGGGATTCGCATCCGACCAGCTCTTCAACTGCTTGAGGCAGTCAACGAAGGTGTGGCAGACAGAGTCAGGGTCAAAATCTGTGACGTGGAAAACCTGCAGATTCAAAAATACGAAGTCAGTGTACGTCTCACATGCATTTCGTACGGACACAACTTGCCTTGATGCCCGGCTTCTTCAGCACATCCCCGTTGTAAGGTGTGCTTGCATTGGTCAAGTTTGAAAGTGTCCATATTACGGGAGGGTAGTATAAACCGCCCTTCTCATCTGAGTGTAGGTCGAGTTCCAAAGAGCGCACAGATTGGTATTCCAGTTGATTGTCGAGCTCCGCGTGCGAATAGTAGTAATCTTCTGGGGACGGAACATACTTCTCGAATACAGGTCGCTCGGCAAGTGAGACCTCACGATGGTAGGAGTTGTGTGTTCCGATAACCTGGATGTGGTTGAAGCGAATATCGGACTTTGAAGCCAATGCGCTTTCTGAATGTAATTAGCTTTGAGAAGCTTCTGGTAAGTAGTAAACATACGAGCAAAGAGCATGATGCTCGCGGAAGTCTGTTCTTGTCAGCAGTTGCTCGTTTCGGGGCTTCGTCCTTGATGCATACCAAAGGGCCCATCATATTGCTCGTTCTTTTGTAAGCAAAGTCCGTGTACAAGATGAAGACACTCAAGATACACACAAAGGCTGCGAGTAACAAGGCTCGGCCTTTATACGCCATCCTACCCATGCTGTTCAGCCCGCGATGCCTCGCACTAGAGCTCAGACGTTGAAGTCGTTCCCGCCATGCATCCGATTCACGCTAGCCCGTCGCGTGCGCTCACAATAGCTCGCGATTGGTTAATCGTGCCACGTGGGATGAGTGTACACGCCTCGAAAGTTCTCAATTTAGAAGGTGCAGAAATCACCGAATGGTAGTGTCGGATACGCATCGCTTCATATTTGTGCACCGTTTCGATGGAGGGTGATTTTAGAATCAACAAGCGGTAGTTTGATGGCGGAAGCGATGATGGCGACGGAGCTGTTAGGAGAAAAGCGGGGTAACACCCTGTAAAGAAAGGAGCTACCACATCTCTTGGATTGTCAACAGCATCGAAGAGGAACAGTGCAGAGTAGTCGAATAACAGAATCCATGGGCACCAAAATCTGTGTTCCGAATTGAATTCTACAATTGGTCGTACCAGGATATACTGGCTGCCACTACCAATCATGCTTTTGTCCATACTTGGCAATGAAGCCACCCACTTCAGCATCTCTTTCACCCTGCACGATTTCCAATAGCCCCTTTGCGCTTGTCTCTGAGCTTTCGACGCCGTTCTCTACTCTCTGTTCTCTATCGCCGCCCAGATCCGTTACTACAAAGCCAGGACAGTAGGTCCAGACTTTGAAACCGTCCGGCTTGAGCTGATAGTACTGGTATGCTGTCAACATATTCAGTGCAGCTTTGCTCATGCGATATCCAGAATATTTCACACCAGAGTAAGAGCCGCTGTGGTCTGAGATTGCGCCAATGCTGCCGAGGCTGGAGCTTACGTTGATGATGCGTGGGTTGGATGAATGCTTCATTAGAGGAATGAAAGCCTGGGTAATAAGTGTTGCGCCAAACACGTTGGTCTCGAAAATCGTGCGCATCAGCTCTCGGTTGGGCCATGTTTCATCTCTTTCTGGGCAAACACCAGCATTGTTGATAAGGACGTCAAGATGTCCGAAATCCTGCTCGACTTTCTTGGCTGCCGCTTCGATAGAAGTGTCGTCGTTGGCGTCAAGTTGTACCAGAGAGAGGGTGCCTTGGATGCCCGGTTTGGCTTGCAATTCTTTCAAAACAGTCCCCCCCTTCGAAAGGTTGCGTGCGCCGATGATAACATGATAGTTTGGGGAGGCGGACGCAATATAAATCGCCGTGTCCAGGCCAATACCATTCGTTGCGCCTACACAAGTAATTAAGATGAGGGGCTTAGTGTATATTTTTTGAAGAGCTGGTTACCTGTAATGAGCACGACCTCTTTCTCTGAGTAAGATGTCATTTTCGACTGGAGCTTATGGACCGTTGTAGGATGGGTATTAAGATGTTCGATATGAATTGAAGTGGACCGGATGGATTCTGGTGATGCTCAGGTCGACGTAGAACAGTGGCAAATATATATCCTGCCAACAAAGTAACACCGGATGAATAAATTCCTCAGGCGTCCAGCGGGTAAAGTTATGGATGGATTGAGTATAGTTGAGGATGTGGTGATTAGCAAATGGGGAATTGTACGAGGAGTAACGCCGTACATCGCCAGGGAGTTTGCAGGTATATTCGGGTTTAATTGACTAAATCCGACTCATTGGTCCTCATGAAGTCATTCGAAACGCCCTGCCAAGACCTAACGTCTAAACTCCACTGCTCGCCTTACACGCATTCTTATAAATCCTCGGGCTTGGACGTTGAATTTATGTGCGAGAACGATGTAAATACGCGATGAGCTCGTTGCATAAATTCGAGATGCGCTTCCATTCTTTCACGTGGAGCGCGAGCAAATGTGCGGATGGTTAGGTATCGTGATATCGAGAGGTATGACCCAGAACCAACAAGGTACCTTTAGGTAGTGCGGGAGACCAGAGCATTCTCTGACGCTGGTGCAAGTGCATGATTGTGTGCTCATGCACTGATCAGCTTCTGTAGTCTCAAGAGCTAGACACTTTTCGAATGATATTCTGCGTGTCACAAACAGCGACGTTCAAGATTGCTTTGTTACGACGATTCGAATGATAACATAGTAGATGTGGACTCATGACGGCGACACGGCTTGGACAGAGGTGGTGATGGCAGAAGTAGCGATCGTGGGTGGATGAAGACGCGTGGGGTAAGAAACCTTGACATTAGCGCGGCGCGACACGACGTCATGCCGGTCCAGCCCACCAAGCGTCTCTATGCGCCTACTAAGAAGAAACTCGATGTTCTTTCTGTAGTCAGTCAATCCTTGAAGCGCATAGCGCCGCTGATAAGATGCCATCCCTGGTCCGCAAGCTGCTCATCTTCGCTGCCGTCGACGGGCTCGTCCTCCAGCCGTCCCCGCCCCGCAACCATCCGCCGGCGACGCAGCAGGCCATCAAGGTCGATTACAAAGGCAACGTCGGGCCCCTGTTGAAGGACAGGCGCGAAGAAGATACTGCGCCCGTGTCCGTGGAGGCGCATGGCATCGTCGGTATGCGCGCGCTCACCTGCGCATTGCGACGTGCAGTGCACAGCTAACCACGCCACCAGGACTGCTCAAAGTCGCTACTTCCTACTTTTTGATATCGATATCCGACCGCGAACAAGTAGCGCTCATACGCGGCAAGCCCATCTACAAGATCACCAATGTCGCTCTCATCCCGCTCTCCTCACAAGCCGACGCCGACAAGGCCATTGTAGCCACGCGGGACCACTTGAAGCGTCGCAACCGCGCACCCGGGCTCGATGACGAGGATACAGATAGCGAGAGCGAAGATGGTGCGCCCAGTGTAACCGACTCAATCGTAGAAGATTCCTCATCTGCACCCAGCGAGGTGAAGGACACTGTCACCGGGCAAAAAGGGACGGCGGCCCAGAAGACAAGTGTCGCCGAAGACGTCATACAACGGAAAGGTGTATACGGCAGATTCGCTGACAAGTGGTTCTCGCGCAAGGGCTGGAACGCTGACAACAGGCGTCTGCAAGGGCTGAGCTCCGAGGAGAACCTGGCCGCGAAGAATGTGCCGCAGAACGTTGACTCAGGAATGCCCAAAGAGGAAGAGCAACCCAAGACTGAATCGAAGCCAGATGCGATACCAACATCTGACAAGGACATTTCGGAACCAGTCAGTCCAGAGGCGATACCCAAGGCTCTGAGCGGCGAGAAGGACGCTGCGACTGTAGCTCTCCTACCCAAGATCCTACAGACCACCAAAATGTACTTTTCATCGGGTAACTTCTTCTTCTCCTACGACTATGACATCTCACACGGCATCGGCCAGCAGCAACCCAGTTCCAGTGTGGCGCTATTCAAGCAGTTCGATCCTTTGTTCTTCTGGAACCAGCACATCATCTCGCCCTTCATCGATGCTGGTCAACATTCTTTCGTGCTCCCTGTAATGCAAGGCTTTGTTGGCCAGAGACCATTCACTATCAAGACGGCGGATGGCCAGTCGAGCAGCCTTGTAGTCGATCCGAGTGCTACCCCCGACGACATTCAGCTGCAGTCCTGGCATGAGAAGCAAAAAGAGGAGTCGCAATCCACTACAGAAGCCAGTAGCGAAGCACCTGCTCCGGACGCTTCACTTGCAGACGGTAAAGACTTTTTGTTGACACTCATCTCGCGACGTTCTATCAAGCGGGCTGGTCTTCGTTATCTGCGACGAGGAACAGACGACGAGGGATGCACTGCGAACAGTGTAGAAACGGAACAGATCCTGTCCGTACCAACCTTCAGCACGACGCAAGATAAGATCTTCTCCTTTACGCAAATTCGCGGTTCAATACCCCTGTTCTTCTCTCAATCACCCTACAGCCTCAAGCCTCAAGTCTCTACTTGGGGATCTTTTGAAACAAACGCTCAAGCTTTCAAGAAGCATTTCCTCGATCTGTCTTCGCGCTACGGTGATATTTACTGTGACTCGCTTATCGACAAACACGGTACGGAGGCAAAAATTGGCGAACTTTACGAACAGCATGCCAAGGCGCTCAATGAGAACGGCGGGATCGATGGCAAGGGCAAGCAACTGGGCTTCGAATGGTTCGACTTCCACAACGTGTGCCGTGGCATGCGCTTTGAAAACGTCTCAAAACTGATGGACTCCATCGAACCCTTCATGACATCTTCTGGCTGGGTGGAAATCTCAGATGATCAAGTCCAACGGAAGCAGGCCGGTGTCTTGCGCACAAATTGTATGGATTGTTTGGACCGCACCAACGTCGTCCAATCTGCGTGTGCTAGAACCGCTCTTGAATCCCAGTTATCAATGGGTAGCTACAACATCGACCTTCAGAACGACCCTAGCACTTCGTGGTTCAACACTCTCTGGGCTGATAACGGTGACGCAATCTCTCGGCAGTATGCTGGCACCGCTGCGCTGAAAGGAGATTTTACGCGCACCCGAAAACGACAAATCACCGGTGCGCTTACCGATTTTGGGCTGACACTCACGAGATATTACAACAACATTGTAAATGACTACTTCGCTCAAGCCGTCATTGACTATCTCCTCGGTCGCGCTACCGATACCATATTTGCAGAGTTTGAAGCAGATATGAAGAGCTCGGATTATTTCATTGATGTGCGCAAGGTACGGCAACAAGCCATCGAGCGTTCTGCTGGTATTGTAATCGAGGATCGTGATGAGGACCTGGTACACGGATGGACCTTGAGCGTACCCACCGCTGTTAACCAAGTCAAGACTGCCACGTTTGAGGAAGCCGTTCTCTTACTGACGGAGAAGGCCCTGTACTTCTGCCGTCTCGACTGGGGCACAGAAAAGGTACGCGAGTTTGAACGCATTCCACTTGAAAATGTGCAGGGTCTCATGCGCGGCGTTTACATTACGTCTACATTAGCGCAACGACACACGGATGCAGACAAGAATGTTGGCCTCATCATACGGTACCGAGCCGACACCCAAGGCGAGCTAGTACGACGAAACACAAGAGCCTTAGATTCAGGGGCCGCCAACGACGAGCAGCGCAAGGATGACGCTAAGAAGGACCAGAAGCAGGATTCTGCGGGCCGATTCCTAGCGTTCAAGGCGTTACCACCGAGAAGTAGTGTTCCGTCATCTCCTGGCGACACTCCAGAGAATGAGGGCGAGGTGGTGAAGTCAGTATGCGACGAAATCGTGAGAATTGCCAATGATATGAAGAAAGGAGGAAGGGACGAAGACAGAACATTGGAGGTAGAAGAGAAGGACATCATCAGCCTTACGGATGCGAGAAAGACTACAGGCTACCTCGAACAGTTTGAGTATTCCTTGAAGAAGCTTGTTTGGGGCTAAGCTCTGGAGATTCTCGGTCGTGCCATGTTATTCCTCGCTGTACTCTATTCGGCGCACAGTACATACTCGCTTGGCAGAGAAGTCCGCGTCATGTAGTTATATCAAGCCATTGTTCTTTGTTCTACTGTTCCATCCACAACGTTCTCGGACGTTGTGGTGTCTCGGTATAGCAAATCATCTAGAAGACAATTTCTTGACTCGCTATGTATTGACCATAGTATCAGTCCATGGGTATCTCCACTTCCCGACATCCTCGAGCGGTCACATGTAGTGCAGAAGAGCGTTGCATCCAGCACGGCGGATCCACGGCGGATCCACGGCGCTTCCGACAACCGGTTACTCAGGTGCGTGTGGGACGATGCGGGTGGCTGCTGGCTAGTTGGCGAGCATACGAAGGCCGCATCGGGAAATGCATCCGCTTTGCTTGTGTGGTGTTGCGCGTCAACATTGAGGAGAATGGAGTACTAAAGACTTCGGGGCGCTGTTGGTGGGTGTTCGACGATGTCGCGTTGTGACCAACGAGCTGAGATGGTAGCGACCCCGCGAACTGCTATTGCCCCAACATCTTCTCCGCGTTCAACTTCTCCTCACTCCCACCTCTCTTCAACGGACGCGACAACCCCACTCTTCAGCGCGATTAAGCGTTAAGGCCGTTGGGTCTTGCTTTCCGTGTCGGCGGAGCCGCGCCGCATTGTAATTCGATGCAACATGTCACGCTAGAACTTCGGCACATGCAGCGCTGGGCACACCACGATAAACTGCATCGGTCCAATCGCCCCGTAGCGACGGTCACGCCCCACCTAGAGCCTCAATTCGCTTGGATGGAGGATACCGCGGCATCGTGATGTGCTAATTGCACACAAAAGTTTGGATCAGCTGAGGGGTCGAGGAACGCCTTACCACGGGCTAGCATGCCACGCCCTCTCCGACGACTTGTTGAAGCTTAACGGTCACAGGCTTGCTCGGCACTCGGCATCCAGCTTAAGCTTTTGACTCGACGGGAGGCGCAAACCTCGTCTATGCTAGCGTCAGCAAGTCGCATTGAGAAAAGCGGGTCGACGTCAGCGGCTTGGAAGGTGAGTGGCCGCATGCCGTTCTCAATCGCGGTGCGTGACGTCAACAGTGGAAACCTCACACCGTGCTCATTTGAGCGCGAATTGCACAGTCCAAAGGGGCCCACCAAATGAGAAAATTTCTTCTTCATGGGGTGCCCTTGGGGTGCAAGATTGGGGGCAGAAGTGTGGGTGTCTGGAGTCTGGAGGAAAAATGGAGCGAGTTGTTGTGCGGAGTGCGGAGTGTCACGCCTCAGGTTCGACGAGATCTGAGATGGTGGTCACCCATCAGCATTAGCTGTGGTACGACCAACCCGCGAGCGGCAACTCATCATGGTGATCGCAGTATCGTCTTTCCGTGGCGCAATAAACGGCTTCCTTTGCCCTGTTGCCAACCCGTTGCCCGTCGTCTCGGCATCAATTGTCCCCCAACCGCGCCCGACTCGACTCGCAAAGACAAGCACTAAGCGGCCCCATCGTGTCAGGCTTGTCATTTCTTCGCTCCGCCGCAAGACTCCATGTCATCCTCCTACCAATCAGCGTGTTTCTCTTCGGAGACTATACCAAGGCAGGAAGCACAGCAGTGTGTTTTCCGAAAGTCGAACGAGGATGGACGTTACCTGGGAGAGTGAAAGGTCCGCTGCGGGGCTCCCACGTTGTTCTCCTGACCCGAGCTGCGCGCCTGGTATCACACCGAGAGGAGCATGGCATATAAACCCTTTTTGTGCCCCGACGTCGTGGTTGTTTTCCTTTAACCACGCCTGTTCAGCCTTCGGGTCCATCCAATATATCCATTTGTAGGGTGATTGGCAAGACAAGACACCACCATGGTTTACCAGATCGGTAACATCTACGGCATCACCGCCATTGCGGTCATTGGCGGTGGACTGTTTGGTTTCGACATCAGTTCTATGAGTGCCATGTATGTCGACTCTCTCCACTACCATCGAGAATCATGCTAACATTGACAGTCTGCCAACTCAACAATACCGCTGCTACTTCAACCAGGGACCTTTGGGCCCACCTTTCACAGGTCCTGAAGAGGACTGCTCTGGTCCTACTGCCGATGTGCAGGGAGGTATCACTGCTGCGTAAGCCCGCTTCATCAGTGAATTCTACCTTTGCAAAGACTAACTCAGTTTAGCATGCCTGGTGGCTCCTTCGTCGGTGCCCTCGTCTCTGGTTACCTCACGGATAAGCTCGGTCGTCGCAGGGCTATCCAAATCGGTTGTGCCATCTGGATCATTGGTTCCATCATCTCTTGCGCCGCTCAAAACATTGGCATGCTCATCGCCGGTCGCTTCATCAACGGTCTGTCTGTCGGTATCTGCTCCGCTCAGGTTCCTGTCTACGTCTCCGAACTCGCTCCTCCTTCCCGCCGCGGTCGTGTTGTAGGATCGCAACAATGGGCCATTACATGGGTAAGAGATGTCACTGTACGAACTGAGTATGGAACATATACTGACTTTACAATATAGGGTATCCTCATCATGTACTACATCTCCTACGGCTGCAGCTTCCTGGACGGCGAGAAGGCTTTCCGTGTCCCATGGGGTCTACAGATGATTCCCGCTGTTATCCTTGCCATTGGTCTCGTATTCCTGCCGGAATCTCCTCGTTGGCTCGCACGACACGACCGTTGGGAGGAGACTCAGGCTGTTCTTACTTTGGTTCACGGCAAGGGTGACCCCAACAGTCCCTTTGTCAAGCTTGAGCTGGATGAGATTCGCCAGATGATCGAATTCGAGCGCCAGAACGCTGATGTATCCTTCATGGAGCTCTTCAAGCCTAAGATGTTGAACCGTCTCCACATTGGTGTCTTCACCCAGGTTTGGTCTCAGCTGACAGGCATGAACGTTATGATGGTAAGTTGTGCCTGTACGAACTGCATGTGAAACATTAACTAACCTGGTACCTTTACCTCTACAGTACTACATCACATACGTCTTCGGTATGGCTGGTCTCACCGGTAACATCAACCTTGTCGCCAGTTCCATCCAGTACGTCATCAACGTCCTGATGACCGTTCCCGCTCTCCTCTTCATGGACCGTTGGGGTCGCCGCCCTATGTTCGTCATCGGTGCCATCCTCATGATGACCTGGATGTTCGCCAACGCTGGTCTTATGGCTTCCTACGGTAAGCCCGCTCCTCCGGGTGGTCTCGGTAACATTGCCGAGCAATCTTGGGAGATTGGCGGCGCACCTGCGAGGGCTGTCATTGCCTGCACATACCTTTTCGTTGCCTCTTACGCGCCTACCTGGGGTCCTGCCTCTTGGGTCTACCCCCCTGAGATCTTCCCTCTCCGCATCCGTGGAAAGGCCGTGGCCGTCGCAACCTCATCGAACTGGTAAGTACCCAATCACTCACAAAGCATGCACCGTAGCAAAAGCTAACCCCACTCTAGGATCTTCAACTTCGCCCTTTCCTACTTCGTCCCACCCGCCTTCGTCAACATCCAATGGCGCGTCTACATCATCTTCGGTGTCTTCTGCTTCGCCATGGCTGTCCACACTTTCTTCCTCTTCCCCGAGACAGCTGGAAAGACTCTTGAGGATGTGGAGGAGATGTTCATGACTGGCGTTCCAGCCTGGAAGACCAAGGTTGAGTACAACAGCACTCGCCGTGCTGAGCGTGGCGAAATTGACAACGAGAAGGCCTCTGGTCTTGAGCACAGCCCCGTCAGGGTTGAGAACGCCGAGACCAAGGCTTAGGCTTGGTTGTGTATGTTTCGAACGACTTGATGGGAGATGCTGAGTATTAGATACGATCGATGGTAATGGCCGTTATGGCTCGCTTTAATCGCAACGTACTACGGTACGATGATCTTCAACCATACCCTGTATCCTCCTAATTTATGGTGCAACCTGTGATGACACGTCTGTATACAGGCTGAAGATTTGACCACGATAGACAAATAGGCATGTCGTGAGGTTCCATGACGCCCAATCGTGATACGTGTCGTGTAGACCTGCTATATACGAACTGCTGTCAGCAATACGAAGAAAGCCATTTGTGAGTTTCAGCCTGCACCAATGTAATTAGAAGGTTCCTGCTACGGTTTTATCTGGTCATTCGCATCGAATCAGGTAGTGAATACTCGAAGTTTACTTTCTAGTGTTGCGTGTAGTTCAGAACGAACAAACTAGCCCTCATAATGTTCCTTCTCGCTTGAATGTGGCTGAACTCGACGCATGCGCCGGACGAGGGTAGCGAGACGCGACGCGACTTCTGATCGCCCACGCTTCCATCTCATTTACAACATCGGCATCTTCTTGACTCAACTCAACTCAACTCGAACATGTGAGCGCTCTCTAATCCGCCAAGCGTCTCTCGTTCGCAAACATTCGCGCACCAGTCGCATAAGGTTCGTAGGACGTGCTAATGGCGTCGCTATGAACCATGGACATTCTTCCAAAAGGTACCACGATGGCTGGGCTGGGCTGATTTTATCGAACTAATCTTGCAGGGCATAAAAAAGTCTCGTTTTTCCCTGTTGCAATGCTGCGTAGGTCATGTGCTCAAGTGGGGTAGCATGTGCGCCACGGCTGCAGAGCTACAGCGTCTACTTCAGCCTGCTTGCTGACACGTCTCGAGTCGTTCCGGCTGCCCTGTCGATAACCGCTGAACACAGTGAGGGCAATGCGGCTTCTCGACTCTCGAACGCTTCAACTCCGAACCTTCTATGGGGACGACATCCCTCCATATGCGATTCTGTCACACGCATGGCTACAGGACGAAGACGAGGTCACCCATGCGCAAATACAGGACCCAGAGAACTGCCGCCATATGATGGGATTCCAGAAGATCGAATACACGTGTCAACAGTCGATACGAGATGGTCTGAATCACGTCTGGATTGACACATGTTGTATTGACAAAACGAACAGCACAGAGCTGTCCGAAGCTATCAACTCAATGTTTCAATGGTACTCCAATTCCAAAGTTTGCTATGTTTACCTTACAGACATATCTGACCAACAGAATGGGAACTTGATGGGTAGCAGATGGTGGTCTCGAGCGTGGACTCTACAGGAACTTCTTGCACCAACGGACGTCAGGTTTTACAACGTCTTCTGGCAGCGCATAGGATCGAAAAGGGATTCAATTCTTATCATCACATTCGACACAGGTATAGACGAGGAAACACTACGCTCTCCCAAAAGGATGTTTGACAAGAGCATTGCACAACGGTTATCCTGGGCAGCTGGCCGTAAAGCCAAGAGGACTGAAGGCCGAGCATACAGCTTGCTTGGCATACTTGGTGTTAATATGGCAATGCAATATGGCGAGGGTTCTGGCGCGTTAGTAATTTCCTTGTACGAACTGCATGTGAGACAAATGCTGACTTCGTACACTCATCTTTAGATTCACGCGTTTGCAAGAGGCTATTTTGCAAGACAACAACGACCAAACGTTGTTCGCCTGGAGTTGTGTACCCAAGAATATTTCAGAGATCTACGATCAGATTGAAAAGGATGAGAGTGCCGACTCGAGCGCTCTGCTGGGACCTGCACCTGGACATTTCAAGAACAGCGAGAACCAGCGGTCCCAGTCAGTGGGAATTGGTCAGGGTTCTGGGTCTAACCCTGAAGAAGGCCGCTTGGAGTTTTCCCACAATGGATTGTTCGCGACGGATCCAGATTCGTTCCGGGACTGTGGTGGAATCATCTTTCACAGTAGACACGGTCTTGAAAGTAATATTACTAAACTCAATGGTTCGTGGCGCATGAATATGCCCCTCACTCATGTGAAGAGACGATATATTACGTACAAGGTCGGGCTCCTTCCATGCTCCTATTCCGATCGACCTTACCATCTCTTAGCAATCTTGCTACAATGCTGGAACAGTGGTAACCATTACCAACGCATCAGCCCTGGAAGAGGGGTCTTTACATTTCTTGTCAACATCAGCTTTACAAAAGATCTGCGCGTTCATAGGCTTTGGGTCCATGGATCGAATTGGTTGACCTCTCATCAAAAGTCTTTGAGCGACAAGCAAGTCAAAGACTATAGGAGTATTAGGTTGCGAATCAGACCAAATCAGGACGATTGGTGCTTCTCGAGCTCAGAACCCAAGGATGCTACATGGTCATCGAGCGATATGTTACTAGAAGTTCCGAGTATGCCACGTCACTACGCAAGCTATGACGCAGAAGCCGCGAGCCACTCAGACTTTTGGCAATATAACAACTATATATCCAGGAATTCTACAGGAGAGGGACATCGCAAATACAAGCAAGTTCTTCATGAGAGCGATCCGGAAAGCAGGAAAGGATTCCAGGATAAAGTCTTGCTAAGTCTCCGACATCACACCGGCGCTCAGATCAACTTTGCCCTTGTGCTACCGGTGACACCAGATATGCTTTCGTGTGGTGGCGATGATGTTTTCAACAGCGGGGTGATGGTCTTTGCTGGTGACGAGAGAGATGTGGATTGGGTCGTGCGGCTCGAAAAAGCGTGGAATAGGGCATCACCTACCTCGAGAGTTGGGTCAATACGAGCTTCAGTCACTACGCGTCGTGTGTTCAACCAGCTCATATCTACCCTAGAGATCGAGGACACGAAAGGTGACCCTAATCTTAATCATCTCGAGCGGGAGGCACGTTTCTATCGTAATCTAGGCGAAAATTACATGACGCACTCACGCCTGTACCAACACCGCCCTCTGTCAGTGAGACGCCAAAGTCGAAGCTGCGATTGTCGACAAGGTGGCCGTCGGGAACACTACATGTTTTTGGGAAAGACAAACGAACCGGCTGCACTCATTCTGATTACGGCAGTTAAGCACAGCACCACCTCCGACTGCAATCGAGCACGCGATTAACCACAAGGCGATGTGAAACGACACAGGAACCAATGCGAATACAGATATTGAGCTTGCACGGTAGGAAATTCCAATGCAAGTATTGAGTAATGCTGTGACGACGAGGAGTCTTTGATTGAGATTCCAGGCATGGTAGAGATCAAATGATGGAGCTAAATGGTCGAAGACTGCTCGAGACGTGTTGAATGCGACAGCTTCTCAGATGATGATCATAACTTATTCATTCGTGGTATCTATGTACTATGGAACTTGTCCACTCTTCCAGTTCATATGACCTGTGAGGAAGCACACTCTCCATTTTTAGCAGACAGCATGTGTCTTGCCAGTCTTGCCCTGCAGACTGTGGTCGTCGTCGAAGTGGTCTGTCGTCTTCTTCTTATAGATGGGACTGACGATGGTTGAGCGACGACGCATGGCGAATGCATGCTGTCTGTGCTCCTCAATCTTCTTCGCATCAAGCTTGTCCAGCGTCTGTAGCGCAAGCTTGAAGTCAGCGAGCAGTGCGTCACAACGAGACTTGGTGAAGTCTTCGCGTACGACTACACGCAGCATCTTCATCTTCTCGGAGTGAGGCGCCATGGTGTAGGCTGGGACAACCCATCCGCGCTCGCGGAGTTGATGAGCGCTGCACATGATTAGTTACTTTCCCTGCAGAATGTCTCAAGCAAACTTACATGGCGAACTCGTCGTACTGCTTTCCAAGGTCTTCATCGATTCGGCAAGCAACGAGCGGAAGACCAGCGCCACTCCTCTGGCTCATAATAATAAAGCCTAGTGCTTCCAGGTTCGCTGCTAGATAATCGGCAGTGCGCGTCAAGTTCAGCATAATCTTCCTGTATCCGCGCTTACCCAGCCGGATAAGTTGGTAGTACTGTCCGATGATCTGAGAAGCTCCGCGAGAGAAGTTGAGGGTAAAAGATGCCTGATCGGCACCGAGGTAGTTGATGTTGAAGACGAGTTCCTGGGGCAGGTACTTGGGGTCGCGCCATACAACCCAACCGACACCAGGGTATACGAGTCCGTACTTGTGTCCGGAGACGTTGATGGACGTGACTTTGGGAAGACGGAAGTCCCAGAGCAGACCGGGGTTAACGAAGGGGGCAACGAAACCACCAGATGCAGCATCGACGTGGATATCAACATCAATGTTGCGTTCAACAAGGAGGTCATTGATGGCTTTTATGTCTTCGTATTCACCGGTGTATGTCGTTCCTAGAATGGCGCCTATTGGGGTTAGTGTATTGTTGTGAGGTGTATGTTGGGTCAAGTACAAATTCCAATGGTGTTCTCATCGACGAGGTCCACGCATTCCTTGGGGTCCATCACGTAGCGTTCAGTTGTGCAGTACACATATCGCTCCTCGACGTCGAAGTATCGGCATGCTTTCTGCACATAGTCAGTACGTTGGGTTTCTGATGTATACGTCGTCGCAAGACCATAGGATACGTACCTCCCAGCAAACCTGTACGGCCGAGTTCATGATCATGTTAGGCTTATCATAGGGCTTGCCCTCAGCTTTGCGCTTATTTTGCCAAAGCTTCTTTTGGGCCAAAACTCCCAGCTACAACGTGTCAGCTCAACAGTCTCCAAATTCGAATCGCTCCATGTACTGACCATGATAGCCTCTGAAGATCCAATAGTAGATGTACCGATCGTGTTCGCTTCTGGATCACAAGGTGCGTTGAAAAGCCTTGCGATCATCGAAACACATCCTTTTTGTTGTTCAGCGAAAATCTCCAAAGCTTACGAGCTGTATTGTATACGCACGGTTCTGAATATCGGCGCTGACGGGGTACTCTTCGTAATCGATGAAGTTCTTGGAGAAGGCATCGCTGTAAGACAAGGTTATTCGGATGATCGCGGAGTGCAGCTACAATGAACATACACCATGAGTTTCTCAGCCTCTTCTTCCTATGCATGAATTAGCGCTTGTGGCGTAGGCGGCAGTCGGGACATCTTACCATGTAGGTTGTTACGAATGAAGCCAAGTTCAGCGTTGGGGTGCCGTCGAGCGTGAGGTCATCTTTGATCATACGGTAGGCGCTGGCATGTAGTCAGCAATCATGTCGCGCGTTCTTGCGTTGCTAAAGCTGTATCGCGTTCGAGAAGTGGTACTCTAAGCAGCGTCGTACTTACACATGAGGAGGCATCTCCCGGTCCTGCTCATGATTAGTTTGCAAACGGCTTTACAGGTGTTGAAACACTCACGGGCATCTCATGTCTCGGGAGGTCTTCAGCAGCATACTTGCTACCGTACACCGTAGCAGTGTAGTCGTCTGCCTCATCATCCGGAGTCAGGTTGATGGAGGTAGTAGCATCGATGGCTTCAAATTGAGCCTTCTCCTCAGAGATCTCCTTGTGAGTCGCGACCCGATTGATGTGAACCATATCGGCGATTTCTTGGGGTAGTTTTGGTGGTACGAGGAGAGACTTTGGAAAGAAGAATGAAGGAAGCGACGAGCAGGAAGCCTGAAAAGATCAATTCCGCCGCGGAAGCAGCAGCTTATATCCCCCACCAGGTCCTGCTGTGCCTAGCATGCAGCGTAAACACGCCGCCCGCGTTCCAGCTCACCATGTTACCCCACCATAGCACCACTTGCATACGACACACGTCGGGCGGCCCTCTCGCAGCCAACGCTCCACGACGCACATGCCGATCCCTCGTCATCCAGACCGCCTGAACCAACCCTTCACCAGTTTGCTCTGCATGAGCCGTTTGACCTGGGTATGAGACATGTAAATAGGAACACGGTTGCGCGTCGAGTGTGCTCATTCGAGCGACACATGTCATAGCGGGGTACCACGCGTTCCGCTAAGCATTTGACCAGTGAAGCTTGTCTACCTAGCGACCAATAGTTCTTACACCGCCTCACGCTAGGAGGTAGACTAACACTCTCTTAGAAGCTAACAGCGGGGTCTGTATATGTAGTGGGTAGTGCCAGGTACGATCTGCCCGGGCGTGTTGATGTTCGCCCCGCAGTCACTTTCCACAGCTGTGAGAGCCGAGAAGATGCACACCGGAGTTTAAGAGCACAAGCTAAGCCATTGCGGTGTACGCCTACTTAACGAGTATGTCTTTGCAGTAAGGCGTTCGTAAAATACGCATAGCGTCAGCCTTAGTTATTCCAATATATACACAACCTCGGTGCTGGCAACAACCAAGGTTTCTTGTCGGACGCTGATTGGATGCTTCTTACCCGCAGCTGACAGATAAGGCTGCGGGTAAGCCGCGGCGCGAACCTAGGTGCGCCGAAATGAGATCCTCAAGATCCTCGTAGGTAACTGTTGTCACTAGTGCTGAGTCGTGTGAATATGCTGTGTGATGGCGTTGTTCACGGCATAGAGTGTCATTTTATGGTGAACAAAACTATTCTCATAAAATTGCTTGCATGATCATATACATGTAGATCCCTCAGAGGTAGAAGTATTACGCCTTTCAGTATTGCTGGTTCGCCAATGTATGTAAACTCCATGGAAATGCAGAGCGCTGAGGCTTGTCAATGAGTAGTCGCTAGGATTTGGGCGCAATCGTAAGACGACGGCAGCATAGCTAGAATCTCGCTGGTCGGAAGATCGACATGTGCGTAGCTTGCTCGAGTAAAACCGAAAGATTAGCTGCGGAAGTGTTGTTGCTTATGTATAAGGCGCTGGCAAGAAGGCGACCCGAGGGTCTGGATGGCTAAAGCGGATGCACCACGCTTGGGGCTTGGCGACTGAGTTACCGTACTACGAGGAAATACAGTCGTCGTATCATGCGATATGCGTAAGGCCGATGTTCTAAATCTCCTCCGTCGTGATTGGCCCACCTGCCTCCATAAGCGTTCATATTAAACTGTTTGTGCCCTGTAGATTGATCTACAAAATCCTTTCTTGCTTTATATTATATTCGCAATACTGATACGACTTGTTCCTGACGGTGTAGGGCTTGGGTTCGGTGTGGGTTTCGGTGGCGAAAGTACATCGGTTGCTAATTGCACTCGCTTGACGGGATTATGCGGCGGAGGATAATAGGCTGGTGGCTGCGTGGATCGGTGGAGGTGCTCGTCCATTAATTGCCTGATCATCTGTTCAGCCTGAGCCCAGTCGTCTGCTTCTGTAGCACCGTTCATCGGTGAACCAGATGGTGTTCGTAAGGGTAGCGCGTCTCGCATTGGCTCGTCTGTGCCTGGTGATCGGATGGCAGTTGGGGCCGCCTCTTGTGTTGAGCTTGAAGAGGTCAAATTGTCGCCTACCCAGACCCATGAATGCTGAAGGCTGCTTTGAGCGTCTGCACTGACATACGCAATCATTTCCTCATCTTGTTCGAGTTGTTGACTGGTTGCCTGACCGCTGCGTACGCGATCAAACATTCTCTCTAGAAAGAACGCCACGTTCTTTCCACATGCCAAGTTGGTCTTCCGCACATTGCCGATAGTCCTCGAAAGGTGCAAGCACACCAGCGCAGCTTTGTACTCGCCCTGGAAGCAAAGCACGAGGATGCATCGCCATAAGTGCAAACACACCGTATTGCTCGCTATCGATGCCACCCTCTCCTCCCACCCTTTACCCGAGTCTTGTTTGGGAGGATTATGTAAAGCCCTTGACACGTATTTTGCTGTATCCTGAGATACGGAGACGCAACGCTTCAAAGCATTAGCCCGCTCAGTTGAGCCCGATAAAGGAGTAAGGTTGCGCCGGTACATATGGAAGCGAGCGGATAATAGGCAGAAGATCGTAGGCAGCGCCGTTACGTCGAACAACGCACTAGAGTCTGGTTGGTAGGCCTCGGGAAGGACCAGCAGTTTCAATCGAAGCTCTTCGTCGAAGCTTTGTAGAGTCTGAGGCAGGACGACGCTCGATCTTAAGACCTGGTGTAATGGTGCGTATAGGCGTGTGATGTGTATATTGGCCACAAAGCCAGTGAAGTGAGCCGGTTTTGCCATTGAGCGGAAAGAACTGTTGGGTTGAATATAGCGGTCTTCTAGAGAGGATGGTAGAGAGATCTCGCAATCGCTCTCGTTGATGATCATAGGCTTGCTTGTTTCAAGAGAGATGATCCTTGATCGACGTTAGCATTGGACGGCAGAGGAACGCGGAAGGAAAACCTCGTACCTATCACGAACATAGATGGACCACCAGAGCCTACGTCGGATCTCACCATCGACGACGGGCCAGCAATCAACTTCAGGGCAGATTTCTAGGTCTTGTGCCATCCTTGCTGCAGAAGCGAGCCACATAGAGCCCACGGAACGTATGTTGCTTTCAGTGGCGTATATACTCAGCAGGAGTGCTGCTTGAGCAAAAGTGACTGATGATTCCTGCGGCCAGGGTTGGAGAACAGCAGTTGCAGTCTCATACATTGCCTGTCCTTTGGACGCCGTGGTAAGAGAGCTCATATGCTCAGCCCCGGTCTGCAAAGAGCCACAAGCTAGTACCGCGAAGAACAGCCCAACCCATTCACGGGAGCAGCCTTCGAATGTTTTTGACATATAAACCTCGTCCACTTCACGTTGGAACGTAGGCCAATGGACTGCGGGATACCACTCATGTGTTGTCTCGAGGTAAGAACGGGCGAGGTACGCGAAGTCTGCGCGTGCTGGTATTTCAGATGGGCACCAATTCGAAACTGCAGCGCTGCTGAGAGTCTGATGCGGCGTATGAAAAACACCTTTGGAATGCGTTCGGATGTTGCTACGAACGTGTTCGAAGTTGTTCAAGGTTGAGAAGGATACCTGGCGTGGTCCCGGTAATGTGCCAGCGTGTGCTTCGGAAAGCCTGCGCTTTGTGTCCGTTCGTTCGGTATCCCAGGGGTCCTTGTCCGAGACCTTGGTTCGTAGCTGAGAGTTCATATGTGTTAACTCGGCAATTTGACTCTGGAGGTCCTGGACCTGTCTATGCAAGTCAGCGACCTTCGTCTAACTGTGGTCGTCCACGACTACGTACTTGATCGACGACATCCGGCGGTTGGTCTCCTTCGTGAACTGGCACCTATGGTTACGGCTCGAACATTCCGAGCAAGCCGATGTCTCCGTTGCATCGCACTGTTGTGGTCGTCAGCTACATGCCACCTGAACGCTCGACCTTCTGCTCCGGACTTGCTCATAAGCGTGTTTCGTCTCGACGAGCCTCGGATGCATTTCAATGCACGCTCATTCGAAGTAACTAAGGTAAAAGATAGTCATCTGAGCTGCCAGTACCTGGTCACCTTTTCCGCAGTCTCACTTGGTCGTTTCCAGTTGCCATTACTGAGAAATCGCCGGACAAAACTTGCTTCTCGTGAACATATGAGCTCTCCCCACTGTGATTACTTACCTTCACTTTGCGTTCTCGACAAGCATCGCATGAAGGGTCTTTTCGCCGTTGCCTATACGCACGTTTCTGAGCATTCAGGTTCGCTGACGATATCTGAGTAGGGGATATCATTAAGCCAGCTCCATCATGATTCTGATCAGGGAGGCTTCCAGATGCAGTGCTGGGTGAAGTTGAGTGGCTGTACGAGTTTGAGGAGTATCCCGGTGACCTGGAACCGAGCTGTGGGACTGTCGGTGCAGTCAGAGTAGTCGTGCGAGCAGCCGGATGTGCCATTGCGAATGGGCTAGGTGGAGGTATCATGGTCCGTGGTGACTGCCCGCTCGACCCTGGTGGAGTCTTGCGCATGTTGACAGGTAATCAAAGCGCTTGTAGAAGGCCGAGTATGAAAGTTAAACTTCCCCTGTGGAAAAAGAAACTCCGGGTGAGTTATCGTGGTTGTGGGGAAGGAGTAAGTGGTTTCGGCAGTAGCCGAGCACAACCCTACTATGAACGGGCCAACGGTGTGAACAGCTCGTAGTACCAGGTAGACGTGGTCAACCAATGGAAACCAGTCATCAACGCATCATGCTGCCTTGGCGGGATGCGAGTTGCGGAGGGCGAGAATTTGTGAATGAATAAGATGACTAATAGGACCACTCCCAGAGTGGAGAAGTCGTGCAAGCGAGCGATAAGTTGGGTAGGTTGAGTTATTCGGGCATACAAGCCGGAAGCGCGATAGTCGGGTGTTCCGTGTCGCTTCAGTGAGTGTTCTCAGCCAGCCGCTCGGCTGAGTGGCCGAGATGCCACAGCTTTGGGTTAGGACCAATGACTAGGCTCACTGGATTGGATTGCGAAGTGGTGTGTGATGATTGAAGATCCACGGTTGTGAGGAAATGAGGGACACTTCGGCAGACGGCAAGGGTATACGGAACGATATTAAATCTCGGCAAAGATCCGAAGGAGGAACGCTGGGTAATTCAGGGCTGTCGTATGGGGCGAGTCTGCTAGTCGTAATGCTGCACTGATCAGCTCCATACCTAGTTGCAGCGATATTCCGACTAGCACACCTTCTGGTAAAGCGGGAGAAGGTCCTTGTCCAGTCGCCACGTTTCGATATCGGATGAGTGTTATGAGCGGCGCTGAGGATTGGCGAAAGTGCTTCGTCCAAAGCACGTGTCGACTTGGCGGTGCGCTGAAATGAAAAGGAAGTTCGGGGACCCTGTACAGGTCTCCTTACCCTGGAAAAGTTGGGCAATTTAGCAAAGCTAGTCCAAGAACAACGGTAAGAAAGCTTCTCGTGCATTCGACATACCAGTATACGGGAGTGAGCAAAGTTTATTGCGGGTCGATAGTGCCACAGATGCCCAGATATGTCGTTTGGTTTCCGTCAACCAGTGGGCCCATAGAAGTCGTGCACCACTATCTTTTTGTGTCTCGTGAGTACTGCCCAATGGCTCCGTACACGCCTATAGCTGAAGATGCTACTTCGACTGGAATGAGATCAAGCGATTGTTCTAGCTCGAATCCTACACGGGCTGGTAGCTCCGTTAGTAGACTCGGACGTAGATCCGGATGGTTAGTCTTACATGACAGCTTGTCCGGCTCTGATGAAGCCTTATGTTCCAGAAGATGATCGGTTCGTGCCTAAATGCCAGGCGGTCCACATGGCTTCACCCAAAACGTTCAAGGCATACCTTTTCGGCGAGATTTATACAGGGGTCTACCTGCATGTGGCATTGAAGAAAGGCCCTTCGCTAACGCCTGTAGCGATGGCAGATGCACACGGGATTCCGAGTCTGCAGCACGAGGATTATTCGGTTGAAATGCTCTGGACTACCAAGGATGATGGCAAACGAGGCGCAAATCGGTGTTTTTTTCGCCCATCGAGCGGATAGGAACACCGTCATGGTGGTTCACTAGCGATCACTTCCGACAGGTCTAGTGGGGTTCACGGACACTGTAGCCAGACCTGCTGAGCCACAGCACGTTGAGTGGTGGATTCACCGTGCACGGCAAGCCACAGCCACAGCAAGTGCCGTAAGTACTCCGATTAGTTGATGCATTTGACCTACGTAATCCTCACACTGATGTCACTAAGAACAAGATTGTTTTGTGCTAGGATTGTGAAAACGTCTCACCTCCTTTGGTAGGTGCAACAAGCGTTGAGGCAACACACTTCCTTGTTCTGGATACTGTTCCGAAAGCTGTTCTGCCCATGTCGCAGGAAAGCACCCTTGACCTTGCGGCGCCCGTCGACAGGTGTGGCACGGCTGCTTGCAAAACGTGGTTCCCCACGTTGCAGCGCGTGTCCGCGCCCGTCGCGGAAGCCCCACAGGCAAGGCCAGCGTATCGCTAGACCGTCCTTCAGGTTATTCTATGCTTGGCGTAGACAGCGTTCCGGCCAGTCAAATGCGATGTGAAAAGCTTTGCGAAGCCGAGGTGACCAGAAACCAGGTCAAGGCGGGTGGAAATTTACTTCCAACTGCCGAACCGCTCGTCTAGACCGCGGAGTTGATGACCCTCGCCACCTGAAACTGACAGCTGCCGGATAGCAAGCCCGGATCGGTGCCTTACGAGGCTTTCGACGGGCGTCTCAAAAAAAGTTGCCATGTTTCTGATGCACGGCAGGCAACGTCGTGGCATCCGCACGAGCGAGCACCAATCTCAGTGGTCTATAACATCTGTTGAGTATGTCGATCTGGCCGTGCACGCCAACAGGGAGACCCGCAAAATGCTTCTACTGCATACACGATTTGGGCCTGCAACTCGGAGTTTTGATCTTTTTATAACCTGTGCGTCGTTGCACATGTCGCGTGGAGCGGGCAACACCATATGTTACATGCGACATGTGCCGTCAAGTATCGATTCAATGCTGTCCTCTCTGGCTGCATAGTCGTGTGTTTCCGCCGTTGAGGAAAACTCGAATGACAGTGGTAAAAGATCTACGAGTCTGATCGCTCGTTGATCATCTATGATTGCGCGGCCCCCTGACGGGTCGGTAGCTTCCGTCAAAGGAAGGCAGCCGATGGGATTTCGAGAAAGGCGACTGGGATGACAGGATGAGTAGCGTGCTGCGAAGCCGGTCATCTGCGAGAATGGGCCGAATGCGTCTTGGCGGACCCGAAGTTGAGTTCTGCAACCCGAGTTTGACATGAGATCGGCCCTCCGATAAGGCGCCGTTGGAGGTAGGCTAAAATTTCGCCGACGATCTTTCGCCTGGCGGTTTCCAACTACGACGATCAGCACATGTCAATCCTAAGTAGGGATTTATGCAGAAAATCTTTCAAGCGCTTGGAGAAAGAGGAAGGCTTGTCGCTGGCGGGCAGATGGAGATGTGCGCGATTCGGAGTCGCGTTGGGGTAGAAGTGGCGACGTGACAACGCGTCCATTTCGCGGCAAAAACTCCAGGTCGGCGAAGAGAGCGAGAACAGCATCCGTCGACAGGATGGCCATTTGAAGGATTCACCATGTCGCTCCTGCAATGTCCACAGTTCTCTTGGTGGTGGGGGATGATGTTGGAACAACGTCAAGTTCTTCGCACCTTCCATCCCGCCCTCGGACCACGATGCCGGTGTTGACGGTCATCAGTATAGGTAGGCACGATGCTTCTGTACCTTCGCTCCTCTGTATCTTCGCTCGAGTGCTGCATCTCAACAACTGGATAGCACTGCATTCGCTTGATACCAAGGCGCGATGTCGTGGTTTTGGGAGACGAGACATGTTCCACACCAGTGTCCGCTATTCGCCTTGTGTGAGGCTTATAGATTGCTGCATACCGAGAGGCGGCAACCTTAACTAAACCCCCAAGCAACGGTCAAGATAGACTTCCTGCTGTGGCGCTGTTCATGGTAGTAGCTTTTGGTCGATTCTGAACCACCTCATAGAAGACTAAGACTACAAGGCATCACATCGCCCTCTGTTTAGCTACAGGTCATCGCGCACGTATTCACAACGGGTACTTGGGACACAATTCTAGCAAATCGTCTTAACGGCTTTTCTACGACATGCAGGTGCACACGACCAACTACCCCTCATACGGGACTTAGCGCAAGGTACAGCCTCGGTACATAACCTAAGCATTGATGCAACTTCAGATAACGACGTCAGCACCGAGGTCACCACAAGAGCAATAGTAATCTACGATTAATCAACCCTTCATTTCACAAACATATCCATATATGAGCATTTTTGTTGCATGCATCGCTCTGTAACCATAAGTCCTCAAAAGCCCCATTAAAACAACCATGGCATCTGCGCAACAAGATGTGCAACTGCACGACTTCTCCAACATCTTTAGCTTGAAAGGCAAAGTCGCAGTCGTGAGTGGCGGGTCGCGAGGCCTTGGTCTGCACGCAGCATCTGGGTATAAACTCTTTTCCGCCTGGTGTCACCTTCCTAATCCTCTCCAGTCTTCTCCAGGCCGGCTGCTCCAAGATATTCATCACCTCACGCAAAGCCGACGCCTGCGACGCTGCCGTTGCAGCTCTCAATGCGCTCCCCAACAAATCCCCTGGCGCCCAGGCTTACTCCATTCCTGCAGATAGCTCTAAGATATCTGAGATCGATCGTTTAGTGAAAGAAGTGAGCAAACATACTGATCACGTGGATATCCTCTTTGCGAATGCAGGAGCTACGTGGGGCAGTACGTTTGAAGAGACCGACGAGAAGAATGGTTGGGATAGAGTCATGGATTTGAATGTAAAGGGCGTCTTCTTTACCATTCAGAAGTGAGTTGTCCCCTTCCCTGTTCACCTCAATGTATCGGGAAGACTTGAATGAGAGGCATGAAAGAGTTGACACGATTTAGATTCACACCCTTGCTCACAAAATCTGCAACAATGCAGGACCCCTCGCGGGTCATTGTAACAGGCAGCGTAGCAGGAATCGGTACTGGTTCCCTCGGCGAAACAGGCGCTTGGTCATACGCCGCTTCAAAGGCCGCAGTCCTCCATCTTGCACGTAACCTCGCTGTCGAACTAGGGCCCAGGCATATTCTTGTGAATGGAATTGCTCCCGGATTCTTCATGAGTAAAATGGCGGGCGTCTTGATGGAGAAAGCAGGTGGTGAGGACGCACTGGGAAAGAGCAATCCGAATGGGAGGACGGGAAGGCCAGAAGACATCGCTGCTGCGGTTGTGTATCTGAGTAGTAGGGCTGGTGGTCACGTCAACGGTGATACGATCGTGCTTGATGGTGGAAAGATTCATGGAAGTAACAAGCTGTAGAGGCTATAACAAGCACTAAGCCTCGCCTGAAGGAATACCCATTCCATGCATCCCCCGATATCCACTCTTCTCAGGCTTCTTCCATCCTTTCAGTGCTTTCTCTTTTACTGCCTCTTTAATTTCGTACACCTCGACCCTGATGGGTCGGCATGTACTCTTCATTCCTTCGTCGTCTTCTCCCTCTTTCTTCTCTTTGCTCCCACTAACCTCCTCCGCCTGAGTCCAGCCCCAGCGACTCAGGTCTCCACCGGGACATGTGCTCAATGCGCACAATAAGTCCTGCTCGGCGAAGAATGTAAGGAAACTATCTTTCGTTGCAGGGCTAGCTTCCATAAAGTAACGACCTTGGGAATCTAGTCCGGTGACTTGGAATACATTAAGCACATCGTGCACGTCAAATTCTGTGAGACCGTAGGGAAGAACAGAACGGACAAGGTTGGAGTGACAGTGGTAGTCGTAGGAAGCGCCTGTCAGCACGTTCCCAACTGCAGACATCGTTAGCAAGCTCACCGTCACCGATTCGGGCCTATGCAAACAGAACTGGAGAATGTGCAGACGGAAACGCCGCTACGACTATGCTGAGAAAACATACCATAAGGATCACACCTCGTCCCCAATAGATCATTACACCTTCCACCCCACTTTGTAACTCCACCCCTCTCATCCCTACTCGCTTCCCTTCCACTCCCATTCCCCTTCCCATCACTATCCCTAATCTCACATCCATCTTCCACAAGCCCACAAAGTGGCCTCATAAACGGCAAACAACTCCACAGCCTATCACCCTGTACCACATGGCTTCCCTGCAACTGCCTTGTCCTGCTGGCCCAGAACTTCTCTCGGGGATCATGCTGGTTCCAGACGTTCAGATCGCCTACTTGCGGGCCTTCTGGGGTCGAAAGGCGGAATATGGCGCCGGCAGGTACGGTCCAGGCTTTTCCGCTGCGGGGTGGGACGACAAAATCCTGGGTTTTAGTCAAGTCATTGTCGGGGGAGAGACCGCGAAGAGAGGTGTAGAGGGCTGTTGGGGGGTGAAGGGGGGAATCAGCGGAGGTGGGGAAATAGGCTGGGGCTGGAGGAATGTCGGTGCGGTCGTTGGCTGCCATAGTGACGATGAGAGGGATATGTTAGAGAGATTCGGTGTATCGTGCAGGGGTTCACACGTGTATTGATATGATGATACGGATCGGAGTGGTAGATGTGGTTCGGTCCGCGATATGTCCCTTATCGGGGTATCTTTACGGAGTAGAACCAACAGGTATCCACTCCTACACATTCATGAGCCGGTGATAAGCGTAGTATCAGAAAGATAGGCCGATGTCGGATGTTTCTTGCCGTTGATTAGAATTGAATATTTGACTCGACAGCTCTATCGCCGAGAGTTCTCAGCCGGTTACCTGTATGAACATGTAGTATGCTCATGTTCTGTCACCTCCTATAAATCTTTAGATTACATGACGGTGGTTGACTGTACACTTATTCCATTCAACCTATTTAGCACTTTTTGAACACCAATCTCCCAGCCTTTTTGAACCCAAATGCTATATGCGATGTTTATGAAAATAAAGCCTGAACAGTGAAACATAAGAAGACCTATGGAGCTTACACTCCCGCGCTCTTCACATCCGCTTGATCGCCATTAACGGCTGCTTCAAGCTTATCCACTATTGTGCTACCCTCTTTTCGGCTGGGACTTGATTCTGGGCTGGGGATCTCGAGCGTATTCGATCGCTTGGGGCGGAAGGGAATGGGTGTGGTAGGTCTCGATGAAAGGAACTGTGCTGTGTTAGACGAAGAGCTTTACAAGAAGAGTGAGTAGGACTTACTGAGGAAGCAGCACTCAGCATCGCGATGAGAGAAGCTTGAACCACATCCTGGTGAATACCGACACCCCAGACCTTCTGACTGCTTTGTGCAGCTGTGCAACCAATGTAAGTTGCAGCCTTTGCGTCTTTGCTTGTACCGATGGTGTGCTCGTTGTAGTCTACAACGTCAAGGTCGATGCCCAGACTCCTCAGTGCATCGGCCAGCGACGACAGCGCACCAGTACCCGATCCCTGGATCTTGTGTTCCTGGCCGTCAATTTCGATGACACCATTGAAGATTCGGCGCAGGTTGCGGCTGCTGGCTGTTCGGCCGTCTTGTGGAGGCAAAGGTGTCTCTGAACGATCGGCCTTGATCTCGTAGTCGACCAGAGAGAAGCGGGGGTTGCGCTTGAGGTGGTAGGCCTCTTCGAAGAGGTTTGTGATCTCGGTAGGCAGGAGTTCGCGGCCGAGCATGTCTGTCTCCTTTTGTACGACCTTGGAGAAGGCAATTTGGAGACCACGGGGAAGGTCGAGTTCCAGCTGGCGTTGAATAATCCAGGCAATTCCGCCCTTTCCACTCTGCGAGTTGACACGGATGATAGCTTCGTATGTGCGGCCAATATCTTGCGGATCCAGGGGCAGGTATGGGATCTGCCACCGGCTCTCGTTGGTCGCGCCGTTCTTCTTGCGCATCTGGAAGCCCTTCTTGATCGCATCTTGATGTGAGCCACTGAAGGCGCACACGACAAGCTGACCTCCGTATGGTGCGCGGGGATGTATCGGAATCTTGTTGCAGCTCTCAACCATATCGATAATTGACTTCAGATCCGAGAAATCAATCTTTGGATGTATGCCCTGGGTGTACAGGTTCAGGCCCAGCGTAACGAGATCGACGTTTCCGGTGCGCTCTCCGTTGCCAAACAGTGTGCCTTCTACTCGGTCTGCGCCCGCCATTTGTGCCAGTTCTGCTGCTGCAACCGCGCATCCTCGGTCGTTGTGTGGGTGCAGAGAGACGCAAATCTTCTCCCTCTCGGAGATGTTCTTGCAGAAGTACTCGATCTGGTCGGCGTAGACGTTGGGCGTCGACATCTCTACGGTGGCTGGGAGGTTGAAGATGAGTGGGTTCTCTACACTTGGTTCCCATGCCGCCTTGACAGCCTCGCAGACCTTGATGACGAACTCTGGGGATGAATCTGAGAAGGTCTCTGGTGAGAACTCATATGCCCATTCTGTACCGGCTTGCTCGGGATCATCCTTGGTTATTGATCGCGCGTACTTTGTGCATTCGACCGCGAGTGCAATTGTCTCATCGTCGTTCATGTTGAAGACAATCTGCTGGAAACACGGACTGGTCGCAAGGTACAGGTGGAGGATGGCCTTGCGCGCACCCTTGAGGGAGTCGACGGTGCGGCGAATGAGCTCTTTGCGGCATGGCGAAAGGACCTGAATCCATACATCGTCTGGTACTATGCCGGGCGTTTGGATGAGGCGTTGTGTGAAGTCGAAGTCAGTTTGCGACGCGGACGGGAATGAGACTTCAATTTCCTTGTAGCCGAGCTTAACCAGCATGTTGAAGTAGTCCCATTTTTGCGCGCCATCCTGAGGTCCGTGTCAATTCCGCGTACTCAAGTGACTACGTTGATAGGGTCGTACTTACCATAGGATCTACTAAACTCTGGTTACCATCTCTCAGGTCGGTTGACAGCCATCTTGGTGGCTTTTCAATTGTCTTGCTAGGCCATGTCCTGTCCGGCAGGTTCAACGGCTTGAAAGGTTGGTATTTCTTCCATGGCTCCTTGAGCATCGGCATCTTGTTGGAGATTGAATCAGCGAGTTGCTTGAGGCTCTACTCTGGACAGTTGACTATCGTTCTTTGTCTCCAAAAAGATGAAGAGTCAAAAGGATATCTTGCGTGTGTTCACGGCGAGTCAACACTTTCTGAGTATTGGAAAGACGTAAGAGAAGAGCGCGCAGGCAGGGTATTAGTACAGCGAGAGGTATGATTCACCGTATGATTCACAACAAAAGAAAACTTTGGTCGGTGATACTAAGCCTCTAAGCCGGCCACTGGGACTGGCATATGACGATGCGGGGCGCAGAAATTCGCTTGCACGCGCCCTGTGCATTCAATTGCGGGGTCCGATTTCGGGCTGCCTGAACTATTGCAAGCCGACAAATCAACACAGCCGGATTAATTGTTTACGAAGCGTTCGAGGCTCAACACGAAGACACGAAGCATGATGACCGAGGTGCGCATAGAAGTGGTGAATGTTTACAACCGCAAACCTGTTGTTTGTAGGAATTCCTTTTCAGCCTGTGAGTGTGACAGACTGCGGGTATTCCAGGCACATACCCATAGAGAAACGCACACTAATGCAATGGAGCGGATTGCCCGCGACAAGTAGATTTCCATTGACGTACACCACACCAGTTTGTCCTCACCGTTAACACCGTTCACTCAACCGGGAGCCAGCCGATTTGTGGCTAGCCAAGCGCTTCCAGCTCAGCTAGAAGATAGGGACCCTTAGACCGCAGCACTCGACCTCACTACCCTTGACCCCAATAGTGCGCCCAAAGTACAGACTACCAAACTCCTGTACAAAAGCGCGGTCAGCCTCTGACCATGTGTCTAGTCCCATGCGCGACAGGTCATCTCTATCAACAACCACTGCATCGCTATCATTATCATCCTCTTCCCTCTCGCCTTGGGTATCCTCCTCGATAATTTGCGATAGCGACCGTATGAGTAATGAAGATTGGCGGTGAAAGTAAGCGATGATTGCTGTCTCCAACGACTGCGAGTACGCCGAGAGGTCACCAATCAGCTCACGATCTGTCTCTCGCTCCGCGGTCGTGTATGCATCTCTCTCGCCAGCCGAAGCCCACCACATGTAGCCCATGTATGCAAGCCTTGACCATGTTGTTGGCTCTACCGCCGTGTCATCGTATGCTTCGCTGAAGTCGTCGTCGGCACGCTTGGTATCGACCTCATCTCGGGATAGTAGGGGCGCCGCATCATCGTTTTCTTCGTCGGTATATGGCTCGGGTGACGTTTCCGATCTGTTACGCTGTTTGAAGAGCTCTTTGTGTAGTAGCTTGTAGCGCGCAACGTCCCGCTGGCTGGCCTTGATCAAGCTGCCATCGCTGGTCCGTATCCGTGGCCAGCGTCGCTCTTGCGGCGGCGCGTCATTCGTGGGTGGCAGTTCGACAATGATGTCGTACAGTTGTGTCTTTGTGACGATGATCTCATCAGTCGTGCACGCGACCCAGCCCTCTGAAGGCTCAAGGCCAGGTGTGTGTCCGCCATCTTTGGGGTTGCGATGATGTTCGAGAAGAGGAATGTCGTGTACGCCGACTGAGAAAAGGGAGGGTAGACGCAGGAGGTTTTCGGTTTCTGGCGCTAACCGTTCGGTGTCGCGGGGCGATATGCTAGAGAGGACAGAGAGGTTATAGACTGACCCGTTAGCTGAGAGAAGCCCAGGTATGATATCCAAGACGTACCAAACTCGCAAGCGGTCCTGACCGGCGGGATGCCCACAAAGAGAATGCGTTTCCTCAGCAAAGCCGCCTGTTGCAGCCGGAAGACCAATGGCCCGAATATGTCCAGGAAGCGCTGTATCGACAGAGCTGGGTGGTAGTCTGGGAGGCTCTCCTCGTCTTTCATGACGGCGCTCACGGTCGAGATTGCGCGCGCTCTGCTGTGACCCTTGGACTCGCCTTCGTCGGAGACATCCCCTTTGCCGTGTCTTGAGACCTGTTCCTGCCAGAATTCTTCCAACGGCGTTACAGCTTCCGGGTCGTCCGCTAGGGTCGCAGCCAGTCTCTCCAAGCGACCGGCAAGCAGCCAACTCCTTCCCAGCCTGCCAAATTTGCCCTCCTTCTGTACTAGTATTCCAACAGAAACGAAGGTGGCGTTGCGATCCTCTGCGCTGGCGTCGCCCTTTGCGAACGCGCTGAGTCCAGCATATCCATCATGGGTAAAGTAGACGAGGTCATTTTGCACCGAGTGTAAACCCGAGGGCAGCGATTTGTATTCAACTGAGTTGTCTAAGGTGATGTCCGGTGTCGTTGCGCGTTTCCAAGCAATGGTGTAGCTGTAGCTGGTCAGCGCCTAGCTCCGCGATGGTACTCTACCTGTCCAGTGTCGCATGACGTACCCAACTTTCTTGTCGAATTTGATGAGGAACAACGCTTCAACCCGAGGCGCATCCTCATTGTGAGAGTCTACATTAGTTGTGCTCGACTCAGTCGAGGCCGACATGGTGGTTGAGGGTTGGTTGAAGGCTAACAGCTGCTGAGCAGGCTGCCGTTGGTGATGCAACAGTCGCTAGGAACGCGTCGCTTAGCCTCGTCCGTCATCCCTGAGGTCTCCAGAACTTCTCCCAACACTTCATACGCCATCCCAAATTCGAGAACCCCAGAACCTTGTCAGTGCTTGATGGTAGATTGCGCATTAGATGACGGAATCTCACGATGCAGAACTGGAGTGGGGTTAAGACATTGCGGTTCTGCCGGCGGTCGCACGCTTGCAAATGTACACGGGAAGAGTCGGACACGCTGACAATGGTCTCCTAGTTCCTCCATGTCAGAAATAGTTCATATCGTGGATTCAACCGTCGCATTTACGAAATAGCGTTACAGGTTACTACATTGCTGCTCTGAAGCCTACCCGACTGCTCTCGATCAACAAGTCGGATGCGCATTCCGGAATTTATAGCCTGTTACAAGAGCGACTATGTGAAAAGCCTGGCCTAGGACAGCACAGATATGATGTATCTGGTGAGAGTGGCCCCATATATCGAATGAGCCGGGGCTGAGTCGCTCTGGTAGTCTTCCAACGAAGCAAGAAACTCCAAACAATAAGACCAATCCTTCAGTAAGATACCACTGAGCGCCGATTTCTTCACATGCACGACTCCATCCAAGTTTGCCAATGCCGTGGAAAATTGGAAGCATGGCTGTGATCGCAAGCGCACTAAAAGTACCACCACGAAGCGTCCTCATCTTGTTTCCACCACCGCCAGTATCGAACAGTACGACAGCAGCGGCGACAGCAGCGCCCCCATTGAGGCACCAGTATACGCGCTGGGCTATGGGATCACAGCGAGCAGCATAATAAGTGGCCGATGACCCCCCACCCAGAGCGAGGAGACATATGCCGAAGATGTCGAAACGGCCCCAGCGATGGTGAATGCTGTAAGAATGACTCCGTAGTGTGTGAAACGTCGTACTGAGCCCGAAGCACAGAGCTGCCGCGCTTAAAGAGATGCCAAAGGCAAATCTGTCGCCAGTGGTGAGATTGAGTCTGCTCGAGATAGCAGATCTGTGCAAGGTGATGCCAGCCCCAACAAATGCAGCACTGCCCAGAAGATGGGTCCAGATGTTCATCGTTTCCATATGAAGGCAACGCCAGAGACGAAAGGACCTCTTGTATGAATGAGTTGGCATGGGATGTCCGCTGATGATGAAGTCATTATCTTGGAGCCATCCTGGGATATCGTCTTTTGTTCCTATCATAGGCCAATACGGTTCGGCATCTTTCTTGTTGTGTAGTATTGGGGAGTCGCTGGAACCCGACGATGTGGAAGCTGGTGAGAGTATTGCATCCTTGACCATGTTAACAGCTTCAATGTGTTGCGATTCCAGAGTTGGCGTTGGAGTTCGGGCAGTCATGGCATTATGAAGGGGACATGCGTCTTGGACGTGGTGTCAGCTACAGGCAACAATCGTGCGAGGAGAACATGTGGGGTCGAAAACTTAACTCGCTTGGGCCTGATGTGTTTCGGTAACCTTCGCGCCTGCCAACCGGCGCTATATGATGCGTGTTCGTTGGCTCGGTTAAGCTTCAGTTCATCTCCGTGTCGTATCATCGCGCCACGGTTATCGCTGTGAAGCGCATTTGGTATCACATGGGAGTACGAGTACAAGTTTGTTCTACCCAGGCAATGCACTTTGCCTTCCTTCGCTCGGAAAACTGGAAGAAAAGCGACAGTGACAGGGTACGCTTCAGCGACCTGATCCGCATTCTTCATATCTGAGACACGTGGTGATGGTGACCGAGCTGTAAAGGATGTAACCGCCCCCAAGGGAAGCGCTGCAGCCACAAGCCCCCTGCATGTACCCTTTTTTGTTATGATCATATTGACCACATACATGTACTAGCATGTACCGTCTAGGAGAGCTGATTCAGTCTACATCAATCATGACCAACAACGCTGTAACTATCGTACACTCGACTGTATCAGGGTGGGTGTCGACCCCAGACAGTAGAGGTACGATGGATATCATCTGGTCCTCTTTTCTGACCATCTTTCTCTGTACATGGACAGCTGTCTGTCTCAACATTCCTCATCCAAACGACTCAAAGCGCGACGTCTTCATCCGCAAAGCGAAATGGATGTTCTGGGCCATAGTCGGGCCTGAAATCGTCCTTGCCGTCGCTATCGGACAGTACGCATCCGCTCGACGATCGAAGAAACGATTCCATCGCCTCGGTTACAAAAATTGGACGATTCGACATGGCTTCTTTGCGGACATGGGAGGCATTCTGCTTCAGCCAAAGGAGAGCTCTCCGTTCGTTGTCAATGGTCGGCAGTTAGCATACCTTGTTGAGAAGGAGTACATTAAGTGCCCTGATATAACGGCTGAAGAGATATGGGACAAGTCCAAAGCCGATACTTTGGGGAAGCTCATCACTTTGGTCCAGGCTAGCTGGTTGGTGATTCAGCTGTTGGGTCGGGCAGCACTGCGTCTCTCTACTACGACCTTAGAGTTATCAGCTGGAGCTATCGTATTCTGCACGTTCGGAACTTTCTTCTGTTGGCTGCACAAGCCAGCTGATGTACAGAGAGGCATTGTGGTTACCACGGATGTTACAACTGCCCAAATCCTGATTGACGCTGGTCCCGTTGCTGCAGCACCATATCGACATACTCCTCTCGACTTCGTTGCGAGAGAGTCTTTCACTTGCAGCTACGACGTTATGGGCTTTGTCAATCGTCGTTGGGATCATCCGGAGCGGCCACTGAGAAAGTTCCCGAACGATCGTTTTCCCGACATCTGCACATTCGAGAAATTTGCGCTGTTTTGCTTGACCTCAGCGTACGCTGCTTCACACATGATCGCGTGGAATTTCTCGTTTCCGACACAAATAGAGCTTCTGCTGTGGCGTATATCTAGTTCGCTATTTACAGGAGTCACTGTATTTTTCTGGATTTTCGAGACGTGTGCGGCTCGACAGCGATTTGGACGCTGGGACAAATACCTTATCTGGCTTCGACTGAAGAAGAACCCAGATGCGTTACAGGCAGACGAAGAAACCGTCAAAGTTCCCACGCGCCAGGATACGATCAATCGTCTGGACGCTTTCGAACAAGAGCAACGCAAAGCTAAGCCTATATTGATGTGGGAACTCGCGCTTCTTGCTCCTGTTGTGCTTCTGTACTCCGCCGCGAGAGGTTACATGATAGTGGAAGTCTTCGTGAGTCTTAGAGAAGTACCAGTCGGGGTGTACAAAACGTTTGAGGTAGCAGAACTGATCCCTCATTGGTAATGAAGACCTTTGCATAAAAACCTGTTCAAGTCTTAGAGTAGCACGGTATAATCTTTCATGCATAATGAGGGTGATGAATTTTGATACAGTTCAGGTATTCGTATGATACCGGCCCTTCAGTGGTGAGACTGCAGTCGAGCTATCATGCTGTGGCGGCTGTCGTGAGTGGTGGAACCTTGGGTAATTATCGTATTTATGACAGACGTACTTACACGCATGGCCAATTTCGGATCGCTTCTTGCTTGTGATGCGCATAGATCTTGGTACGAAAAGTCATTGGCACAAAACTAAGGTACGGGTATCAGAATAGGATAGCATTTGCAAACCTTCGTAAGGGTTGTTTTGTTGCGTGCAGCAGCGCTCGACCATAACCCCACACCAGCCTAGGCGCGACTTCGGCCGTTCTTCTAGCAGGAGGCACCACCCTGTAGAGAGCATGCCTGTTGAACGCATCCTTCGATGTAGTCGTAATCCGAACAGCTCCGCACAGGGTCTGTGGTTGACGCGAATGATAATGCTGGAATAGTAGATGACTGACGTCATGTGGCTGGCGCGCTAGCTCCTGGCAGCCACAGCTCTGAGTTGTGCGTGCCTCACCTGTCACGCACCCTCACGAGCCTTGCGTTGCCTCACCCGTCCATATTACTATGACTGGTCTATCCGCGCATAGTCATTGTGTCTGAGTAGATCGCTACCCAAGCCTTCGCGCTAGTTGTCTGTTCGAGGCGTCGTAATGTCCTCCTATCGGGACTTAGCGCCACGTCCACAAGATGTGCCTGCCGTCGCGCCTGGCAACAGTAGAGCGGGATCTGTTAACAGGACCCCTTCGAGAGTGGCGGCAGCTTGCACCACATGCCGCGCGCGGAGAACCAAGGTCTTTCACCCAATTTGTTACTAAGGCTGACAAGGTTTCTCTAGAACGGAAGCTAATCTCAAACAGTGTGATGGTGAGAGACCAGCCTGTCGTTCCTGCGTGGAGCGAGAGACGACATGTGGATATGATCCACCTACTGGCACATTGCTCGCTCAGGCGCAGAAGAGAAAGATCGAAGAACTAGAGACCGACAGGAGCTCGTTATATGAAGTCCTGTGGTATCTACAGACAGCCTCTCCGTCCAAAGCTACAGCATTGTTGCGACACATGCGAGCTGCTCAGGGTGAAGATCTTGGCGTCATCTTCAGAAACTTCGAAATGAATCGCCCCAGTTCTTCCATGTCTGCAGCAGCTCCTGAAACCGATGCCAGCAAGGGCTATGCATCATCGGTAATAAACGATTCTTCCTCTTCGGTAATGCTCTCTATGCCAGAAGTCATGGACCATCCCAACTTCTCCGTTGCTCAAAAAAAGCAGTTTAACATGACGGCCATTACTCTGCTTGCTCCGAACCAGCAAGATGCATCCGTCGACAAGATCAACGGCCCGCTCGATATGTTTTTCGGCTGTGTGGGTGCGCTTTTCTACATCATGAACAAGGATGACGTTCAGATAAGCATTGCAGCAATGAAGGCTTCAGGTAATGGCCATATACCACTTGGAGACGTGCTCACCAACGGGAGTAATATACAACTGCGCACATACGCCGCAGAGCTTGCGGGCATGGCAGCCATCGGCGTCGTTCATTCCCAACTCGCTGATCCCGAAACGGCGCCGCCACCTGAACTTGCCGACTACTTCTATGCAGTCGCAAAGCATGGGCTAGACTCTGCCATATCGTTCAGTCCGCTTCGAGCAATGAAAATATGTTCGTTACTTGGAATGTACAATATCGTGGTCAAAGCCACAGTCGCTCTAGCTTATATTGGTATGATTCTACACCTCAACATTTCCATCGGAAGTGTCACGACTTACCAGTTTCCAGGACTTGGACTAAGTCTACCCCGTAATCAGAAAATTAGTCTTAAAACTTGCCCGCCAGGCTGGTCTCTTAGTTACTACGAAGATATTCGCCGCACATATAGGACTCTTGTTCATTTGCAATGGTGAGTACTGATCTCGAATCAGATACAATCTGTTACGATATTGACCCTTGCATCAGCTGGCTAAGCGCATCACTTGACCATGATTCAGATCCGGTGATTCAGGATATCACCTCAACTCAAGACGAATTGGACGTACCACCAGAAGACATGATCCGTCGTGAATGCGTCAAAGTGTCCATCATCAAGGCAAGCTTGCTTCGTCGCCTACCAACAAAAGCCCCTGTGCTTGAAGGTACCATACTTGAGTACCGTGTACGATTGTCGAGATTTCATGCGCGTCTTCCCGATTGGATGTCAATTGCTTCCTTGTTAGGGGGCGAGAACACTGAACTCATGGCCACGTTCCGTCCCGTTATATACTACGTCCATCTGTTCTACCTGTCAGCCATGATGCTGCTCTCAAGGCGGCTAATTATAGCATATATCCCGCTGGATGCGATTGGGAGCGTAACTCTTCCATCGGAAGCACAACGAGCCATCGAAGAAGGTTACCAGGCCGCGGAAACGAACGCTTCCGTTATGGATCTGATGTTACAGGAAGGCAAAGTAGTACAAGTATGCTGGCTGTGCATGTACGTCAAACATATGCTATGAGCTGGAAAGATGCTAACAATACATCTTAGTTATACCTCTTACACGGCGGGTATCATGATCGCTCACAAAGCTTCGCAAAACGCACTGCACAACGAGCCATTCGCCCACGGCATGGTTCTGCTGAGTAAATATATCGGCGTTCTCGGATACTGTGCGATCAAGGATGCACTTGCTGGGAAGTTTCACGACATCCTTACTGAGCATATGAGTATGCTTCGACAATACGAATCTACTTTAGCTAGAAGCGGGAATTCTGCTACCCCTTCGTCTTCTTCATCGAACGATAGCCTCTTCATCTTCCAGCGCGGCTCTTCGAATCTCCATATCGCCGCTCTCAACTTGCTTCGAACCATACACCACCCGTTCGGTGGTCTGAGAGATGTCACAGCACAGAACACGCTCTCGAATCGCGCTGAGACAACCATGGGGACACATCTCGAGTGGGAGTACGAGCTTGAAAGTCGAGACCTTGCGCAGGCACGGCCGAAGGATAGTAAGCTGGCGGATACCGTTGACGCTAAGATCGAGTCAATGACTCCTCTTTGTTCGTCATCGGAGCAGGATGCCCCTATGCAGAAGCTACTGGCTCAGCCTCAGGGCGAGGCTTGGACGAAATGGACCCCCGCAACATGGCAAAATTCGTTCCACATGCCTCAAAAGTAGACTCATGAATGCATCGACATTTTATCGTGGAACCCGTTGGCTATCGAAACACTGGACGAACATGCTAAGGGATATATATACCCCATCCACCACGACTAGCCTGGCTTGTAGGCAGTTGGCATAGCGAAACCAACATAATTCATGATTCTAAGTTCAAAGACAGCACTTGGTATCGGAGCTCAATCTGATGTCCTTGTAATACAGGCCAAGGTGCAAAAGGTAGCGAACTGAACGAGGGTGATAAACCAATTATGCACCACATCTTACGTCATAACCCCGCTTTCAACTAGCAACCTTTGTGTGTGTCTGAATCGCGTTGCGAGACCATTACATTCGCGACTCTTTGAAGTTGTCATTTTTACTTCCCATCATGACGCATCCTGCACCCAGTCACGTTGCGACGAAGGATCTTTTCAAGCTAGATGAACGGACTATCATAAGTTTGGCTCACTGACCAGGAAACCCCCTAGATCTAACACGAACTTCAGTTTCGGGGGGCGCCGGTGCAGTAGGCACCGTCGTTGGTAAAGCGATCCTGGAGAGTGGCGGAGACGTCGTCTTCGTCGATGTCTCGAACCCTAATCCCAAAGCCTGGAGTACGCTAGCAACAGCAAGACCATCAAGTCTGTTATAACCATTTCTAGACTCGCTTCAGGAATATGCTAAAGCCAACAACACTTCCGCAACTTTCCAAACCCTTGATGTCCAGGATGAAGCCAGCATCACGTCAGCCTTCACCACCATCCGTACCACCCTCCGTCACCCGATCCGTGGCCTTGTCTCCTGCGCAGCGATCTCTGGAGAGAGCGATGCATGTGACTACCCCATTACGACATTTCGGAAGATCCTCGACATCAACATTTCCGGAACCTTCCTCATCGCCCGTGCTGTAGCAAATGAACTCCACTCCACTAATCTACCAGGAAGCATCGTCCTCTTTGCCTCAATTTCCGGTCACATATCTAACCACGGAATCAACACTGCCGCATACAACGCCTCAAAAGCGGCCGTACACCAACTCGCTCGTTCGCTCGCGGCGGAATGGGGACATCCGCAGAATACCTTCCCAGGAAGTAAGAACTATTCTCTAGACGAACTGCATGTGAGACGTGCACTGATTTTGTACACGTACTTTTTTAGGCACAGTCACAGAAACGAATCCGAACCCAAGCCAAGAGCCTCGGAAAATTTACCCGCCGATTCGTGTTAACACTATTAGTCCCGGACATATCGATACGCCCCTCAGCGCGGAGGCGCGGAAGAGGGGGCTGACAGAGGAGTGGGCTAAGCAGAATATGTTAGGGAGGATTAGCGTGCCCGAGGAGTTTCGGGCGCCCGTGCTGTTTTTGTTGAGCGAGGGGAGCAGTTACGTTACTGGTTCTGTGAGTCGATTCTGACACTCTGATCGAGAAAGGGACCCTGGAACTAATGAGAGCCTTCTAGGATTTGAGGGTCGATGGTGGACACTGCGCATGGTAGAAAGTGACTAGGAAGATATGCTGTTTCATTCATTCAGAGATCAAAGGTATGTATGTACAAGAAGAATTCTAAAAAGAACCGGGAAAAAATGTAGACCGGTTACTTTCCTACCACCAACGCCTCGCTTTCTCGTAGATTTCTATACAAAAACGATGCGATTTCATCAACCACCGAATTCTCGCTCCTAACCACGCGTGAAGAATAACAACCACAGGTCGTCTACTCGTTGATCCTGTGTTGCCAGACCTCTTGCTCCGCCCTCGCAGAGTAGGTGCTAGCACCAAGAATAGCCCTCATCTGGTCGACACCCGTGAAGAGAATCTGTCTGGCGACGAACCAGCGGATACCCTCAGTGCAAGGCGGGCTGGTCAAGCTACCCTGGTAGGTCCAGAACTCGTTGAAGTAGAGAACGCTCTCAAGCAGAGGTCCAAAGTCCATAGTACAGGGCTGCTCAACACCCATTTCCGCGTAGCCGATCATGGAAGGCAGTTGCTCGAAGAAGGTCGAGTTGTAGTTACCGGGATCGAGACGAATGGCCATGACGGCCTTTTCGTGGCCAGTGGCGTCGACGTGGACGAGATGGAGCTCGGCTTTGCTGCGATCACCACCAACGGAATGATCAGCTGGGGCGTGAATGTGCCAGCCCTTGAGGTAGACGGTCTCGTTGTCGTAGGTGAAGCTTGGGTGCGTTGTCCAATCAATCTCTCCCTCTACTACGGCCTCCTCGTGTGCGACAGTGAATGCGGGTCCGTAGCCCCAGTTGTAGAAGTTACCGGCGATGCTGCCGTTGTACTTGAACTTGGGCACATGGTTTAAGGCTAGTCCGTTACCGAGCGAGAGGGCGATTGGAGACTGTTGGGTTCCGGTTTGGCAGAGATGGTAGTCGGGGTGGATCCTTCCCCAGTTGAAGGATGCTTCGTAGGCCCAGTCGTTATCCGTTACATTGCCCGGAGTGACTTGTTGCTGTCTTGTGGTGAGGTGTACATGGCGTTTGGCGTTGGTGTGTTGAGGGCAGCTAAGCGCTGCGGGCGCCAGTGTGGCGGCGGCAAGAAAGATAGATTGGAATAGCATGGTGAGAGTGCAGATATTTGTGTGATAGGAGAGTGCAAAGAGTCGATTGGATGACTGGTTAGGATGCTGTGATATCGAACTTTCTTGTTGCTTGTGGACATCTTATATATAATGTAGAGAAGCCACAAAATGAGCGTCCGCCTTCACAATTCACGGAACTATCCTAGCTTTCTAAGCACAGAGCTCTGCCGTTTCCTACGAAGCCGCCAAGCGCACGATATTCATGTCTTTCCTGTGCGCCATGGAAGGTCTACCATCGCCAAGCACCCTATCTCTTTACTACCGTTGCGCAGCCCCCTCCGACTGCGCAGCAAGTACCATTAGCAAATGCACTTGGTTTCCTTGGGAGGCGGCACGAGCTTGTATGATGGAAACAAAACATTCCGGCCTACCCTCGTAACAAGCCTAGATGCTAAGCATGAACCCTGCTTTCACAAGAAACGCTTGGTTGCCGAGAGCCATAGCGCAGGGGCGAGATCGCTCCGTTGCCTTCTCCAGTTAATCCGGCGATCTTGGCGGGGAACGGTCGCGTGGCTCATGGCAATGCGTTAACACTGGGGGTTCAGCGGTGCGGAGACTTGGCGTGGAGATATCGTGACTATTGTGTACTGTAATAAGCACAGCGTTTAAGGATGCCGGGAGAGGCTGAGTTGCTTAAGATGATGACACGCAGCGAGGATGATACAGTCGGTCCGTCGCGGGAACGTCAAAGCGTAACCTTATCACTGCTTAACAATTCTTGACGCGTGGCATAAGCGTGATGCGACGACTAGGTAGCCTCGTAAACTGAAGACAAAATACAACTCACGGTCATCTGGAGAGGATGTAGATATTTCCACAAGGCGGAGCGGAATGGCCTAAACGGTTGCGGACCTAGACCCGTCGAATCACGCTGTGCAATATCCTCCACCATTAGCTTGCCCGCAGATCGATCCTGCCGTGCAGCTCCTCAGACGTGTGCCGCCGCTACTGAGCAAAAGTGTGTATAATTAATCAGGGAAATGCCACTCGCTAGAGCGAGGCACTGCTCAGTTTGTAGAAATCTCCGCCGTCAAGCCGGAAACAGTCGCTGAAACCGATGCAGGCCGACAACCGCTCTCGGATCTGTCATCAGTCGCCTCTGCGGCATTCTTGGTATTTGTAGCGTGGAGGGTGGCCAAGAATTCACTCCACCACAGAAGCCAAGAGACGGAATCGTCTGGACACGGTACGTACTAGAGGTGAGACGGGACGCGCAGCCCAGGGCAGTCATTTGATGTATGACGGTATGATGCTGCCTACAGAGGAAGGAGAGCAAATTATGTGGAAGAATGGAATCCGGTGTCTCCGACCTTGATGCCCAATTGGCTCTGCGTGCGCGCTTCGACATAGAACCACGAGGGACGGAGAGAGCGGACCAACAACCTTGAACGTTGGCGATCAGCTGGCAGTTGGGACCACTTAGTGAAGTAGAAACAGGAATCAGAACAGAGAGTTAAGAAGACCGCGACAGGGTATCAGAAGAAGGGCGAGCTTTCCGGAGAACGGATCTCGGAATTCCGCAAAATGCACGTTTTGTCCATGTTGGCTGACTTGTGCCCAAGGTATCCATTCAGCGGTTCGGCGTTATTCACATTGGGGTCTTACAGAGCAAACGATAGTGCATTCTTTGAGGACTCGTTGTCGCATTGGTGGTATAAGTCAGAAAACACCAACTCCTCGTACTGATGTAGATCACGGCGGTACCAAACCTTGGCGATCAGTAACCCGGCCATACTACCTCGTCGCAGTCAGGATGCGCGAAAGCACCATTGCTCATTTGGTACTCGTATTCCAGATCCGGCTGAAACTCCCAGTACAAGCTTTCAGCGTCGCTCGCCATCTTGAATGTGTATGCAGCTGCATCATCGTCAACGTATACCTTGGGGACACCATTGGCTGCTGCTGCCTCAATCTTGAGTTGGACATCGCAAGAGCGTTCCATGAGGGTGTAGAGGAACGCGGCTTCGTCAACGGTACCTCCCACGGTCTGTGTGGTGTCAGCTTCAGCTGGATGCGGAAAGGAGGCCACACGGTACATACCAGCAAGCCATGATTTCTCAGGACCATGCCTTTGCCCTTTGCCCCCAAAGCCGAGGCCAACTTCTTGCCCTCTTCTTCGCTGAAGACGACGCCACCAAAGTCTTCATATACGGCTTGTGCATCGCCGTAGAAGTAGCATACGTCCTGATTCAGCATTTCCAATGGCTTTGCAAAGGCACTCCACGCTTTGCCTGCCTTTCCATGACAGTGGCATGCCGCGTTGACGTCGGGTCTCGCCTTGTGTATCGCCGAATGTATAAGGAAGCCTGCTGCGTTTGCGGGCCTGCTTTGATTGCCTCCTACTACGTTGCCGTCGTAATCGACAAGGACCATGTCCGATGCCTTGAGGAGACCAAAATGCTTTCCGAGCGGGTTGGTCCAGAAAGTGTGTGGATTCTCGGGATCTCTCACACTAATGTGACCTAAAGGTGCGTGTACGAAGTCAGTCTATGTCTCACATGCAGTCCGTACAGGGGAATGGCTTACCGCTCATGCCTTCGGTCAGGCCGTTCCGTGCGAAGACGCGGAAAGCGCCTAGGGTACGTCAGATGAACTGTTTCAAATCGCGTGCGCATTGCACTGACCAGCCATGTGTGATAGTATCCATGCGCGATGCTTGTCATACGAGGAGAAGAGTGGGATTCCGGGGAGGCAAACACCCTGGGATATGGCTTGCAGCGGCGTCAATTCCTTGGTCGCGTCGTCTTTGGATCGTGGAACGACCTGCTTGGTTTGCGCGACGGGCGCTGGTTCGGCCTGGATAGCGGAGGGTGCCATGTTGGGATGGGATGGGATAGAGCCTAGCTGTGAATGAGTAGGTCGTGTAAGTTGCAATTGATCAAAACTAGGTTCGCGCGCTGCTTGAATGCGCGATTGATATACTACAGACGAGCGCTATCAAGGAAATAAATCTCCTTATCACTTCATAGGGCGCGTCGAGTGGAGAAAGGTGGGATGGCCGTCCAGTCGAGCTCAAGACATACTGCGGGGTGCCGCCCTAGTCGCCGGCCAAGCTTATCACCGGCTCTCTTTCCCCATCTACCTCTCATCACCTATCCATCGCCAAATCCATCCAGATCCATTCCGTTGTCCATCGTGCACGTAAACTGCATGTCAAAGATGTAATAAGAAAACACCAGGGTATACTTCTAGGTCGACCAAACCACAACGTGCTTCTTCGTAATCATGTCTTACTCGAAGCGAGGCTACTTACTTGCCTACACTTATCCCCACATACCGTATTACATTTCCAATTTCATTCTGCAACATAGCTTTCCAATGAGCTCTGTTTTACTCCACAACTCGTTCCTGATCTGATCCTCACAATGCAAAAAGATACTCATCTTACATTCAGAGAGATTCACGGTAGCCCTGAGGCAGTGCTCACTAGCATACGAGAGATTCAAGAGATCGCTTTGTACCGCAAGCAGCCCGACCAATCTCTATCGCTTCGCTTCCTCTCGTTGGCAGCCGAGAATTTGCCGGACCATCAACAGCAACCAGAGATTATCTATCTTCGCCTTTCACCCCTCATTCCGATTCCTGGACCATACCTGACTATCTCCTATACTTGGCAACGTTCTGGATCGACGGCTGATAAACCCCCACAATATGTTGTTCTCCGACCGGACGCCACGTCTTTCCAGGTAGCCCCAGAGTTGAATCGCGTCATACACCGTACATTACGCTTCGCTGCGCATCAATGTATACATTATTTCTGGCTCGATCAATTGTGCGTTGATCAAACAGATCGCTCAGACGTCGAGAACCACCTACAATGCATGAATAGAGTGTATGCAGAAAGCCAATGTGCTCTAGCACCCTTGTGTATACCTATATTAGATCAATGGATGCTCGCAGGTTTGACATCCAATCTTGATGATCTACGTACGGCGGAACTATCGGCAATTGAGTGTATTGTAGCCACTCTTGAACACCTTGTGCAGGACACGTGGTTCTGGCGGACCTGGACCTATCACGAACGACTATGTGCTCGCTCTGTGTACCTGGCCATCCCTCTGCACGGTATTCGTTCGGAAGCTACAGACACACGCGACTGCTTTGCAATCGAGGATGATCTGATCATTAACATAGAACACATACAACAAATCATACAAGTTTCGAGGAAGAACGATAAAGTACCTGGGGGAAAAGCGCAACCTTCACCAGCTCGAGAGCAGGCCAGGAGGCTTTGGGTGCTCTTTCGGGAGTTCTTTGTGGAGCGAACAATCATCACCGGCAATACGAACCCAATATTCTGGAATAGATACATCATGAAGGCCATAGACAGGCGTGACAACTTGGTCGTTTCCGATCGCCTAGCCATACATTCTAATATTAGGAATCACAACTGGCGATTGCGGACTACTCAGTTGCAGAATGCTCGGTACAGTTACAGCACTTGCTTGCTAGTGCTGGTGCTCTCGAATTATCTTCTCTTCAACTACAAGTTATCAAGGGAACACTTTCGTCTTCCAATGGACCAAACCATCATGGAGGTAATCGGAAAGATGGAGGCTTCGGAGCAATTGTCTCTCATACATAAACCTCCTACGTCAGAAGGAGAAACCGTTGTTGTATTTCCACTCTGGACTGAAGAGTTTCTAGAGAAGGTTACCAGGGAGTCAGAAGTAGATGTTGACGTTTGGATGAGTGGCGAAGGAACGCGAGTCGTTCGAAAGCGACCTGAAGGTGAGGTATCACTTCTGCCCCCAACATCCAAGTTATTGAGACGCGGAGCATCTCGCCAGCCCATGGACGTCTCGGTGGCTTTACAACCGAGCGTCCTGCCCCACCAAAGCGCAGACGCAGGGTAAAGCTCTCCCGAACCACGATAGCGGGGTGTGTTTTCGTCGCGAGAGCACGCAATTATCCCGCCAGCCCAGCCAACACGGTGCTGTGCCTTGCTGTATACGTCCGACATCCCACGTCCTGAAGCAATTTCTGCAAGACATACATAATGGCTCCCGGCCGACACGATGGCCGAGAGCACTCAAGATGCGATACTTAAGAAGGGCGATTCTGCCTCTGGTAGCCAGATCACCCATCCCACGTTATTCACTCCCCACTTTCAAACCTTACGTATCATTCAGAATGTCTTCAGGAAAGACCGTCACCCTTAACTCTGGTCACAAGATCCCGTATGTTATTACAGTCTGTACCCTGGCAATTGCTTGCTGATGTTGTCATAGGCAGTTGGGATACGGTACCTGGCAAGCCGCTCCTGGCGAGGTTGGCAATGGTGTCTACGAGGCGTTGAAGATCGGATACCGTCATCTGGTAAGTGACAGACCCTGGAGACCCTGGAACCGTTGGCTCCACTCCATAGCCACCCAGCCATTGGTTGTTCTTGGATGCAATCGCTAACTCGTTGAACGTAGGACCTCGCAAAGATGTAAGTTGACAATCTTGTCATAGGAACCATCTACTCTTCACTCCCCGTCACTTTCTTTCCGCATCCGCCCAGAGACAAGATATTCTTCCGTGTTTGTTGTTGGAAGCTCAAGTGGGATGCCCCTCAGTGGAGACGGAAGCTTGGGAAGCTATGACCATCCTCTACTATCATTTGCCGAGAGCGTTAGCTGACGAGATATTCCGCCAATCATAGTTACGAGAACCAAAAGGAAGTTGCGCAGGGCATCAAGCGTGCTTACAAGGATGTTCCGGGTCTAAAGCGCGAGGACATCTTCATCACTGGAAAGCTGTGGAACACTCAGCACGATCCCGAGAAGGTAGAGGAGGCTCTCGATGACACTCTCGCCGAGCTTGAGCTCGAGTACCTCGACCTGTACCTCATCCACTGGCCGGTTAACTTCGGACCGGGAAAGAGCCCTCACTCTGAACTCTTCCCAATGACCTCCGACCCCAACGAGGTCAACATCGACAACTCCGTTCCCAACAGTGAGACATGGAAGGCCATGAACAAGCTGCCAAAGAGCAAAGTCCGTTCCGTCGGTGTCTCCAACTTTACATACCAGACCTTGAAGGCTCTCGTTGAGAAGACCGGCCTTGTCCCTGCTGTCAACCAGATCGAGCGTCACCCTATCCTCCCTAGCAAGGAGCTCGTCGCCTACGCCAAGGAGAAGAACATCCACATCACTGCCTACTCCGCTTTTGGCAACAACTTCTTTGACATCCCGCTGCTCATCCACCGCCCCGAGATCAAGGCTATTGCGGAGAAGAAGAGCGCAACGCCAGCGCAAGTCATTCTCGCATGGTCTCAAGTGGGTGGCCACTCCGTCATTCCCAAGTCAGTCACTGCGTCTCGCATTGCCGAGAACTTCAAGGAGATCGAGCTCGACGATGAAGACATCAAGGCTATCACCAAGTTCTCGGATGAGCACCAGGGCAGGAGAAGGTACAACGTACCATACACAGCCAACAAGCCCAGGTGGAGCATCAACATCTTCGACGAGCCGGAGGAGCAGGAGGCACCTAACAAGGTCGTCTTGTAGATGATGAGAGCCTGCATGTAGTCACAATATCATGAAAGTTATTCGAAGCTTGTTGTACAACGATGTATTCAGCACGGCGTGAGGTGCTGAAAGCCTTTGTTCGCTCTAAATAACGCGTGTACATTCTTCATTGCTATCAGATGCGTCCGTACTGCAGAGTAGTCTGGCCAACGGACTAAGACAATCAATCAAGGCAGTAAGAAACCGTTTCTTTCTTCTTTGTCTTCACTTTGATTCTTGTACATTGCTGAGCTTTAGCGTGCCTTTACGCGCAAAAGAGTTGGGCGCCTTTGCTAGATCTACATGCCATCATTGATCTGCACTCCACCGGGTAGACTTTCAAGCCCTGTCCAATAAATTAGCACGATACCTCTCATGCAGAAGAGAATGCTTACACTCATAGCCATCAACATCCTCTATCACCGTCTGTGGAATACTACACTTCATTGCATCTTCGTCGCTCTGCCTCTCCAGCTCACTACAATGATCGTTACTGCACCTTGCATTGAGCGCCCTCTGCAATGCGTCGCCTTTCCAGCCGAACATATAATCGCCATGGTTGCCGTGGCCAGTTCTATCTTCCAGAGTTAGCAGCAATACGGGCTTCCAAGTATTTCGGCGGAACGGGGGAGATTTACGCATCACCCATACTGAACACAAAAGGCTGTGTTCCCTCGTTGCCCCATAGCTCCTTCTGGTTGAATGGCATTGTGTCGAACATGACCTCATACATGACCTGTGGCAGCATAATCGGAAATCCCTCTGGGCACTTCCCCCTCTGCTGTTCGGGCGTATATGGATGCGTTGCCAAGGGTGCAACATACGGTTCGTAGGGGATCTCCGCGTATGCAACATGGCTCTGGTGGTCGGGGCTATCAAGATTTACGCCGTCCCAGCATGTAGGAAACGTGACTTGTGTGCGGATACCGCCTTCGCACATGCGGGTGGGAAGAAAGGTCGTGTCTTCTTCTGTGCACGGGGCACCGCCAAAGGGTTGCGCATTTTTGTAGATGCAACGATGGCAGATACCTCGGGATTCACCGGTGGTGTTGCGAAGGAGCGGGTTGCCGGCGAGCATGCGAAAACCCTGTTCTCATGTCAGCAACACAGCTTAGGTTCGTGAAGATCTTTCGTTATCTCTTGTTGATAGGAAGGGTAGAAGGATAGACTAACAGGCTTGAAGGCAGTCACATTACTGACGCCATCATATGGGGGTATATAGTATACTGTCATACCACCTCTCTGGTTTAGTCCACCGTTCGGGAACTGTTGAACACGTTTGTATGTGCCATTCTGTGCGCGAAAATATAACGCTGCAGTCCAATAGTTGCTGCGCTCGATCAGCCATGATCGCGTTCTAGATGCATGCTCTATGCCAGTCTTTATCGCTTTGCTCACATACCTAAAATCTTCGCTGAATGTGCACGTAGTACAATTACTTTTTTCTACCATATCGTATTCTCCAGGCTTCATTTCGGGCTGGAAGCTGTTTCCCCCAACGATCTGGTGCGTATGTGGGCTTCCGACAACTCCAGGGTTGACCAAAGGATCCAAACGTTCGACCGTAAGTTGCGAACAGGCGAAGCGCATCATCGCTGCGCCGCGACTGACATTCTGAGCGCATGTCGCGCTTGCTAGCACAAGAGTTGTTAGAGAAAAGTACATCATGGTGTTTCGACAACGCCGTAGGTATCTCCCTGGGACAAGCGGAGAGGAGCAGGGCCATTGATGCGAGATGTTTATCCAAGGAAGGATGGATATGTGCAGCGATGTGGGGCGTAGAAGTGCCGTATTCCAAGCATTTCTCTTTAGACCATCGTCTCAAAAGAATCCGCTGGAGTGGTTGTTGGAATGTCTGGTGAGTGGCGTAAAGTGCATCCATAGATTGAGCGACAAGGATCGGCCCAATCATGCAGTGGACGCATGATAGCACCGAAAGCCCTCAGGCAATGTTTGATATCGAGATCTTCAACCATTCAATCAATGATGTATTTCGAACTAGTGTATAGTAGTATTGCCATATATCCCTCCTCGATGCAAAACATTAATGTTCGAGTCGATCAAATAGGTAATGAGTTTTACTACAGCAAATTACAGCGCGACTCTTATCGAAGAATGTCTGTGATGCTAACCTTATCCTTCCGGTCAACGAATGGATCCGTTCCGGTTGGCGCATCACCCTCGGAAGGGACCATTACTTCCTTCTTGACAACGACATGTGATTCAGCAAGTTCCTCGAGGATCGGCTTCAAGTCTTTGTGCAGGGGTATGCCATGACCTTCGAGTCCAAGCGAACTCTCGGGGAAGTAAACGCCTGTCAGCTCAAAGACCGCTTTGTTTGCCGCCTTGAACCGTTTTCGCCCTCCCTCTGGACTGATGTTCCAAGTTGTTCCGTCCTTAGAAGGAGGGAGGAAGACCTTTTGAGCAACCTTGTCCCATGCTAGTGGCTCCTTGTCCCATGGACGACGCAACTCGTAGGCTTCTTGGCAGTGCAGAGGGTCGTCATGTAGAATGGTTACTTTTGACCAATCAATTGGACATGCCTGTTGATCATCGTACGGTGGCGTAGGCGCTGCAAAATCGCAATGCCATGGCTTAAAGGCAGGATGGGGTTCTGGATCGAAGACTAAGAAAGTTAGTCATAATTGTTCACATAAAGGACACAAATATCTCTTACTGGTCAATCTAGCACGTAGTCGCTCCTGGACTTTCACATCGTCGTCTTCATCTTCTGCCTCTTAAACAACCCTCTTCTTCGCCTTGGTCCTTTTAGCTCGCGCGCCCTTCGACAATGCTATCAGATCTTGCACAGGCGTATCCTCCGTTACTATGTCCCCCTCGTCCGCAGCTGAAGTGTTCGTGGGCGCGTCTGTGAAAGTCAGTGCATTTGATTCACGTCCTAAACTTAGATCACTCTTGGCCTGCGCGACTTTCTGGCGTTTCGTGGTTTTCCTCCGGGTACACGTTCGGTCCGCGAGAGGATTATGGCTTGCGCTTGTTCGACTTGAAGGCAGCCTGCTGTGCTGCGTAGCTCTATGGTCATCTTCGAGGGTCAGCTCCGACACTTGAGCTTTGCGTTTCTTGTTAAAGGACTCGGCCATATCTGGATCAAGGCTCAACAGACGGTAATTATGGTACGTAGTGGGATGAGGCTGGCTGGTATGTTCGATGTCAAGGATCACGGATGCGGATTGTGCTGAAGCGTGAGTGTGATATTTTCAAGACCAAAATGGAAGAGAATACTGTGAGGGCTTATACGCAACATTTGAGTGGCAGTGGTCAGGCACCAGTGGATAACACACGTGAGCCGCACTGACCTCATGGTTGATGCTGTAAGGGCGAGTCTTGATGCCAGTAATTCCAGTGAAAGTCCATATCAGTGGCAAGTGGTAAGTACGCACGCGATATGGATGTCGAGGAAAGTATAAGAAACGAAGATGAGGCAACAGAGATTATAGCGCGGAATAATTGAAGAGTGCGATATTGTCGAGCCTCCGAAAAACGGATATGAAATATGCTGCATCAGACTTCATCAGCGACGCACTGGCAAACGTTGCTTTGAAAAGACATCAGCAAGGTCAAAGTCCTTATGAAAAGAAGTTGATAGCATACTGAGTTTTCTGTTACCACAAGAGTTCGCTCAGATATGTACTGTCGCAAACGAACATTGCGAACTCGATACTCAACATCTTTTGAGGTTTGTCCGTCTGTTCCGGGGAGTCCCAGTGTCTACGTCCTCGCGATCAGCTTTCAGACAAATAGAGTGGAACCAAAAAGCACCAGTTTTGTACGAGGAACAAGATATTCGAGGAAAATCTGCTTCCAGGACCGAACCACTGAAGGTGATCATGCTCGCGTTTGCTGTCATTGTGTCTTCTTCATCCCGGTCTGGAAGGTCGCCTCGGAAAACAACCCGTGATTGCGAGATATTACCGACTGTTGTGTAAGCACGGCTCGTGATGAAGCATGTGGCAGGTTGCTATAATAACGATGCCATAGTTTGAGAGTTGGAAAGACGCGAACGATGAAGTCGGGTGGTTGGCAAGTTGGAAGCCCAGGGGAATGGTCAGTGCGCGCTGCCGACAGACGTCATAATCGCGACTAGCGGCATACATTGCTATACAGGTCGCATATCGAGACAGCACGCAAGGAGGAATACGCTGGGTGTGTAGTGACGCACAGATAGTTGCATCTACTTAGACGTGGTTATCAAACTCCTTATTTACATCAAACATGGTTATTCATGCGCTACTGCAGCATACCCTCTAAGCTTTCTCCCAGAATCTCCTCCATGCCATTCTTCCACCTCTGGCACTCTCTCTCTACAATCTCATCGTCATCTTCCATGAGCTCACTAATGAACGGTAGCATCTCAGGTAGCAAGCCCAACCATTCTTCACCCAGCCTCCTCGTCAAGCTTTGCTCACACAGAACTGTTGCGAGTCTTGTGTTTCTGTCCTCGCTTCTCATGTTCTTCAGCAATATGCTGTTCATCTCACGGTGATTCTCCATAGATGATGCAGATGCAACAGCGAGTTCGGTGATGGTGGGAATAACGTTGTTGGTGTTGTTCTCTGGAGTAGAAGTAGAGGCAGACGGGAGGTTGAGCAGAGACAACAAAGGTGGCATTATCGTTCCGAAGTGGGATGGCGCCTGCCAGAAACCGTCTTGGTCATGCTGGAATGTCTTCTGGAGGGCTGCGAGAACAGCGCTGCGGGTGGCGACCTCTGAGTCGTCCTTAGCAAGTCCGATAAGCATCTTCGCAGCATGCTCGATGATGTAGCTCGAATAGCTTGTTACAAGAGACTGAACATTTGTTAGCGATACTTCATCATCATAATAGAGATCGTTACATACCTTGAATTTGTCGAAGAAAGCGGCAAGGACCTTGTAGAAGGTGATAGCTCGTTCAGGCTTGGAAGAAACGGGGCCCTCTTGGTCCACGAGCTGTACGAAGAAAGGACGGAAGGTAGCATCACTGAGCTTCAATACCATAGCAATGACCGAATCCGTAAGAGTGCCTTCCAGCTGTTCGATCTCTTCGTCGTCAACCTCCACCGTGGCAGATTGAACAGTCTCACGTAGGCGGAAAGTCTGCAGAAGCAGGCTGAAGAGTGGCGGGCTGGCTTTAACAAGCTTAGCTTTGGTTTGGGTGTTGACAGTCGCACGCAGAAGCTCAAGCTGCTCGAGCGAGGCATCAAATCCTTGAGAGGCGGCATCTGGCCATGTCGACTTCAGAGCAGCGAAGACTTCCTGGGCACCCAGGTGCTCAGATACGCTCTGGAAGAAACTGCTGCGGCTTTCGTCGCAAGCCTGTTCCAGATCGGCAGCAGCGGAGCGGTGGCACAACCGAAGAGCTGTCTCGAGATAGTCGCGCGAGAACATGTACCCCAGTCGTTCTACAATATTTGAGAGAATGGTGAACACAGCATTGTGTAGACCAGTCTTCTCTTCTTCGATCGCATGCGACAAGTATTCGAACGCTGTTGGCAAGACGGTAGGAAGAAGCGAGATGGCTTCATCCTCGAGCACGTCAACAACAGACGTAAGGCAGAGGAGAGATAGGATGCGGAGGCGGTCATCGCTGCTGGATAGCGATTGTGGTCCGGAGACGATTTGGGCAACTGATGCAACAGCAGACACGTCCTTCTTTCCGAATCGCTCGATGATGCGGTCAATGCAGCTAACAGCTACCATCTTAGCGTCTATCTCGGGTGATTGCTCTAGAAGATCCTGGACACTAGGGAGGAAAGCGATCAGGGCCTCTACAGACTTGCGGTCATGCTGCTTAGCGGTGCCAGCGCGTAGCTCAACTGACTTGACGGCGGCAACTTGCACATGAGAGTCCGCGCTTGAGAGGAGTAGCTGTGCCGATTTGACGAGATCAGTTGTTGGTAGGAGATCCAGGCAGCTGGCAAGGACACGGCTGCAACCTGCGTATGTCTTGGGGTTCGTTGCCAGCTTCTTTGACAACTGAATAGTAGTTTCGACAATGTTTGCGAAGATCCTTCGTGGCCGTTCAGGGTCATCCTTCTTTCTGTACGCTCGGGTGACATGCGCTTTCACCTTGTCATCGAGTGCAAGATCTGTCAAGCAAGACAGCATGCTCTGGATTGATAGATCGAACTTGTTGTCTTTTGTCTTCTCCTTAAGGCTGAACAGCGTCTCCGAGACCTGAGGCTTCGGCCCCACTGCATCAGTGAGTAGGTCGAGGTAACCCTTGAAAGTAACAAGGGTGTGTACAGGTTCGAAATGAAGTAGCAAATCGGCACAGAACCTTCGCTGCTCTTTGCTGTGGTAGCGATCGGCAAGTAGCGCCACAATAGCCGGAAGCGAGTCTTCAGGGCCTAGTGTGCGAGCAAGCTCTGTGAACAGCTTCATCCTCCTGTGCAGGGGAATGTGTTCAAAGGCAGCAGTGAAACTGAGCAACAGATCGGACACTCCAGCGATAAAGTCCCTGTGTTTTGAGCGGAGAGAAGCTGCCAGTTGGGGTACAACACGGGAAATGGTCTTATCGACGACTTGGGCGGAGTAGTCGTCATGTTGGCGAAGTAGAGTAGATCCGATGAAGGTGAAGATGGGCATAAGATTATGAAGGATGAGATCGGGTACCCATGATGCGAGGTTGGAAATGAGCAGGAGAGCACTGTTCTGAACTTGAGGACTGCCGGAGTGTCGAATGCAGTCAATGAGTAGATCCGCTCGTACTGCTGATTGGTAGTCTGTGGTGTCCGTCTGTTCCTTCAATGTGTTTACGATAGGGCTGAGTGAGCCCAGAATGATGCTCTGCAGGTACACTAGCTCGGATCCAGATTGTTGCTTGAGTGGTTGCAGCTCCGCGAAGATACCAAAGAGGTGCTTGAACAGCGTTGGGTGTTGTCCTGGATTGGATCCCTCAACTAGCTCAAGAACCAATGTGAGCTTTCGGAGAAGTCGCTGAACGTCATCTTGAGACGAAAGCTCCACGCGGGCCATCTCACTTCGGCTTGTTCGTCTTCTCTTCGCAGCAGGCGCTCCTCCAGGCATAGCTGTAGGGGATGGAATGCTTTCCAAGAAAGAAACGAGAATAGCGGAATCAAGATCGACGCTGCGCAGTATCTCAATGGACTGCTCTCTGCAGAGCTTGTCGAAAGAGGTGTCGCTTTCACTGGTAGAGAGACCGAGCATGCACTGGGCCAATGCGTGTCGAGCTTCAGATCTGAAGGACGACCACGAGGTATGGATGCGCTGGAAAGCAGCAATAACCAGAGTTTCGCGGTCCTTGTTGAGGGTTCCAGAGATTATGTCCTGGAGCAGCTGAGCGCTCTTCGCCTCTCTGGGCATTGTGGAAGTAATGTGAGCCCGCTCCACCTCATCAAGCGAAAGGCCTTCGCTGTTGCAGCTAGCGGTCACGGTCGCAGTTGGAAGACTAGACCATGCGGTGAGCAAGGGAATCATGGTGTTACTGCGAACCGTGTCGGAAACTTTGCCGCGTATGTTCGCGACTGGTAGAAGGCTAAGTCGCACCCTCAACACTGGCGTAAGACTGGCATGGCTTGCGAGGAATCCCAGGACTAATGTCCTGGTTTGCATCTTGATCGTGTTTTTGGTGTGGTTCTTCAACTGTGTGCCTTCCAGAACATCGCGAAGCGCAGGTATGACGAACTTTGAGTCCATCACGCATTCTTCCAAGATCGGTTGCAGCATCGACGAAACAAAAACCAGGACATCCTCAGGCTTGAGCTCTGCAAGGGCCTTTGATTCCTTCCCATAGAGGTCTGTTTTTCCCCAGGTTTGCGCCTTTGACTTGGCGGAGGCCTTTCGTGCCAGAGATCCGACACATGCGGCTGCTGAACGTCGGATGAGTGGGGATGAATCAGTGAGCGCGTGAATAAGGTACGGCAAGATGTTCTGCAGAACATGTGCAGCTTCAATCTTTTCGAATGATGATGCGGCTGCACGAAGTGCGGCAACGCGGACAGCGACTGGTCGGATGCTACTCCACACGCGAGCAAGGAACGAAAGGTAGATTGGTTGCTTGAACGCGGAATCTTGCTGCAACGTGTCTGAAACGAGGAAGTGCCGGGTCTGTTTTGTGGCCACAGCCTGCTCGAAAACGTCGGCGACTTGTATGAACTCGCTTTCTGAACCGGCATCGAAGAAGCTCTTGCTGGTGATCTCGGGCACCTGTATGAGGGGCTTCTCGGTTGCATCCTCATCGGCATCGAGCATCTCCTCGTCCGAATCCTCTTCGGGAATCTCCGCGATATCGAATGTTTGGCCAACAGTGAGTCCCAACGATTCCAGATCGACATTGTTCTGCTTCGCCACTTCCTGCATTATGATTTGTAGCTCCTTAGATTCGGTCATCTTGGTAGCGAGCTGAAGAACCTCTCCGTGCTCTTGGGAACCCGGCGCACTATCGCGAAGGAGTTGAACCAGTGCTGAGAGCACCATCTGAACGCGCGACGTAGTGAGCAGGCCAGATGCGATCAACTCGCTGAAGATTTCACGGTTCTCGTCGGAGCTATCACTGAGCGCACCGAGAGCGCAGCCCAGGACCAGTCGTTCGACCTGACATTGATGTGACAGCGCCGTCAATTTCTGCACGAGTTGCGGGACGTTGAGCAGTTTTTTTGATACTTTGGCAGGGATTTGCGCCTTGGAGCGCTCCATGGCGATGATAGCTAGGCATGCAAGGCATGACTGAAGGGATGTTTCGTCATGGGCTGCAATGACAGCTTCCATCAGTCCATCCAAGACCTTGTCTCCGACCTTGGCCTGGTTGACCATCATAATGACGATAGCGTAACAGGCCAGGACCGTGTCAGCCCCATGCTTTGCCCGCATGCAGCTGTTGAGGACAGGGAGCAATTCCAAGACCAGCTTCTCAGTTCCCTGGTCCTGGAGGTCCTTTCTGCCAGAGCTTGCGTTGCTCACTATGCCGTATATAGCCTCAACTGTGGTTCCTGACCAGAAGGACAGCATATGCGAGGCCTGGTGGCCCGCCTCTACCACCTTGGTTACATATGATTGGTAGGCGTTGAAGAACTGCGGGGTATTGATGGCAGTGTATGCGATCGTACGCTGGGGTATTTTGGTTGGCGCCTGGATGTAGGGAAAGAGGAAGCGGATAGCGTGCGGTGGTTGTGCGGGTAGGATGGAGAGCAGTGCAAGGAACTGTGGTGTGTTGTGGTAGGGCAGGTAGGTAAAGACGAGGGTTTCGGTGTTGTACTCGTGGATACTGGCTTCTTGTCAGCCTCAATCGTGTGGAAAGCCATCAGAGGCTTCCAGATGCATCAACTCACCGGAATCTCCTCACCAGCCACTCAAGGGCCTTCTCCGCCGGCTTCAACAGTAGCCTTGGTCCGACCAGCGTGATGAATGCCTCGAGTACTGTGTTCAACTTTGCGTTTTCATCCTTGCTCATCTGCGTGCGATCTTCCGACTTGCTCTGTTCGCTGAACAGATTCTTCGAGAAGCGCAGAAACCTGGGATCCAATGCGCAAAGGTCCTTGTAGCCATCGTAGCAGATTAGGTAGATGGTTTCGAAGGATTGCGATGCGGCGATCTTGGAATCGAATAGCAGCGACTTGCCATGCGCCGACTTTTGCGCGCGCAGGTCGAGCTGATGGGTGCTCGAAGCCGCAATGGATGCGAGCTGTTTCTGTAGCGCCGTCGCCATTTTTAGGTGGTTTCACTATCGTAACGGGCTCTAAGGTGTGTTTTTGATAATGCGATGAGCCATCAGACGCAGCGGTACAGCGTAGATTTTGTCGTGGCGGATGGTTGGGAAGCTTGAAGCCAGTGATGCGCATACAAAATTTCGGGAAGCCAAGATTTCACGCTAAAGAGGTTTTACGGCGGGCCGCTCGAGCCAGATATGCTGCCGGACCCCCGAGACACGTGCGACGCGCCTTACGCCTCCCGTCTCCAATCATCTTCCATCCCATCTGTCGCCCTGCGCATTCACTCTAGATATATAGATTCGTGAATTCTATCTAGAGTTTACACGGAGCGCCGTCAGTCGCAGTTGTCTTCTCGGCTCATGACCAGGCGCATCAAATCTATCGCTCTGCTAGAAAGCAACAGCTGTATGACACTAGCTTGAATCCTCATTTACGATAGTGAGGTCGCTGTGGCCGTATCTTTCGTCATGTCGTCCAACGTTCCCAAGTTTGCGAGCTTCCGGCCAAAGCCCAAGGTAGAGCCAGAGCCGCCCAAGGAACCTCAACAACATGAGAAAGTCGGAAAGTCATCTAAAGAGAAAGCTCCGGGCAGGAGAAGATCTCCTTCGCCAGACAGAAGTACTCGTGAGCAAAAGTCAAACAAAGACAGGCCCTACTTCAGCGACCGACGAGGTGACCCCGACGTTTTTCGTTATGGGACAATGAATCGTTATGATATCCCGCCTTACCGTCGATTTGGTCATGGCTTCATACTAGGGCTTTCCGCAAATCAGAAGATCGACAGAGCCGAGTCTACAGACAAGAAGATCGTTGTAACACCAGCAACACGCAGACGGCAAGAGCGACTGCTGACAGACAAGCGTGCGAATAAGTCGCGTGGGCGCGCTCTACGACTGGTCAAGACGGGAGAAGGCGATACAAGTCTCGACCAGGACTTTGTCTTATTGTCTTCACGCGCCAAAAGAAGACGCGATGAAAGCGAAGATGAGGACGACCAAGTGGAAATGGAGGCAGACTACCGACGCATCGATGGGCCCAAATCAAGCGAGCCTGTAGACCCAGACACGCAGTACGAGTCTGATCCCGAGCTTGTGATTGACACCGAGATCACTCGCAAAAACTCCCAGCTTGCACGGCAGACGAAAGAACACCCCACAGACGTCCAGGGCTGGTTGGCACTGATCAAACACCAGGAGGCCATGCTCAAGCTTGAGCGGCCATCTGCTGAATTGACTGCATCTGACAAAGCACACCTTGCAGACGTACGCATCTCTACCTACGAGGAGGCTTTGAAGAAGATTGGTCTAGATAAGAATAGCCAGCTGAGGTTATACCAGGGCCTCTTGAAAGAGGCAGAAAGAGCTTGGGATGGCGCGAAACTGGCCGGCAAATGGAAGGACGTACTTGCGAAACATCCGCAAAGTGTGGATTTGTGGATGATGTACCTCGACTTTGTGCAGTCACGATTCACAAGCTTCAAATATGAAGAGTGTCGCGCTATCTTCTTCAAATGTGTAGAGTCTCTTCGTGCAAACAAGGCCGACATTTCGTCAGAACAGAGCCTGCATCTATTACTGCGTCTGACGGCCATGGCTCATGATGCAGGATACCAGGAGCTTGGTCTTGCAGTCTGGCAGGCCTTATTTGAGCATCACCTGATGCGTCCAGAATCAGGCGCCGACATCCAAGCTTTTGAAGAGTTCTGGGAAAGCGAAGTGCCTCGTATTGGCGAGACGGGAGCAAAGGGTTGGAGGCATGGCAGTACAGACGACCCGCCACCTCCAGGGCCTTCGTCTTTGCAGGAAAGAGAAGCGTCAGATGCTAACTTTGAGAGCTTCCGAGAGCGCGAATGCGAGGCTACGTCGGTGTTACGACACCCTGGTCGGGCATCAGATGATGTAGCAGAAGATGACGCCTTTCATACAATCTTCTTCTCGGATATCGAACCCTACTTAGCCATTGTTACGCCTGAGACACCAGCGACGCTGATGATCGAGGCTTTCTTGTGCTTCTGCATGCTACCACCGCTAGCACATCGTATCCCACAACAACGAGCCTGGTGGACTGATCCATTCTTACAGCGCCATTGGCACTCTGCTACTCCAGACACTGATGAATCTCATGATTTCACTAAGGCCGTCAAACGATACTCTAATTATTCAGCAAAGAGCTTCCAGATGACCACTGAGCTCTTATTCGAGCAGCACTTCTCGCTTGACGGAATCAAACTTGATGCAGACTTTATCAGATGTCTGCTTAAGATCCTCTCCTCGGATCCTTCAAGCGAAGAAATTGTAGGAGAATATCTCCTTGCTTTCGAATCTAAACACTTTCCATCGGAAGCATTCAAGACAGCAAAGCGATTACTCAAAGCGCGGCCGTCAAGTTTGCGTTTGTACAACGCTTATGGGTTAGTTGAATCGCGCCTGGGCAATTCCTCCAAGGCAGATCAAGTGTTCAGCATGGCGCTGTCCATGCAAAAGGGAGACGATCTGCTTTCAGCCCCATGGAGTCTAGAGCTCTTCAGCAACTGGGTATGGGAAGCGCTCCGAAGAGGAGACCACGAAGAAGCTTCTTGGCGGCTCGTCTCGCCAGAAGGCAAACTTCCCAATGCAGAGCACAGAAACTCGAGTCCCTGGGCCCAACCAGCATATGAGAAAATCAGTCAAATCGAAGAACATGCACTACTGAACCACGACTACCCAACAGCAGTAATATGTACCTGCCTTCACGTTCTCCTTAGCGACACCGTCCGCGACGTTAACCCCCAACTCTACCCTTACTCCCGCCTAAGACAATGGTTCTCATCCCATCGCCTCGACAAGTCTCCCTTCGAAGAACTGCGCGCTCAATCTCTCGCACAATTCCTCGCATACCACGCCACCCGAGCCCCAATTGTCAAACCTTCTTTGATCCGTGGCAACCTCGACTGGGTTCTCGACGACTTCCCAGCAAACACAATCTTGCTCTCCGTGTACGCTGCAAACGAGACGCGTTTTGCAATCGACGATCGCGTTAGAAGATTCTGGGAAGGATTCTATTCTCAACCGGACGAACAGAGTTTAGCGAGCTGGGCATTCGCGATACACTACGAGGCGTTGAGGGACGAGAGGGCGGGCTCAACTAGCCATTCTATACGTGCGTTGTATAGACGCGCTACAGACTCGGTGACAGGGTCTCGCTGTCCCGCACTCTGGAAAGCTTATGTCAACTTTGAATTACAGTGTTTGCATAGCGAGCAGACACGACAGCAGCAGTGGCATGCGAACAAGAAACCACGCCGAGATGGTAAGAAGAGTAAATGGGAGATGAGGGTCGAGGAAGCGGAACAACGGGTCAAGGACACGTTTTACGCTGGGTTGAGGAACCTGCCATGGTGTAAAGAGTACATCATGTTTGCCTTTACGGATGCGAGGGATGTTTTTAGGAACGAGGAGAAGGCGAAGCTGTATAGGGTCATGCAAGAGAAGGAACTCAGGCTTTATGTTGAGTTGGATGTATGAAGGGTTTATAGAGAGAGTACAGGTGAGCTAGGCAGATGACGAATTTCCTGCTCAGTCAAGCTTTCTTGAAGAGAATTTAGAATCATGTACATTAAGCACCCGCGACTATCCAACTAGTGGGCATTTGAGATCATCAACACAACTTCTAGAAAATGTCTTCCGTGCCTGCTTCTGCCCATGTGATCTCTCCTTTGGCAACACGGTTCCTCACTTGCCAGTACTCATGGTTGAAAACCCAGTATTCCTCACCAGTCGTTTCACACCTGCCCTTGCTGAACCACCTGGGTACGAATTCTTTGCCTTCAGCTTCTCGCTGTCTGCGGGTTGCTCGCTGCTTTTCTTCTACCCTGTTCTTCTCCGTTGCCGCAAAATCGTACTCTCCGTCTTCCATGGCGCGTTGATCGGGGCGGAGACGCGTGTCTGTTGGGGCAACAACAGGGCGAAGCTTGTCGGGAATGTCGTTAAGGGTCACGACGAAAGGAGTAAGGTTGAAAGGTATACCTGTTGGGCGCTCGTGAGCTTGCCAGACAAGGAAAGCCTTGTTGTCGTCGTGTTTTGAACTCTTTCCGCTCTTCTCAACATCCACATCCTCGAAGCCTGGGGTGAAGCGGGCGTAAATCTTGTCGTTCCATCGACCGCCAATACTCCAGCGGACGCGGTTCTGCGCGTCAAAGACTTTTCCAACGACTTGGTAGGCTGACGAAGCCTTCCAACCGCGCGGCTTGAACTCAATAAGACATTTCTCTCCCGTCGTATGGTTTGTAATCTCCATGGTACCGTAGTTGTCGACAACGGGGTTACCAGTTATAATGCCAATGACGGAGGACGTAACCTTCTTCCAGGTGTACAGCTCTTCTTTTCCACCATTGACGGTTGGCCGAAGACGAAGGAACCAAGTTCCGAGCGGATTGATGTCGAAAGATTTGCCATAGAATTTGGACTTCACTGCAGATTCACCCTAGGCTGCATTAGAAAGTGTGACGTGAGGGCAAATGTTAGTACTTACATAGTAATCCCACTTTTTGGATTCCGCATAAGCAGCACCGATCGGTGGGTGATGGCTGACCTGCTCAATGAAGAAACGGTAGCCCTTGTCTGGCCTGGCATACTCATACGTCTCAGCGAGAAGAGGATTGAAAGGCTTTGCAACACGTCCAATGGTCGAAGCATACTCTGATGCAGCAAATGCACCAACATAGAGTATTCGCTCGGTAGAGTCGTCGCGTTCAGCAGCGGTGTCAAGGAGATCAGTGTATTCCATATCTTCCGCAACACGTTGAAGCAGTGAAGTGGGCTCGTTGAATGACACTGGCAATGTCATCTTAGTCATGTCCTTGCCAATCATAGATTTGAGAATGCCCTGGGAGCTGTTAGCGTCTAGTAGATGTACTGCGACATCAAACATACCCAAAGCGAGATCTTAGGCCTGTCGTCTGCGTCCATGGCAAGCCTCTTCCGCGGGCCATCTTCGTAGCCTGCCCAAGCTGTGGCGATCTCCATGTGCTTCTTCTCGAACGGATCATCTGAGGAGGCTGGTACGTCGACTTGTGCAGTCTCCTTGGGAGCAGCCGCAGGCATTTCTACAACCTCAACCTCTCCAGCACCAACAGCGTCGAAGAACTCCTCGTCATCTTCTGATTCAGAGTCTGATATGTCGGCAGCGATGTCGGCGAACGTAGCCTTTCTCCTAACTTTCTGATTCTTAACTGGAAGTCCTACACCCGATCCCAGCTCTTTTTGTTGCTGAGCGTCTTCTGGTGCGTCAGCGAAATTGTCTTCTTCATCCTTGGCATCAGGTTTGGCTTCAGTTGTCTCGTAGTCCTCCAACGCTTCTCGTAGGGCCTTCTTCTGCTTTCGCCGCTTCTCCTCAGACTCGCCTATCCTGTTCTCGAGCTCTTCCTGCTCCTTTGCAACCTTGGCCATGCTTTCTTCCCACATGCGTCTGACGTTAGCCTCGCGATCCAAGCGGTATTGCCAATAAGCGTCACGATCCCTTGATATCCGAAGCAGATCGCCAATCAGCCCTTTCAGGTTTCCGATAGCAGACTCGTAAGATGTGAATGCTTGGAGCATCATAGGATCGGAAATTTTGAGGTCGGGTGAACGACTCATCTCCGCCTGTAACGCCCCTGAAACGGATGTCAACAGATCAAGCTGCAACTTGGCCGATTGTGCTGTGATATTGAATGCGTCTTTACTTTGGGGCTTCATTTCATGGCTGCTTGTATCGTCGCCGTAGTCGTCCTCGTCTTCATCGTCGCCGGCTACAGTAGCGGTACCCATGTGGCTGGTCATTCTGTCTAGACCGTGACCGTTCATGCTAGGCTCGTAAATACTCCCGGGATCTTCAGTCACACTAACCGCAGTTCGCGAGGATGTGTTGTCGAGGCTAGGCATCGGGACTCCGAGAGTGGATGAAGCAGCCATGTTTCGCGAGCTTGCTGCCAACTTGGAGCTACCGACACTAGATGTGTCGCCCTCGCCCTTGATCTGCTCAATCTTAGCTTGCTTCAACATCTCCTGATCCTGAGTGGCCCGCTTCTCTTCCTCTCGTGCTTCGTCCTTGGCCCATTGAATCGCGTTGTTCAGAGCCCAGTACCATCGCTTGGCTTCAACCTCGTGGTTCGCCTTGAGATGGTACTTGACTGAAGACTTTCCCTGAATTTCAAACCGCTGCTTATCTTGGGGGTCCATGTACAATTTCGCAATCCTCATGTTGATGGCACCTCGGCATGCAGATCCAGTATCGTCCTGGTGCTTGTAGTAGCTGAGCACGCCGTCCTCGAGCACGAACCATCGCAACTTGTATCCAGTTCTGTAGTTTGTCCACTTCTTAAGGTAGCCCTTCATCTCGCGCGACTCTTTCGCGCCCATGCCACTTTCGGTTGCAGTTTGTCCTGGAGGACCACCCGCGAGGATTGTCTTTTCTTGGATGCCCCTCTGAGCTGCTGCGGCAGCAGGCGATCGCTTTAGAATAGCGCGCGTACGGTCGTCTTTGGTGTAGTCTTGAGGAAGCTTGCCCTTTCGGTCTCGGCGGAAAGGATCAGCTCCGTTAAGCAATAGCAGTTGCGCCAGCTTGACATCCTTCTTCTTAGCAGCCTCGTGCAGAAGTGTACCGCCTGCATCTACCACGACCGGGTCAGTCGCCAGCTCTCCACCGTTGACGTCTAGGGTGCTCTTTATCCTAGCATCTTGCAGTATCTTCTCCAACGAGTCCATGTCTCCCGTGGTCACCATGTGTTGTATCTTCTTTACGTGGGTGTCGATGAATATGGATCGCGAGAGCTGCAGTTGCTGGAAGATGTCTGGTGTGCGAGCGAGATCCAATGGTGTCTGACCATTGTAATTGGTGACTGAATCGTTGATGCCAGGCTGATCGAGCAGCATTCGGACGACTGGAGTTCTGCCCAGGGTGGCTGCGAGGTGGAGTGGGGTATTGCCATCGCGGTCGCGGCCATTGATGTCGATGGGCGAGTCTGGTGTTGCCGTTGCGTTTGATAGCACAAACTCAATGACGGGCACCTCGGCACATTGTATGGCCAGGTGCAGGATCGATGTGCCTTCTGTGCGTGCGCTGGGTAGCTGCAGCGACGATCTGCTATCTTCGCCCTCTGTTGACCCGGCCTGGTCCCTTATGGCTCTCGATATAGCTGCTGTGTCTCCATTCCTAAGCGACTCGAATACCCTGAACAGCTTCACGGACTGCTCTATCGAGGTCGACTTGGTGGGCGAGCTTGGCGACTGCTGGAAGCTCGAGGCCGAGGGACTCAGACTCTCTTGCCCGGCGCCTGCGTTGGACATGCTGGTCGAGAGGTGTGGATTTTGCTTCTTGGACAGACTGCGACTGTGTCCCGAAGGTGATGTTACGGATTGCGAGGGCTGCGAGTTGGAGGAAATGGCAGTGCTGGGCGGGCTAGTGTCACTGCTGTTGCCGTTGCCGGTGCCGTTGTTGCCGTCTGTGGTAGGCACGTCGGTCTTGGATGTGACGCGCGAAAGGAGATTCTTGACGCTGGCCGACTTGGAGCGCTTGTGCCTACGACGTGTGGTTAGACGTGACTCTGGGGCATCTCACAACGGGCTGCCTCGTCCTCCACATGTCCCCCGCCATGACGGCAGCATAAGCTTGGAGCGGGCGCACCTACCCTTCCATGGTTGCGTGATTGGCCAGCGAGCCAAGAATATGCGGGCCGGAGGAAGCTGGGTAGGTAGAGGAGGAGTTCGGTTGGATCGCTGTCAGCACCAAGTCAGAATAGCCCAGGTATCTCGTGTGCGCAAGTCGCGCCTTTGTAGGATTTCATCACAGTCGCGGCGGGGCTTTCAGCAGCTTTTGGGCGCATTCGTCAGGGGCGCGCAATCCAGGCCGCTCCTCCAGCGAATCACGACTATTGCTCCGCTAGACTGGCCCTACTGTCCCAAGATCGTCCACCCGCCTAGAGAACTGCTCGGGCATATGTCATGGCCGACTAGACTAGCATATACAAGTATTTGACTGATTCTCTCGTCGGCAGTATTGCGTAGTTGGTCTACAGAATTATGCCGTTCGAGGGCCATGACTATAGAGGACACACGCAAGGTTGATACATCATCTGGGTAATGTTCACATAATGTACATTTTATACATGGCATGGCAACATCCTCACGCTGAGTCTCCACCCACAAGGATGATGGCACTTCCCAGCTGCCTCCGCAAATCCTCCTTCTGGACATCGTGTGTGTCCTCTACCTCACCCCACTGCTGTGTTTGCCACGTAACTTCCAAGCTCGACGCATCGCTGGCTTCCTTGATGCCGAAGCGTGGCGCGTCACTGACCTTTCGCGATTGCGCAAATGCTTCGCCCCATTCATGGATCAGTCGCACGCTGACTAGCAAACTCTTGGATGCCAACACTGCGCGTTCAAGACCAGCAAGCTCGTATGCTGGAAGACCTGCGCACCAGCCGCGAATGACTTGCTTTGTCATCTCGGGTTGCTCAGTGGGGATGATGGTCTCGGGGTCGAGTGTGGGCTTGATCTCTACACCCGGCCACACGTGTGTCTTGAGGTAGGCGATGATGTCTGTAGCCACTTCCTCCTGGACCTCTCGCAGTGTCTTTCCGTTCTGGAGGGTCTCGTTCAGGACCTTTGCTGGCGCCCAGCAGAGCAGTGTGTCCGTGTCGAGCACACGCATCAGATAGCTCAGGATGTCCGCCCTAATGTTTTCCCTTTCTTCCCTATCGGCGGCCTCAATATCGATTGCACGGGCGGCGAGCGAGGTCATGGGGATGTAATCGTTCTTGAGGGCTTGCTGCGCACTCATGAGGAGATCCCACTCAAGAGCAATGGCGGTCGCCAGCTGGGGCTTCGATGCGGGGACGGTGAGGATCTGCTTGTTGGGCATGCGGACGGGTCGATGGTCGAGGAAGACTTGAAGGCCGCCCTCGCCTTCCGTGACTGAGACGTCCTTCCAGAAGCGCTTGGCCAGCATGTTCTTGGGCTTGTTGTTGGTGGGGGCGTAGACGTCGCGCATCTCCCGCGCCTGCTTCATCATATCCGCCTGCCTCCTCTTCCTCGCAACTCGTTCGGATGCATCTGATGGCTGTGGCTGAGGCGTCTCAGGCGGTGGCCCGGGAACTGTCAGACGTTAATTATTGGCCAAGTTGGCTGCACTGGTTTGTCGTACCGGATGGATGAGGCAGCGGCGTGGCGCCTCGTGTGGCTGATGTGTGTAGACATTGGTAGAGCGGTCTGTAGGCTCTCTGGGGCGCTGACAGCCGTATGCTGGCGAGTGCTGGGCGAATTGACTCCATGGTGGTACGGAGCGACTGTGCAGATGGCTTGGACGCTGTTCCCAGGCCGAGTGGGACCCACCGGGGCGACTTTTTCCACAAACGCGCTCGGACACGGTCGCTGTAGCGTCGACCGACGACCCAAATCTGGGGTTCTCCGCTCCGCAACCCAGACCACTCCCCGTCAACTCACTTCCGTCGGGTATCAAAGTCACGTCGTAGCGCTTGCCGATCTCCTCGAACCGGCTTCTCTGAATATGCGCTGGCTTCTCCACAGCTTCTCGTTACTTTGCATGTTCTCCACTGTCTGGTCTGGCTCATGATCGACCCTTGACGCGCATCTGGCAGCTGTTGTTACCCCACTCAAAACTGCTTTCCCTGCATCATCGAGACACGCCTTTGATGCGGCCATTTCCGCTTGCTTCTGAGAACACACTCTGCTTTTAATGAATCAAGGAGCCCCTCAGACGGCCTCTGCGAACGCTGCCGTGTCTCAGCCCAAGCCTATTCGTTTTGTGACGAACCATGATGGTCCCTATGCGAAGAGGCGTCGCATTAATTCCGCGTGCCTGACCTGCAGGAAGAAGAAGACGCGATGCTCGGGTATGAGGTTTTGACTGTCTTGACTATGGTTTGCTGACAGCAGAGTAGGTGAACGGCCTGTATGCGGAACTTGCATCCAGAACAAGCATGAATGCGCCGGCTACGGCGACGACAATGGCGCAGGCGAAACCCCAAAGGATGGCAAAAAGGCAGCGAGAAGAGAGAGTACCGTGTCGACCAGCACGCCTTCCCGGAAGCAAGAGCCGCCCATCGACCCTCAGCTCACGCGACCGCATCTGCCGCATACCACATCGCAAACCTCGGAATTAAGTCTCCAGGCCTCGCCCAAAGTAGAATCAACTGGCAGCAGTGGAGGTTTGAGCTTGAGCACGCGCAACCGAATGCCATACTTCAGGTATTTCGGGCCTACAGCCATAGTACCCGGACTGCGACAGATGGTCGTCAAAGTGCGAGGCAAGCAACATGGCAGTGCCCAGACTACATCAGATCGTAAGTACATCCCGCGCGCGACGGACTTCAAGCTCTTGATGCGGTTATCGAGGAGCACTTGCGCCCTTGCAGCGCAAACACTCTCTTGCTGCTCTGCTGTATTCCCGTCTCATGTAGCTGACTGGTCCAGAACACGCAATCGAGTCCTCGCCTGCACAGCCATCAGTTGGCTCACCACCAGCGCCAGAAGCCCGCACGCCAGCCGAGATACCCGTATACGATGCCTCGTCAATGTCACCAAGTCCGCTCATCACCCATCTCTGTAAACTATTCTTCCTACACCTTGGCTGCTCTTTCCCCTTCCTACAAAGAGAGCGCTTTTTGCGAGACTTGGAAGAGAAGCAGGTGGATGCCATCCTCGTCGACGCTGTCTGTGCGTTAGCGGCCCGATTCTCGACACATCCTATGCTGACAGGCAAGAGCGACCAACAGAAAGATGATGGAACGGAGACTCCAAAAGTCCCGCCTTCAGAACACGGCCAAGCCTTTGCCCAGCGAGCAAAATCAGCTATCCCAGATGCTTTTCCATGTCCTAGTGTGGCAGTGGTACAAGCTGCGTTGCTTCTTGCATACGATGAATTCGGTGCGAGCCGCGACAGTGGACTTTGGATGTATCTCGGTGTAGCCATTCGCATGGCGCAGGATCTAGGCATGCAGTCTGTGGGAGGTCTGAAGTACGAAGGTCGCAAGGGACCAACACCAAATTCCATTAAGAGCTACCCAGATGGCGGGCGGCACGCGGAGCAACCAACTATTCAAGATAGCCACGGGAGTAGTGCGGAGGAGCAAGAGCAAAGAGCCGCTGAGCGCGAGAGGTTAGATACTTTTTGGTCAATATTTTTCCTTGATCGCGTCATATCTTCTGGAACGGGACGGCCGGTCACCCTCCGAGATCGCGACATCGAGATCTCTTTCCCTTCCCTGGATGAGGTCGACTCTTCTGGATGGCCTTTGCCATATCCGGCACTGATCCGTATCATTCACCTCTACGGTCGTGTGACTGATCTCCTGAACCGGATAAGAAGCGCCGATGACATCACAGCTGACCTGCAGAAGCAACTCGGAGCATGGGAAGATCGCTTGACAGGCATCTACCAAAACCTGTCGCCTAAGCTTCACTTCAACGCAGTCAACTTCCAGCAATATGTCAAGCTCAATCAGGGAACGAATTTTCTTCTACTGCATTGCTGGTTCCACACTCTAATCGTTCTTTTGCATCAGCCAACGCTGCTCCGGACGTTCGAAGGAACTCCACAATCTTTGTCTACTAACAGCAGAGAACTTTCCATGTCTTCTGCCAAGACTGTCGCTGATATACTAGCCTTTACCGAGCTCATTGATGTAAAGACTGGAATTGGCAATCCCTTCACCAGGTATGATCAGGTTATGTCTTTACTGATGGTACCACACACTAACCAACCTTTAGTCAACCGATATACATAGCCGCGTGTGCCTTCCTTAAAGAAACGGCACTTCACTCAGCATCGTCCCAGCCTCAGTCTTGTCCTGCAAGCCCCGGTCGAAATGGGGAGAACGGACAAAAGACCTCTACTCAACATTCCCTTGACCGTCTGAATTCCACCAACAGCTCTGTCAAAGACCTGGAGCAAAAGCAAACAGCCGCTAAGCATACATTGCTTGCCTCTGCTGCCAACCAAAATTATCAACGTTGTTACCGCGCCCTCAAAGCCTTAGAAACATACTGGGCTGGAGTCAAGTACATTATGACTGTTTTGGATCAAAAGGCGAAAGGCGTTGGTGATCCTCTGCTGTACACAACCGAAGAGATGGAAAGTGCATTAGAAGCCCCTCGACCTGAGCCATCGTTCACCAGTCCAGGCTGGAGAAGGAAGCTTAGCTGGGGGACCTATCTGACAGCACAAAATTCAGATGCTGATGTAGCAAAGATGGCGGCTGCGATACGCAAGGGTGCGAGGACGCCAAATATGCCCGGCTCGCCAATGGTACACCCCAGCCAAGGTATGTTCCTTATGCACACAACCATGGCCACCTACTAACCCTCGACAGCCATCGGATGGTCGCTTACGGGTACTATGAACTCGCCTTCAACAAATGTCGCAGTTATGTACACATCCGAAAATGGTGAAGGTCGGAGCACGAAGCCACCACCTACAAAAGTACCTCCAGCCAGTACTCAGCCCTCCATCGCTTCGTTGATATCGGATCCTCCCATTAAATTCGAGCCACGTCACCAATCTCTACCGTCACCTTCCGCTTTCTCGCAGTTCAGCTCAGCGTCCATGCCACCGCCTCCGCCAAACCCATCTTTCAACCATATCCCTACCCCAGACCCGGTCTTGGTGTCAGATGCGGACCTCCTCTTAAATCTACACTCTCCGTTCTCTGGTGGCTCACCGTCAGCCATCAGAACGCCACTACAAAATCCAACGTCGTATACACGTTCATCTTCACAACAACACAACCAACTACATCCTACCCCTCAAACAGAATTCTCGCCCACTTTCGGAACTTTCAACACACCTTCAGACAACACTTTCGGTGATATGGTCATTGACACACAAGACGTCGATATGTCCCTTCTAGGCGCTGATATGATGCCTTGGGACTTGGAGTACTTACCACATGACATGCTTTATTTCGGCGATGGCGGCTTTGGAAATGGTGGATTTGCGGGTGATGGCGCGTCAGGGGATCATAATACGGGATAACGCTTTCGGCAACCATTACACAATGTACATTAGGGACAGACTTTTGTGGAGTCTTATATTTTTCAAGCCGGAATATCGGGGTTTTCCATTCAGGGAGGATTGGACTTGAGTGGAGTTTGATACCATTCTGCTTCTTACATGTATGAATTGAGATGAGAGAAAATTACTATATCAAGGCCTCGACGCAATAGTTTTGCTGCAATTTATTGACTTGATGTAACGGATGTCGGAGGTCCACATGTATCTTAATTCCCGATGATGCATAACTTGGAAAGGATTCAAGTTCTGGGGCCTTTGTGTACGTCATGTGCTGAGGTCTTGCGTACTATGACAACAACCCAACGAGGTCGTCACCTGGAAATCGATCTGCGATAATGAGAGTAGTCTGAGCCAAGAATTTGCGTTTCTGGGAACAATAATGTCTTTTTCGTTGGGTTTTGCTGCTTGCGGCTGGCTCGAAGAAGATCTTGGATGAAAGACTGTAACACGATCGAACATGAAGCGCGTTGGGATCAAGTAAGGGTATTTGTGTCAAATCGAATCGAAGTATTTGGTATCCAAAGTAACCTTAGAGTACCCAATATTACCAGACGTGATCTAACCCATGCACACAGTCCAGCTCGTCCGAGTCTGCATGGTTGGTACCTGGAAATTTATCTACAAGAAACCACATAGAATGGTCGTCATTGGCGTCTGTCTGCGTCGATTGTACCGTGGTACCCGTTGTCACTTCAGGAAAGTGTGGGTAATCGCTGAGATCAAGATACTGATTTGGGTCGAAGTGTTCCTGAGGCAACTCGTTATGGACACCGGTAGCGGACAAAGCAGCTATGCTGATAGAGTCGTAGCCCGAATCTGAAGAATCAGATATGGGATCGGTTATCTCAGGGACTCCTCCGCCTTGACAAGACGGTTCGTAGATCTGTAGTTGAGATGGCTTGACTTCTGGTTTTGTTTGCAAATCTGTTGATACAGAGTCGCTGAGCGTGGTAGGTAGATGCGCATCAATGGGGCGCTCAACGATTTGCTCCGACAGTATAGCTCTCGAGCTCAGAGTAGCTTCTACCCTCGTATTGCTTGGCCCAGCAGCTGTTTGAAACATTGTCTCAAGCTGCATCTGACATTGCCTAACAATGTCCACTAGTCGTTCTTTCAGCCTGTCCTCCAGTGGTTGAGCCTCATGTTCTACTATACTCTCTAGTGTACGGCGTACGAGACGTGGGAGCTCGAGACGCGAGAACTCTTGGAACCGGGCGCTGTTCGATGACTCGGCTGCATTCGCAGTATTACGTTTGTATTCGATGTCTTCGTCTATCAGCATCTGTGCGTTCCAAACTCGATGAGCGATGTAACTTACAAGGACTTGGCATATCTGCATCATTGTCATCTGGGAACAAGATACGGTATACAGCTTTCCACTTCTCTATTTCACTGTGGTGCATCTGGCTGCCTTTCTTGCTTTTCATCCTTTTCTCTTGTTCTTTGTCAAAACCTTCCAGCGGTATCTGCTCACGCAGTTCGCAACCACTCGGATCGCGTTGATGTTCTCGAAGTGCAACATCATTGGTGAAGGTTGTACAGCAACGATGGCATTGTGGTGGTAGTAAGTGTCGCCGGTACAAATGCTCCCTAGTGACGTTAGTCTCTGGTGTGTAGCCGCAAACCCCAACGTAACTCACTTTAATCTCGCGACTGTAGTGAAGCCTGGATCCCTGCAAGATGTGAAGGTTTGATGTCTACCTGGGTTGCGCTTGTAATAAGGGCATGCGAATCGCAGTTCCGAAATAGGCTGCTTGCCTTTAGATACAGAGTCTGGCCTACGTCTTTTATTTGAATCGTCGCCATCATCTGGGGGAGTTGAGCCATCTCCACTCAAGCTGCGCTTCCTGGATATGAATGAAGTGTCTGAATATGCGGATGCACCTGGAGGATGCCCTGTTGCACTGCCACTAGAACTTGGATTGGTTCCATTGGTGGCATGGTTTCGGAGGGTCGCGCTGAAGACTTTCTGGAACTCTTTCATGATAGCATCCACGAGTCGCCGCTTCGCGGAGACTACCTGGCTGGGAATCTGTGAAACAGCCGGAGAGCCCTCTCTAGACGATGTGTATTCAGAGCAGTCTGTCTCTTCTTCAGATGATGTAGTTGTTCTAGATGAGACAAGAGAGAGGCGACTTGACGATGCTGTCAGTTCCGCAATGTCTCCGCACCCCAGATACGTGAGCTCTGATTTTTCATCAAATTCGTTTTGCGCGTCATGGACTGACGGTCTCCCTTCATCATATTTGGATACCAAAGTCCCTCGTCGTGTCGTAACATTGACGGATGTATCGCACTGTACATCATCTGACGCTCGGTACTTCCAAACGCTTGAATCCGCCATCCGTGTCACTTCGCGGCCAACACAATCCGGTAGGTGTTCATACATTGATCCGGCCGTAAAACGTGTTTTACAGATGGGACATTCTGCTAGATCGGTATACGCAGGTTCCATACCTGAGTACTGTATCGGTGAGCACGAGAAATCGTCATAATGGCACCACATCAAGTGTTTCAGAAATTCAGGCACCCGATCGGGGCCTTCTCCAAATACTGCACGATGAGAGGGGGATAATCTGCAAAAGCCACAAACTAGTGTCGTTTCGCAATGAACAAGCAAATGGCGCTCTCTATCACCGGCTTTCGTGAACCCTCTTAAGTGGCGCTCGCATCCCTTCCACGGACATAATTCTACAACTTGTGCAGTGAAGCGGGTGCTTTGTATGGAAGAGTGTTCGCTGTTGGCCATGGCGGAAGTGTCATCTGTTGCTTTCTTGCTGCGTCTGCTGAAATGTCTTCCTATGGACTGCAATGACCTAGTGGACCTGGTTGACGAGTTGCGACTGCTCAGAGTAGCATTGCTCATGAGACTTGGGCATCGACTTGGAGGCTGCGCAGCATTTTGGGAGAAGTGCGAAGATGGGCGTGAAGACCAGCCGTCAAAGGGGCTATCGTCATAGATTGGGGCCGGCATCGGCTTTCGGTTGGAATCGAGCTTCGTCAGGGTGTCATTTCCGTTTTCCAAGATTGGGTCGTCCAAGTGTCGTGTTATATAGGGCTTGTCTTCCCGCAGAAAGGCCGCGACGTCTTGTGATACTGGAGCATCTGTCGCCTAAGTTCAGTACCGACTATCAATTTGTAGTTAGACAAATATACCCTCCTGATCCGCCAAAAAAGCCCCAAAGTCCATGTTTTGGGAGTGGCGATGCTCCATTGTACGCGTTTTACCGTCGGAACGCACCAGTGCGGCTGTGGCAGTAGAAGATAGTAGCTATCGATGCGTACACTGGAAACAAAAGATATCGTGAAGGCAGCACGCGCAAATACACTCTAAGGATGGTGTCTAGTCATAAAACTCATATCAAGGATGCCTAAGTGAGTACTACCGCAGCGCGCAGCGTCGTATCGCAATTGCGCACAGCCATCTGATTGGTGCACGCAGCCCGACGACCGGTCAGCTCGCTTCGAAGCGCACGATCCTGATCGGACACAGCGAGCCGTCTTATTGGCTTGACGGCGCACCTTTCCATTTTGTTTTTGTTCTTAACGCGAGAGTCAATGATGATGGTAGTTGTCGTCCGATGTGGGTTGGGAAAGGTGGAGGTTGGGAGCGTATCTGGAGGAAAGTGGAGTCTACTGTAAAGGGTTAGGAGATGTCACCCTGGGGCTCCTTACGTCATCCACAGGATCAACTTCTACACATGGCGCATCAACTGCTAAAATCTACTACATACACATTTTGGACGTGATCGTGATGCACAGAGATTCTGCTGAATCTAAGGAATGTATCTAATACCTCTACTTTGACTGGAATAGCTAATGGATCCAGATGTAGCAGATGATCATATCTCTAATTATTCCGCTGGAAGACTGGATGAAGTCCAAAACCTAGAAACATTATCAACTTTGACTACCTAGGCATCATCACCAATTGAACTTTAGGCCTTCTTTAGTTCTCAGAACACTCTAACCTATATCGAACAACTGCCTAGCATAGCTCGCCGGATCCCCTTCCTCTTCTTCTTCTCCATAGTCTGGCCACCGCTCATTGTGCTCCACCCGCAGCGCAGTAATCTTTTCAGAAAGCCACTCCGCCCGCTTCTCATCTTCCGGGTCAGCCTGCTCATCTAGAGCCCACGTGTCATTCAGTCTCGCAGCAAGCCGTTCGTACTCAAGCATGAAAAGCGCAACTTGCTCCTCATTGTCGCGAGACCAGAGCAGCATCTTGTATATGTCCAGTGCTATCTTTGGGGAATCATCGTCCTCATCTTGCTTTTTTTCCATATCGAATTCCTCAGCGGCTTCCAGACATGTGTCTCGTCGAATCCGCTTAAAGATGTCATGGATGAGCCGTTCCGTTGTATAGCGTGCGTCGAAAGCTTTGTGACAAAGTCGATCATGACCATGGTACTCGTTACACAACGCGGTGGGGTTTTGATTGTGAAGCATGTGCATCTTGCCTCCCCAGCCGGACGAACGACCGACTAACAAACGCATGACGTGAGTTGCAAGCCCATCCGGTAGGTCGTGTCCTCGGCGACTGTGATCGAGAGCTATGTCGACTAACAAACGGAGGATGGGCAGGTCTTCGTTCATTTTCAACGAGTTGGCGAATCTGATGGGGAAGTCTAGGTTCTGCTTGTCGTCGTCTTCCTCTAGTTGCTTGCGGTACTCGAGGTAGATCTTCAATATCCTATCTGCTACCATGTCTTTGACAACTGGCGACTTGAGCATTCTAGCCAGTCTGTACATCTCGGCGCAAGCATCGAAGTTCCATTCAATCTCCCTTGGCTTGGGATCGTCAGGCAATATGACTAAGGCGACATCTTCGTGGTGTAAAGACATTTCCGGATCCGGGATGACATCGTGGGTGGGCAGTTCGCTCCGAGGGAAGGGCGAAATTGCTTGAAAAAAAGCACGCGCGATCACGGGCGAAATTCTCTTGCGGCCAAAGTCTACAACTTGGTCTTCGTTGGAAGATGATCGCTCACTGTAAGCGCCACAATACTTCTCCAAAGCACGTAAAGTTGCCCAGTGCGAAGCACCATTAAGCTTGACCTCAACTACATTCGACCCAAAGAGGTTGTGTGTGGTGCGGATGCGGTCGCGAATAAGAAGACTAGAAGTATTACGACATTTCATGATTGGCTGGGTGGGATGAACTTACGGGGCTGAGTCCTCTTTGTCTTTAACGTGATCCTGCTTGCTATCATCATCAGGTGGTTGTTGCTCATCCGTGGCAAGGTTGCTTGCCGTTTGCTCCAGAGTCTCTCTGTCGGGTGTGAGCGTGATCTCCTTCTCCAAATGCTGCTCACTCGTCGTCTCTTTCTGCTCAGAACTGTTCTTTGAGACAATGTTGGGGTTTATCGGCGTCGGCTCTTTGGTCTTTGGAACTGGCTGATGATGGACAGTTGGTGTCGAGCTCAATACCTTCGCAACTAGAGTCGGGAAATGATTTTGCCCCAGGCCCAAATTCTTAAGACGCTTCCTATCTGAAGGGCCTCTAAGTGTCCAGGGGACCACAACATTCTGCTCATCAAACCACTTCCACCCATGCAACTTGACCTGTTTTTCTACACCTGCAAAGGTAGTTGCTTTCCCACCATTGCTATTGTATGCAGACTTACACGCCTCCCAAGTAAGGCCATCAACCAGTCGAGCCTTGAGCCCCGCGCGTACCTCAGGTGTGGCTGCTGAGTCAGTGTCATTGGAGTTCGCCGGAAACGGGTCACTTGTAATGTACAATGTGCGGTTGCCGACCTCCTCAAGATATGCAGCTCGCACTTGGGGATCAGTTATGACATTCAACATCTGATTCTTAGTTGGATCATCTCCTCGAATCAACCAAGTTGCGTCTGGAGTAGTGAGAGACGGAAGGGTTTGTTGTGGCGTAGAGCCATCTTCATCGATATCTTCACTGTCAGAGACAGTATTGGCTAGTTCATGATTTACAGCAGCGGTCTTCTTAGCGTTCTTAGCCTTCTTATGAGTCAGGGCTTGATTGCGAATATCCGCCGTGTCGACGGGCGCAGTAGCTTTGTCAACGTCGATCACGTTCCGCTTACGCTTTGGACTTGAAGCTTTTGGATTATTCATTTTATTCTTGGTTGCTTATACGTGACGATGAGGTACGAGAATATGGCCGTTAAGTAGTGAAAGGATCAATGACGACCTTGTTCGCGCTTGATAAAGGGGGTGTTGAGTCTTCCGGTTGCGCGCGCAGATATAGTAAGTATAATGATAAGGTTCTAAGAAGAACGAAGAGGGGCGTGTATATAGACAGGAGCAGCACTGGAAGCAGGGAGTTCTGGCTCCGTGCAGACACCGTGCAGTAAGAGGGAATTGCTGGACCACATTCTTTCACCCTTACAGAAGTGAAATGAAGTATTAGAGGAACTCGCAGCTCGTAGAGAATCGAATAATATTATGTAACGATGTCATTGGGGTAAGACATGCCTGAGAAGTGTAGAACGGTATCTGGTAAGGAACCAGTACAGCACATGCGAGATAGTAGTCTGGTTGGCTTTATAGGACTGTGCGTTATTACCCAAAGTCCACCAGGGAGACAAGCATGAGCACAATCATGTTCTAAAAACAAAAATTTGAATCATATGATCAATTGCTATTCCAGGCTGTCCTGGAAAGCGGCAACTACACGTCCACCGCAGATTACTTGTAGCTATCCAAATAAACAAAAACGCCGCCTTTCGTTATCAAAATGCTCGGGTATGATGCAAGAGAACAAACACACCCCAATTCCCCTTCCCGTTCCTTTCCACCATGCAAAAGAAAAGAAATTCGTTTCCCTGTAAAAAAGTATTAAAGTACAGTTGATCGTCATGGGCGTTCGTTCGTCGCGCCCCTATATCCCTGGCGAAAGCGCAGGGGAGATGAAAACAAGAATGGTGTGGGCCTGCTAGTGTGCGAGCGGACAAGCTGTTGTGTTGAAGAACGAGTGCCGTAGTGTGAGACCAATGTAGGATATACAAGCGATGAGCGAGTGGGACGAGGTTTGTTGAGTCGAGCCGGATGACATCGCAGTTCAAGCTTCGGGTGCATGCTCAGGACCAGTCGGACCATCGCCAATAGACGAAAGATCAACCTTGGGATTCTCAACAGTGACTGGAACAGGTCCCGAAGGCGCAGGTCTTGTCGGCTGTGGTGGAGCAGGTCTCTCAGACGGTGAGTTGGTGGGTCTTGGAAGCCGTGACGGACCAGTTTCGCCTGTGCGTAACTCTAAGATGCGCCGGTTGTCTGCTTTCACAACTTGCTACGTCGTTCTTAACTTCGCTATTACAGGATGATCAGATGTGTCAAGCGCACGCGGACTGAGGACCATTGTTAGCACACCTCCAGCTCACACTCTCTGGAGATTTAGTGGTACCGCGGTGGGGTTCCTTGCCCGTTAGGCACACCGTTGGGTTGGAACTCCATCTCGCGCTTCATCATCTCGAGCGTTGAGGGGAAGTATGGCTCGACGCCGTATGTCTTGAGGTAGCTGGCGGTCTTCTCAATGCGCTTGATCTCGCGCTTTACGTCCCAGCCCTCGCCCTCGCCGAAGCGGCGCTGCACGACGTCGACCATGGTCTCGTCGAGTCTGCTGTAGAAGTCGCGGCGTGCGGCAATGTCGCCAGCGTCAGCGCTGTCAATACCGCCGTGTGAGTTGAGGTTGCCGCCGAGCTTCAGGATGAGGTCGAAGGCGTAGCGCGGGCCGGACGGTAGGAGCGTCAAGCGCTGGATGTCGGGCAGGAACTTCAGCATAGCCGAGGCGAAATGTGAGGATGAAATGGAGTCATTGAGATCGTCTTGCAGGCGGTGCAGGTCAAAGTTGACGATGGTGATCTTGCGGTCGAGCTGGGCGTTGAGTGTGGGCGCAGCGTCGGCAGTGGTGGTGTCCATGATCTTGGCGATGGAGGCCGGGACATCTTGGAGGAAGTCAGTATTGAGTGTCAAGAGATGCATAGAGTAGGGAATGCAGTCTTACCTGGTCGCAGTCCGCGCTTGTCGATCCAGTTGTGTACCTCGGCGCGCTGCTGCTCGAGCTGGTCGACCCAGTTCTGCAGGTCGGCAAGCTGGCTCTCGAGCTGCTCAATCTTCTCTGTGTAGGGCTGGACGGCCTGGTTGAAGGCAGCGGTAATGAGGTCGGGCATGCCGAGGCCCATTGGGCCGCTGCCGCCGGTGGGGGGAACTTGCTGGGAGCGGATGGGCATGTTGTTGTGGGAGGGAGGAGCACTCTGCGCGTACGTCGGCTCCTGGGGTTGCTGTTGGCGGGGATACATGTCAGGCTCTTCGGCGGGCGAGAAGGGCTGGCTCTGGTGGGACTCCTTCCGGCTCGACTCAGGGCGCTTATCGGTGGTGTAATCGTCGAATGATTGCGAGCGCGGGTTCTCACTGTTGTCTACGTAAGAATTGGCCCTGGACCTGCTATGCAAAGTTAGTGCAAGTCTCAGGATGCAGTGGCTGTGGTGCCGACTTACCGTTTGAAGAACATTATGCGAAAAGAAAGAGTCTGCAGAGAAGCGTGAAGGTCGTCGTGGTTATAAAGCTGTCTAGAGCAGACGAAGCGAGATTGCGCCCCGACTTGTGAATAAGAGAAAGGTTGGGCGTCTTGGAATTAGGCTTTCGATTCGCAGAAAAAGTGCGAGGTTGAACGACGCGGAGCTGTTGGCGGCGGTGGTTGGGGCCCCTTGTTCCAAGAGACGATAACACGACAATCGATGACCACGTTACACGCCAGACAGCGCGTGTTGCACAGGACTCACTATATATCTTGCTCCCCCAAGGAATAATCGTAAACAATGCTGCAGCAGGCTTAGCGGGTGTAATAATGCGCCGAACGGTTGTTGTTATGCTGGTGCAGTGGTGGTATTGCTATAAGCTGTTGGGTAGGACCATTATAGCTGGCAGTGCATGAGCTGCAGCGTCCGCGTCCGCGTCCATGCCACGTCCAAGAGCCCCGCTAGTTTGTGCAGCCGCGCCTTCCCAGCCGCCTCCCCCCAGCCTCACGGCCAACATCACTCGTCCGCTTAAGCCTGCCGTCTGCTCTCACGCCATGCAGGAGCCGATAAGAAAGCAAGCACGGTGATGCTTCTTGAAGCGACACCGCCTGACCCACGCGGGAGTGCCGTCCCTTCCAGGACCACCCTCGCGACCCAGAGCGACCCATCCAACCTATTCAACACACCCTGCAACGTGCACCGCGCACTGTTGCCCAGCAACCCAGCCCATCTCAGGGAAAAAGCATGGTTTTACCTAGGGTCCCTCAACGTTCGCCTGCACGGAATTGGGGACTGCACGGATACTAGCAAATCTACGGTAGCCGTAGTGAACCATACTTTTCCTCTCACCCCTATTGCTATCCCAACATGGTAGAAACATTACAAACGCGCATATGAAACTAAATCTAGGTGCATACTACCACTATACAAGAACTACTCTGCTTTCCCACTAGCTTTTCCCTGAACTGTCCCGTTACCCTGCGCCTTCTTGCTGCTGCCAAACTCCACGCCCCGTATAGTCCATTCACTGTAAATCTCCAGTCCGCTAACAAACACGCCCAACAAACTTGCAATGACGAAGTGGCTGATCGTTGTCCCAATTTCCAGCCAACTCCCCTCGTCCTTGACCATGTAGAAGAAGCTCAGTGTCATGACATCACTGACCGCCATCACCACCATGAACAGTGCTGATGGCGCCACGCCTAGCCCGCGATTGAGGAGACCAAAGTTGGTTGAGAGGGCGGCAAAGGGCGCCATGAGCTTGATGATAAGGAGCGCGCCCTGGGAGAAAGGGTCGAAAATGGGGATTAGACGGTACACGGCGTCGAGCGAGAAGGATGATACCGAGGCGATATTTGACGCGCTGAAGAAAGCAGACTGAATAAAGAAGATGAAGAACAGAGCTATGCGCGCGTCGGCCAGAGTCAGAGATCTGTACTCCCCCTTCTGAAGTGAGCTGAGTCGATCCGACGCAGCGTCCTTGGTAGGCTTGGCCGGATCCGATGTGATGGCCGTAGTCGAAGCATCGGCCGTGTTATGCAGATATACCTGGTGCTCCAGACGCATCCAGCTGAAGAGGCACATGCAAAACGCAAAGTAAAACAGACCTTCGTACGAGATGGAGAGGATGATAAAGGTTGGTGCGAACTGGAGGAAGATGACTACAAGGCGGTGGACGTAGTGGGTGTTGGGATAGAGACCGTGGAGTTGTGGCACGACAAGCGAGGCGAACAGTGTTGCTCGTGTTACTGTCAGGACACCAAATGGTATGCCCTGGCGCGCTTGTAAGTAGCCGACGCTGCTCTTCGTGACAATCATGGAAAGCGCTACGAGGCCGAGCTGGATGCCAAGAATGATACGAGATGTGTGGTTCAACTCGTGTTTGGAAAGCTCAGATTGAGATTTGCCGTCTTCAAGGATCGCCCTCTCGAAGACAAGGTAGAGTATACCAATGGCAAACATCAACACACCTCCAAGCAGGCTACGTGTCATTAGCTTTGGGTCGATGTCGATACCGAGTGCACTCACATGAGACGAATGTCCTCTGCCTTGTTGGCTGGCAGTAGTGTGAAAGCGCTCATGGCTATGCAAGACAAAGCCCAGGTGGCGACAGTCGCCATATTCTTCTTCATAAAATCCTGCCCATATACTGCTGGCCAGAGTGTCGCGAGCAGGTAGCATACCGTGTAAATCTCCCTAACGAAGTAGCTTTGAACCTATCATTGGATTAGTACATTCGCCTCCCTTTACTCCGGATCAACTTACCAAAGCCTGGAGTAATCCGAAGAAGCCAATAGTCGCAAACACTAGTTTTGCGACATCAGCGCCCGATTTGAGATGGCCAAACAGGATCTTGCCGCCCTTGACAAGCGATAGCCTCTGGGCAAAGACTTCCTCCCAGAACAGGACCGGGAAGAACGCATATGCATAGTAGATGACCGGTGATTCTTGTTTGAAGAAAACCCCATAGAGTGCAACAAGCACAGAAGAGAATATCACCATACTAGCCACCGTTCTCTGTGCCGGCACATGTTCGGTGAGCACATGTAGGTCGACAACTGTGGTGATGGCGAAAGCGATCCAGCCAACATAGCCAGCAGTCACCAACGTCCGGAGGAAAAGCCAATCGTACGTCTGCAAATACCGCAGTCCTTCGAGACCAAGGTCAATGAGCTCGTAAGTCTTGCGAGTAGCCTCGTCTGCGCTGCCTTTGTTGATCAACGACTGTATATCGGCAACGCGATGCTCGACAGAATGTGCCTCATCACCCAAACCAGAGAAAGGCCTGTACCGCAGCTGTGTCTCCTTCTTCATCTCTTCTTTGACATGATACATCTCCAATATCTCCTTGGCATTAACAAGAAGAGCTTCTGCCTTGGCCTTGGGATCTTTGTCAAGGTAGGAAAGCGGCAAGACTCCGACTGAGTTGGTTGGGAAGTCAAGTCCCACGAGATAAGCCATCAATGCCGCAACGTCAGCCTGGTCGACGTCATGTCGCTCAATCTCGTCCAGGTTCCAATCTGAAGAGAACTCGGTGTGACCTCTAGCAACGCCTGACGTGTTCTTCACAGGAGGCGCGACACCAGCACCCCATGCGATCAAGGGCGTACGCGTATTGTCTGGGTGTCCATCTCCGTGACTTCCCCAGTCGCTCATGCCATGGTCCGCTGTGAATACAAAAGAAGTCTTGTCGTCGTTGTAGAACTCTTCGATCAGCTGCGTAATCTCCTGGACCCCACGATCCACGAGCTGGATATTATGCAAATACTGCCACGAGTAAGGTCGATGCGCGTGGCCCGTGGTATCCAGCCCAAGCAAGTGGAGGAAGAAGACGCTCTTCTCTTGCCTCAGCTCAGCATCCAGTGTCGCGTTCGTCTTGGCGTCAGCGAACAGCTTCTTGACGCGCTCAAATACCCATTCATCCAACACCCAGGCGTCTTTGGAGGAATCCTCCTCTTCCGCGCCATAGCAGTATGCGTCGACTCTTCCAGGCACTGCACCCGTCTCAAACATGGGAAGAATATCCGGACTGCCCCAACTCCATGTATGCCGACTGCGGTTGAAGACGCTGTCGAAGTTGACTGGGTTCAGTTTCCATCCCGTTGTGACTGCTGAGACATCCTCATATAAGCCTGCGATGAGTGCGACATGTCCAGGGCGGGATTCGGTAGGCACCCGTGTATGGGAAACGCCAAAGGTGCCATGTTCCAGGACGCGAGAGCGAAGAAAGGGAGCGAGAGGGCGCGGGGTGGTTGTATTGTCGGCGAGAGGGATCGGAGGATTTGGGTCAGGGTTGGGGAACGATTGAAATGCCTTGTCTGCACGGAGTCCGTCACCTTGTTGCTCTGTTAGCACTTGCTATCGGGTTCATCTAACGCGACTCACCAACAAAGAGTACCAAGCGTTTAGCGGGAGCTTCTTGCGTCTCTACACGGTGCTCGCGCATGCCATGAACAATAGGACTCGTAAAGTAGGTGGAGAAACAACTCCATATGTACAGCAGATGGAACACCACCGCTATCAGCAGGAACCTATAGCGACCGAATTGCGCCATTGTAAAAGAGTGTGAGAAGAGCAATGCGCCTCGAGGACACGTTTTGTGGACGCGTTGCAGTACTCAAATGGTTTGCAGGGCCATGACGGTATCCCTGCCAAGAGTTTGAATCGTCATAAGGAGAAGTGCAACAGCACGCCTAGTTACACTATGCAGATGCTCGGTCTCAATTATCAGCTACTGCCCATCTCGGCTGGATGGCAGACTTGTCAAAAACGCGTGGTGGTCAAATTGTGAAGTACCAATCCCATCGCCCGAATAGGAAATACCGAGCTCGAGCTCCGCAGCATCACAGAACGCGTTCGCATTTGTTGGGAATGCATGTCATTGTTATAGAAGCCAAGTCTTGAGCGATTACCAAACGATGTACCTTAAAGACCGTTGCAGCTTGTTCATCCGTCAGGTCGGAAGTCTATCTATTCTTCAACGTTGAAGTTCGCGCCCTCTCTCAGGCCCTCGACAACCAGCTCGTGGCCCTCAGCCCGCTGGTAGATATCTTTGATGTCGTCTGCCACATGTTAGCATTGCGTTCACTGTTCCGGAGCTCAAAAACCTACCAGTCGTTGTCTCGAAATGGCTAGTGGCGTCGTAGCTCTTCGATATGAAGACGTTGTCATTGGCACCGCTCTCAATTGGCTCGTAGAGTGGGATAGCCGGGCCCATGAACTTCTCCTCAATCTTTCCGAGACGGTCGAGACCGGGCTGGAGCTCAAGGTGGTGGTTGCTATCGCCCTCAGCGATCGTGGAGACGATAGCGATGTAGTAGCCCTTGGGGCAGACGTTGTGTGCAGACGAGACGACAGCGATGTAGATGTCTAGTCACACTTGTCAGCAGAATCCTATCGTGACACAGATGTATGCATACCGTGCTTGCGTCCAACTTGGGACTGAGGAATGATCAATTGCAGAGAGTCGGCATCGGCTGTGTTGGGGATCGGGTGGTTGAGAATGCAGATGGCCTTCAGCAGATGTCCAGTAACGCGCGCCTTGCCGGGGAAGTACGAGGGGTCGGCAAGAATCTTTCCTGCCTTGGTCTCGAACTTCATGCCCTCGCCGGCATCATCCTTCTCCTTCATGGTGGCCTTGATACCCACAACCTTGCCACCGTCGTAGAGGAACTCGTCGACATCGGTGTTCAGCATGTAGGTACCACCGTAGATAGCGGAGAGACGAGCGAAACCCTGGGGCAGCTCTCCGAGACCGTAGAGCGGGTAGATGTATGGAGACTTTCCATACCGCGCTACAGAGTTACCGTAGAGCCTGATGCGCTCAATGGCCTCGTTCGCCTGTCCCTTCTGCGTGATGTAGTCGTCGGTGGGGTACAGAGCCATGGCGTGACCAATGAAATCGCGTGTGGTAGCCTCGATACCAAACTTGTCGTATACATCCTTCATGGTAGAGTTCTGGATGTCGATGCCTGCGTGAAGTGTCAGCTACCATCCCTTGATCATGTCCACCGGAGAGTGCCTACCCTTGTGTGTTGCTGGGTCATCCTCCTTGTATGCGCCAATCCACTCGAGGAAGTTCCTCACCCGACGCTTCTCAAAGAGACCCATGAGAGGCGATCGCAGTGCCTCGCCAGCATCTGAAGGAACCTTCGCGACGGTTGCCTTGGCGCCGTTGCCCTGTTGCACATAGCTGCCGGCGATCTGCTTGAACTCGAGGTATTTGGTAACGTCGGTTGAAACGAGGATGTTGGTGAGTTCACCGTTGGCCATGAGGAGCTTGGGGACAAGGTCGATGTTCCAGTCGTTGACGCGGCCGTACTTCTTCCATGGCTCGCCCTCTGTCTGGCCGTACTTCTTGAACAGCTAGCCATCGGGTCAGTGTGTGTATGTCAGTTGGAGATGTTGCGAGCTTACTGCTTCGATGTTCAGCGATGCCGCCTCACTGCACCCTGTCAGCTGTCGCCCCAAGTGTACCTGTCAAGATAACATACCCGCCGTAGTGGTCATTGCGGTCGATGTGGAGCACCTTCTTGCCCTTGACACTAAGGACACTGCAAGCATGTCAGCTTTTGCTCAAGAACCGTTCTCGAGTCCTTGTGTTACCCTGAAAGTACACATTCAGTGAGACCTGGGGATGGTTAGCTTCCGCATGTTACGTAGGTGGGGTAACTGCAACCCACCTGTTCCCAGGACCACGACGTCGTATTCGGGTGCAATCTCGTCCATGGCTGTCAGATGTCGGTTGCAGAATAAGAAAGTTGAGGATTGCGGTGGAGGTCGTCCGCTAAGAAGGCGCGTGGTTGAGCGGTCTTAGGGCGGTGTGATGGATGTGGGGTTGTAGCTCTTTGGGAAGCGCCTCGCCAATCTGGTCGACCTGTTTATGCTGGCATTACTTTCATAACTCACTACGTTTGACATGTACTGAATTAGTGCAATTCACTGATTTCATGACTGGCTATGATACACGCGATATGCTACAAAAGCTCGACCACCTTGCTCGAAATAGCAGCCTTACCGTGCCCCATGCTCTCCCTGTTCGCCGTCCCAAACGCGACATGATGTACGATGTGTAAAGTTACAATTCTTCCAGACTACAGATCTGCAGAACATCGAACAAGTGTATATACCGCCTACACGCTACCCAGACTCGTATGCCACATGCACTCATGAAACTCATTATGCGTGAGTCGCCTTTTCTTTCGGCTGTACTTCGGATTCTGGGAGTATCTTGTCTTTCGAGGGCTCTTCAATAGGTGCCTCGGCCGCAGCATTGTACGGGGCGTCATCTACTTCTAGCGGATCCTGTGGATTGGGTCAGCATACAGTCAATCCCGTTAGGAAATCGAACGTACATATGTTGGTTGGGTGAACTGTGGGCCGTCCGTTCTTGAAAGGTCAATGTCCGGATCATGCTGTGCCAGTACGTATGCTTCCTGGTATGCCTGGTGTCGCTCGGCGAGTGTGTCTAAGATTGCCTTCATCGTCTCCTGTACAGTCTTGTCCCGCTCCTGGTTTTCGTAGTCGCCGTAACCCGCCTCTAAACGCTTGCGCTCGAGCTTCTCGGTCGCGAGACGGTTCCGCTCCTTGACGCATACCCACCACAGCTGGTGTAGCGAGTCCCAGTCCCGACTGCGCAACTCGCCCACAGTCCACGATCGTCCTGCGTCTCTGTCAGCCACCATAGTCCCTCCATTCGTCCAATTGCAGCCTACCATGCCGCTGCTCGTCTACTGGTGTCTGCAAGAGCTTCTGGTCCTTGAAGAAATCCCAAAGCCCATGGTCTGGTGTGCCCGTCACTTCCTGCTCAATCTCGACCGGCTTCGGCAATTGCTGCTTTGAAAAATCTTTCTCCCTAACCGACAGTGTCTGTCTAGGACGCAGACCTGTAGCCCGGACTGCAGAGTTTCCTCTGTTCTTGTTGTTGTCTCTCTTCCATCGGGCGGGTGATGTGGAGAAGCGCGCGCACTGGACCGATGGGACGAGGAAAGAAAGGATCGTGTCCTGTTGCGCCAATGCTAGATTGGGCCGGAGGAGTCGTGAGGAGGGTATCGTGGCCATGTCGTCGGTGTGGGCTGTGCTTGCCGATGCTGGAGGGCGCAGCCGACCAACATTCAAAGTTGCAGGCACTGCAGGAAACTGCGACCGGGGTAGGCCGCTAGCGCATGCCATCAGCCCTAAACCATGGGAACCCACCGCCCTCCCTTCGTATAAAGAGAAGCCACCCCGCGGCTGTCCTCCCTCTCACCACCAAACCTCGCGCTCATCACCCCGTGTTGGGCGCCCTCAGATAGTCTCCAATTTCATTTGACGAATTCTTCGATTTCACCAGCGGGTATCAGGACCCGCCCTTTACCATCCCAGGATGCAGCAATCAACCGTCACCATGCAATACACTCCAAACCAACTCTTCCGCATTTTCTGGCAGCCACAGCAACTCCGTGTCATCGCCAAGCCTCCCTGGAAGTCAGTCAATTAATTGGGATTTTGCAACTTCTTATTCCACCGCCGACAGCAGCGGTGCTCTTCTCGATACCACTTCACTTCTTCCTACCACTACTGCTTCTTCTTCTTCAGCCGCTTTGTCATGCGGCCTACTTGCACTGGACCCTTCTTTCCAAACCACTCCGGACTGGGACCTCTTTCCTATTTCTGACTCACATTATCTTGGCGATGGCACGCAATTGCTTCCTGGCGAGCCGGCTCTACTTTCAACAGCGGGAGACAACATGAACACGTTCACTATGCCGTCTGGCATGGGCAAAATTAACAATATGAACACATCTTCACCCATGATGAGGGGTAAGGACCACACTCCCTGGCGATTCAGCAGTGTCTAACCTATCCAGATCACTCTCTGTCTGGTTCTTCCTCCACAAGCAACAAGGACCATGGTTCGTCTCCCACTGAGCAATCCTCTTCATCCAAATTGTCATCCACAAAGAACAGCCCTCTGGCTCCAGAACCATCTTCCCGGGTTGAGAAGCGGAAGGCCAACACGCTCGCTGCTCGTCGCTACCGCCAAAAGCGCGTCGACCAAATGAGTACTCTCGAATCCGAACTCAAGGACGTCAAAGCCGAACGGGATGATCTCAAAGTCCGCAACGCCAGGCTGGAAGGAGAGGTCGAGACGCTTCGTGCTCTTCTACGTTCTCAAAAGTAGTCCTGTTTGTATCGGTCTGTCAGCATGTGATGGACTCGCTTTTCTTTTCTTAACACTCAGGGAGGCCTCTTTTCAGACGATGTCGGACAATGAGTCGTTTCATGGCACACCTGTTCAGGGTGATGCTCAGATCGGCAAAATAGGGTATAATCTCAGAGGGCATCGGGACTTGGTGATAGATACTCACAGTTAATCTTGTTACGACGAATTGCATTGTCTGTTCTACAAAGCTACGAACTCTACTTTACATTCTCTACGTTTTGTACTGATCTTCCGCATGTCTCCAGGACAATCACTCTTGCTCACCTTGAGCAAGATTGTATACATACCTGACTTGTGCTCTCCTAACGCATCAGTCAACTCACAATGAGTCGATGTGAGCAACTCTGAGAGCCATTTCCCACAGCAGCAACAGCATCGTGTGCCAAAGAGTACTAGCTTGCTGAGTCTATCCGTGCATGTCCTCACAAGCACTCCTTGCGCCCTTTTCGCTAGATTTGAGCCTGAGGCTTCACAACTGCATTAGTGTAGCTGAAAGTGTGGTTCCGAGTGAAGTTGGTCTCCACTTAATGATCACTAGTCGTCCAATGAGAGAGCGCGACAGTGAGTCATTCTCGCTCACGATGTGTCTGATGTCTTGGCCTACCCTACATCCCCTTTCGTCTTTACCGACGACGTATTCACTTGGCCTTCAAGCTCAACAACGCGCGCATCGGTGTAAGCAACCTCTCTCGGGTGTGTTTTGCGTGCAGCGATATGCTGACGTCACTGCGCAGACCATCAAACGCGGTTGCTGCGACAGTGCTGGCGACTGCCAGGGTAATATCACAGCGATCAGCTACCAACATGCATCACAATGGTGTACCTGCATGCTAAACCTCATCCCTACACTAAGGTAGGCAAGTTACGTGGTTATCTGTATTCTGATATGCCTCTCCTGTCGTGCCAGGCGATGCGACAGCTCTCCTTGCCTCATCGTTACCTGTCATCCTCACTGGAGTTGTTGGTAAAGGTCACAGTCTCCATCATTAACAATCTCTTGTATTTCGATTCTGTTCAATCAGTCGCTTTTTTTTTGAGGAGTCTTTGCCTGATCGACAATCCCCTGGGGCGGTTCAACATGGACACTTCTACCGGGTCTCCCCTGATCAGCACATTGTTGTGAGTACCTCAATTCTTGGCCTGTGTGACAGAACACCGAATGCGACATCGTCGTTCAGCATTCGCCTCAGGTCGCCGGTGTTGAGCGACGCGTGCAACTCGCGTTTCAGCCTCAGGGTCCTCTGACACTCACGTCACAATGTCAGCCCGGCTAAAAGTGGGCCAGATGGATGTACTGATGCCGAGCACATCACCTCATGCACGCCTTCTGCTACTCGGATCTACCCACGCAGCAGCGCCTTCTATCCCCTTCACAGTTAGTACCTGTTTTGGACTTAGCGTGCATTAGTTTCGCCACCCAGTATGGAATCAGTATCCACATTCAGATCCTACCACATGCGCCGAGACCGTAAGGAAGCCCGTTTTTTGTTCCTTCATCCCATGACATTGTGGATTTGTCAAGGCTACGGGCCGATCATATGGCTGCCCGATGTTATACAACGGTTTCTAAACCTAGCATCTTCCGCTAGCTGTGAACCTTCTCGATCCATTAGACCAATCACGAACTGTGAGGTCGTACTATGGTTCACTTCGCGTCGAGCCATGCGGTCGCCTAACCTGCATGATCGCCACCATTGGGACAAAGATTGCTTGTCTACACGCGTCAGGAGCTTGACACGCGCTATGGAACACTCACTCCCGCTCGTGCAGAATCCGGGGAATCCTCAACTTTGTATCCGCCCTCATAACCGAACGCTCAGGCCCGACTCATTCTGTTCATGTTCATGTTTGTTCATACATTCGTTTTCTTCCGTTGTTGTCTGGGCGCATAACTGCATATCTTGAACTGTTCAATCGGCCGTAGATACGACCGACCTTCATTCTTGTATCTTACGCGCAGTCATACAACATGTACTTTCGACCGGGATACGTGGTGGTGATTGTTGGGGCAATACTGACAACGATGTCAACAATCATCGTAGGGTTACGGTAAGACTGACTGTCGCTAAAGCGGCGTGAGTAAAGACTGATCAATTGAATAGATACTATTGCCGATACTTTCTCATGGGATCAGTCAGTGCAAGCGATCATCTCATGTTCGTCGCTCTTGTAAGTTGAAATATTGTATCATCTACTACAAAGCTTACAAGGTCCAGGTGGTTACATGGGGCAACTTCGTCGTAAACTTCTATCAAGACGAGACGAGCCGTCATTCCCGTCCAAGCTATCTGTTCAAACCAGTGAGTGAATCCAAACGCTGTCCGGGCGTCACTATCTAACAAAAGCGTAGGAGGAGCATCCAGAGGTCGTGGAACATGTGCGCGGAAACCTTATCTCATGGTGGGTATACCGCTTGACCTACACCATTGGCCTAGGCTTCGTAAAACTCAGCATCCTCTTCTTCTACCGCGCCATCGCCGCCAACAAGACATTCCGTCGGCTCGTGTACGCTACGATCGCGTTTGTCTGCATGTACACATTTGCTGCGAGCATGGCGTCCACCTTCCAATGCGAAAACCCCTCAGACGCTTGGTCTACAGTCAACTACTTGGCACAGTTCGATCGCGATCCAAAAACCAAGCAAATACAGGTCAAATGCTTCGATCCTATCAAGCTCTGGGTGTTTTCCTCGGCCTCCAATCTGATAAGCGACATCATCATTCTCATGCTACCGCTACCGACGCTGCTCAGCCTTCGCATACCCATGGCCAAACGTCTGGCACTCATTGGCATATTTTCTGTTGGAGTCATGGCCATCACTGCATCGTCCGTACGAATGTGGGTTATGATGCTGTGGGCCGAGTCACCTTATAATTCGGCGCGTTTTGGAAACGACCTCCTTCTGTGGGGTCAAGTTGAGACAAACAGTGGAATCATCTCCTCATCTATACCATTCCTCCGTCTCTTATTCCGCAGCAAACAAAAGGAAGAGCGGAGCGCAACGCCGAGGAAGGTTTACAAAGTCCCTTCGCAGCCTCTCCAGATTGATGCCTTTAGCCAGCACAAAGCACTCGACATGGGCGAATGGCCGCTCCGGGACGAGAAGATGGCCACGGAGCAATCCAATTGCTTCATCACCATACACGCAGATACGATGCGTACTAGAGGCTCTGCTTGGGGTCCCTTCATCACGATACCGGAAAGCCTAAGCTCGAGCAGTAGAGGCGAGGCACAGCTGGAGCCCACACATAACCCGCATATGACAGTGTAAGGAAACTGGAAGAGAAATTTTGTACTTGTAACGATAATGATAATATGATTATACTGAGTTTGAACTTCACAAACAGCCATCGCAATCGTAATCCTATCTGTCAATAGTCGATTTCGTTGGAAGAGGGCGACGCGTGCTGTACTCTGGAACCGCACAGATCTCGTCCTTTGATCGCAAGAGCTATCAGCTGCAACAGAAGGTTTGCCACGACCGAACAGGGTATCCACGGGTGTCTAACGTGGGACGTCGCACAACGGCTGCAGCGTGACATGGGTCCAACGATGGCACCTTTCCATTTCCAGTTAACCTCGGGCGGACCCATCTATGGATGTCGATCTCATGCGGCTGCGCAGGTGTCTGGGAGAGCGATTGAGAGGTCACGTAGACGTTTATACTCGATCGCATCATCGTCGTGCTCCCAGCTACTAGGCGCCTGTTTATCCCAGCACACCGCCCAATCGCCGCTTCCCCACATCTCGGCTTAAGTCTTAAGCTGTTGGGTAATCACCAGCACCGTGGCTTCCTCACGCATCACCAAGCTCTTCCTCGCCGCTGTCGCTCTCTTCATTGCGACATCCGCCATCCTGGCTTCAATCCGACTCGGCGGACGCGTACCATCCATATTACAATACGTCAAGCCCTCTCCGCTCCGGAATCCTCTCTATACGCAACCGTTTAGGCCGCTCACCAACTCCACTATGGCTCCGTCGCAATACAAGACCCCGCCACAGCTGCCGCCCAAGTTCACAGCTACTAAGCAAAGCTTAGTTGACGATGCAAAGAGACTGGTATGTGGTCTTCCTGAGTTTTTGAACTTCTGCTTGCGATTGCTGCCACCGACCCCGCAGGAGGGGTGTTGCGACCGGATGCTGACACTTTCCAGATCGACAGGTCTCGCAGCGTCCAAGATGCTATCGTTCGCGATGTAAAGCCCGAGAACGCGAACTTCCAAAACACACTCCTCCAAATCGCCCGCGATGACAACAAGATGGCCATCGAATCGCATATCCTTGGCTTCTACAACGCTGTGTCAACAAGCAAGGAGCTGCGCGATGCATCCAGCGAGGTGGAACAGATGCTTGACGACTTTGGCATTGAGTCGTCCATGCGCGAGGACGTCTTCAATCTCATTGACGCTGTGCTGAAGAAGGGCGAGAAGCTGGATCCTGAGTCCCAGCGGCTGCTGGAGAAGGACCACAAGTCGTTCATTCGAAATGGTCTGAATCTTCCCGCGGGACCCAAGAGGGACAGGTTCAAGGAGATCAAGCAGCGTCTGAGTCAAATCGGCATCGCCTTCCAGAAGAACCTTAACGAAGAGAACGGTGGGCTGTGGTTCACACAAGAGGAATTGCACGGCGTGCCAGAAGACGTCACCTCAGGACTCAAGAAGGGAGAAGGCGAAAACGAGGGCAAGTTGTTCCTGACCTTCAAATACCCAGACCTCTTCCCAACCCTCAAGTACGCCACAAACCCGGAGACAAGGAGGAAGGTTTTTGTCGAGAATGAGAACAAGTGCAACGGCAACGTACCACTGTTCAGAGAGGCCATCTTACTCCGCGACGAAGCCGCCCGCCTTCTAGGCTACGACAACCATGCACAGTTCCGGATAGAAGACAAGATGGCGAAGACCACCAAGACCGTCGATGACTTCCTCGGTGACCTGCGCGAAAGGCTCGCACCAGGTGGCAAGAAGGAAATTGAGAAGCTGATGGAATTGAAGGAGCAAGACGTCAAAGAGAATGGAATCACAGGTCCGTTGGCCAAAGACTATTACCTTTGGGACAACAGGTACTACGATCGTCTGATGCTGGAGAAGGATTTCCAGCTCGACCACCAAGTTATTGCCGAATACTTCCCCCTACAGACAACCATCCAAGGCATGCTGAAAATCTTCGAGGAGCTCTTTGGTCTGGTGTTCGTCGAGATTGTGGGCGAGGAAGACAGGGCTGCCCTTGCTGACGGTGGCAAGGGATCCGACATTGTCTGGCACGAGGAAGTGCAAGTCTTTAGCGTTTGGGACGACAAGGGCGAGGGTGAAGGCTTCGTTGGCTATCTCTACCTGGATCTCTTCCCGTAAGTACCCTATGCACGGACCAACATCACGTGGCTTCATCCCGAAATATGTCCGAGCTTCTGCTAACTCAACACCAGACGTGACGGCAAGGTATGAAGACAACCACAACACTTCTAGAACACTTACTAACGTTGAAATCACGTGAAAAGTATGGGCATGCTGCCAAGTAAGTTGTGCCTATACGAAATGCATGTGAGACATACACTGACTTCGTATTTTCCAATCTGCAGCTTCAATCTGCAGCCTGGCTATATAGATGAGAACGGCAAGCGACGTTATCCCGCGACGGCTCTAGTCTGCAACTTTTCCAAGCCAACGAAGAAGAAGCCCTCACTACTCAAGCACGATGAAGTAGTCACTCTCTTCCACGAGCTTGGACACGGTATCCACGACCTGGTATCACGAACGACCTACTCTCGGTTCCATGGCACCAACACCGTTCGCGACTTCGTTGAGGCGCCATCTCAGATGCTGGAGAACTGGTGCTGGACACCTTCGCAACTACGCTCTCTATCTCACCACTACTCTTACATCTCGTCCGACTATGAGAAGGCATACTTAGAGTCATCAGGCGGCGAGAAGAAGCCGTCAGAGCAGATTCCTCAATCGTTGATCGCCAAGTTGATCTCTACGAAGCACGTCAATGACGCGCTGTTCAACTTGAGGCAGTTGCATTTTGGAACCTTCGATATGGCTGTTCACGAGCCGGCCAGCCACGAGGAGCTCGAAAAAATGGACATCACTGAGAAGTACAACTCTTTGAGGCACGAAATCAGTCAGCTCAAGGGCCCTGAGTCGCTGGAGGGAGACAAGAAGGGTGACTGGCACTGGGGTAATGGACAGGCTACGTTCGGTCATTTGATCGGTGGCTATGACGCTGGGTAAGACATGTTCAATCGCTCTGCCAAACATCACGTGCTAACCATGACAGCTACTATGGCTATCTCTCCTCTCAAGTCTACTCCACAGACATGTTCTACACTGTCTTCAAGGACGATCCTATGAACCCCAAAGAAGGCCGCCGCTACCGACACACCGTTCTTGAGCGTGGCGGTTCCAAGGAGGAGATGGAAATCCTTGAGGAATTCCTTGGCCGCAAGCCCCAGACAGAAGCCTTTTACAAGGAACTGGGAATCTCACAGTAGGCCCGCAGTTGATAACTGGGCACCAAAACGTGTATCTGAGAGGCTACCTCTTAAAGTCTCCTAGCACAGACGCGCACTCCAGCGCGCTACACGCACATAGTCTGCTAGCTTGTAGCCAACCCATTCTACAACGTTGCTCACAAAATTCTTCCCCATGACTTCACTTACTTGATGTTGCACTGGGGCGCTTTCTTCACAAAATACCTTTGTGCGTTAGACGATTCCCGCACGTAAGAGTTAGTGCCTAGTTACCCCGTGTACGCAGGGAGTGACAATCGCCCTTCGGCCGTAAATTCTATGGCTTTTCCCTTTGATCTTATTGAAAACATGATAGTCCCCCTTCTCGACTGTCGTCGCGCGTTAGACTCCCATATATCACAATCCAACGCTGGCGAAGGCGGCTTTGCGGCGGGATGCTGACATATATGAAGATGCGTTAATACAGACAGTCCACACTTGTTTGCGTTAGATCAAGGGTTTGTTGGATTATATCGTCAGTATCGATATCGCATGTAGGCCAGAGAAAATTCACAAAAGGATTATCTCTCCAAACTTGGTGCTGCCACTTTCGAGCCTGCGGCATTCCATCTGCTGCTATATTCCTCCGCTACACCCAGTTTTACATTCAAATGTCTACCCACCTCACTATTCCTGCACTCCACTACTCCTTCACCTCATTGTTCTCAGCGGTCCAGTCCATATCTAGTACGCTCAGACGCGAGGTCTGCTTTGCCTGCTCCCTGTTGAACGAGTGGGCGTGGCGGGCTCGGCCCTTGCTCAGGATACTCTTCTTGCGACAGAGTTTGAACTTTTTCGGCGCTGTAGTCGTCTAAGTGGTAGTTGGAGCTTCGAGAGGGTCGGCGACAATCGTAGGCACTGTAGTCGTCGGGGTAGTGTCGGGGGAGGGGACGAAGCGGCGCATGGATCGGTCTGGGAGGATATGAGCGGCGGCAATCTCGTTGGTGTTCTCTGCCCTGGCGACTGCCTCTACGCCTTGGAAGCCGTTGTCTTCGTTCTCGTTCTCCGCCTTGGCCAGTTCGTCTGAGTCCCCGGGGTCAGCTTCTTCGTCTTCTGCATCGGCGAGCTTGTCGTAATCGTCAGAGGCAAGCCCCCAACACGCTCCGCTATGGAATGCGGCCCAAGCTGCCATCTCTTCCTCTCCTTCCCTGTCGATCATCTCCTGTTCCGCATCACTAAGCGTGAGTGCTGCTCGGAACTGTTCTGTTGTCATTCCCACTAGTTCCTTCTTTTTGAACTCATCTAGCTCGTCGAGCTCCTCGCGCAGTTCATTGAGCGCTTCAAGGGAATCCTTGTCGCCCTTGCTGGTTGCCCTCACCAAGGCCTCCTGGTAGACTTGCTCAGCTGCTGCCTTCCAGTCATCCGCTTCCACCCAGGTATTGGCGGCGCAGGCGATGAGGAGGCAGTTTTTGATGATGTAATAACGCGGCATAGTCTCGTCGCTTCCATTGTGTTAGTGGATTTATACAGCAGATGACAAGATAGCTCTTACCTGAGGTTCTTCTTGGCTTCAGCGATACACTTCTCGCATTCATCCTTATCGAGGAGGTCCCAGGCAGCATTGAACTGCCTTGCATAAGCGTTCGCCATCGAGAATCTAGAACGAAGCCAACGTAGGGTAGAGAAGAATGATGGAGTCTCTCGGTAGCCGCTGAAGTTGTCGATGTACTTACCACTCACTTACCACTCACTCATCACTCAATCACCGCTCACTCACCGCTCAACAACGTCAGGCTATTGCAGGAAGGTAAGTCCTCGCTGGAATTGTGCGACATCGCTATCTTGAATTGAGAAAGTAACGGGATGTTAGCAGACGAAGCGTTTGAGCTACGTGGGGATTCTTCGCCTGACCTATCTGACGTAGCTAGCGCACTTTTGCCTTTAGGTCCGTACCAGCATACGATACACCAACTTTTAAGAAGTTTCTGACTGCGCTACCCACGCTATCAGAGACCAAGGAAGTGAAACCAAAAGTCTGCAAACATGGGAGAACGTGAGTTAGTCCACTCATTCAGCTCCCCAAGATGCCGGGCCGGCGTTCCCTCTACAAAGTGGAGCTAGTCGATCTAGAGATCAATTGAAACCTGGCAGACGGAGAAAGAGAACGTCCTGATAGACTCACAAGCAAAGAATGACGTCTAGCGATTATGAAGCACTGATGAAGCACTGGACGATCATCCCGACTGGGCGGGTATGGGTATGGAACAGTACGCTTCCAGTCGCCGAGCAAAAGGAGCTGCGACTATTTCCCGAAGTTCAACCCACAAAAGCAAGAGATATGCGGATATGGGAGAGCGAGACGATCAGGTTCGAGGCAGTACTAGGAAGAAATTCAGGGAAAGAACCCGCCGACAGCGAGAGGTATTGGACCTGGGGTGGCCCATATACCTCACCAAGTCGTATACATGCCGTGTTGCTAGATTTCTGTGGATGTGGAAAGAAAGACTCAAGCGTCTACAACGACGGAGACTTCGTCGGAGTTGATGGTTAGTTTTCAGAGGATATACACGTTGAACCCTAGGAGATGGTCAGAAGAGATGCTGATCCTATCAACGAGTAGGACAACGGATAGGCGCGGTTATTTAGGATCATGGTGAATAATGCTAATTCATGCGTCGATACAGACAGTCCACACTCGTTTGCATTGGATTGAGGGTTTGTTGGGTTGCATCGTCAGTGTCGACATCGCTTGTAGACCAACGCATTGTTAGCGAAGGCAGTATCACCCGACAATAAGAACTCCAGTAGTCGTCCGACTGAGCCACTGCCCCACTGACACTCTAAGCATACTCACATCAGAAGTCACCATAACATCCCAACAAGCCCCTTTGCCATCAGAGTATCATCCTTAACTTCCTTGCGCGACAACAGTATGGCTAAAGTCCTACGACCCTCACTAAGCTCCATTTCCTCATCCTTCACCTCTTGCTGCAATCTTCAGAAACCCTGCGCTGTTCGTGACTGCAGTATTAAAGTGCGATGGAGGCCAGACGTAGAAAGGAGAGGTGGCTATATATGCAAGCGGCATATGAATGAGCTTAGAAACGTTGCGACAGTGGTTGTTGAAGATTGGTATTTTACGCAGATGCTTGGAGAGGGCGGTCTAGGTGTATTGGATGGTTCTGAATGGTGGTAGAAGAACAAGAGATAGTGACAATGCCTTACAGTGGTTCACGTGTCAAAGCCTATTAACTATGACTTTAGCAATACGAGTTCTTCGGAATGTCTCGATAACAGGGGGTTGGTGACGCGCTCCTAGTGCATTCACGTTGATCGCTATGGCATGACCTACTTAATTGCTGGACCATCACGTTTTCAATAAGGCCAAAGGGAAAAGCTATAGAGTTTAGGGCCGAAGTGCGATTGCCACTCGCTGCGTACATGGGGTAAGTGCAGTGGATGACCTTCGCGCTAATGTTATCGCGGAAACCGCGGAAACCGTCCGCTTGCAACGTACGCAATACTTCCAGCTAAGATAAGACGCGTTAAGTCATTACTCACCATATTCTACAACAACAACTGAATAGTCTGATAACAGATAGTTGTCGCGTCTAATTTGCATAACATGCAGACTCAGCATACTTGCATTCCTACAGGCCGAACCACACGTAAAGATCGAGCGTCACTGGCCCCGAGCTGCGGCTCATCGGTTCCACTACAACTTCTTTCCAAGCATGCGCAGTGAGCGCTGCGGGCTATGACGAAGATAAATATGGCATATACACAAACCCGTTTCTACCAGAACAAAGACGGCAGAGTTCCGCTACAATTGCAGAACAACTAGTCTGTGCCGCTCCCCGCAAAACCGGTCTCTCCCGCTGTCATAAACTGGTTGACGATTGGACGAAGTGAGATGCATGACTTCCTGCCTCGGGATGATAGGCAAAGCGTCGGAAATCGCCCTGCATCAACGCCAGACATCTAGCATGGAGCTTCTTCACTAATCAGGGCAAGTGGAGCAAAGATAAGCACATCCTGATAGGCCTGTCAATTCTCTCCGATTTTATCATAGTCGCTTTTCCAGCCCAGGTTGTTCGGACTGCTTCCGCACATGGTTGATAGTAGTAATAAAGGATATGCATCGGTGGCACTCTACTTCTCCAACCAGGCGCGTCGCGGGTTACTCTGGAAAAGGGAAGAAACATGAGTGCGCAGAAAGACGATGATAGTAAAGAGAATGGAATGTCAGCTCTGGCCTTGCAGCGGACTGTGTCCGGGAAGCATGAGCAAACACAAGCTCCGCATCAACATCTAGATGTAAGTCACTAGAACATGGTCAATCAAGCTTTACTTACGTAGTAACAGCAAAACTTTAACGTTTTGTCTCTCATTTCGACTGCCACTTCTCTAATTGCTACATGGGAAGCACTCGGATCTACCATGGCCACCGGCCTCATATCTGGAGGCCCGGTGTCACTGGTATTTGGGTATATACGTTCGTCTCATACACCCCCTGAGATAGCCTCCTTTCTAATATAAGATGCGACAGTCGCAGTCTTAGGAACTTTGGCGACGGCGTTGAGCTTGTCTGAACTTGCATCTATGTAAGTCGAGAACGCATTCGTTGGCAATAACATATCCTAACCTGCCTTTTCCTGACCAGGTACCCTTCAGCTGGAGGTCAGTACTACTTTGTGGTTCAGCTTGCTCCCAAGAAATTTCGAACAGCATGGGGATACGCCGCTGGCTGGATCTCCGTCTTTGCCTGGCAAACCTTCACTGCAAGTGCTCCGTTTCTTGGTGCAACAATGCTTCAGGGTATCATCGTACTCAACTACCCGGATTATTCGTATCAGAGATGGCATGGGACGATGCTGTACTGGGCCTTTCTTGGACTTGCAACACTTGTTAATGTCTTCGCCATCAAGAGCTTGCCTTGGGTGTTGCATGCAACATTCTTGCTCCATGTTGTACTCTGGCTTATTTTAGTCGTCGTTATCTGCGTTATCTCGCCCACCAAACATACCGCCGAATTCGTTTTCACCACTTACGTCAACGAGTCGGGCTGGAGCAGCGACGGTGTAGCCTTCAGCATAGGCCTACTGAGTAGCACGTATGTGCTTGCTGGTAAGTCCGCGCATACCCTACCATTGCTCGCACAGACTAACAGTATTACCAGGATACGATAGCGCGACCCATCTCACCGAAGAGATCAAAGACCCGGAGCGTAACGTCCCACGAGCTATGCTAGCATCAATCATCATCAACGGCGCGATAGGATTTGGATGGCTACTTGTCATCTTATTCTGTATGGGCGATATCACCGAAGCGATGGAGACAACGACCGGATACCCAATCATCGAGATATTCTTCCAGATAAGCCGTAGCAATGCAGCGGCTTCTGCCATGACCTGTGCCCTCATCGTCATGGCAGCTTTGGCAACGGTACCTCTTGTTCTGACCGCATCTCGAATGCTGTGGTCTTTTGCCCAGGACGCCGGACTGCCTTACTCGAAGACACTTAGCAGGGTTAGCGAGAGACACCACGTTCCCTTATCAGCGATAGCAGTGACCAGTGTGTTTCTTATCTTGATCGGTCTGCTAAACATCGGTTCCACTACCGCCTTCAACGCCATCGTCTCTTTGGGTACCGTCGCCCTATACATCTCATACCTGATGCCCATAGTGCTCATATTTTATCGACGGATAGCTCGCCCAAGCTCACTTTTGTATGGTCCTTTCCGGCTTGGGAAGCTTGGTATTGCCATCAATCTTGTTTCTATTGTTTATACTGTTTATGTATCCATATTCCTTCTCTTCCCACCATACCAACCCGTTACGGCTCAGAATATGAACTACGCCCCGGTCGTGCTGGGAGGCGTTCTCATACTGAGCGCTGTGTGGTGGTTCATAAAAGGAAAGAATGAGTTCGTCGGGCCGGTCATGGATACAATAGAAGGTCGACCTGCGCTGAGTGGTGCTCAAAGAGACGTATAGCCGAGACTGGCGATTGCTTGTCTGTGTGAACATGGTCATTAGCGTCGTCACGTTGAGGTGACGAGGTTGTTCGTAGAATAGCTTTCACCCTGGACAGAATAGCGATTCTCCAAAGAAATTCAATGGTATTCCAGGTAGCATCATCTATTGCAGATGCTGATACTAATGAATGTGATACATCTATGAAAAATAATTTATGTCCAAAGAAAGAAAATATACACACAACGCACGATTATACACGGCACAGTTTGCCGTTCTCGTTTGGTAGGCCATCAACACTTTCCACTCGCCACCTCTCACTACCCACACTCGTAGTCGCAAAGAACACATCTTGTGGATCAAGCTTCTTCTTCAACTCTAACAACCTAGGGTAGTTGTCACCGAAGAACGCGTTACCAAAGTCAGGCTCAAGACGATCAGCCTCAGCAAGGTAGGATCCGGCCCCAGGGCTGATGTCTCTCCAAGACTGCATATCGCCCGCTTGGAAATCTTTACGGATCTTCAAGATCTCCTCAGCGGTGCTGTTGATGGGCCAGCGCACAGATTGCATGCTGAACGAGACCAAGGGGCGCCAATGGGTGTTTACGGCGTTGTCGGTGTTGTATGGGTCCTTAGCCTGCATGTTGAAGTGGACTTGAACGCGGTTTTTCTCGCTCGATGCGCGGATGCGTTCGTAAACCTCTTGACGCTTCTCAGCCGTCTCGAAGTTTGCGCGAGGGAACAAACGCGATGCGGTCGCTACGTTGGGCTTTTGAACAGCTTCGAGAGGGAAAGAGTTGCGCCAAGCATCGTAGTAGTTGTCGTAATGAGTGATATTTGGGTCAAACTTGACGCCCAAATCATTAAGTTGATCGAACCAGGGCTGCAGGAGCGCAGTTGCTTCCTCTACGTTCTTTCCAGGCGCGAAGAAGGGCGAGAATGCAAATGAAAAGGTACCGTTGGATGGAATCAGTGTCCAGTATGTGTATGTTCCAGCGTCTGCGTTGTCGATCCATAGGTCGACGTAGGCGCGGATGGCAGCCCAGAATGTCTCGTTTCCGGTTTGGGCAGAAGTGAAGCCAAAGCGGGAGACTGTGACTTCGAGATCAGGATGGGCCTTGACAGTCACAGAGGTGACGACACCGAAGGTACTGCCACCACCGCCACGAAGAGCCCAGAAGAGGTCAGTGTTCGAGGTGCTGTTTGCGACAACAAACTCGCCGTCGGCTGTAACGACCTCCATGGAGAGGACACTATCAGCACCAGTACCGTATAAACCAGTCAATGGGGAGTGGCCGCCTCCTTGGATGTATCCTCCCATGACTCCGACTGTCTCTCCTTCGCCACCAACGACGATTCTGCCCTTCTCAGCGGCAGCCTTGTAGATCTCGAAGGCTTGCACACCGACACCGCTCTTGAACGCAGGGCCGGTCCAGTTGAGCTTCTCATCGACGTACTCTTCGATATAATCAATATCCTTCATGTTGTGTGTCCAGATACTAAGAGCATCCTTACCACCGCTCTTGCCTAGAAAGTCGTGGCCAGTGTTCTTGATAACGAGTCTGACACCAGTGTTGCGTGCGAAGTTTACCGCAGCCTGTACGTGCTTTGGCTCAGTGGCGTTAACAACGTACATAGGGAAGCCTCCACGGGTGCAGCCATGGGAGTCGAAGAGTACTGGCGGTGTGCACGTCATGCCTTGCGCGACCGGAGACATGATTTCGATGGGATCGATCATATGGATGTACGACTTCTGCCACGCTGCCACGGTGTATTCGGAGCATTTGGCAGCACTGTAGTCATCGCCAGGGTAACACACTGCCGCAAGAGGAGTGGGTGCATTGATAACACGGTCACCTGTGACTTTGTTGAGTTGTGACCAAGCTTCGTCGGACGGCCATTGAGGATCATCAGGGTAGACCTTGCATCTCGAAGTGTTTGTGGGCGTTGTAACATTAGGTGAGCCAGGGAGAAAGAGCGATCTGACTGCGGAAGGAACACCTTGGAGGTCCACATCTACGTTAAGGGTGTTGGTTTCAGCCTTGGCTGATAGGACAGGCGATGCTGTGGTTGAGGCAGCAGTCAGAACTGCGAGCCACAAAGCGACAGAGGCCATCTTTACGAGTTCGTCTGTAAACCAACGACTCAGAGTACAACCGAGTTTACCGGTCTTTGGAAAAAGATCGTCTCCCGTTGAACGGCTGCAGATCTGTATGTCGGTCAGAAAGTTTCTTTGTGCGTCATGAACGACCGTTTCTTACTGTACCTTTCGCCTGGGGCTTGCGGCTGCTGGCGTGTTACGGACCGTTGCGCACTGAGACGAGAAACAAAAGGATAGTCATATTGGTCATCTCAGTGACTGACTCGATATAGGAGGCAACGCCCAATATACCGTGCTTGGCAGGATGTGGGCTAATGCTCTTTGCCTTGAGTGTGACTGCTGATCTTCTCTAGAAACTGTGTTGACAGCTGAGATAGCCAGGGTCGGTGACAAGGTATTGACTTGGTTACGAATCTGCGACCTATCCGCACTCCATGAGGGTTCATGTATGCAGCTGTTGCGTAACGCGCATTTTCTCACCTGCATATTCTCCTATATTGGACCTATCATAATGAACGATCAACAATTTCTAATGCAAACTTTGTACGCGTAAGGCTGTGAAGAGAGTATCGAATGCGCCCACGTGCGCTCGAATATGTCGTTGGGACTAGTCTCCGGCACATCGTTACTCGAGTCGTGAGGCTTGTCGTCCAGGGTCTGCTTGTTGGTGCCGTTCAAGCTGCCGGTAGTGCGAAGTTTGAGAGTCATGGTCGCATCCAAAACGGGAAGGAGCCGAAAATACCTTACTAACGCGCGAACCTGCAGCTCAGAATTCTCCTTTGAGCCGCGTTCCTGACCACGGCATCCGAACGCATTCACCACTATGCCAGCTCACGTTGCAATTGAGTTTGTTTTCTCGGGGGAAACACGTGTGCTGACCCGCCCTCCACGGCTCGGGCAATAAATTCCCAGCGCGGGATCGACCTCCGTCAGCCACCCGACAAGCCTCCAACATCATGTTCGGAGGATCGGCATATTTACTTCCCCTAATCGCAAGCGCTTTCAGAATATCGACTCGCCGCATCGCAGACATAATGCCTAGCGGAATAATTGTCCATGGCGTTGTCCAGGCTCCTCGCCAACCAACAGGGTGAACAGGCATCCAACCCGCGATTGAGGCCCGTGTTCAGGGCTGACCTGGACATGTCAGCCCGAATTCGGACCGTGAGGAACCTCTTTCGACTTTATGAGACAGCCTAGTCCTTGTTCTGGTCAAGCGAGAGGGGAAGTTACGAGCGGAGGATAACCATGTTGCCGCGATTATGGCCTGCATGATGAACAGCCTCGCTTTAGAACGACGTCTCCCGCGCCTGGCAGGTTTTCATCCTTGAGACATCAAGAGTCTAGAGCAGCGGCTGGTCCGATGCAACTTTTCACCTCGCCGTGCATCTGTCAGTCGTTAATGACAGCATCCTTCTTGGCCACCAAAGCATCTGATATTAAGGGATTGTACGTGCGACTACCCACGTGGAGCGCTGGAGGACGCGGCATATACTAGTCACATAGCAAAAAACTTGAGCGTGTCCAGACGCGTTGCGGGTACATTCGACTTTTTCCTGAGTGGGCCAATACTGCCTACATTACCCGTCATCCCTTCAGATCCTCACTGTTTGCGTCACTACTCCACGTTCGCTTCTTGGTGCGATCTACCGTCGTGGACCCACGATCTTCATCAACCCTCTGGTTCTCCCGGTTCATGATCGACTGAACAGGCGGACACTGGACATTACCCCGTGGGCTTCACGCCTGTTGCCCATTTACGGACCGAGCACTCCAAGATTGCACGACTACGGCGACAAAACTCGGCAGTACCATGGTCGAAAGCCGACAATGCGAGGTTCTGGCCATTGTGTGTACTTTCACAGTCGTCGCTTCTTTTACAGTCTTCCTTAGAGTATGGTCGCGCTATCTCGGACGCAACTTTTGCTGGGACGACTGGTTGATTCTGGCTGCTTTTGTGCTCCTCATAGCGGATACCGTGGGAACATGGATGTACATCATATTGAGTGGCACTGGCTACCATATCTATGATCTGCCTAAGAAGTCGATTGAAGAGCAGCTTGTGGCGTTGAGATGGAACTTCACTGTACAAATGCTGTACCATCCACGTACGTATCCCTTGGTCAATCAAGAGACTTCGCTAACAAGTTTGATCCCCTTCCAGTCATGGGATTGATTCGGGCTTCTATCATCATGTTTCTTTTCCGCATGAAGGACGGTCGTCGTCGCATAAGATACCCATTACACGTTACTTTCTGGCTCAACATCCTCTACTCCATCGGATCAACGATAGTCAACGTCGTACAATGCACCCCCAGAGCCTATGCTTGGTCCAGGCCCGCCATGGATAGCATTGATGCTAATGGGAATGTCGTACCAGGCGGTACATGTATCGACTCGCGGACATTCGTATTGGTATCTTGTGCTCTATCGATTTTCATGGATCTCATCATCATTCCTATACCTTCCGTCATGGTGTGGGGTCTTCAGATGCATCGACGCACAAAGATTCTGGTAGTGATTGTGATGAGCCTGGGATGGATTGCGACGGGAGTGTCGGTAGGTAGGTTTATCGTATATTACTACCGATTTGCCCCTACCAACAAAGACCGTACCTGGGATATCGGTATTGGAATCAGCATCGCCGAACCTGCCGTACACATTATGACAGCATGCGCACCGGCGACTAAGTGCCTCTTCCGATACCTATTCCCACAGTATGGCACGAATCAGAACACGTCGTACTACCAAAACCGTACCGCGGATACAAACCGACACAATACCAAGGTATTCGGGAATTTCCACTTCGGGCTGTCCAACAACATAGACGATGAGATCACCATGGAGGGGATGGGAGGTGCACCGAGGACTGCTCCGCTTCCGCCAGTGAAGGACGACTCTGAATATGGGCTGAAAGCTATGGGAAGCTTTGAGTCAAAAGAGTATGTTGCAAGAGGAATAGGCAGGAAGAAGAGTTGTTCGAAGACGGCATGCACGGAAGCAAGCGAGCCAGTCGAGATCGAACCGAAGCATTGCCTGGGGCAAGCTCGGTGATTTTGTTTAGGGTCCTGCGTTGATGAGCGATGATAGCGTTTGATACACCGTGAATACCTTCACACCTCTTGCAGCACATAGTAGTAATCGATGACGTTTACGACCAGTGGAAAGTTGAGCTTCTGAACTGCATTATCCCAATAGCAAGTGGTAGAGGTCGAAAGTGATGATTGTACGCGTGATCGCGCTGCCACGTGAAAGCCTAGCGCGTTATGGTGGGGCGCTACCGAGACCCTTGCCCAGGTGAGACGGAATAACAAACACTGGCAGCAGAGTAATTCAGCACGACAGCACATGCAGCCACCATGAGGATTATAGAACTTGTAATCGATGTGAGCACTGCCAGAGACTGTATTTGGCGCCTTCTAACATGAATCCAGGGCTACAAGTCATACGCTGTCCGAACAGTCATCTCTGGCTGGTAGGGCTTGTTTACGCTCCCCTTGCGAAGAGACCAGCGACTGACAACTGGGCAGGGACGAGAGCTTCAATTCAATCACGGGTCTCAACGGATCTGGAAAGTCGAACATTCTCGATTCGATATGTTTCGTACTGGGAATCAACAACTTGAGCGTGGTGCGGGCGCAGAACTTACAGGTGGGTGTAGAGAGGGGAAGGACCATGCAGAGCGGAGAGGCTTACACCGCTGCAGGATCTCATCTACAAGCGCGGCCAAGCAGGCGTTACGAAAGCGAGCGTCACCATCGTGTTCGACAATCGCGACAAATCGAAGAGCCCCGTTGGCTTCGAGGAACATGCGCAGATATCGGTGACTAGGCAGATCGTGCTCGGCGGCGCGAGCAAATACCTCATCAACGGACACCGCGCGCAGCAACAAAGCATACAGAACCTGTTCCAGTCTGTGCAGCTCAACATCAATAACCCCAACTTCATGATCGCACAGGGAAAGGTTATGCAGGTGCTGAACATGAAGGCCAAGGAGATTTTGGCTATGCTTGAGGAGGCTGCTGGAACGCGCATGTTCGAAGACAGGCGGGACAAGGCCTACAAGACCATGGCAAAGAAGGAGATGAAGGTGCAGGAAATCACCGAGCTACTACGAGACGAAATCGACCCCAAGCTCGAGAAACTACGAATGGAGAAGCGTGCTTTCCTCGATTTCCAACAGACGCAGAGCGAGCTCGAACGCCTCACGAAGCTGGTAGTCGCGTACGATTACATACGATACAACGAGCGGTTACAACAGTCTGCCGAAGATCTTGAAGCCAAGAAGCAAAGGGCGAAGGACCTAGACGAATCTTCTGTGCGCATGAAGAAGGAGATAGAGAACCTCCAAGAGGATATCAAACAAACAAAGGCAACACGCGAGCAGGAGTTACGCAAGGGGGGCAAGTTCCAGGCACTGGAGGAAGAGGTCAAAACAAATTCGCACGAGATCGTCCGCCTAACGACGGTTCTGGACCTAAAGAGGACGAGCATGGCCGAGGAGGCAGACAGGAAGGAAGGCATTGAGAAGAGTGTCAAGGAGCTGGAGAAGCTTCTACATGAGAAGAAGCAGACGTACGAGAAGTTGCAGGAGAAGTACCAGACAGCCCACGCCGAGCTGGCCAAGCAAACAGAGGAGGTAGAGAAGAAAGAAGAACTTCTACAAACCCTACAAACCGGTGTGGCGTCCAAGGAAGGTCAAGAAGGCGGTTATCAGGGCCAACTGCAAGATGCCAGAAACCGAGCGAGCGCAGCTGCCACCGAGCAAGAGCAGAGCAAGCTCAGAATATCGCATCTCGAAAAGCAGATCAAGGAGGATGAGCCCAAAGCGAAGAAGGCAAAAGAACAAAATTCTGGACTCCTAAAAGACCTCGAGGCATTAAAATCCCAAGCCAAGAAGCTAGAGGCGGATCTGGCGAAGCTGGGCTACAACGAAGGTCAAGAGGCGGACATGTACCAACAAGAATCGCATCTTCAAGCACGTATACGGGAACTCCGACAGCAAGCCGACGGCATGAGGCGACAAGTTGCAAACATCGACTTCAGCTACAGCGACCCCTCCCCGAACTTTGACCGATCTCGTGTAAAGGGTCTTGTCGCCCAACTCTTCACACTCGAGAAGGAACACACCAGGGCAGGTACAGCTTTGGAGATTTGTGCTGGTGGCCGGCTGTACAACGTCGTTGTCGACTCAGCTGCTACTGGTAAGCAGCTTCTCGAGAACGGCAGGCTGAAGAAGCGCGTGACAATCATTCCGCTCAACAAGATCGCGGCATTCAAAGCGTCGGCGGAGAAAATTGGAGCAGCTCAAAAGATTGCACCAGGCAAAGTCGATCTGGCTTTGTCGCTGATTGGATACGAGCACGAGGTCAACGCCGCCATGGAGTACGTTTTCGGATCAACACTTGTCTGTGAGGACGCCGAGACCGCTAAGCGTGTGACTTTTGATCCCGCAGTGCGCATGAAGAGTGTCACTCTACAAGGAGATACTTATGACCCTGCTGGTGTGTTGTCTGGTGGTAGCGCGCCTCAATCTAGTGGGGTTCTCATCACTCTTCAAAAGCTTAACGAGATTACGACAGAGCTTGGTTCGCAAGAGTCCCAGCTCCGGTCTTTGCAGGATACTATGGCTAAGGAGAAGAAGAAGTTGGATGCCGCACGCAAATCGAAGCAGGAGCTCGACCTCAAAAGGCATGAGATCAAACTCACCGAGGAGCAGATTGGCAGCAACTCCTCGTCATCGGTACGTCAAGCCTGACACTCAGGTGTGAAACTATTGCTAACTCTGTACTAGATCATTCAAGCGGTGGAGGAAATGAAGCAGACCATCGCTCAGCTCAAGGAAGACATCAAGGCGGCGAAATCTCGACAAGAGGAAGCCAACAAGGACGTGAAGCGCATCGAGCGCGACATGAGCGAGTTCAGCAATAACAAGGACAGCAAACTTGCCGAACTACAGTCATCACTTGACAAACTCAAAAAGGCTTTGAACAAAAATAGCGCTTCCATCAAGCCACTGCAGACCGAGATGCGCGAAGCCATGGTCGAATCTGAGCAATGTGGTAGCGACCTTGCGGCAGCACAAGAGCAGCTCGAGGAGGTTCAGACCACCCTGCAATCTCAACAAGCAGAGATGGACGAGTTGTTGGCTGAACAATCCCGTGTCCAGGTAGGTTTTCTCAGCATGATGGTTTTATCAATATTGACATTGCTAGGACGCACACGACTTAGCTGCAGCCCATCTGAGGGACGAGCAAGCGAAGTTGACCGGCTTCGATGAAGAGCTTCGTTCGCTCGAAGACGCTATCAGATCAAAGAACTCATCCATCACCGAGGGTGGTCTGGAACAACAGAAGCTCGGCCACGAGATCGAGAGGTTCCACAAAGAACAAGAAGGTGCTGCTAGTCATGTCAAGGCGCTTGAAAAGGAATACGAGTTCATCGCAAATGACGCGGAGCTCTTTGGACGCACCGGAACGGTTTATGACTTCAAGGGCGTGAACATGAACGACGCAAAGACTAGGCGAAAGTCGTTGGAAGAACACTTCCAGCAAAAGAAGAACAAAATTAACCCGAAGGTCATGGCTATGATTGACAATGTTGAGAAGAAAGAGGCGAGTCTCAAGAAGAATATGCAGACGGTCATCCGCGATAAATCGAAGATCGAGGAGACTATCGTCAAGCTTGACGAGTATAAGAAAGAGGCGCTCCACAAGACATGGACGATTGTCAACCGCGATTTCGGCCAAATCTTCAACGAACTGCTACCAGGCAGTTTCGCAAAGCTGGATCCTCCCGAGGGCAAGACAATTTCTGATGGTCTGGAAGTCAAAGTTATGCTGGGAAAGGTGTGGAAGCAGTCACTAACAGAGCTAAGTGGTGGCCAAAGGTATGCGCCCGCCCGTACTCCCCCGAAACGCATGCGCTAACATCTCTTAGGTCACTTATCGCACTATCTCTTATCATGGCTCTTCTCCAGTTCAAGCCTGCGCCGATGTACATTCTGGACGAAGTTGATGCTGCGCTGGACCTGTCCCACACACAAAATATCGGTCGTCTGTTCAAAACTCGCTTCAAGGGATCGCAATTCATCGTCGTCAGTTTGAAGGACGGCATGTTCCAGAATGCGAACCGTATATTCCGCACACGGTTTGTTGACGGTACAAGTGTGGTACAAGCCACATCAGGGTCTGGATAGTCGTTGATGTTTTTGTAATGCGTTATGAGGCATGCTTTGGATACCCGGTGCGCATGGGTTGGATTGCAGTTTGGGATGCTATCGGTATAGGCTTGCATATGATGGTGTTGGCGGAGTCTTGTTTATGAAACTAGTAGCCTAGTTGGGAAGTTGGGTATGCGCATCCCTGGCTCTACTGGCCGCTTCCTCGTTACATGTCTTGTCGTCCATGTCTCCTTCCCGATGCGGGAACTGAAGGTACAGGCTTTCTCTACATCCCAGGACTGAACAGCACCATGTTTCCTACCATCGCGCGTTACCTATTTTTTCTGCGCACACATTTACGACATACCTATTGGCTTCATCGACGAAACCACTGACGGATATATCCTCAGCTGAATGCTTTACCGATCGGGCACGCTTGCGTCCCGTCTGCACTAGCGGCATCTACCGCAGGCCCACCCATGCTGTCGGCGCCATTGATTAGGGCCCTTGCAAGCGATACCTCCGCGCATTCCTCCATCAACACTCCGGAAGTATCAGGGCTATTCGCATCCTCTGCTCACGATCTCGGCAGCGTCTTGGGCCCGAGCTCGCCGACTTCTCTTACTAGACACTACACTTCACTTCAAGAGCATGCCGACCAGATTACTGGCACAGAAACGGCAGGGAAAGATGAAGGACTCACTCCAAGACAAGTGACCAGACGGGAGGGGTTTGCTTGGGGCCAACGACCAAGCCTCGAAGATGAGAGGAGGCATAGTCGTTACCAGATGCCGATGGAACAAGAACGACAAAGTTCACCTCCACCACTAGACGAAATCATTCGCAGAACGACCATCGACGATGCAGATGATCTTCAAAACATCAAGCTTCGTCACATGGATAGCATAGAGTCACACGCTTCTGGGGTTACCTATCCGGCCGCTTCCATTTCTACGTCTGTGGAAACTAGTGATTCTTATGTCCGCGATAACAGAAGATCTTCTATAGCGGCTTTCGCCAAAGGCATCGTACAGCATGTGCCCAACTTGAGAACGCCACGTCCTCAAGAAAGCAAAGAAGATCAGCAGCGACGAGACTCCGGTGATGGAGCTTCCATGAAGCTGCACAAGAAAGATCGTGTGCTATCCTTCGCACCACTTCCGCTTGTCAAGTCGAAAGAGTCATATGAGAAAGGCTCAAAGCCATCCGTTGTAATCGAGGAGCCATCGACACCCGTGGATACTCCCCCAACAGCAGTGAACAATGCGACTACACCGCCGAACCCACACTCGACGTCAAAAGGCGGACTCCGAGACCGCAGGAAGGTCAACCTCGATCTCTCCATGCCAGCACAAATGCCAGATCTACCCGCTCGCGGTCGCTTACCCGTCGATATGATGGGCAGCCTCGGTGCCCCACGTTCGAGAAGTCCCAAAACGCCATGGGTCCGGAAAGAGCAGCCACAGTGGGAACCAGCCATGATGACCAAGTCTGCACCGATTCTCGAAGAGGATTACATTCGCGACAACACCTCAGCGCCGAGGAACGACAACTATGGTGGCATAGGTCTTTTACCTGATACCAACACGCTCTTCTCTTCGCAAAGCCCGAAATTCGAACGACCGCCGGCGAGAGTGAGGGATCGGTGTTACATCAGCCGTCCAAAGTCCAAGAGAACGAGAAGTGGCAGAAGTGACAAAAGTGGCACTAGTGCAAGCGATTCAACTCTAGCTCGGACACCGGACAGTAGTTGGACCCCAGCAGAAGAGAGAATTTACCAAGAACACCAAGCTCAAACGAGATCAGAGCTGCGAAAAATTGCTAGTGAGTCCAAGGCAAGTCGCTCACGGCGCTGGTATTGGTTGGGTAAAGCCTCTAGTGAGGATGCTCCTTCTTCTCCTAGACCTGTAGAGCCTCTAAGTCGTCGCTTCTCAATCAACCCATTCAGACGGTCAAACAGAATCTCGGACCAGACGGATGCAGAAGTAAGCAGCAAACAACAAGCTCCATCTTCAGTTCATCCTAGTCGCGGCAAACATGTACCTCCATCAACGTCCCTCGCACATATACCTGTCCCACCTGCTTTCATCCCACCGGGCGTTCAGCGTGTACCGACTCCGCCCATTTTCGACGCCAACGGTGAAGTGAAGGGCAAGTTGGCAAACTTCTTCTTCGACGCCCAAGGTGGCGGCGCTATGAATGTTCGTACCAAAATCAAACCTAGTCCGGGAGGTTACTGGGACTCTGATGCTTTGCTCATGAGCCTGTCAAGCGACATCGACAACCACGAAGACAACGATGAAGACGAAGGCCCCGAAGGCCCACGTAGCGATTTCGTGCACACACCCGTAGATTTTGAACCAAATGGCACATCTGGACTTACAGCCATTGTGAGCAATGTCCAAGGAAATAGTTCAAGTTACCTCAGCGTCAAACCACCAGCCAGCCCTTCGCTAGCAGCAACGTCTCCGATGCTGGGCCATGATGGCTGGTACCGTATTCACCAGTCGCATTTCCCTGATACACCAGACGAACGCACTCTCACAGCGCTTGCCCGACAAGAAGAAGAAGAACGCCGTAAGTTTGAATGGCTCGTCCCTGAACATCTTCCCGATAGCCCTTTGTGCCCTCTGCATGCAAAGTATAGGGGGCCGAGTGCCGGCTTGTGTTACTGGCATGGACGTAGGTCCGGTAATAAGATTAGGAAAGGTGAGTATGGCAGGGCGGGAGTGAAAGCTGCTAAGAAGAGTATAAGTGGGGATGGTGGACATAGCAAGGATGACTATCATGCTGGAGACGTAGGGGTTGTCGGGACGCCGGGACTTGCGGGAACGCCGACTAGGGAGGTGAAAAAGAGGAGATTGATAAGTTTGTCCAGTTCTTAACTTATCGAGTCCTTGGTCTGTAGGGCGCAAGGGTGTTGGAATGATGACCACGATTCTATGAGTAGCGAACCTATCACGCTTGCACACAGACACGAGTATACATGCCAAAGTATATAAAGTCTACAAATGCAAAACCGTCTACAAAACCGTTGTCGTTGTACTTCGTGAAATACGCCAGTGCGTGAGTCCGTCGATATTGAGACCTGGATACTCCGTGCCCAGACTCTATCATAGCCTATGACCTTTCGAATGCCTCGCGAGGCTTCGGTGTCTTACCAGAATCTTTCCACATCTGTTCCCTTTCGCGAAAGATCTGCTGTGCCCATGCCTGGACCTCCTCGCTCTTGATGCGTCCTGCGACCCACTGGAATTCTCCTAGGTCTCGCTCGCAGTTTGATTTGCGCTCGTATTCTACCATTTGAACCAGGAGCTCGATCTTGTCGATGTCGTGTACGAAGAGAGATTCAGGAGTTTTGCTGTCTTCATATTCCTGCCATATCGCCCTAATGTCCTGGCCGTTGAGTCCCCCGTTGAACTTGCCCAGCAGGGTGGTGCAGATGTAGTCCATTGTCTCGGCTTCTCTCCTACTCTTCTCCTCCTTCGAAACTCCGTCTACAGGTGTGATGTCGCCGACAAGCGCCTCAGCCATGTCGTGGATAACAGCCATGCGGCAGCATCTGGCAATGTCAAGTTTCGAGCTCAGAGGCGCGGGCGCCATCATGGTGAGGATGCTCATGCGGTACATGTGGTCGGATATAGATTCGCCGTCTCCGATGTGGAAGCGCTGCCATCCTGCGCGTTTGGTAGTCTTTAAGCGCTCGAGGAGGTGGAAGAAGGGGACGGGCGAGTCGGTGTTCTCAGCGTAGCGGAGGTTGTTTGCTGCGAGGACTATAGAGCGCGTTAGTCATGCAATGAAGAAGACAAATGAGGAGTAAGAGAGGTGTCGCATACGGACGAACTATCGCCTGTTCATGACATACCGCTCTCGACTGACCAATCACTCTGCTTTACTTTGTTCGCGTCAAGTACGCCGGCGTTGGTGTCGGGCACGCCATTGACCTGGGTTGCCTCGTCCACTGTCATGGTTGCTTGATGTTACAATTAGAGACTGCGAGGACGTGTGTTTATAGAGGCGCAATTATGTGTGCGAGTGACGTATCAACGGTGACTGTTTGGTAAGAGAAGGATGGTGGGACAAACGGGGTTTATCGATTGCTCCCGCCTTGGCAAACAACGCAAGGGTCCGTCACACCGTCACACCGCAACGCCACGCCTGCAGCTCGAGCCTCAGCATTCTCTACGAGGAACACTGCGCGAATGTATGCACTGCGATCGCAACCATGTCTCGCCCGCCGTCAACCGCCTCTACGGCCACCACGGCCACAGCAAACGGCCATTCGCGTACCTTGTCGGTCAAGTCAATCCCCAAACCCCAAGTCGTGAACCCCATATCTACGCCGGATATTAGACTCTTCCTGACCAACCTACGATTACTGGATTTCGATTTGCGAGAGGACTGGCCCGGTATTACAGTACAAACTTTCTCTGCCAAGAATGCAGACCAGCGACAGAGGATTGGTGGGACTGAATGGGCCTTGTTTCGCTTGTTCGAGATCTGGGATGCCAATGAGACGGCGCAAGTATGTTGGGACGAAACTGATTACTAACATGTGGTTGACCTGGCTGTAGAAACTCCAACCCTTCTTTCCACCACTCGAACCTCTCCAATCGTTGAACCTCCGCGCTGCGCTATTCCGATGTCTGAACGAATTGAAGAAGAACGGTGTCCTGGGACGAGAGTCTGTGCTCAGAAAGACTATGTTGGACGAGTGCAAGGGCGAGAAGTTCTACGAGATATTGGCCATCTTCTCCAATGCGGTCCTCAAGAAAGTTCTCGCAGCGCGAGATGCAGGCGATGTAGATGCTGCAGTCGCGAGAAAACTGGCGACGGCGACGATGCTCTCGGGCGAACAGCAACGTTCATTACTGCCTCTAGCAATCGCGCATAAGGCGTCCCTAGTCAATGTGCTGAGACGGAAAGAAGAGAAGAGGAAGCAATACATGGAGTTCCATGGCCTTTTGGATAAGAAGGCTGAAGACATAAATCGCCGCATACGCAAGACCAAAGACACCCCCCGCGCACAGAAACCGGCCGTGTCACAGAAAGAAGCCAATGCCGTCAAGAAGCAACTCAAAGACAACTGGATTGGGAACCAGAAGTGGTTAGATGTAATGCTGCGTGGTGACAATGTCCAAGCGGAGGATGCATTCCTTACCAGTCGTTTTGACAAAGTCTGGCACATGGTAGAAAATGGCCGGAAGCTGGACGAGGTCGCGCCTGAGACTGGACTACTTGAAAATCTACAGGCAAGAGTGCATGAGCAACAAGAGAGATTGCAAAAGTGGAAGGCTTTCCATGAAGAGCTACAAAAGGATGAATCCGGCAAGGAGACATCGGGAAGCGGACAGGCAGCCGCGAAAGCAAAGGATTTTATGTTCGATGACCACTCACAGTACCAGCTGCCATCAGCGAAGCATACAATGGGGTCTGCAAAGATAAGGCGACCGGCTATGAGAGCGGAGTTCCAGGACATTTTATCCCACATGGACAGTGAGCTGGCTCGCGCTGCCACAGTCCGGGCTAGTGTCAGACCTTCAATCATACATCATAGAAGTACCTCGTCGGTAAAGACGGCTCGTCCGCCACTACTCACCAGAAAATCCACCCAGACGGAGGCGATACGAAAAGCGCCAATGGTTCCAGCCAAGCCTGTCAAACTACAGTCGCCTTCAAGACCAAACTCTTTGGACCAAATTCCGATCCTGCCTCGACCATCACGACAACTCGCATCGGCTGCAACACCATCCGCAGATTCTGAGGCTACGCTCATCGGCAATACATCGGCATCGAGTGCCACGATTAACTATCGTGATGATTCGCCAACGGAAGTTGATCAAGAAAGCACACCAGTATCAGGGACTGCACCCCCAGCTTCCGAGCCAGCCGACGGGACTCGTTCCCCAGAGCCTACCATTACTGATCACTCTGAGCAAAGAGCAGAATCACCAGATGATCTGTCTAAAGCCTCACCAGAATGTACCTCTGAACCGCCAATCCCAACCTTTGACCCACCAGAAGTCGATGCCGAAGAGGCACTTGCGGACCAGATCATCAACTCTATCGGTAATGCAACCCCATCTCCAGTCAAGAAACCCCAACCACGCATGTCCCTCTCGCTCATCGAACGTACACGCATGACAATGGCGCGAAGTCAATCCTATGAGTCTGTTCCAGAGTCACCAGATCTGCCGCTTCCGTCTATGGGCCCTCCTGCGATCCCCTCCATCACGGGAGATGAAGATGGCGACCGACGTGCAACACTGGCAGAGCGCACCCGACAAACTATGGAGGCTATGCAATCGAGATCCCGCCCCTCCGAGACGGATACGACAAAGAAAGAGAAACGCCAGTCCAGCCGCTCATCCCTATTCCCTGTCAACCAGTTCGATACGCCACGGACTCGCAAATCTTTCGAAAGCTTGGAGCAGGCCAAGTCGGAAAGTATTGAGCGTACGCCAACAGAGCAGTTATTTAGCGACGAGATAGACTATGACAGGGTGTTCAAATCTAGACCGAGGATTGCTACGAGTCCGGTTTGGAGTCCGGATGGTGCTGCTGGTGGCCAAGAGGAGTTTGATGATGAGGATCCGGATGGTGTCACTGGCATTGATCTGAGAGATGTGGATCAAGATGATGATGGAGAAGAACAATTCAAGGAGACTTGGATGGACAGCCCTAGTCATAAGAGGGGGATGAGGAGTATGAAGTATTAGTTACGGAGAACTGCACCCAACTATGACACATTGTCGCTCATTGTAATGTGGACTATCTTTGATCATGCTCATTATCCTACCATGGTTTTATCCCCAAATCATCTCTTCGGCTGCCAGTTCTGCAGAACAGTGCTGCAGATTCCTCGACTGCCTCTTCGCATTCACAGCCATTCTTTCACATCTATATAGGTGCTCTGCTCGCCACGTTTCTTCACATCGTCCGTCGTCTCGGTTCGTGTCATATTCTGGATGGGATCAAAGCATTTGGTCTGAACTGTAGTGTTACATGCTGGATAAAGTTCGCGTGTCTTCATATCGCAGAATATCTGCTCATATTCGGAGAAGAAGTCGGGTCCAACACTGCCAGTGCTTTGGCAGACTTCCACAGCACTTTGCGTCACATCATGGCTCTTAACTAGTACTCCCTCGAACTTCATTTGGAGTGGGTGATCAGGAGAGGGAAAACCGTTTGTGGAAGCCAGAGATAAGGCTGAGGTGCGTCGGACCTTCGATCTGGAAGCACCGGACGATGGCCGGTATGACGAAGACGATCGCGATCCGAGAAGAGAGCGACTTTTCGATGGGCCATCTGGACATTTGTCCGAGAGACTCTCTTTGCAGCCTAGAGTACAATCAACGAAGTTAGCAAATGTGTCACACGATGTTCGTATACAGAAGTTTACTTACGTTGATACCATGAATCGTCAGTAGTACACCTCTGGTCGTACATCCTGATGATATCATATCGCTCCTGGTATGTAAAACGATCGTCTTCGCAAATTCCGGGGTCTGTCGTGCTATCTTTCGCAGCCGGAGTGCATGCCGATATCGTATCCAAGGGGAGATTCTTGCCATACGGCGGCGCTGGGCTGAAGATCTCTGGACACATTGTAGTATCCAGCTTATCGTAGGAACCAAAGCGAGCCAGTGAGTCGCACATGTGTGAAGGATCCTCTTGCCATCCTTTGAAAGTACTGTTGTCGAGCTTGAAATCGGGGAGGTGGACTTGGAAGCCCTCACAATGTGTCGCTTTCTCTCCGTCATCGTCTGGTTTGTCGATCCAAAGGCATTTTGGTCGTGCGTCTTTCGTCGTGCCGGATTCTGATCGGAACTGTACTGACGTTGCGGATTCGGACCAGTAGTAATTGTATTCTGGCTTGTGATTGTTGCACACCGCAGCTACCTCGCCTGGTAGGAAAGCGTAGGTGTCGCTGCTTGCGGGAAATGTGACTGTTATTGCCGAGATACATATAGCATCGGTTCCGGACGCGGATACGGTGATGTACTCAGCTTTCTCCGTGTTGCCTTTCTTGAAGTAATCGGCCCATACGTCTGTCAGGCTGTTTTGATCAATGACATGCTTGCAGTTCCAGTTACGGCTGTAGCCAACCCGGTCTCCATTTGCGTTGAAGAGTGACATTTCTGGAGCGCATCCACCGTAACTCAGTTCTTTGTAGAGCTTGTCCTTCTCCTGTTGTTGTTCAGGGTTCAGTGGAGGCAAGCCGACCATCACGTTGATCTTGGTCTGCGGCTGAGGATTCCCTTTGATCCAGTCGGGCACCATAGGAGCAAGACTGATCATTGTGAAGGCGGTACTGAGACCCAGTTCGGCAAAAAAGGACATGGCGAGATGGGGACTGGTGTGAGATAAACGAGTTAATAGATTGTGTAGTATCTTTTGAACTATCGAGAGTCCAAGAATTCCAAAGTGTTTGATAATGGCAAGAGGTTGTGACGATGGACAATGTTCATACCTCCTCCATGACTTACTTCGTGAAACTCTTATAATGATACACACGAATACATTACTGATATTCTTCTTACGCCCCCAAAGCTATTGCAACGTGTTCCCCAACCTTTTGGTAACTTAATACCGGGTCGTTTGAACCCCGATGTCAAATTGTTGCTATCACCTGCACGATTTTAACGATCACCATCGGACTGCTATCCGCTTGTATCCTAAACAGCAGCGGTAAACCCATCATATCTATAGCTCCATGTAAAGGAGTAGAATGTGGAGACACACTCAACAACACGATTTGGTCTCCTTTAGCCAATACTGAGGCTTCCCCAGTCGCACTCAACCGCAGAGCTAGTGGTGGAGGTCGTCCGAACAGGCCTTCGGAGAACAGCCCCAACGCACCTCAAGCAAACCCCAACGACCCACAATAACCCTTCTGGTGCAGGCGATCAGACTGGAGAGTCAGGGGGGTTTGGCGAGACACCAGACACCCAAGGTGGCTTTTCCGACTCACAGGAAACTGAGGGAGGATTTGGTGATAACCCAGATGGAAATGCCCAACCAGCGAACCCAAACCCGAACGCACCAGCGGGTAACGACCCTGCCTCACAAAACACTGATCAGCATCCACCCTCAGCAAGAAATAATCACAATAAGCCAGCAGCGTCAGCGGACAATCCGTTTGATCCTGCCGCAGCACCCGTCCCGCGTATCGAGGTCGCGACCCGACATGATGAATTCAAGCAAACGATTACCGCTAACGGGCTCACCGGAAAGCCATGGTTCTTCTACTCAGGTCTCAAGCGAGACGATATATTCAGATTCAAGGGATCATTGGAACATAAACTGGGCATTGGTTACAAGCAAATGCCTTATATGGGTAACGTACTACCCACTGACAGTGGCGGGAAATATGAGATGGATAAGAGAAAGTACACAGCTAGTGGAGAGAAAGCTAATGAGGAGTATTACTGGGCCGTAAATTCGAAGGCCTATGCTGAAGCGGTTGAAGGGAGAGTTTACGTCATGCTTCCCAGTAGCCGCAGTGTGAATCAGCCATATCCCGATCAGGGTTCGAATTGGTGGACCTACGAAGTACCAGAACTCACCCGTAACTCTCGAGTGGAGAGTATAACAGTCGTACCTATGAAAGAACAGCCCGATACTTTCGTAACGGACACATTTCAAGGTCAATATGTTACTGGCCCAGAACAAGTTATTTGGAGGAGCGGCGACGAGCCCATCGGTTTTCCAGCAAGTGAGCTATATCACCTCCAGAGACCCGATGAGCCGTGGACGACTCTCCCAGATGTAGAGCTTCCTGAGTCTTAGTCTATACGTGGCGATGACAGCTCGCAGAGAGAGAGAGAGAGAGAGAGAAGAGAAAGCTGCACTGGAAACCTAGAGCTGTGGGAAATTCGACGCAGTAAATTGAAGGGCAGTATGGGTTTCTTATCTCCAATTCGTCGTCGTCGCTCGCTATGACAGTTTTACGTGTCGTGTCGCTCATTTTGTGTTCTCGTATCTACCTAGGCAGCTTAAAAATCAACTGGCGTATTCAGGACCCGAAGATCTAGGATAAAGCTTCAAGCAAAGGTTTTGTGAGTGTGCATAGCTTGAACTGCTCGGTGAGCTGCTGAAAATCGTTTGCAGTCGATCTAGCCGTCTTTGCTCGTGAAATATTGGTCAATGGGTTCAAGCGCGGTGCCGCGTATGAGGGAAACAGAACCACACCAAGTTTAGAGCCGTTCCTTGAAAGCACAGTACTGATCGTGAGATCATACTAAAGGTAGCACGGCGCTGAGAGCTGTCTATACATCGAGTGGTGGAGTAACAACCGTGGTTCGATCGAGGGTACCTTTCCCGAAATCCGCCCTGTGAATAAGCTCTGATCTCCGCAATCAAGGGACTAGCGCCCCAATCATTCCCTTGCCCCCAGCTTCTGCGGTCCAAGTTTCACGTTTAGTGTACTATCTGCAGCTGCATCTAAATACAAGCAATTGTCATTTTGCCACCCCATGGAAGGTCACCTGTTGACGTGGCCGTGTCTGTGCCGCATACCATTCCGTGCCACATTGGCAAAGCTTTTGGCGTCCGCAGCACTTTCCTTGTTATATGTTACCCACCATCTGTCCTGGGTACGGCTACCAGAAAGTTTGTGCTAACATCAGACCTAAAGTTTACTGTTCGATCTCACAAGACAAGCATAACAGACATATCCGGGTGCAAAACACGATGAGGGTTCTTGATCTACCTCAAGAGCTGTTCGAATTAATCCTGTGTCAATCGATTCTTGCCCGAGGAGTGAAACGAGGTCTGCGTTTGAGGCTAGTAAATAGTGCGAAGTACTATGTCACGAAAGGAAGGCTTCTACTGACACAGACTAGAATACTTCGGCCGAGAGGTTATACGTGCACTCCATAGGTTCCGGCTCCTCGACGACATGGCTTTTCGTCCAGTTCATTCCTGGGAGGAACTGTACTTCTACAATGCCTATCTAAAGGACCGAATCATGAATGAGCCTGTCAAGGGCAACCGGTTCTTGAACGATGTGCGGAACATCGCTTTCCAAATGGCATCCCTCAGCGAGGTTCGCGAGGCCGAAGAAGATATCGTTTATCATATTGTCCGTACTCTGTGCGAAACAAGGAGGCCACCGGAAACCAGAAAGTACTGGAAGGACGAATTCCGCCGCACTTCTAAATGGGAGCCGGACGAACTAGAGAGGCAACTCTTTGGTGCCGCATTATGCACCAACACGATCTCGTTCATCCGGAGTTCTGATACGCTACGGAACAACATGTTGTCAAATCCTACAAGTCCTCGTAACAGTTGCGTGTTTGGGGAACATATCGAGTTAGCTGCAAAGTATGGCAGTGAGGAGCTCCTGGAGTACCTTTTGACGGACGGAGCGTCTATCGCCAGCCCAGATCTGAAATCCGAACTTTTCAAGTTTGCGGCGAAAGCTGGTCGTATAGAAATCGTCCGATTTCTGTGCAACTTTCGGAGTGAAGAGTGGCCTTGGCCTTTCGAGGGCGATATAAAGGCGATGAGGCGATATCTACGCGATATCCTCATGGGTATCTGGAATCCTCAGGTATGGGACTTCATCGATAACTTGCTCGTTTCTCATGGCTCACATTCGGCCTTGAGTGACATGCTTGAGCACAAGCTCAGTACTTGTGCAAGAGTGAATTACCTAAGCATGGCGGTACATCTAGTAAGGCTCGGCCCAGATACTGAGGAACCTCCCAGTTGGTTTTCGGGGGGCGTTTACACATCTGCAATTGGATATGCTGCTATGCGCGGCTGTTTGCCTCTTGTCGAGCTCTTGTTAGAAAAAGGTGCGAATTCCGAACACACCCTCGCCACTGCGGTGGTCTACGGCCGCGCAAAGCTTCTTAATGTGTTACTGGACCGTGGAATCAAGACAAGCGATGCAATGGTCGGATCACGTCAATCACCGGAACCTGCTCAGCTCTTGCCAAATTTCAAATTCGGGCCGTATCTGGACGTGGTCCGACTACTACTCGATACAGGCGTTGACGTAAACGAAAGCATCGGTAAAGAAAGCCCTCTCGCTTGGGCAATCGCTGCAGAACATACAGCGCTGTTTAAATTCCTTCTCGAACGCGGAGCCAACCTTCACTCTCCGGGAACAGCAGAGGAGTGCGTGCGACGGGCGAAACAAGATGACCTAGAGTCGATGCTGTCACTGCTGGAACAGCATGGAGTTAACGTCAAAGATTGTTCGGAACAGGCTGCTTGAACATGAAGCGCTATGCGGGTATCAAGGAATGAGGGACGTCAAGATCACGGTGTAGCGCACAATCACATATCCTGCAAGGTTAGAATTCTCACTCATGGATACGATTATTTGAGATACTGAGAAGGTACAGGATGTTCATCAAAGAATGCGAGTACGACGTCATGAAGCAGCCAATTTGAAGATGACTACACTGTAGGTACATTCTCTTGACTGGTCGTATCGAACAGGAGTAAACGACTTTATGTCTTTGGCTGTTAACAGGAACGGTGGGATCAACATGGAAGTCAATCGTTGAGCTTTTGGGAGTGCAGCAGATCAGCTAGGTGTGAAGAACCAATCGATCGAAATGATCACGATAATCGTGGGCGAGGTGAGGCGACTGCATGATGAATTTGAACTAGCGACCGGGGCGTGTGAGACGTCACGTATTGCGTTCTGACCACCTTTTGGAGAACAGAACCACACGGACGCATAAAAACCAGTTGATTCCATTTTGGTAAACTCACAAAAGAATTGGTTGGTATGAAGGATGAATTGGATCGGCGAAAGATCTTTTTATATACAGTACAGAATACACTATTGCTCCTTGCAAGTCTCCCGACTTCCTTATCGTATTGAGTGTTAAGCAGGTCATATGGATAAAGCGAGCCGATCTTCTGCTCTTCTATGAGCAAATACGACCACATGCTGGAATGACCTCAGTCTTTTGGTGCGAAGACGTTCTCAGCGAGGAAAAGATCTCGCCCAGCACACGTCAAGCATGCACTCAGTTTTTAGAAGAAAGGAGCGAGAGGGTCATGGTAATCTCTCTAAGTAGTTGGTGATAGAGAGTGATAGATCTTGCTGAGTGGAGAAACGCAGAGAGCAAGGTCTCTCTACTTGTGGCATCCGGCAAAATAGCTGTGATTTACCAACATGTTTGAGCGAAAGCATGTTTGAGAAGGAGGGAGGGAAAAGCGCACATAGTGATACCACATGGTGCTTTCTTCGGAGGTAAGGCCATGCTGCGACAGGACATGGACATATGGCTGTGTCTTTTCGTATTTTTTTTTATTCTCCCGGATCGTGTTTTGTAGCAAAACATTCCAACGAGCGCGAGAAGAGTTCTCAATACGCACCCTTCAGTTCAGCACAGCACACGTGGCTCGCTGCATCGCGCTTTTGAGAAGCAAACTCCATAGGCGACTGATGTCGAGGTTTTGGAGCACATCAACCTTTCTTTCAACAAGAAAAGAGAAGACAAAGCGGCAGCAAAACATCCAACATACGTTTCCCTTCTTTATAGCAGAGCGAGCGAACAGCAGCACACCCATAGCCCAAAAGAACGTTCGTTTCGGTACAGCCACTTCCATGCAATTAATGCATTTTGGTTCTTTGAATTTTCGTATCCTTGACAAACGATTCGCAGGGAGGACAAAGGCATAGCCGGAGACTGTTGTTTTATGCTCTCGCCCAAACATGCTGTGGTACATTGGGCCTTTCTAGACTCCAGAATTCTTGTATCAAGTAAGACCACAGCTGGCAAGCATGGAAAGGGCTTTTTCACCCTTTGAGATGTCAGGGTTGCAGGTTTCTAGTAACCTATTGGACACATTTTATTCGTATTTCTCGTATGGAGAGAAAACCTTCCAACCGGCCGGCTCATACAAAGTCGGGTAAATGTTTTGGAGAAAGAGGACAGGTCATGAACTGTTCGCAAATTTCTTTTTGATGAATGAAGACAGAAGGATGTGTTAGGAAGAAAAGAAGAAGCCTTGGAAGCAGAGATGAGCACTTTATATAGACTGTCGTAGAGCGGTCTATGGATCGGGCTACGCAGCTAGCCTTGGCTAGCAGAGAGACGATGACGTTGGTCACCAACACAACAAAATACATATATGAGCGGCTCGCGAGTGACAGAAATTTCAACAATTGTTCTCCGACTGGGAGTGTACGCCATGCAATGCTATCCCACCTGAAACGCCATTGTCTAAACGCCTGGCCTAGATATAACATCACAACTCTTCCACCTCTCGCTCGACACTGCTCATCCTCTCACTAGCACTCGTTTTCCCCTTCTCTATGCGGAAGCCAACTTCAGTCCTCGCATCATCCGTCAGCCTCCCCCACTCAAGCAAGAGCCTGAACATGTAAACCTCCATATCCTCTTTCCTCAGCACCTTCTCAGTCCACACTTTGCCATCACGTGCAATCTTCTCCGCTGCCTTGATTTGGCCCTCCATCATGCGTTTGTTCCTTGCCTCAACACCGTATCCGCCGAAGTAGGCGAGCGAAGAGAAGAGGTCGTGCAGGCGGATGTCCACAGGAACGAAGTGTTTCCAAGCGGTGAGACGGCCTTCGTACCATTCACGGAAGAGGGCGGCTTTGAAAACGACAGAGTTGGATTGTAGAAAGGGAATAAATCGACCAGAAAAGCCAGCGCCATCAGTATCGAACAAATATCGGTAGCGCCAGTGTTGCTTGAAATCGATAGGATCACCAAAGCCGAACTCGCGTGTCTGACCAGTGCAGTCTTGCCCTGCGCAGCGCGCGATCGGACCGACAAGGCGGACATCAGTCTTGGTCTCGAGAAGTCTTTTGATGTCGCTCGTGCGTTTCAGCATGTATTCCAGATGGCCGCTATGGTCAGGTTTCGGGAGGAGGATAGGTTGGCGGGAAGTTTCGTTGTTCATGAGATGCACAAGTCGCTGGCGAAGCATGCCTTTCCAGGTGCCGTGCGTAGTCACGCCCTCAGTGGTCGTCCCGCGCCAGAAAAGGACATCTACCTTATCTTGGAAGTGAGGATCAGGAAACTTTTCATCAAACCCATACTTGGTCTTTTCCATATAATTCCACGGGGATGGGTATCTGATATCGGCATAACCTGGAGCGCGGCTCTGACTAAAGATTGGGACCATGTCATGAGTACCCATCAAGCTAGCTGGACTGAGATGCATGCCATGCAGATTGGCGATATCCGGCTGATGACAAGGCTCAGACGAGAGACTCCAATTCGCTATGAAGGCGCCCATCGAGTGACCTTGAGTACAGGTGTGGCAAAAGGATTTCGTATACCAATGGCGCTCTCTCCGTGCGCGCGATTGAGGTGGGCAGGCGACAGATCCGTATGTCCCAAACGAGGACTTGATGCGAGCGTCGCTGAAGAAATGTGGATCCGATCGCACACGGTCAACATCCGGCCACTTGTCCGCACGATTAGCACTGAAATCCTTCGTAGGACGAGAAGGCTCGGGTGTAGGGTACGGTTGCGGGTTATCCAGTGCATCCTGTAAACGTTCGTACGGTACAGCGACACGACTCTCATCATTCAGGTTCAATGCGAGATCCATATCGGGAAGCGATTGAGCAAATCGCTGTATCATGGTCGCCGCACCATCCATCATCCAACGGTGCGTATCGGGTACATTGTTGAACACCTCCACCTTCCCGTCTCTTATGCGAATCCCACCCACCCCTTCATGCGTGGCCAGGACAGTGGCAGTACGTAGTCGAAGGTCGTCGGCGTTGAAGGACGAGAAGGGTGCCAAGTCTTTTTCGATATTGTCGTAGTCGTCGATTATGATGGAATTTCGGCTGATGGCGAAGTGATACCACTTGTCGAAATTGGGTGGGGGGTCGCGATGATAGCGTTGCCGATAGTTTACAACAGCCTCAGTGAGAGATCGACTCCGGTAAGCCTGCGATGCCCATCGATCGTGTTGGACAGTCGCAACGTCGATCAGAGTAGTGATGGGATGCTCGAGAACAGGACCGTGCCGGCGATATACAACGACACCAATGGAGAATGCGATCAGCAATACGATGAAACCGGCCGACTGGTTCCTGCCCAGACGAACCGGCACTTTGGATCGTATGCGGGTTTCGATGTTGGTATCTGTGACGAGATAGAGGATGAGCGCAATGGTGAGCAAAGTCAAACACAAAACAAGTCCGACGGTAGATTTTGGTGGAAATGAGTAGGAAACGCCGGTGCCTAGGGCTCGAAGAACGCCGATATATGCAGAGGAAAATGCGGCCAGGAGCAATGCGCTCATAACGCCGTACAATCGAGCCTGTGTGGTCAGTGAGATGGTGACAAGAGGGGCCATGGCAACATACCGATTTGAGAAAACATAACGTCATAAAGGGTATCATCAACGATAAACGCAAAAGACCAAGGAGATATTCCGACGGAAATGAGAGCATCCACTCGCGATGCTCGGGCATGGCGGGGTATATGATAATGCCTGCGACAAGAAGGACTAAAGAAGATGCCTATTCGGAGTCAGATGTGCAGTGGTGTAGAATGGTGATCAACATACAGTAAGTGTCAAGCCAACTAGCAGGTGATTCGAGGTACCATCCTGGAGGTGGATAGTCCAGTCGTCGGCCTCGGAGATGCCATCGTCGATCAGACGGTATGAGATCTGGACAATCACACTGTCGAGCAAGAAGGCAAAGAATTGAAGGGAAGGAATTGTAGTCGCTGTCGAGTCTGCGATGGGGCAGATAAAGGTGGAGCGCAATGCGCTGGACTTGATGATGACGAGGAAGCTGCTGACGGAGAGCAGGAACGAAGGAATGATGTAGCGTGTAGAGCCATCGAAGATAAAGCTGTAGACGGAGTCGAGCTGGGTGCGTGGGCGCATGTCAGCACTCCAGGCGGGGTATTGTCGCTGGCTAGGGTGACGGATGCTGTGGTAGAGGGCAGCGACGAGAGGGAGAAATGCCTGAGTTGGTCAGTACGACTCGCGCAATGGCTGGGACATGCGTACCAATGCAGAAGGACCACTGCACTCGACGTCTTTGGTAACGCGGTAGAAGATGGCTATGCGGCCGCAGATTGCGAACAACAGGACGGCCAGCAGGGCGCCGACAGCCCTCACACTCCAGCCTCGCCGTCTCCCTGGCTGGCCTGCCTCTGTCCATATCTCTTCGGCGACATGTCTGCTCTGGACCTGGTTCAGCGCTATGGCGATATATCTTGTCGGCGGTTGCGGTTGGCTACTGCGCGACGACCACGCCTCAATTGCGACGATAGCGAGACCAGTCAGCAGTAAGACGACGGCGACAGTGTGCAGCGGCTTGTCAAAGGCGAAGGAGTAGTCGACGGGGGTTGCAGTGCTCAAGTAACCGGATGCTAAGACGAGGCCGCTATTGTCTGTCAGCTACTGTCGGTGCTGGTAGCCTAGTTTTGTGCTTACCACGGGAAGAGGAGCGCCTTTCTGTCCATGACGGCCGCATTCTTCGTGGTTGCGATCTAAATCTGCAGGAGGGAACAGTCGGCGCAGCGAGAGACAGTCGACATGACCTGGTGGTGGACAGAACGACGTGAGACTGTGATTGTGTACTGAGGCCCGCGTCACTCCAGGCACGGCTACGGCTGCTCGGCACCTGCAGCTCTCCAGCGGGCTGTGCTAACGAACCCTCACTAACGGGACGGTGGAGAAGTCCGTGCCCGCCCCGAGTCGACGGACTAAACTGCCAGCTATACGCCAATACGCGTCGCTACGAAGTTTCCCATATACAATATCCTCCTGCCGCCTGCTGCTTCGACTTTGCAGTGGGCGGGTGATGATACCCTGCAGTCGCCGATCAGGACCCTTGACCACGATCTCCAGGGACCATCCAAAATTACATCACGCACACCATACGGCTATCACGGCAGACGCTCAACTGCTACGCCTCGCCGTGAGACGTGCGCGACTTGAGATCGTCCCTTTGACATACCACGAGTAGTATGCAGGCCAACCTCAATGCACTTGCACCACGATATTTGCCACCCTGACACCGAGTACATTACGCACGCCTCCGTCGTCATCACTACTAATGTTAGCTTACCACCAATACAGCCCTGCTTGCGAGCGAATGGTGGGGTACATACACGTCCTCGCAATACGGGAACATGCATGCGCCTCACTTTGTTCTAGCGCCAAGCTGTCGCGGCCAAGTCTATTCCCGGTGCCATCTCCTGTCAGCACATCCTTCTCGTATTCGTTTGCATCGGATTGGAGTAGTAGACACGAATGTAACGCTTTTCATTTCCGTCTTTCTGATGTGTGATGATTTCAAGACCTCATGGATAGCTATGCCTCCTCGCAGTCTCAATTTCTACTCCCTCGCCATCAGCAGCCTTCACAGCTAATTCGGTCTTGTCCGTCTCATCCGGCTCGACAAGAGAATCATCCTATGTCTTCCTGTCCACGTCCACCGCCTCGGTATGTGCTGGCGACTCGTTCTTACCAAGTACTCCACCATCCGTCTGCTCCATCTGGCTCTCCGGATCATTCGCATGCGCATTGCTGATGCCGATCTCAGCCGTCGAGAACTTATCTGCCACATTACGGTAAGCCGGCACGAAGTTGACGCAGAAAGAGTAGCTCCATGCTGCGACAAAGAACGCCAGTGGAACAGTCATCGCAATGGCAGTTGGCGAATATCCTTCAAGAGGCCTTGCCTTTCCGAGCGTGTCACTCGCGCCAAATAGCAGCGGAGGTACAACAGCACCACCAGAGACACCAGCCACGATGAAACCTGAGCCACGCTTGGAATACTTGCCCAGTCCGCGCATGCCGAGCGCAACGATCGTCGGGAAGATGATACTTTCGAAGAAGAGTACAATGTAGAGCATGCTCATACCAGTATTGCCTCGCTCGGTAATAGCTGGGATGATGAAGATGATACACATTGTCATGAAGACGAGGAACACCCATCGCGGTTTGACAAACTTCATGAGGGCACTACCCACGAATCTGCCCATGGTGAAACAGCCCTGTGCACCAGCAAGGAAACGGGCTGCTGTCGAGTTGTCTGTTTCGCCGCTGGATGTAACTCGTGTCTCGACCACGTAGTTGATGAACGCTCCAGCTATAGCCACCTGCGCTCCAGTATAGCAGAACTGAGCAAAGGTCGCGTGGAACAAGCGGTATTGCTTGCGGAAAGGCTTCACGTCAGTACCTGCATGCGTACTCTCAGCCTGGAAAGCCATGTCGGCATCTGCAGAACATTAGCGGCTTTTCACGTCTGATCCATGGAGCAACCTACCAGTGATCTCGGGAATCTCTGTAAAGTAATACAAGATCGCAAGGGCGAAGACGAAACATGCGATACCGAGATATGTCCATTGCACGTTTTCAAGGGATGCTTGATCGGTTCCTACGTGGTTGAAGAAGACATAGGACCCAAGAACCGGCGCGACCACAGTGCCAATACCGTTGAAGGCTTGCGCGATATTGATCCTGATTTCAGAATATTTAGGCGGTCCACAGACTACCGCTGTCAGTATATGATAGGACATCTCAGCGACAAGTACGTACCAGCTAGGTAGGGGTTCGCTGCTGTCTCTAGCGAACCTAGTCCATTGCCGATCACGAAGATAGCTACGCAGAAGCCTCCAAACGAACGGTATACGAGGCATGGCCACGCGAGCAGAGAACCCAAACCATACAGGCACAGTCCCCAGATAAAGGTGGCTTTGTATCCCCAGTGGCGCAGTAGCCAGTTGGCATGTCCGAGTGAAGCAAGGGGGTATGCGCCGAAGTATGCTGCCTGCAAGCCGGACGAGCGAGCGCGGGTTATACCAAGGACGTCCTGGAAGTGCTTGTTCAAGGTATCAATGAGACCGTACGAGAAACCCTGGGTGGTGATCAGTCAATTGCTTCCATTTAGGAGCGCGATGTCATGGCTCACCCAAAGGAAGAAAAGAATGGTGACGAGGCAGAGGGGATAAATGGACTCGCGCAAAGTGAGTTCAGCAGCGCGCGTCCTCTGATCGTCGCGACTGCGCAGTGTAGGCCTCCGGAGGAAACCCATGTTGTGCTCGTGATGCGATAGGAATATCGCCTAGCGATAGGTAAGTTGGCAATGTTGATCACGTCGTGAATTGGATGGAAGAAGCGAGCATGAATGTTGGGTTGAACAGAGTAATGAAGTTGGGGCAGTCGCGACGTGGAGAAGCTGCAGGGTCTCGAGGCCTTTCAAGTACCTCTCACCCACGTGAGGTAGCGGCAAGGTTATCGGCTGTCAGGCCATGTGCATGGCAACCAGGTTTCGACACAAGAGGCTCGATCTCAGAGGTTGATTTATTGAACCCGCCGTTGCAGCCAAGGCGAAGCTTGACCTCATCAAGTGAGTGGGGAGGGGAGAAGCTGGGGTAAAACCTGGGGATTTTAACGCTGAGAAGACTAGCGTGATGCGACGTTGGGAGAATGTTCTGACAGATGATGCATCCTCGGCAGAGTTAGACCGACGACGTGCATCGAGAGAGGTTGCATCGGGTAGCGATCAGCCATGTCGCGTCATGTTTAAGCCGCGTTGAAAAGCCGCAGGCTGAAATACACATGCGTCTGCTGTGACTGTGGAAAGTAAGTCGAGTTCAGATCGCCATTACCATGCTCGTAGGGACGGCAGGAGCATTTAGCGCCACGTAAATACCGCTTGGGCGCTTGGGCGAACCTCAGTGCAAGCACGAACGTTGCGACGCCATCATATGAGGAAGATCATCTCAATATTCTAGAAATGCCATGGAAGATTTACCCCTCTAACCCTTGTTCTTGAAATCCAATCCGCTCTCCTGCCTTACAACTCCATACACACTTGGGATATCTCCTTTATCGCCGATCTCACTCTTCACACCGTCCAACCTTCCCTGCGCTAGTTTCAGCATCTTCATGCTCTCCTTCGCGCCACTGCTTTCTGCCAGTGACATGGCATGTCTTGCATCCTTTCTCGCTAGATCAATGTGGAAGAGGGGTTCCTCGCGCTGGTAGTAGTCACCTGCCAACATGCGCTGCGAGTACGCTGTGTAAGGGCCGGGAAACATTGTGGAGATGAACGTGTGGAGGTTGTCTACTCTGAGTCCAGATTTTTCAGCTAGAACATGGCCCTCGGACAGCTGAGAGACCATGTTAAGGATGAAGGTGTTGCCGATGACCTTCATGAGTGTAGCGTTTCCTGCTGGTTGCCCTGAGAAGTCGATATTTGCGCGGCCCATCACACCTGTTGTATACGGGACTGCTTTTTCGCAAGATGCCTTTGAGCCTGCCGACACACAAACCAGTTGGCCATTATCTGCCATGGCTGGGGCGCCGAATACTGGAACGATGTTAGACTCGGCTGCTTGAGTGCAGTAACATGCAAAACTCACCAGGCATGCCTACGAATTCACCGCCTTTCTCTGTTATCTTCTTCTCTAGTCCATTCGTTGTATCAGGGTGCACGGTAGAGCAATCTACAACGAGTTTGCCATTAACACCGGCTTCGAGCATCGCATCAACAGCAGAGTTGACAGCTGCATCATCACCCAGACACATGAAGATGATGTCGGAAGATTTGACTGCATCGCTGATGGTGTCAACAACTTTTGTCTTGGAACCACCAAGTTTAGAGGCGAGATCTTCAGAGCGGGATTTTGTGCGGTTGTAAAGGATCAGGGGCTTGTCAAGGTTGCCCTTCTCAACCAAGTTCTGCGAAATTCATTTAGCATGAAACTTGCACGATAGGTTCCGACGCTTCATACTTTGCACATGCCCTTTTCAAGTTAGTGACATGTCGAGTGACAATGGTATATACTTACCCTGCCCATGTTGCCGAGGCCAATCCAAGCGAGTTGTGGCGCCATAATTCCTTCTGGGATCTGAACTGGACGTGTCTTTGCGGGTCATGAAGACACAATGCCAAGTGCAACAACTTATACCATTCAGTGCCTCTATCTTGCCTACCGTGAGTAAGCGCTTCGTCATGGTGTTCATCGTCGTCATCCGTCAGTAGACCCGGGGATAAGGGCACAACCGGGCCGATGTCGGTTACCAGCAAATGACGTTCCCACGCTGTTATCGATGTTTGGGCCCTCGAAAATGCGGATGCGGGCGCACTTCCCCACACAATTGTAGAGTCATACGTCTGCTCCGAGCTCCCAATTGCGAAAATTCGGTCTGTAATGTGTTCAGCGGCTGGACGGTAGCATGAAGCATGTTCATCTGGAGCAAAGCCCCCGCGAGGGGCTTGGGGAAGGCTACAAACAAGGTGCGTGCGACACAGTGATTCGTACTCGTAACCATACTGACAACAAGCAGCTTCCCAAGCGCGATGACAGTGGTAAAGTCTTCGAAAAGATCCAACATGCGCGTCTCTCCACGTCCACCACCTACGTGCGGAAATCGTCAAGCTCAGCGAAAGAGCGACAGCGCGCCGAACGCCAGCAGCTGACGCGCCTGCTGAAGGAGTCGCCCGGCAAACGCGATGCGCGCAACTTTCTGAAGCAATTCGATGCGCCCAAGAAGGGCAAAGCGGCCATCGCAGTAAAGGCCAAAGAGCTGGTCAGCGAGAAGATACACAACGAGTCGGGTTCACTGCGAACAGGCGTCAATTTGGGCGACTTGTACAAGCCGACCGTCTTTACGCGCGAGCCGCTCCCGGAACAGGAGTATCAAGCGGAACAGAAGGACGAGCCAACACATCTGGCACTTGTCAAACTTCGCCAGCCACAGACGCTTGACGACCGCACGTTGGGAGATATCGCGTTGACATTGAGTCAGATGGCACAGCTGGGGCTCAGTACCGCTGTAGTACTGGACTGCGACCAGGACACCGGCGCCTACAACACAGAGTTCACGCTGGAATATGGAAACATGGTCAGAGAGCAGGCTTTGCGTTTAGTGGCAGCGCTGGAAGAATACAACGAGCCAGGAGGTCTGTTGGTAGAGGACGCTCTGGGCTGCACTCCATCAGCCAACGACATGCCCAGTACAGTCCAGGTGCGGGGAGGAGTAGAGGTTCAGCACAGCTACCTACTCTTCCCACCCATCGACGACGGTGTCATACCAGTCATCACGCCCTTCGCCTACGACACAAACCTGAAAAAGGTTAGGGTTCAAGCAGACGACGTGCTTCTTGCGCTTGTCCGAGAGTTTGCTGGCCTCGCTGGTCAGACAGGCAGTAACGGCGCAGTCGGCGGTGTACGGCATAAAACAAAAGACCTTGTAGAAATGCCTATCTTGGACCGCATCATCATCCTCGATCCGCTTGGTGGCATACCATCTGAAAAACGAGCAGATGGTGCCCATGTTTTCGTCAACCTGGAAGCCGAGTATCGCGACATCAAGAAGGAGCTACTGCAGCTATCGTCAGCAATCCCGGATGACAAGACCCAAAATTCAGTATCGCTTGGTACTGGAAATCCATTCTCAAAGTTTGTCGAGGAAGAAGTGGCATCAATACCAGGCGCAGAGCCACAGCAGATTAGCAACTCGGCTCCGATGCGCCATCTGAAGAATCTCGACGTGCTCGAGCGCGGCCTAAAGCTGCTACCTCCATCCTCCTCTGGCCTCGTTCTCACGCCGCTAGAAGCTGCAAGGAAGGCTATACCCGATGATGCGCGCACCTCGCCTGCGAAGAATCCTCTGCTGCACAACGTGTTGACCGACAAGCCGATGACATCCTCATCGCTCCCGACATCACCAACTTCTCGTTTCTTGGGATCGACTACACCAAACCCTGCCACATTCTTCAAGAAAGGCATACCCCTTACCATGATTCCAGACCCACGAATTCACGGACCATGGCAGCCACCTTCTGCAGCAAACCCAAGCATAGAGCTAGCAGATGACCCGCGCATCAACTTTCCCAAACTTGTCGATCTTATCGACGACTCATTCCGGCGAAAACTTCATCCCAAGAACTACCTTGATCGTATCCGCGGCCGTGTTGCCGGCATCATCATAGCGGGTGACTACGAAGGCGGCGCAATCTGCACATGGGAGACGCCCAAATCCCTCCATGGACTCGACTTTCCCGTCAACCCATCCCGGGATTCGCCCTACTATGTCCCTTACCTCGATAAATTCGCCGTCCTCACGTCTTCGCAAGGCTCTGGTGGCGTTTCAGACATCGTCTGGGCTGCTCTGACGCGGACATGCTTTCCTGATGGTGTAGTCTGGAGGAGTCGGACTAGCAATCCTGTGAACAAGTGGTACCAGGAGAGGAGCAAGGGTATGTGGAACTTGCCAGGTGATCAGTGGACCATGTTCTGGACTACGCAGGGTGTCGAAAATGGGTGGCACGCTGAGGAGTGGGGTGGGGCGGACAGGCAGAAGGAGTTGAGGAGGTGGGATGCCTATGTGGATGTTTGTAGTGGCATCGAACCGAGCTGGGCAGACGGTATACAGAGAGCAGATTAGGCACAGTACTTGGGGTGCCGTGCGAATATATATATGTTTCCATGACGCCAAGATCAGTTGTTTTGAGCTGCCAATAGCCTTGACATATGAGTTCAGCCTTTGCCAAAAGTTGTTGAATCCTCGGGATGGCGCTGAGCAAATGTGTGTATCGCTGTGTACAGTGTAATTGTGTCTGGTACATTTTGACTAGTCCTCAACTGTGCGCTTTGGTTCTTCCGAACTGGAGTGTTTCAAAAAGTGTATATCTATTCCTTCACACCTTCTTTCCTAGTCTTCCTCACTTCATCCGTGCGAAAAAAAAGGCGATACTTCAAAAAGGTGACCTACCAACTTATGACTTTCGCGTTTCTCGACTTTCGGAAAGAAAACTTCAAAGCTGCATGGCAGCAGAAGGAGGAATGTTCTACACAGTCGTCAAAAAGTTCTATCAGTATCAGCATGATCTTTGGCGAAGCTGGATCTGTCTAACACGCCTGTCACTGTTTTGCTCAAAGAGCAGATCCTGAAGTCTGACTCGTATCATGCTTCCATTCTTCAAAGATCCTTTCTGAGAAGTCTACAGGATAGATCTAAAAACCAAACCGACATACTGTCATGACTGAGAATGCTTCGCTGCCTCCCTATAGCAGCTGACCAATGGTTTGTCTGGTGAACAGTTATGAAAGTGTACAAGTAAAGCTTGAAAGAGTCAGAAGGGATATATCTCTCGTTGAACCCTTTCTTCTCTTTCTTTGCAAAAAAAAAAAGCTGTACATATTAAAATCCCCCACAATGTGGACCATGGCTTGCGTGTCTTCGCTGTCCGAAACGTTGTGAGGAATTTTCCATGATAGTAAGAACGACCGGTGAGCTGACATCGAATTCGAATGCGTATGTTGTCAGCATGCTACTTTTTACGAATGAACCTGAGGAATCTGAGGACTTTCCAATCCACAACCAAAAACGACGGCGGCTGTAGCCATGGCCGTGAGTACTCCTCTGCTTCTTCAGATCATACCCAAGGACAGCGTATTCCTGACTTGTTGTAATCAGCACTTTTACCTCAGATTTGAATGATATCTCAAAGGCACTCAATGCAGCAGACGGTCACAAAGGCTCCACAATCATTCTGTGTCCCTTATGCTATTGTGTGCTGAAATATCGTGTTACGATGAGCACACACGTAGAAGTACCATCTCTTCGCGTGGTGTCGAGTCCGCACGCCTCGCTTGCGGGCTGACGTCTAAACTTGAATTGAATCTCGCCGATGACAACTTGGCCTGCTGCGGTATGTCCAAAAGAAACATGAATACTCGTGGGCAGAGTCCTGGTATTGTCGGAGTCACCTCCCATTCTCACAACAGCGTCAGCATCGCAAAAGCTACAGACTCCGCCAGCGCGTGGCAGGGAACTCACCGACTTTATCGCAGCAGATGCAAGACGCATCCAGGGCACACCGATGCAACTGCTTCACACATCAAAGTCCACTTCGAAAATACAGACCCCTGTCATGATGTAATCGAGATCGCCCAAAACGGGGGTGCGCCTGGAGCCCTGGAGGGACGCGACGCGACGGCCGTGGGGAACCGAACTACAGCCGCCAGGAACACCGCCATCACACCATAATGCAGGGTGGAGTGGCCCAACGCGGGCTTTGGGGGTCTCGGAACGGATATGCATGGTTGCTAGTACGCGAAATAAGTTTCGGTGTTTGTTGATGGGAATTGTTAATTGGAGGTGGTCGTCGCTGAAAGTTCTTGAACGCGTTCATTCCTCCTTCCATATACTCCAAAGTCAATACCTAATTCTACACATACGCCGAATCAAACGATCAACATGTCAGACAACATCTACGTAAAGAGTGTTGCAGGAACCTGCATCACTTTCTCTTTCATCCTCGCTGGTGAGTCCAGGGTTCAACATTACCCAAATTCACTGCTCATAGACCTAGGCAATGCCATCACACAGTCCTACATGACCGTCCCCGCGCTTCTCGTCAACTTCCCACGCGCAGGCACACCCGAACACAAAGACCGCGCACGTCTTCTGGGCCGTCAGTGGCCTCTCTGCTGGACAGTCGGCAACCAGTTTTTCCGTCCCATTTCAACTCTGGGATTCCTGGGTTACGCCTACGCTGGTTACTCAGTCTACCGTGAGGGCATGCTCGCCCGCAGTGACTGGAAGCTTTTTGGTGTTGCGGCCGTCATGCACTTGACGACCATCCTGCACTCGGCTATCAACATGCAGCCGTTGAACGACAAGTTGGAGGCGTTGGCGGAGAGGAGCAACGAGAAGGAGTTGGGTGAGGCGGAGAGCATTGCGACAAAGTGGGCCAGCTGGAACAGGCTGAGGTTGGTTACACCAACCATTGCTGGTGGCCTGGCACTGTGGAACTTGCTCTCTTTGTAGAGAACTTAAGTAGTTCCGGCCTTTTGATTGCAGTTAGGAGTTCGGCCATTGTGCTGCCTACCACATCGTTTTTGTATGTGTAGGTGTTTGGAGTCTAGCATAGGATCAATGAAGCGTACGAATGATTGAGCACTTCAAGTTCCCCATAAATTCTGTGATTCTCATGCAACTGAGGATACCTGTTATAACGCCAACACATGGACGGACAAAATATGCCAGGCATACAGATGCATGTAGATCTAGGACGAATTTTGATGCTTACTGTGTTTGATTCGCTACCAGCGGAATCTCCGAGTACGATGGTGACGCAGCTGAGAACTAAGAACATGTGCGTCAGGAATGATAAGTTCAGTAATATTGGACAAGCATTGTTTGAGGATCATGAATTCATCGAAAACTACAGAAGACACCGGGACAAGGGTCAGGATCCCAAAAAGCTCAAAAATCCGACGCTAGAGGCTTATCCCCGCCAGAATATGGAGGCATCATCATCTATCGCTTGATAGCCTGTCCCTTCCACCCACTCCTCTCTGCCAGCCAAGTCTCGAAATCACACAGCTTAGGCTCCTCCTTCCTCAACTTGTTGATATCACAACCATAGCCCTCAGATGCAAACCAACTAATCATGACGTTCACTTCGGTGACGGCCCACATAAGCGCGGAGCCAAACATGCCGTAGGTGGCCGGCACTGGACTGCCAATAACACGCTCGAAACATCCACTCATCTCGTCCATGGTGAGCTCACTACCGGCGAGAGCCTCGGCGCGTCCGTTCCATTCTTGGTTGTTGACGAATGCTTTTGCACCGAAAAGGCCAATGTCTTCAACAGACACCCACTGGTTGGACTTGCCCTGCAATGTATCACGAAGCGCGGCAAGGAAGACTTTGCTTGGGAAACCAGGTACTAAGTTGTCCATGAAGGCAACAGGTCGGAGAATGGTCCAGCCCATGGTCTCGCCATTCTTGCCAGCCTTCTCGAGAAGATGCTTCTCGATCTCGTACTTGCTCTGGAAATGTGGGATGGGCGTTGGGTTCTCGAAACTTCGCTCGTTGCCGCCGCGGTCGACGCTGGAGTAAACGAAGTGCGTGACGCCTTCTTTAATCGACTCATCGATTAGAGCGTTACCCTGCACAACCTCGCTTTCGTGGGTGACATTCTTGCCTAGAGAAACTTGTACAGAGTATACACCCCAGATCTTCTCTTCTTTACCGGCTTCTTTGAGTGCAGCCTTAGCTGATGCGAAGAGCGCTGGGCAATCGTCCAAGTTGCCTTGCACCAACTTGACGTCGGGGTGACGCTCGACAATCTTCTTTGCAGAGCCGGAGTTGGCGTCACGGGTGACAGCCAAGAGTGTATATTCAGCGTGCGATGGGTGCTTTGCGAGTTGTTCGAGCACGGCTCCGCCTTGTTTGCCAGTAGCGCCAGTTACAAGGATAGCTTTCGTGGCGGCCATGGCGGGGTTGCTTGTTAGGGTAGAAGAGTCGCTTGGCTTCGGAGGGGCTTATGATACCGCTGTAGGTCGAGCTTGTTTTCAGCCTCAGATTTAATGATAAGCAGGAAGAACGATCACGACAGAAGAACAGAGGAAGCCTCAATAATATGCATAGCTTCACGTCGACGCGTCGCGCAAAGGATGGGCTGCCGGCCCCGCAACACCTTAGTACGACCGTTGCTTCTGTTCAGAACGCAGCTCCACTCTTCTGAATGCTGATCTCACGACGGAGCTGCAGAGAATGGGGCCCGTACAGCGAATGGTAGTCTTGTCATGATGTTCCACAACGCCACGGGTCGGTGAGGGACCACACCGACATTGCGGTGATTATGCAGGAGCATTACGGAGACCGAGCTCAACACGACTGGACGCAAGCCATGGAGGGGTTCAAAGTTTGATCACCGGTGTCGTGACTGGAAGCCGCAACAATAGACGGGTCCGTAGATCATAGTCGGATTATTTACGGCTTGGATGATCATCCGGGTAGATACTGTAGTGCGCCGTCAGAATGATCTTACTCGCTACCAGATTCTAGCAGGAAACGATGAACTAGCGACGCCAGTGGAGGCAAAGTTGGAAAAGTTGGAAGCCGAAACTGCAGACACTTCGGATACGAACATATCGTAGATATCCCATTTTCAACGCAAAGTCTCTGTCACATCATAATGTCAGATCTAGGCTTCACCCCCTCCGAGATACGCTTTGCTACCGCAACTCTTGCAGCAATCGCAGCTCTCGCTCCCATCGCATACTATCTTTACCCATCGCAATCGCAAGACTCGACCAAATACCTCCAGACTTTCAATCATTTCATAAACAGCTATTCGACTCTTCGTCCCCAGGCGCTGACGACAAACGCAACGCGAGACTTTACGCATACCTCTCTTCCAGCAGAATTGAACCTACCCACACGCTCGATCCAACCTTTCCGCGAACATGCACAAGTTGTATTCGATATATTCAAGGACTTCCAGGTAGTCCCGCAAGACGACGGACATGGAGGCAAAGCAGTGCACTTCTCGAGAGATACGAACACAGTGGTAGCGCACTGTAAGATGGGAGGCAAAGTAGATAAAGACCATGAACTGGGCGCACAGCTAGCTGAGAGCCACATTACAGAGTGGTGGACTGAAGGCGTACTATTTGTAAAGCTCAGTAAAGACGGACAGAGAGTTGAGAGCGTGAGGGAGTTCATGCACAGTAAGAAGGCGGAGGAGCTGCATATTCGTCTGCACGGAGCTGTGGAATTCTGAGCCAGTGGCCTCAGTAGAACGTCCATGGTGTTGGACTTGACATATACACATGATCGACGTCGCTGACGGTCGTCGAATGCATACAGCGACGATCATTGGAGTATCAAAGTCACGTGGACACGCATTCACATAGCGCGTTAGCGTCCTGAATAGGGATGTGTCGAAATACACTCTGCACCGAACCTACCACTATTAAATAAAAGAGTCGTGGAACAATTAGACAGTCGAATTGGTATCACAGCAAGCAGAGATTCACATGTTACTCTTTCGCGTCGTCCTAGGTCTATCCCCTCCCTTGCAATCTCACCACATCCATCTATCAGCCACGTTCCAACGAGCGCTCCATTACCCCTCTAAGCCACTCCAAATCCTCGCGTCTCCCTCTCTATCCGCGGTGCGACGCTCAACAAGTGCCCCCTGCAGTGAACACTAGCGCGACTAGGCAGCGTCATAGACTTCTCTACGCGTCTTATTTCCCCGCTCTAGACCAAATAACGAAACACCGCTTGCACATCACGTACATGCTTCAGAGTTCCAATGTCCGGCGGAGAGCCGTGATAATGTATCATTAATCACGGAAGAAGGAATTAGAGAGGTATTGGGGGGCTGTAGTAGTGGAACTGGGGATGTGCGTTTTGTTGCAGGGTGGGTACTTGCAACCTGGTACGAAGGTGAGATTGATTATCTGCATTAGGATGTTGGTCTGAAGGCAGTTCTAGGAAGGTTCCAGGGTAGTCTGTGCAGAAGTTCCTGTTGTCTATGGGGTAAGGGGCGATGCGTTGAAGGGGCCAAATCTGCTGCTGCCCTGCTTCTTCGCGATCGTCAAGTTCTGCGGCCATCTGTAGGGCGGCGGTTGTAAAAGCCGACATGAAGGGGCTCCGTCTGGGCGCGAGAAAAAGAGTTTGGTCCTTGGGTGCCCGTTCCGAGACCGAGTTCCAAGGTTGCGCCGCTTGCTTTAGCTAGAACTTTGAGGCAGGAACGGGAAACTTCCTTTCCGGCGCATCTCGGTTGTGAAACGTGTGCTTGCCGCGGACCTGCAGATGCTGTGTACCATGGCGCTTACACAGTTCTCGTGTCGAATCTCAGTAGGCACATCGATAAGTGCGTGTCTCGCGACAGGTATATGTGTGACATGCTGTGGTGTTCCTTGAAAGGACAAGCAAAAGCGAGTCAGTCAGTAAGCGGCAAGATCGGAGCGGCCGCTGTCATTGATGGAAGAGGAGCGCCAAAAGAACGGGCACTCCCGTTGTGGAATGACTTGCCCCGAAAAGGCAAGACCTACTAAATCACCACGCTAAGGCCTTGTTCACCAGAAGTTGAAGAGCAGATTCTTTTGAAGAAGGTCATGGTTTTTGATTGAAGTGGTCAAAATCATATTTCGCTATGGAGTGCTCATAAGACACATTTGTAACGCCACGCACGCAGTTTGCCCTGCGGCTATGCTTCCGGATGCCCATGCTTACTCCCAATCACCAGCGCCAAGATCGATAGCCTTACCCGCCCTCATGTCCTCCATGATCTTTTCGATACTCCAAGGCTCGTACTTGTAGCCCTTGGGGTAGTTGGGCTCGAACTTATCCTCATCCTTCATGTCAATACCCTCCTTCAGTGACTGTGCACTCTTCTCGTAGTTCTCGTACACGTAGGCCTCAGGGTCGTGAGACCAAACCCACTTGGGAAGCTTGGGCGCAGCACGGCGGGGGTCGAGCTTGACCTTGTCCCAGTCGGTGTCTTGGAGGAGTTCAGCGTTGGAGAAACCAAGCTTCTGTGCGCAAGAGTTACGGATGAAGCTGTGCTGTTGCATTAGCATGTGCGTGTAGATCTGGGGTGGTGGCTTACCGGAAGCGAATGTGTACGCGAACAGACTGAGGGATGTTTTCCTTGCCACCAACCTGGAGACAAGAAGCTATCGAGATAGCATCCTCGATGGCTTGGGTCGCACCGTTTCCGGAGGCTGGCAGGTAGGAGTGGGCAGCGTCACCAATCTGAACGACGCGGGCAGCGGGCGAGGTCCAGCTAGGCTGGGGGTTACGCCAGAGCAACTCGAAGTTGACAATGGTCTTCTCTGGAGTGGTCTCGACAAGCTTCTTGAAAATGGGCGCCCACTTGATCTTCTCCATACCAGGCATTTTGTCCATGCCGTCAAGAACCTCTTCCTTCTCGATGGTGTTGTTCCAAGACTCCTTCTCAGTACCAGTAACGTCGTGGTTCATGATCCAAACCATGACGTCCTCGCGAGACAATGTAAGCGCATATGTGGAGGGACTGTGGGCGTTAGCAAAGCCACGGCTTGTGCAGTCACAAAGACTTACCCCAACCATGTCCTGACGATTGGTTCGTTTCCTGGCATCATCTTGAAGAACTCCTTAACCTCTGGGTCCTTGTCGAGAGCCTCTCTGGGGAAAGCAGCACGCCACATTGCCCTTCCGGACGGCCTCGCGCGCACTTGTCCGCCAACAAGCTTCTGACTCTTCGATCCAACGCCGTCGGCCGCGATGACGACGTCCGCCTCGTAGCGCTTGCCATCGTCCGTGGTGCAACCTCCCTTGCCAGTCTGCTCGTCTTCAAAGTAGTCTACAACCCTACGGTTGAATTCTACGGAGACACCCAGGTTTTCTACGGCGCTTACAAACATCTTGTAGACAAGCGGGCGCATTTGGAACTCGCCAGGAGGGGTATCGGGATCCAGCCCTTGTGCGCGGAGGCGGTCCGCCACCTTCTTGGGTCCAATGACAACCTCACCGGAGTGTTTGAAGGTCTCGATCCAGGCATTGTGGAGAGAAATCTTCTTGTACTCCTTGAGCAGTTCAGGCCAATGCTTTAGGAAGCGGGTTGCGCTGAGACCCATGAAGTACATGTCACCTAAGTCACATCATGAGCAATGCGTCAAGACTACAGTTTGAGGATGCTGCTCACCAGCTGTGTTGATGTCTGCGTTCCTCTCCAGCACACGAACATTATGTCCTTTGCGTGTGCACTCAAGGGCAGCAACCAGACCAGCCAAACCAGTACCCACGATAAGTACGTCGATACCGGTGTTAGGGTATGAGCCTATTGGCTTCGACTCCATCGTGGAGTCACGGGAAGTAAGAGCGTGAGGCATGATTGCGGTTTGGTGTGTAGGATGGTTGAGGGGTTGGTGTATCGTCGAAACCAACTCCAGACCAAATTATGCCTGCCTTTCATACATCTTGAGGGTTGCCTTCACCTGCATTCTCCGTTGGGGTACCAGGGAGGGTTGCCGAAGACCCCTCGGATGTCCGAGTGGCCGGCATTTCTAGTTGTTGTACTTTCACCCTCGTACGACGGTATGCAGGTATTGGACGGAGCAATGATCATTACAGTTGGCGCAAGATTGTCAGGAACACGGCTTGTTTGGTCTTGGACCGATCTCGATGACGACGAATCGTCTCTCGCGCTAGCCAAAACTCCCGATTTATCAATGTCCGTGCACTCGCGCTATGGTTCCCCACAAACTCCGGAGGCCAAGCGTACTCAACGGCACCCTAAGCCATGTCCAAACGAGATCGAGCTCAAGGTTGCTGTGTTGGATATACGCGCAGATGAGATTCCCGCGGCTCTCCCAGCCTATCGCCTGTCTCACGGCTGTATCTCGCTGTTCCACGTGGAGACTTGATGACTGCAGCGATTGAGATCTGATTCATGTGTAACGTCGCTAAACGTACGTCAGCCTTCCTGATGACGCTTAGACTTCATTGCTCTTGAATAGTAAAAATCGGGGCGCAAAGGCTGGCTGAAAATCGCACCTTCCTTTAGGGAAAGTTGCACGTCGAGAAACCTTTTGGTGTTACGACAGCTGAGAGGCTTTGGTTTCAGAAATGCAGCACGGGGCTTGTGCTCATTATCGAGTCGTTGGATCATCCACGTCGATCACTGACGAGGAGTAATTGTGACACCCTTGCCGGTAACTATGCTGCATGTCTTGATAGTGAAGAGGGTCTCACGGCGCGGTGATATGCCGGCTGCCGACTTAGACCTTGGCCTTGGTATGTGTTGTCGATGTGTAGTATGGTACTAGATAGATAACGGTAACTTACCTAGACACGGCGGCGGAATGGCACGCAACCACTAACCGCGTGCTCTGTCAGCTGTATCAGACTTCCAATGCAAGGGGTGGCTGTTTCGATACGCTCGAGTTCATGCAAGTGAACTTAGTCCATGTCGATCTATGTGCTCTCCCGGCGCACCGATACATGTTAGCACAGATCCAAGCTCTTCAATATGTCATAATCGGCGCCCGCTAGCACCGACCTCTGCTCTTCCGCTGTAACGGGAACAGATTCTTGCGATCAGCAAGCATGCTAGTGACATTGGCATCCTAGCAAAATATGGAAATCGGTAGTTTCCAACCTTGGCTATTGGATGAATCTGCCGTCTGTCACCCCAAGCAATGCTTAGGCCATATCGGCTATGCTCGTCCAGACGCCGATGAAGTTGCTGCTCTAAACGGTTTCGCCGCGGCAGTGGTCCCTGTATAGCTGTACATAAGTCAAGGTCTGGGGAGCCGGACAGGTGGTAGTTCAACTCCAAGCTGTGGTGTGATATTTACCAGAATCTCCCACGCTGTAATTTTGTGTTATCACGGTTCTTCCACCTGCATCCCCGCTCAAGACTCTTGGCGACAGTCAGTCACCCTATCTGACTTGGAATCTTCCACACATTCTTTCAACTGTCTCCCGCTTTAACAACATGCACCCATTCACAGCTTACGCTCTTGGCGTCGCGGTCGTTGGCCTCGTCGTGTACGCAGTCGTCGATGCTGTCGGCAAGTACGACAAGAGGTACAATGTCCAGAACATGCCTGGCCCATGGCAGCTACCCTGGATTGGGCGCATTCACGATCTTCCCATCGAGTTCATGTGGCTGAAGTTCAAGGAGTGGGCCGACATTCATGGTCCCATCTACCGGACGAAGATGTTGGGCGCGAACTTCATCATCATCAGTGATGAGAAGATCGCAGAGGACATGCTTGTAAAGAAGGCGAAGTTGTATTCCGATCGACCCGAGATCAAGTCGCTGTTTGATGCGAAGAGCACATACGGCTCAATGGAGTACCTGCCTCTCATGGGAAAGAACCGTAAGTTCGCCGGCGATCCTTGAACGACCTTCGCTGACCAAAGTAGAATACTGGGCTCGTCAACGAAAGTTTACTCACTCTTACCTTACCGGTGCGACCAATGTACGCTACAACGGCATCATGGAGTTTGAAGCCAAGCGATGGATGGCCAGGCTCTTGGAAAACCCCGATGATTTCGGCTTTTCGCTCGAAGACATGTGCTCCAAGGTCATGTGCCAGTTGACATGGGACGACCCCTCGCTCAGTATACCTCTTACACCCAGCGCATGGGGACTGCTCACTCAGATGTCTCCCGCCGGCCCGATCACCAACGTCTTGACTCCTCTCTGGGATTGGGTTCCCGAACCGATCAACCCCTGGAAGCTTCGGGAGCGCAAGCGCCACGACGAACAGCAAGCCTTCTTCATGCAGTGCCTCCAAAAGACCAAGAAGAGCATGGAAATGGGTAAGCAAAGGTCTTGCTTCACCAAGAACTACCTGGAAACTGCCGAAAAGTCGAACATCTCTGGGGATTACGAGGCGTCTTGCGTGATCGGAATGATGGCTCTCGTTGGTATCTTCACTGTCACTGGACCCATCTACTACTTCTTGATCAGCATGGTCCATCACCCCGAATGGCAGGTCAAGTGCCAGGATGAGATTGACCGCGTTTGCGGTAACAACCCCCCTGCCGTCGCCGACCTGCCCAACCTTCCCATCCTCCGTGCTTGCATCAAGGAGACAATGCGATGGAAGCCAACCGTACCTACTGGTAAGTGTATACCCGACTAATCGTGACACTGAGACTGACTCTGATCTTAGGTGTCGCACACGAGGCCGAGGCCGACGATTGGTTCCAAGGGTACTTCATCCCCAAGGGCACACGTATCCTTCCTCTCGACTGGGCTTTCCTTCGCAACCCTGTCAAGTACCCCCAGCCCGAAGAATTCCGTCCCGAGCGATGGTTGGAAGCCGGATGGCCCACTTTCCAAGAGCCGTTGACCAAGTACCCTGATATCGTCGGCATGACTTCTTTCGGTTGGGGCCAGCGCCAATGTTTGGGCATGTCCATCACACGTGACGAGACGGTGACAGGCTGCGGAGCGTTGATGTGGGCCTTTAATCTCAGGCGCAAGGTCGACCCAGTCTCAGGCAAGGAAATCGAAGTACCGCTGAACAAGTCCAACTCTTTGCTTATCATCAAGCCGGATCCATGGGAGATGGCTTTCCAGCCTAGGAGCGAGAGCCGTAAGCAGGAAGTGATTCAGCTCTGGAAAGAGGCTGAAGCGAAAGACATCCAGGAGCGTGCCGCATTTGCGAAGGCATCTGAGATGAACATTCTTGTGGAGCCGTAGACAGCTTTTCTTTGTTTGTTTGTTGTGTTGGGTATATCCGAGGGCATAGCTGGAAGGCCTGGCGTTCGTGAGCGTTCTCTTCTTCTGTCTCACCTTATCTTTCTCCTATGTAGTTTTCAGACCATGGCCACGTCGGCTGGCTATAATTCTCAACCTTTTCACCACATTCGATTCTACTATGATATGTTGCTCGTGCGCCGTTGCGACTGCAGGAAATGGTGACGGGAAAGAAGCACATGTGACAATGACGGAGGGACACAGCAGCTGACCCTTATCTTATGTTTCGTGTCGGACGTTACACATGAGGCTGTAGAGCTCGTATTCGCTATGAGGAGCCGACCAGCAGGCGCTATCTCGGTGTACGGTGTTCCGTGCCTCTCAGCTGTCTCCTGTCATCTCGACGCCAGACGGAATTCCGTTGCTGAGGCGGACCATTGCAAGTACCTAAGTATCTGGGTAAGCCCGTCAAGAATTTTCCAAGCTCTACGGCAAGGCGGTCTGTGAAGTGGCGATTCTTACGTCTGCCCTGACATGACGGGTGTCCATGGCGCAATTTCCCCTCCGACTACCCCTCCAAAAGTGGCCCGAGCGCGGCCCTTTCCCAGCTCCAGCCTCGACAACTCGACAGTGAGAGGCCCAATCAAGCCGAACGCCCCACACTTGTGCTGCGCCTGTCATTGCTCTACGGAAGGAGCTATGGTGGCTATAAAAGGTGGCTAGGCAATTGCCCCTCTATTGCTCTTCTACTTTTAAAGCTGCCCCTCATCCTTCCCATCAACAACACTCCATCCCCAACACTTCCTCTACACACCAATTTCACATCCATCACAATGTCCAACCCCAGAGTTTACTTCGACATCACCATTGGCGGTGCGCCCGCGGGCCGCATTGTCATGGAGCTTTTCGCCGACCAGACCCCCAAGGTCAGTACCCCGCTATCAGAGTCTTCATCGCTGCTCTTTTCGGCTCGAGACCTTGGAAAGTTGAACCAGCCGCTAACTTTTACCAACAGACCGCCGAGAACTTCCGCGCTCTCTGCACCGGCGAGAAGGGCACTGGCCGCTCCGGCAAGCCCCTCCACTACCAGGGCTCCAGCTTCCACCGTGTCATCCCCCAGTTCATGCTTCAGGGTGGTGACTTCACCCGCGGCAACGTACGGCAACACCACGATACTTCTCTGACGAGCACAAAAGGCTGACATAATCTAGGGCACCGGTGGTGAGAGCATCTACGGCGAGAAGTTCGAGGACGAGAACTTCAACCTGAGGCACACTGGCCCTGGTATCCTCTCCATGGCTAACGCCGGACCTGGTACCAACGGCTCCCAGTTCTTCATCTGCACCGTCAAGACCTCCTGGTTGGACGGCAAGCACGTCGTCTTCGGCCAGGTTGTCGAGGGTCTTGACGTCGTCCAGGCCATCGAGAAGGTCGGCTCCGGCAGCGGCTCCACCTCCAAGCAGGTCACCATCGCCAAGTCTGGCCAGTTGTAGGCGACTGAGTCATTTGAACAAGAACGTGCACGCAATATGAGATATTGGAATGAATTTCTGAGCGGCTTACGAAAACGATGAATCACGACATACCACGTGGCTCGATAAGACGAGACCAGTGGGCATCTTCGGTCTGTCATAGTACTACAGCTAGGAAATGGCAATGATCAGTGCGCAATCTACGTATGCTTGGAATTGTGCCTCGTTTCGTGCCATGAGATCCGAACATAACTCGTACTTTCCAACTGCAAAACACTAACTCGATACCAAAGTACATTGTAGCGAAGTCACAATCGGCATCGTGCTCAATGAACCAGATGCGAGCTTAAAAAACGGCGGTGACGGTGCTATAAAACCCAGATCCCATGACATGTGAAATATAAACATCAAATACGGAAGATGTACTTGTCGCATGAACGTGAGAAACAACATGCATGTATATCCCGCACCACAGGTGACCTACAACGTGCAGTCAGTTTTCCTTCACAAGCCATTCTCCAAATCGCCTTGATGATAGTCCAGCGCACCTAGAAGAAGAGGTGCACGATTCCTACTACTAAAGCTCAGCATTCTAAGAAAATCGCTGCTTTTGGCGCCTAGCTTAGTTTTCGTGCCTTGCAGGTGCATACTTTCACATGCGAACGGGTTGATATCGTCCACTCGTTTAGCAGGAACACATACCTCGAAGAAGTAACTGTTGTTCGTGTGATTAAGGTTCAGCACTCTGGTTCAGAAACCCACGATTGAACCGTTCTAGTTTGAGCAGTGTTTTGATGGCAGTATCAAATCAACTGTGCAACATTCACGTGTTGTATATCTTTGTTATCAGGACGCAGGAATATCTTCCGCGAATGGATGCTAGTGCGTGAACATATATAGAAGAGCATCAGTGCCAACCCATAATCGAGACGAGGGCAAAATATGTCATATTGTGATGACTGGCAGAATATACTATCCCGTCGCCGAGCCGTACTTTCTGCGTCCCTGGTCTCACATACTAGAGTGCTCTTTTCATAGGAACTGCTGCTACGCAACCATGCAGAAAATGCGAATGGAGAAGACGCGAAGCTTATCAAAGTCTGTAACATGCTGTACACTATTGGTTCATTCAGACTGTACCAAGCCTTCTAGTCATGATGACGAGGGATATGGCGCGAAGCAGTAGTATCTCATCGGCGATGTACCAAGTGTCGCCAGATGAATGCGTAATTTGTTGAGACCTGTCATCAAAGGATTAGCCAGGGGCTGAGTGCTTGATAGGCGCACGACGGAGGACTTGAGGTAGTAGCCTTCGAGCCAGATAGGGCTGTCTCTCGAAAACGATGGTGTCGCCTCATTTAGGGAGACGTGCTCGGGGATTCAACAAACCCCAAGGCAACATCGTCAAGGTCCTCCCAAGGCTTAGCTGAAGCTGTGTCTTCACAGCCTCGCATAACGTCCTCCTGTTCATGCAATACATGGATGCCTAGAGTACTCGCTTACCCTACGTATTGGTAGAGCTCGCTTGGATAGGCCGTGGGATGGCATCGCCTCACTGACGTACCGATGCTATGCGAGGCAAAGTGTGGGGAAGGGTATGAGTCCTTCAAATCGAGTAACAACAGCGCTCTCTCAGTGGTGGAAGCCAGGGGTATGCACAGGCTAATCGTCGCGAACTGTTTGGTCAGTATGCAGCAATCACTGCCCTCCGTGATGGCATCATTACTAGGATCCGCAGTCAGCACCTCTTCGGGGCGAAACGACCACGTCTAGAAGCCTTGGATGCAAGTGATAGACAACTTTAGCCAATGTTCCAACTCGAGTGGAGAGATAAGTGGAGAGATGAAGTGGGGAACAGGCTTCCAGAACCACTGCGCGTGGAATGAGCGTATCGGAGGACGACAGCATCATGTCGGCGGCTTTTCGATATGCTCAGCTCTTACATCTCGACTACTATCGGATGGTTTCCCAAGTTCCATCATCCGAGAGTCACGATACGATAGGGCTCTGCGTTGTTGTTGTGGTCGTTGTTCTTGTTGTCGTGGCTGGTGTGCGAAGCCAACACGTAACTTGCTCTGATTGGCTCTTCAATATTGGTAGTGAAGCAATTTTCTTTTCTTGGTGCAAAGGTACTGTAGAGTGACGCAAGAAGATAAAGTTTTACTCTGTGGATTTCAAGGCCAAATTGTTTGATCGGTACGCAGTAATGTAGCAATGACACGTTGTCGTGCTCTTTCCCCAGATGTTAGCGTGCATGAACAATTAGCTCCTTCATGCTTGCTTTTTTCCAGCCAACAGTCGTCTTCTTGCAAGTTGATCTCTCAAATGATCGTGCTCATCAGCCGTGGGCATTTTCTGGTCCCTGGAATACAGTGGAGAGAGTTAGCGGCCGGGCTGCGTGTATGCTGGTCCCTGCCAGCGCAGCGTGACAATAAGCTGTGGATCGAGGGGTGAATCAGCCATTGCAATACAACACCCGACGATAGATGGCCATCTGTCGCAACGCGCATGGAGGTGCAGTTCCGATGTGTGCAGCGTACGACCTAGGTACTAGCTGGCGCACATGACGTCGAGGTGGTCGGGTAGGCAGCAGAGTCTTCCCACCGTCTGGTGATAACGACCGGGACAGCCCTTCTAACAGTCCGTCTAGAAGTCCGTCGGCTTCGCGATGCACGTGGGATGATCAGCCACCAGGGAGCGTCCCGTAGGCGCCCGGTGCCGAGAGGTAACCAAATGTCAGCATCGGGTGAGTGCGCATAGCATGGGATGCCTGGCCGATCATGCCGCTTTGTTGAAGACAGATTTTTGCGTCGTATTTGCGCTCGCTGAGTGAGCACTTTATGAAGGAGCTGAGTTTTCCCAGCGCTTGGTAGGGCAAGACGGCCGTTTGGTGACGCCGTAAGGGCTGCCGTGAGCGTTGGGCGAGGCTCTGGGGTGGTGCAGGTGGAGGGTCAGCGAGTGGCAGCGATTCGCCGGGCCATGGGTAAATCGCTCGATGCAGACAAGTCATGTGGTCAGTCGTGCCGGCGATTTGCTGGAATCGGCCAAGGGCGTTTTGTGGGATGCAGCACTATGCAGGCATCTTCGTGGGCCATGATCGAGGACTCTGCGAGGGATCAACCGGCGTCTCGAACCCCGCGAGACACCTCCCGCAGCTCCCAGGCAGCCCATTTACACGCTCCCACGCCATGCGCTGCGCCTCCATTCGCACTGCACTGCAGCTCAAACTCTGCCCGTGGTATTAATCCCCATCCGTCCTGTCTCCGCCGCGTGCTGGGTCACCCTTTCGTGAGCTGTCTCGGATTACTGCGCCGCCTGCTTCACTTGTGCGCTTGACGTTCACGCTTTTACCACGCTCTTACTTATACGCTTGTTTGCGTTGCGTTGCATGGCATTGTCATTCAATCCCCACCCACATCTCCGCTTCTGCATGTTCAGCAAATACACCCATCTAATACCATCATCATTATCACGATCCCCGTTGCTCCCATAACACACATCACGTTACATCATGGCGCCGACCGCAAATTGGAGGCAGTACCAGTCGAGTAATAGCACCACTTCTGGCCGCAGCGACAACAGCACCGCTTCAGGCCACAGCGACCACAGCGCTCACAGCGCCCGTTCCTACGACACAGCGCCGACAGAGTACAGCGACCGGAGACCGTCGCTACTGCACAGCGAAACATGCCATCCCCGCGTACAAGGACGCGGCCGGGAACCAGACTACTTTGTGCCTCAACACCAGGTCGACCGGTATCCACAGCCCCCGCCCCGCGCATCCGTCGACACATATGCCTCGACATCAGAAGAAGACCTTGCCGATGAGGCCGATGATATGCCCGACTACGATGTGCCTACATACCGACACGAGCCGCTAGCTTGCGATGCCATCCCTACCACACCCCGCGACTTTGGGGAGCTCTTCCCTACATCTAAGCGCTTATCAATACGCCACGACGACTCCACCATAGACGGAAACATGAATCTGAGGGTGGACACACAGGTCGAGGAACGCGGACACCGGAAACAGAACTACACCCTCTTCCACCTCCGCATGCAAGATCTTCGCACACGTCAATTCTCCCTCCGCCGGTACTGCAGAGAGTCAGGACGCGAAGTCTGCCATTCGACGCGCAAGTATCAGAAGCCCGCTGCGGAGATGCGACCAGTCCTGCAACGCGCAAGCACAGCCCTCGCTAGTTTGGTCAAATCCGACTCTCGCCCCTCGACATCAGCTGGTCTGAAGCGGGCCGACTCCGGCTATGACTCCGTACAGGGCAGTGTTCATGACGACGACGACGATATGCCATCTGAGTCACGCCCTAAAGCTGTGGGCTATTCCAAAGGCCGCGCATTAATACCCACCAATACCATCAAGCTCGAGTTTTCGAATTACGCGCATCTCGATGTGAAGCGCCGCGGTGCCAAGTCATTCAAGAAGTACGCTTTCGAATACTGGGGCAACAACTATTCCTGGAAACGCATCGTCAAGAAGGAAGGCCGCGAACAACATGAGTCTGTCTCTTATTATCTTGTCCGCGACGACAACGATAAGGAGCCGCTAGCGCACATCTGCCCCGTACGCTTGACTCGTGAAGAGGCACATGAGGAGGCTGCCCGCGGGGGCTGGATCCCACCGTGTTATATGCGTGTTACAGATGACAAAATCCTGTACTCGGACTCGGACATCTCTGAGTAAGTACATACCGGCTAAGCATACAGTACAAGGCAGCAGTGAGTTAACCATATGAACAGTGTTGTTATGGCGACAGGCCTCATGGCTCTTGTAGACGACTGCATCAAGCGACGCTTCCACTCCAAGCAGAGCACAACGATGCATATCCCACTCCTCCGAAATCCTTCCTTCAAGGTGGCCAACCTAGAATACATTGGTCCCAAACGCCTCATCGATGAGATGTTCAACCGAAAACATCAAGACGGTAACTTGTCAAAGAGACAGCCGTCGTCAGCACGTCGTGTACCCACATCAGTCTAGCGTTTTCTTTATTTAGCTCAAGTTTGACCAGCGGAAATCCGCTGCGTTGGCGCAAAGTTTATCTGCACCAGGAAGTTGCAGCACGTTCTCCCATCTTGTACAACCAGCCTGTCAGAACTCTTCTGTTGGGATGGTCGCCTGTAGGCAGTTGCTGTTCTTGCATTTTTGGTGCTCAGTTTCTCTTTTACACCTTGGTGTCCGGCATGCGCATGATCTTCTGGTCTGCAGCATGCGTAGCGTTGTTTGTTTGTTGCATTTGTTGAGCCCTTTATCGTTACACAGGATACCAATCGGCGTGGATGTCCTGCACATGCACATAATGCCGCCCCTTTTGGTTTACGAATCGCCACGTTATCATTCTTGGATCGATACATACTTGGATCGCAGTTACGATACCACATTTTGGAACGAATAATGACCTGAGCTCATTTGCTCTTTACCTTTGGTTCATAATCTGCCACACGTGAGGGTTTTCTATTCTCGGTGCTGTCATGGGTGGAGCGCAGTACGCTTCTGCTCCTAAGTGAAGCTGTGCGAGTCTGGACAACGCTCGTTCGACCGCAGGGTTTCTTCCAATTCATGTTTGCTTACGCGTCAAGTTCAGAACAAGATGAGCCCGTTCATTGAACGCACACTCCCGGTAGAATGGTACTGACAGGTTACAGTGCTTCATGCTCCGTCGCGGCGCATGGCTCGAAGACCCGCCGCCAGCAATATAGCTCGGGGCCGCGTCACTCTACTGTCGCATCTTCCACGAAACTCAACCTCAACTCTGCACCTGTTCTGCATCATCCTAGTATTTTCGACCACGACATCGGCTCAACGCTATTTGTGCAACTCATGGCCTTTTCGCATGTAAAACGCACAGTAGAAGTTAACATGATTTTCATCCCTTCGCATTTGAGTGGTTGCTCGCCACAGTACGTCGCGCTGGATATATCCCGATCATGCACAATTCAACACGTTCCGCTAAACATGGTATTGATGCAAAACATTACTTAGCATTTACCGAAGACATGTCAATGACAGGAATTTCTCAAAGGCGTAGAGGACCAATACTCGAAACAGCCAATTATATTAGGCTGTCTCGTAAGGCTGCAGCAAGCAGGAACTGGAGCCATATGTTTGTGAAACCACATTTATGTAGTTTGACTTTCGCTTCACGATAAAGCATCCGTTGATTATCCTTGAGTCGTGGCAATATTACAATATAAGGGCGTACAAACGGCCGGCAGGTACCCGCCTTCGTTACCCCTATGATAGGTCTTCCTGCCTTTTCGCCACTTCAAGCATTTAGCGAGCGAAAACACCTCAACTGTCCGCCTCATGCCGTCAACAACACTATTGCTACAAGCCATCCGCTTCATAGTTGACAAATGTCTTTTTGTGTCGTTTGATATACCTGAAAAATGACCTGCCAAATAATATACTTCGGTATGAGATCATTGCCGCCAAAACAAAGAGTAGGCAGGGACCCTGTGAACACTACTGCACAGTGACCTGGCATCGCTTCACACTAGCCGTAATGTCTTGCAGCCATGTGGAGTCAAACGAGCTTTTGGGCTGAAGTTCCAAAACACCCTCACGAAGAAGCCGCAGCTTTCAGTTGCATGCTCTTCATGCAGCTCTTCCCATTGCGGGTGTTGACAAGCGCCCTATCCGTGCCCACTACCAGCAGCTGCCGGGAGACTGCCGCCAACTCTTCGTACGCAATATTCGGCTGCGCATTGCTTCAGCCATGTTTGGGGTTACTGCGTGCCCCATCGGCCCGCTCTCGAAGGCGTTCTTCCAACCCAATGGCTCGGGTGTGGAAAACTTATCATTGGCCACGGAAACTCACCTCGCAGACGGCTTCTAGCAGGATATGCGCATGTCACTTGCGAGAAGAGCATGACCGACGAGACGGATCGTTGCATGTGTTCGTAACTCATTGCTACAACTTTCTGCTTCTCCTGCTGTTGAGTGAGGCTCTGCGTAGCTCGCACATTTTATAAGTAGTTGTTCTCCTCAAAGCATCGAGCTTCCACCCCCTTCTCAAGCATCGATCTTCATCCCTTACAACTTGCGTCTTGTCTTGAATCACCCCCTTTCAACTGTCATACACAAACACTGTTGTCATGGCCAGCCAAGAACTGTGGTCGCAACGTCTTCGAGGTTTGCCTATCCACCCCAATCATCGATTCAACGCACGCTGACATGCTTCTCAGACCATTGCCTTGTAAGAGGTCTTCAGGAACCAGCCTACACGGATCTCTCTGACCGTCGTGGTAAGTCAAGCTCAGCTCCACAGCACTTCATATGACTCAACAAGCGTCTGGCTGACCTTAATCCTAGGAGGTCGAACGGCCTGGTCGACTATGGTCACAATTAACGGGAACAACTTCCAAGCAAGGTTCTGGTACGATTGTGCCTATCTCCCAAATGCAAAAGAAGATTGCGCTGAGATCGCGCTACGATCCCTTACTGGATATACGAACACCACTCAATCACCACCACCGGCAAGCCACTATCGAGCCGTTGCGAGTCGTCAAGACTCGGCTGTCAATGCCGGTTAGTTTGATCAGTGGTCTTGCTTACAACTCCCCCCTGGTAGAATTCTGCGCTCTCTTAGCCGACTTAGGAGCTTCGCATCGACTTTGTGTTTTTCGGTGGAAATTTGTCAATTGTGAATGTTATGGTATATTGGAGTCGGTGAGGGAACCCAAAAGGCGGCGGCTATGTCATTCTTATCGTACTTCTTTTGAGTGTGACAGAACGAATTTGCACAGGACTGATGGTTCTTTTTCTCAGACATACTTTACATGGTCGTGCACTGTCGTCGCTCCCTTGACTGCTCAACTGTGGTACACTAAGCCCTAGCGCACTTGCTGAACTGACGTCTCTCCTCCGTAACGACTTCTGGAATTACAAAAACTTCTTCGCTTGGCTCCTTCTCCATCCAGCCATATCGGACAAACGAATCAGCGGGATCAGCGTCCACACAGCATCATTCTGTCTAGCATGCCCAGACCGGGTCTGTCAAGACTTTCAGCTTGATTGATAGCAATGGCCTCGCAGCCACACTGGAGGATGACCAAACACACGACTGCAGATCCGATAACGTCGTCTCATAGACATAACGGTATCTAAAAGCGATGTATAGGCGCCCGGAACATATCCCCGCAAACGAGTTCGTTTATCCCAGACTAGCTGTCAGTACGACCCCACTCTGCCCGAGTCGAACGTACGGATCAGAACTTGCCTGCAGCTCACTACCTGTTGCCTAGAGTCCCTTGGTTCGGATGAACGCGAGATTAGTTAACCTGCTTGAAGGCAACAGACGTGGCAGTACTTTCATCCATTGGATTCAGGAGCCATCCAAAATAGACCACACATCTACACGTCTCTCTCTTTGAGGGCTCAGTCATCATACACATATGAGAACTAGAGCACTTCATCACTCGTCACTCCATCACCACGGCCACGATCCGCTGTATGATGCACATCGGAATGATGTAAGCCATGTCTGATGCTAGCATGGCAAGATTTGGCGACTCAATGGCCGATTCACCCTCCTGGCCACGTCGCAGGTGCATTTCATGTACGCGAAATACTTGTGTCACCTTTAACGTGGGATTGCAGGAGCCAGGGACCGGAAGACTCCGCCACGCTATGGAACTGTATTCGCCGGATCTGGATGCAACATTCGGCGAACATGCGCCTCTAGATTGGCAATTTGATCAAAGCACGGCAGAGGAGTTGTAAGAGCGAACATGCTTTCTTGCTAGTCGATAAAGAGTATCAGGACAAACCAGATGAGTTTACTAGAGCGCCCATACCGCGTCGAAACTGCGAGCCGAGTGTAACAGCAACAGGATAGACACTATTCGGCCGTTGAATGTGATGTCCCACAGCGGCGTTTGAAGACTCCACGGAACACGGCAAAGAGATTACGAGCTCGCATTGCCATCTAGGAAGGCTGGTCACTACAGTGACAAATCGGAGGCATTTTGCTGTTGTTAAGCCAGCGCTAAGCCACTCAATTACGGACCCCATGCGCACATGACAGACAGCGTCTGCAAACGGTACCCACTCCGTTGCATCCAGGGCTCCATGGTGAGTTCGTCTCCGCCTGGACGCGGTTCGCCAAGGGAATATTCTTCGGTTTGTGCTGGAACTGTTTCAAACGTGGTAGCATGTAGCCTGAAGGCCGCTTAGTTTCGGTAGGTTGGCCGGCGCACGTAGGATTGCAGCAGGAGTCATTCTAATATGTAGACAGGCATCTCTCATGCCAGATAAGGAAGTCCTTTGCATGTTGAAGATTCGAGCTTTGAGCAGAAGCCCCTTAGATGAGTCGTGGTTGCATTTAGCGATTTATCTAGTACGTTCACTCCCTGCAAGATCACTGATGCAGATCGCCGCGAAAGTGCCGTTGCTCTCCGATGTAGCTGGCGTGCGCAGTCCGCAAGCCTCTATTTCTCTTCTCGGTTCTTTCAAGAAAGAACCCCCGAACTGTTTTAATCAACCAGCTGTACCCCTGATGTTCATCATCTGAATCATGGCTTTAGCGCTTAGCCACATCAGCGTTGTCAACGCCCCGAATACCCGGTATCTCAATTTGAGCGAAACGGATCGCCTCGCACCGTCGACTCACCGATCGAACCACGCGATACATCCCGTCCAAAGTACATCACACAACGATGAGTACTCCCTCTCGCTATCGACCTATCCCAGCCACATTACCATTGCGCAAAGCCTGTATCCACGATGTGGGCGATGACAATTCCAATGGGACAACACATTCGCACATCAGAACCACTCTGAGGTGGCGGTAATCATGAGAATCAGGTCAAGCCCTTGCCCAGTACCGCCACGCCTGTATGGCAGCCTGGGTAATGGGTTATTCCCGCTGGCAGCACACACACACACACACAGCGATAGCCCGGAAGTCTTCCACGAGTACAGGGCCACAACCTTAGTCTACGTTGAAGTTTCGTTCGTCATCGGGATGGAAGCAGAAGTGTTACATACCCAATGACTTCTGGGCGACTTGGTTCTGATCGTTCCGTGTACGACGCTCCCGCGAAGACTAGTCCACGAGAATGACTACCTTGACGATTGGTTCGCCTGGCACAAAGTTGGGGGCTGGCCTAGCCCAGTCACAAAGGACAGGACATTAATGTCTCACGAACGCTGTAAGTGAGAAGTAGGCGACTTCGCTTGGTAGTGTCCAAAGGGTTAGAGTTTACATCTCCCCTAGTTTGACAGCGCACAGGAGTGGTTCATTGATGTATCTCCACCAACTCGAGCTTTGGATTTGACGCGTAGCGCTAATGTATGTACTAGCAGAACGCTCTGCGCTGATGTGGCACGGCTACGAAGTGCATCCCTCGTCTAGACCTCCCGACAACTCTTCCAACGGCCGTCCCAAGCATCTTTTCATTGACGCATGCCAACGGAATTTCGATAATCGATCGGCACGACTCCAACACAGAGCTTTAGAAACACCAAAAGCTGATCTCGAGCATAGCTACACCAAATCTTGTGCTCGCTTGCTTGCTTTGGACACAATCGCGGCAAGCCATACCATAACAAGGCACGAACACTGAGCAGGAGCCAGTAGCACATTGACGAATGCATTTAAGAGACCCCGAATATCATAGACGCCACCTTGGATGTGTCAGGGAAAGCTTCTCTTCGCGGCTGAGTAGGATTGTGGTAATGCGCTTCCTTCTAAGCTTTCAGTCACCGAGTGTCGCATAACCACGAGGTTCGAAATAAGCGGAAGAGATCCAGTCTCATGGAAAGGGAACCATAATCTCGGGCTGTACGAGACTTCCGAGTTGCACACAAATCAGGTCGGACCTGGGATTTCTAGTGCGCAATAACGATGCCCAGCCCCGGTGGCTGCACGCCAGGTCCAATCGAACCGGGGCAAGCTACGTATCCTTGTGCCGCGGTGCAGACCAGTGCGGTGTTTTCCTTCGCGAAGCGTGCGAAAGGTAGCCCAAGGCATGCTGTCCTGAAGCTGAGTATCGGTCCGACCCGACGCGCCCCGGGGCGTGCCTTCCGCGGGCTAAGACGCTGGCTCCCGCTGGGGGGAGCGAGTGTCTTAATTTACAGCCCCGTAAAATCAGCTCAATACCTCTTCCACACAAACTCTTCATTGGAAACGGACTGCAGCACGAACGATTCTCGATAACGCTATTGCTTTTAGACCGCTTTTGGTGACGCATACGTATGATGTACCAATATCACAGCGCACGGATGCACAGCCGCCGACAGTTCCGCTTCAAATCTTATCTTCCATCCACATGGGAAGTTACAAGCTCTTACTGCCCAGATGTTCAAGGCATCTATCAAACACTACAAACCTTGTTTGGTGCAACTGCACTGCTTGAACGTTGCCTACATGCTGAAGCAGGCCCGATAATCTGACGCACTAACAGCTTAGGAATCAACCGCCTCGATATCGATAGCGCGCTTCACCTCCGACCGTTCCTCCCTCGCACGACTATGTCACTCAATGGTAGCCACAGCTACAGGCTTTCGTTGAACTGACGATCTCCGTGTTACGATTATTCGAAACCATACATACGTTCGACTTGGATGTCTCCGGGACCCTTGTGTATTACTGAGGCGCATCGCTCTTTGTTTTCACGGTCGCAATCGCCTGCCCTTTCCTAGGGTTATACAATTAAAGTGGTGGCTATACCGCCTGATCCCATCAGATCTACTACGCGTACTTCATAGCACCTTGAGTGGTTAGCGATACGCCACGGTTAGAGTGACGGGCTATGGAGACCGATTCACTTCGGCAGATCTGAATCGTATGAACACAACGAGCAGCAGGCTAGCTGCCGCCCTGAGACATCTCGAGTAGGGGGGTTTGTTGAGACAATGTACTAGCTGCCCGGGGTGCTGCTTCTTTAAAGCCATCACAGAGTAAGGAGCAGTCACTGACTGCACCAAAACTGGCTTCGCTCCTGCGTTTGATTATGACAGTAAGTATGGGGACTCGACCTCTTATTGTGCTGAGCATGTCAATATGCCGATATTGTACCTTGATTTTGTTGTACTCGGTCTTTCCATCCCCATTCCACGCTACCACAGCGGTGAACGAGGCGCGAACGTTCTTCGCATGAACCCTCTCCTATGCGCTGTCGCGCAAAATCAGGATACTTCCGCTTATCACATCGCGTCTTCTTCCAGAGCTGGTCCGTGAACGCTCGTCTCTCCGAACCGGCTAAGACGTCATTACCGTTTTCAGCTGATTGGACGAACTTAGCGGAGCGACGGGAGCAACCGCGTCGGTATTGAGAAACCCCAACCACCTCCCCTTATGGAGAACTATACAATCAATCATAAGACCTCCATCCCCTGTACGGACTTGGAATGCCACTACAACCTTGCAATCAACGGCTCGTCCGTTCTTCGGGGGTAACTGAACCCTATTTCCGTAACACCCCAGGTGGGGATCCGCTTCTACTTCCAGTGACATTAACATCTCTCTGCATTTAACAAAGCAAGCTATACTAGGTAACTCGTCCAAGCCACACTTCCCAAGTTCCCGTCATTTTTTAAAAATCCAGACAACCATGGCCACAATGAGCGACAATACAACGGGGAACTCTGCCACTCCTTTGTACCGGTCTCTCCGCGGAACGGCTCTCAATTTCATCGAAGCCCAAGCTGTGGATAATAGCCTCCCCGAACGTATGAACTTCGCGCTTCTGCGCACTCATTGTACTCCTAACTTCCAACACTCCTGGGGCCATAATTACGCCGTCTCCATCACCCCACCTCTCCAAGGGTCACACTCTTTCGATGATTTCGTCAAACATCTGAATTTCATGTTGCCCAAGTTGGAGTCGTGGAAAGCAGATGTCACGAACATCATCGTCGACCCAGTGATGATGAAGGTCATGTTACGGATCAGCTTTTGGATGCAAGCCAAGGGAGCGAAGGAAGCGGACAAGGTAGAAAACGATTTATTGTGGGAGCTAGAGATGGAAGAAGTTAGTGAGGGGAAAGTGAAAGTCAAGAGAAGCGTTGAGTTCGTGGATGGGGCTGCGGCAGGGAGGTTGAGGGAAGTTATGATGGGAACAGCGCAGGGTTAATGGCGGTCACTTGGAACACATGACGTTGCAAAGTATGGTTGTGTAACTTTCTGTTAATTCTGATGTGTAGACGTTGAGGTCTCGTTCTTCTATCTTGAGATACCCAGTGATCAGATGAATGCTTTCTAAATCGAGTCATACTATGCCCATAACTCCATCGCTACCGTTCCCATGCCACCGACCCATATCTTGTAGAGAGTTTCGTTGTGTATCATGTCCAATATTCGTTTTGTTGCTTTTCTTTCTTCATCTCCATATCATCTAGTGTGTTCCGTTGGTGCTTCCCTGCCTGACCATCCAAGTAAGCAAGTCCACCTTTGTAACAACAGCAATAGCCCTAGGCTCGCCATCTACGCGCTCGGTGACAACAGCAGCGCTGTTCCACTCGAAGAACTTGTTCAGGTCGCCCAAGCTGGTTTCCTTGGTGATCTCAACAAACTCCCTTCGTCCCTTCTTGCCACCCTTCTGTGTGTTCTTCGCGTTGTCACCGTCTAGCGACAGACGACCGAGGTCTTTTACGACTTCGTTCAGTTTGCGGAAATCGAACATGACTTCTTCGACGGACGACTTGGGCGTAGCGCGACCTGCCGCGATGTAGGAGAGGAGGTTACCGAGGGTTACAAGACCCACGAGACGCGCCTTTCCAGATGAAGAGTACGTGCTGACAGGAAGCTGGTCGAAGCCCTTCTCACGCATAGTTTCTATGGCTTCGCTGCATGGCGAGTTGGAAGGGATGGTGGTGACAGGCTTGAGCCGGAGGGAAGCAATTGTAGCGCCGTGGAAAGCGTCGGCCTGCTTGGTGGTGGAGAGACGGCGTGCGGATGCGCCGTTTGTGTCGGGTGTCAGAGGAGGCGTAGGAGGGAGAAGGTCGTTCGCTGCAAGCCAGTCGTCGTCGGCAAACTAGAGTGTGTTAGTGTGTTGAAATAGAGAGATGAAGTAGTGGATAACGAACCTTGCTGAGGTAACTCCTGATGCTGTCCGGAAGTATGACGACAATGACATCGTCTTCAGTCAGGTTCATGTCCTTCGCAGCTTCAACCATAGCAGCCATTGCACTGCCAGACGAACCACCAACAAGGATACCCTCCTCGGCGATCAGCCTGCGTGCGTACATGAACGATGTCTGGTCGTCTGTCTTGTACCACTTGTCTACAATCTTCTGCTCCAAGACGTCAGGAATGAAGTCGTATCCGATTCCCTCAACCTTGTAGCCCTCGTTCACACGCTCGTCGTTGAGGCTCGCGGGGAGGGCAAGAATACTGCCGTGCGGGTCGGCAGCAACAATCTTGACATCCTGCTTGTGTTTCCGAAGGCCGCGTGCGAGACCTGTAATGGTGCCTCCGGTTCCTGCACCAGCAACAAGACATGTGATCTTGCCGTCTGTTTGTGTCCATACCTCCTCCGCAGTGCCACACTCATGCGCCATCGGGTTATCCGGGTTCGAGTACTGGTCGAGGATGTGTGCGTTCGGAATCTCCTTGACTAATCTCTTGGCAACACCGATATGACTTTCAGGGCTATCCCATGCCGCGCTTGTCGGGGTACGAATGATCTCAGCTCCGAGCGCCTTGAGAACCGCCACCTTCTCTGGGCTCATCTTCTCTGGAAGCGTGATGATGGTTCTGTATCCCTTGATCGCGCCTACCAAAGCCAGCCCAATACCCGTGTTACCGGAAGTAGGCTCGATGAGAGTGTCACCAGGCTTTATGCGACCGGACTTTTCAGCGGCCTCGATCATGCGAAGGGCGATGCGGTCCTTCACACTACCACCAGCGTTGAAGGCTTCGACCTTGGCGTATACGGTTGCTTTGATTCCCAGAGACTGCGGGATCTTGTTCAAGCGTACAAGGGGTGTGTTGCCGATTTGCTGCGTCATGCTGTCCATGACTACTGGCGGAATGGCGGGGCGCGTCTTGGTGGACATGGTTGCGGTATTCGTGTTTTCGTGTGTTCTCTACGTGTCTGGTTGATGTAGATATGCTGAAAATAGGTATATTGAGAGTAAGCAAGATTTTAAGCAAGGAGAGGAAGCGCACGTCAAGAACGAAAAAGATGTCGTGATACGAACGCAAAGTTGTCGCAAAGAACAAACTCGATGCCCTGACCCGCTACTACCCGCCACTACAGCCGCGGTTGAGCCACCGCTAGCACAGCCTTACCACGCTAGCCAAATTTGCTACCCTAACACCATCTTCACGCCACAGCGAGGTCTTTGTGGTTCACGTGGTAGACAAGTGTTACGCAGCCGGTAGTGACCATCAACTACCGGCTGGTCACGATATTCGCTGAAAGTCGTGTTCGTAAGATGTCCTTGGCGTCAATATATCCGCCGTCCGCGTGCAGAAACGACCTCGGGAGTTGCTTGCGTCCGGCAAAACGAAGAACTGCAAAGAAATAACAGAAACTCAAAGGCCCTGCGACCAGCTGAACGATTATGAGCTTGAGACAGAAACATGAAGTGATGGCCTATAGCCTCGGATGCTTGCCTCACGTAGTTGCACATCTGCTGCGATGTTTGATCACCAGGTGTTCTATCTTCGAGGCTACAGCACCCCACACGCGTGACCAACCCGCTTGCGTATGGCTACCCTTCCAACCCAGATCCGCGGAACCCCAAACGAGTAAGCCACGAGCGCGAATCTCGAGGCTTTGTGGAACTCCACACCGATACTCCGCCCCAAGTGGGATCCGCGCGGGAAAGGACGCGGAAGAAGCGGAAGGCTGCCACTTGTGGATACGGGGCGTAATCATCGATCACTAAACCATCCATCTCTCCTGCTGAGTGGACACCAATGTCCGACAGAATTCAGCTTAAGGTTTGATCCCGTTTGCGATGTGGGATGAGGGTAGAAGAGGGTGGTAAGCTTACAATTGTCTCAGCCGTGTCCGTCGCTCGAACACTCCAGCGGAGTGGGTCCGGCGAACAGGACTGCATACTGAGATTCGCGTCCTGCATGGTGTGCAGCAGTCAGCTCGCTGTTGACAAATTACCGAACAACTGGGTTGGGCTCATGGTGTCATCGGTGTACGTCCCGAACGGATATCCAAATGTGAAGGCATCTGACTTTCGGGCCGGTCACCCATGGTCTTCTCCCCCTATTCACATTGCAGGAAATGGTGTTCGTATCTACTCATCAGATGGTCTCATATCAACACCGCATAGAACCATTAGAGCGAGGCCGATATTTTGTAAAAGAGTGGATTGAGTTAGACTATCTAGAGAAGCAACGCCGAACGCAAGAACAAATGCAGGAAACGATAACATACTTATGCGAAAAGTCAAAAAGGAAAGAGTTCTTCGCCTACTGCGAAGTAAAGAATTCATCCGAAGGGGCGGGCTCAGGTATGAACATGAAAGCAGATCGAGCAAAGATGACTGGAAAAGGAAATAAGGGAAATCCAAAGAACAGCCGCTACTAGACATCTGGTAGCACTGGGAACGTCTCCTAGAAGAGCGGACAGAAGAAAAATGCTAGAAAGTAACTGCAGCCGTGGGTGCTACTGAGAAGCATAGGTGCGACGGCAAGCCCGTACATCTGCATCAGGGTCAAATGTATCTTCAGTCCAGTAGTTAAAAGTATATCAGAGCGCCAGGTTCCAGAGGTCGTTGCTGATCCACTGGTTTTCTTCCTTTCCGGTTCTCTCAAGCAGCTCGTTTGGTTCAGATTCCGGTTCAGTCTGCTGGGTCAGTTCGTCTTTTGTTCCAGACCGATCGGTTGGTTTGAGTGCCGCGTTGGGCTGTTGCTGAGTTGACACTGTTCCCTTTGCGGTCTGTATGATCCCCTTTCCCATCTGCCAATATGTAAGCAAGAGTCTCATAACCTTAGTGGCATACTTACATTGACGTCTTGTTGTTGCTTTATCAACAGACCCCAGAATGTTTCACCCATTTTTTCCATGGTTTTCTGGCCATCCGTTTCCAGAAGTTCGAGATCATGGATCTTTTTTCGGAGGGGTCGGGACAGAATGTCGGCGCTTTTAGGAAAAACCTGCACCTTTTCAGGAAGTTTTACTTTGGTCATCGGGAAGTAGGAGCCGCGGCCGTCACCTATAAGAGGAAGATACTGGTGTTCGATATCTCTGTCTTGATTGTAGTCTATCCACGTTAGCCGGCATATGCCATTCTTCATCTCAACAGGGGACTTACGTTTCTTGAAATAGCCATAGACATCGATTTCCTTTCCATCGGAATCCTTAATCTTCTCCCCAACATCTTTGGCGAACACAATCTCACGGATCAGGAACGGCTCGGACCATGTGTTCCTGCTTTCGCTGGTGGTTTTTGGTTTCGTATGCTCGTAGTTGCGCTGAACTTGAAGACCAACCAGAAGGTCCCTGATAATGGGTTGCAGGCGTCCGATGCTCTCTTCGTTCATGTGATCCCCGAACACATCCAGAAGTATTTCATAGACATTTCCACAGGTAGTTGGAAGAGCACAGGTCAGATCAAATACCATGTGCAGCAATTTCTCTTCAGCATCGATTGACAGACGGCTCCGTATGTATAGCGGGTACAGGCGCTCCTTCATCTGCTGCGAATCAGTGCTTGACTTTTGCGTGTATCCTTCAATCGAAGGCGTTATGGATGTTGTCTTAGATTCTGGGGGCGCGGCCTTGGAGTCTGGAATCTTCCTGAGAAACTCCCGATTCATAGAAAGATTTCCAAGACTTTGATCCATAATTGCGTGGCGACTCTGTATTAACAAATCCAGGGACTTGCAATAGAGCTTGCGGTCTTTGTCATCGTTGCTTTCCAGCAAAGAGACACCAGTAACTCGACATTCCATCGGCCCCCCGGACAGACCAAGCTTGTCGTTTCCAGGATATCTGGTCTGGAGAGGATATCGTCCCAAGCGGATGTTTCGTATCGAATGGGATGGAATAATGAGATGACACTCATGTTTCCTACCAACCGGCTTCTTGTTGATGGCAGCAATATCCTTGTACTCCAGAAAAGCGTCTTCAAAAAGCTCCTTCCAGGCGGGTTCTTGGTGCTTGCGACTGTATATCCTAACATAATCATCGGGAGATTTCGAGGACCAGAACTCTACTCGGATGATCTGGAGGTCGGTGAGATCTTTGAGACGATAGGTAAGGCGGCCAAGTACGGTCTTGGAGGATGACTTCCACGCTTCAGCCTCAGAAGCAGCCTTCTCCGCAGCCTTCTTCTCTGCTTTCCTCTTATTCTTTAACTCTTTCGACATTGTTCGTGCTGCTATCGTGAATCCAAATCGGACAAGTACTGATAGAAGTATGAAACGCCGATGCGGTGCTGAGAAGAATGAAGTGATCTAATGCACATACTTATACAACTCCCTACGATTGATCACAGCGCTTGTCCTGGGTCACTTGTCCAGAAGCTGCAACGCTGCACAAGCTCACATGCTGCTTGCTCTATCTCAAGAGGTCATCATGGTTTGGAAAACTAATCAGATATTATTTGCTGTTGGAGCACGCGTCATGATTCCAGCAACTCGATTTGAACTCACGAGCTTGGCTTGAAACCAAGGCGTGACGGATAATCAAGGTATTGTGATATGTCTGTAGAGTTGGAGCTGCGTCGTGCCTCAATGCAAATATAAGTTGTGGTATGTCGATGAATTAGCGGACATATAGGAGGGATTCCAAGTAGAACCACTATGATAGCTGCGAATTGAGAGTACCAGTTCCTGCCATATTGAGGAATATGTTGACTGGCATGTTTAACAATCTACATTGGTCAATCGTGATCTCAACGAAGAGTAAGAGAAACTTACTAGTTTTCTACATTATCAACGGACGGGGTATCGATACACTGCGTCCATCTTATGCCATGACACTTCCAAGCACGTATAACGTCTTCAAAGTTGTTCCGCAATCCACTGCCACCACTTCTCTACATCACCGCCCTCCTTGCCTGCGATAACATTACCCCCAATCACATCTACACTCGTTCCACTCTCCCTCATCTGCTCAAACGTGAACGCGCCTTCGCCACCCTCGCCAAGCCATTCTTTCTCTTCGTCAACCTCGTCCTCACCTCCACTCAGCGCCGCACCTGCATCACGGAGCGCCTTCGCCCTGTTAGCCCTGACTTCCGTGATGGTTTTCTCAAGCGAAGTCTTGACAAGGTTCGGGGGCAGCGCAGTGAACAGGTCCATCTTATTTGCTGCAACCAGGACAGGAATTTCTTTTGGTCCTTTGCTTGTTGCAGCGTTGGTGTAGCGTTTTTGCAGCGATAGAAGGACGTCATGAAGGTACTCTCCTGCCTCGTTCAACCCGGCTTCATCGCCCAGCTGGGCAGCGTCGACAAAGAAGATTATAGCACGGATGCTCTTAGGGTCGGCTAGCTGGGCGGTGGCATAGTGTCTGAGCTTGCCGTGGCCGGGTGTGTCAAGGAGAAGGAAGTTGCGGGAGCGCTCGAAGGCTGGGTCGCCTGGTGAGCGGTAGTGTGAAGATGCGGGGACGTGTGGGCTCGGGAGGATAGCGGAGACGGTGAGAGGGGTAGTGGAGGTGTGCGTCTGCGTCGTAGCATTGCGCTCGGCCTAGTAGTTGTTAGACGTTACAAGGCGCACTGTTTTAGGGGACTTGTTACCAATGTCGTAAAGGCCGTCTTTCCACTGCCACTTGGTCCAACGAGCAACAAGGTAGGCTGTTGCGCAGCCGCAGCTGCCTTTTTGTACAGAATGGTGTGTATTATTATCGGCAGGCCAATCGCGACAATGAAGGTGATGAGTATGGTGAGAGGGTTCGGGGAGAAAGCGGCCGTGAGCCAGCTGTCCTGGTCGTACCACGCCATCGAAGCTGAGATGCGTTGAACAAAGCGCCGGGTGCGCGATGTTATGGGATTGACGGATTAGGTGCCTGTGAAAGCGGCGTCGGGGTCAGGGCGCTTTCAGGGTGACGCGTGGGTGTAGCGATGACGTGACACCTTTCAGGATCAAAGTTTTGGGCCACGTCCCCCGAGTCAGTCAGGGAGTGAGGCCTGAGCCGCGGGGAAGGCGGGAACACGTCCGACGGCAAGAGCTTAAGAGAACCTCATGTTTGCTATTCTTCGCCCTTCTCCTCGTCTTTGACCATTTCCTCCAACTTCTTGTGAGGCTACCATATCAGCCTACATAACGCTTGCGCAATGCAGAAGTACGGCAAGGCTCGCGTCTGGCAGCGCCGCCCTGACTCGCGCAACATCACAAAGAGAGTGGTGCACATGATGGGAAACGAGAAGGGCCGCCTGCATTGGACAACTATCACACGCTTTTAAGGCACTACATAATCATACAATAGACAAGGGGCCGCCACCATTAGCTTTCCCGTGTGTCGTACATCTCCCATCCAGTTCGTGACTGTGCCACAGAGTTGCTTGTCGCAACCCTAACCTGACAAATTCATACTCCCTAACCGACATTGCAGTTCCCTTGTGTGCGCCTTCAATCCTGCTGAAACATACCCGTGTACACCATCCTTAGTCGTGACCCATTACTCATACAACCATGATCAACTGTCGCTGCAAGCCCGCAGTGGCAAATGCTGAGGGGCATAGGCCATAACGTACCAGGCAGGGATAGCATGAAGGGGAAGAGCGTGACCATCGACCTTTTGATCCCACGTGCGCCATGCAACATGCGTTCGCATTCATAACTCGTAGCGTGCGCCCATAACCTAACACCATCTGTACGTCTCGTAATGCGTAAGAAGGCCCATCATAGACCAAAACTTTAAGAAGAAGAAGAAGAAGAAGAAGAAGAAGAAGAAGAAGAAGAAAAAAGACTGTATGAAAACGACATGCAAGAAACTAGACTTCATCCAGGTCCTGCAAAACAGGACACTGACAAGCCGTGGCAGGGTGTAGGGTTAAATATGCTGTGGGATGACAAATGGAAAAACGGAACGCAGTGAAGCAGGCTAGCAATTTGCGACACACGAGATGCCTTGCAGCTGAGTGCATGGTCGGCTGAGGTTCCGCGGAGACGGATATTGGGGGTGGCTCCTCCAGATGCAGACCAACATCAGAGTTCCGCTGCGGCAAACATACTTAAGGCCTACGATATAGCCTTTGTTGTGCGATTTGTGATACATCGCTTTGTGCACCATCCTTGCCTTGTCATGCGGTACCGGCCCGTGTGTCTTTCGTTCAGGAAGTGATGTAAGTATGGGGGGCCGTTAGTGTTCGTGTTGGCCAAGGATCAAGTACAGTAACAATGACAAAGCCGCCGCAGAACCGAGAAGTTTATCGTGAAGCACTCCAAAGCGATCGTCGATAGCGAAGGATATTCGCCTGTCTATGCGGAACCAAGTCTTGTTGACTTCGATTCTTATATGCAGCGGGCTCAAATTCCCGTTGAGCCGGCCAACCATTTTCTTGACAGCTATGACGGCGGCAAGATGTGTGCGCATCAATAGGTATGAGCTTGTACGTCCGGATAGTATCCGCGACTACTTTCCATTCCTTGAAATCTACCACAGCCTCCAAGATGCCAGCCAGCAGTGGGGTACTCATCCTTGATCCTGCGATCGGGAGGGGGTAATGTGCTTTCAAGCTTGGGTGGTATCGGCTCGTAGATGGAGGCAGGATAGTAAGAGTAATCCTGGGGAGCATCCATCATCTTCGCGTCATCGTCTTCGGTCATATGGTTTTCGCCAGTGATGCCTTCAACAGGGCCTCCACTCAGAGAGCTCGCTGAACTAACTGAATGGCTGCCGACAGGGCTTGGGTCGAGGGAGTATGTATTGCCACGATACATGCTACTGCCCATCCCAGTTGCGCTACCACCTGACAAGCCGGTGGTCCAGGGCGAATAAGATGGTCGGCCAGTTGAGCCTAGTCCGTGATGACCACCTCCACCCAGGCCAGAACCAGGGGCTCCTCTCGAAGTACCGGCATTGTGGGGGCCCTCATTCTGGTAATGACTAGGCGATCTTCCACGCACAACGACTGGGGAAGACATCCGAGCTGCAACCTTTATCCATTTGGGCTCAGCTTCTCTAGGGGCCTGCACGTTCGCCCACAACTCCACAATCAGGTGGTAGTATTGCTGTTGGGCCCGACGTTTTCCATTGTTTGCCGTCGCTGACTTGAATTGTATACGTTCGAACGAATGTTGATAGTTGCTGCTGGCGTGGCTCGTGGGAGAATATTGCTGTGACGAGTCGCTATCGCTTTGCAAAGGGAGCTGAGGACCTGCGACGATCGAGGTCTGATGGAAGTTGCTCAGCCCATATCCGCCGTGTTCATGGCTTTTCCCTGGAGGCGTTGGTGCTAGTAGTTCCTTCTTCATTGGCAGCTGCGGGCCCTTATCGCGCTTCGGTGTATGCTGGATCAACTCGATAGTCTTGCCCGTAGCACCATCCACAGCAGCAGCGAGAGATACAGCCATGGATTGTATCTGCTGAGCCGTCTTATTGGGCTGTTCAAGATACAAGCGTGCATTGGCAATCCACGGCGAAAGTTGGAACGATACGTTGACCGAAAAATAATTCCTCCTGTAACAAGTCCATACGCGATCACCAGAATAGAAGAATCCCTTTTCAATCTTGGCGTCGATACTCGGTGTCACCGCGTTACCTTCACAGGTGATGTTGGCCAGTGTCTCTTGCGTGTTGAAGGGGGGCGTTTCGGGTGAGCCTGCAGTTGTGGTATACGTAGTGGCATAGGCACCATTGTAAGTCAAAGGCATAGTAGTTGTATGTACGCTTCTAGGAGTGTCGGGCTGGGTGTTGTATCGAGGTAGATCTGAGCGAGGAGACAGAGCGTTGGAATATCTAGGCACACCAGGTGTTCCGGTTGTATAATTGTCCCTAGCCGACGAACCCATGGATGGTGATACAGAATGGCCTAGCCCTGGTGATCTTGCCGGAGGTAACATTGCCGACGATGAGGCATCATTTCTATTGTGTAGCTGTCAGCTGTCATGCATTGCCTCGGGTTCTACACGCACGAGTGCGCCACAGAAGATACCTACAGTCGTCGAGTTGAAGACATGCTGCCGTACCCACACGCAGCGCTGAAGTAAGTACCTGGCACGGAATAGTGAGTTGGATAGTTGGTGGCCAAAGTCGACGAGTATGAAGGGTAGGAAGTATAAGCTAGTGCCGACGAGGCGTTGGAGCTAGGCGATGTAGAAATGGAGCCTGATCCTGAGTCCGATAGAGCCGCACTCGACTGATAGCTGTAGACATAGGTCAGTCAAACTCGCAAAACAAAGCTATTCGGCCAAAGTGATGCCAACGACAACGATGTGTAACCAAGAGTAGAGTGGCACGGTATAAGTCGTCAACCAGTTCCAGGGGCGGTACGGCATTGCCGCTAGGCTTGTCGTGTGATCAATGTGACAGACCGACCTGTTGGGAAGACCGAGTGCGCCATGCATCCGGAACGTGTGCGACGACAAGTATGATGAAGGACATTGACTACGTGTTTGTTTCGGGGTAGGAGAGGCCTGAGCTTGGGCTGCACCAGGCGAGAGAGGCGTCGAGGGATGCACGCTGGGGGCCACAAGGCTAGGCAGCACCACGGAGCCTACCATGCCAGCCCGGGAAGACAAGGACCAATGAGAGTGTTTACTTACGCACTGTCGGGACGATGTGAACCGTAACGGCCTGTAATCGAGGCCTGGTGGATACCGGTCGCAGTATGTGCTAGGACCCCGTCGCGTCTTAGCTGATCGGGTACGCCTGCAAAGGAGTTATGATGTGCATGCGCGCCGATATGATCCAAGCAGTCCTGCTCCGAAGAGAAAGGGTTTTCCGGTGCCAGTGGCAGCGGTGATTGCAGCACTGCTTATCCTGCACGTCAGCCAATCAACTTGAGCTAGCCGGTGTGCTGTTGAACAAGACGTGTGACAATAACGAACAACGTGCACGGATGCCGCGATAGAGAGCAACAAAAGATGCGCGTGGGACGTGGTTGCACAAGCGGCACCACAATCGGGTGGCAGAACAAGCGTGCAAAACGCACTACAGGGACAGGAACGAATGAGGGCCCGCTGCGTGCTGCAGAAATCAAAAGGGAGAAGGCTGATGCACACGCTGTGTTGTGGTGTAATATAGGAGTGGACGCGGGGAGAATGTTGGTCTGGAAAGAGTGCGGAGAAGGGCGCCAGTTTATGGCTGAAGGTGCAGCGCTTGGAGCGAGCGACTTGGGTTTTGAGGATTCGTGTATTTTGCAGGACATGGATTGCAAATACTTCGGAATCTGACTTACCTTGATTCATTGCAGCAACAACCAGTAATGTACCGTTATCCCGCTGAGATCTGTCACGGCGCCTTGTGAAGATGCGACAGCCCTTACGAGAGACTGGATCTCACGCCTGATTCTGCCGCTCTACGCAGTAATTCCGACAGTCTGGGTCGACTTCGATGGCGCCGGCAGTGGCGAAAGGATTCGCTGCTGACAGACTTCCGCTGCGGCCGAACTGCTTTGCGCCGTCGCTCAAGACGCGGATTCGACCGGGCGAGTCAGTGTTTCGCGTAGCGATTGCGATGCTACGCTTCGGGGTGCCGAGCCAAGCGTCGAAGGGATGCTGAAAGGGGATGGTGGTGAAGGCCGTCGACTCGTCTAATCCCGCTGTTGGTTCGCTTGAGAAGCAATCTGGGGGGTTTAGCCGGCACAAGGGCGGGATCCTCGATTAGCTGCCGCTGCGCTTCGCTGGGGGGCTAGGCTCCGTTAATGCTGATGTTCGGCCTGGGGGAAATGCGGCTATTGCCAGCAGGCACAGTAATGCGTATATTCAGCAATGCTGAAATTATGGTGAGCTCCCGGTTGGCTCGGGTAGGCTGATAACTCAGCGCGTATATCTATCATAGAGGTTAGCGGATAGGCGCGTCATGGTGGTGATGGTGGTAGAAACTTGGTGAGTAAACTGACAGTTTTGAGGTCGAAAAAGGTGCGATCCAATGTGCATTGATGTCACCTACGGCGACTGCGCAACACCTTAAACCCTGGAGATATAACGGCTCGTCTACGCAGAGCGAAGAGGCCCGCAGCTGCGCTTTGCTTCTTCCCGCACTCTACACAGATCTGGAATCTCGAATCCTGCGCACAGACAGGTACGGATAGCGGCCTTGTCGTTGCGTACCTGATATCTGGCTGCGACGTAGGCGGTGTAGGCGCGTCTCTGACGTCGCAGTACTGCGATCTGTCAGTCTCGCAATATCGACCGAGGGTAATGTCGCAATGAGAGTGGAGCTTACAGGGTCCTGCTGCAGTCTTCCAAATAAAATGATGTGGCGCCGACTGATATTCGATCGTGGCGGCTTCGACGAGGATGCTGACCCGTCGTCGGATACTGGGTATACGCACACCGGGTTCGTGGATGCGCTCGACAGACACACGTCGTTGTCTGCCTTAGGATTGAAAGTCTTGAGTACAACCACAAGTGATAAGTCGAGTACTGTCAAGATGTTGCAGTAGATGTGAGCCTGGGTCAGTACATCGAAGATTCGTACGGTGAAGGGGCCGAAGCATATATGCACCGTGCCCTCTATCGAAATTTGATCTCCTGCTCTCAGACTGTTGCACAAGCTCGCCAGGGCTCACCACCCCCGTGATCTGTGAGGTTGGTAGTCTACCGGCGTGTGGTCTCGAAACAATGACTTGAAAACTGCTGGGAATAGTGGGTCCAGGGCAGGGACTAACGGCAAGCGATGAATGAAGTGGGAGGGTCCAACGACACGGACAGCCGTCGAATAAGGATGAGCATACAGAAAGTGGACAGTAGAAGTACAGTTGACAGACAGGAAACGCTACAGCTCGATACAGGGTAGAATTTGACTAGGGTGAGGACGGACTTGTTGGCTCAAAGGAGAAGTGCCTACCAGATGAGTATAGCCTCGAAGCATGGTTAGCATGCTGAATCAAGATTCAGCCCCAACGCAAATGATCCGTACTGCTCAGGCCATGGCCGTTTTCTAGCACCACGGTAGTATTGGCAAGCTGCAGAAGCGAGCCTTTCCTAATAGAGAATCTATACATCTCCGATGTTAGGGAAGATCAATTCGCCCTGATGCCTAGGCTTACGTCTTTCGAATAGTCGATGAGATTCGCACTCCATTCCCTCATGGGAACGCAGGCCCTACTACCTCGCGGGACCATGACCCACCTACATGCCGCACATCGACTGGCTCGCCCGGTAAAGACATCACAGTCCCGTGCGGCGATGCAGGAACATTGACCACGACACCACTCTCGAAATGGGGGCCGACTTGACACGGCAGCAGAGCAACCAGACTGGCGGGTCGTTGATGTTTCATCTCGATCAGCCGCTCAGAATAACCCATGAAGCGAACGGATGATCATAGTTTGCTCTGGTCATGGCTCTGCTAGATTGGACTATCAGTCACGGGCGGCGTCCAGTCAGCAGCAGATGGCGAAAGGGCCAAGACCCGGCGTAGCTAGCAGCGCCACGGGCCGGCAACCGTTGGCAGACGACAGGTCGTCCCGCAGATGGACAGTGAAAGAGGAAACTAGAGGCACGAAGGGTTGGGCTCGAGGCCGTTACCTGTCACAGAAACGAGCGCGACGGCACTACTTGGCTTCGAGGGGCCGGTTTGACGTGATTGTTGGCGACGAGGGAAAGCAACCACATACAGGCGCCACGGCCAGCGAGCGATGCGCAGATGTTGCATCGCCTCGAGGTTTGGGTTAGAGCACTATCAGCGCCATGATCCGGGCTCCCATCTGCCCCCAAGCACACGGCGACCCGACACTGTGGTAGATGCGCAATGCTCCGAAAGAGGGCACAGCCAGTCAACGACGCCGCTGTCTGCAGAAGGTCGCCTTTTCTCGGCGGCTGCTGTCAAGCGACGATATGGACGCGGCGAACGGCATTTCGAGTCCAGGGTCTCAGGCCAGGTGATGAACGGTGTGGATGGCGAGAAGCGACGAGTCTGCGGCGGCTCCGTTGCGCGTAGTCGAGATGGGACGCGATACAGGATCGATGGCCCACGGAGGAAGGAGGGATGGGGCCTGGCAGGGGATTGGGAAAGAGCGCCCGGTGACGTGCAGCTTCGCCCGGGTATTCCTCCCTCACCTGCGGTTGCGCCTTACTGCTCTGGACTCTAGCACGTCTTGGCAGCTTCCCTTTGCAGCTCGCACTCCCCAAACCTCCCAATCCACCATCATCACGACGCCAGCATCCAACACCGCACCAACGTCGTTGTTCGTAAAGTCCTTGTGAGCCTCAGCGATGATACACGCGGGCAAGGTGACATGCCATTCCTGAGCCTCCCCATGCTCATGTGCATCGCACGTTGCGGCCGGCTACCGAGCGCCCGGGGCTGACGCACGACAACCACCTGGTGCTTCGCAATGCATTCCTTGCCTCTCAAAGAGTAGTTCATATCGAACTTGAGCCAATCGCTACCACGCCATCAGCCTTTTCTTAGCGGGCGAAGAAGGCCGTCTGGCTTGCTGCAGAAGCTAAGATGAGACTGACCCAGGCGCATTCCTTTGACCTCTAAGCCAGGACTATCATCTGACGCGTCTCTATTACAGGTTGATGGAGCAGGCTTTTCGCTTAGTTCTTTGAGCGTCTCACCGCACTTTGTGCCTAACCCGTGGTGCTTTCGGTACCGGCCATACCATTCCACTGCACCCACGCACGACAGCCGTTGAAGTGTAGATGTAGATGGTGGCTGTGCGAACTTACGGGATCGCCCCTTGAGGTAGTGTTGCATGCAATCTTGAGGTCACGAAGCACTCGACTGCCCTGCAAGGCATCTGTTGGCGATGCACAATGAGCTGCAGCCTCCCGCACCCCCCGTGACGGCGATGATCGGCTGTCAAGCAGTCTTCGTAATCGATAGAATCATGGCGACCCGCAGCCGCCCCAAATGTACTATCGGGAAGATCAGGAACTGTTGCGGGCCCTTCTGTGCTGTCTCAGCCGACTCAAAGTAGCCTGGAGGCTGCATGATCGCCAGGCTGTCGCAGCAGCTGTCTGCCGATTATTGCGTATGGCATGTTACACTAGGACTACTTATTTCGGGTCTCCTGGTCAACTGATCGTCAAGAAACATCGATGTGACGCAGTGTCTAGAAAGCAGAATCGTCTGTTCATTGCGGTACGGCCCGTCGAAGTTGAAGGGAATTCTTGAACACACACTGCCCTTTCAACCGACCAGGCTACAGCAAATAGTTTGTTCACTGAACTAGTCGCTGGACTATTCACTCAGGTCCAGCTTCCTGGCTGTCGGGCGAAGACAGCACCCGAGCGGAACATTAGTCTTTTAATCTGACGCCGACGGCGGCGAGAGCGATCGCGATCGATGAAAGGCGTATACCCTCCAATCCATTGACACATCTCAAAGTCTGGTCATCTTTTTGGGGTTGTTTCTGCTGATGGAGCTACTGCGAGCTCACACGCCTCGCTGCTGTTCTTGCGCATACCAAATCGCCCATCCCTTGCTCAAGGGAAGACGGGATATGCTAGCATGGCTCTGACTCTCGGTGATTCCATTCACAGATCGCCTATACCAGGACACATGAGGCTATAATGGGCTTTCACTTATAGTATGGCAATTAGTGCTGCGGCGCGAACGGTCCGTTGTTTGCCGTTCGAGGACTCGCACAACGGATCCAGTGCAACTGTTGAAGAAGCACAGCTTTACGCCAGCGGAGTTTTGAGTCACGGAGAAATACCGTAGAGCCTAATCTGACTCAGCTCCCGAATATGTGCAAGTTGTAATTGGAACTTTTTGCTAAGTTTGTCCATATCTGCTGAACTGGCACTCTCAATGGTGTTTGTTCCGCAGTAGGTACATGCTCCGGGGAAGCTGGTACCCTATGCTTTTTCAAGAATCACCAGTAGACAAGTGCTGCTGGTAACTCTGCGATCAGTGGTTGAAAATCCACTAATATTGCACTTAGCTTCGAAAGCAGCTGCATGGTCCGGTACCGAGCTGTTGGCCTTGTCCGGCGCGGCCGATGGCATCCACGGACAACTACAACAACAACAACGAAACGGACCACCAATCGGCGCAAGGACATTATCTGACTAGCCTTGCTAGCCATTCAGTTCTTTGACAAAGAACCTATCGACCTCCGGCTGTGACCTCGTTTTGGTCTGCGCTCTACTCAGGCGTGTGGCTAGTGCGCAGACCTAGTGAATGCACATAATTCTCCGACCCTGACATGCGTCAGCCCAAATCTTACGTCAAAGCAAACCCTGAACCAACCAAACTTCATGGATCCATCATCCAAAAACATGAAGCCGTATTCTTTCCATGTGCATGTGAACGATATGCACACAGCCTTTGAGCGACAATTCGGTCAGTCTCCGAGATCGACGGTACAACGACACCGCCGAATTGTATCAAAGCCACGGATAGCCCACGAACTATTGGTCTGTGCAGATGTCGTGGAATCAAACGATACGGCTGTGGATGAATACAGCTTCTAACTTACCGGATCAGGATGCTACCAATCAAGGCTGTTTGTATGCAGAGTGACTAACCACACACTACGTTGTGATTACACGTCTAAGCCCAAGGCGTCTCCTTAGCGGGATCACAGCGCGAGCATCGTCACAAGAGACGCCCTCTGTCCACCGAAATGTCAAACTTTTGTAGACCATAATCCGGGGACGGGCAATCAACAACGCCACAGTTGCGCGACATGTGAATGCCGTATTGATTTCACGACGCCAACCCCGCTTCGAACAAGCTCCACAATCTGTCTGAAAACAACTTGATGATCAATAGTGCCCATACATCCTCGATGTGGTTAATTTGTCTCTTGGCCAGTGCGCCAATCACGAAGTTGTTGTTCGATGTCTCTGGCGTCCAGTAACTATTGTTAACCACAGTTGAGCCAGGACTAAACGAACTTCCGCCCCTGAATGCTGCATGTTTTCTGTAACTTGAGGCAGCTGGGCACGACAGTTGGCATCGGACATACCCACGAAGTGAGTCTTCGTAATCCTTCCCTGTTCAGGCTGGCTGAGCCATCAACATGGGACTGCTAAGACAAGCAATAACTGAATATCGACCGATGATACTGTTCGAAGGTAGCGTTTGGGTTTGAAATTGATTCCAAGCTGCTGCTCATTCAGGACGACCAGTGTACAGCTTGTCGAGCCGCCGGGTCAAGTTCAAATCCATGAGCGTATGGCCCTAGATTAATGCTTTGAGGACTTCGGACTCTTCGTAATGATGCTTTTTGAATTTCGTCCCGCAAATCGCAGTTGCGTCGTGCACCCAGCTCCGCAGTTCGGCTCCGCAGTCACTGACATGCCATTCACCGAAAACTTGCGCAGGATCTCGTCATACTCATTCTCGTGTCCGATCAACTGACGGCTTCCACGGCAAAGATGCCTAGCGGAACAGTCTTCGGGTACTCAACCCTTGGGATAACTGGATCGGCCAAGTCTTCCTACATTGGGAAATGGGGTGGACAAACATCTCCTCAGCACATCTTCACGCGCGCAATCACGGGTGTATCATCCTATAGCATGACCGCAGAAATCCTGTTTCTCGTACCATGGAGGCCTCGAGATGCGCTGATCGGATGATTCTTGCTATATCCTTTCATTCAAAAGGTGGGTGACGGAGCGGCGCTGCTCGTAAGACTAGTGTTGAGGCCTGCTCTAACTAGCTACTGTCGTGACAACAACCACTGGCGCTACTTTCACGACATGCATGCAGGGTCGGAAGAAGTATACAAAGATAGTCAGGACCAGCAATCCTCAGCCACCCCTACCCTTCTTGAGACGCAAGCCCCGAAAAGAACACATCATACCGATGAACGCTATTGCTGCAAGTATAGTGTCGCTGAGTTACCGATCGACCAACGGCTGCCGCAGCTGTGTCTTATTCCAAGGGAGGGGTCAAGAGAGCCTCGATTTCGGGGTTTCCGTGTTGCCCCTGCGATTTAGGGGGATGAAGAGAGAATCGTGTCGCTCCCCTTATCTCAAGGGATGATCACGAGGTTGAGCTGAAATTTTGAGGCTACAGCAGATCGCTTCTTCTTATACGGAGAGTATACTAACATGTATGTTAGAGATTAATGACGCTTCTGATGGTCGAGTACCCTCGCCAATCTTGTAGTATCGTGGAGCTGTTATTGTGCCATGTTGAACATGCGCTATGTCAATAGTCTCACGCCGCTCTTTCGGAGCAAAACGCCTATTGCTGCCTGGCAAAACAACACACAATGAATATCCAAGCATAGAGCTCAACTCGAGTGTTGACAGGATCTTTTTCTTCCATGTTTGTTTCCTGCTTTCTTATAACAAATTTGCTACTGATCGACTGCAGAGACATCTGAACGAAGTAGGAAGACTGACTTTCGTGATCGGACTGGAAAGCAAGTATCCGCATTGAAACGATTCCACAAGCCTCTTTCGTTACTCTCTTGCACATCACTATTAAAGAAACCAGTGTTGACCTATTGAATCAATAGAAGAACAACGGTCTTGCTCAACCTAGATAGCTAAACGTACTAGCTAAACGCGACCCATTCAACAGGCACTCGGTCGGTGCGCATATCGCAACACGACCGTCCGAAGTCCAGCTGAGATGCTCGAATTTGTTTCCGAGTTCGATACTCCCACGTTTCTGTCCACACATCTCCACCATATCATCTCCCTGTCTTGGTAGGGTAGACGAGGCTGGATGGAATCAATGCGACTCCTAGTCCGTGCCCACGATGTGTACAGGATGAGATGCCTTGTATCTCAGGAATACATGCACGAATCATTGGTAAGATCACTTCACACCCACACCAAAGAAAAGATCGGATCTTTTTCGCGAGACTGAGGTTAAGCCGAGCCCACCATCGCGAAGCAGAAATCTGATATGTGGCTGGAGGAATTTCTCTCGTAAGGGAGAAGCACACTCATGGAATTCGCGTTGTGTATAAGGATAGCTTAACGTCTCGCTCTTTGATACGCAAGTGAGTGTTATTCTGATTTGACCGCGGTCACTATACCAACATTTACATATCACATATAATCTTCTATCAACCATTCAATATATGGGTTTGAATCAGCATCAAGACTTGCATCCTAACTCCTCTTTCGTTCACCCTTACCATTCGCAACATGCATCACTCGGGCCCCACAGTCTCGGATAAACGCTAGCATCAGGCAAGGCTCATACTAGAACAATGTTTTGCTTGACCTGATTTCCCAACCACCTCTCTACTTCCGCTGACTGACATGTCCTAACCTCGCACTCGCAGGTCCCCTTTCGCATGTATTTCTCTCCACATGGTTCAACGAGAATGAAAGTGAAACATATTCTAGTCGAGTACCTGTCGACGGTGAAGACACACATCACTGATGACACCTCCTCGGCTTCGGCCTCCGGATCATCCCAACGTATAGCCCAACACATCTTCGATTCCCACTTAAGGTACGTGAAGGGAAGAATGAGCAAGTGCCTGCGCCCCTCGTATTCTCCTTCATGTTCTACAGGTAGTTGGACAATGTACGCTGTCAGAAAGAGGTCTTGTGATACTTCCGAACCTCTTGTATTATTGTACTGACGATCACATAGTTCCCAGAATGCCGGTAGGCTCGTCGCCGATAGCGGATACTGGTTTTGGTTGAATGTTATCCCAGTTCTTTCCCACGCCAGGGGCGACCAACTTGGGAAGCCGTAACGCCGTCTAGCGCTCGATCCCGAAGTCCTCCAATAGAGGCACAGACGAAAGTCAGTCGCTCTGTTGCAGCGTGAGCTTCTTCCAAACGGAACACCCCAGAAACTGCCTATCGGGTCGTTCTCGGTGCGAAGGAATTTCAAAATACCCAATATAGCGTTCAAAGCATCTGACTGGAAGCTGAGACTACGAAGTGAAAAAACATTGAGCAGGCCCGTTCCCCTACTCAACCCATGATTAGTCGAATGCGGCACGGTATGTTCAAGATGTTCTATCTCTGGGTCGAGACCGATAACGTCGTTGTCACACTTAGTGAACTCTTTGCATATGAATAGCATATCGTAGGGCGTAAAATAAAGTCTTCTTCTGGAAAGATATCCTTCTTGGAGAGTCCTGGAACGTTAGCATCAGGTTCTGAAGCACACCTTCCTGCTAGGTTCAATATATCACTCACCATGCACGATTCGACCACTTTGATTTAGCGATGTGACGACCCACAGGATCTGGTTCCAATGTTACGGTAATAGAGTCGATGGTGACGACTAAGTCAGATAACTTTCGTTCCCGTCCTACACCGGGTAAACCGTACGCGCAGTCTTCGCCAGCCGCTGCAATCAAGGTGATCTGAGCTGAGGCATATATAACATCCATTTGCTGAATCTGAATATGCTTGTCGCTGGAATCCTGCTGGTGCACACACTAAAGTGGCAATTAGCTGAAACGATGGTCTGGAACGAGAAAGACATTGAGACGTACGTATTTGTCCACCCAAAGGTATCGATAACCAAGACGCCGCGTAGCAGTAATACTATCTTCTATCGTAGCCGGTAGCTTAGTTGGTAACTTGGAAGTTTCTTGCAGCAACATGTTTCCGGCTTCGCCCCACACGTAAGATAATGCCACATATTGGCAGTCGTCTGGCGCTGGAATAACGATGCTCTGGAAACAATCAATGACTCTGAGATCGCGCAATGGTCGCTGTTGCTCTAAATGACAGAGATCATGGGATTCTGCACAACGACCAATCCAGCTTCTGACTAAGTCGAGATCACACATCGGGGAACAGAACTCAGCAGTGTCATAGTGATTGGCTCCAATGGCTAGTTCCAGACCAGGAAGAGACGTCCACAGAGCCTCATTGTCGAATCCATACTCATTTTCGAATGCATACTCGAAACTTCCCCAGATATTGTCACACCGAGACCATTTTATGGAGGATGCTTCTAATTCAAGCGTACTTAGTCCCTGGTCGTAACAGGCTCCTTCTCTTTCATAGATTGCTGTTCCTATCAATCGACAAAGTGCGCAAAATGAAATCGTTAATGCCCGAACGCTACAGTTTACTTTGACAACCACTTCTTCGTACTCTGTTGGGTACGAAACTTCGCTGGCCATCTCCGATGACACCATGATCAGTCTTTCTGCGAGGCGGACTTCCTCCTCACCGGTCAAATATCTTTGTATCGCTGAACACATATCCACGCATCGTTCACAGAAAGTGGGATCCGAAGCGTCCTCGAATCCCTTGCGTTCATGGTCCATCGCAGGAGGCGCCTCTACTATCCAGAAGATGCAATGTCAAGCAGCAAAGACGGTGTACCATAGGAGAGAGTTGGATCTGTGTCGTAGCATCGCGCGCCGTCATGAATGGGGAAGAAGGTCTTGGAAATTTCACAAATTTATGAGGCACCGAAGAGGAATTAAGATCAGACAAAATGTTGTAGCTTGGAGGGCAGGCTGGCAACTGAGGAGGCATTAGGCTACAGCCTACGAAGACCGATAGGCGTAAGTCCACGTGATTCTTATCTTGCGCTTCTCATTGGTTTGATGCCTTTTCCCTGTGGCGAACACCTACGACGTATAACGCATACCTTTCGTCTGCTTTCCCAAGGTCGAATATCTTAAAAGGAGCCGCGGACTGTCTGTTCGACTTGTGTGCGCCCGCTCTATGAAGACTCGCTTCCATTTTGGAGGAAATAGAACGTCCTGCTGTTCCTCCATATCGATGCATGGCAACAAGTTAGCGATATCGTGGTGTAGCACATAATAGTGTGGTTTGCAAGCTGCAAAAGACGAAAGCGTATCAGATAGAGACATGTTGATATTCTCAGTGCCTGACCTCGCCACTGGACCCTCATGCAGGTGGTAGGTTGAGAACAGTAGCTGGGCGGCAAGTGAGGAGTCCCTGTCTCCTTAGGTCTCCAGTGTACTAACCGGATTATGCCTGTATAGCGTACGCACTTCCCTGGCTCTCATCGGAGTATTTTCCGACGCACGTGTGCAAGAAGGGCCGACCCATGTTGACATGACAGATAGGAAGGAGTGGGTAGTTTGGTGGGTACGGAACGAAACTAGGTCAGCATGTCAGTCGGAGCCATATCCACTTTTCTAGTCACGTCAATGCATGATCGAGGCACCACCCGTCTCTGGAGCAAACGTATTTCATTGACGACTTTTTGATCCCTTACGGGCAGGCTCTAGGCACACAAGTCCCGTAAGGTACACACACACCCTATCTCTAATCTATGCTTTCTCCTTTAAACAATAACACCTCGAAATGCAGTGAATGACGCGACAAACCCTTAAGGTTCAAGAAACAAGTTAACATATACACTGAAGCCAAATATGACCCACACGGTCTAATCTGCGCTGCACTCTCGTAAGGAATCCAGCCGATGGTCCCATGAAACTCTGCTTTGTGTTGTCGCCTGCATCTGGCGAGTTGTGTCTAATGCTTTTTTTTATGATAGGAAAGGAAATCGTAATTGCCGCCATATGTGGTCGTAACGCCTTACGTGCCAGTTGGTCGCAAGGTTGGCTCCGGAAACTCCGATGAGAATGCATAGCCCAGCTGAGTTCGACTTCTGCTGGGTAAAACTGCGAAAATTTTGTTGCTCTAGTGATTTTGGTACTTGATCGATGATGTAGACCTTGATGATATATTGATGATACTTTGTAGTGGAGCTGTACTGTGGCATGAGTACCACGTTTGGCTTTCTGTTGGGTTTGATGCTTGATGACCGTTTCTGGTGATGGAATTGAAATGAGCGATAGCGCTCAGAGCTCGTCGAGGGGCGTGAAAAGACGTTTCATGTTAAGCGTCAAGTCGGCAATAGCGTAGTCGTCGGCGATAGCAACCATGTCACCGATCTCGATGCCTTTCTGCGCGGAGTCTGATGCAATATAATGCCTGATCTGTTTCAGAAGATTGAATACATGTCGGCAGCGAACATCGGGAGGTGCAGCCCAGTCCTCTGGCCGAGACTGCCGCAGGAAAGCCTGAGCTAGGAAGTAGAAGTGGATTCCGTCTCGGCAGAATCCACGGCGACGCTGGTTCTGTGGAAACTGAGTGGCGAGATCCTTGTCCCAGCACGTCTTCCATAGCTGGAGCGCACCGACCGTCGAACGAAGGTTGTTTTGAACTTGTTCGTTGACCCCATTGGGTGGTGTGGCTGGACTGTCGCCTTGAGATTGAGGCGTGCTTGTACCGCTTGAACACACTCGCTGAAGCAGCTGATGCTGAATGTTGTAGATTTGGGCATGAATCGCGTGAATGAGTACTGGAGACGATGTTAGAATGCTGTTTTCAAGCGACAACAGTAGATACTTACTGAACTTTCCAAAGACATTAGTAGCCCGCTCAGGAAATTGACCCGGGCAGGCTCCATTGAGTACACATAATGCCTCGCGCATTGCTAGTTGCTTTGCGCGTCTGCTCCCTGATTCGTTGCTCATTTGCGCCGATGATCCTCTTAGACCCAAAGCACTGGCGCATTCTTCTGAAGTCTTCGCTTCCCAAGCTGCGTCATCTGCAGGCAAAGGCACTGTAATACTTTTGGCGTCAAATCTGGGCTGGGTGTTGAAGAATATGGTGGAAGAGGCATCAATGAGGTAGATGTATGCTGCCAATCGAGTTCGTTTTTCGTTCTCGATCCAAGCTTTCCAGTTCCATGAGTCGACCTCGGCGCCTGTGACTGGTCCTGGCTGATGCAACGCGCTCGCGTTCGGGTTGTCAGAAGAAAGAGGTTGGAACAGTGCTGCGCAACGTGTAACGCTGGCCACCCCCCGAACCTCGTCTCGCACTTGCTGGCGTTGTTGTTGAGACCCGTGCCAGAGGAACTGGGAATGTAGAAGAACCAGTGCTTGAATCTCTTCGGTAGTCGCTGTCAGCTCCTGATTCAAGTCGGCCATCTGGTGCGCTTGCGCTAATTCGTAGACGTGACTAGATTTCAGCATACTCTCCCGAACACGATCCATCAGCCATCGAACATCCGAGGGGCGCATTCGGTCAGAGTACACGGCGCCAACACAGCACATGGCCAGAACAAGCCCATGGTTGGCGGAAAACGGATCAAATGTTGCAACGTGTATCAAGGGCCAGTGTGATTGATAGTGTCTGTATTGGTGTAGGAATTCCTTTACGTTGTCGCCAGTCAAGATATTTTTCAGTCTTTCGTAGGCGTGCGCCTCGTCTGAGTGTTGATTTGAAAGCAGAGACGCATTCGGAAAGCAAAAGTTCAAAAGTGATCCTGCCAGGGCGTGCAGAGGATCAGACGTGGATTGGCCAATGAACCAGTTGTCAAGCATCGGGGAAGAGTCGGCCAAACCCGGAACATGCGAGTACAGTCCAAACAAAGTATCATGTGGTGTATCATCTGAGGTCTAAAAGTTCCGGTCAGAACTGGGCCGATTTTTGAAAGGTTGGGCCACCTGCCGTACTGGAATTATTCATATCGCCGTTGAACGATCCGTTCCGCCACAGTGAGCCATCCTGGCCGTTGGGCATGCCATCCACGTTGGGCAGGGTCGAGACTCCTCCGTAGGAAGCAGGGTCGGCAGCCTCGCTCTTGACGGTCATGCCATTCTGCGCCATCGAACCATTTGTAGAGGCGTGGTCATAGTTGTAGTGGGAGTTTGGATCGGATCCGTTGGCAGTGGGCTGGGGCTGCTGTTGCTGTTGTTGCGCATAGCCATTGGGAACGCCATCCGGGCGGTAGTCGTTGAAGTTCATCCTGTTGTTCGCAAAGTCCATAGCCGACATGCTCCTGCGATGCGCGCTGTCCTCGACTCCGCTGCTAGGGCGCATCAAGCTGTTGGAACGAGATGTGCGCGCAGACATGGTCTGGTGATGGTTGGCAAGCGAAGGTAGGCTGTCGTTGAAGCCATTGCCGCCCATCGCAGGCATCTGAGGCAAACCCATAGTGTAACCTCCAGCATCAGCGTAAGACATAGAATTAGCACCAATGTGGTTAAGGTACGAGTTCTGGTCTGCGCCGCTGGGCTGCCTGTTCTTCTGCAAATGCTGCTGCGCGTGCTGGAGGTGGTTCGCGCCGGTTGGGTTGCCCCTTCGTATCGAGCACTTTTGGAAGTGGCGCTTAAGGATATCACTTCTGCTGAAGGTGTCCTTGCAGAGATGGCACTGGTAGGGTCGTTCACCGGTGTCTGTGGGACGTTAGAGGCGGAGCTTGATTGGATGGGAGATAAAACTTACGTCGCAGCAGATGGCGCTTGAGATGCTTCAGATGCAGGTACGTCTTGTTGCAGTGAGGACACTCATACTTGCCCTCGGCGTTCTTGGTAGCAGTAGTGGGCGTCTTGCCTGCAGCTGGCGCGGGCCTACCGGGGTGTGTAGGCAATACTCCGCGACGACCTTGCTGGCCGACGACGTGCACAGGCTCCGGCTCCTGGTTGGGGAGCACAGGAGGGTGGGCGTACATGGACGCGTGTCCCAATCCTCCCATGCCAGGAGGACCGCCTAGTTGGTGGCCGTTGGTATGCGCAGATGCTGTGGACAGCATAGGCGCCTGCGAATAGGCCGAAGACATAGGCAGGTACGAGCTCGGCGTGGGTTGGAGAGGTCGCAGCGGCGGGTGCTGCAGCGGTGGCATGGTGGAACTGCCATTGGCGGCAGAGGTCACAGGCGTGTGCGGCGGCTGGGGCGTGTGAGGGTTGCTATTGTGGCCGTACAACGGGTACTGGCCGCCACTCTGCAGAGGCGGCAGTGTGGGCAGCTGGTTTTGAGAGCCATTGTACTGCTGTTGGCCTATTGATGGGTAGTTGCTAAGGCCAGGTTGGCGGAAGCGATCTGTAGAGTCCATGATGAAGTTGTTGGTGGGTCGAGGGTGAGTGAAGTGATGGGGAAGGCGCGACCAATTGTTGATCGTGAAGGGACCATTCGACGGAGCTTAGAGCGGAGTAACGTCTGCAAGGCTGGCTAAGCACACCACGAGGCCGTTAGACGGACGTCGGGATGGAGTAACGATGGGCCACGAAGAAGCTTTACAGGTGGAGCCGTGTGGGGGACTGAGATGGCCAGTCGATACGCGTCGGCGGGTACTCCACGGATGGGTGGAAATAGGAGCCCGCTGTGGGTGAGTTTGAGAGAAGATGGGTAAGAGGGGCAACGGTGTGGAATTGGAAGAGGTGACCGGTGACGATGGAATTCTCGTAGCTGGACTAGCAAGAAAGTTGCGGCGGTGGTTTGCCTGGCTCGCGCGGCAATTCACGCGAAGGGACAAGGGACCTGCTGCAGATCGGCGGCCCACACACCCTTCAGCCTCAGCCGATTGATTGCGGATAGACCAAGTGGAGAGCTGTAAGCACGAGACAGGTACGGTAGACCCACGACAGGAGTGAGGTCTGTTGGGGAGCTTTGGGGGAGGGGAGAAGGTGGCTCGGGGTAGAGATAGCGGTCGGCGAAAAAAATATGCGAGTGCTGCTGGGAGAACTTCCGCTTTCCGCACCACGTAATTCCTGTTTTGTTTCCGCGCTGCTGAATGCCGGAGCTTGCCGGACGTTGATAGTGAGCAGATATGGCTTGAAAAGAATTATGTGGGTGGGTGATTTCTGCGAGGAGGCAGGGGAGGCGGCGGACGCGCAAGAGATTTCTCTGAACAAGGTCTTGTCGCGGCAAGCGCGTCGGGATGCCTGTGCAGCGACGTTACAGAATTTAGGGCGGGAGTAGTAGGTGAAGACAGTGGGAGAGATGCAGGACCATCTCGAGACCCCGACTACCTATTTCCGACGCACACGTGATCACGAACTTTTAGACTTTTCGCATACGTGATGTTCCCTACTGTGTGCACTGCATTGGAGCGCGTATGCACCGCCCGTTGGAAAAAACTATTACCAATGACGACAGCCGTTCGTGTACTAGCGGACGAGTATCCAATTGCATGCACATGCACAGATGCCTTAGAATCCCAGTCTACGCGCTGGCCGGGCCCTTGAATCGTGCGCACCTCCGAAGGGTGTATGGAAGCGTATCATAGCCCTCGCAGCTGTGCCCCCGACCTCGTCCATTACCATGGTCCCAGGAGTTTCACGCACGCCACTGCCTAGCAATCGATAAGAGCAAGAGCCTCATTCTACATACTACGGTTGCCTGCCCCCGTCTTTGGCTGTTTCGAAGCTCATTTCCCAGACCCTGTAGTTCCCGTGGTACGTACCAGTTGCTCGTACGTACCGTCGGCGCACCCTTAGTCTGAGTGACTTGTCAGAGCCACCGGATCGGTAAGGCCAGCGAGCCAGGAGCGCAAGCAAGCAACTCATCCGAGCATCGACCCGACAAAGGCCGAGCTTCACTTCGCGTTGGCGGCTGTGGCTTGCTGGGGTGTTATATCCGTCTATGAAACCAAGCGCGTCCGGTGAGCTCCATGGATGTTTCTGCATCGCTCATCCAGCGTTTCCCATTGTCGCAGCACTCTGCTCGCCATTTCTCAAATGCTGGGACGCGGGCGGGAGCGGCTGGGCCAGAGGCATCTGGCAACCGCCGAGCTTGAGGTAAAAAGTTTCGTGAGCGTGACGTATGGCCGACCGGAAGCGGGCTAGCGTGCAACCAGGATTCCTAGACGGCAGATTGCAACGGCGTCCGCTAAATCTTCGGCTCGCCAGATCCTTCGGCTGTGCAACCCTCGAATGAAACCTCACGTCTTGAAACAGCTCTTCGAGAAGGATGCACTGGAAGGTCGAGGCGCCGGGGCATTCAAATCGAAACAACACATGCTGCAGCTCTACAGATAACTGCAATGCGCGACTTGTTGGCCGTGATCGCCCTAAGGCGAATCTTGTTGAATACCTCTCGTCCAGTCAGCTTACGTATCGCGACTTGTGACGCCGCTAGCGTCTTCTATCACGATGCCGCTCGGCCTCGTAGCTGACGGCCACTGACACTCAAAGCGGCATTCCGGATGCTGGTGCTGACTCGATTACACGCTCCAGAAGTGACACGCATCCAATGCTTGCCAACTCACTTCCTTCATAATTGTCCTGGCATCTGGCTAGTCCGCTCTTGTGCTGCCGTGCATATCCTGCATCCGTCTGCCTCTTCTCCAACGCGTAACATATTGTCAAGAGCTTCGTGTGCACAAAGGCCCTCCCGCGGTCTTCGCTTGAGAGCATCCGATCTTTGCGTTGCATGCTTGGCAAAGTACAACGCGACCTTTTGCGGAAGAAATTGCCGAGGCTTGCCAGCGACTGCACGGCGAGATGGTTGCAGAGAAATTTTCCTCGGCAAGCGGCATGCTGTCACAATGACTGATTGCGCGATACGTGTGGTTGAAGTCAGACGGGCGCCCTGGCTTACCAGAGTGCCGTTAGATCCAGATGAACCCAACCCCACGTGTTGTACACTATCCCACATCGCTCTTGTGTATCAGAACTTCCGGCATGCCAGCATTTCTTGCAGCTTGCGCCAGGCCGCCGACGCGACACCGTGCGCGCAATCGCTCTCAGGGTTCCGACGATACCGCTAGGCGTGCTAGGTGGCCGCAAAAACCCTCTCCGTACGCGCAATGCTCATGAAATACTCGCACTGCGAATACGCTCTGCATCGTGGAAGTTGGAATAAGCTCCAGTCCCACTTGCGGTTGCGCTCCCGAATCTGGGTGTGGATGATACCCGAAGGTGGGCATCAAAGTGGGCTGTCCGCTTGACGCGCTGCAGTGATTCCCAAGACGGCAAGACCAGCGACATACAGGCGGGATGTCTATGTCGTGCAGCAGGCTCTGACCCGCCAGGCGCGTCGTGGCTTGATCATCATGCACATGATGAGTTTCAACCTCCTGTCTTGTGAGGTCACGCCGCCGAGAGAAAGACCGGTGAGGCGTTGGGACAGGCTTCCGACGTCGAGATAGCGTGTTGGCCAAGTCATGGACGGGGGTCTTTGACCGGACGAATATGGTACTGTCCGCCGACTGGTGCAAGCGGATGTGCGGTTCCGATGCAAAGAAGGGCTTGGCTACGAGGTGCCTCCGACTCGTTACGAAGACAGTCCTGAAGGAGCAAGGCGACGTCTGGTACGCACCAAGGCGATGCTTCTAGCTGATACACGATAGTGAGATCATCGTGGTGTGTCTGGTAAGCTCCACAGCGATACCGCCGTTGTAGATATGCTTTTGCTCGTTAGTGCGACCTCGCACGAACGGCGGTACAATGCGGTACGCGCTCTGACATTGATCCCGTCTCTTTGTCTCGTCATAACTGCCTACGGGGCGATTCGTGTAATTCAGCTTGAGAGAGCCACTCAACGGGTGGTGTTGAGCTTTGGGGCGTGCCAGAGAAATTGTTTGACAAATTAGGTACGACGAGCCATTGTATGCTCAAGGTCATGGCTGTCTTGTTTGGGAGTACCGTAACACCGCATCATGGCACGTAAAAGAGTACCAATCGAGAAGGAACGCGGTATAAGTTGCAACGGTGTACTTCGCCTTGAACATTTATCTTATATCGGAAAGTTGGAAATAATTGCGGAGACGCATACCTGGGTCTAAGTATACTGGGTTGCGCTTCCTCCGACAGGGCTGTAAGCACTCAATTTTCGGGCAGCAAGACAACTAGTACTATGTGGTAATAGTCTACAATTCTCATCGTCATGTGATAAGAGGAGGTAGTGATTGCCATCTATTGAATATATCGACCTTGACGTCAGAGTTCCTGCGCAGCTTGACGGCGGCCTTGCAGCATCCTATACTCTTGCTGTGGTGATTCAACGTCAACTACACTACCAATACACTGAGCGGAGCGGGATGAGTTTTGTTTTCTGCTTCCCTGCAGCGGGAGCAACAGTATGCTACTGCATGTGGTGATCGTAGTGTTGCAACGATCTCGCATTTTGTGGTCCTCTCGGGCATGCTAAAAATCTTCCAAAAAGCACAACTACAGACGTGCGATACGCGCAACCATGCTCTAAGTGATCTGAGATACTCCTGTCTGGTGCTGTTCTTTCTAGTATACTTTTACCTGTCAGCGTTTGGTGATGCGTGAGATATGATTTTTTGTATGTTTGTGGTAGAGCTTTCTAGAAGCAAAAATGGAAGTTTCTTCGAACATCGTAATAGACATGAAGAATACACATAAACCAAGTGCCAACTTTCTTGAACCCATCGAAAAAATCCATGAGATCAATACGAGCAGTATCACAAGCCTTGCGCACCCGCTCCACTACGACTTTACAGACTCCACGAATACTCAACACTCGTGTCCCCCACAACATCCACTTACCAACTCGCGCCATGTCAGACTCCACCAATTTCGTCAACCAGGCAACCCCACAGAACTCCCAGGGCCAAGAAGCATCGGAATCGAACAAGACTCCACTACCCCTTCCAGCACCTACAGCAGAAGATGGTGTCACGCAAGTCAATGTTGGTGGTCAAGCGGTAAAGCTAGACCACATGGGCCCTCTGGTAGTCAACAAAGATGGCACCCTGTCGCGAATTTCAAACTGGAATGAAATGGCGGATATTGAGAAGCAGAACACGTTGAGGATCCTAGTCAAGCGGAACCAATTAAGGACAGAAGCTTTGAAGGAGCAACAGGGAGGAGAGGGAGGGGGAGCTTAAATTCATAGGGACGTCACAGATGGAAAGCACATATATCTTGTACGGTAGCCGAATGGTGATGGAGCCTCACATGCACAAATACAATGTTTGTTCTTCTACTATCTACATGCTTTGGTGAGCGACGCGAGTCTATGGCTTCTGTGTCTTTGTGTGTGTCATGCGCTCAAAGTAAGACCATTGGCCTTCTGGCGCAGGCTCCTCGAGTGGCTCCCAACTGCGGCATGTTAGCTGTAGTCCAACACTAATAATAGATGTTACTTACACCTTGGCCTCGGTCATGACGTCAACGAGCTTGTGCTCGCCCTCAGCGACCTGAATGACTTCTTCAATCAGGCCCGCGCCAAGTCTGCTCTCAAGGTCGGAAATACTATACAAGTCAGTAATGGAGTCGCCACCAGTTGCGGCTTGGTGAAGAAATACGCTTCGGCAGTGTACTGCGGCTCGGGATCAAACTTGATGTCGTTCATTACCCGCTCAGGCGTGTAGTTGACGTCGCCCTTCATCTTCCTCGCATGGGGCAGTCGCTCTTTGGACGAACGAATACCCTCGGGGAAGGTCTCGATCTTCTCTCCGTCCCACTCGGCTGCTTTCGACCGTTCGTCAACCTCAGCCTGGTTTGGGATTACGATGGTTTGTCCGGCTGATGTGTCGAGGACCTGGTATCTGGTTGGGTCGTCGCTAACTTGCATGGCGATCTTTTGCTGCCACTCGTCCCATCCCGCCGGCTTGGACTGCTCGATGATGGCAAGACGGTGCTTCGTCAGGGCCTCGGTTGATTGGCGGTATACGGATGATTCGGGAATCTTCTTGAGCTTGTCGAGAGTCGAGTGGTAGTGGTAGAGCAGTGCGGAGCGCGGCGACGGGTGGGTGAGGAGCCCTGTGAGACCCGTGGGAGTGCCGGCCTCAAGGAACTGGCCAGGCTTGACGCTGGCGAGGAGACGTGCAGCTGCCCTCATGTTGGCGGGAGTGTCGAGTGTGGGGTTGGGGCGCAATTGGTGCTTGACGGTGGTGATGCCGTCAGGACGAAGATGCGCCCGCCAAGCGATATGCAGCCGGAGCGGCGATCCCTGGCTAGTAATGTTCAGGGACACGAATGCCCTCACTTGCGCGCGACAACCCCCCGCCACGCCTTGTGATAGCCAGGTTGCGTGTAATTTCTACAAGCCCTAGTCGCATTCACTTCCAAGCCTGATACATAATACCAATCTTATTCCTCTCTAGAGGACCGCTGCCTCGCACGAGCAGCCCGCCCCCTCCGCCGCCGCAACGATGCGCTCCATGATATATTCCCTCCTGTCGCTGGCGACGTTTGCTTCCACATTTGCGGCAGAGACCCCGACTGCCCAGGCGACGGCTAAGAAGGATGACTGGGACGACAAGACGCCAGACACGATATTTAATGGCGAGACAGTGCCTCCCATGATAGAACTTGGGCCCAAAACGATAGACACCGAGATCAGCAAAGGCAACTGGTACGCAGGGAGACATCTTCATCCTGGAAATAATGCTAACGACACCATAGGATAGTCGAGTTCTTCTCCCCCTACTGCAGCCACTGCATGCACTTCAAGCCAACCTACCAAACCACCTACGAGTTCTACTACACCTCGAAACCCTTCCTCTCCAAAGACGAGCCCGAAGGCGACTCCCTAAACTCCTTCACGCGCTACTATGACTTCAAATTTGCCAAGGTTGACTGTGTCGCCTACGCTGATGTCTGCAAAAAGCACAACATTCAGAGCTACCCTACCATGGTCTACTTCCAAGACGGAAAGGAGTCGGAGAGAGAGACGGGCTCCAAAGACATGAAGGGCATGAGCTCCTGGGTTGAGAGACTCCTGGAGACTCTGCGACCCGGTACACGCAAAGAGGGTGGCCCCAAACTGCCAAAGGCTGGTGCAACATCCGTAGAGACCGGCCCAGACACAGAGGAAGCTGTCAAGGAAGAGAAGAAAGAGGCGGCTCAAGACAAGAAAGAAGATAAGAAAGCTGCGAGCCCGGCCACCAACCTGACCCCATCCGCCACACCCTCTCTCACCAAGACGACCAAGGCCGCTCCCGCAAAGACCGAACCCACCTCGAACGCGAACCCATCTGGCACCGTCGAGCCCCTCACCGCCGAGACGTTTGAGAAACTTGTTACAGACACACGCGATCCCTGGTTCATCAAATTCTACGCGCCATGGTGCCATCACTGCCAGGCTCTTGCGCCGACATGGGCAAACCTCGCGCGCCAGATGAAGGGAAAGCTCAACGTTGGAGAGGTCAACTGCGATGTAGAGAAGAAGTTATGCAAGGCAGCTGGTGTTCGAGGCTACCCAACCATGCTCTTCTTCCAAGGCGGCGAGCGCATCGAGTACTCGGGTCTCCGTGGGCTTGGCGATCTGTTGGATTATGCAGAGAAGGCCTCAGCTGTTGGTGCTGGAGTACGTGACGTAAATGCCGAGGAGTTCAAAAAGATGGAAGAGACTGAAGAGGTCATCTTCACCTATTTCTACGATCACGCGACCACATCCGAGGATTTCCAAGCGCTAGAGCGACTTCCTCTCAGCCTTGTCGGTCGCGCAAAATTGGTCAAGACAAATGACAAGGAGCTGTTTGACCGCTTCAAGATTTCAACATGGCCGAGACTGATGGTGTCAAGAGACGGAAAGCCTACGTACTACCCACCTAGGACACCTTTCGAAATGCGCGATGTCAAGAAGGTCCTTAGCTGGATGAAGTCTGTCTGGCTGCCTATCGTCCCCGAGATGACGTCTTCCAATGCTCGCGAGATTATGGAAGGCAAATTTGTCGTTCTAGGTATACTGAACCGCGACCGTTCCGACGAATTCATCCTCTCTAAGCGTGAGTTGAAGAGCGCAGCAATCGAATGGATCGATAAGCAGGAGACCGCCTTCCAGCTAGAGCGACAGGAGCTCCGCGATGCTAAGCAACTCCGCATTGAAGAGGCTGAAGACAAGGACAATCAGCGAGCACTTAGGGATGCCAAATCTATCCGCATCAACATGGATGACATCCCGCGCACTCAGGTTGGTTTCGCGTGGGTCGACGGTATCTTCTGGGAACGCTGGATCCGGACTACATACGGTGTCGATGTCAAAGATGGCGAGAGCGTTATCATCAACGATGAAGATGTAAGTCACCAAAACCGGCCCTATATGAAGCCTGCTAACATACGCAGAACCGTCGTTACTGGGATAGCACCATCTCTGGTGAACCTATTCGTCTCTCTCGCGCCGCAATCCTTGAGACCATCAAAATGGTCACTTCAAACCCTCCCAAGATCGCGGCCAAGTCTACCACTGGTCGCATTGCTGGCATGTGGCTGTCGATTCGCCACTTTGTCAACAATCACCCTTTCATCTCCCTTGGCATGTTTGTGGGTTTCTTTACTGCTGCTACGTTGTTTGGCAACAGCAGACGAAGGAGACAGTTTGGCAGTACCGGCTCATACTTTCAACTCGGAGAGAAGGATGGGCTACTAGGCAGCATGGGTAATGGCAACTTTGGAGGCGCGAAACATGATTAAGCTTTGAGACAAGATCATAGGATGATCCTTGGGGTTTTGGCGTTCGCTTTGGTGTGTATCATAGCTTTGGTTGCATGGTTTTCAGCGATAACGTTTATTCATTCTGCACCATGTACCAATACGACTTGTTGTTATCAGCATGCCTTCGATTTTGACACTCGAAACGTTTTCCCTGCTTATGCCTAGGCGACATCACGACATTTCCAAGCCTTTGACGTGCTGCATAAAGCCACATTGGAGTCTAGAGCATATACTACGGCATGTCACTTGCAGTTGCCCATTGGGTGGAGAACACACGTGTCTACGCGACGTAGCTCCCCACGCGTACCCCACTACCCCTCCAAACTACTTTCACTCATTCTACGCATTGTGACTCGGGTACACATACCGCACCTTCTTGATACATCAAAGACACTCGCTCACGATATTACAAACTTCAATCTGTATTCTCTCAGGATTTTACGCGCAGCAAAACCTGCCCACCAAATCTCTGCTACTGCGCACCCATATCCTTTCTTCATCCGTCCACTACCTCATCCCACCATTCGCACAATGTCGACTATATCTCTCTCAGACTTGGAGTTCATAACCCGTGAATCCCTCGCTAGCGACTTCAAATCATCAGGTTCTGCGTTACCTCCCAACACCGCAGTAGTTGACGTAAGAAAGCCCTTCCTCCAACAAACCTGCCTCAGGAACCACAACACTAACCTCTCTTCCCAATCTAGGTACGAGACAGCGATCACGTCGGCGGCCACATCAAAGGCTCAACTTGGGTTCCTTCCTCGCAACTCGACTACAAAACTCCTGAGCTCATCCGCACACTACAAGACAAGGAAGTCGTCATATTCCACTGCGCGTTATCGCAGCAACGGGGACCTAGTGCCGCACTACGATACTTGAGGGAGAAGGAAAGACTGGATCCTGGTTCGGCGATAGAGTCAAAGGGCGAAGTCAAGGAGCAGAGTGAGGCTGTGGAGAAGGAGGGAGAGGGAGAGCAGAAGGGACCTAGTGGTACGCAGATCAAGAAACAAAAGGTTTACGTCCTACAGGGCGGATTCACGATGTGGCAGGAGAAATATGGGCAGGACAAGGATTTGACGGAGGGGTATCAAAAGGATATTTGGGAGTTTGGCACACCGGATCATTAGATGTGAAGAACTGAACACACACACATCAAGGTGAGAGGCCTAGCCGTGATATTCTGTTTGAACTACTCAGCAACGGCTACGGCACTTCCACCCCAGTATCCCGCTGTCGAAAACCTACAACATTACATTCTCCACACTCAGCACCCTTTGCTCTTCCCTTGATCCTCAACCAAACCCTTGTAATTCTCCCTCTCATACTCCATGATAGCCTCCACCTTCTTCGCACTAGCACTGCTCTTGTCGAATCGATATCCCACCCACTCCTTGACTAACCTCCTCGCGAGTTCAATTCCAACAACTCGCTCACCCATGCATAGCACTTGCGCGTCGTTTGACAGAATCGCACGTTCTACCGAGAAGCTATCGTGTGCTGTCACAGCCCTGATACCAGGCACTTTGTTCGCCGAGATGGCCACACCAAGACCGGTGCCGCAGATGAGGACTGCACGGTCTGCTTTGCCCTCTGCGACGAGTTTGGCGGCATCGACGGCGATATGTGGGTACGCTGTCTTGTCGCTGTTTTCAGGGACGCCGACGTCGGTTACAGAGGCAATGCGGGAATCAGCTTCTAGGTCTTTGATGATGGCCTTTTTGTACGAGACGCCCGCATCGTCGCAGCCAATGGCTATGCGGAGAGGTTGCTGGTCCGCTGACATGTTGCTTTTTTGGAGAGATCTCAAAGTTCTGAAGTGTCGTATTTTCTCTCGATATTCCTTCTCTTCGTCTTACTAACGACGTTCAACCGACTCTTCTCCCTGTCTTCGTCGTCTGTGTCCTGATTTCGTCTAGAAGTACCACCACTTCGTCTTTCAGTTCTAGTTGTCGAATACGATATTTCTCCTTCCGCAGACTTGACTTTTCTTCCGTCAATAACCTCGTTAACGGCTCGATTAACAGTCTTCTCAAACGGCCTCGTCACGTAACTCAAATCCGTGTGTCCGTGAGTGGGTCCTTTGCTTTCCAAGACTTTAACTCTGTCTACACCGTCCTTGTTGTGGTCTTCGACTTTTTGGTATACGTGGTCTGCGTCAGTGTCGAGGTTCAGAGAGAACAAGGCGCGCTTGGGAGGGGCCATTTTGGGCGGGCTGGGTAGACGAGAGTCTTTTATACGATTTGGCAGAAAGGTAATATGCAAGGGCAAGGCGTCTGGGCGGCGATTTCGGATGAATGAGGGGTTAAACAGACGACCCGTGGAGGGAGTGGAATGCTGGAGATGCGGGATGCGGGGATCGGGAGTGCCCAATGCGGTATGCCGATGGGTAGAAGTGTGAGACTTGTGGCCTCGATGCGAGATGGCGACGGGACGAGGTATACCGGTCTCGGGGTTGTGAGGCCGAAGTTTTTGTCTCGGTGGTTGTTCCGAGTGTTGAAAGTGATGGTCGTGGTTTTGTCATTCTAGCATGTTCAATAACTTGTTGGCATGCCAAGATGTGCCAACGGATTACGTCACATTACATTTCAGAATCTACACGCTTTAGCTGGCACTTGATTGATGCTCTCGGATGGTCAAAGCTATCTAAATATCTTGAAATCCATGTGTCGTTTTTCGAATTTCTGTTTTTTCCCTGTCCAACACTATTTCTTCTCTTCGAACAAATCCTTCTCAACCATCTGCCTACAGATTGGGTGGTAGAACTCCTTGTTCTTCTCAAATGTGCTGACAGCCAGATCGCGATCCGCCTCGTTTAACAACCTGAACATGGGTCGCACAAACTTCATACGACCAATCTTGCCTAGCAAAGTCGCTGCTGGCTCGTACGTCTCTTGGGCCTTGGCCATGAGTCCGATACTCAGGTAGCGTGATAGAACTTCAATATTCTGGGTGTCGTTGTAGCCATACGTTGCGCCTAGCAAGTGTACTTGGTCGGCTGAGAACTTGGAAGCGAAGTTTTGGAGTTTTTCGAGGAAGACAACCGACTGGTTAGATACCCAGCCTCCGATATCTGAGGATTGGGGCTTGAAGTCTCCAGATTCGGAAGAAACCAGGGCTTGCCACTTGTCTGCAAGCTCATAGCAACTCTTGACCATAGTCTGGTCAAAGTCTGGCTTCACAGGATAGCCGGGCGCGTAGAAGAGTTTGTCCCAGTCAAAGTCATCAAGCTTCTTCTTGCTCTCAGCATCCTTCTCGAAGAACTCTATCAGACAGCTCTTGAAGTCGTATGAATCGACTGACTTGAACTTGAAGGTGTCGAAGTAGTGTGGGATGAAGGAATCCCACTTGTCCTTTCCGAGAAGCAGTTCAAACTGATAAAGGGCATGGAAACCTTTCTCGTAAGGGATGGAGGAGAATGCGTCATCTGGGTCTTGACCCTTGAGATCGAGAACGAGCTTAGTGTAGGGGTGGTCTGCGCCATAGTTCTCGATGCTTTGCTCCAGAGCTTTCCAGCCGATGATAGCAGAGAAATGGCGATGCGCCTCTCCGTGAATGGCAGCAGCAATTCTACGTTCAAGGTAGGTGGTCCAGCCTTCGTTCAGCCAGAAGTGCTCCCAGCTCGCTGCACTGACAAGGTTACCGGACCACGAATGAGACAGCTCGTGTGCGATGACGTCGACGTTTTGCTTGTCACCAGAGATGATGGAAGGAGTAGCGTAGGTCCAGACTGGGTTCTCCATGCCGCCGTACGGGAATGATGGTGGCAGAATGAGTACATTGTATTGTCCCCATTGGTACGCGGGTGAGACAATCGATTCGAGTGCCTTCATGAAAGGTTCGATCTCGCCGTCAAGTTCATCTTTGCACGCAAGGAGCTCTTCGGGTCCAGACCATACCGTACTGCGGGGGCCAATGCTTGCGCATGCTAGATCTCCACTCGCAACAGCAAAAAGGTACACTGTCATTGGGACCTTTTGTTCAAACGTGTATTTCATGGTACCGCTCTCACCGTCCTTCTTCGCAGGTAGATAGTCACTGGCTCCAGTAGGCAGACCCGAGGCAAGCACTGGTAGCGGTGAGCGTAGGGCAAAGCTGAAAGTTGACTTGACATCCGGAGTATCCTGGCAAGGGAAGACAGATCGTGCATGGATGGCCTGGCATTGCGAAAACATGTACGGGTGCTTTTTGTTCGAGGTTTGAGCTGGCGTCATCCACTGAAGTGCGGTACACTTATCGGTAGTAGCGACCTTGATCTCAACATCGACGGTCTTGCCTTTGGGAACCTTGGATGGAAGCGTAATGGTAAGAGGACTGCCATAGGGCTCCACACGATCGCCAACGTTGAACTTGACACTTTTACCCTCGACTTCTACGACGGAGATGTCAAGGAAGCTATGCCACAGTTATTAAGCTGTTCAATCAATTCTGCCACTCTTTTGTATCTCGAGTACATACCTGCTATCCAATACAACATCTTTCACCTCCTCATCCGTCAGACTCTCCAACGTCAACACTACACTTCCAAACAACCGCTTCTTCTGGAAATCGATATCAAAATCGACACTCGTATGCCTGGTCACAAAGTTGTGATAGTTAGACAAGGTGTTTGGGTCCCTTGGGGTGCGGATCTCAATATTAGGATCCGCCATTGGCTTTGTAACCATAGCGGCGGGGGAGCGATGCATCGTGGCGAACGTTGCTGCTCTCGTAGCTGATGGCGTAGGAGTCTGGTTCGACTTCGTAGCTTGGCAGATGGTTCGTCTCCCACTCAGAGCTTGTTGTAGTGCAAGACGAGCGTTCAGTGCAAGGAATGTTGCAGGTGATCGTGTGGTAAGGTATCGTCGGAGTGGAGTAGACTCATATGCCGATCCATGCCGCAGCAAAGCAGATGACCTGCCTAATGCACTTCTGGCGGACATTTAGGGATCTCGCACCCACAATTTAGATAGATAGAAGAAATGACCCGCACAGTATCTAGGGGACGGCGGTGCCAAGGGTCACCACCTGCGTCTTTCGTTTAGCCCATCATTGATGTGGAGGCGCACGGCCTTCGGCGATCCGACGAGAAACTTGTAGTTCCTCCGGAGTGTCTTCGCAACCAAGCTTTCGAGGGGCAAGGTTAGGCACAGAAATAAAATCATCAAGGCGTCTAGATGAGAACTCTGTACATGTGAAGGATATATTGCAGATGCCCAAAAATGCCCAAATGCTTCGATGCCACAAAGCAAGCTATCATACTATGCACGCATATAGCTATTAATACCGTTGACACCTAATTCAATAATGCTGTCTAATCCTTCTTGCTACTGTCGCCCTTTCGTGTCCTGTCTCTCAGGACGAGGTTGATATCTGGTCGTGCTGACTGATATTGCTGTGCTGGTCTTGATACCGAGCGCTCGTTCGTCGATGCAAGCGTCTCTTCCGCCCTCGATCTGCCCCTGTCCCTTTCATCATCTCCTATCTCAAAAGCATCATCTTGGAGCTCTATGAGATCGCCCAGATCGCCGCCGACAGCTCCTACGACAGGCACGGCACTGCGCTTCCCCTGCCCGGGTGTACCTGGCTCATTCAAAAGCTTCTGTGCTTGTGTACCAACTTTTCTCACCCATCCTTCTATAGCACCTCCAAGCTCTTGAAAGTCCAAGCCGCTACCGCTGAGCGGCGTGACAGCACCGGATCCGCCATACTGACTCGACGTCCCGGTACCTGCGTCCAGCAGGCCTGGTGCCCACGGTGTGAAGTATTCCTGACCCGGTGGGGGCGCCATGTTGGGCAGGTACTGACCAAACTTTTTGTTCAGACCGTCCTGCGCAGGCCCAGGGCTCCGCACGTTTCTACCCATTGTACCGACACCTCCTGGGCCGTGCAGACCCCATGCTTTGCCTGATGTGCTCCTTTGGCGGCTGTGGGCCGAGGCAGATGACAGGTTGCTCGACGCACGTGGTCGAACAGACTGCGAGGGAGAGCTGGTATGTGGATTCGTGGACGTGGAGGAGCGCGGAAGGTCGACGGACGCCCGAGGTGTTGATGCGTCGGAGTACGCGAGGGACTTCCGCCGAGCGGGTGGGAAGAAGCCAAGTGCTCTGCGTGGCATGCGGCCGATCTGTGTGGGCTGTTTATCATTAGGGAGGAGCACCCATGAATCATGTTTCCATGGGGTCTCTGCATTAGAGGGGACCGAATTGGTCTCTTGGTCTTTCTTTTTCGGCGTGGTCCAGCCATCAGGCAGACCTTGAGTATCTGGAACTGGGGCCTTGCTACTCGAACCATCGCCATACTCTCCCAATAGTAGATCTTCAGCAGGAAGAGCATCCGGGCCCTGAACTGGCCTTCCCTTTACGCCACAAGCATCTACTGGTAGCACCACCTGCTTCTTAAACTGTATGCTATCGTTCGGCCACATACGATTGGCTTTGCGTAATACAGCTTGCTCGCAGTTGAATTTGATGCTGAGTCCAGCCAGCGTGTCCTGCGGCCGAACGTGGTGGATATATACGAGTGCATCTCGGTCGTCGTTCTCACTGGGAGGTGCGGACGCGCTGAGTCGTTCATCCGAATTCCTGCGCTTTATACGGCCAACAGAGTCGGGAACCAGATGCTCGCCAGCGGTCAACAGGTCTTTCCGCTTCATTGCTCTGACCATGGCCTCTCTTTCTTCGTGTGTTCCAGCCCCAACATGTGAGCCTGCGCCTGCCGGGCCCCATTGTTTCGGTGGTGGTGCGCTCGTAGACGTACGTCGCCCATGGCCCGGTTTCGTGCGCCTGCGAGTGTTTCCGGAGTCGCCTGGGGTGCCGTCGCTAGCCAGGACGGTAGCGGCAATACCCTGGATTGCCGCCAAAGAGTTCCCCCAGAGTCCAGAGAGTGTTTGCGAGGGCGATTTCGGGGTCGAGGTGCCGGAAGATCTCTGGAAGGACGACGACGGGGCGGAAGTGACGTTCAGACGCGAGGAGGAAGCGCCGCCTGTGCGTGCATTTGGGGTAGGAGATGTGTTCCGCGAGGCTAACCTCGACGTGGCCCTGCTCGATCCGCTCTCATTCCCGTCCGTTGCATATATGTCATCTTCTACGGAGATCAATCTTCGGGTTCGTGGGCGCAGTGTCGAGTTGCTCTTGGACGTCGACAGCGAGGAGCCATTGGAGGGGTTCATGGCATGCGGACGCCAGGCGGAGTGGGCAAAGGTGGTGCTGCATAAGCCAAATGATTGGAGTGGTCGGGAAGCCGCATGACATGGGGTTACGGCAACATTGCGTGAACGTCAGGAGCAAGGGCGGAGGCGCAATGGAGAGGTGGATGCTCGGATATCGTGAGGGTTCAATAGCTGGGGCAGGAAGCTACGTAACCCCGAGTGCTACCCCTTCAGTCAAGCACGGCCGTGCACTGTGCCGCCGAACCGTCAGAACATGCGATGCCAAGTCACCTAGGCACCATAAAGAAGTCTCACGATAGATTAATATGGATTGTGTACGTAAGTAGTGCACTTTCATCGACTTTCACCGCCCCTCCCGTGGCTGCTCAAACCGCCTCGTGACGATAAGGACAGATAACGATTAGCTTTCACTTCCTGAATCAGGCCGATCACCTAGCGATCTTGAAGGGAACAGGTACTATTCGATGCTCTGAACTACAGACAGTACAGATTTCGCACCACTAAAGAGTCTTTGCTCGACACCTGCCAGCTACGAACAGCGTGCATGTACATGAATAAGCGCCATACGCTTCTGTATAACACACGTGGATATATCATCAGTCATCACAATCACAATCAAGAGAACAAAAAGCAACAAGCTGTAGAACAAAACGAGTCTTCACATCCGCTGGCCTGACCGTCATCGGAAAGGACTTGAGCTCGTCGTCGCATCCACCTCTTCAAATTCCAACTCAAAAGCATCCACTTCCTCAAACTTCTTTCTGATAGCAGCCAACTTCTCAGAGTGCTCGATTGTCGAGACTTCAGTATTGTCTGCTTCGTTCTGACCTGTAGTCTCGTTCTCCTTGTCCGATGATATCCTGCGACTGTATGTTCTTCCCGACTTTTGCGCTACTTTAGCGGGTGCACCCTTTTTCGGGCGAGCTGCTTTCTTTGTCGCTGCCTTTGGCGATACTAACTTTGTAGTCCCTTGCTTTTGGCGAACGCGACGCGCTGGCATTTGTAGCTCATCTTGATCCGAGTCCACAGGCTCGACATCGTCTGAAGACTCAATGTCGAACTCATCCCGGTCCCGCAGGCGGTTCCGTCGACGTGGTAATAGGGCTTTGAGTTGCGCAACAGATATAGTTTGCTCTGCTTTCTTTTTGGTCCTCTGCTTAGCTCTCGCAGGTGTCTCCGTCTCCTCGCCTTCTGAGTCTTCATCCACAACGGGCGTCTTAGCCTGTCGTCCTCTTCGGCGCGGTCGCGTCTGCGCTGGCGTTTGAGGCGGCTTCGAGACTTCCCGTATCGGACTACTCGACATGGGGGGCGCAAGTGTCTCGCTTAGTGGCTCCTCGTCCTCTTGTGTTTGCTCAATCATCTCCTCGCGTGATGCAACTACTTCTGGCAGGCTCGGGGAGGGTGATCGCTCTGACTCGACATCTTCGCCAGACTGTGGACTCGCTGGTGGTGACGAGCGTGGCACTTGGACTACAGACGAGAACTTGCGCTTTGTGCCACGGGAACCAGAGCTTGAGATCTGAGTGCCGCTATCATTCCGAATCTCCTGCTCCGGTGCCTGCTTCCGTACGTTAAGGGGTGTGGACTCGGCATGTGGAAGGAAATCGTCAAAGTCAAAGTTGTCGGTGTTGTCTAGGTCGTCTTGATCGTTGTCCTCCACATCGGTAGTCTGTTGTACCTGGCGCAACAGACTGGGCTGCCGGGGTCTTCGCCTGAAGTTGCTTAAAGCCAGTATCGATCTCTCGTGTGCGGGTGTTGCACCGACCTTGATGGCTGATGGTGGGCGCGTGCCGTGGGCTGGAGAATCAGAACCGAGAGATGAGAATGTCAGATCGCCATAGCCGCTATCTTCTTCTATCTGCGATTCTTCGTGTGCTTGAGCAACTGCAGCTAGTGGTGATGAATGCGCGGTCGATTTCCTCGCACTGCTTCTTGTGGCGCGCATCTGCTTTGATGCATTTGATGCTGGAGTACGGGTCTTCGTAGCTGATAAAGATGTGTTCTCTTCAGCCGGTAGCGCGCCGGTCATGGTGAGCTCTGGCTCGTCATGGACCTCCGGTGTCTTCTCCCGTGGCATTTTCCTATGCGAACGCGTTGATCTGGTTCTTGTGACAAGGCCATCGCTGTCTTCGCTGAAGCTATTGGCAGCTTTGCTGACTTTGGTTTGTGCTGGGGTAGGCTTCGCTGGCTGCTTGGGCGCGGGGGCGTCTTTCGGCTTGGTGGGTTTCGCGACGCGCGACGCGACTTTTGAGCGTGGGGGACGAGGCATTGTCGCAATTCGTCCGCGTGATTATTTTGGGAGGTTCAGAATTGTGTGAAGGCGAACGAATGTGGATCGCGATTGGGATGAAGTGGGCAGCGACCGTGCGACAGGAATGGGGATGAGGCGCGTCGATGTTGTGACGCACTGGATTGAATTCACTACCTAGCGTCGATCTAGACGCGCGAACTCTTGGCTCACGTGGTGCACCATCCCATGCGTTAGCTCAAATAGTAGTAACGCTCTCAGAAAGAGCAAGATGTGTTTTTTTGTCATTCTCTCATGAGCGCATCTGAATTAGCGATGTCCTGGTCCTATCATAGGCCGATGTTTTGCTGAGGTCGCACTCAAGGCAGCGACAATTGCAGCGTATATAGCTGCCTTCACAGTCTGAGGAAGCGCATTGCACCTTCAATCTTTCCGTCTCAGTTTCTGTCTAATCATTGCCATGGACACGATTCACTTTCCAGATTCTTTGCAAGAGTTTGCAGTGTCTGAAGCAGCTTATCTTCGCCAACACCCCGAGTATGACTGTTTGGTCACAGGTTCAATTGTGTTCAACGAGGAAGGGAAGCTACTGCTAGTACAGCGTGCAGCGGAGGAAAGAGCATTTCCTGATTTTTGGGTGAGCCGAAGAGGAAGTCACGACTGTCCTAGAACTAATACTATACAGGAAATACCAGGGGGCAAAGTTGACGATAGCGACCAGACGATTCTACATGCTGCTGCTCGAGAGCTGAAAGAAGAAGCTGGTCTTGACACGATTCGTATACTGAAGAAAGTCACGCATTTTATCTTCATGGATGAGAAGCCTGGCCGACGAACAACGACATGGCTCAAGCTGGTGTTTGAAATGTCGGTGCAAAGCGCAGATAATGTTGTCTTGGATCCAACTGAGCATCAGAAGTTCTTGTTCGCTTCTGAAGAGGAAGTTGTTCGTGACCAGGTCGGCGATGTGAAGCTCAAATACATCAGCCCTGCGAACAAGGATGTCAAATTGGAGGCTTTCAAGCAAAGACGTGGAGAAGGATGCGCGTGACAGGCGTCGGCGATCAATGGAGCATGATATGTTGTCTCGCTTTACTGCATTTGAAACTGGCGACTGCCACCAATAGGAGACGACCCATATTGACGGAGACGCGACCTGGGGTAAGTAGGCTGAAGGATCACGATTCTACCTAGCAACAAAGAAGAGATCAATGACGCCAACGTGACCTGGCGTGGAAGCAGCTCAGCTTATGTAATTGTGTAACATCGAGCCCTTGGGAAATTGTACTTGTCAAGCAGGAAAAAGCACTGTTTCGTGTGTCGCAAAGGTAATCACTGCCTTGCCGTAGCCTCCCGTACCCGGCGCCCGCGCTAGTTCACACTGTGTGTGCCCCAAGAACACGACCAGTTGCGGACGAATCACAACCTCAACCCTCGACGACCGCGCCAGAGAGCTCAGCGACAGCAGCATGTCGGGCGAACACTCTTTCATGGCCAGTTCAGTGGCCACAGCAGCAGCGCCTCCACCGCTCGCTGCGCAACCCAGCATTGGGACTCCGTAGGTTACAGTGCCGCGCGCAGGACCTCTTGCACATGCTCATACAAGCCAGGCCGTCGGCGTCGTCGCAGTCAGTTCCCCCTGGACACCCATCCTTCAGGCGACAACGCGCTAGCAGAGCGTGCGAAAGTGAGTGCGACCCATGTTTGCGCAGCATTTCCCCTGATTTCATGTACGAGAGAGGATCCGTCGACGTCGGTGGGATATATGGTCAACACGACGAGCCTCGGCACCTCGGTCAACCTGAAGAAACGGAACGATTCGACGAACGTTTGCTAACCACGACGCAAAACAGCCTGCCACGCAAGGAAAGTGAGTAATCAGCCGCGGCACCGCATCACCGTCGTCGTCGGGACACCACGTAACAGCGCAATAGGTACGATGCGACGCCGCCTCACTGGGAATCCCGTGCACCAACTGCACCGCCTTCGGCATCGAGTGCCGCATCCCCCAGCCCAAGCGCAAGAAGACGCAGACAGCCAGGGCCAAAGACGCCGATAGGTACGGCCAGACGACTTCACTGGTCAAGGTATAGTGCTGACGCGACGGCAGTGACCGAGGAGATAGCGACGACCGCTCACCAGCCAGCACTTCAGTCGAGCCGCGCGAGAAGTCGGCCGTATACAACTCCCAAGATGGAACACCCTCGACTACCGTCTCGCCCGAATACGCTGCTCAGCAAGCTACTCACAATGGCACCTATGTGCAATTCATGAAGCCCAAGTTTGCGCGTGCCCCCATTAAAGAAGCCGGCCGTGTCGCATACCTTGGAGAATCATCCAACCTTTCACTGCTCGTACACGACCGCTATGGCACCACCGATGTCGTCCACTATCCGCTTCCAGAAAACGTGCGGGGTGCGAAGGCGCGGGTCAATGAGATGGACAACATGGAGATAGAGATACTACACCAGCGAGGTGCCTTCCTGCTCCCGCCACGGGCGCTGTGCGACGAACTCGTCGAAGCCTTCTTCAGATGGGTGGCCCCAGTCGTGCCAGTCATCAATCGCAGCCGCTTCATGCGCCAGTACCGAGACCCGAAGAACCCGCCCTCGCTCCTCTTGTTACAGGCCATTCTCCTGGCAGGCTCACGAGTGTGTACCAATGCGCAGTTGATGGACTCCAGTGGCTCAACAACCCCCGCAGCCATGACCTTCTACAAGCGCGCAAAGGCCTTGTACGATGCTAACTTCGAGGATGATCGCGTAACCATTGTGCAAGCACTCATCTTGATGGGCTGGTACTGGGAGGGGCCCGAGGATGTAACCAAGAACGTCTTCTACTGGACCCGAGTGGCTATTGTTGTAGCTCAAGGCTCGGGCATGCACCGTAGCGTCGAGGGTTCACAGCTGACACGCTCAGACAAGCGTTTGTGGAAGCGTATCTGGTGGACACTGTACAGTCGAGACCGTTCAGTGGCAGTAGCACTAGGCAGACCGGTTGCTATTGACCCTGAGGACTCTGACGTCGAAATGGTGTCTGAAGACGACTTCATCGATGACGAGACAGATCATGCTGCAGAGTACCCACCAGATCCCATCCATGTCCAGTTCTTCATCAACTACGTCAAACTTAGCGAGATCATGGGCCTGGTTCTATCGCAACAATACTCAGTGGCGTCCAAACACCGCAGAGCGAATGCTATAGATCTTACCCACAGTGACATGGCGCTTGCGGACTGGCTGCAACACTGCCCACCAGAAGTGCAGTGGGAGCGTAACCGCCACCACTTCTGGGCTGCCCTATTACACTCGAATTACTAGTAAGTCACTCGCGACCCAATTCTGACTCATACTTACCCTCGCAGCACCACCCTATGTCTTCTACATCGTGCACATATGCCACCGGCAGGCTCGCCAAAGGCCAGTCATTTAGACGGATTTGGTGAGGCTAATGCATACCCGTCACGGAATATCGCATACCAAGCGGCTGCTATGATCACATCCATCATTGAAAACCTCCGTGCTCATGATGAGATACGGTACACTCCCGCATTCATCGTGTACAGCTTGTTCTCCGCCCTCATCATGCACGTCTACCAGATGAAGTCGTCGAACAAGTCCGTCGTCTCGGCGACGGAGCAACGCCTTCAGATTTGCTTAGACGCTCTTAAAGAGGTCTCTAAGGTCTGGCTCGTTGCAAAGATGGTGCACACACTTTTTGAATCGATTCTTGGCAACAAGCATCTTGAAGAGCGCCTACAAAAGGCTGCCGGTCGTAATCACAAGAAGAACAAAGTTCCTTCGGTTCCACCACCACCTCCTCCAAAACCTGCCCAAGAGTCGTCAAAACGAAAGTTCGATGATATGGACCTAGGCTTCCCTGTTCCTAGTGGACCCCCGGCTGCTCAGGTTTCCTATGAGCGATCAAGACCGCAGACTCCGGCCGTTACGCCGTCGCGCGAGTTACAACCCCAACAACAGATGCCCCAGATGACTACTGGATCTCCGCAGATGAACCGGCAGAACCACGATGCATTCATGGGCCCTTCACGGTCGGGAACACGTCCGACGACGCCATTCAACCCATCATACTCGTATCCTGGAACGCCACCCGATCTCTTCCTGGTTACCCGCGACACTCCTAATATCAGTCAAGAAGTATGGCAAAACTTCCAACCCGACCAGCTGTTCCCAGCCGACACACAAGTCAACTTCCCACAAATGTCGCCCATGCAAAATCATAGTCTCGTCGACCCAGCGTTAAGCCAGCCGCAGAACATGCCCATGCCCTCACAACAGACTGCTGGGGGTCAACCACAGATGCAAAATCCACCATCAAACACGGGCATTCCTAGCGGTTACGAACACAATAACACTCAGTCCTGGCAGCAACAGATGGAGATGATGTCACAAAACCAGCAACAACATAGCGCACAGGATGATGCTTGGAGTCAGAGTTCCGGAGGTCGACCTAATCCTATTGTACCGATGAGTCTAAATGTTGATGATTGGTAAGTCATAAACTCAATCATGTTCCGAACCATTCACTGACTTCGTGACCTAGGTTCAACTTCTTCGGTATCAACGGCGAGGCCGATATGTCGCACCTGTTCCAGCAAGGTCCAGCTTAGGCTCACAAGTCTACTAGCGTGATTGCTTTACTTGTTTTGTCATCGATCTCTATTCAGCGGAATAAGCATATCAGCGGCGTCGACCAAGATGTTACATGGGTTTCTGTTTTAATGTTCAAAAGTTCCAAGGTACTGATAGAGTGGATGGATGGGCATGCTACGGGACAGCATCTTTCAGCACAAGTGCTAAACCATCATCCATTTCGCCGTAAGCTACCATAGTTGCAAAAAGATAAAGCATATTCAGAGACTCAACAATATATCTGAAAATATGTCTGCACTTTTCACATTAAGTCGCGACGCTGGTGTTCAATCGAGAATCCACAAGAGTCTATGTAATCAATGCGCGGTTGGACCTCTGCCACGGGTAAGTAGGGGAAAGGGCAGGTGATCTATGTCGACGCTATTCCACTATATACGTCGTCATTACAGGTGCAATTATGCGACGCGGCTGCACAGTCTCAATGCTCAGCCAGTGTTCACTCGTCAACCGCGACGGAAGATCCCCCGCATTGTGAGCTAGCCCTTTGTGGGATCTAGCGCCACTTCACTTTCGGGAACCTCCAGACGCGAGACTGATACAACAACACCGTGAGCTAGACATACGCCAGCCCACAAAAGTCAAGGAAACACTCTATCGCTAGGTCCGTACTCACTCTTCCCCTGCAAGCCCACCAAACGCATTCCTTTTCCCGGCCGCATAAACCCTAAAGTTCCACCGAAATCGCACCACGCCGCACATCGCAACGAAGCTACCCACGACTACGCTTTCGAAGTCGCCCAAAGAACAGACCCACGACCATCACTATTCCTCTACGTGACCGTACCCACTGCGCGCCTTCCTCAACCGCTTCAACTTCAGCCTCGTCGCTTACTCCGGAGACCACGTACCTGCTTGCGAATTAGACAATACTAACCTCCCCCCTCTTATAGGCTAGGGCGCACCATTTCTACGAAGCATACGCTCGAACATGTTCCAAACGCAGCAGAACCCGGGCCGCGGTGCCCCATTAGGTGCGAATAGGTTGCAGAATGGCAAGATGGGTGAGAATACTCCTAGTGTGGTTGTAGGGCATATCGCTGACTGCTGTTTGTGTAGGTGGCGCATCTCAATGGGGATTCGGAGCCCCCATGGGCGCGCCAGGCTTGCCAAACACGCAAACACGAACAAACGGCGGAGCTATGTCAAGCTTTGCGCAAGCAATGGGCGGCTCACAGCCTCATACGCCGTTGAATCTTGAGTAAGTGACCACGTAAGATGGCAAAAAAGCAAGGAGATAGCCCGGAGGGCAGGCATGAATCTCAGAAGTCCCCTTCAGAGAAATCGCAAAGATACAAGCTAGATATTAACGATCTCAGGGAGTTCCCTTCGCTATCGGGCGCACCGCAAGCGCAACAGAACACGACCGCGCAACAGATGTGGGCGAACCCTACGATACGAGCGGCGCAACAAAACCAGCAGAACACGATCGGACGTCCACAGGGCCAAGGACAACAGCAAGGGCAAGGTCAAGCTGCACAAGCTGCAAACCAACAACAGCAGAACCAGGGACAGGATGATTCATCCCAAAGTCAGTTTTCTGGTGCTGGCGATGACTATCGATTTGGAGGACAAGGGGGTGTAGGACAACTGGGGGGTGTCCAACCGCAGACGAGCAACGTGGAGGAATTTCCACCGTTGGGTGGCGCTGGCGGAGATATTCCACAAGACCGAAGAGCTGGCCTGATACAGAATGCTGCGGCTTTTGGAGCCAACGGAAACAACGCCTTCCCTGGCCTTGGACAGACACGGAATGGCCTTTCGAGCCCCACAGATAGCCAGCAAGACCGGAGCATCAACCCCACTGTAGGTGGCAGGGCGCTATCTGGCACAGCATCACGGACGCCCTTTGAGAACATGCGGACAAGCAACCAAGCAGATGGGAATCAACGGATAGGACAGTCAGGGAACATGTTTTCTTTAGGTCCTCAGATGGGTATGCGAGGCGGTGCAGATCTTGCCCCCGGAGGACAGCGACCACAGCAAAACCAGTTCGATCAAACGTTTGGAGCAGAGGTTCTCGGCTCCCCCAACGCTCAAAATATGCTACACAAGAAGTTGTCGGACATGACAGACTCAGAACGATACGGACTGCCTGGATTGTTGGCGATGATACCTATGGAAAGCCCTGACTACTCTTCGCTGGCTATGGGTCAAGACCTGACAGTCCTGGGCCTGGACCTGAGTCGACCAGAGTAAGCACCACGGATTCCGGTACGTCTTCACTGCTAACATTCCTCTTAGCAACTCACCATTACATCCCACTTTTGGTTCACCGTTCGTGGAGTCCAACGTCAAGCCAGTGATACCACCAGATTTCACTCTACCCGCAGCATACACTGTTACGAACGTTCCGCCGCTACATTCGAAAATGGCCAGCTTCTCTGCGGAGACACTGCTAGCCATCTTCTATCAGTTCCCGCGAGACATCCTGCAAGAAATTGCTGCACAAGAACTGTACAACCGTGACTGGCGGTGGCATATGAAGCTCCAGCAGTGGATGATGAAGGACCCAGATCTGGCGGCGCCCATGAGACTGTCACCAAAAGAAGAGCATGGCTGGTACCTATTCTTCGATGTCAAGAACTGGAGGAGAGAAAGGGTACGTATTCTGAACCGCATATATATGCTTTTTGCCAAGTGCCAATCGCTAACTTGAGTTCAGAAAGAGTTTGACCTCAACTACGATCACCTTGATCAGCGTCATGGTAGCCCTGCCATGGCGGGACAAATGTAGTGCATTAATCCAAAGAAGGAGCCTTCCGCTCGGTTCTCCGCTCGGAGAACATGATCACGATCTTGTCTTCATACTGAGTGGTAAATCCAAGGGACCAGCAATCACAACGGTGTGCAATAGTTGGCAGTGACTCCGAAGGGCAACCGTACAATAGAGTTTCCCGAAGGTCTTACGCCTGACGTTTATGACACTTTGCGAGTCTGCGCTAACGTGCATACGGCTGCGAGGTAAACTGATTCACTATAGCCATTTGACCTGGTCGTACCTTCTCTCACTTGTCTGCCGTGACTTCGCAACAGCCTCACCGCCTTCCTTTTCTGTACCCTTGTTCATATGTGAATACTTCACACGGAAGGCTCCTTCCTTATCCACCACCAGTCTCCACCGTAGTAGCCTTCACAAATTGTTCACTCTGCGGGGTTTACTATTCTGAAGACTGCTACCGCTAGACCTTTCAGGCTTCAAGACTAACACTCAGACTAACAAATAGCAGCCAGACGTTATGTCCTCACTAACATCAACCGATGCTGACCATGTCCGACAGACTTTGATGAAGCTCTCTGTTGCCGTTCGCGAGATGACACCTGCCGGCGCGAAACAGGTGTCGCACGCACCCAATTTATTGGCTCGTCCTGTATACGGTGGCTGTCGCGTCTGTGGTCTTCCTGGTCATCAGTCTGCTGATGTTCAACATCCGGCCGCATGTCGAGTCGCTCTGCTCTCGCTGATCGGCTTCTGGGAGGTCGTCGCAGACCACGTATCTTTCCTGTACCAGTATTCCGAACGCTTCCAGAAGGCTATCCAAGCCAACGAGCCGACCTACGCGATGCGTTTTGATAATCGTCCGCTCAAGGGTGGTGATATGGAGGCCGTGCTTGTAGACCGCCTGACGGGAAACTTTCTCAAGTTTCTGGCGCATGTTCGGGGTATCCGAGCCAAGATTAATGTGGTGCTCGACGAAGAGGGTATAGGCAGGTACGAGCGCGTGGCCAAGAACTTGGAGGGGTTCTTCCTGGGTGGGCTGACCTGTAAGCCTTCGCACGAACATTCAGAGAAAGACGTTTACTAACTCTTCCGTAGTGTCCAACCTCTACGAGCGCAGTATGGCGATGGAAAAGTGAGGAAGTCTTGTCATACTTGGACGGTCGATTGACTACCCTTCATGATTGTCACGGGCAAGACCTAAACGTACCATCGAGCATTCTCAAATGGATGTTTTCTCAGGATGTGGCTCAAAGACTCTGTCCTCAAGCTAATTTCCATCATCTTCACCATCCTCAGAAAATAATGACAGCTTTATAGAACCAAGACTGATACTTCAATTACATCATCTATAGCGGTGAGTGAGAAATTCATCTGCACGTCATTAGAGTCAAATCAGCATCCTATGAACGCATGTGATTTAGCGTCAGATTAATATGACTGCTTCGGCAAGTGCAGTTCCCCGAAACCTCCAAACCTCCCTTCAGTATCCGCAAGTCAGCGGCGCAAGGTTCTCACGATGAATCATAGTTGTACGAGCGTCCGGCCATGGAGATGCGTTCTCCGCCATTGTGCGTTCCTCATAACACGTTCATTGGTACACGATCGAGGGTGCCACGGTACGCACTCTCCGCAACCCGTAATCGGTCACGATGTCTGATCAACAATCGCTGTACCTTCCATATCTGATCCGTTCCAGAACAACTGTATCTCGCAGAAGCCTTCACTACTTTTCCGATAGGAAGATTCCCGCCCGAAGCACTTGGCTCTCTCCAGTCTTCCCGGATCTCACATCACTTGACCCTCAACCACCCTCACATCGGCAAATCTCCATGGGCTATCCAATCCTACGCGGCCAGTGTAAAACCGCGTGTTGGGGAAAAGAAGACCATTTAGTTATGATCATGAATGTGGGATCCGATGACGGCAGCGCAAGGAACGACGATGCGGCGCAGGGTCTTCTGCTGCAGTACCAGGTTTACACCTTAGTCGAACCCCACTCGGCGGCGGTAACAAGACCTCGAAGAAATTGATTGGTCTTCCTCAGCCCTGATCATCTCTTGTAGCCTATAAGTGCTGTGGTTTCGCTCTTCGGCTACGGGCAAATGGTTGACAATACTGCGGGCACAATGAACCCTTCACTTGCCAGATACGACATTTGAAGTACATGATGCTCATTGACGTAGGGAATCTTTCTTGAGTTCTCTTATCAAGATGCGATTTCCCCACTGTTTTCCAGCAAGAACATATCGATATGGAAGCGGGAAACGGTGCCATCATGGCATACCCGTTGGGTCACCACAAGGGCACGGAAATATTACTCCAAGCTTTTCGAGAGCTCAGACAAGATGAAACTGGGTATGTGAATAAGCTGCATGGCCAAGCTTTACTGATATCTTTGTGGGAACAGAGACGACATAGGGGTTGCAGTGACAGAAGTGGAAGATGTCCTACCTCTAGAACATACCCGAATCATTGAGGGCAGACATGTTTCTGGAAACTCAGCTCGATCATCCTTACCGTCAGGAAATACATCTAGATACGTCGAACTCTCCGCATCAGAACAAGAAACGAATACTTTGACGCACGATGATACGGCCATATCAGAGTCGCTAAAGGATTCGACAGTACTGAAGTCTCATTCCACGGATGTGACCGATATTACACACCGGGCCGATGCTCTTACTTTGACTCGCCGCAAGCCCTCGTCAAGTCTGTCGCATAGTAAGCTCACTGCGGCCATCGACCACGAGCCACCAACGTACCATCCAACAAGTCTACCTCTAGAAGGAACCCTTCCGGTAATCAGCAGTGTTGAAACTGACGAAGCCATTGCAAGAGATGATACAGTCACCACTATCTCGAACACGTCCCTGCGTCTGCCATCATCACGCACCTCAACAATTTGCTCGGCTGTATCAGCAAGATCACATCAAGAGCCCGGACCTATCCAAATTAGTCCATCTGCTCAACTCCAGAGTATGCAATCTATCAGTAAGCTAGATGCAAGACTCAATGAAGTCACTAGTTTATATAGGCCTTGGAGCACGTTACGGTACGGTCGTACAAACAACCAGGCTGCTTATATACCTACCGGCACACCAGAGTCTATATCCAATATACCATTGAAAGCTGATCTCCTTGGATCTCACTCGAGGTTGAATAACAGTATTCTTACTCCATACGCCGATGGAGCTCACAAACACGAATGGGCGAAATCGAGTGAATGGGTTGAGCCCTGTACTATTAACGACGGACCAAAAGAATGGATCGAAGACTTCCTCACACGCCAGGAGCAAGCAGATCGCGATGAGGAAAATGAGAGGCAGCTCCAAGAGAAACAAGACAAGCAATACGGTAGTATCCGCTATCGAGTGAATAGTGCCGACAAGTTTAGGCGCAGGCTGAGCAAGAAGCGTATATCTGGAGAGCGAGGAAGTTTCGAGGCCAGGCAGGAAAGGAAGAACGGAAATGGTCTTAACATTGATTTAGGGCCAACTCCTTTCAGGCAGACATCGGATTCAATACTTGGAGAGGATCTTGATGGGCCAGCGAGAGCGAGAGCTTTCTCATGGACTCCCGATACGTACCAATCTCCCATATCTCTGACTGCTCTACCAGACCGCTCATCTTGGACGCCCACATCACCATCCCCACTGCACCGTACACATGCTGTAGACAGACTGCATATGTCATTGCCGTCACACCACCCTTCTAGGCGGAAGTTTTCCAACAGTTCTTTCGCGCCGAGCCACCATCGTTCGACTTCCGCTCTAAAACGAGCAGCGACGAGACAACATTCTACCGCTCATTTGAGAACCAGCAGCTGGGAGAATTTGAGAGTCAAGAAGATCACTTCGATAGGTTCAGAATTGAAGAGAACACTCTCCACGGGGTTTGTGCCTGCGATTACAGAAGGAAAAGACAGTATGAAGGGCTTAGTGGGAAGAGTGGAGAAAGTCGGTGAGAGTGTGACTAGAAAGCTTAGCGCAAGCTGCAAGGGGAAATGGAAAGGCTTGGGCAAGAAGAAGAAAAGCATGAACGTTGGAGGGATGTATATCATTGGGAGAGAGCGCTGAGATTTGATCTGAGGTAATGATAGCATCAAGATTAGAATTAGCATCTCCACTCTCATTTTGCGGACCAATGCATTGATCGGCACCCTCTCGCCCGTTGAAAACAATGGCCTTCTAGAATTGTGATAGATTCCTATCACACTTGCTATGCCCATTTTACGGCTTATTCCCTACCATAACAATCATATCTAGATAACAGACTAATCTTCTATCATCTTGAAGTTCGTATCGAGTCGTGCTGCTCGATAGACATGAGTGATGATTGACTCTAGCGTCCCGGTCACTTTTGCCTGAAGCTGTGAGACAATATACTAGTTGAAGTTACTGGATACTCGTTGCTCCATAATAGAATCATATTGCTGTGTGTACTAGAGACGAATCGCTACCGAGCCACGATAGTGTTCGGTCTACCTTTATACCCCGGATCGAGTCGGGCCGGGTCAGAATGGGCCGGATTCTGACAGAAACCTCGTCACCACCACCCCTGACCCACGAATACTTTGACCCTCTACCTGAATCTGATACTTTCCCTGGAAAAAAACTGCAGGAAACGATGTGTCAGATATCGGTGCTTCGGCTTAAGACGTACAGGCAGACGGTACCCCTCAGTACCGACTTATTGGTTCTGCTCGACGCTGATGCTCTTATTTACCGCTCCATTGGTTAGAGGGCCTCTCAGAAGTTGTTGGCTGATGGTAGATAGGTGCTTCTTTTAGGTTGGTTGGTCATTGTGAGCCAACATTGAGACTGCACACAAAATGTATCTCCGGTTCTCCTGCGTCATTCGATATCCTTCTTTGATCTCCTTTAGTGTCACTATCCGGGACTGCCATCAATTGAAAAGCCGTCTTATACTCTAGGATGCAAGCAAAATAAAATCTAGATTCTACCAAGAAGCGGAAACGATGCCGCAGTACTTCCCGACGGTCCCTCATCAACCTCTTCAGCCATCAACCCCCCATCGTGGCTTCAAAGCGTATTTTCTGAACAACCACCCTGTCCTCTATACAAAGCTCCGTACGTTTAGCACAACTTATACGCATCCCTCTCTCTGTTCGCATACTGTTTCAGCAATATATCCTTGGCCGTATGTTGTAGCATCCACTTTCCGAGCAACATATCCGATACTCACTGACAATACACCAGTCTCGACGCTATCCTCCTCCCAAAACGCAGACCTTACGAAACCCCTTTGGATCGAATCTACGTAATGTACCACTACCTCATCCGCGGTGACTACGAAGTCCTCCGCAACGAAGTCCAGGACTTCTTCGACCACAAGCACTGGCATGTCCAATCCATTCCCGACCCTCGGGATCACGATCCAGAACGTTATGCCATCCTCGCAGCCATAACCCAATACCTTGCAAATGGCATCAATCGGCGTATCATGATTTCTCAGGGCTATCGGAAGGATCCAATAGGTCCGTGGCGGACGGCGGCCTACCACTTTTTCTATGGTACCAAGGGCTACCTGCCGATTCTTGAGAAGCTAGATAAGGCGCCGAAGTGGGCAGGAAGGGTCAAGATGGTGGAGAGTAGGCTGGAAATCTGTCAGGGTTGGACAAGTGAGGTCTGGGGTGGGAAGAGTAGTTTGAAGTTTGCGGCGAAGGGAATTGTGTGCACTGAGATCGTGGAGTGCTTCATTTGATGATGAGTAGATGAGTAGGATACACCATGTGAGTGTTGTATGTGTACTTCACATTGGCATTGCTTAACTAGCTAGGAGTTTCTATCAAGTTTCCAATGGATCGCATCATCACGAGCCTCTATACCCCTACGCAGCTTCGTCCTCGATCTCTAAATCTCCTACCTTGAACTTCTTTCCCTTCTTATCCGCGTAATCCGTATGATTGTGGTAGTCCTTCACTCGCTCTCTCACATATTCCAATCCTCTCACTGGCTTCTTGTCGGCCGCATCATCGCCAACAAGACCCAATCTCCTCAGTAGCGGCGACGCCACCGGCTTGATATCCACATCGTTTCCTGGTCGAACAAAGTAGAACAAGCCCAGTCGGTGGATGTATGCTTGATCCTCTGGCGGTCTAACGACCCGATGGATAGTTGACTTCAGATAGCCAGCCGACCAAAAGGACAGCGTATCGCCAACATTACAAACGATGCCGTTGGGCACAGGTGGGACGTACTTCCATTCTCCAGTCGGCGTTTTGAGTTGTAGACCAGCAACATCCTGGCTCCACAATAGAGTCAAGCTTCCAAAATCCGTGTGCGCGCGAGACCAGGTATTTTGAACCTTGGCGTCGTCGGCGGCAGGACGGGGGTGGTAAATCATGTAGCGGAGATGGTCTTCCGACGGATCGTCGTAACGATGTTGGTCAGAGAAGTAATTTTCTGGTAGTTCTAGTATCAAGGAGAAGAGCTTGAAAATCTTCGAAGCGATGTCCAGAGATCGACGGGAAAAGTCCTCAATCTCGGACCGGAACGAATGCAAGAATGGGTGGAATGGTTCGTGAGAGTTTGAAGGAATGAATTTAGGTATGTTGATCGATTCGACATTATCGAGAACGGTTGTACCCATTATCTTCTTCTCGTTTGCCTTTTTCTCGCGTTAGTGTGCACATACTGCTGTCGCGCTTGCTGTTTAGATAGAGATACCTACAGCGCGGTACCCGAAATAGTTTCCATTTGCAAAATCACATCGGTACTCTGGGTCGCCCTTCTCCTCCAATGGCAAGTTGAAGTAAGCTTGACCGATGTCATATTGCCGATCAATCTCTTCTTGTGTGAAGCCAGTACCAGTGACGCTGAAGAAACCTGTGTGGTGCACCTCCGTGCTCGTCAGGATATAGGCTCATTGTACAATGTCTGTTAACTTACAGCGTCTCTTAATTCTTCAGCCAATTTCTGTTTCCCATTAGGCTCGTCGAATGTGGATAGATCGATGATCTTAATGTCTGCCCAGTTCAAGTCCTTGGTCGTGTGCTGGGGTCGCTTCCACTTCGCGATGGATGGTGGTTCTTGCGGCACCGCTGACGGCATGTTGTTGGTGGGAGTAGCGGGATTTGAGGTTTGTGAGCATGATGATTACGCCTATATGTATTCGACGAAGTTATCCCCGGTTCTTTCTGGCCTATCATAGTTGTTTGTGTTCCCTGACAGAGATGCGGAGGTGGCGAGCACGCAATACCCCGCTAGACGTCGTGCTCGCATGACTGCGTCACATAACGCATACTCTTCTCATCTGTATTCCAAAATCCTTCACCTGAAATGCGAATCCGTGCGAAGCGGGTTTCTAAGTCACGATCGTTATTTCGACCATATCGAGGATACTTACTGTGCGTAATCGCGATTGATACGTTCCATAGGGCATGGAAATGTCGCCCGAGCCGGATGTTTTGTGCAAAGGTATCACAGCACCTAGTATGCGTTTTGACCGTTCTTTGCAGTCAGCAAGCAGCATTCAAAGTTACTGTCAAGTGTCATGGGATCTTTCCGGCAGCTCTCTGCTTGACAGAATAGTATGAAGTTACTGGTCGTGCGTGTCGTAACGATGCCTCATCCGTACAGATAATACGCATGCTAAGGTTGTGCGACCACCTAGAAAGAGAGACGTGACGTTTCCTCTCTAGCTACAGTGACGTCGACGACAGCGTGTAAGCGTAAAACAGTCATGTTTTCGAGCGACTGCTAGATCAATCGACCATCTCTTGAGTCTGTTTCCACTTCTTGGCTCTTCTTCCCGCTTGTTGTAATTCGTACTATTCAGAAAGGAGGCATTCAAGGCAGAAATGACAGCAACTCGAAAACTTGAAGAAGACATGACCAGAACGATTGGCCATGTACAACCACCTGAGACACTTAAAACTCAATGCGCGGATGATGCACTCCAAGAGGCTCACCGAAAAGTGGATGCCCGTATGCTATACTGGTATGCCTTCGTCTTCCTCGTCATGCGCATGAACGTCAACAACATTTCGAACACAGCGATTCTGAACAAGGAGGAAGGTACCGACATAAGAAAGCAGCTTGGTAACCTTTCTTCATCTCAATGGGCATGGGCTTTGAGCATCTTCTGGTATCCATATATGCTGTTCGAGCCGGTTGCAACGTTGATGTTGAAACGTTTCTCCCCAAGCATCTGGATGAGCCGGATCATGTTCACTTGGGGTGTTGTATCGATGTGTCAGGCTGCGACGCACAACTACTCCGGTATACTGGCTTGTCGCTTCTTTCTGGGCATGGCCGAGGCGGGTAAGTTGTGACTGTACGAAAAGCTTGTAAGACATATACTGACTTTGCATCTTCACATCTGCAGGCTTTTTCCCCGGTGTGTTGTACCATCTCAGCTTTTGGTATCCTGCACACCGACTGCCGTTGCGTGTTGCGTTTCTGTGTGCGTGTGGCATGTTCGCGGGTACGGTCAGCGGGCTACTCGCGTATGCGATAAGCCACATGAATGGGGTTGGCGGACTTGCTGGTTGGCGATGGGCAGGTGATCGAACTCTTCTTAGATTCATATGCTAACAAACTTCAGCTTTTCATCATTGAGGGTATATTGCCCACAATATGTTCGGCGTATACGTACTTCCATTTACCAGGTTACCCGCAGACTGTCGATTTCCTGAGCGAAGACGAGTGCGCAGCCATCTTGGCTGATCTACCACAGCAAGCACCCACTATGCGCGCAAAAACGTTTGACACAGATCAGGTCAAGTCTTTGTTCAAAAGCGCAACCTTCTTCCCGTTCCTCATGATCTGGACAACGCACAGTATCGGTGGATGGGGCATATCGTTCGTTCTTCCCACCGTCATCTACGAGTTAGGCATTTCCAACACAGCCGTGTCTCAGGTTCTGACTATACCGCCTTTCGCACTTGTCTTCCTTATACTGATGAGTCTCGCATACTTCATCCATCACGGGTATCTCTCGCCTTGGGTTGCCGGTCTTGGAGTTGAGGGCATACAGATAATATGCTATATCCTGTTGATCAACGTCAAACAACCAGTCGCGAAGTACATCTTTGTCATGATAGCGACAGCAGCCTCTCAATCTTTCTTCGCAATTATTTGGCCCGAGCGTATACGTGTGGCAAAGGGTACTACGACAGCTGGACTGGCCATTGGGATGACGAATGCAAGCGGACAGCTCATGGGCATTGTTGGGCCCCAGATCTATCAGCCGAAATTTGGTCCAACATATCGAATTAGCTACGCCTGTTCTATCGCGTTGCTTGCAATGTGTCTGGGGGCTGTTTTGAGCACTTGGCACTTTGTGCGGAAGGGAGACGCCAAAGGAATGACAATGCAGGAGACTGAAGATGGGGTATTGGTTGCGTAAGATCCGTGATACTCAGGCATTTTAGAATCGAGAGGCCAATAAGCTGACTAATGATCGAGCAGGTATCACTGCAAGTCTTCATGAACCTGGTAAATGTGCACAGTTGGTGAGAAGCATGTTCCGATCGTAGAAAACAATGTTGGGTGCAGGATGTTAATGGGAGGTTCTGGGCATCGTGGTGTGGAGGCCTTATCAGCGTCGACAAGATCCTGTCGGGGCTTTCGCATCCTCCGATTTCCAGTTAAGCCCATTGAAGCAATAAGTACGAGCACCTTCGTCTCTCACGGTGCCGGAAGATAATTGATGGCCGACAGTCTTTCAAGCTTTTGTCCCTGCAGAAGTGCACGCCTAGAACCCAAACAGACTATATCCAATCGCCAAAGCCCCAAGAATTGAAGTTAGCAGCGTTCAGGGCGACCGCCGATTGTCTTGGAACTCTGGTGATGTCATTAGCGACGGTGAAATTTCGCCGTAGCGCCTGAGAACCCGATCCGCAAGTTCGAAGTACGGAGTTCCGACTCGCGATACTGTCTGCATCCTAGTGGGCTGCACCTGGGGTAAGGAAGGATAGTACAACCAAGACGCATGCAAAGGACCGAAGGAGAGAATGGATGAAGAATATATAGTTTAGATGTACGGACGTCCGTCTCGGAAAAAACACGCTTACAGTTTCCTTTTCATCCTGCTGCACATGTTTAGCCGCAGTACCTTCCATATCTGTGTCAGAATCATATCTCAGCCACTCAGCACCTAAAATCCCCATCCGCACCTTCTCCGAATTTCCTCGTCGCCAAAAAGATGCCGTCAGCTACAAGTCCTCTCAACATTCTCATAAACGGCTCTGGTATCGCCGGTCCTGTCACTGCATACTGGCTGCACCGCTTTATGCCAACATGTCAAATCACCATCCTAGAGCGTGCGCCTGAACCAAGATTGGGTGGACAAGCCGTGGATCTCCGCTCTTCATGTCTGCCAATCGTGAAGAAGATGGGAGTATTGGAAAAAGTGAAAGAGAAGACTACAACAGAAGTTGGCATGCAATTTGTGTACCGGGATGGCCAAAGGCGAGCGACTTTCGAGGCTACTGGAGAGGAGGAGCGGCAAAGTGGTATGTTAGTCCCAATGCCTTGCGAACAGAAAAACACTAGTCGAGACGCGATAAGAACTTCAACCTAACCTCGTTCCAGCAACAAGCGAGTACGAAATCCTACGAGGAGACATGGCACGCATCGTGTATGAACTCACAAAGGATAACCCACAAATAACCTACATTTTCGACGAGATGGCCATCGAAGTCCAACAAGACGAATCAGAAGACGGCAAAGCCCTCGTCACCTTCAAGAACGGCAAACTCCCTCCCACAGAATTCGACGTTGTGATAGGCGCCGATGGCCAGATGTCAAGGACCCGCCGTATGGTCTTTGGTCACGGACCCAACAACGACGATTACCTGTATCGTCTCGGACAGTACTCTGCTCTCTTCACCATGCTTCGCGATCCCACCGACACCCAGTATGCACAGTGGTACAATGCATCGCGCGGCCGGCTGTTTTTGTTACGACCTGATCAGTATGGTACAACCAGAGCTTATCTCGCCGTCACCGATGCGAACTTGAGTCGTTTTGATGAGCTAGATAAGCTGTTGAAGAAGGGAACCAGGGAGGAGCAGCAAGCGTGGTTCGAAAAGGAGTTTGAGGGCGCCGGATGGCAGACTGAGCGTTGCATACGGGAGATGAAGAAGGCGGATGACTTCTACATGCAGCAGATTGCGCAGGTCAAGATGGATACTTGGCATAAGGGGCGAGTGGCTCTAGTGGGCGATGCTGCGTATTGCCCAAGTCCGATCTCTGGTGTCGTAAGTTGCCTCAACACATCCTCTCAACACTGACGTGTGATACTAACATCTACAATAGGGAACTGGAGCAGCCATAGTCGGCGCCTATGTCCTCGCTGGCGAGATCTCTCGTAACCAAGAGGATATCCCCACTGCACTAGCAAACTACGAACGTGTTGCACGGGAATACGTAGACAAGGCGCAGAAGCTGATCCCAGGAGCACCACAGATTGCGAACCCGCAGACTGAGTGGGGGATTAAGATCTTCAACACTGTGACCGGCACGCTATCACATCCGTATATTCAGAAGTTCAGTGGTGTGATTGGAAAGATCATTCCGGCGTTTGGGTCGTCAAAGATTTGGAGCCCGCCAGAGTACGGGTCATAGAGTCGACGTATGGCTCGTGTATTAGCATTCTAGTTCAGGATAGATCGAATATGCGCTGGTGGAATACCGCATGATTTTAGCACTAATGCTTTCACCCTGCCCCAATAAGAACCTTCACAAAAGGATCATAAAGGAGATCGAGTTTTGCGTCTTGCCAGCGCGAACATCTTCTGCCCGTCTACTAGCTAAGTAGATCTACGCCAACACCTCGAAGCGCATCGACTGCCCATAGAGGATACTTATCCTTCTCTCCGTTGTGCAGCTTGCTAAAGAAGTCTTTGACGAACTGCGGGTATCGATCTTGTATGATGGCCTCTCTTGCCTCTTTCATCAAATTGAGCTGGTAGTGCACATTGTGCATTGTAAGAAGATGCGCTCCGGCGGTTTCTTTGGCGGTAACATGATAGATGTATGCTCTCGTGATTCCAAGTCCGCCTTCGGACATTGGACGGCAGCAGGTGCATTTACAACCTTCCTCGATAGGGCCAAAATCTTCAGAGTAAGCGGCGTTGCGTAGGTTGAGGCCACCGTGGGCAGTAATGGCGTTGCCAAAACGCTGGGAAACGTTAGTCCGAGTCTACAGTGAAGCAGATAGTATGCCTTACAGCCGTGCGGGTTGGCCAAACGCAGTCGAACATGTCCGCGCCAAGTGCTACGGACACGACCAAATCTTCTGGGTAGCCCTGGTCCCGTCAGTAAGCTGTGACATGTCGCAAGTCATCCAAGACATACCACGCCCATGACATATCGAGGCTTCTTCTCAGGTAGCAGATCGGTGCATGTCTTGACGACGTCACAGTAAGCCGCTTTTTCCTCACCACCAGACAAGCCTCCTATCGCAATGCCTGGCGTATCTCGCGCGACCATCTCAGCCGTACATTCCCGTCGCATGTCTAGATCTAAGCCTCCTTGTATAATGCAGAAGAGGTTCTGCTTCTCTGGGTTTTTGTGCGCTTGTATACAGCGGTCAAGCCAGCGTACCGAACGTTCCATAGCTTCCTTCATACGCGCATGATCGGGCGAGGTGGTCGCGATAACGTCGTCGAGTTGCATAATGATGTCGGACCCGATCGAGTTCTGGAGGGATATTGAGTGTTCGGGCGTGAGCAGCATGGGTGACCCATCGTGGGGACTGAGGAAGCGGACGCCTTCCTCGGTGACTTTGGCGAGTTTGAGTAGCGATACCATCTGGAAGCTGGTGTTGATATCAGCTGCTGCTCAATTGCGACGAATTTGGAGGTATCACCCACCCACCGCTATCTGTAGCAGTCAGCACTTCCGCCTCTTCATCCTGTTGTGGTGTTGTGTTTGGCACCTGTAAGGATATTGTGTGGCCATGACTGCAGCTTGTGCGCGCCGCCTATGGCGTCAAGTGTCGCCTGTCCTGGCTTCAGACCTCTCCCTCAAGTCAGCAGCTGCTGGCACATATGGAGGCAAGACTTCTCCCGTACAGATGGTATGTGTTGTTCAAGCATAGCCGACATCCCTGGTCTTCTAGTTGATCTGGCGTGAGGCCTTTGAGGGAAGCCTGCGTCGCAACGGGCATGAAGATGGGGAGGGGTACAGGGCCATGAGGCAGATGCAGCGTTGCGGCGCGTGCTTTGGTCACCTGAGGCTGTCAGAGGGTGCGCAACATGTCAAGCTCGGATATTGCCTACTGAGCACTTCCCCAGCAGCTCAAAGGTGAGCGCTGAAGGCATCGATACGGGTGCCATGATGCGATTGGAGGTGATGCATCCCGCAATAAGACGCGACATTGCGACCGATGATTCGGTTACGGCCCGTTCGCTTAGCGCGACTTCCCGTCGTTCATCTTCATGATTCGTTCCAGAGCAAGTCAATCGCATTTGGTAATTATGAGGCTTAATGCTCCCACCTAACAGAGAAGATTTTTTTTCTTCAAGATTTCATGAGATTCAGTAGCACTGATTGCCAGAAACATGTTCGCATCAATCCATAATGATATATGTGCAACCCAGTTAAACCCAACAAAGATTAGACCATACGCCGGCAAAGAAGAGCAGGACATATTCTAGATGAACATCTTATCACCATGATATTTGACATCCTCCCTGTATGCCGTAGACTTGACCGAGGCCTCTAGCTCTCTCTTCGGGAAACCCTTGAAGGAGCGCGCATATGTCGCGACCGAGTGTGCGATGAGCTGGGAAGTGTTAGCGGAGTCCCTCTGTATACTGAGTATTGGAAGTACTTACCTTGGTGTTGACGACCCACGCCGTCTCATTGAGGTTTGAGATATCGTCGCAAAGCTGATGGTAGCAGTTGTCATACCAATCTCCCGCCTTTCCACCAAACATCTCAACCTCCTTTTCCGTCTTGATACCCTCCGCTCCCGTAGCGATACCACCGCCAGGAATGCCGTTTCGGATGAAGCCATCATAGTCGCTGCGACCATCGAAGGGAATAAAGGTGTAGTTCAGACCTTGATCCTTGTACCATTGGATGTACAGATCGCGCAACTCTTCTGAACCATTAGGGTTCAGCGCGTTTGTAGCGTTGTAGATTTGGTAGGCGAAGTTCGGGCTAGCCATCATATCGTAATCCATGAAGAGACGGATCTTCTGGTTCTCCTTCTCGGGCAAAGAGGCGACATAGTAGTCGGAACCCAATAAGCCTTCTTCTTCACCTGCCCACCAGGCAAACCTCACACAGTTGCTCACGTTGAACTTGGTGAGTTGTGTGGCAACCTCAAGCAGCGACATCGTACCTGATCCATCATCGTTAATTCCAGGGCCTTCAGTAACACTGTCACTGTGGGCACCGAGCATGACACAATTGTCTGGGTCGCCAGCTGTCGTCTGCGCGACAATGTTGACGGTAAGGATCGTGTTCACTTCGGCGTCGATGTAGGCGATCGCATCAACGCGCTTTCCCTTCTCAAGCTTCTTCAGAATTGGCTCAGCTTCTTCGCCAGAGAGGCCAAATGTGGCAATGTGATCTGGTGATGGCGTTCCGAGGGTACCTGAGACAGCATCTTTCTCGTAGTTGTAGACAATGGCAGCAACAGCACCTTTGCGACCAGCATGCTCAGACTTGGTGCCGAAGGGGCACACACCACGCTTGACGAAGGCGATGTTGCCAGCTACGGAGTCCGGGAAGTCAGACTCCTGGCAACCCTCGTTTTCAACAAAAACAAGATCGCCGTGCACAGGCTCTTTGTCCTTGGTGGCTGGCGTCAATCCCATAGCCCTTGCAGACTTGGGCACGCTGTCACCGATAACAAGACGAGATTCAAAAACATTGCCGGAAACAGCTGGGAATGTCTGGTTGGTGATGGTGTAGTAGTCGCCAAGCTCAAGGACAGTTTCATAGATGTAAGATAGCGTTCCGAGGTGGCCTACGAGTTCGTTAGCATCAGCAAGCAACACGTCACGTGAGCACACTTACCAGCACTCCCGATTACTCTGGTGGGGTGGTTGTATTCCTCCTCGCCGAGCTTCGCAATCTCATACATCTTCTTAGCGCGCGCCATCAACCTGTCTCCGCTGATGAGGTCCTGGAGCTCCGTGGAGTTGACCAGCGGTTTCGTTCCATGTGGATGTCCCAGTGACGCTTGGTTACCGGATGATAGAAGCGGGACCTGGAGCGCAGCCGCGCTTGTGATGGCTGCGCACAGCGCAAAGCCTGAGTAGAAGACCATGTTGTAAGATGCGGAGATGGAAAGGTGTGGAGGTGAAGTGAGATGGATGGATGATGGTTGTCTGTTGATAGAGGTGTCGCTGTTGCCATGACGCTAGCACGCGCCTACCGATAACACATGTCCCCGTGCACGAAGCCAGGTGATCACGCTCGAGCGCGTATCATATACTCATGGAGATTCTGGTGTGTCTCCAAATCCCATCATCGAGCATTGCGGATTGCAATGTGGGAAGAGCATCACATGGTAGAAATGCAGCCCTGTATAGGTTCACGCATAGCCATCCCGACACTAGTCTATCATATGCAAGGTACGACGACCATTCAAGAACCAATCAGCTTGAGCTCGAACCACAGCCTGAACATCACGTTCCGAACATTCGGTGCGAGTGTTATTTGTATGTGAGTACAGGTTGCATTCGACATTCGATCGCCATCTTTCGCAACTCGTCGGGCCTTTTTGACATTGCGATCGATGGGGTTATATTCGTGCAAAGTTCAGAAGCCATCTCATCGGAAGCATGCTTCTGCGCTTGGGTTCAATAGCGCAGTCGATGCACGCGACATCTGGAGGCTGGTAGTGTCCAACCTGCCATCGAGTAGCTCGCATTTGCATAGCGGAGATCGAGACCCTTTCCCCCTTGTTAGACCTGAAATGTGGAGTCTGGGCCCACGTCAATGTGCATTGAGCTGAAACCCTGTTCTGGAATCCGCATCATGATGCAGCCAAGGGGTGTCAAGCATTGCCAAAGACGTTGTATGGTGCTTGGTGACGTGTCTAGAGCAGATAAGCTCAGCTAGACACTTGATGGACATGTGGCAGGACGAATGGAGCGCAATTGAAAGGCGGTATAGTAGCCAGTCGCAGAGTTTCGGTGTAGCCCCGCTGCGACATTTTCGTTGTTTGGCGATCATAGCGCTGAGGCTGTGTGTTGTAGTGGACGCGCCCGTTGCGACCTCCTGCACCTCGTAAACAAGGAAGTATACTACTCCTCCCGAAATGACGCCCGGCCCTTTTACAATGTCTAGTCTCTCCGGCCCTCTTGTCTTTCCTTTTTGCCTGCACTCCTACACTTTCTCCTCGATTGCAGCCTTACAGACTGCAATCGCTGCAGGTCTACTCATACGCACGCCCTGAAACACTCACCGCTGGGCCCCATCCGTGCAGTCGTCGCCTACACCTAGCGCCCATTGCCTGTGAATACTACAACCTAAGCAACCCACATTTACGAACACCATGGCGCACCGTTCAAGAAGCTCGCGAGATTATCCTAGCGGCCATGGGCACCGCTCATCGCGAGAACGACAGTATACCACCGAGAAGACGACGCGCCGCGGCGACGACGATCGCCGTGATAGATCCAGACGTCGCTCGGAACTGCCGCAGTACAATCACAATGGCCATAGGGTGACCCCAGGCCTTCATCCTGAGGGCGAAAGTGGCAGAAGGGGGTTCAATCCAATCAAATTTCTTGTCATCTCTGGCAGGAGTAGCAGCACGCCGTCCATGCTAGTCAACTGCTTGTGGCCTATCGTACCCATTGCGATCGCATTTGTAAGTCTGGCATGCCAAAGTACGGTTCGTATATACTGATAAAGTCAACAGCACTTTGCGAAACCTGAATGGCATATGGCAATCTTCATTACCAATTACATCGCTATGTTGCCTTCAGCAAACTTGCTCGGCTTCGCTGGCCAGGAGTTCTCGCGCAAGATGCCCAATAAGGCTTTTGCCGTCGTCCTCGAGACAACATTCGGTTCCATCGTTGAAATCATTCTGTTCATGGTGTTGATAGGGACGTCCAATGGCGATTCCAACGTGCAGGTTATTAAGGCTGCCATCTTGGGATCCATTCTTGCCAATCTGCTCCTCTGTCTCGGAACATGGTAAGCACTCTCGTAATTATCAGTTGACCTACTGTGCTGACATGCTGTAGTTTTATCTTCGGCGGTCTCAAGAATGACCACCAAGAGTTCCATCCTGCTGTCTCTGAGAACGGTAGTGGCTTGATGCTTGTCGCTGCTAGTACGTCATCCTCCTGCATCTTGTTCGATTCCAATACTAACCTCAGTAGCCGCATTGGTACTTCCTGCTGTCTTTTACGCATACCTCTTCCAGAATCCTGACTACGACTTGACGACCGTCAACATCCCATACAACACTCGTTTGATTTCCCGTGGCGTAGCCATCATATCAATCATAGGCTACTTGATCTACGTGTACTTCCAAACCGTATCGCACGATGGTCTGCTCCACGAAATCTACGAGGCGGACGATCACAAGGACAAGGACCGCCACGAGGAGTTGGCGAAGCCCAAGCTTACCATGACCGAAGTCATCGTCGCCCTTCTCGTCTCCCTGACTTGCGTAGCGCTTGTCGCCATTTCCCTCGTCCTCGAGATCCCATACATTGTAGAGGAGCGGGGTGTCAGTGACGCCTTTGTCGGTCTTATTCTGATTCCACTTGTTGAGAAGATCGCCGAACATCTGCTCGCTATCGACGAAGCCTACGACAACCAGATCAACATGGCTCTCGCTCATGTTCTGGGTGCGTCTATCCAGACTGCCTTGTTCAACGCACCGCTCGTAGTACTGGTTGGCTGGGGTATCGGTGTCGGCATGGACTACAACTTCGCCATCTTCGACGCGGTCGCTTTGATTCTTGCCGTTTTGGCGGTGGGCTCTTTCCTGCGTGATAGGAGTTCCAACTACCTTGAGGGTATGCTTTGCGTGATGACGTACATTATCATCGCAATCTGCGCGTTCTACTTCCCCAACCCTGCGCACCACGGTGGCGCCGCTGAAGGCGGTTCAGAGGGCGGTGCGGAAGGCGGTCACTAGCGACGATCAGATGGATGTGATCAGGATCTGTCACCTCAAATTGGCACTGGCACAGCTACGGTGTTTGGAGTTTCAGTGTAAAATGGTTTACAAGGAGCCTGGCGAAGCTTTAGTAGCGAGCATCTGTGATGCACTTTCTTTGAGCGTTCTTCTTTTCCATCAGCAACAATTAGCGAGCGTGAGATATCAATACTACACATATGATACAACTTCTTCCTACATGCCAGAAACTGCAAGATGGTGTTCGTGAACGTCAAATGTCCCAGTCCCACGTTGGCGCTAAACCATCCGCGACTAGCCTCGCGCACCGACCACCACACACATTACGCGAATTATCGAGCCGTCCTACCGACATTTCTACTCTCCAGCGACAATCCAACTAACCCGACAGCCACCGCCCCTTCCCACGACAACCTCTTCTCCCAGCTCACACAACAAGTCGCCAAAATGGGTCGCGTCCGAACTAAGACCGTCAAGAAGTCCGCCAAGGTCATCATTGAGCGTTACTACCCCAAGTTGTCGCTGGACTTCGAGACCAACAAGAGGATCTGTGATGAGATCGCCATCATTGCCTCCAAGAGGCTCCGAAACAAGATTGCCGGATACACCACTCACTTGTACGTCTCTGCAAAGGAGTTGAAGCAATGGCAGTGAGGGCAGGACCTAGAAGAGATGCGGTGGTTTGCGCCGAGTATTGGCTTTGCGCAGACCTAGCACTTGAACAGGAAGCCACCTACTCGCCAGAGCTGGAACCCCATGAGCAATTCGCTCTTTTGTACTGGCATCGGACTAACAACTTACAGGATGAAGCGTATCCAGCGCGGTCCCGTTCGTGGTATTTCCTTCAAGCTCCAAGAAGAGGAGCGTGAGCGAAAGGACCAGTACGTCCCCGAGATCTCCGCTCTCGACTTCACCCAGAACAGCGAGTCCGGCTCGCTCGACGTCGACCAGGAGACCAAGGACCTCCTCAAGTCCATGGGCGTACGTTACTTCTTTACCCACACTGCATTATGCTGTTTACTAACGCTCTCCATAGTTCGACAGCATCCCCACCAACGTTATTGCCGTTTCCCAACAACAAGTTGTCGAGCGCGGTCCCCGCCGCTTCAACGACCGCCCCGCCCGCTCGTAGATACGAATGCGCAAGCGCGACCCGCCGGTCTCCCTTCTTCCTCCTTTCTCGGCTTACTGAAAATATGGTGTCTGGGAAAGGGTTTCTGCCACGACTATGGCATAGTTTTACGGCTATATACGGCGGCATGATGATCAGGAGTCAATGAAACAAAAGGTTCTCCCCCCACTAGGTGTCGCTGAGTCTGACTGTCGCAAGACATGAAGACGATGCTTGATTGCCATTTCCCCCATGCATGCCCTATGCGTGATGTGATGTTGGAGTGATGTCGACCAAGAACGAATGTAGATACCAGGCAGGTAAGTGGGCTCTCTTCTCATGCACTGCGGTGTAAAGACAAGAAAGATGGAGTGGCATCAGGCGATACGTGTATGTGTCGTGAGCTCACCAGCTCTCAATTCAGTGGAAACAAGTTCATGTATTCACTCTTCCACACCATGCATTCACTTCTCTGTAATACGCTACTTCTACAAATTTGATCTTTGCCGAGAAAGATCAGCACTGTAGATTTCCTCCACTCATCGCCTCTCAGAGGCACCATGGACATCGCGCAAAGGCCAAGCTCCAGTGTATGCCTTGCTCACGAGGCTATGCTTCAACTCCTTGGCTGTTGATGCAACATCATCAGGTTTCTTCGACGCATCGCCATTCTGTTGGTCGTCTTCTGTACCCACATCCAACACCGCTTGATGTAAACTACTCCGGTCATTTGATGCCACACTGTCAGCCGGCTCCACTCTAGTACTCGATGGAGACGCCGTAGGTGTAGCTGTCACTGCTCTGATGGTACCGATCGCCGGTGTTTCGGGAACAGCCAATGTGGTGAGAGTTGGGCCAGGTCCATGTTCTAGGCTTGGATAACGTATATGATGCTCTGGGTCTGATATTTCAGTGCGCTTGTTGGTACCCTTGAGTCGCAGTAAAGAGGAGAGTGATGGACGGCCTGAGTCTGTGGGTAAAGGTGGATCCGTTGCATCCGGGAGTGTGTTCTGCTGGCGGACATGCTTGGTAGAGTAGAAGGCTCCCAAGCAAAGAAGTAGAATGACGATGATTACTATGATTATGCCGGCTGTTTCTGGGCCAGACAAGGTCATCGTGTGGGTCTATTTTGTCAACAGTAGTGCTTGGGTTGAGCAAGTCTGGATCATGGAGAGCCGACGAACAGTAGGTCTTGTATACTTTTCAATACGCAATGGGGATTTGATTGACCGGGTAAGGAAAGAGCTGGAAGTGGGTCGTGCAAATGCATGTTCATTCTGTTTGTGGATATTCATTGTGGTAGCCGTCGGGTAGTGGCGTGTTACATCCAGAACTTTCGAACACATCCTGTCAAGGGTCCCTATACTGAGATTGTGCGCATGATATGATGGTCATGAAGTTTAGTGTCGATGGAAGGACTACATTGAAATGTGTAACTACGTGCTGCAACTAAGAGGCGTCAAAGGGATATCCCTGTTGCGCTGACGTAGTTTTCAAGGTTGGTGTGGACATATGTAGCATCGTGAGGAAAGTTCAAATCATTCAGTGCTTATGAACGTTCCATGAGCCACCTGCAATAGCCTTGAGTCCTTTGGAGAGTTTGAGCGCTCGCTGAATATGTGTCAATTACGACCGCTTGAACAGCCACTCCAGCGCTTTCTTCACCCTGCCTGGCGGCTTCTCTACCGACTTCTCTACCGGCTTCTCCCCCAACTTCTTCCAGACAAATAGACCTGGCTTTCTTCTGGAGCAACGCCTCTTTATACCCATCTCATCTATCCACCTAACCTCCCACCCCTCCTCCAGTAACGCAAGCACTTCGGTCGTTGGGCACGATCGTAGGCTCGTAGTAGTACCGCGTTGGCGCATACTCTCTATGCCGAATGAATATACGAGCCGGCGGAATTGGCCACCTGCAACAGAGTGATCTTCATCGTGGAGTCTCTTTAGACAGAATACAATCCTCCTAATATTGCACGCATTTGCTGGCAGTGGCGGTCGTGAGGAGCGAGATGGACGACGGAGACACCAAGCGTTATTTTCTGGCAGGTGATTTCCATTGCAAATACCTGGCGCAACGAGACAGTTCATTGACATAGCAAGCGTGATAATATCCGAGTAGGCTGTTCTTTCGCGATAATGATCTGTGTTCGTGGTGTATCCGGGAGGAAACACGGCTCCTCTTGCCTCCACACCGTGCATAAAATACTGCATTAGAAGTGGAAACCCGATGTTAAACATCTGCCAGACATCATACTCACTCTCATGCTCCTCGATTCCAATGGTAAGACTGGCTAGATGAAGTTCCAGTAATGAAATTATAGCGACTACTATCCCGCTCAAAATGGGTCTGTTGCTCATTGCCCAGCGGGGTATTCCGACCGTGACGTGCATCGATGAGGCAAGGTTAATTGGATGAAGCGGCCGCAGCTTCATTGGCGCTGCGTAGGCGGTGTCTTGTATTTCGTGCAGAATGAGAGGCGCGAGGCGGACGGATTCTGTCGCCATCTCGTGGTAGATCTGGGAGCAGGAGAGCAAGAGCCCAATGTACGTCTTATGGTGCGCGTTCGGGAGGAAGCCCCCAGGGACCAAGTGGCTGTAGATGAGCAGGCGGAGCTCGGCAGGCAGTGCGAGAATGCGGCATGCTTTCGCGATTGGGGTACGGCTAGTTCTGGCTCGAGGGATAAGTCGTGCCATAGCGCATCCATCTAGCGATTGAGTTCCAGATGGAGGGTGAAAGGGAGTCAGGTCGCAAAAAAGTCCTCTCGCACAGAGGAGGTGTTCGGCTCTAGTCCGCTTCTATGATGATGTGTTCCAAAAGTGTCCTTCACCGTGAAAGGCCTCATTAGGCTGGCCATTTACAACGTCTCTGCTTATAACGTAGCCTCGTTACATTCTTTTAATCCTCAGTATAAGACAGACATCATGATAGTCCCAAATATACTTTTTTAGCCTATATCGCAACATTGATGATTGGAAAACGACAAACACCTCATGGATGTCAAGCTCCTTGTTCCTTTCAGGCTTTCGCGCATACTATGAATGTCGTCCCGGACGTGGAAAACATCGTGATCTGGCTAAATAATTGTTCCACCAACCTATCGGCAGGGTGGTCACCATTTTGGAGGCGACACAGTCTGTGGAGACTTTTAACGTTGCTCGCCAAAGGATACAGGAGTCTAGTCGACAAGAACAAATTACGGATTGTGACCAGGCCTGGCTTTCTTTGATACCAGTTTATCTACATCATTCACTGTTTATGAAACATGTAGAACATTGATCGAGGAAGACAGATGGAACGCGGACGAGTCGAGGATTTTGCTGTAAGAAAGCGACTCGAAGGGATATATAGCTTACACGCACCCGGGCTCACTCCGGCGATACTGGGTGCGTGTAAGAACATGCGAGCCATTGTAACAATTATTGCCGATGGACTGTAAGCTGAACGATTGATGTGCCTGGCGGATGGCTAGGATTATCGTTGCGATTAACAGCGCTAAGCTATGACGTTCACCCGAGGTTGTTGGGGCCACATGCTGGCTAGTCATGCAGTCACGTGCTGCTCCAATGCTCCCGCCAAGACAAGCGCTAAGTTTACGCGAGCGTGAATGTTTTTGCCTACAACCTCACGCTCCGACAACCCAGCCACCCCGCAACACTTGACCCAACTGCGAACCTCACCCTCCAACACCATCTGATTCCATCGAGATCTGACTGCTTTGGATTGTCTATACTGACCTGCAAGTGTTCAAGTTACCTTTTTCGGTACATCAGGTCATATACCGCGCTTGAATCATTATGTCGCCTGCCCCTGTCCTTCAGACCGCTACTACCTTACCATCTTCACCACAACAACCCCACACACCCACGTGTACGTGAATACAACATGCTGTAGTTCTGATCAGAAGCTAATATAACATGTAGCGACAGCTATACCCGCATCAAAACACTTTGATGACATCTTTCACGCCAAGTTTATGCACATCATCCAGGAATGGAAGAATGACCCCTCGCGGGGCCAACTGACCCAAAAGGATCGAAAGGCTTTCATTGAGAATGCCTTCTTCGAGACCGATGAGCTTTACTTTGGTCGGCGGATGATGACCGATCTTGAGATCAAGCTTCGCGCACTTACCAAGGTCTTCTATAAGGTTCTTGCTGAAGAACCTTGGTCTGAGGATTGGATCCGCGCCCCTGATGTTGAGCGTAAGCTGTCCAAGTTTGAGATGCACGAAGACTCTGTAGCCCTTGCCAAGCAGTACGGCTTTACTACACCCCGGGAGGCGGTCAAAGCGGCACGTGAGGCTGGCATCAAGAATGCCGAGACCTACAAGGAGGCCCAGAAGGAGGGGAAGTCTCTCCAAGACATTAAGCTTGATCGTGGTCCATTTGATGATATTGAGATTGTCTACATCGCTGGCACGGTCTCGTCATCTGCTACAAGCAAGATCGACCGTTCGAGTATTTACCCAGTATCCGTCTCCTCGGTCGCCAATGTCCTCCAGAACCACATATGTAGGGACATGGTGCGCCCGTTCTCCATGGCCGAACGCTTCGTCAACTGCACCGATACCAAGGAACTCGAAGACATGCGCCGCTTTGCCTGCAACGTCTGCGACTTTTGTCCCCATCTCCTCGATAACGACAACGTAAGCCTTCTTGTCGTGTTACTCATTCTCTCGCGATCTGACTGCTGTCGTCGCTTTGAGGCCAATGGTATCCGTATTGAAGGCTCAACGATTAGCCACCGCAAGGCTGAGTGTATGAAGAACAAAATGGGCTGGAAGACGTCAGAGGACAAGAAGCCATATGACAACTTCGCTCAAGAGTTTCAGACTCGTGTTAAGAACGCTTGCTTTCCGGCTCCTCGAGCTCAGCGCATTGGTGGCCGGAAGCCGCCGCGCAACTCCTCCGGTCCTGCGACACCTCCGATCTACGCCCAGCCTCACATGGGGTATGTCGCGCCTCCTCAAGTTCGTAACGACAATGTCAACACCGGTATTAACGTTGCTGCTCCGCCTCCCCAAAATCATTTCTCGCAGGCTGCTCCTCCGGCAATCAAGGACCAGCGTGCATCAATCGGTACCGTTAGCAACACCGCCGAACCCATGGACCTTTCTTAGGGTATCTGGCGAACTTGCTTTTCATCACCAACCTGATTTATTGCATGGCCATGGCGTTATATGGGTATCGTGTATTCTGCATAGAGGTATAAAAACGGCGTTGAGCGATTTGTCACAATCACATCTATAGGTGCGATATCATGTAAGCACCAGCTTCTTCTTAAACACATTCATGTACATAGTTACACAAGCTTATCTGTAGCTGTATAATACATACATAAGTGAATGAAAGACTACGGGATTCAACTCCGAGATCTTGTCTAGTGATGTCGATATTTTAGACTACATGATCCAGGACCTGAGATGCCAGTGTGGTAGAACAATAATATGTCAGCCCAACAGCTGATTGAGGCCATTTAGAATCTATCATATTATGATATCAGTATCCAAGCCAACTTGCCGTCCCATCTACTTCCATCCCAGCTACCTCCAGTCACAAACTCAGCTAGACTGCCAAGCCAAATCTGTATTCAAGCTCGATACGGCTCGAGAATTGCCTGCTTAAGATCCCACTCACTTACCCACTTACGAAATACACTGCCGCAATGGAGTTCAATAGCTTCGACTTTATCGCTCTCTTCCTGTGCTCGAGTATCTTCGGCCTTCTGTTCTCGCTTTGGTCCAAGGTACGTGAATCGATAGAAGTTTCCATGTACTCAACTACCAACTGATTCAGACTGAGCTCATCACCGACCGCGAGATCATTCTCTTGGTTACAGTCTTTAGCGCTGTCGTGATCGGGCTTCTCGCGCGCATAAATGCCACCAGAGCGCTCACCAACTTCCTCACGGATAACGTAGGGGAGGTACACAAAAAGCAGCTTCGTGATCTTGACGAAGCCCATCGTCGCCACATTGCGAGCGTCAAGCTTGAGAGCCATCGCGAACATCTTCGCCTTCAAGGCGATGTCAATAATGCTGCCCTTAAGTTCGACCGCCTATACAACGAGCACGATTACATCTCGAGCATGTACCAAGAGCAGATGCAATACACCGAGGAACAAGAGGATCGCATCCGGTATCTCGAAAAGAAGCTCCAGGAATTTGGTCAATCCACGCCAATGACTCGCACTCCTTTCTCCGCGCCGCCTTCGCAGATCAGCTTTTCTCCCCCACCACGTCGCCAGCAATCTAATGAGATCCCCCGCCATACAGCTTCGGCGAGCCCACTAGGTCAGGTTTTGGAGGCGGAGGACGAATAGGTGTGCTGCCAGTCAATCCCACAAGGAGAGATGTTAGCGTGGCAGATGGAGATCAGCCTACGCTTTTCAGAGACGCAGAACGTATGGGAAGTTTTGCTGCCGCTCACTTGCACTACTGCATCCATGTAAGCAAAGCGGGTAAAGATGAAAAGCTGATGGAGGTTCAACGTAAGAGTAGGTCGAGGATACCATGCCTAAAACAGGTCTTTGGGCCTTAAATGACAGTTGTTTGCGCTTCCTATGCATGGCAAAAAGTGTCACTCCGCTCTGATCTCGTGATATGTTTCGTAGCAAGCACATTGAGTATACATCAGTACAAGATCCAGAGAGATTATACATCTTCAAGACATTCTTACTGAACCTCAACTTCCGCAATGTTATCACCAAACTACAGTTTTACTGGACCCACTGCCGAAACTATTGTCAGGATTTCTCAAGCCATCGAAGAAGTCGACACTAGCGCTCCCTCTTCCCTTCACAACCACCGTCGCTATCTATACCTAGTTCGTCGTCTCGCTAGAGAGATGGAGGTCCAAATTCACTCTTGGGAGGTTCTCGACGCGCGTGCCGAATTTGCCAGGTCGCTTATTGCTGTTGTTGATAGGGAATTAGATCTACCACCTGAGTACTACGAAGGCCAGAGCGAAGATGAGGGCAGAGAGACTCCGCAGCAACTCGGTGTTATACATGATGAATCTGCAGTACGCCCAGCACGATCCCGTCGCCGTCAGGGTGGAACGACTGCACAGCAAATAGGTGCCCGGTTTGCTGATTTTCCAGATATGCTACCGGCACCACCTTTTATGCAGACCGCACGTACACTTGGTTTCGCGACGCCGCCTCAGTATACCGCGATGTTGTCGTTCGTACCTACGAGTGCAGCGCGACGGGACTACCGTGCGACGACAGAAGACGAGGATCGACGTGCAGATGCGTTTCCTACGCATGATACACAAACATTACCGATGGAAGCTAGAGTTAAAGGCCGTCGTGCTTATCTCAGGAGAAGTCAGAACACTGCAGTAGACTATCCGTCGAGTCAACCAAAAGAAGACGATGAGTGAACGTTTGCAGAGTTTCGCGATGTCTGAAAAATATACACAGAGTAGATTGAAGGCAACTGAGTGTGGTGAACAGCGAGGTAAAGATTGGGCATGGTTTCATTGATGAGCAACGCAAGAATTGATCCAATGACGTATGATGACAATATGATTGCTGTTGACTCCCTAAACATGCGCAGTGAAGCAAAGGGTATATCTATCCAAAGTATAACAGGGCGAGAGAAGGGTATCGTGTGAAAAAGCAGAACCACATAAACTCCTTCAGCAAAAACGAAAGCGAAAATCAATCTGGATGTGAAGCTCAATGCTTCCTCTTCGATCCTTTACGACTCAGTCCTGTGCGCGACGCATAAGCAGGCTGGATGTAATCACCCGATGGACTGTCAGAATCTGTTGCGAAGGGATCGACATAGCTTTGAGTCTGCGTCGTACCGTAACGGCTATCATTCTGCAATCGAGGGGTCGGGAGCGCACTTTCGACGTTGCGCAAGTCCCATGGATCTTGCGATGTTACGGAAGGCGACATCATAGATGAAGCTGCGAAGGGATTCTCCTGACCACTGGACGAAGGGCGTCTAGATGACGACGGCCTAGTAGCGTATTCCTGGTTAAAGTTCTTCGGAAACGACAACGGTGGAGGCGCACGTTTTCTCGAGCTAGAAGGTCGGTATGTCTCTGCAGGCACTTGGGTATCAAATGCTGGAGGGTTTGGTTGCGAGATGCTTGTGCGACGCTTGCTGGGAGTTCGACCCAACTCGGCTGGACGCGAGGTAACGCTATCGTGGCGAGTCATTGACTCTCGTCGATTTGAAAGCGAGCGGTCGCCGCCACGCGGGTCCCAGTAGCCAGGTTTCTCCTGTTGGCTCTTGAGATTTGCCGCCACTAGTTCATCTCGTTCTCGAGCTTCTGCAATCTGCCTCTCACTACGCATCTGCGCCTTCTCAAATTCGATCAGGCGTTGCTGGTCGGCTAACTGAGCTGGCGTCATGGTTGAGGACATTCTGCGTCCTGCAGATGGTCGTTTGCTTGAGTAGTCGGTTGTTGGAGGCTTCGACCGCTCCTTCTTCCGGTCTCTCGCTGCCTTCTCGAGATCTTTCTGCTCTTGTCGCAAACGCTCTTCTTCCTTGAGACGACGTTCTTCATCTTTGAGACGGCGAGACTCCTCTCTGGCTACTGCTCGGTCCTTTTCCTTCTCAGCTAGGTGCTTTTCTGCCCTTTCTTTCGCGCGACTGTCTGCACGGCCAAGTTCGAAACGCACATGCCTTTCGTTCTCCCTTTCAGCTTTCGCAGCTTCTTCAGCTGCCTGTCGCTCAGACTCCTCTTGACGTCGGCTAGATTTGGGCTGCCTCTGTCGCTCGTCACCGTTCTTGGAACGACGATTGACTTCAGGAATACTTGAGCCACTGTACGAGGAGTTGTCGGCAAAGACGTCGTTGTCAAGTGGGTTCTGGTAGGAGTCTCGTGGAACGACATTTGAGGTCCGGTATGAGCTAGATGACATTCCAGTCGGGCGCTGAGACGGCGAGGATGGAGTGACAGGAGGCGGGTTGTGGATGATAGTGGCAGGATGTCTTGAATTCCGCGGCCTAGCCGGTGGGTCATCGTCTGCATAGAGCGATGGTGTTTGGCTGGAAGATGCTGACGGAACATGCGAAGGACGATATCCGTAGGACATGGTGGGAGTGGCAAGATAGTTATTGGGATTATCAAAAGTTGCCGTTGGAGGCAGAGGTGCCTCTGGAAAGCCTGTTCGTAGAGGGTATGAGGCATCGGAGCCTACCGGCTCAATGACTGCTTCGTGAGATCCTCTGGAGCCGAGGGAAGACCGGTCAAACGGTTTGCTGGAGACAGAGATCGATGGGTATTTTTTGGTCTTGTCTTTCTTGGAACCAAACCCAATGATAATCTCAGTGCTGATGGGCCGTTGGCCATCCCGAGTAGAAGGGCGGCTGCCACTGCCCGATGGGCGACGTGTTTGAACTAGGTATGTTCCACTGCCAGTAGGAGTTGGTGGGTTTATCGGGGATGGCGTGTCGTCGCGGCCTGGGGAGCCTCTCTTGGGGTTGTATCGATAGGGTATGACCACTGCGTCCCGGCATGGTTTTCTATCGCGTGCTTTCTCGCACAGGCGGGCCCGAGAAGATGTCATGGGTCGCCCATCAGGGCTGTACTCGATGCGCTCCTCTATCCGACACATGGCGGTAATGTGAAGTAGGTAACGTTGGGGTTGGGAACTTCAAAGACGAGGATGATTGTGAACCTCTCTGTCTTGAGTTCAAGATGGTGGTATCAGACCAAGTTATCCGAGTGTGTAACCCAGTCAGAGAATGGGCAGGCGCGGAAGTATTTGGTGTGAAGGGTGAATCCTATGACAAGAGTACGATGACCTTACAAAGTACAAGTTGATCAAAGGATGTGTCGAATCGTACTTGCTTGATGCTTCGGTAATGTTGGGGACACCGACGGTATTTGAGCAGCAGGTGACGGCCCGACTGAGACAAGCGGCAAGTAGGATGAGTGTACTCGTCAGTTCAAGTACGAACCGAAAGGCGAAGGAGTCAGAGCGGCGAAGGGGTAATAATAGAGTGTGATGTGCAGGGAGCTATGCGACTTTGTAGAAAGTAAAGTGCAGCCCTACTGGGCAAGGGTTTCTTTTAAGCACCAGGCGGCGCAGAGTGTAGCCTGGGAAAGTGCACCATGAGTGGACAAGGGAACAGATTTACCAACGATGACCGAAACGGGTGTGCAGAAAAAGGTGCCAGTGCCAGGCCGCAGCGACGGGCAGGACAGAATGCATGAACATGATCCGGGCGTCTTTGGGGCCATTCCTTAGGGCTGCGCAGCGGTGAATTGCACAGCCTGCCAGTGACCGAAGACACCGCCCAGCCACAAGTGGGACCCTGTCCGTCACCGGTTTTCCTGTGCCTGAGGGTGATGAAGAGGGAGATAGGTCCGCTGCAATTGGGGAATGAGAGAAATTGTCGAGTCTGCCAGCCGGTTTGCGCATCCGCGCGGCCGCACAACCTGTCTCAGACTCGATGGGCAGCAATGGCAAACTGCCGGTGCTCGAGCGCCTCCCCCAACTCCCTCATCATCGTCCCCCTAAGCTTGGCCCTAGTGACTTTACTCGATGACATTCCTCTTTCTTGAAAAGACGGGAACGCGCTGGTGCTGTTAGCGATGGAAAAAAACCTGACAGACAGCTTTCAGCTGAAAGACTGGCGAATAGAGGCAGGCGCCATGCAGTCATTCCCGTATCGTCAGGCAGGCGGCCCTCCATGCCAGGCACCAGAAGCCGGGGATTTGATCGGCGCCCAATGCCCGACCATATTACTTTACACTGATGATTGATATGGATGGAGGGAAGTGTGCTTGGCCGCTCGACTGGCTGGTGCTGGTGGGGCCCCTCACGGTGCGGCGGGCACTAAAGGGAGATGCACACCCACGCGAGCAGCGGACGCATCGTTCGCATACTGGCCTCATGCATCGCGTCCTAAAACCTCGACAGCGTGATTATATTGCGCGCTGTTAGTGTCTTGCAGGTTCGCGAAAGAGGTGCTGATGGATTGCGGTCGTCAAGACGATTGATGATGGTGGGCAGGCGAATTGCTGAGCATGTGAGCCTGCTGCGACCTTGCTGCCTTGACTCATCCGAAGTCGGGAAAGAGTAGTCGACACCTGCCGCCAAATGGTGAGTCTTCGTCAGCGCCCTCCCCCAATATCGAGCACATTGTCCCTTAGCGCCGACTCGTGATGTAACGCCGAGAGGCTACAATTCGCCGACCTTGACGACAAACCTCACTCCTTACAAATCTCCACCATCGTCAGCGCGAATGCCATAGTCACACAAGCGTCTTTGTGTGCCAAATGTGGCTGTCGACCGATGTTTGCTCCTGGCGAGCCGTTTGGTCCACCCCTGGCCCACAGTCTTTTCTGTGGCTTCACAGCCTCACTCACCAGCCCTAAAGCTCGTGCGCTTCGTCACTCTTCTGATACTTTGGGGGTCAAAATCCTTGATTTTCAGACAAGTACGAGTGGAAGAGCAAGCGAGCCGTCCCTTTAATTTGCGACACCGCTATTTGCGTCTCTCACCATATCCGAGGAGAGATTTGGCCTAATGAGGAAGGCACGGCCACCTCAAGCAGCCACCGTTCTCATTTGCAGTGGCGCACACTCTTTCAACTGCTGACAAAGAGACGGACAATGGTGTTCAGTTTTGGCCGTACGTGGCATCATCGTAACATATGTCTTTGCTACGAGAAGCGTGGTCGGTCCGTGATTGATCGCGACAACGGCAAGTATGTTCTGGGACACTGTGCTGCCACACCCTTTGCGGTTCACTCTCCTAATCAAAAATCTCTACCGTCATGAAGATATCGTCTCACCGTGTTTTCGCAAACACCATGCCGGCTAAACTCCATGGTGCACGTCAATGTCCACCGATATCTCTGCCTCAGCCACGACGCCTCAACAGACTAGGCTGATAGCGTCTTAAGGCATGCCGCGCCACAGCATATCACCAATCCGCTATCAGTGTCGCATAGCCGCTCAGCCCTCGTTGGCCGCCTGATGTATCCAAAAGTTTGCGTCTCACAAACTTTGCTCACGCTATCGATGACCTCGCGATGGCCCGACCGGCGGTTGCGGAAACTACTGCGAACCCCAGACCCACCCAAGTCACCGCCGTGCTTGGACATTCTGCACTCAACATGTGGTATCGTCGAGTAGTGCCACCAATGGCATCGCTGTGGTATCAGAATGGCTATGGTGTTTTTCTTCCGTGTCATGGTTACACCGCCGTGGATCATTCCATGGCAAGGAGCACGTCTCAACGGCTGTGAATCGAGCAGCTAGCCAAAAGTATGCTTCCTAGTCCTTCTGACTTCCAAATGGTACCATCAACCGCGCAAACCGCCCACAGTTGCTACGACTCTAACCTGCCAAGGTCTCACCAGCAGGTTTACCTGATACACATGTCAATACACAGCCACCACCTTCTTTCTCATATCTTACAGGAATAGTGTACGCGCCGTCCCGTCTTGTCTCGCCATCCGTAAGCAACATGCAAACTGCTATCAAGCTTCGGCCCCATTGTCATTGAGCACCAACCACGGCCCTACGCAGGAACAACAAGCTTTTTTGCATGGGTACAATGACAGCTGAAACACCTGCTTAGGCCAAGATTTAGGTATCAACAGCAGAAATTCACTTTTGTAGCCCAATTCGAACAAAAGTTTCTAAACGGTGTCTTGCGGGATATTGCCAAGCACGGCGAGATTCGACCGGCATATATGTAAACTTCAGGTGGAGTGAGACTGTTGAGAGTGCAATGGCTAACATCCTCGAACGGGCTCAACAAGGTACAGGTGCACACTAGCCGCCATTGAACGGATATCCGTCAAAATCATATGCACGAATGCACATGACTGCTAACATACGGGCCGACTCAGAGTGACCTGGACAGTCTACTACTACCAGATGTCTGTCTCACCTCCAACAAAGATCGCGGAGTCTCTTCGCAGCCATCTCTGTTCCAGGACGCGTGTTAGTCGGCATGCTTGCCACCACCATGTTGCGGCACAGCAGTCCAATATTGCTTTCTTGGCATCGTACACTGACTTCGACGTCGGCTTCTGCTGAGCCGAAGTTGGAGCCTGCAAGATGTCTCACAATGTAGGCAACCACCATGTTTAGCACTAGTGCGGCCCATGATTTCTCAACGCATAACCTCGGTCATAGATATCTGTTCGCTTTGTCAGTCAGTGATGTCTGGAAGCTTCGTGGCTATTCTGTAGGTACGTAATGTCTCACTGTCTGCCTTGGACCCAATAGTCTCGAGTGAGCGATATCGCAAGTGTAGCGTATGGGTCGATGTCTCATCCAACGGACCAAACTACACTACGTGGGAGAGGACCTTTGGAAGACGTGGTCTATCAGATGACCAGCAGGTTTTGAGATACTTCGTGCCATGAGCCACCTTCCTTTTTACGCACTGTGACCCGAAAGAACATGACGCCGTTCATCTCTCTGGCTCAACTGACGCCCATACCGCTTGGATTCGTTTCTCGTCATCCTCTTTGAAGGATGCCCGACGTGCCTGACACGATCACTGACGTTTGTTCATCCAATCAATGCTCATACAAAACTTGTTCTCTAGAAGATCAGCTAGGGCAATCACCAGAGAAAGCAGCAGGAAACGATATATGTGTATTTCATATTCATTTCACACAGTAAAGTACAATGGATGCAGTATACTACAAGACCTCCCTGTTTCGTCTTATCTCAACGCCTCAGCCATCCCAGGAAAACCCTTTGCGGGCTTCGCACGTCCTTGAGGGGCCTCGCGCTGCAAAAACTCACTCAACTGCTGACCTTTCTCACTCATCTCATCCAATTCCTTGACCCCACTCTTTCCCACTCCACTGACTATGCTCTCTAGGTCACCGTTATCGATGTTGGCCCTAACAGGTGGCTTGTCATCGAGTTCACCTCTCGCAATCATGACTTCAGGGCCCGTAGCACGATCGAGTTTGATGTGAATACGGCCATCGTTCGTGACGCTGGCGTATCTAGGTTGCACCATGATCTTCTTGCCACCAGGTGTATCGACATCAATTGTCTCGACGTCTTTGGCGTTGGCCATGCTGGCGTTGCGATTGACAGGTGAGTAGTCTATGCCCTTGAATTGATCGTTTGCCACAAAGCCTCCAACTCCGAAGCGGGCGTAAAGCTCGTTCGATGTACCTGTGCGTCTTGCTTGCATGAGACGGGCCGGTATGGGAGTGGGCTTGGCTTGGGGACCGAGAATGGGATGGTTGGCGATGTAGGAGTAGTGGCGAAGGTAGCCGAGTCCAGCTGAAGGGTGAGTGGAGAGTGGTGCGGTCTCTTGATCGAATTGGAACATTTCGATGTCGCGCTTGGAGGCGTCTTCCTTGAAGGTTGTGTTCTTGAACTTCATGGTTGGTATCCTCAAAAAGGGAACTATCAACTTGCTGACGAGCTTGCTACTCAATGGATCCTTCGCAGCCTCTCTTCGTAGTGCCCTGATGCCAGCTTCAATCTGAGGTTGCGTGATTTGGCGCCAGGCGTCCTCCCGTTGCTCGTGCCATGCCTCAGCTTCTTGGGCATCAATTGGCGGGACCTCACCAGATTTTGTGGCGGCAAGTCGGCGGGTGGCGTAGATCTCGTTCTTGACGTACTCAACTAGGTACTCATTGAACTCCTTCTTGCGGCCTGTAATCTGTTTGTTGAGGTAAGAGACAAATTCTTCAGCGCTCATGCCAGGGAGCCAAGGGCCATCGTGCTTCCACCGCCTGGTGTTGTGAACGACTGGATCCACAGGTGGTGGTCTAAAAGGTGTAAATGGTGCTGCTGTCATTTGCTCCTTCAGTGCTTTCTTTGCTTCCTTCCGCTCGTTCTGGAAGGCGTTGAACTCTTCTAACCAGGGCTTCGTCTCTGATCCTCCTCTAGACGCTTCTTTTCGGAAAGCCTCAAATTCGACAAGGTTGTCAGCCCATCCACGTGCCCTGAAGCTCGCAAGTTTCGATTGCCATTTTTCTCTCCAGGTAGCGTTGAAGGCTTCCCGCTGGGCCTTGGCTCGCTGTGCTGGCATACTCTTCTTGAGTGCCTGCAAGTACAATCCAGCCTCATCTAGTCCCATCTCGGTATCGTAACTCGTAGTATCATCCCGGACCTCAAAGGCTCCAAGTGGTGGTTCGTTCGTTATCTTCGACGTGCTCTTCATCATAGGCATACCCATCTCCTCCCATTTTTGCCTAGTCCGCACATGGTCTGCCGCTGAGTCGAAGTCGGTAACATGTTCGATAGTATCAAGTTGAGTGATCCTCAGTACTGGGTCGCTTGTTTGAACTATGTGACTCCTCGATGGGATTGGCCGCTTGAGACCCCAGTCACCACGTGCTAACGAGGACTTTGTTGTCGCAATGGCTTGGTGGGTCGGGTATGGAAGCGTGGCGGTGTCGGAGGCCTTGGAGATGCCCGCGCCGTAGGTTTCGCTAACAGGCGGCCGTGGGAGCGGGTTTGGCAGCGAGAAAAGGCGGGAATTTCGGAGAAGATTTGCAGTAGGCGAGAGAGACTGGCGGCTTAGAGACATCTTGGCGATGCGACAGCCGCGTGTGGGCGTTCAATGGCGGCTGAAGTGATGATCCCGATGTGTGTATAGTAGAGAAATGTCGATGGAGTTTGCGGCGAGGGGTCCGTGCGAGACTTCCGCGGCTTCTGATGGGCCACAGGCATGGATCACATCACGATGTCAACATTGTCAAAAGTATGAAAATATAGGATTTGTAGACATTAATTTCCGCAGTGGCTAATCTGCGACTATCCATAAAGAGCAGCCTTGCTAAGACATATCCTGAGCCTTCTTGACTTTGCGCTTTGGCAGCAGGGTTTCAAGAATGACTTCTGTTCTACTGAGTGCAAAACGATTCCCACCGTTTTCCAGGCTGGGATCTCTCTCTACAAATGTACTCGGCCAATAGGTTCTATCCTCATGGTCTATCGAATGTGTTTTGCGAGTTGAACGTTTTGTGGTTTTCATGGTAGTCTCATGGACGCGTGCGCACCGATGAGTGGGGACCTTGATACGACAAGACCTTGATCATGGCAGCTCACCCAGGCAGGTGCTTATCCCAGTCTTGGTCGTCGTCCTCATCATCGTCGTCTTTTTCTTTGCGGTTGATACGTGGAACGTGCCCTTCGATGGCCATGGTATGGTCAGATGTTTGGGAAGGAAGCGAGGGTGGCTGTGGCGGCGCGCTGCTAGATGAGCGCTCGAGAATCTGGTCTTGGATGAGATCGTTGTTTGCCTTGGTTAGGTTACCTGGTTTCTCCCCCCGTTCGAGCGCCAGATCCTTCATAGCATCCGCTTGAGCAGCCCAGGCTGCATCCAGGTCTGCGTCTTCGTCTACATGGGCCGTGGTCGCGCTTTCCTGCTTCAGACGTAACGGTAGAGCCTTCTGGTGTTCATCGGCATTGTCCACCATGAGCTCAATCTTGTCGCCGTATCCCCCGTGCCGCATCCACGCAGGCTCTTCGTTCAGCTGCACCTTGACGTAGAGTGCGCGTCTTGCGCAGTCGTCTGAACACCACACCTCTAGCACCTTTCTGTCTACTATCTGCACACCGTGGTCTGTGTCAACAAACTGCTTCCTTGCAGTGGATCGCGCCTTCTTCTTTGGTTTTGGGCAAAGCGCATAGCCACACTTGTCGGCGATGTTGCGCTCCTCGATGAGAGCATCATAGTCGGCAGGCTGAAAGGGAATGACGGCCTTTTGAAAGAAGTGCGCATCTGAGGGTGATGGTCGCTTAGCATCTGCATCGGGCGAGGTGGGATAGTCCATCAGTGTCATGACAGCCTCGAGCACCTCTGCCTCGACGCGCTTGCGATCTTCAAGTACCGTCGCATGGTGGCGGGCGACTGCAAGGTGGCGCGGGTTCACGGGTTTCTTCGCAGGGGGCCCGTTTGTGGAGACAGTCGTGTTCTTGAGTATGGACTTGGGCGGCATGTCGGGTGTCTGTTGGTGTTGGGATCGTCGTGGCTAGAGTGTGAAGTGGAACCTCTTTGGGCGTGCCTTGGCGGAGCGTCGGGGGACTTGGGCGGGGCTGTTTCGAGCTTCGTCACCACACTTCTTCGCACGGAGGCACCTGCAGCAGCCCTCATCCTTCCCACTACCCCTCGCCCCGAGCTGTGAGGGTGCAAGCATTGAATGGTACGTCGTGACTTTGTTCCGCGCCTCCCGCATTGCTGCACATGCTGACATCCGCGTCATCGCAGCTCCACGTCCGAGACCCGCCGTGCACAACGCCCTAGAGAGCTCCCACACAATCTTGCCCAAGCGCTGTTAGGCAGGGACCGCAGCTGTCACCCCCCATTGAGCATCCTGCAGCTGGAACGACTGCATCCACCACTGTAGCCCGTCGCCATGTACAAAGTCAAGGCCGTCTACGACTACGCGTCCCCCCACGAAGATGATTTGGGCTTCAAGGTCGGCCAGATAATCTCCGTAACCGAGGAGGAGGGTGACGACTGGTATGTGGGTGAATACACCGACGAGAGCGGCACCAAGCACGATGGCCTCTTCCCCAGGAACTTCGTCGAGCGCTACGAGCCAGAGCCGCCGCCACGGCCCAACCGAGCATCGCGGCACAAGCCCTTAGAGCAGCCGCCTGTGCAAGAAGCTCCCCCCATGCCCCAGGCCCCTCAGCAGGAACCAGAGCCAGTTCAACCTCAGGAGCCGGAGCCACCCAAGCCACAGCCTCCCCCCATCGAGGTGCCCCAAGCTGCCAAAACAACACCGTTGCCCATGTCGCCCATGTCGCCCCGCTCTGCGTCGAGCGCGAAGGCCCAAGAAGCCCTACCGCCGCAGTCAGAGTCGCCCAAGCCAGCTCCTCCTGCGAAGAAGGCCCCGCCACCTGTCGCCGCCAAGAACAATGCTTTCCTGAGCCGTATTGCCGCTTTCAACAAGACAAGTGAGCCTCCGCCTAAACCTATCAAGCCAGCTGGCGTCGCCCCGAGCTTTGTCAAGAAGCCATTTGTGGCTCCGCCGCCGAGTCGGAATGCCTACGTTCCTCCTACCCGAGAGTCGGCAGCTCCACCAGTCAAGACATACCGTCGTGAGGAGGATCCCGAGATTGCAGAGCGCCAGGCGCAGAATCAGAACGATGCAGAGCGTGCGGGACTGGTTGCTCATGATTCTCAGAAAACAAATGAAGGCGAAGAGGAGCAGCAGCCCAAGATGAGTCTGAAAGAGCGCATTGCTCTTCTTCAGAAACAACAGCAGGAACAGGCAGAAAGGATGGCAGCTGCGCACAAGGAGAAGCCGAAGCCTAAACCGCCAGTAGTCAGGAGAACCGAGTCCCAAGACGCCCACGCTGAAGACAGCGAAGACACTGGTCTAGAGCGCGTGACAAGTGGAGCGTCCAAGGGTCGTGCGTCCATGGACCAGAGTCGACCTCCGCGGGCATCTCACGACATTCGGTCTCCGGACTCGGAAGCCCGCACTCGCGAACTACTTAGCGAAAATGATGCCGATCAATCCGCCGCCGGAGACACCGAGGATGCTGGAGGAGAGTCCACAAGTGTCGAAGAGGATGAGGACCGACCAAAGAGCAGGCACCCGCCGCCGCCACCCCCTAGAGCACCTAATGCTCCTGCCGAAGAGCCCAACGTTGGCGACGAGCAAGATGTGCCCGGAGAAGAGGAGGAAGAGGAGGAGGAAGATGAGGAGACCGCAGAGCTGAGACGTAAAGAAGAGCTACGTGAGCGCATGAGGAGATTGGGTGGCGGCATGGGCGGCATACCCATGTTTGGCGGTCCTATGCCCATGGGCGGTCTTCCACCAAAACCACCAAAGAAGAAGTCGACCACTGAGAAGAAACCCGAAGACGCCGAACAGTACAGCATGCCCCAGCAACGTGTGCCTATGTTTGGGTTTGGTATGCCTGGCATGGCACCCGTCAAAAGCCCAGAGCCGGAAGATCGCTCGCTTTCCGTCGAAAAGGAAGACGAGACCTCGCACCCTGTGACCAGCGCTCATCCAGCGGACGAGGTACCTGATGTAGAGGACGTCGCATCTCAGCCAACTCAACAAACATCTACTGGCAGTGGCGCCCCACCTGTCCCAACAGACCGTAAGCTCTTGATTCCTTGCAAACCAATCCACGCTTTCGTACGCCATACCCAAGACTGCCTGCAGCCACCATCTTCCGAGACCTTGTCAAAGACCTATGTCACTTACGACGGTCTATCGGAATATGTTATGACTGTATGCGTGTCTAGTATGTGTGTACATAATGCTGTAGTTTGCGTTCTTATTGATACTGTACTGACAATCCTTAGGACGACCTGCTCCTCCTCCGGTGCCAGCAGCGTGTAAGTCACGTCGCGTTATGATGCTCAAGCTTATACTGACAATACATAGCTCGACCAGTGCCACCACCCCCTCCTCAGGTTCTCTCTCCTGGACCCGGATCTGAGTCTGGCGATGAAATGACAGACACTGCTAACACACCGTCTGCTCCAATGCAAGCACCCAACAAGCGACTCTCATATTTTGCTTCCGGTGAGCCATCACAAGACCCATCAGAGAGGCGTGCGCCACCTATCCCGTCTGCCGGTCCCGGATCTCCTACAACAAGCCGGCCACCTCCACCACCTCCACCAGCACAAGCGCCCCCTTCGCGTCATGAAGATCTGCCAATCCGCAGAATTGACCGCAACGAGGGTGAAACCGACTACGAAGGTGATTATGACACGGACATGGCACCAGAGGCAACCCATAAAGATGCTTTGAAGTCACATGCTAGGGATTCAAGTGTAGAGGACAGCGCCTTGACAGACGAGCCAACATCAGCACGATCGCCCACAATTCCCCACGGCATGCCACCTCTTCCCCCTACTGCGCCTCGTGCAGTACCGCCTCCTCCACCCCAGCAGGCGCCCAGCCGGCCATCAACAGATGCACCACGTGGTGCTCCTCCTCTTCCCCCGGTACCGCCGCCGACTCGCAACGCCCCTATGGACGACGATGACGACGAGTATGATCCGTACAAGTATTCCGGACCACCTCCTCCACAGGCTGCGGCACCTGCAGCTCCTAGAGCAGTTCCACCACCCCCACAAAGTCAGCCGCCTCCCCCACAGAGTCGTCCACCGCCACCAATGCCACCATCGATGCCTCCCATGCCCCAGCGTCAACAATCAGACGATGAGGACGATTTGTACTCTTCGCCTGCGCCTCGGAAGTCTCACGACAGACCGCCACCTCCACCGCCTCAGGCCCCGTCGCACCAGCATGCACCTCCACCTCTTCCACACATGCAGGCTCCACCTCCCCCAGCTCAAGAAAGAATGGCACCACCTCCACCCCAAGAGCGTCCTGTTTCAATGTTCTCACCAGTTGCAACAGAGGCACCACCTCGGATATTGAACACTCGAAAGTCACTCGATGCTGTCCAGATGCTTACAACTCGCTCCTCTATGGATCAGACCCGTCCGACAACGAACCAAGGTTTCATTGCAAGTGATATCGATTTGGGGGTTTCTTCGCATTGGTGGACTCAACCCAAACTGCTCCCTCCTTCACTGCAGGGTCGTAAAGACGTCCTGGTAGACATGAAGGAGTCGCAGTCAGGCAACACTGTAGAGAAACTCATCAAGGTTCTTTACCTTGACTATTCACAGACAATCATTTCCGCTCGCTTCGAGGTCACCAATGTCTCCGACGTTGACCTGGAGCAGCGCAATGAGCCGCCACCTCCCAGCCAACGCCCAGACCAGCTAGAGAACGCGTACGAACAGTATGGTCGCTCGATAGCCAAGACCATCGAGTCAAAACAGAACACTGTTGTCGGCAACGGCACGCCGCACGGTCTGGTTGATGAGCTGTTGAAGCCCTTCAATGACGCATTGCCTCCGATCTCGACCCGTTCGTATGGTGCGCTCGTTTACGCGAACTTGGCCAACGCGTCCACTCAATCTTACGATGAGATCCGCCCTGGTGACATCATCAGCTTCCGCAACGCCAAGTTTCAGGGTAAGACTGGACCAATGCATGCCAAGTACGCAATGGATGTAGGGAAGCCAGATCACGTGGGTGTTGTTGTCGAGTGGGACGGTAGCAAGAAGAAGGTGCGGGCTTGGGAGCAAGGACGCGAGCACAAGAAGGTTAAGCCTGAGAGCTTCAAGATGGGAGATTTGAGATCAGGTGAGGTGCGGGTATGGCGTATAATGAGTAAGAATTGGGTTGGTTGGAACTGATGGAGCGGAGAGTCGTTTGTAGGTGTGCGAGTGTAGAATTGTAATTAGAACCTAGTTTTGTGTCTGTGCTACCTACCTAGCTCCTGTAGAACTTCCCCCGTCAACACCGTTAAGTACATAAATCTATCTCAATACATCGGAACCTTTTTACCATCGTCCACATCGCAAACCACAACAAGAATTCAGAGTCAGCACGAGGCATGTGAGCTTCAAATTGATACAGATACTGCGCCCACTCTTAGTGCATCATCCGGTTTGTCCGAACCGTTCTTGCTAACGACTTCTTTGTTACGGAGTACGTCACCTCCTTACTCAACAAGAAACAGATCCAGCTAGAACAATCTGCGATGTCAAACTATCGCTTGAAATGTAGTACCGATGTTTGCCTCAACACAAAGGAGGGAGCGATAGTGGAAAGTTAGTCAGAGTATAAAGATGAACCGTAGGTCGGCTCGGTAGGTTGTGTCTCTTAATCACGATTACACACTTAAGATAAGTATCACAACTGATCGAAGAAAGACGTGAGTAGCCAATTCGAAGATATGAGTGACAAATCAGGAAGTGGAAGAGACCGAAACAGTGAGATGCCTGCAGAAAAGAAGGGGAAAGCCGAGAGAGAAGCGATCTTGAAGGCCAAACTCGCAGAGACCTTGCGACTTGCTCGAAGGCTATTGAACGAACTCAGTAACGATGACGATGCACCAGAACCGGCGGAGATCTTAGAAACCACAGGTAGCGATCTGATCGGCCAAGAGGATGAGGAAGATGATCTAGTTAAGCAGAGTACAACGGGTGAATCAGAGTTGTCTAGGAACAAGGGAAATAGTGGCAAAGCGAATATGGGCGAGCCAACCAATACCACTTCACATGCGCATCACGAGAAACAAAACCTGGAGGTTCCATCTGATCTCACAGTTACAGAAGCGACTTTGACTGAGAAAGTTGGCGTAGCTTTCGACAAAAAATATCGATGTATCGCACGCAGGAAAAAGTCGAACAAGAGTAACGTGGAGATGTTAGTCCTGGCTGATGAACTTCAATGGCTTAGGAGAACTGTTGTTCGGCCCGACCTCCCGGAGGCTTTCGAAGATTATAAAAGAGCTAAAGAAGCAGGAGAATTTAGGAAAGTAGCGATACCGAGGTGGCACGAGGTCCAGGTACTCGAGAGCGTCAGTTTGGATACTGACGTGAACTCTGGGGAGGATGACGGCAGTGATGATGGCACTCCCGGAGACGAAAAGGATGAACCCGTACTACTAGACAGCGGAGATGACACGCAGGCTGGAGTAGATGAGCAAAATAGCTTAGTAGCAGATGCAGAAACTCAGACAGAGCCTGATCAGGCTGCACTAGACGACGCTGAATCTAGTAGCAGCGCAGAGTCTCAAAGCTCTGAACAGCAACGTGTCTCGAAAAAGGGCGTAGCAGCTACGGAAGAAAAGAATAGAAAGATTCTTAGAAAGAATGTTCAGGGAGAGGCAGCAGAGAGAACATCAAAGTCTCAAAAGGACAACAAGAGAGGCTCCGCCGCGCCGGCCAGTATGCAACCACCAGCGAAGAAGCCAAAGTCTGCGAAGACCGCAAAACATGCTGAAAATTCGGGTGAGGATGACATCGAGGGTATAGTCGATGCGGACCCAGAACAGACATAGAACTAGTCTTCGTGACCACTCGTAGTGGCTGACGCTCGTCGTCCATCTAGCCAAACCAGCTCCCTTTAGACCGTTTGCTAGACACTTGAAATTGCAACAACTATCTCGCTCTTTCGTACGAATCAAGGGGTAATATGATGTCATAGACGTTATGTTCCTGAGCATGCCTGTTTAGAGCTGCTGATACTTCACCACCATGGTCTGTGTAATATCTCAGCATTTGATCCCGTTGAACACTGAAATTTTCGCGGTACTTTTCATGCAAAGTTCGTAGCTTCAAGTATCGTTTCCTCGTACTAAGCTGCTACCTTTGGGTTTGATGAAGCCACTCGTGCCGTATAGCAAGCTTGAAATGATCAGCACTGGTGATATGCGACGTGATTGCTTGCACACCTGGCAATAGTACAAGTAGGGAAGAGCGTCGCGCAGAAGCCCAAATTCATTCGTCACTACCTCCTTGAATCACACCTGACATATCAGACACGACATGTCGGACAATGACCCAGAACCAATGAAGTCCAGCAGAAGTGATGAGCTGCAACTCAAGTCTGAGACAACCACGATCAAGCCGGACGAGAGTACAGTCTCCGACCGTCATGACGAGATCAGAGTGCCTGCCCACATGGCAAAACTCTGGTTGAAAGATTCAATGCCGAACAACAACGATACAGAGGTGATTGGAGACATCATCGCTGTAAGAAGACGGGGTGGTCCACACACAAATTACAACTACCTATTGACATCATCGATAAGAAAGCCTCCCAGTACTGAGGGAGAAAATCCGGAAGCTACCAATGACTTACTAGAATCAGGGACCTGGTACTGGCCAAGTCGCGTTACACAAGAGGCGAAGAAAACCTGGAATGGCCTAGAGAACAAAGTTTCTATGCTAGAGCTGAACCTGGACATCAAAATTGATCTGAATCGATTTAGTGTGTTCTTAGTTCGCATCGATTCTGACAAGGTAAATCCACTTTATGGGGTTGCTAACTGGGAATGGGAAGCAATTGGAAAACCTCTAGACATCATAAGATTTCACGCAAAAACGAAGACCACTGCTATTGCACTTCCAGAAGTAACGGTGGACAAAGCTGTTGCTGATAGAGAGTCCAGTACATTATCTGAGAAGCAAATGCTTGAGGCAATTTTGCGACGAGCGAAGAATTCGTCCGGCTGGTCTATTTGCGGAAAGAACGACTATGGCATCTATGATCAGGAAGACTACCAGAAGGCAAGAGCACTTTCTCTTAAGACAGCAGCTGAAGTACTTAAAGCTGCCTTCAATCAACACAAGGAACCATGTAACTTGACCAAGAAGCAAGGAGAGGATCTCAGTAGCATCAGAATGCACTTTGTGGGACGCGTCGATCCTCTTTCTCCTCCTTCGAGATCAAGCGACATCGCGCGAGAGGGACCCGAGATATTCCCAACGCTGATGTTCAAAGATGTCTTTGATGATTTACAAAGCTGGAGTGCCGAGAACTTGCTTGGCCTAAACCAGACAGAGCGGGAAGGCTTCGTCAACTCAATTGTACGCCAAGCGCCTCACATGTTACAGGGACGCCATGGGGTTTTACCCCTTGTACTTGTTCTTGGGTCGGAGGAAGGCCTCGGAAGGGAGCTCCACGCATGCAACATTCAGGTCGAAAATAAGTGGTATGAACGCTCTCATCAGGAAATTCTTCTCATGCTCAGCACGTCGCTGAAAGACGAATTTCCGGAACTAGAGGTTTCGGAGATCCATGCTACGTGGGAAAGTCTGAAGCGAATAATTCAGGCGAACGATAACGAACAGAATGCAGCAATTATCTAGAGACAGTGTCGAATAGAGGCGTGAGGGAGACCAGTATGACAAAGAAACTAGACCTGAGGACCTTCAGCTAACGCTGGTGTATCTGCAAGGTAAGGTAGCTATAATAGATACGGAAATATCGATGACATAAAAGACCAAGATGACTCTTGTGCACACGAGGCCCTGTTGACGTCTGTGCAACCACCATGTATCGGATCTGCATCTTCCCCTCCGTACTCGAATCTATAACCCAAATGTATAATCTGTGGATCTGCAAGGACGTCTTTCTTACTACCTGGGTTACTGGGCGCGTGCCGAACTCGTCTCCCTCTCCGTATTGTTCCCAGTCGCCTATCGTTCCCAGTCGCCTATCAAGCGTGCTCCTCTAATCTTGACCCCTTCCCGTTCGACAGCCTATTTGCTAGTATCTTTTCTTGGTACGGAGAAGCTTCGCGAAGCCAGATTGATACGTGGAGATATCGACGACGGAGATGACCAGCAGGCTACTGAAAATGAGCGCGTGCTGGGAACGACAGAGGCAGATGCGACGTAGGTATCTTCGCACACCTGCGTCCAACAGGCGTGCGGTTGGTCGAAGTATCAGTCCTCGTGGCTGTAGTCATAGGCATTTCGCATCCTGCTCATATCGATGTGGTAAACTCTGGATTGGCTCAACTGGAAGAAGTTGTTTCCTGGAAGAGAGTAGGTCGATGCTGTATGCTGGTAGCCGGCATCAAAAAGATATTACCCTCGACATCGCGACAGCCTGTTGCTATCTATCGAATTGTGCGGGTATGCTTGTGCTATCTGGGCTTGTTACTCTCAACTCTTCAGCTTTTCTGACCATCTCGCGTCAAGCTGGTTTCCAGAGGGCGAGCGCAATTCACACCCTGGGTAACAATAACACACGTACGAGGGCGCTGCTGGTCTATCGGGTTGTACGAAAGGGCTGACTGAGATGATGTTGGATGAAGGTTGGTGTGTCATCCGGAAAAGCTGCCGCACTATTGTTTTGCGCTTACTAGCTTCAGGAAAAGCACCTCGACGAATCGATGACGCGGTAACTCCTTTTGCTCAGGACGCCATTCTTCCCATCGTAGACGCACCCGAACAGACATTTCAGCCGCGGAGCCTTATCATGGCGCGACAGCACCAAACGCGCAATAAAACGCCAAGTTGACTTCGCGTACATGGCGAGGCGCTGAAGGTGGGTCAAGGGGCGGCTGCAGAAGATCGTCGCCTCTTTATCGTTAAATCCATGCAAACTCCGGGAATAATTACATATCCACGGATCCAAGTTGGACATGATACAAATACTCGGCCTTCCGTCATTGTAGCCAAGAATCCGTCTCGCCGACTCTCAAACTTCTCCGATCGCTATGGCAGACTCCGACATAGGCCCCCAGCATACACCAGTATTGCCGCAGTCTCAAATGCCTCCAGAACAGACACCAGCTGCAAGAGAGGATGATTACGGAAAGAGCGAGGAAGATACGACACATGACTTGGAAAAAGCTTCAAGCAGCACCGTGCCACCTCCGACAGATACGGAGTCCTTCTTCGTAGAGTTCGATGGACCCAACGACCCTGACAATCCAAAGAATTGGACGCCAAAGCGGAGATGGGGGATCACTATCTCTATGGGCCTCATGGTTTTCACAGTCACATTTGCCAGCTCGATATTCAGTGTCAACATCGGTGTTGTCCAAGAGAAGTTCAATGTTGAACTGGTCACAGCTACCCTTGGCGTAGCATTATTCGTCCTGGTACGTTGAGCAACTCCTCAGCGATCGGCTACCCAGTAGCTAACACAGAGCTACAGGGTTTCGTATTCGGTCCAATTGCCTTTGGACCCATGTCAGAAGTGCTTGGCCGGAAGCCTCCCTTGATGTTTGGCTTTGCACTATTTGCTATCTTCCAGATCCCAGTAGCACTCGCGCAGAACATTACAACGGTATGCGTCGGTCGATTCCTGGGTGGATTCTTCGCCTCTGCGCCTCTGGCAGTCGTTGGTGGAGCTCTTGCAGACTTGTGGGATCCCATCCCTAGGTCTTATGCCATCTGTGTCTTCGCTGCCGGCGGATTTGCCGGCCCCGTAGCAGGCCCCATTGCTGGTGGCTTCATTACGGAATCACACCTTGGATGGCGGTGGACGTCGTGGATCACCCTGATCATGGCCGGTCTGTTCGGAGGCATCGGCTTCTTCGTCGTTCCGGAAACGTCAGCCGCCAGGATACTGCAACTGCGAGCTGCCAGGTTACGAAGGGAGACGGGTAACGACAAGTACCACGCTGCAGCAGACGAGAACAAATTGACAGTCGATAAGGTTGTCAATGTCTATCTATTGAGGCCATTCATCATGTTCATCCAGGAACCAATCTTAGCACTTGTGACAGCCTACATGAGCTTTTTATACGGCATCGTCTACCTACTATTTGAAGCAGTAAGTGTTCATCCCTATAATCCTCGATAACAAGGCCTGACAAGTGACAGTTCCCGGTGTCGTTCCACGAAGAACGAGGATGGTCTTTGGGTGTATCGCAGCTGCCATTTGGTGCCTTCATCGTTGGCATTCTGCTGGGTGCTGGCTGCATCGCTTATAGCTCCGCCACAAACTTTACTCGCGCATTCCACAAGCACGGCAGGGTTATTCCGGAGGAACGTTTACCACCTATGATTTTAGGGGCAATTGCACTCCCTGCCGGTCTATTCTGGTTCGCCTGGACTAGCAGTCCCGACATCACCTGGGTGCCACAAGTGCTCTCGGTTGCTCTCCTCGGTTTTGGCTGCATGGTGCCGTTCTGGCAAGGTATGAGCTACCTCATCGACTGCTATGGCTTCTATTCCAACAGTGCCATCGCGGTCAATACCTTCATTCGCTCTTTCGCAGGCGCGTTCTTCCCACTGTTTACGCATGCCATGTACCACAACCTTGGTGTACCTTGGGCGAGTAGTCTTTTGGCGTTCATCTGCGTAGTCTTCCTTCCTGTTCCCATTCTTTTCTACATCTACGGTGCACGAATAAGGAAGAAGAGCAAGTGGGCACCAACAGCATAAGAAGTTAGGAATTGAGCATTGTTCGTGGCCAGCGGTCGAGCGCTTTACACATGGGTATCCATTTCTCAACCACTTGTCATTTCTAAGAATTACATTCATACATTCATTTCCTTTGGTCTCTGCCTGCATTGGTTCATCCAAACTTGGGGGCCCATCCGTGGAATCCAGCGAGCTTTCCTTCAGCCATTCTCTTAACGCGCTCGAGTCGCTCGACTGGTCCCAAACCCCTCAACTCCTCCCAGTCCAGGTCGCCGAACAACTGTGTCAATGTCGCGAAGGCAAAGGCCCAGTATCCGCCTGCTGCACGTGCTGCTTCATACTCCACCGAGCATCTAATCTTCTGCGAAGGAAAAACCCAACCACGACGCCAGTCCACGCGTCCAACATACCACTCTTGGCATGTTTGAAGCCAAGTCGATGATTCCCAAAGATATTGCCTCAAGGTGCCATCCATGATCATCTGTCTGCCATCGCCCGTCTCGACGTACAGCACGGAGTGCATTAGCACCATAGGCTGATTCGGATTACTGCGCCAGGTCAAGATGCGGTCGATCTTTGGCCAATATGTCAACCACTGGGCACGTCCGTTGAATAGCTTCCTGACCAGTCTGTTCACTTCCTCCTCTAGAACAAGACTGAACCAGTCGCACATGTTAAAGCGCGAGAGTGCGTCGTTCAACCACGGTGGCAGGAAGGTGCAGCGGCTGAGGTCTTCGGGGTCAGGCGGGGCGAACACTAGGTCTTCTATCGACCAAATCTTCCAGATCGGGACTCGGACCGAAGGATCGTGAAACTCAATCGCGTATGCGGGGATGGCCTTTGGGGCAGTATCGGCGGCGGCGTGGAAGCAGACGAGGAGTACTTGCAAGACCTCTTCCAGGGATAGGCGGGTTGCGTTTATGGTAGATGCAGCTGACACCATGATGGGTTTATGAGCAAGAGAACGACTTCTGCTCAAGAATGTGTTGTCCTGGTGGTTGTAAGAGTATAGAGGGACGGCGACGATTCATCTTGAAATCAGGCGCTAGTGGTAAGTCAGTGCACCCTTGTAAACTTGGGAGCGGCTTCACTAACTATTCCACTAAGCTGTGATCTCAAGGAAACTGTTTCTTGTTGTCTTTGAAAATATAGGCAGTATAGTGTCATTGACGAGGTCATAAAGACCTGTCCTACTGTGCCACTGCCTCCTCATATGCACCCGCAAAATTGGCCCTGCTCAGAGTGCGAATCTGCGCCTCAATCTCATCTTCCGCACATCCACGCAGAGAATGCCAGTCCACTTGCTCAAATATCTGCTCCATACGCCTGCTCGCGACAGCCCAATATCCATACTCGTTGTTCATGCTCAGCGCCTCCGCACGAATAATCTGGTCTCCTCCAAAGTATTCTTCCAAATACGGAGCTTGGCTCAGATCCATATGGCTTTCCACAAGCTCATCCTTTGTCATGAGCCAATGTGTCACCCAATTCCATCCGTATTGATCGATAGTACCATCGAAGATGTACTCTTCACCGTGACCGTCGTTTATCAACAAGACTGAGTGACCAGGTGGGTTGTGAAAACCTCGCAGGTCTGAGACGAGAAGAATGTATGGTATGGCACGAAAACGTCTCCACTCAGTCGCGTTGCTGAGGCCGAGAAGCTCTGTGAATGATCGGTCAGTTACCCACAGCGCAAAACCTGTAGTACGTCGCAAGAGCTTACTTTCCAGATGTTGTTCCACGAAAGGCTGCATGATCGCACAGAATGTGTCGCATCTCATCCTCATGATGTAAGCGCGATATATATAGCTTGTCTTGATTCGTGACATGTCGGGGAGCCTCGGTATGAAATCTCCGCTCCATGAAAGGAAGGCTATCGAATAGGACTCCAAATAGAATGTGTCGCAGATGATATCCAACCACCTGAAAATCTCGTACCCGCAGACATGGTAACCAAAGACCGCTTCTTGGAATACGATGAGGTGTACAAGAAGGATCTGGCGAAGGGTAAGGGGCGGGAGAGGTGGGGTGACTGGCATGCCGGCTACACACGGGTTGGTGGCCATGAGTTGAGGAGAAGATATGAAAGTCAATTGAAAGAATGGTGTAGCAAGAGTTGATGTCATTTGTGCTCGCAGCGTGAGCGTTTGGATGTTGTTACTAGCGCGGAAGTGCGTGCGCTTTGCTCCTCCAAAACGCTCGATCTATCCAAGTCGCTCACCCAAACTTGGCGTCTTGGTCACAGTCTTCTGTAAAATTGTCTAGAGAAGACTCCAATCACGACAATATGGAAGACTGGGTCGGCCAGAAGCACACCTTGGAGGCCGCACTGATCGACTGCTCAAAACACTACAGCGGAAACCCCCCAGGGAAACAAAGCTCAGCCAACTTTAGGATTACTTCATCAGCTAGGGATCTAAGACACCAATAGTAGGTCTTCGAGCGATGATAGCTATACCAGACGGGGATTGGGAGGCTCGAAATTGACAATCCGACCGCCCTTGCAGCGATCGAAGAAGCTCGTCGTATAGAGCCAAAGGATGAGAACCATTTCGGATCGCTTCGTACTAAGGCGACTCCCCACCTCAAGAAAGATTGCAGTACCCGAATATACAGTGTGGCTGCATACATGTACCACTATACCTCTCACGCTGCGAACGACGTCGACCCGAGCGACGACAAAGACATGCTTTTGATCGGCCCAGCCAAGGACATTGCGTTCAATTGCTTGCTAGCCACGCTTTACAACCTCATACATGCGCCACATATTCAAAGAGCGACAGTCCCTTTCTTCCCCTCGCCCTCGTTTCCAAAAGACAGCCATCACCGAGGCGCTACTAGCTGCCACCAGCGTAGAGCTCACTGAGTAGGATCTCAGCGACATGACGGTGCGCGAATTGGAGCTGCTTCAGATACAACATAAAGAGAATGGCTGAGCTCAGACTTTCGAAACCTCCACGATAGTATAACAACAGGCGGCACTCAGACGTGGCTACGGACCATAATGGATGCATGGACGTATGTAAGTATCGTAACGACAGTTTCGAAGAATGGAACCTTCTGATAGAGGATAGGGCGCAGTTGATGTACGTACAATTAGATCACTTAGGAAGTCGCGAATTGACATATCTTAGGCTACAGTATCTCTACATCCTACTAGCCCGTCGTTTCCTCGGTATTCATCATTACAACCTACCTACGGCATCTAAGAACGACTGTAATACTGTTTACCTCTTAGCATTACGTCGAGAGGGTTCGAAGTGCACGACTGGCTAGCACGCATGCTTGGAGACTGTCGGACGAGCGCAAGAACGTGGGGGCTCATACGTTTGGTGGGATACAATGGCTTGGTGGCTCTGAATACGTCCGTGTCGAAGCATATGTCTCCAGCAAGCTATACTCCTGGAATGGGGCTATACGATATGTAGTACGCTGCCGGCAGCAAGTCATGTGGCAGCTAACTGAACTGGTGCTTTCTTTAGCAGCAACACGACTACTGGGTTAAAAAGATCAGAAACATGGCATGCTTCCCGTTTATGATTGTTTCTACCAAAAGCTAGGTCTGTGACCGGTCTGCACCACGAGCAATCCTATAGTGTGATCCTAATATAAACGCAACGAATATATGATTCAGCATAAAGGTGGGAACCGTACTGAACCGTAACATACAGTTCATGTACAATTCTTCGTGTGCCATGGTTATCTATTTGTGAATGGGGTATTTGCATGTCATCTGAACACGCAAACTCGTTGGCAGGCCAAAAAGCGTTGACGCGCAGTTATTGTCCTCACTGACCCAGTGAACACCATATGCTGGTTCAGATAGCATCTTGACATCGCTGAAGCTGTGACAGATCCTAGGTAAACCAGTTCGATTGTCAAAAAGCACAAGAGTTCGACGTGCATACAGCTTTAGTCCATTATTCACCCCCACGAAGGCCACGACCAATCTGCTACCCTACTATACCAACAGCTACCACTCGGCCATATAATATGACTATATAATACTATTAAAGAGTCTGCATCTCACCACTACTAGGCTTAACCAGAAGTGTGTACTATGTACTCTGTTTGGTCAACGCGTTCCGCGCCCTGCGTTTCCTAAAGAACTCGCTGATTTGATCTTTCACAGTGCGAATCTTCAAGGAGTATAAAGCCGCGCCGTGGCATCTTTTTTTGCTTCGATCACTGGCAGTGACAGGGACATAGAGTGAATCTTTTTGCTTTTCAGGGTCACTTGTGAGACTTGTTTGGCCGGTATGCGGAGATTGGCCAGGTGACAGTGCGGACAATGACGCGTTCCCCATCACAACATGGGCCAGGAAAACTGGTAGATCTCCGAAAACACAACCGAGTATAATAGAAAGAACCTCACCGCCCTTTTGTGGTTGTGTTCCGACGAACTTAGCAGATTCGCGGATTGATAGCATATCTGCAATATTTCAAACTCGAAGTTCACTGCCTTCGCTTCGCATCGTCTGCGCTCGACTCAATGAAGAGTCTCAAGTTTTCTGCTGCAAGATTGTTTCCAGAAGTAGATCGTTGTACCGGGTATCTCTTTGGCACTCGATTATCCTGCCGTGGTTACATAGACCACCAAGGCGCCAAGTGATAAGTTGTGGTGGTCGTCCAGCTCATCTACGTAAGCCATACAGAGCATTTCTGCAAAGACAATCTCAGACTTGCTACCTATCCTCGTCGGAGTGATTTGCCCATCTTTTTTCCGATCTACACACTCGTTGTACAAGTCTGTTGCGTTGTTGACCCTCTGAAGACTTGCGCATTCGGCCATTGAACATCAGCACCCTTTCAGATGGGCATCTAAGGTGTTTGTAGTCGGCGAATGTAATGATATATCAGCCCTTGTATCCCTTTTATTTCTGTACATGAGAGTAGGTGAACGTGGAGAAGATGGTCGGCCGGTTTCGCAGCAGAGCGAGGGGAGGTCCAGTCGCTGGAAGATCAAAACACCAGGGTCGATATCTCTCCTTCACCTCCGACACACGCCGCACACACAGCCAGTTCTCTTGAGCTCAAGACACCTTCCAATCTCGAAGATATTGCACTTCAACGCCCCCTTTGTCGCTACCTTGTCTATCCCACCCAAACACGACAAACACATTCGTCTCAGCATGAGCAATCCGCAAGCCACGCTACAGAGACATGCTCTCAACCGCATATCAACGTTCATGGTTGCAATCTTCACCCTCATCACGAGAGTGGTTGATTCCCGTGTACTGTTGCGCAAAGAGACAGTCGGTAATGAACTGCATCTGTTCTTCTGCCACAAAGAAGACTTGGGCGATCAATTTGTTGCTCAAGAAACCGGATACACCTCCATTGAGGCAGAGAAAGCTATGGAATCCCACAATTATTGCGTCTTCGTGTGCAAGGTCTTTGCTGGTATGCTGGCTTGGTTGATCGAGGGTGCGCCAAGTTCCAGTCGCATACAGTAAATCCTGACCGCTAACAAGACGCCATCTAGAGCTCCACCTTCCAATCACAGTCGATGAAGCAGACTTGAATGAGGTCTTCGAAGTCCAGCCTGTCGTTTGCATCGATGTCATTACCTGGGAACGGAGAAGAGTCGCACCCGTTCACACAATGTTCAAGATCCTCTCCTCGGACGCCTACCCAAAATCAGACGGACTCGTTGAGGAAGAGGGATTGTACATCGATGCTTCAGCGCCTCAATACCTCCGCCCGGCTGGACTATACGCCGTCTGCAGTTATCCTGCACGACCACAATCCTCTACGCAGCTTGGTGGTGCCTACGAGGCCCACCTCAAGAAGTTACATCAAGCCGCTACTTGGAGCAATTACAGAACAGAGGCCGTTATCCGAACGATCAACAACAAGATATACGCGAAGATGAATGGGCTTGGAGGGCCTAGGATTCTGCTGGATGAAGACATCGCGAAGTGGGAAAGCTTCGAGAGGGAGATGCTTGCTTCCGTCGAGATCAGTCTTCGGTCTCTGGTTACGAATCTAGACCTCCTGTACATTCCCGTACCCGATAGGGAGACACACCACAAGCTCATCGCTCAAGACTGTTTTGATACTGGCCATGAGAAGATCATGGAATCTCTGGAGCGAGTCTCGGCTCGTAAAGAGATCATGATATGGCAAGGCATTTGAGCAGTGCTGAACTATGATTCTCTTACGTATGAGCTCGAGACAGGGCTTGAGTGGATGGACCTCGGTGAGAAGTAAGAATGTGAATATGTTCGTTTAGCGCATGATTTCAGACTCCAGCAAAATCATGATACCCAAACCACCAAATTAGCGTATTTCGGTATCGTTCATGACTTCCTGAGTGATAATAATGATCAAGTATCAGTCAGATTTGCTTGCGCAATTGATGCCGTGAAGTACAGAGCGGCTCGTCAGTCTGGCCATTGGCTATGGGAAGCTCAACGACAAGGCCTTAGTCGGCCTTTTTCAGAGATGCGCAGGTACCAATACAACTCGACTAACAGAACATTCATCCGTGTAGCCTATCGAGTCTACTTCCACAGCCTCACCATCCTATCGGCAGTGGCTATACAAGTGGAAGTCACATAGATGCCTGCATAAACAGCCAAACTTTAGACAACTACGACGAGCTCTTCAAGTCTGGACACTAGGCCACATGATTGGTTGGCCATTACATGGTGCTCTTTTGTTGTTTGACTAAGCTACCATGCAACAAGTTGTCGAGCACCATGTACCGCTCCCTGGCCGCAAGTGGCTCCGGCAGCAGCACGACCTCATCACTCTGATTACAAATGTACGCAGCTCTCCTTCTGGCCGTAGTGACCTACCAAAAGAGGTCAGCGTGAGTACTGCTTAGATCCAGAGCGACTGCGAGTATGTGGCTCGCATTGGCATCGTAACCGCAGTGAGAAAGTGAAAGACTGATGGGCCCATATCTCTGTTCATCGTGCCCGCGAAGTCCGATACAAACGGGCAGTTTGAGCACAAATCTCGTTAGACGCTTTCGAAAAGCCTGAGTTCCTTCAAATTCGCGTCATCCGCGACATTTTCCTGACACGGCCAATCCACATCTTCAGTATATGCGGAAACCCCTCCAAACCATACGTGAGGATGTCCCGATCGAGAGCAGCTATTACATGTCGCGAGATCGCTTGTAATCGCCTGGTAAGCAGTGCCGTACCATATCTGAACACGCGCGGTTGTGATACGCGGGTCCTCGTTCAGTTTGATACCCACGTGTATTGCAGCTTTGACTGCCAAAGCCGCAACGAGCGCATCCAGAAGCTGGACCGTATCGAGCAGTTCATCACGGCGTTGTTCTTCGAATACAGCGAAACGACAAACCCCTACCCAGTCATATCAGAGACGATCCATCGAGAGCAACAGGGAAACTGGCGCCAAATCCATGCGCTCGGCAGGGCCGACCATCTGGGTACGGTGACACTCAAGGAGAACGGTCCCCTTTCTCCTCGCGGTCGACTTGCTTTTCTCTCTTTGAATAAATGCACCTCTGTCCTCATGATATTTGCCCCCTTGATGGCGTTTCTCTACCAAGGTTCGTCTTTACTTCATTCTCCTGCGATGTCAAACCAGAACCCAACGTAATCAGACCTTGACCCCTCGATCGAGATCCACGAAGCGCACGTTGACAATGTATTATCGGACCAAGAAGTGCGAGTCCAATATCTAGGCCCGAACGGAAAGCCTACGACACAAGATACAGTTGCGAGATGGCACTCAATGTTCCGAATTACAAACACTAAGGAAGATCATACCACTGACGCGGCTAGACTCGCGCAGTTGAATGGCACAGGAATATACTGCGACACCACAGCGGCTCAATACGGTCGCGCCCCAGGACTGCAAGACGCGAGGGCTTATCATCGCCATCATCCCGATTCGAAGACAGTATACTGTGCTAGCTTCGCCCACTACTACCGCACCTATCACTTGAGAAACCTGGGCCGAATCAGTGCAGAAGATGGAAGATACCGCATTTACGCTCTGCATCGGGAGGCGTACACCCAAACGATGAACAACATTGTTCATCGCGAGATCGAAGGTATGGGTGGAACCGCGTACTTGCTGGCTATGACACCTGGAGATTTTGAAGCCGCATGCACAACGATCGTGGCTCAAGTCCATTCAGCACTCCTTGACGTCGCTTTTGACATACGCAAGGTGTATTTGAACAAGCCTTATGAGGTGATCTTTGATAGCAAGGAGGATTCGGAAAGGTACGAGGAGGTGGCATCTTAATGCATGGGCCCGGGCCATACAGCGTGTCTGCAAGCTTTAGATAAGCGTGCTCCTGACACCTGGATGCTTGATGACGATGTCTTTCGGCGATACTGACGTCGAGAATAAGGCCGTCGGGAAGCAGACAAAGCTGGCAGAAGTGTGCGTAGCTTTACTGGCGAATGGAATGCATGCGCTGCGGGAATGCAGCAAGCAGTCGCAAGAAAATCTTGACTGCAAACGTGTCTGCATTTGAGCAATAGGTCGATCCGTGAAAACTCAGATTCTTCTAACGCAAGTCTCAATCTGAATACCTTTCGATGCAGTTTTCAACCTTTTGTCAGGGATGGTGCTCTTTGGTCAAGTAATCTTAACGTAGTACTTATGCCATGCCGAATCAAATCCACCACACCAAGACCTCGATATTGCTCGGCCTACGCGTGCCAATTCTCTTTGTGGTTTGGATCGCGTCTTCCATCCGGTTTGTGCAGCTTTCAACAACCACAACATTTGTCACAGTCGCCAAGAATAGAGTGCTCGTTGTCGAAATCGTTTCTCGTCTGCTGCGGGTACTATAGCTTCCGTACCACGAGTATGGCCGTCAGCTCCGCAAGCCTTCTCGCTGTTGGTTTACAAGTCTCTTTATGCCATACGCTTACCACTTAGCTGCCCAGAGCTCTACCAGTGGTTCGCATATACTTCAAATCGCTCACTTACTGGTGACTAAGGGAATGATGTAGTGCTGCACGGCGATATCTAAGCAGCAATTCGCGTTCGCCGCATCATTACAAGCAAAAAGTAAAAGTCCAAACTCATGGAAAGGCGTCCACAGAGTCGAACACGAAAGTAAAAAGACAGTTTAGCAACGATGCCGAAAGCCTACATCTGTCAGCTGTGCCATGAGTTAGTGAGTTTCTGTTTGACAGATCGGAGATCAATCTATCCGTATAGATACCCAACGGAACTTCGTTGGCATATGAACATTGCGATATGCGAATGTCAATTCTGTCGTTCACGTTCGCAAATCTCCAACTGGCGCAAAAGAAGACGTCACTTAGGACCTCCGTGCCACAAAGGACACGAAAGGTACTAAGATTGTACTGCGAAATTGGGGACCCAACAATGTAAGAAGTTTAGATACCAAAGGTTTCCGCGTGCGACTCAACGTTCGACCTTACAGAGAGTCGAACACAAGAGCGACAAAAAATGAGTTCAGCTCGGTGTCGATTGCCTACGTCTCATTGCCGCCGGCCGATCCGAATCTAAGGCACGAGTTAGAAAGTGTTTTGTTGATGGAAAAGAGCCTAATCAATCCATACATATATCCAAACGAAGTCGGTTGTGGGATGTGCCAAACAATTCTGAATCGCTAGGCCACCTCTGGTGAGTCGGCAGCTCAGGAAGGACGAGAGGTTGCTCTCAATCACCCAGCAATGGCGAAGACAGATTTTCCCTCATATTATTCAAGAGAATGGCGTTCTCAATAGTTCTTGTGAGTTATCTGACGACTCCTCCACAAGAACGAGGCAATAGAGTGCAAAAGCGTGACTGTGGCGTGTTCATACCCCCAATCTTCACAGGTATTGCAAAAGCTTAACGCCTTAATAACTCTCATCATGTACTAGATGACACCATCTATGAGCTCTACGTGGAGCACATTTGACGAAACTATAGCGTCTACTGTTGACTGCCACGCATCCAGGACAGCAATGCCAACAGATCTTCTCGTGCGCCAGGCGGACAGCATGGTTCAGATGAGCAAGGACTGGTGTGATAAATCCAACAGTTCTAGTTGCTCCAGGCTGGGTCGGTTTTGCTAACGGGCACCAAACACGGTGAATAAGATCTTGGTACAAGCTGGGTACAATTTCTTCATGCCATTTTAAACACCCAAATAGTCAGCCGAAGTGAGAATGCGACAGCGGTATGTAGCACTTGGGTGAACTCTGTGGATGTGTCTGATGCGTCAAATCCTTGCATCAAGTGGGGACACAGCTTGATAAGGTTCTTGTGCATCGTTCACAATCTTGTAATAAAATGCAGTGGCTGTTTGGCTGTAGTGTATCCTAAACTCTGATACCATCATCCCGTGAAGGACAGAGATAGCATTCATCGAGCGCCTTCTAGTGCTCTTATGACGCGGGACTCGTAAGCGATGGAGCTGTACGAAAAACTGTTTTATAAGGGCTGCGACAGATTTTCGCGCTGTAAGCATTCCGTTTGGCTTGGTATCTTCACTTCCAGGAAAGGGTGTTGATGTCTCAGCTTCATATTTGCAAGTTCGGTCGGGGGTCCGCGACCACCCCACCAACAACCACGCCACGACAACAAGACCACCTCACGTTGACGGCAGAAGCAGGCGGAGAACTTGGTATGACGGATCAAAAAGCCAGACAAGTTTGTGATACCCTCAGGTGGCATCTGCGGATATTGCGCTGACTAGGCAGAGGCAGCCAGCAACAACCCCTCCGCCGGTACCATCGACGCCCGCACGAACAGACAGGAGATTGGGAGTGGACGATCTCAATCGTACAGGCTGGTAAGTCATTCCATTCCTGATGTCGATTCTTCCCTGCCCTTGAGAGAGGTACTACGAGAAGGCGCCATTCAGCCGCAGCTTCAACGCCTCCTCGCCAGCGATGAGCAGCATCACAACAAGCGCACTGTGCTACCAAGTCGCTGACACTCTTGTCCTCTGCAGACACAAAGATCAGAGACATAAACTTGGTGCGCCGCTCGAGGCGGTCACAGACTTGTGGCTGTGGCTGTTGCCAGTCCGCGTCTACAACACCTCCGCGGCATTGCGACATCGGCGCACACAAAGTGGAGTCGTCAATATCCCGGGAGCGACGACTGGCATGGAGCGAGCAGATTGCTATACGCAGGCTAAACATCTATTGTCTTCCAGTAGGTAGCAACTGGGAAACACAGCCGTAAGGACAGGGAGCCGGCAGTGTCTTTGATTGATTTTGCGCCGACCATACCTGACATTCACTGACAACCCACAGTCCCTGCACACTTACGAAGAAACACGACTCCGTTGATCATCGGAGTTATGTTAGGCGTTGCCGTGGGTGTCAGCCAGGCGATGGTTTCCAGAAGACAAAGAAGGCAGCAAACTACAGGTCCGCCCACAATAGCTTCCCAGAGACGAAAGGCAAGATTTGTACTCCATCATGTCAGCGCGTGTCTTGGAGGATTGGCCGGCCTTATGCGTTGAAGGGTCGGTAATCGCCAATACTGAATCGCCGCGAATACAAGTCTTGGGGGTGGGCGATCTAGACGACAAGCGCCTCTGGCGACGACGGCGCTGGATAGGCTGATCATTCATGTTGAGACTAAAGACCTCATTCGTTTCGGTAGGTGGTGTCTTTAGTGGACAAGTAAAGTAGAACACAGACATCTGCGTTCGCTTCTCATAGCAAAGACATTCAGAGTGTGCACTGACGGAAAGCCAGGTAATGTCCTACGCGTACGGTCATGCACACCGTAGCCCCTCCCAATAGTCGGGCCAATTGAAGCATGCTGCCCTTCGCGTGCGAGCGCCCGTCCATCGTTGGCCTCGGCCTTTATCCAGCGTATACAAGCCCAGCGGCGACCACGAGCGGTACCTAGGGAACATAACAAGAAGTAGAATACGTTCGATATACTTGGATGAGTGGAGGCACAGCAAGTATCCATGAGAGAGCATGGAAGACCGAGCTGGCTGAAGGGGTCGGTGCATGGACATGGTGGGAGGCCTGCGAGGAACATCTGACAAAGAAACTCCGTGGTACGCCAGTGCTAGAAGATGTCGCGACGACGGAACGAAAACGAAATCGCAGTGAGAGCTTCAAGGAGTTCATCAGGAATTCATTCGGAGTTCCTTCCCTTTGACTGGTTGTAGCATGGCCGACTGCGATGGCATGCTCGAGACGGTATAGAGTTCGGAAAGTCCAACGGCCGTGGCGGTGTTGGTCCAGATTTGGCGTCCTTCAAGATGCTCGCGCCCTGCGAGTGGGCCTTCGGCCATCCATTCGCCTTATCGGAATGCAACCCGTTTGTTATGTCACCAGAGGGCAGCAGTCAATTGCCTCGCTACCGGAAAAACCGCGAGACAGGTCGCTCATTGAACACACACTCTGGCGAGTGCCTTATTGGATGGCATCGCCAGCGGTCTATCGCTGTTAAAAAGTCTTGGGCACTGACCGAGGTACAAAATAGATGACAAAGAGAGACGAAAAGGATGGAAAAAGATGACCGGAAAATGGAGGAGTAGAGAAAGAGGACCGTCGTTCAGAAAGAGATAGCCAGAGGTTTGACATTCGAAAGCGATCCCGGGAGATGCCATGGCGGAGTATGCCATCTGCATCCGACGCGGCAGGTGCGCCTGACCAGTTTGGAAGCAACGAAAGGATCGACTCCTGCAGTGACAAACTGCATGCGATAATCGGGCTCGCCAGCAAGGTCGCATTGTGAAAAAGGTGGCCATGGCATCCAAAAGACACTACTTCATGCCTTCAGCGTGCGACATCACCGAATTTGCCCAAAAGGATCCGTCACGGCGCGACAGTGGGACACCAGTCCATTCCAACTACTCTGACGCTCGTGCTGCGCATTACCATCGTATCGTTCTGGCTGAGAAACGCTTGCTGAGCTCGAAGCTAACGCTCCGGTCGCGCTACAAATTCCTCGTCAAAGTGGTTCGGTGTTTTCGCTGTGGTATCATTATGCAAGACTCCCAGAATTGTCGTTCACAGCCATCGCGGACGGGAGTGTCTGCTGCAGACAGGCAGGATTCTCTGAGATGTGCACGCTATACTTAGTACACTTCGGCCTCGGTTACGTCGGTTACAAAAGCAGCCATACGATGCCATGCCTGTGACCCCCTGGACGTTCACTGTAGTCGTCCTGATGCGGCTGTCGTGATGAAGATACATACACTGAACTCACTGTCGTTTTTTATCACCAAAGCGGCTAAACCTTGGAATCAATACCGGCAGGCGCATGCTCCCTGCCACCTCCAGGGATGTACTGAAGGTGAATTGGCTTGTCCCACAGTCATGAGTTCTGGTCAAGAGAAGAACTCCTTGGCGCGTCCAGGTTCGCCAAAACTCGGAATCGCCTATGATCACGGTGAGGTGTTTAGGTCGCATGGCTGAGTCCCCTAAGGGCTGCGCCCTTGTCGGCAATTCTATACGGCAAAGGCCACAAGATTCTGATGATGATGAGATACACGGCCTCAATGGATAGCTGAGTCTTATGAATGAGAAGGCTCGTGTCGAAAGAACACTACGATTGAGGTATCGGAAATGTGACGCCAGGCTCGGCTCACATACCAGTCTTCCACGAACAGTACCCTCTCCTACCAGCGACAATCAACAACATCATCCGTACCACACAAAGCTCCCAAACGGATGCGTAGGCCCAAATCTCCTAGACTGAAGCGCGCAGCAGCTTGACTTTTGCATAGTGCGTTGATGCTTGACAGTTCTAGGACGGCTGAGGGTCGCCCGAATTGGAAGTCGGAGGCTGCTCTCACCATTGCGGATCATAGAGCCGGTACCAATAATATCGAGACGGACGAGGAGGGAGAGGCACGAAATTGAACGATCTATCCCTTGTCTCACGGCGTTCGATTCGACCGCAAGCAGTGGATATCGAAGAGGCACAAAGAAAGGGGACGTCGACTTCGACTTCGCGAGTCTGTGGTAGACAATGTTGCCTGAGGATCGTACGTCAGCAATGATGTTGCGTAGGACACCGTTGTCTGTTCAGATGGCGGACTTTAGGATGAGACATGCCGCTGATCGGATCGCCGAACACGTGTCTTGCAGGAGCTTGAATCTGCCTTCCGGCTCTTTTGTAAGCCATCTCCACGAAGATGTACCGGAGAGCAGCGCGCACAACCATGTGCGAAGGCCTTGCTGCCGCTGTCTGTCAAACCATCTACACAGGCTGGGACGCCCGCCACATACCATCTATGTACCTCGGACCATGGCCTTAGATACCGACAAAGATTACAGGCCGATGTGACCATTATAGATTGGAGTCGCGGCAAGACGATGTGAGGGCGTACGTAAGAAAATCCGAAAGTTCATGCTTGGCCACGTACTAATCATGTTGTAAGTCTCGAGGTACAGTAGCGGACGACAAGGCGATGAGACCGCAAGCTGGGCGGCCCACAGTATTTCCGTGCAGGTTCGACTGCGCTATGGACGTAGCGAGCGGAGATCGAGGATGTATTGGGGGCTGTCGGCCCGAGGATCAGCAACATGATACTCCGAGTCTGGTTTACAGTATAACCCCAGACAGGTGTGCTAACTGTGTTGTAGGAAGCCGGGTGCGGGACAGGGTTCAGTTAGCGGAATGCTCGCCGATATACGCAGGGAGCCGCGCCTACATCGCCTGGCTGCGCTTTTCGACAGGGCGAGGTCGCCCCCACAAGAACCAAGAAGCTCTCATGTCTCTCCACAGTCTTGTTGGGGTACGTAGCGATCGTAGGCAAGGCGGTCGAGGACGTGGATTCGGCGGCTTCGGTCAAGCCCTCGGGCGTCTCCTGTGCTATGGCGGCAGGCTTGTAGTGAGCAGAGCTTCTGCGTCGTATGAAGACGGACACCTTGCCACTGACAGTGGCCTCAGTACCTTCACCACGCTGTGTCGGGGTGATTGAGTTGGGGCAGTGTGGTCTGGAGGAAGGGGCAGAGAGAGTTCAACCAACAACCAACTTCATCGGTCCGTGCGCTGAGGGCGCCTCCCTCAGCAGCCCAGCAACAACATCAGCACCTTCTCAAAGCATTATCGCGCATTACAAGGTCTGCGCTTTGTGCGTGAGCCTCTACTCTGCAATTCCCCTTGCATGGTCTGATAGAAAAGGTGTCCTCTTCGCTGGCTATGGTTTGGCAAACTCCGTAGGGTAAAAGAAAGCCCGAGACCGACGACATGCGTAGCAGCGGCGACGCGAGTTCAAAGACTCGAACAGCAGAATCAAGAATCGCCAGGACCTTGTCAGACACCTCTGCATCCTCCTATTACCACGTACGGTCCCTGCATCGATCTACGCGCATTGCAGCGCCATAGAGATGGAAGGCCTTTGCCACATCCATTGGCAGCAGCTACTACTGCACTAACGATGATGGCTTGCAACGACTACAGCCCCCGTTATCCCACAGTCTTCGGCCCTATTTGACATCACAGATGCAACCTCCTTGAGCAATCAGATCGAATGGTCGTGGCGGAGAATGGAAATGTCTGGGAAGAAGGACAAAGGAGGAGGCAACTACCTTGCGCTGGACTATGGAGGCCCATATCACCGGTCGCATTGCAAAAGCACCACACCTCAACCACCTCATATACTTTTCTTTGTTGCACTCGACGCATCCGTTGAAGTGGTGGGAGCATACCCTGCAATAGCAAAATCTGGACTCGAAATAGAGGCCGATTATGGTAGGTCCATGACTCGGACTTGACATTTTGAAGCTTCGAATGAGACGTCTGGCCCTGGAGTCATCAGCGACCTAGTAAAGCTCATGAAGACTTCGGCTAGGCTGGAGAGCCTTCACATCTTCTAGTTGCTGTATCAAGACGGGGGAAATCTGATCGTTCTGCAGAATCTTGAAAGCTTTGCAGGGACCTAATATCTGTACGCTGGAGTGGCAGATGACAAAGATCACATAACCATCCTTACTCTCGCCGAGAAGATTCAGTGGCCGGTAAACTCGATTGGCGTTTTGGGGGCATTTCACATTGAGGGGGACAAGAGGATGACATTACCAAGACGTATCATACCCCTAGGCGAAATGATATGCAAGCAGCCGTCATCTGCGAGAAATAAAAACATTGTGGAAAGGTATCCACCCGGCGGTGTCGCAAGATCATACTAGAAGCCACTACTCACAAGATTGCACCGTAGCGGTTATGTGCATTACACAGGCCTCTTTCACAAACAATATCAACAACACGCACGGCAAACTTAGAGGATAGCATACTAATGTATTCCACTTCGGTTGCCATTCGTAACATCCACTACGGTCGTCAACTATCTACGACCTACAAATCTCTATCGTCAATAATGTCCATTCCACCGTCCTCCACCGCCTCTCTAAACTCATCATCTGTAACTTTTGGCTCCATGATGATCTCCATGACATCCAATAGCCTTTCAGAATCGAAGAGTTCCTTCATCAAGGCAGTTGCCTCATTCATCCACCTACTCTTGAGTTCCTCCCACGATGTATTTCCTTCCAGATCGTAGTTCGCAATGAACGAATAGAAGTCATCGCCAATAACTAGGCTATTGGTATCTTCGTCTTCAATCACGTACTCCAGCTTGTCTCTTTTCTTGTTCATGCGGTATTTCTCCGGTATGCGTGATGCGCTGTTGGTTAGATATCGAAGCAAACCGATCATCTGCTTGACAACGGCTTGCTCATCCCAGGTCACGACACCGTGGAGATGCACAATCCTTACTATCGGAAACTCCTTCTTCGTAGGCGTCAGTATGATGTTGCTTCCCTTCAGATTCGCGTGACAAATTCCTTTCGGCTCAAGCTCGGTGCCTTGTGCAGCCATGACTTCGTCGAAGATCTTGCAGATGAGGAAAGGCGGGAAGCCGTCTTGGAAGAAGTTTTCCTTGAGGTGTTGCAGGTCACGGCCATGGCAGAAGGACGTGACGTACCAGTTTCCTCTTGGGTCGTAGTCGATGACTCTGGTGACGCGGCGAGTCTTGATACTGAGGAGTGATTCGATCTGTCTTAAGAGTGCTTCACGTTCTTCTCTTGAACGAGGAGTTCTCAGTGCTAAAAGAGAAGAGGGGGTTGGCTTGACGAGGTTGTTGGGGATTACAGCAATAATGAGGCCATTTGGGCTTTCGCTAATGAGTTTGATCGGAACATACTTGTCGATAGCAGACTTGGGAACATTGGGTGGTAATGTCATGGCGTGAAATTGATGCATGTTTGGACTTTAGTGGAGGATATGTGTATCGTTGGACAGCAAGCTACAAGACAGACACAAACCAATTTAGGAAACGAAAAGGCTTGTGACCGATTGCGGACACTGACTAGCCGCTGATAAGCTGGGTTTGCGCGGTGAACTTGCGGAGCAAGCGGACCCCGATGATACTAGACAGTGAATGAGGAAGAGGTGAGTCAAGAAGAACCATTAGTGACTTTAGAATAGATCTATGTTATAGTATAAGTGAAACCCTGCAATTCTCATGCTAGCGCTATAGCTGAAGCTACGGATGGAGGGAATGAAGCCACCATTGCACTCAAGGCTTCTCTTCTCTGGAGGATATCACACCTGTAAGCTGAATAGCATCATCCACCAAGTTATTAAGTTGATCGAACTCGCCGTTGAGCCACCTGTCGAGCAAGACCTGATCCTCGCTAACAAACGTAGGCCGTTCTGCGGGCAAGACCTTGGTGCATTCTTTGAGGTCGTTGATGTTGTTCACGCCGAGAAGCGACAAACGCGTGTAAGCCTTGGCATAGTCCTATATCATTTGGTCAGATGAGATATTTGTTTGGAGATATGTGCAGTCATACCGCGTTCCATCGACCCTGAGCAGTAGCCCGATCGCTGAACTGCTGCCACGAAGGACTTGTTCTAGAGTCCTTACTCAAGTTGATGTCGCTTTGGAATTTGATGACACGGACAGGCGCATTATTCGTAGTCTGCGGGTAGAAAGCCATATCCCAGATACCGGGAGTTGAGTCTTGTGGGTCACCATCGCGAGTGGTGTCGACGAAGTGTTGTTGCGAAGTAGTGTGCGCCCCGACAAGAGCAACAAGATCATGAGCATCGATGGTTTTGTCTTGGAAAAGTTTGATGAGCTTGTTTGCAGAGTCCTTTTCTCCAGGAAGAAGGCCGGTAGGGCCAGCCTTGCTATTATCTTTGCGCCCAACGAAGGTTCGAAGTCGTGGTCCAAGCGGGCAAACTACGGTCGCGACATTGGCACCGAATTGGATGATATCTGCCATACTCATGCCGTATTGATTGTATTTGGTGTACCACTTCTTTGTTTGATCAGCAATTGCCGAAAGACCGTTGTTGTCCGCACGCGACATCTCGTCGCTGAGGAGGATACTGCCGTCTGCACCACCATAACTGCTGCTCTTAGACCAGACGGCTGCATCATGGAAACCCAGGCGGACGGCTTGACGAGCAAACTTGCTGCAACGACCGGATGTACCGTTGAATTTGGCGGTCATTTCGTACGCCAACCATTTCCAATGGCAGCACAGATCAGCTTTGCAGGCAGCGCTTCCGATGTTGCCAGCCGGGATGGAGCCATCTATGGTAGCCGACTCAGCAGACGTTTGGTCAAGTATGATGGCTTTGATGTCCTTGCCAATAGCAGTGAGTTTGGAGTCTGCCAGTGTCTTGAGGTCGCCAATAAGCTCTTTCGAAGCTGCACGCTTCTCACGAGCAGCAAGGTAGCGCATTTCGTTCATCGTGTCACCCATCCCCGGGTGAGCTTCAATGAGTGGAACAAATGTTAGCAGGGCATAGCTGAAGTAGGAGAAAGCCTTCATATTGACCAGCGAAGAGGAAGTAGATGTCGACAGGAACAAAGAGTGGAGAGTTGCTTTTGGGCAGGATGGCCATACGACATGTTCAACTCTTATAGGAATGGCTTTCTGTGATTCTGGAGACCAGACCTCGCTTCAGAAGTGCATTAGATTGAGTGGTAAGTATACCCAGTCACCTTGAACGGTGTTATCATGAGGCAAACGAATACGAGCACTGTGTACCCTGCATATGGTCCGACATACCATAACATTGACTTTGCTGATTCATAGTATCTGGCTGTAGTCAGATCGTATGATACCAGAAAGTAAAGTCGACGTAAATCTGGAAGGCCGGACTTCCCGAATTGAGAAAAGCTGACGACCAAGTGTAAGATTGGTGGCTCTCCAATTGGTCGAAACCAAGTGAAGTGATGAGCAAGGTGAGCCTGGCTACCGGATAAGCGAACACGGGAGGCGAGACTTCACTTGCAAAACTGTCGTATTACATGAAGTATATTGCACATGCATCTGGGCCTCTGATACGAACAGTAACCTCATGTAACGAAACGACGTGAGGATTCGACAGTTGCTCGAATCTGAGGCTTCTCTCTCTTACTGCGTCGCTATTAGTGGAAGCATTGTCATGTCGGCAAGAGCATACCAGCATATTTGAGAGAATTCCGAAAGTCCGATCTCTTGAGATGTTTTCCATCCAGTTGTCAGCTGCATCAAACATGCCGGATTCCAAGAGGCAGTCAAAAGGATCGACAATTTCAGACGCAGGTAATATACCGCGCTCGTATAGGGGACGTTCGATGGCTTCGTATGTTACACGACTATTCTTAGAGTTTGCTAGTTGCTCGGTCCCAGGCTCCAGGTTGTAGATCGTGCAATCGCAATATCAAGCCGTCGATGGTGTAACTATCGCGCATTGGTACTTCAGCCTCACAATCAAAGTAGATCTACCGCGCCCCCTGGAAATCTCGGTTTGTCGTATCCAGCCCATTGCAGCCATCCCTCCAGAGTGTTCCATGCGAAAATTGTTGAGTGAAAACGCCTTCCACAACAACGAGGCAGCTATGCACGTTCGGGACCATTGCGGTCAACCGGTAAGCTGCAGGACAGGGCTTCGCCGCCAGGCGAGTAACATTTAGCCGGATAACATACAGCACCCAAGGACTCTTTCTTTGTACCGAACGGTCCTTTAGGGTAAACGTGGGAGGCCACTTTTCTAATCGTTTGTTGATCTACACATCGAATGGTGTGGTGGATGTTGTAGCTCATCTCCTATTGTGTGATGTCGAGTTTGATCGGTCTCGGGACGGGACACAGAGCAACGAACCTTGATCCACCCCGATGCCGCTCCAGATGCATAGATTCAGCCGCGTGTTTATAAGGCAACAGGTCGGTACCGGTGGGAGGGGTTTGTTAACGGAACAGCATACCACAACGACGAATCTTCGAACTCGTTTCTGAGCAAGGTCAGCGCGTTTTGGCGCATGTGTTCAGTATTAAGATGTTCAAAGGCAACACTATATACCCTGAACTTGGACGTCTCCTTATCCTACTGCTATACTAACAGTACTACTTGCAGGATTATTGTGCTTGTATGTTAACGGCATCGGAGCTTTCGAACGTAGCGCGCCACGGCGCGAAGGCAATCACCGCTTAGAGTTGTCTCCCAATTCAGCGGGTTTGGCCCACAGCCGGCGGCGACGGCATTGAAGAGAAAATGGTGCTGATCGGAAGTTTGGTGGTGGATGTCATCGTGGCAGCTGTAGATGGCTGGGTAAAGAAGGGTGGACTGGGTCGGGGCGGGGCCGAGAACGCGCCATCCGAAATCAGGTTAGACGAAATCTAATTTGGTCCCGCGCTGAGTGATTCTGAGGTGTCTCTTCACAGCCACCACCCGTAGACCGCGATGCATCGCGAAGACACATGGACATCCAACAACGGAGGTGTAAGGAAACTGAAAGATGACTGCAGCTACACTTCTCGTGGTTGTGTCTTCGACGGTGCCGGGAACAGTAACAGAGATGAGGCTGTGCTACTGAACAGGATCCATGCCTAAAATCCAGGGCGCAGCTCAGCTGGAATCCTGCCGTAAGCCGCGCTTTGTTACCAGCGCTTATATGTCTCTCAAGTCTTCCCAGTCTTACTGCTGATTCTTCTAGTCCTTCGTCAGTATAGATACCCAGGTTTGTCTTTCTAGAAGCGCCTCTGCTGTAGAACGCGACCAGCCTTCAACCTCACCTTTTTCCTATACCTAGTCTACGAATCCGGTGTCACATACACTGAAATCTCAAGCGGCCACCCAAAAAATGCTGCCCAGCAAGATGCGACGTCTATCTGGCCTTTTCTCTGGCCCGAAAACTTCCCTCCAGGTCCTTTCAGATCTCCATCTAGATAACGACTCGCAATACCTAACGTTTCACATACCCGTCGCTGCACCTTTCCTTGTTCTCGCCGGAAACATCGGCAAACTCATAGACTACGAACAATATCTATCCTTCTTGGTTCGGCGGTGTAATCTCCACGAGAAAGTTTTCTTGGTTTTGGGCCCCCTAGAGTTCCACGGCCTGAGCTGGATGGATGGCTTGCAGCTGGCGCATAAGTTGGAGAAAGAGCCAACAACAAGAGGAAGGCTCGAGGTACTATATGAGACGAGGAGCGATGTTCCGGGCACAAACATCACGTTATTGGGTTGCACACTATGGAGTAGAATTCCAGAATCAGACACAGCTGCTGTGCTAAGAAAGATGCCCGAGTTCGACGACAAGGAAGGCATACAGCTTTGGGACGTGGCAAAGCACAACTCAGAACATAAAAGAGACCTAAGGTGGCTTACCGATGAAGTCAAGAACCTCAACGCATCACCAAACGGCGCTTTGGCACCCGCAGTCTCCAGTAATTCGAAAGATGAGCGACAGCTCATTGTCGTCACAGCGTTCGCGCCGGAGCTACGTGAAAGTCTGGATCCTTGGCAAGTCGACGCGCCTTGGGCTTCAGCATATGGAACAAATCTGCTCGACGGCCCCCACTTTGGCAACGTCAAGATGTGGATCACCGGTATGACAGGTCGAACATGCGAGTTCAAGCGAGGCGACACGACCATCGTAAGCAACCAGCGCGGCCGGCAGGGCGAGCATGTAACCGGTCTTCTGAAAGATGGCATGTCAGATAAGCAGAAGATAGGCTTATTTGATGTGATGCGAGTGGTCAAGGTATAGAAGATTAGCTGATCGTAGGGACGTTGCCCACATTCGAATCTACTGAGCCGCTAACTATGGCTTTCTGTGTCCATATGACCAAATGCGATGTAGAATGCGAGGTACGACATGAGAATGCGAGCCCCGCATACGCTTACCAATCTTTTCCACGCCCAGTGACACAACATCCACCGACATACGTAAGCGCTACGTAGGGAGTAGCACCTGCAGCTACTTGCAGCGTAGTATTTTCTGGCGGAGTACCTGCGGCGTAGTACAAGCGGCGCGGTAACTGGAGTGCATTCTCTCCGAATAACAATGCATTGTTATCGCATAAGTACTAGCACATTACCACAAGAATCCCCGCCACCACATCAAGCTCAGTTTCAGCTCAGACTTACAACATGTCTTCGTCGTCTGAGACCGTAACCCTGACAGCATCATGTCTCTGTGGCACCTATGAATACAGCACCACCTTTCCCGCATCTAATCTTCCTCTACCAGGGCATACGTGCCACTGTACGAGCTGCCGACACCTATGTGGCTCACTACACACCTCTCTCATAACTTGGCCCGAACCTCGCGCCAATGTCGACATCAGTGGCCTCAAGGTATTCAGCGCCTGGGAGCGCTTCGACCTGCTGTTCTGTCCTACCTGTTCAAGCCCAATGTTCTGTGCTTTCAGAGATCCAGAGAGGAACTTGGGGGTAGTGACTGGAACGCTAGGCAATGTGGATGTTGGAGATCGCCAGCTGATCAAATTTGGTGGGATGGGCTATGTGCTCGATACGCAGGATGGGGGTGCCAGTCCATGGATCTGTGCTCTTAATGGTGATGGCGTGGACTTGAAAAGTTACGAAGAGACGACGCCCGGCCGTGGTTCGGAAGCAAAGGAACTACCTGCAGACTGGCCTCGGTCTTCAACTCTCCCGGAACTCAAAGCGAAAGAGGAGGACAGTGTGCCGATACGCTGTAAGTGCGGCGGTGTGGATCTACTCCTCCGTCGGGGCGAGTATAAAGATACGAGCGAAGAAGATCTGCCCTCCTGCGTTGAGCCTGCCAGCAGGAAGCTCAAAGCCAGCTTCTGTGCTTGCAACAGCTGCCGGTTACAAAGCGGGAGCGACATCTTTTACTGGACCTTTACAGAGACGAAATATCTGTCTTTTGGAAAAGATGATAGCAAGCCCTTTCCGGAAGATATTTTTGATCTCAAACACCTCATCGACACCAAAGATCCTGCTATCGGTACGATGAAATACTACACCTCCTCACCAGACGTCTGCCGTTACTTTTGCGGTACTTGCTCGGCCGTCGTGTTCTACGCATCAGGTAACCGGCCAAAGATAGTCGATGTGGCTGTCGGTCTGTTGGATTCCAAGTACGGAGCGAGAGTTGAGAATATGCTGTCATGGCCTTTCGGAAAGACGATGAGTTTCCAGGAAGACGGTGATGGTGGGTGGCGAGAGACTTTGTTTGAAAGATTGAGAAGTAAGGCGGAAGACTGGCGGGTGGCGAGAGGGTATCCGAAAAATTGGAAGAGCAAAGAGGAGTATGAGAATATTCATCAGGATGATGATTAAAGATGAACAGGTAGTTTAGGCTAGATTTGGTACATACCAGGTCTAACATGTGTCTATAATTTCTCAGACTGAGACTCAGCAAGTGGAACGCCATTCAGAAGCTCATCGTACGTTCGTTCTATTCGTGAAACAAAGAATCCGAGTTTTCACTGGACAAAGAAACCATATCGACATCTGTGCTAGCCACGTAGGCAGTCTTCCTAGCCAAGAAAATTGCACCATATGCTCAATCTCCTTCAAGCTGTACCTGTCGCGAAAAACATGCATAAATTCCGAACTGGTCATTAAGAATCTTCACACATGAGAAGGAAGGTGATAGCACTACTTGAACTCGAGAGTGTAGGTGGAGCTGGTTTGCCTTATGCTTATGTTATGAACTGGAAGGTATGCTTCTATTCCGAAGGCACCTGCACTCAAATCTTTATGGTGTGAAAGTGCTGTTTTCATGTGCCACGGCTATAATCTCCAGAAGATAAGGGACTAGTATACACTTTTCTCATAAAATAAAACTGGCAGGGGATCAGAATCTAAACTCTCGATGTATATGCTTCTAGACTACATGTCATGCCTGATAGTCACTATCAGACTGCAGGCTACATCGGACATGATCTGCAGATACTGTATCTGAACATATGAAACATTGTAGTTCCGCAAGACCCTTCACGTGCAGTGCGATCGTGATGATCTCTCTGTAGTGATTTGAGCGCATGAACCATCGTCCGCATAGTCACCGGGACTCTACAATTATATCGAACCTTAACAGTCTCGCCTCTGAACCCTTTCCACGCTCAACTCTACAACCATATCCTTTACTACTGCATCACGAACATGAAATCCCGCTCCAGGACGCCGTGTCAGAAGCCTCCTACAAAGTCTTTGCTCGTATCCGCCCCTAAGCCCCCAGGTCAGCTCTTCCGCGTGATCAAACCCCTGTCCACAACGACTTCTTCTTCAGGAGTTTACCTCTGTCTACCCCGCGCGCTTCCCCCTCCATTCGAGCCGTCAAAGGAAATCGACTATGACCTTCAAGATCGGATGGCAGACGTCTACGACGCCTTTCAGACAGTGCGTGGGAATACGCGTCTTCGTCAACAATTGTCGCTTCTCTCGTACAAGAACTCTGGCGATGTCCTTTACGAGAACATGCAGCACAACGGCACGTCTTTGCTTCAGGACAAGCATTTGAAGATGTTACCACAGCTCGTGGTGGTCAAGATGAGCAAGGACACGGATCTCCTTCGTAAGGAGGTCTTGCAAATTGAGGCGCAGCATAAGAAAGGTGGACATGCCACGCTACATGTCGGTTCGCATGTTTTGCGTGCTCAGTTTACTGCCTCAACAGCAACGTCATTTGCTTGTCTCCGCCCTGTTTTCGGTCCCACGTTAGTGCAGTTCGGTGAAGCCAGCAACAAGGGCCAGGGCCGTATTCCAGGTTGGTTCGTGGCACATATTTCTGTTGCCTTGATAGATGCTGTGGACTTCCTACATGACGAGGGTATAGTGCATGCCAAAATTGGAGCATCGAACATAATGTTCAATCTCTACCCTACGTACATGCACCATCGGTACCGGGGATATCCAGATGTACAGCTTATCAATTTCTCTTTAGCTGGCCAAAGCGATGAGGGCGCCGAAGAACGAGACCACCGCGCAGTGCTCGAGTTGATGGAACATGTAATTACCGAGTGGAGCGATGTGGCACCGTTCATGCCGTTCATTAACAACTTTACTGGGCTGAGTGGAGAAGGTGACGATCCTCTGCTCACTCAATTAGCACTTATCCGGACGATGCTTTCAGGAGTTTACGATGGGTATACTAATTTTGCGGAACTTCGAGCGCGAGCCGTAGATATTCGACATGAAGGTCCAGAAACCATGCCGTGGAATCTGATAAAGTTGCTGCACGCAGACCTGGTGACAGCCGATGAGCTTGACCGTGCTGTCCGAGCTCCGCTAGCGCTTAGATTAACGGCCAGGAGAGAGGCGATGGCGAAGGTTCTAGGAGACATCCCTGTAACTATGGGTGGAAGGGGTCATGCGGGTATGAAGACTTCGCGGATCATGGTATTTCGGTTTGTTAGAAGGAAGATGGAGTTCATTAATGCGATTGGGCAGCCTGTAGCAGAGGAGCCAATAGATGATGGAGCCAGGTTCTTTGGCAACAGGGATGTGAGTATGGCAGATGGCAAGATGAGTAGTGCGGAGCCACGAGAGACGGTACCTATCTCGCTGCTTGATGATAGCGATGAAGAGATGAGTTGGAGGGGTCAACACGAGTTTGGAAGCGAAGGGCAGGTGATCAGGAATGAGCATGGAAAAGGACAGGGCATGATAATGACTTTCATCAGAAGCTCTCTCAATCATGGTACTAAGAGAATACCATAGAACACGTATTCCAGGCCATGGAAACGTCTACAGCCACTCCTTGGGCACCGCTCTTTCTGACCATATCCTCTCACTCTCCCAAGCCAGCCAATCTGATTTTGTCGTTGGTAAAAGTCCCATAGCATTAACCTTCCATATACCCAATGCCAACATCAACATGTTGCAAGCAATGTAAGCCATCTTGACACCGAGGAGTCGTCCAGAGGTGCCGGGAGTTTCGTAGGGGGCGAAGGTGCGTTGGAGACCGAGTACAGCAAGCACAGGGGTTTTGAACAGCGTAAAGACCATGAAGACAGAGAAGATTTGTAGCGTGTTTCCAGTCATATACATTCCTGGTGCTGTTAGTCAATTGACAAAGTGATTTCGCGTGGCTTGCACGCACCAAAAGCATTCATAGGCAGTTGCTTCGCAGGCGCGATGGCGACTTCCCAAGCCTTCTTCATCTTGAGTGTGTCCATCTCTTCTGGTGTTGGGGGTTGCCTCTGAGTCTTTGATGCCTGGGAACGCTCCTTCCTGGACAGAGATGGTGTGTAGCCTGGCGGGTCCGCGAGCGATGCGTTCTTCGGCTTGGATGCGGGCGTCGAATTGAGGTCAAGCACCCACTGCGGGGGAGGTGGAGGGGTCGCGGACATGGTGATTTGACTTGGTGGACGCGTGGTACCGATGCCGAATTTTGCTCTGTTGTTGCTTTGACCAGGGTTCAGGGTCTCACGATGTTGGAGGTTCGCTGGTGGTGGTGCGGAGCAGGCGTCTGGAGAGGTCCACACATGGCGGGCTTGGCGGATGCACGTCCCCTCCTCCGTGTTGACCGCCGTCAGGCTTCCCAAAAGTTGTAGTCCCCAAACTTGTCCATTCGTTCTCCTCTCCACGTTTCTCCGGCCGAATTCCACGTTTCCCTGCCATGCGCGACACGATACGAAGCCAATAGACGAGCGAATCAGCCATCGAACCCCGCACGCTTCCTCTGGACGGCAAGGGAGGGGCGCTAAGTCGCGAGGGAGGTTATCTTGATTGTGCTACGGCAGGCACATGCATTGAGGGAACAGCCCAGCTGGCACACGCGACATCATTAGCCCAACATGAGCCAGGGCGGCCAAGATGCGAAGCTCTTTGCGAGGGTACGTTGGCCCCGTCATCCGCACAACCCAGACCTTCCGTCTTGTACAGCCTACATGGTCTCCTATTCAGCCTGTCTGCCTCCCGGCTATGAGCAGTTGGCGCCATGATGATGTTTCTCCCCTACACCTTTGACAACACGCGCTTACAGAACCTTCGCACTCCACAGGGCAAAGTCGCCGAACTACGCATCGAGTTGAACAATGGCAACAAGAAGGACAAGAACTTCTCCGCGAAGAAGACGGCGCTCAAGAAGATCGTCGCCAACATGACCATGAGCAACAACGACATGGTCGCGCTATTCATGGACATAGTGGGCTGCATGCACATTCCGAGTCTGGAGATCAAGAAGATGTGCGTAGTGACATCCATACGAGCACGCGCATCGCTGACATGGGCAGGTGTTTCCTGTATCTCGTCAACTATGCCAGGATAAAACCTGACATTGCGCTCAAAGCACTCCCCATCATACAGGAAGACATGCACGACAACAACCCCTTAGTTCGAGCCCTCGCCCTACGGACCATGTCCTACGTTCACGTCCGGGAGTTTGTCGAAGCCACCGTACCACACCTGAAGAACCTCCTGAAGGACTCTGACCCATACGTCCGGAAGACCGCAGCTTTCTGTGTAGCGAAGCTCTACGACCACGACCGACATCTGGTGGAACAATCAGATCTAATCGACAGGTTGAATGGCATGTTGAGAGACGAGAACCCCACAGTAGTGTCAAGCGCATTGGCAGGCCTCATGGACATCTGGGAGAGAAGTGAGAACATCAAGCTCACCATCGACTACGCGAGCGCATCCAAGATTGTTCAGATTCTCCCAGACTGCTCAGAGTGGGGTCAGACGTACATCCTGGAAGCCATGATGAACTATGTTCCACAAGATACCAGCGAAGCTGCCCTGCTTGCTGAGCGCATTTCACCACGCCTTTCACATTCAAATTCTGCCGTCGTTCTTACCTGCATTCGCGTTATACTCTACTTAATGAACTACATCAACGATCCGAAAGTCGTCACTTCGTTATGCAACAAGCTATCACCGCCGCTCGTCACGCTTCTCTCCAAAGGACCCGAGATCCAATATTTAGCCCTTCGTAATGCGCTTCTGATCTTACAACGCCGACCAGAGGTACTAAGAAACGATATCCGAGTCTTCTTCTGCAAATACAACGACCCTATCTATGTCAAAGTCACCAAGCTTGAGCTCATCTTCATGCTGGCGACTGAGAGGAATATCAAAGAGGTGCTGACTGAGCTTTCTGAGTGAGTCTCTTCCAGCTATTCAACATATGAGCTACTAACACCAGCCCTAGGTACGCTACCGAAATCGATGTCGACTTTGTGCGCAAGTCCGTACGAGCCATTGGCAAACTTGCCATCAAGATCGCACCCGCAGCACAACTTTGTATCAGCACTCTCCTACAGCTCGTCAGCACCAAGGTGTCCTACATCGTACAAGAAGCGACAGTTGTCATTCGAAACATCTTCCGAAAATACCCCAATCAATACGAGTCGATCATCTCGACATTGTGCGAAAACCTCGATTCGCTTGACGAACCAGAAGCGAAGGCGGCTATGATTTGGGTCATTGGACAATACGCAGACCGAATAGAAGACTCGGACGTTCTTCTTGAAGACTTTCTGGACACTTTCCAAGAAGAGACACACGAGGTGCAACTGGCACTGCTTACTGCGACTGTCAAGCTGTTCATTCAGCGACCCACTCGTGGCTCCAGTCTGGTACCAAAAGTACTGAAGTGGGCGACTGAAGAGACAGACAACCCTGACTTACGCGATCGAGGCTACATGTACTGGCGTCTCCTCTCGTCAGCACCTGAGCAAGCGAAGCAGGTCGTCATGGGCGAGAAACCTCCGATTACAGCTGAAGAATCTGAGAAGCTTGATCCTGGTACCCTTGAGGAGATGTGCCTGAACGTCGGCACGCTAGCTACAGTGTACCTCAAGCCAGTCAACCAAGTTTTCCGCAGCGCTCGCCCACGTAGACTGCAAGACTCGCCTGCATTGCAAAAGCATGAGTTACCTACCGTCAAAGCAGCACAACAAGCTCGGGATCGCTCAGCAGCAGAACGCACAAAGCTTGACACTACTACCAATGGTAACGGCCACCTTTCCCCAACAAGCGCAAACGGCATGGCGAATGCTGTTAGCGACGCGGACATGTACTTTGCTAGCGTAGGAAGACAGAGTACCTTTGGTGGCAGCCCTGTTGCCGACCAAAGCAGTGGTGCAGGAGGTGGATGGGTAGTAAACCAGAATGAGCCGCAACATATGGTCATGAGTCCTGGACCAAATGATGGGAACCAGGATCTGCTACTCTAAAGCGGGTGGTATATACATGGCTGTGGATAGTATAATAAACATATTGAGGTGGATGTCACATATGAGATCGTCAACATGAGCCGTATACATTAATCAAGCGGTAGTGTTTCTCAATAACGTTGAGTGAGCTATGAGTAACCTAGGTCTAACATTGTATAAACATTTCGACCTGAGAACTTATCCGGTATGCGTCGAACCTGTATGTCACCGACCCTCAACTTCGAGGACTAGCACTTCGCAGTTGTTCAATCGCACATTCGTCCCCTCCTCCCCAAGCGAACTAGCACTTGAGTACAATCGCTGTGCCTTTTCCACCACCACCCGTCATGCGACTAGCCTTGGCAGGCTTTCTTCCATATATGTAGACCTCACCACCATCTCATGTATCTCAGCACAAGCATAGCTTATACACAATGCTACACTCAATACCCCCACATCACCACCTAGTCATCGGCCAACAAAGGTGCCCTCTCCCTATCCTCGCTGACGATCTGGCCACGAGGGAAAGGATCGCGTCCAAGCAAACCGGGCATGCCGACAGCAAGCGAAAGCAAGAAGAGCAGACCACCAATTGTGAAAGCAAAGATCCACTGGAGCTGGAAGAGATGCGGGCGGGTAAGGAATTGTCCAACGCCGGTTGCTAGAAGCGAGATTAGCAAAGATTCCTTCGATAGAACAAGCAAAAAGGCGAAACTTACAGAAACACAGCACACTTAGCGCAAACCCCATGGTGTAGTCCTTGTACGCCACCAAGAAGAACATGCCATAGCCCAACCATCCCCAAATAAACACATTGGCCACAATTCTCGCCGCAAAATGATTCGAATGAACCGCGATCGCACCAACCCAGTAGAGCGCAACAAAGTTCCATGCCAACGGTCCACTGACAGTACCGATATGGATAGCCCTCGGCGCAGTGCTGTGGCGGAAATACGCCATACTGAGATTACCAAAGTTGAGCACGAGCAAGAACAGCGCCAGCCAGTAGTGCATGTGCGTGAAGAGGAACACAAAGCCGAACAAAAGCAAGTTGTTGGCAATAAAGTGGCTACCGAGGTTGGCGGCTGAAGTGACGTAGGTGGTATCGCTCATGTACAGGGCGTACGCGTAGCCAGACTGCAGAATGAAGATGATCAATACGTATATGGATGTGAAGATGCTGGACTGCGCAAAGGGCGTAGAGGGGTTGTTGTGCCAGAACTTGTGCGAGTTTGGGCCGTTGGGCGAGGCGAAGGTGGTGTAGATGGCTGAGACTACGAGTAGGAGCCAGGAGATTGTTGTGGTGATCTTGTAGAGGAGGATGGATTGGTCAGAGTGTGAGTCCTTTTTGGCGAAGGGGTTGAGGCTGCTGCCATTGCCGTTCGAGTCGTTGGCGGGGGCGCTGTCTGCCATCTTGGTGAGGTTTGATGGGCTATGTGTGCGAGGTTTATTGACGTTGGTAGTTTCGTTACGAGGGGCGAAGCAGACGAAGGAGGAAGAAGAACCAGGTGGTACGACCTGAGCAAGCGTGGAGTCAGGTAGAGGGGTCCGCTCAATCAGGTACTTGCACGTTTGCACCCACTGTATTCGCCTTGACTAATGATCCACGCAGCTGTCCAAGCTTCCTGTCTGCCAAAGGTGCACGAGAAGAGAAGAAGAATTCAGAACTGACCCGACGAAAAGATAGCTCATCTGTCAGATCAGCCACCTAAGTACTCGCCCAGCCCATGTTTCACCCTCCTACACGTACTCCCCAAGGCAGCCAACTAAACATGTCAATCAAGGCCGGGACCCGAAAGTACGTCACCCGTAAGCTAAGACCCTGGACATGCATGATGCGCATGTCGCGCGTTGGTTTGCCCAGGTGCCCCGCACCGAAACCTAGTCCCATGATAGAGAATACGCACTAGTCATTGGTTCCCGTCTATGCCACACCGATACTGAGATACTGCACGCTGGCTGCGGCTTGCGGGGACTGCAGTAATGGCGGCGCACGGTACGGCATTGGGACGGGCGCTTAGGCAGGGTTTTCCACTGTGGATAGGGTTCAAGTGACAGGAGGGGTGTATTGGTACTTTGCGTTGTGTTGGACTTCAATCCTGCGGGTGTCGGTTCAGCTGTGATGCCTTGATGGATCGCCAAACTGTCGCTCCAGTAGTCATGCCATCAAGGGACGTTATGAGAAGAGAAATATGGAATTGCTCCTACACACACTCTTCTTCGGGGGGTATCTATCTTCTACATGCGCATATCTTAGGGAAGTCTACAATCGACGATCCTTCTCCACAAAAATCCTACAAAGACAGCTCCAATTATTCGCGGCTAGTGCGCCGATTGGCTGAAACGAAGTCAAGGTCCACCAATGAACACCAATCCGGGTAACGTCAGGCATAGTCTGCCTTGCGTAAGCCGGCAATAACCACTGAAGGATGCAACCGCGATATTGCAATGCGATGTGCATAACAAGAAGTTAATAAATTCAAGAGGAACCCACTTGCACGAGCTGTAATGTTGGCCTGCTCTAGCGAGCGGGCGTATCAGGGACCTCCCACATGTCCCTGACCTTCTCCTCGTTCTTGATACCTACACCAGGGTACTCAGGCCTAGACGCGTTTTCCAAGTCATTCGAGCCTGATGCAAACGGTATCGCACCGTTCGCTGTGAATACAGGTAGATCAGCCCTCTTGCTTGGCGGTGACATGAGCGGGACACCAGGCATGGTCGTGTCCTCAGCGTGTGTATTGGCAACCCATTGTAAAGTTGCGGACGCCTGTGGGCTTGAGGTGTCCGGTGGCGAGGTTACAAAGTCTGGGTTTCCACCGAAGCTCTGCGCCGTGTAGTTGACGAACTGAGAAATATTTGACGGTGGTGGGGGAGGAGGCGTATCGGCACGAGAAGGTGGTGAGACATCCGAGAGTGGCTCCGTTACAGTGACAAAGGACGGCATAGGGAGTTGTTCACGGATCTGTTCCGGTGTTATAGCCATATCATGCAACTCGGTGGGTGGCTGCACGATTCCACCAGAAATACGTCGATCTACAGCTGGAGGCTCCATCGGATTTTGTGCATCCTGGAAAGGCTGTGGCGCAGTAGGCTGTGGTAGGATATTAGACGAGTCTGTCTGTATTGGCTGGGGTTGTTCGAGAGGTGCAGCAGCAGCAACTTGCATCTGTGGGGCCTCAGGGATAGGCGATGCAGGTTTCGACGACTTTGCTGGCCGACCAGGTCCCCTCTTAGCAGTCACTGCAGGTTTAGTCGTCGGTTTTGTGGGAGGAGCGCGAGCAGCTGGTGGTTTCCGTGCAGTAGTCTTCTTTGGTGCTTCAGCGGCCTTTTGCTTCTCAGCCTTCTCCTTCTCTCGTGCATCATGCTCCTCCTTCGAGGGCATCTTCAACGTGATGCGCTTCAGGCCTGAAGTGAGTGCATCGACGCCGTCGTTCTCCTTTCCCTTGGTCGCACCAGCCTTGACAGAATAGCTGGAAGGCGCTCTTGCTACTGCCGGACGCTGAGGGGCGCGAGCTGCCGCAGCAGTCGTTGTTGTTGATCCTCTTGCCTTCTTCATAGCCACTCCATTAGTTGAAGCTACAGAAGGTGCAACGCTCCTTCGGCTTGCCGCTACACTTGGCGCACGAACATTTCTGTTGTCTCCTATTGATGAGACGCTGGAAGCGATACTCATGCGACGGGAAGCAGAGCGTGCTGGCGCCGAAGCTTCTGAACTGGCTGGTGCGAAGTCGGCAATCGTCTGGCGCCTACTGGCTCGTGACTCTTGACGAGATATCTTTTCGTCGTCGGATCCAGGCTCAGCGTAAGATGGAGCAGCTTTACGACCACGCAATTGACGTCCCGACTTTTCAACATGAACCGCCGCTGGGGCAGGTGCAGCGGGCTTCTCTTTCTTTGCTTTTACTTCTGCTAGATCTTCTGGCCTGAAACTGCGGGTTTGACGATCAGAGGGAATTAGCAAACTACTCAAAGCATGTGCAGCGGTAGCCCAGTCAACCTCTGGCGGCGGTGGCGTGGGCGCTCTCAATGGATTGGAAGCGTATTTGGCGGAAAGACTACGATTGATCTTTGTTGGATCCACGACTTTGGCGACGTAGGACTGTGTGGGTGAGGAGAAATGGGCCAGGCGCTCAGCGCGGGTCACCTTTGAGGCAGTTACAGGCGGTGGAGGAACGAGGCCCTCCAGCTCAGATAGATGATTTGCCTGCCACCACAGAGGATCATAACTGACGGGTGTGAGTTCTGGCTCGACAGATTGCATGGGAGCGTCTTCATCCTGGATACCAAGTCCACTCAGTCTGTTTCGCATGGAGGAGGCGAGGCCCTTTGATGGTTCTGACTCCTTCCAGACTTGACCATCCACAAGACCGCTCAAATGACTGAACACGCCACTGGTAAGTGCTCGGTCGCTGTAACCGCCTTCTAGGACAGAGATGACACGACCCTCCACAGACGTACCCTCCTCTTCGGCCAAGCGTACTGCATCGCGGGTGAATCGAGCGTAGAATTCGGTAGGTACGTTGACACTGTGTCGTTGCATGCCGGCAGTTTCCCACTCGCTCGCGTCAAAGCCAGCAGATAAGAAGATGGCTGCTTTGGGCGCAGGGTGATTTGGTGAAGCCCGGAGGCGGTTGGTGTGATGTTTGAGATACTGGCGTGTTTTCTCGAGCAGTATCAGGTACTTCTCTTCGTAAATTTCCCAGAATTGCTCCGGTGTCTTCCAAGACTGCAGATGCACGTTCCAGATGGACTGGCCGTGTGCGTTGTCGATACACAGACTAGCGGCCTGAACTTTGTCGTCATCACCGTCTTCGCAAGGGTACGAGTTGATGTCGTGTAGACTGAAGTAGCCGATCGAAGTCTTCTTCCAGTTGGGTGTATTCTTGGGCATGTTCTGAACCTTTTTGTTGCGCGCCCATGTTATAGCTTGCGAGCCATCTCCGTGATGCAGATCAAAGTCAATGATGGCTGCGTGCGTGAGGCCGTATGTCATCATGGCGTGTTCGATACCAACGTGAACGTTATTCAGCCAGCAGAATCCGGAGGGAAAGTCGTCGGAGCAGTGATGGCCAGGCGGGCGGATACAGACGAAAGCTCGGGAGGGGCCGCTACCAAGGCTGGTCCCCTGGAAGACAGCATCCACCGCATCCAAAACACCTCCAAGAGCCCCCTGGAAGGCGTTTAGCGATTCGGGGCAGAGGTATAGATCCCCAGCATGTAGTTGTTGCTTCGGCGGTTGCCCCGGGATTGCAGGGGTGTCCCTGACCAGTTCTTTCCCTGTCGATGCCAGCTTCCGCTCTGCGTTATCGCACAATGACTTCAGCTCGCCCATCCACTTGGTTCCGTGTACGTTGGTGACGACCTGTGAGGTGATGTCGACTGCTCGGGAAGTCTTGCGGATCTTGAATGGTATACGCTCGGGCGGATTGTGATGCGGATGCGGTGGATTGTCCCCCTCGGCGTGGCGCTCGCCCAGTCGAACGTAGGCTGCTGAAATACCCAAAACGCTTGCCAGTATCCTCTCTGGTCGCTCCATGATCAAGCTGAGGTGGCTCTTGGGTGTCTTGGGCCGCGAAAAGCGATGGCCGTAGCATTGGTCGTGTACGATGACGATGGTGCCCGCATTGACTGCGCCTGCCATACCCTCATGCCGTGCCATGTCCTTCTTGAAGTAGTCTTCGGCAACATCACATGCGCGCAGTGGTGGCTTCTCCTCTACATACGTGGGGCCTAGCGGGCTCTTGGGCATGGGTGCCTGCATATTTGGGTTGAAGGACGAGCGGCGGGATGCAGAAGTGCCCGGGCGAGGAGGGTCGCCGCGGAGGGAAGAGGTCGACGACTTGCGTCCCAAGGCGGGTGTTGAAGAGCGGAAACTTGCTACACTTGGGCTGCGTTGGACGGCATTCGCCTTGAAGTTGGGGGTCGAAGGCGTCCGGCGGAGATCAGCTGAACTTCGAGGTGAATTCAGAGCGGGAGACTGCGGTAGTGGGGTATTCGAGGCGGAATGCAGGGACAGGCGTTTGAGGGGGTGTGAAAGGGGATTCGCGTCGTTGTTTGTTTGTCGCGCCCCTCGCGGAGTGCCGGGCCTGGCGGCGGGGCTGGACCGCGGTGAATTCTGCATCTTGGCACAGTATGCCCGCGATGCAGGACGTAGCCCGTCGTGTCTTGGTGCCTGTCTCTTATCGGATGGGTTGAGGGTGCAAGAAGAAAGGCGCGCTATGACGAAGCTATGTCGCGTCCACCATCAGAGCGACGACGAAACAGGGTCCCGCGCCTAAGCGAGCCCCTAGCTCAACGGCTCCTAGGGCTGGCGTCTTCTTCACATGTGCATCCCACAAGCTGGATTCGGCTGCAGCATATGGCACGAGAAATCACTTCGACAATTTGTCAAGTATTTCATTGAACAATATCATGTGTCACGAGTTCTACGCTCACGCCGAACGCTGCTGCAAAATCCATCCCAAACCCTCCTTCAAATCAGCCAACGCCCTCTTCGCCACGCTAAGCATGGGAAAGAAGTCGGGCGCACCATGCGGATATCCAGCATACACGTCGACCTTCGTTGGTGTCCCAATGTCTCGGAGAACGTTCTCGTATACCAGTGCTTCGTCACGCAAGGGATCAGTCCTGTTACTCGTTAACACACATCGATGGGTCTCTACAGCTTTACCTACCCCATGACCTGCAGATACGTAGGAGGTTGGCCTTCATGAGTCTTCCAGATCAGCGGGCTCGCTAATGGTGACTTGGGGTCTGGTTTGTAGTTGTCGAAGAACCATTCCATGCCTCGGCGGTCCAGTACTAGACTATCTCTATGGTCCTCCCAGCTTGATATGTGCGGTTTGTACTCCTCGGGCATGGCCTTGGGATGGCATACCGAAACAGACATAAGGACTACCCCAGTAATCTTCGGGGTTAAGTTGTCATCGACAACCTGATGGGCTGATACAGCTGCTAGGTTGGCTCCAGCTGAAGTCCCTCCTAGGATGAAACCTTTGGAAGGATCCGCACTCAACGACTTCGCGTTCTCGGCACACTGGAGAGTCTGGTCAATCTCACAGTACCGTGGAGTTAAACAGGAAAGTACTCACCCATTTGACTGCATCAATAGCGTCATGCGCCGCAGTAGGAAAGACATGCTCTGGTGCGTTCCGATACCCTACGCTCACGACCGTGAAACCTAATTCCTTCACCAACATCTCTGCCATTCCCTCGCCAAACTCTGGCATCCCAAAAGTCCATCCACCGCCGGCGAAATACACATACAACGGTCCTGGTTCCTTTCCCTCAGGACGAATCACGAGGGACCGCACTGAAGACCCATCGCGCGTAGGGATCTGGATTTCAGATTTGTGGTAACCAGTCCAGTCGGGAAAAGTCACGATGCCGGCCGCAACCATCTGGCCAATTTGCTCATTGAATGACTGACGGAGCTCAGCGGCGGATGAGTAATCTGCGAAGGATTTGGGTGGTGGAAGATGGGGTTGTAGCTTCTTAAATTAGCGACGGCATTGATGGTTGTACTACAAACACGTACAGCTTCAAACTCTGCATCTTCCCTACTATACTCCTTCCATGTTGATGAATCAATATTCATGTTGTCTGGTTTATGCAGAATACTCGACTGTATGGGACGGAATATCTGGAGGTGATCGTAGCAGCTGAAGAACACTGAGGAGAGATGCTAGATGTTGTGGGTTTTGTACACAACATAAGCTTTGCGTACGGTAGGCACGCCTCGTCTGACAGCCAAGAAGGCAACATCTTACATCTCCCTCGCATCCGCGCTTACTCTACCCAATCAGCATCGTCAAGAAAGGTACGTTGAATACGGGACATACAAGATCCGACTTCACTTGTGCATTCCAAGGGCCTTGCGCTGGAAATCTGGCTTTACATTCTCTATCCGCTTCTGACGATACATAGAACCTATAATACTTTTAGAGCGGCCAAACCCATACCGTTCGAAAGACTGAAGAGCAGCATCGTTACATAGGGAGTTGAGTACGTTTCTGGTCAAGCTGCGGGGTCGTCTTCCACACCATTCATACTAACGGAGAAGAGTAAGCGCCCATAGCTTAGACTACTGCGTGGCTTTATTCCGTACGAGCATACTCTTCAGCACAGCATGAGCCTAGGTGTCTACAGGCGGAGAACAAAGAAATCGTCGGAAGACAATGAGCAAGGTACGATATGCAGTGGGGCCGATCTTGCTTCTTGAATATTAGTGTCGACCCATTTTTCTGGTTCTCGTATGCGCTGCGGGCCGTTTCCCCTCACCATGAAGCCGCGAGCCACGACAGACAGCCTTATCGTCAAAGTGTCGAAGAGCTGTCTAAACTTCATTAGTCTTCCACAACAAATCTGCAATTCGGAGATTACATGAGATGGATACACCTGTGACCAGCGTTATGGGTAACCTTTTCCGGCACGACCTATAATGCGCTACGGAGTAAGCCTGCAGCTGAAGGGTAATCTACAAGCCCGAATATGGTACCTGGACGCTGGAAGCAGCCTAATGAACTTTATGAACGATCTAGACCTAGTCACAAAGCGATCGACTACGCTTTGTAGAGTGAGTTTCAGCCCCAAGGTACAGACTGAGTGTGGTCGCATATCTATTCTACTCGCTCTAGATACCACAGTCACTACCACTACTATCGTGCATTACCAGATTAGCTCCTTGGGTATAACTTCTTCAGCTGCAGATTATCCCCTAAGCAAGCCATAGCGATAGTGCGAAGGCCCTATGTGTACCACAGCTTGCCACTACTCGGAGTTGTGCCCGGAAGCGTCAGACTGGCCAATCAGAAAACCATCCTACATACAGCATATATGCCTCGAGTTCTATAAGACGGACATGCTTGACTTCTACTATGGTATCGTTGCCTGTCGTAATACCCTCATCCGGTTCGCAGTTAAGAGCCAGCCATGATGCACCTCTGCAAGATTATCTCGCTGGGCTTCTTCCCTATAGGATTACTCGCACAAAATGCATTCGAACCACCCGACTTCGACATTACTGCGGCACTGTTGCAGAATGGTGTGGACGTCTCCACTATTGCAAGCCTAGCAGGTCTTTCCAAGCGGACTACCTCAAGCGGAGGATGCTCGATCGCAGTAAGACACATTCTACGATCATGTAGTATTCCTAAACAAATTCTATGCTAACTTTCACATTAGTGCAGCTCTCTCAAACGCATCTTTGGTGATGCAAAGGTCGAGACCCGAGAGGAGACTGCCTATACCATGGCCATCGATTATTTTTGGTCAGCTCAGCAGAAGGTTGCCCAACCTTACTGCGTGTTCAAGCCTGAGGAAGCGCTTGATGTATCCACCATGGTGCTGCTATCTCGTCTTACTCAGTGTCCTTTTGCAGTGAGAAGCGGAGGGCATGCAGCCTTTGCAGGCGCATCAAACATTGATGGTGGCATCACAGTTCTGTTCGAGCGCATGAAGCAAATCACTTTGTCAAAAGACAAGAAAGTTGCTTCTATTGGACCTGGCAACCTCTGGTACGACATTTACACAACCCTAGCCAAAGACAACCTAGCAGTGGTAGGCGGCCGCGTCTCTGGCGTCGGAATTGGAGGTCTTACAACGGGTGGCGGGATTTCGTTCTTCTCGAACGAATATGGCTGGGCTTGCGATAACGTCGCATCTTATGAAGTCGTTACTGCCTCGGGGTGCATCATAGAAGTCAGTCAAAAGTCGTATCCAGACCTGTACTGGGCGTTGAGAGGCGGAGGCAACAATCTCGCCCTAGTTACGAAGTTCAACCTCGAAACGTTCGCCCACGGTCCGCTGATGTTTGGCGGACAAAGACGGTTCCTCAGCTCTAGTTTCCCTGCTGCGATCGACGCCTTCGTAAACCTGGGGACCAGCATTGCAAAGTACCCGAAGGCTGCGCAATTTCTGGCCATCATTCTGGATGCCGCTACGAACACCCAAATCGCGATTGCCGAGTTGGAGTATGCAGACCCAGTCGCTAAACCCCCGGTCTTTGAAGAATATTTCAACGTACAAGCCTTCCAAGACACCACGGAATTGAACACTCTGGCCTACTTTACGCAACAGTTGAACAATAGCAACCCCAAAGGCTATCGCGAGTCATTCTGGACTTCTTCGTCTAAGCTTGATCGAGATTTGGTTCAGTTCATGTTCGATGCCACTTATGAGGAATTCGCGAACATTCGAGATGTCGCCGGTATCTTACCTGCAAACACCTTCCAGATCATCACCGTTCCGCAGCTCGAGCAGATGCAAAAGAAAGGCGGGAACGCACTAGGACTTTCGCCTTCTGACGGACCAATCCTTATCATTAATCTGAGTAGTCGCTGGGATAACGCTGAAGATGATGAGCGTGTTCTGAAGGCGAACGCCAACATCGTCAGAAAGATGGAGGCAGAGGCGAAGCGCAGAAACTTGGTCAACGACTACATCTACATGAATTATGCTAGTCAGTTCCAAGATGTTGTTGGGAGCTATGGAGAAAGTGCGGATAAGCTGAGGCGTATCGCACGCAAGTACGATCCTACTGAAGTTTTCCAGAAGCTGCAACCTGGCTACTTCAAGCTGCAAGGGCCGCCGAATAAGAACTGGCCATAGGTTTGCCTAGATGCGTCAGCGACAAATATATTCGTGGATATACTTGGGTAAAGAAAATCGTATTGCAACTTTCGCGCAACGGCTAAGCTGAAGATCCAAGATCACGGTTGCAAGCTACGTCTACACGCGTGGTGCTTCACTGCTGTCCTGTCTGAGTATCGCGTGACTGACACTCATCCGCACTGTCCACATCATACCGAAAACAATCATATCGATAATTCACTAGACAGGATTATGCTTGATGTTATGCGCCACTAGTGCCTGTGCATACAACTTGTCTTCTCTCACGAATGTGATGGCGGGCTGGCACGGCTGTTCTAGGACTTAGACCGGAGTGGCTTGCTGGACATTGCGTCTTTCCCTCACGTTGACAGGCCCAAGCACATTTGGCCCCCATCCTTTATACGGGTCAGCTGTGGTGGGGCTAATCAAACGACGCACCCCGCGGTCTATCAAGCATCTTGTTTCCTACAGCCATACCAATCTGTGCACAACACTAATATCGACGAATGCATGGCGCTCGACAGTCTAGAGGCACAATTCGAGAAATGCGATCTGGATGATGCTCCCAGCAACGCATCAACCAAAACGCCCTATGACGAACGTCTACTTCAGTCTGACGAGATCCGTCTTCTCACCGTTGAGAACGGCGACGGCTCGTTTCGATTGCGTATGACTCTACACAAGCTTCAAGACGGCCTCGAGTACGATGCGATATCGTATGTATGGGGAGCAGCGGAAGCCTCAATCGAAGTCTCATGCAACGGAACGGATCTTGCAGTCACTCCAACCATTTTCGAGATGCTTTGTCATCTAGATCCAAGTCGTTCTTACTGGATAGATGCCATTTGCATCAATCAGCAAGATCTCGAAGAGAAAGCAGTCCAGATACCGCTGATGCATCGAATCTATTCGCGGGCTGTATTTGTTCTCATATGGATGGGCATTCCGACAATGCAAAGTGAAAAGTTCATGGCCGAATTTCCGAACTTACTGGAGAATGGAAGAATGTGGAGATCAATAGTCAACCAGGACCTCCAACCATGGATTGATGTTCGGGATCGCCAACGGTGGAATGATGCCCAGGACCTTCTTATCACCGATAAAGATCTCTTGCATGGCATGTTATATATACTTAAGAACGAGTGGTTTGAACGTCTTTGGACTTTTCAGGAATGCGTTCTCGCAAAACACCCCATAATGTTACATGGACACCTTTGGATAAACTTCGACGACTTCCTCATATACGCTGAGGATGGATGGTACCCAAGAGACGCGTACCTAAACTTTTCTTTGATTCAGGCAGGTATTATCGATTCTTCACCAAAATTATGGGCAGCGTGTAGAACTCTCAAGTTATTTCGTGAGAACTTTGAACCACGTGGGGTAGTCCCATACAATCGGATACCATACCTTCTCCACACGCTACGTAGCAGAAACGCAAAAGAACCAGTCGATCGAGCCTGGGCAATCACCGCATTGTTCAGCGAAACTTTGAGATCGAAATTAGATCCACTGGTTGATTATAGCGACAACGGTCGGTTGAACTTTTGGAGAACTCACGTACTGTTCGCGAAAACCGTCATGGTCGAAGAACAAACGCTAGCTCTACTGTCGATACCTCCTACAGTTGAAAGAAGACCCCATTCAGTCCCGTCTTGGTGTCCGGCTCTCGATGGAACGTTGAAATGCGGTATGCTGATAACGGGCGGATGGACCGAACCAACAAGCATACAGAACAATGCACCGCTTCTGCAAGAGGTCGTGGAAGAAGCGGACCAAGCGCTATCGAATAATGCTCTGGAACAGCTATCAAGTCTCTACGCGTCCCGCAAGTTCATCTCATTTGATGAAAGCAACAACTACCTGAACGGCTGCGGTCATATGGTCGATACAATATCAGAGGTTGTAGGATGTACCCGACTGCAAGGATGCCTTGACTATATCGGTAGTAGAGATCGCTCATCACGCTATAGTAGCAATCCTATACACGCTGTAAACGTGGATCACTACAATCGCGGTCTTCGTCTGGCTCGTCGTACGATTCAGAACACAAGAGATGACGTCGATAGTATACCATCAGAGTATTTGATGGCTCTGGCTCTGAACACGAGACTCTGTGGAGACGCAACTATGGCTTACGAAGATGCGTGGCCTGTATTCACCGATCGGGAACATAACGACCTTGAAGGATTCTCGGCAGGGCGGCGATCACACGCAATGTTGTTCTATAACACACTAATACAACTCACTGGGCATTCTTTTTTCAGTACGGCCGGAGGTCGCTTCGGTATCGCCACACCAGGATGCAAACCCGGCGACAAAGTCTGTGTCTTCTACGGAGAAGATCCTCTTCACATACTGCGATGGTCGGAACTCGAAAACAGAACTGACGCGATCCATGGCGAGGGACCCGCTGAGTTCTGCGGTGTCGCATTCATCCCTCATCTCATGAAGCCACACGAGCAAGAAGCGGCTCGACTTGGGCCAGATGAGATCTTTGTTATCGGGTGACAGGATCCTGAAGCATGCAAATATTTCGAATTTCGTGGATATTTTGTGGCTTGGTGGCAGTACAGTGTCCGAATATTGATGAGATGTGTATTTTAAGCCTCCTGTCTCTTAAGGGAAATGCTTCATCACAAGACCATTCACTGCTCTTCTGATTCAGCGCTCGTGTTTGAGCCATACTTCCATAGTAATCTACTTTTCCCTTTCGCTGAATATCTCTTGTCGTTCGCCCAATCATGCCCACTTAATCGCACCACTCGACACGATACTATTTCAACCAAACAGTCAAATAAACTCCTCAGGGTCCAATACCAAAAGACTCACACCGTTACGAATGTCAAACAATTTCCCCTACGCGGCGTACCCAGGCGTCGGCGTACCCACAACCTTCCTCGTTGGCCCTACCACCAATCCAACACGTTTCGATGTCCACCACTCGCTACTGTCAAAAGTATCTCCATTGTTCACTAAGCCCAATGGTTTCCCTCGGATCATCCTCTCCAACATTTCGCTTCCCAACATTGGACCATCTACATTCCGTACACTCTTCACATGGCTGTACGAGCGCAAACCTCCTGAGTACACATCCGACACGAATCTGTTAGACCTGATGAAACTCTGGATCCTAGCCGGAGAACTCGGGATCTGGAGAACATAGAACACGGTAATGAGGCTGGGTATGGCGCTGATGCAACCAACCTACTTCGTCTGCAAGATCGAGACGGTTAGGTGGGTGTACGAGAACACACCAGTAAAGTCAAGTCTTCGAGACTACATCATCACGATTTTCTGCCAGCGCGGTCCGCCGATCGCGCCCTCAACGTTCTCGCCAGGTAACGAACGTTTGGGTATATTTCGCGATGCGGCAAATTTCATGCGCAAACTGAATTTGGTCCGCGCTGGCAATCCTAGAGGACTGGATGGATATGGCCTCTATGAGCAGTTTCCAATGCAACATACGTGGTCGCCGAGTGAGAACGAGCTTGCGCCAGTGCGGGTTCGTGGATGTCTGGTGACGGGTGGGGAAGATGTAGATTGGAGCAAGATTGAGTATCCGCTTCCTTCTTTTTTGGTCTGGGGCATCGAATGGGAAGACTTGCCGGATATGCATTTCGTCAGCGAAGAGAACGTTCGAAGTGTGGCGGGAGACGTATTGAAGCAGATTGAGTTTCCATAGGGATCGTGTAGGAGTTGATCTAGCAGAGTGTTATACCCTCATTCAAGTGATAAAGCATTTACCCTGTATATAAAGAGGTTGCACGCAATCAGACGCCTTGCAGTGACACGTATGGGAGCAGGTTGAACCTTGTATAACGGATTCTTATTGTGAGGTCTATCTTGACGAAATTATACATGCGTTGCGTGAGTGCTATAAAACATCAACTATAAATGAGATAGGAGTTGACAATCGACAACACCATTTTCGTATTCGAGTTTCCAAGAGTCAAATCCACAACGGCTAGATGACGAAAAGCGTAAAGCAACAGGCCGCAGAAATCATGAGCAGCGCTTGCTATGAAAGTCGGGAAGGGGTATTAGCAGAAGCTATGAAACATGTGTACCGAACGCCAGGATCATGAGAAACCTATTTTGTAGTAAAATGAAAGAGATCTAGAAAGAAAACGAGATTCGGAAGGGTTCATGTCTCGTGCAGGTCGTGCAGAGACTACCTTTTGAGGTGTTTGCGCTGATGCCTCAAAAGATTGTCCTTACGTGAGAAGCCGTCGAGGTTGTCGCAGCCAGGGTAAGGACAATAATGCTTGATGGCAACCACCAATGAAGGATCGTTATGTGTCGGAAGGTGTCTCCGGAGGTCCTTAGGGTACAAGAAACCCATGTTGCAGGTTGAGCATACATGAGGTGACTCTGTCGAATGGGTCTTTTGGTGGCGGCTAGAAGCAGTCAGTTGGTGATTGATTGACCTTAATTCAACAGCGAAGCTTACTTTAGGTCACATTGACGGTCAAACGCCCTGTCGCATCCTTCCGTGCTGCAAGGAAACCCACCGGGTCGAGGCGCCTGCCGCTTTTGTACTGGCTTGCGGTTGCGGCTGCGTCGTGCAGATAACCGATCGCCGGGCGTATAGATGTCTTCCACATGCGCTTGTACGGTAGCTGGCTGCACCGTCGTCTCGTTCCCGTCCATGATTCGCATGTAGTCGTTGATCAAGGGCTGCCCATGACCTGCGTTGACGTATTCGTATACCGGTGCCAGGTCTGCTGGCGTCTGTTCGAAGTCGAGCGACGGCATGTTGAAGAGATCGGGGTCACTGTAGAACGTTCTTGCGGCGACATACTGGGCTTGTGGCTGGGACTGTCAGCAAGGTCTACAAGAGCAAGAGAAGGTGTCGTACTATGGCGTGAATGCATTGGAAGAAAGGCAGGCAGCAGAGCTCGCACAGCATGTCGTCAATGTCGCCGTAGGACCCGTCGATAGGAGTGTCAGACATGCTGAAGTCCACAAGTGGGCTTGATGCTGCCGCCGGCTGAAGGAGGACAGTAATAACTACTGTGAGGAGCAGCAGCGAGTACATGCTCTGAGGTGTGTCTGGATGCCTGAGGACAGGACGTGGGGACCGACGAGGTGGTAGACAATGCTAGAAGTTGTGTAAGAAGCGCAACAGCGTGCCTAGGAGACGGCGACAATGACGATGTACTATGCAGAACAGTAGGAAAGCATGTAGGAAGAGAAGTAGAGAGAAGGGCGCAGAGTCGAATTGAGCAGATGCGTGCTACGGGCAGAGGACTGCGGAGGCCGGCTGCCTGAGGAGCCACAGGTCACGGGCAGGTGTGGCTATGTTGATGATGTAGGTGTCGAGCATTTTGGCGATTCTGCTGCGTCTTTGGCTGCAATTCTGTCAGGTTTGAGTGTTAGCAGTGATGAAAGTGCACTTTTGATGCGTTGAAGTGTGCAACTGTGGTCGTGATGGGGTGACAGGCGACGGCGCCGCGCAGCGATCAAGGGATACGCAATTCCTCGACAGGTATACGCCATACCCTTTCGAGACTTCGTGAGGGGTTGTGCAGCTCTACGATACCCGTGACTTTGGCACTGTTCAAAACATGAAAAAAGTGTCGGTGCTAGAAGTTATTAACTTCGTTAAGATGGAAGACTGTTAGTTTGTTAGTTTCCTAGTAGCAACTTTGAGCTTTACCAGTGCTCGTGATTGCTTTTCCTTTCACGTGCACTCGTGTCATCGCGCTTGCGGTCGAACTTCGCAATCTCCAAAATCTGCAACTCAACTGCAGCTCTTGAGCTATCGCTCACATAGTCTTATGCAGCCCTTGGATGCATTGCATCATAACAGCTTCTGCTTCTCGACCTCGGGAGGCTGTTGAATGTGCTCTGACGACTGGGTGGTAACACGAACATCCACGAGCCCTCAAAAGATACAAGTAGACGTCTAACATCATTATTAATGATCAGAAGGATTATAAGGAACTCAAGAGATTCAAGCTGCATTTCGCTCAGGCTGAGGAGACGTGCTCGATATATAACAACGCGACTCCTCTGGAGTCTGCGCATGATCCAACACGCCACGACTTCAGAACGAAACAAGGCAGCCACTTCAGCTGTGGTTGTTACTATTCATATCGCAGCTTGATGAGGCAGATTAGAGGTTTAACCTCTTCTGACAACGATAGCGCATACTGTACATTGCACACGCATTTCACGTCCAATCGGCCATTCAGGCGTTCTGCCATGTTCACGGTGGGCGGCCTCCCAGGCGTCCGTCGAACAAGGACCGGTAAGCAAGGCTCCACCATAGCACCCACTATTGTGGGTGGGGACAGCCATTCCAGCGCGCTGCGCCCTTTGAATCACAGCCTTCTGTAAACTTGACAAATTAGGCAGGTACCATGATGTATACTCTGTGCTCAAGAATGGCTTGCACGCGGCGACTGCTGCCCCGCGTTGCAAGTCGAAGCTTCACATGCGACGCTCTTTCGTGAACACAGCCACACTGCAACTCGGTGTTTCGGAACCCCAAACCTGTCCTATTGAACATGCTGTCTAATCGTGGTCGCAGATATGCGGCCTTGGATCTGGCTGCAGGCTACACCAAAAATCGTGGCCATCTCTATGACAAGACCAAACACCCAACAGGTTTAGTGTCTTTCAGCAATGCGGAAAACGTTAGTCTGAGTTGATTGGAATTGCTGTGATATTCCGAGTATTAACGCTGATGGTCGATAGTTGCTCATGCGAGAAGAGGTCCTAGACTACATAAAGACCAAGGTCAGCCCTCAGTATCACATGGAGGAACTGTATTCTAAACACCACTTAGTGTATTCCGAGCCTTGAGCCCGACACCTTGACCTATCATGACGGCCCATTTGGATCCAAGCGCCTACGACAAGCGATGGCTGTGTTCATTAACAAGCGTTTCTCGCCCGTTTCAGCTGTAACAATCGATCAAGTATCTTTTGTTAGTGGTGTGACTGCGTTGAATGACATTTTGTCTCTATGTATGACAGACGGAGAGACTGATGGTTTGCTTCTTGGTATGCCGATATACGGATCTTTCTATCCTGATATGGCGAGCATGTCCAAGTGAGTACAAACGTTACCAAAGCACGAAACTTTCTTCGCAGCTACTAACTTGTACCAGCTGCAAGTTGGTGTATGCCCCTTTCGATGGCAAAGACCAGTTTACTACTGCGGCAGTTGAACAATACGAGCGTGCTGTTGAAGAAGCTGGCCGAAATGGGATTAAAGTAAAGGCACTTATTCTATCCAATCCACATAATCCACTCGGTAAAAGTCCTATCTGTCATGGAGGAAAAGCAGGACTGACTTGTCTTTCTAGGCCGGTGTTATCCCCGTGAAACTCTAGAGGCCATCCTCCGCTTCTGCGAAAAGCAGAGCATACATCTTATCAGCGATGAAATATATGCTCAATCGGTGTATGGCACGAGTTCGGCCTATGCAGAATTTACGTCAATACTCTCCGTTGATGTGAAAGGTATCATTGACGAGAAACTTGTTCATGTAATGTACGGAATGTCAAAGGTAAAGTGACATTCCACTGAAGTGATATTCTCAGCGCTGATGTTGCGGGTTAGGATTTTGCTGTCGCTGGCTTGAGACTCGGGTGTTTAATCACAAGAAACAAAGAACTGGGACAAGCTGTTCAGTCTCTAGCGTACGTATACGGGAATTCGAGGGGCGGCCAAGACACTGATTCTCTTGTGTTCGCAGACGGTTTCACGGCGCCTCGCCAATGACTGATGCTATTGCCACGACCATACTTGAGGACGAAGAGTGGCACACACAATTTCTGACGAAGAGCGCGAGGGTGTTGCGTGAAAACCATGAACTTGTGGCCGAGGGACTCAACAAGGCAGGGATTCCTTTTGATCGTGACGCGTAAGTAGACTCTACTTTCCCTGAGCATCCTATGGGACGAGTGACTGACTTGTTTCCGCGCCTAAGTAATGCTGGTTTCTTCCTCTGGATTGATCTCTCAGCATGTCTACACAGCCCGACTTGGGAGGCAGAGGATGCGTTGAAACAAGCGCTCTACGATCATGGCGTGGAGATGTCAGCTGGACAAGCGTATCATGATGAGAAGCCAGGCAACTTCCGCTTTCTATTTTCATTAGATAGGGATATTGTGGAAGAAGGTCTGAGGAGGGTCATCGACTTTTACCACACTCGTAGGACGGATCGGTGTTGATCGGAGCTAGTGAACAAACAATGAATATCCGTGTGAAACTTGACCCGCAATTAGAGTAGCAGAATGTCAGTGCTAGAACTTGGACGTCGCGAGGGCCTAGTATGACGCACGACGCGTGACGCTCGTGACAACGCGAAAGGGCGCCACGCGATTGGGAGATCCTTGCACGAGATCGTCCCGCCAGATCGGAATTGCGACAGGGGAAAGTGCGTCATCATTCCAGCCATCGCGCCTCAACTGCCACAAACAAACCGCATCACCTTTGTGCCTATGTCACGATAGTAAAGAAAAATAGGCGCTGCAATGCCGCCAATACTCTCTCGAAAGCGCTCGCGATCCGCCTCCCCTCAACTAGAACCGCCGCCGAAGCGTGCGCGGGCCCGTAAACCTTCTGCACCCGCTCGTAAAGGCAAGGAGTCCGTCTTCCAGACACTGGACGCGCCGCCCAAAGTCAAGCGGACGCTGTCGCAAACAAAAGCTTTGTTGGAACAAGAAGATGACGACAGCGAATTGTCGGAGCCGGAGAGCAGTGAGGATGACTTTGAAGATGTTCCGCTAAATGGCGCGAGCAAGGGCAAAGGGAAAGGGAAAGCGCAGGCTGGTGGTGATAGTGATGAAAGCGAGGACGATGATTGGGAAGACGCTCTCGGTGCGCATCACCATACGAAACCAGACCATGGTCCTGCGCCTGTCATTACCGGCGATATCGCCCTCACCTTATCTGCCGCACCGAAGACCGCCTTTGATACAAAGTCTGATGGGAAGAAAGGGCCATCCAAGGTCCAGCGGCAGATACGGAGCGTCACGCATTGCATGCACGTACAGTACCTGATGTACCACAACCTCATAAGGAACGCTTGGATACAGGACAAGCAAGTGCAGACGATACTTGTCGAAGGCATGTCGGCCGGGTGCTGGCGCGAACTGGAGAAATACTGGAGTGATGCAGGCATCACAGATGGGCCTAGTCGCGTCGTCGTGCAGAAGGCACCAAGTCCTCCGTCCAAGCAAGTGACGAAAGACAAGAAAGGGAAGTGGAAGGACAGTGGGAAGAACGGCGTCAAGGTGTACGAGAGCCCGCAGAAGCGATCCTCTGTTCGCGAGGATAAGAAGGCAACGCTCCTGGGAAAAGGCAAGGTTGGCAACAAAGGCGACAAGAAAGGGCGCGATTGGGGCGCGACATCCGAGCCACTCGAACCGAAAACTCCGAACTTGTCAGCTGGAGATCCTCTACTTCGCCTACTAAGATATGTTTCTGCGTATTGGAAGTCCAAGTTCCAAGTCACAGCCCCGAGCTTACGCAAACGTGGTTACCTGTCGCCATCGACACTAGAAGCCGAGATTAATGCTTGGAGAGATGATCCGGATCATCCAGATACTTTCGGAGAGCGAGTCGAGAGTTTAGATGCTTTTCGCGATAGGGCTCGTAAATGTGAGGGAAGCAGAGACTTGGGAGAACAACTGTTTACGGCTCTGTTACGAGGCCTAGGCATTGAGGCCCGTATGGTAGTCAGTCTACAACCTGTTGGTTTTGGCTGGAGTCAGAGTGAAGAAAGCAAGGCTAAGAACCTTGAAAAGCTGAAGGATGCAAAGCCTGCCGATAAGGAGACTCCGCAAAAATCAGCAGCAACAAACAGCAAAGCGAAATCTGGTTCGGCTACAAAGAAGAAAGCAGCATCTACTGATGTTGATATGGATGACAGTAGCGATCTAAGCAGTGTCATATCCATCTCTTCTGACTCTGAAGACGAAAGGCCAGCGAAGAAATCGCCAAAGTCACGCAACTACAGCGAAGAGCTGCCATACCCGACATACTGGACAGAAGCTATCTCACACCTGACACATACTCCGATATCAGTATCGCCGCTTCCTAAGACGATCATAGCAAGCGCGGCTTCTCCAGACAAGCTCGCCGACTTTTACGCTCGTGGTGCGGCGGCCGACAAAGCGAGACAGGTATTAGCTTACCTTATCGCCTTCTCTTCTGATGGCACAGCCAAAGATGTCACGACACGCTATCTACCAAAACGCCAGTGGCCTGGTCGGACAAAAGGCTTCCGCATGCCAACCGAAAAAGTACCGATACACAACAAACGTGGAAAGGTCAAGCGATGGGAAGAATGGGATTGGGTCAAGTCGCTATTGCGCCCCTATGCCAGGCCTCACGACAAGCGTCAACCATGGGATGAAGTTGAGGACGAGGGCGACCTTGTTCCTCAAGAGCCAGAGAAGAAGAAAGACATGGATGAAGAGGGCGGCAAGGAGACGCTACAGGGCTATAAGAACTCGGCTGAATACGTGCTCGAGCGTCACCTCCGTCGTGAAGAAGCACTCAAACCCGGTGCGAAGATTGTTCGACACTTCGTCACTGGCAAAGGCGACAACGAGAAGTCAGAGCCCGTATATCTCAGGAAGGATATTGTGAATTGCAAGACCCAAGAATCCTGGCACAAGGAGGGCCGCGAAGTACTGGAAGGTCAGCAGCCTCTCAAGCTTGTGCCTATGCGTGCTGTCACAGTGACTCGCAAACGCGAGATTGAAGAACGCGAACGCATCGAAGGCGGCAAAGTAAAACAAGGGCTCTACTCCAAAGCGCAAACCGACTGGATCATTCCTGACCCAATCGTTGATGGCCAGATCCCACGCAACTCGTACGGAAACATTGACGTTTATGTACCCACCATGGTGCCGAAAGGCGCTATTCATATCCCACTCAAAGGGACGGCGCGCATATGTCGCAAGCTCAACATCGATTACGCGGAAGCGTGTACCGGATTCGAGTTTGGCAAGCAGCGTGCTGTACCTGTCATAACTGGAGTTGTGATTGCGGAAGAAAACGAGGATATGCTCATAGATGCTTGGGAGATTGAAGAAGCGGAAAAGCAGAAAAAGGAGAGAGACAAGAGGGAGAAGTTCTTGTTGGGTTTATGGAGGAAGTTCGCAAGCGGTCTGAGGATTGTGGACAGGATGAGAGAAGAGTACGGAGAGGATGTCGAATTGCCAGCGAGGGAAAAGGTGGTACTACACAAGGAGGAAGACACCACGGAAAAGAAGCCGCAGTGGGAGGTGTTCCAGAATCACACAGATTTCGAAGGTGGCTTCATGCGCGACGACGATGCAGCTTCTGGTGGTGGCTTCGTGCCTGAAAGAGCGCCCCAAACGGCACAACAAGATTATGACACGGCTGGTGGGTTCCTGTCAGCAAGCCAAGACGATCCTGAACATGGCGATCTCACTATCGATCACGGTGAGAAGAAGGATGTACCCCGCGTATCCGTGGCGGACAGCACATATCGCACACCGATCTCGCTCACACAGGCGTTGCAGCAGCCGCCTAGTGAATCTGGTGGAGATTCGGATGACGATGCGGACGATGATATGGACGCGCCACAGGCTCAAGAAGACGAACAGATCGAAGAAGACGAAGAAGAAGAAGTCAAACCTAAGACCACTCGCCGCAAGTCAACCGCCACAGCTTCAGCCCGTGGTCGCGGTCGTCCACGTGGCCGCGGAGCAAAGACTGCGACAGTATCCGCACGGAAACGTAAATCTAAGGTAATAGATTCAGGGTCTGACGATGATGCGCTCTCTGATGCGCCCTCGGATCCGCCAACACCACCGCCTTCCACCCGCTCAGCGCCAAGGCGTAAGGCTGCCAGGAAAAGTGACGCACAAGTCAAGAGCCACTTCTTTGCCGAAGGAAGCGATGACGAGACGGATATGACGGACATGACTGAGCGCAACTCGCCAAGGAAGAAGGCTGCAACACGAGGACGCGGTAGTGGCAAAGGGAGAGGGAGTGGACGGGGAAGAGGGCGAGCGGGGAAAGCCAAGTAGTGATACGAGAGTAGAGTATTGATACCTACACCGGTGTGCAGTAGACGTGCAAAATCATTCGAGCTAATCTTGACGATACGACCAGAAGGCATGAAAATCCGCCAGCCAGCATTAGGGCTGACCAACAGGAAAAGATCGTGAGATCTTTTCAGCGCCAGTGCGCTTACCCCATTCGATGGTATCGCTACTCTCCCGATCCAACTGCCGCATTACATCATTCTTCCCCGGATTCCTCCCACACTTTCAAACCCCCGAAACTCAAAGTTGCGAAATCGCGAAATCGCAAAAGTCAAAACGCAAATAGCAATTGAGTATTACCGGATTAAGACAAAATTCTCGAGTCGACACCATGCGTGCCGATCTGTTTTTAGATCAGCCCAGCCTCGCTAGGTGTGTCTGGGCAAGTCTTGGTTCCGCCATTGCATGCTCCCGATCCTTGGCAGACTTCGGTACCATGAATTTCCCCTAATTCAATCCCAAACAGTCGGCCTGTTGTAGCCAAGCTGCGCCATTGTGCAGTCTCAGATTGCTTCTTCAACGCCTTTATCATCGCGTCTGGTCCTTGCTCAACATGCATGACAGCGTGACAGCTGCGGCTGCCCGGTCGTTCGGCAGTATTGCCCATGGTAGCTCTGCGTTGTTGGGGAGTTTGTGGCAGCAGTGGCTGTTCCAATCGCGTCGGCAGAGTGCGGTAGACGTGCTTTCGGCGCCGCCCATGTGGGAATCTTCCCAGCATCCACCCGAATGCCACGCCCGCCGTCTCCTTCGTATTCGTGCTCATCACCTGTTGCCCGGCGCAAGCACGTCTTGGCTACAATGCACACTGTTTGATCTGCGATCCCTAGTCCGCGCGCTCATTAGTTGCCAGAAACGTCGTGCCTCTCCGGTGTTTTTCTATCGATGGGTCGAGATGCGTGTCTGGGGTTGGCGTACATAAGTACATATATCCTCCTTTTGTTTCGTTTTCTTACGCCTCATCCTGACTGCGGTCTTTATCAGTCACTCGCTTTGCCAATCTTTTTTTCTTTGGCAGCTGTCTCTCGCTTTCCGACTTTTGAAACCAGTCTTATTCTTAATTATAATTCTCTGAAAGATGCGTTTCACAGACGTCTTTGCTGTCAGTGTGGTGGCGCCTTTGGTGGCAGCTCACGGTGGAGTCCCAGGAGCACCTAAGATTTTTGGCCTACCCAGAGACTTGCTCGATGACTTCAAGGCTCCCGTTGCTGCCCGTACGCTTCGACACCCTGCTACGCCCAGGGGTGGCCTGTTGGAAACCCGCCAAGGTGGTCAAAACGGACGTTGTGGACCTAGCTTTGGCAATGCCAAGTGTGCTACAGGGTACTGCTGCTCTGGTGCCGTATGTTGGTCTTCAATCTTCGATACATGCGGATGCTAACGGGAAAAAGGGATACTGCGGAACTTCGAAAGATCACTGCCAGGCTCCCGACTGCTTGATTGACTTCGGCCCAGCTTGCGATGCCAACAAAACTCCCGGTGGAGCTAGCACACGCAACGACCCTCGTCCCCAAAAGGGCAATGTCGCATACGGAGGTGGCGGTGTCTATGCCTGCAAGAAGGCTGGAACAGTCGCCATCACCTACGACGACGGTCCATACATTTACACCGACCGCGTCCTCGACCAGTTCGCTGCTGCTGGCTTTAAGGCTACTTTCTTCGTGACTGGTATCAACCTTGGCAAGGGCGCCATTGACAGCACAGCGCAATGGTCCAACGTGATCAAGCGCATGGTTGCCGAGGGCCACCAAGTCGCATCCCACACATGGTCCCACCAGGATCTCAGCATCATCACTGATGCGCAACGCTACGACCAGATGGTCAAGAACGAGATGGCCATCCGCAACATTATCGGAAAGTACCCTACATACATGCGTCCTCCTTACTCGTCTTGCAACACCGCCTGCCAGACTGTATTGAAGAACTTGGGATACGTCGTCAGCTACTTCGACTTGGACACGGATGACTACAACCAACTCTCCAACATCCAGGTCGCCAAGGATAACTTCAAGAGGATTCTTGACTCCACAGCCGGTGGTCCCACCACTGGCTCCCGTCTTGCTATTGGCCACGATATTCATGAGCAGACTGCTCTCAACCTCACCGGATACATGCTTTCATACCTCAAGTCCAAGGGCTACCGTGGTGTTACCATGGGTGAGTGCATGGGCGAGCCTGAGGCGAACTGGTACCGCACTTCCGGCGAGGGTGGTGGCTCTACCACCCCTCCTCCTACCTCTGGCGGCGGTAGTGGCAGCACCCCTGTTTCCACTGATGGATCGTGCGGCTCCGGCAAGGGAACGTGTGCTGGATCTACTTTCGGCAACTGCTGCTCTCAGTACGGATGGTGTGGATCCTCCGCTGACCACTGCAGCGCCGGCTGCAACTCTGCCTTCGGTACTTGCACTGGCGGTGGCTCAACCACCCCTGCGCCAGCTCCTTCCACCCCAGCCAAGAAGGTCTCTACTGATGGTACTTGCGGATCTCAGGGAGGTGCTACTTGTGCTGGCTCGACATTCGGCAACTGCTGCTCGCAGTACGGATGGTGCGGATCTACCTCTGGACACTGCGGTTCCGGTTGCCAGAGCGGATCGGGTACTTGCACTTAGGAAGTTGCTGATGGGAGGAGTATCTAAATCGTTTGTGTAAAGACGATACCAGTGCTTCTACTATTTTTATGTAAATACATAATATAATGCAAACATCAAAAATACCGTACTTATCTGTCTTCTTCATTGGCATGTCTTGATTGTATATGTTACTTATCCTACGTTGTTCTTTCCTGACTTCTGACGACGATACTTATGTTCGCTGATATGCTAACAACGACATCCTGTAATCATACTGTGCTAAGCTGCTATCCTGTCTCGCAAGTTCAGGTACTAAACCATTACCAGCTATGGCTGCAAGATTACCTGAGGTACATATCGACGTCATGCAAGGTACGTTGGAAAGTCGGAAGTGTAGTGGCAGTTACGCCGATACGGCCGTACCCCCTCGCTAGACTCTATCTAGTGAGTAGCTATTCGGCCACCTGGAGCGCCAAGCCTTGGTGACTAAGACTAATAGCTTGCTAGATGCAGAAACACTACACCATTACTTACTCTAAAGCTGCGTACATGGTACCAGTAGGTGCGGACTACAATGCCTGTCCATCAGACAGATCGTGGCGTTGATAGCGCTCTGTCCGTCGTCATACATTTCTATGATGCAAGCGACTCCGACTGCTGTCTTCGTTCCATGGACTCAAGGCTATAAAGCCTTCGTAGTATGACCATCATGTCAGACATCCAGACAGCAGGTCACAACACATTCTACTCGATCTACACCTCAACGGCTCTCAAAAAATTCATATCTTCCAGTTTGTCACCAAGTCCCTGGAACAAAGCGAACAGCATATCTCAAAATCACATTGCAATCTCTATCGAGGATTCCCGACCATGCAGGATATCGACTACTCCGCTACGACCGCACTCGTGACCGGCGGCTCCTCTGGGATAGGTCGTGCAATCGCAAAAGAACTCGTGAAGAGAGGTGTCCGTCGACTGGTTCTTGTTGCTCAAAATGAAGGAAGACTGGCCGAAACAGTCAGCGAGATTGAGGGTTCTACAACAGGAACGACAGTGCGCACGATCAAAACCGACTTGAGCCAACGAGAAGGCCCTGAAAATGTACAAAAGCAAGTGCAAGAATGGGGTTGGACAGTTGATCTACTTGTAAACAACGCGGGCTTCGCCAGGAAGTACTATTTCGCACGTAACCCTGAGACCGACACCTCTTTGGCTACTGTCGATCTTATGGTCCGTGCCGCCGTTGATCTAAGCCTCCGTTTCATGCCAGAAATGATAAAGCAAGGCAAGGGTGGCATCTTGAATGTCGGGTCGACTGCTGGGTACCAAGCAGTTCCATACACGGCAATGTATGCGGCTAGCAAGTCATTCCTTATGTCATGGTCCCAAGCGGTCCATCAAGAAAATCTTGAAACCGGCGTCCGAGTAGCTTGTGTCGTTCCGGGCATTACTGCGACCAATCTCGATGGGCAGGGGCATGGCGAAACGCGAGGTGCCATCGACAAAGTTGGCATCGATCAGCCTGAGGATGTAGCGAAGGTTGCGGTGGACGTATACGAAGCTAACGAATCCGCTCGTGTAGTTGGCTGGAACAACAAGATTCAATCGACAGTCTTCAACCTGATTCCTGATTCCATCACCAGCGGTATTATCGCTTCGGCGCGAGGGCCACCAGAGGAGAAGTGAGCCAAAGGTGTAGGGTACGAATAGGTGGTTCAACCAATACGCGGTGTCTCCACGCAGCAGGGTAGTGTCAGATTCAATAGATGCAAATTGTTAACGCCAGAATCACGACTTTTCTCTCATAGAGAGATGCAACCTGTGATACGTGGCGTTTGCTTGACTCCGCTACATGCCTATGTAGTCTCGACGTTAAACTATGCTCTACTGCAAAGAAATTAATCGCTCAATTCGGAGTGTCACTTCGCTGCATCTCAGGCTGTGAAGCTCGTCACGCTAGAACGAAAGAACAATACGATAGAATCCCACAAGTAGTAGTTGATGGAGATGGCACATGAGTAGAACTTGACTGTCGGACTGGCCATCCAGTGTGAGAAGCAAATGGCTACGCAGTGGGTTTGGGATACATGCCTGAAAACATTCAAGGGCCACTTGGAGCAAGCCACGTGAAATGCTGAATAGATTTTGGATCTCTTATTGAAGATATCTGGGTATTCCCACTGAACAAAGAGGATTGAAACTGTTTGCACCACGTAATGAAGTGCTTTTACATGCTACGACGGCTATTGAATTTTACAGTTTCATCACTGACTATATGTGAAGACCATGTTGGCATTCTCCCTTCGATGCTTCTCTCCAACCCACATCATTTTCTGAAATCTTATTTTCATAACTTCATTCGGGCATCCTATTGAGCGTAGTCATTGCTAGAAGCACTATTGTTCGCACACCATGGCGCTAGCGATAATTCCCACGATCATCGTCAGTTTTGTAGTCATTGTAGCACTTTTCGGCACGTACTACATTTATCACGCATACAAGCGCGTGCGCTTCGCAGTGCCAGACGTGGAGCGCACCCGCCACATCGAAAATCTCGAGCATCACAAACAACCATCAATCCAACTACACGATATCGAGCCTCCAGACCGGACGTATCAGAGCGGTCAGTGGTATGGTCCCGAGAACGTAGTCCCTACACATGTCGCCCCTGTCACGAAAGCACTTCCGCGTATCTCTGAGATTGAGTATACAGGGGGCAAGGGTCTCGTTAGCCCGCCTGGTCGGGTCTTCTCATCTTCCAAGGATGCCACAGGAGGTAAAAGAAAAGAAAATGGGCTAGATGAGTTTCAAACACAAGATTTACATGCAGGAAGGCTATGGAACTTTGCAACAGATGGCTACGGAAACTCAAGGGTAGATCAGCCCGGATTAGTATCTCCAAAGCCTGTGCGAACAGTAACGCGGAACTCTCCAAAGGCTGAGCCTACAAATACCGCATACGACTCTGCACAAATAGCAGCGGCGAACATATGGGACAAGATTAACAAGGGCGAGCTACAACCCTCGCGACGCAAGGTAGAGAAGAAGATGTCGAAGTCACTGATCGCAACAGCACCGGAAAGACTTCGTGAGCCTGCAGACTTTGAGAACGATGTCTTACAGGATATCGACCTTCGCAGCAGTACCAAAGAATGGGCAAAGGCCAAGGTTTCGTCTGCGTACGTCGCAAAACGCCCAAGCAAGCGGGATTCTTTCGACAGTACGATCACAGCCGTCGATGCCAGCGATGTGAATATCGAAAGGCCAGCGTCATATGTCAAGCGCAAAAAAAGTATAGGCACAGATATCATCAAGCTGCCTCAACCGCTTGACCGAGCAGCCGAGGCACGCCGCAAGATTCTTGAAGCTAAGGAGCAGATGGCAGACAGAAAGAAGCGGGAGGCAGAAGAACGTCAAGCAGAAGAGCGAAGACAGGCAGAAGAGCAAAACCAGCGCATGGCAGAACAGCAGAAGCTGTCTGAAGAAAAGAAACGACAGGAGAATGAAGAAAGAGCCCGCTCATTGGCAGGGGTTACCAAGACAGAAGATGAAGACCTGTGTAATACAAATGGTTCTCGCTCTCGACGACCGTCCGCTAGCCGAAGATCGAATTCATCTACCGAGTCGGAAAGTGCGCGAAAGAGTCGCGAGAGGCCTCTCCCGCGATCTCCTAAGAGGGCTTACACTTTCGCTAATGATAAGACTTCATGTGCCAACGACTCTGTAGCGGAGAAGAAGCCCAGCAGCAGTCGTAGTGGCATGTCAAGAAGTATGAGTATGAATGACCGGAAAAGACAAGACATCAATGCAACGATGGCTCCAATCGCTGAAGGTAACGGTAACGATGATACTGATGAGGGAGACGTGGACAGTAGCGAAATAAGTAAGGTCGCAAAGCCATTCTCTGACAGTACGGCAAGACGTTCGGATGGCTCCAAAACATCAGCATCATCAGGCTGTTCTTACAAGTACCATAATGGAAGACGCGCTTCTCGAGATATTCCAGAAAATCCATTCACCTCTATTCAAGATCCCAAAGTTTCTCTCGCGCCAACTCAGAGATCCTCAGGCTCATCTAGCATCGAGAGCCGGTCCCAAGCCCAGCGACGCTCAAACGCTTCCAGCAATGACAGTCGACTCAGCTCAGACAGTCGTCTAAGCCTCAGCCATCCCGAGCGCAACAACAACAAATCTAGCGCTGAGTTTCGTGCTTCCGCGGATAGCCAGAGTAGTACGTACTCGATCGCTGATCGTGGAAAACCAGAACACAAGTCCTCGTTTGCATCTCGCACACTTGGGAAACTTGGTCGTAAGTCTTCATCTTCGGAAAAGAAGGAGGGCGATCCTGCAGATTTGATGCAGTTCGACGAGCATGACGGACCGAGGCTGAGAGGTGGGGCCATTGTGTTTGCGGCTGAGCCAGAGGAAATGTCAGAGCCAGACGATGAATATAAAGACTGGAGACATCGGAAGGGACAGGATGAGGATGCGGTGAGAATGCGTGGCGGTGCGGGGGAGAAGACGGTGGAGTCGGGGAACGAAAGCGAGGCTGGGGCGGAGAAGGAAGGTGATCACGATGCTTGCGAGGATGCGCACTCTGATGACGGCCACTCGGAAGACGACCACTCAGAGGACGAACATTCAGAAGATGAGCCTTCCGAAAGCGATGACGACATCGAGGAACATGATTCCTCTGAAGATGAGGGTTTCGAGGATAATGCATCGGAAGACGAGCATTCCGAGTCTGAAGTCTCCAACGACGAAGTTTCCGATGCTGGTACATCGGACTACGTATCTGGTGATGAAGGATCGGATAATGGAAATGAACAGACGTTGTTGCAGACGCCAGCTAAGATCGTCTCGACGAAGACCGTCGGTATTGTGAAGGCTTGAGGCCTTCTCACTTTTAGGTTTTCTGCTGGCACGGCCCTCTGTTGTGTTTTTATTGTATTCTCATGACCTGATCTTATCGTCTCGGTAATTATGTTAGCACCTTCCATATCTTGCACAGATCCAAAGCTCAACCCATAAACAAGGATTGCTTGAAACGTTGCGACCTCTCTTACATCGCTCGTGTTGTGCTCTAAACAGCATCGTCCACCCCACCGGGCGGTCCACCAGCAACACCCGCTGGTCCAAAAGTACCCCGATGACTATGGCTAGCTTTCTTGCCTTCCGCCTCTTCGTCGTCGTCGCCATCGTCAAACATAGCTTCGGACATGAACGGACTTTTTGCCCGAATCTGACGGCCTTTTATCAGGAGTACCACCGGCACCAGACTCAGTGCCAATCCAACAAAGCCAAGTAGACTGCCTGCCCAGCCGAAACCGAGGTTCTGGAAAAGCGAGTAGGAAGCCAGAGGTAGAAAGGCGCCGAACAGATTACGACCAAGGGATGCGGCGGAAAGTGCAGAAGCAGCGTACTTTTCGTAAGCATCGGTGAGATAGTTGACTACTCCCATGTAAATCGAGTAGATGCCTACACCCACTATACAGATTCCTATCGCAGGCACAATCCAGTGAATAGAGGGTCTGCATGTCCATCCATATAAGAACAGACCAGCAGTGAAGAGCAGCGAGCCAGGGATACTGGTGTACAAACGGCCCTCCGGGATGGGCTTCCCAGGACGTTCTTGGTTCTTGGATGCAGTTCGAAGATACAACCAATCCTGGATTGGATTGATGAGTGTGCCAATGAGCGCTCCGACAGTGATGGCTAGTTGAATCATACCTAAAAGGTACGTGTACGGAGTCAGTATATGTTTCACATGCAGTTCGTGCATGAGCAGTTCTTACCAGTCTGAAAGGTGCCAAATCCGTAGCTTGCACTAAAAGTTTGTACTACCGAGGAAAAGAACAGGAACAGAATACCCCAGGCGAAACTGATCCATAGCGTGAAGAAAGTAACGACGGGTTCGGTGAGCAGCATCTTTGTGGGTCGCATGAAGGAGACCTTGAGTAGGCTGGCTATCGAAGGCTTATCGAGCTCGGATTCCGCATAGACTTCGCGGCCTGTGTCTTTGCGAATCTTCTGAGCGCGCTTCTTCAGGATGACGTCGCCACGGGTCTCCTTGAGGATGATGTAGAAGACGGGGATGAGCGCGGCATTGTAGATGATTTGAATATAGTAGATCCTATACCTGTGTCAGCGATGTAAATCAAGTACGGGGAGATACACACCAGCGCCATGGAGATTGCAGTCCAGTAGACGGATAGCCAATCTGCACAATTGCACTACCAATAAACGGCCCGAGAGCGATACCAGCGACAGACGTGAACCCAAAGATGGACATTGGCAGACTTCGAGCCTTGTCACCTTTCCATACATCACTGATGCTACCACCAACAATGTTGATGGAAACCGAGGATGCACCACCGCCGAAAAATCGGGTAACAACGAGCGTTGCAAAGTTGTCAGCAAAGGCAGAGCCGAACAAGAACAACTCGAAAACGATGTACGCAACCTTCCAATTTGTCAGAACGGCTTATTGTATATCGTCAATGCAATAACTTACGAAGTAGCCGGGCATACGGCCAGTGTTCTCGGTCAAAGGTACGAACAGAAGTGGGAAAAGAGCAGCACCCATGTTCCAGCTGCACGTTGCCCAATAGAGATTGGGAAAAGGTTCATTTTGAACGCTGAAGCGAGTTGCCATCCATTCGTTACCAGCACCATAGGATCCAGCGGGGAGACCCGTTAAGATGGAGATAAAACAGACCGTAATTGTCAAGAACCATTTGTACTTGGTCGACCAATTGAACCTGATTTTGGTCAGCGTTTGATTCAGGCCATGAGACGATGCACGCACGGGTTGTCGGGGTCTTGAGAGCCATTCCACGTGTGTAGCTCAACCTCTTTTCCATCTTTCATGCGCGTTGGCGCTTCCCTCTTACGCTGGGGTAAAGATGCACTGTCTGAGGGATGTTAGCAAAGGCGTTTGCAGATCTATTACGGACGTACCATACCTTTGTCTTCATGGAGTGATGAGGGATTTGACATGGTGTATGATTCGCTGCTAAAACGCTAGTAGACCATAGAGCAGACGAAGTTCGAGACGTGGTTGAAGTGAACTGAAGACTGTTGCATCAACAAAGTACAACAGTATGATGAACATGAAAAGTGATATCATAGCACAGTAGTTACCGTTTGCTGACCGTGTGACAGCGTTCGCCATCGGACCGGACCCCATACCGTTGAAATCAGTGGAACACAATGACGTTAGCGTGACCATACCGTGAAACTTACCATTGGCGTGGGAAGATCGTCCACTAACTGACGCAAAGTTTGGGATAGCCAAGAGAAGACTAGTGGATCTTCTCTTCCAATTGTCGCTCCATCGTTGATTACCAATTGCGGATAGACCGGTTGTTCTGCTTTTTGGTCGCCGCCATCTCGGCGAAATCGCACAGGACGGCCTTGGAGCAACGCCGTCTTGGTATACGAACTGTGACATCATGCTAGCCATCCATTTTTATATACTTAACATGAAGCTGTAGTGCGATCTTTCAAACGCAGCGTTCGATACTATCAGACCTTTCCGTATTGCTATCGGCAGCACAACCCGTGACGATCTTGGCGCTAGCTCAGAATATCTCATGAGCGAGATAGCCCAAGACGAACCGATGCTTGAATCTTGTTGACATATACGCGAGTTAGTGCAGCAAATACGCGAAGGCATGGCTTCGGAAAACGCTCTCGTGTGCCCTCACGTGAGCACGCGATGGGTTTCGCGACGATTTGGATCGGTACCAGACCTCAATGGCCCACGCGTGTGGCCACAATCAAAGCGTCCTGGGGCTGGCATCCCTCTAGTGCATCGAGCTTCGTCGCGGGCCAAAACTTGAGCAAGTTGGTGTTCGGCGTGCACGTCTACGAGACAAAGTATAACGCATGCACGCGCGATACTCGAATTGGCAATTCAGGTCAACAGACGACACGGCCAGGCATGTCTCTACCAATGGCCCTAGCGCGATTGCGGGAGTAGATGTATTAGTCGCGTATATATTGTACTTGGTAAGCAATCCTGGGCGGGCGTTCTTCGCTGTTTTCTATTGGATTCGATGATGTTCTACTAGATTGGAAATGTAGACGGACGAGCGTGAAAAGAAGCCGACGTCGGAATTTTACAAAGTGTGGCACAATGAATGAGGGTGCGCAGGATGAAGAGAACAATTTTAGAGAAGGGATTCAGATTGATGTTGATGTCAGAATGGGTGGGCGATTGAGAGATTGATGGTATTGGAAGGGGGAATGGCAATGTCGCGTGTTGCCGAGGTTTTGCCATCGGGGCTATCGGAGGAGCTTGGGCGGTGATGATGTCGAGATTCGGAAGTCGCTGAGCAATTCATACGCCGCCACTACAACCTGTCATTCTTCATTGTACATCGCACAAACTCCTGATTATACTTTGTGGGTAATACACGGGTGCTACGTGATCCTGCGTGCATTCTTTTCATTCTTTGTATAGTATTACCTTTATCTACGCCCGCATAACGTCCCATCGTCATGTTCCAGAGCCAGAGCTTGCCGTGGCGGGCAGCCCTCCGCCAGGCCTCGCGCTCAAATGCTAGGAATATCACTACCAGAGCATCATCGCGACATCTCCCTGCCCAATGCACAGCATCTCTGGTCGCAAGACAACACACACGATGCTCCTCGCCGCCCGCGGCACTCTTCGCATACCGCAGCTTCTCCACATCTTTGAGTAGACGAAAGGAAGACGATTCGAAGGCGCCACCGGAGCCGCAGGAGGAAGCGAAGGAGGAAGAAACAGAAGAGTCCAAGAAGTTGAAGGAGCAGCAAAGAGCAGAAGAGCTCGAGGGCAAGAGTGATGCGCCTGAGCCAATACCCCCACGAGCGAGTTCTGGACGAGGCAGCGCAGCAGGAGGAAGTGGTTCAGGCGGTGATGGCGGTGGCAAGAAACGGAAGGGCAACGACAGAGCGCTTGTCAAGCCTTCGATACCCGATGTCTACCCTCAAGTCATGGCGATACCGCTCGTCAAGCGCCCTCTATTCCCCGGGTTTTATAAGGCTATCACCATCAGAGATAGGGAAGTTGGACAAGCGATTGCGGACATGGTCAAGCGAGGACAGCCTTACATTGGTGCCTTTATGTTCAAGGACGATACTGCCGACAAGGATGTCATTCATGATCCCAGCGAGGTATACGACGTGGGAACCTTTTGCCAGGTCACGAGCGCATTCCCTGTAGGCGGCGATGACAACTTTGCCATGACATGCGTTCTCTACCCACACCGCCGCATCAAGATGACTGGGCTCAAGTCGCCACCGCAAGCCAAGGAGGAGCCATCGGTGGCTGAAAGCACTTTGGACGAGAATGCGGATACCCCAGAACCTGAGGCAGCTGCCCCGCAAAACAAGGGAGATGTTGTTGCTAGCTTTGAGGAGGCAACAGAGGAGGCCAAGGCAGCTCAGGGAGCGTTGGTACCCACCATCCTCAAGGGTCGCAACGTCAGCATTGCCGATGTTGAGAACATGGTCGAGGAGCCATTCGATCTAAAGACCAACAAGACAATCCAGGTTTTGGTCAACGAGATTGTCAACACATTCAAGGGCGTCGCACTGCTCAATCCGCTATTCCGCGACCATGTGTCGACCTTCTCCGTTCATACCACCATGAACGTTGGTGAAGATCCCGTCAAGCTTGCTGACTTCGCAGCTGCAGTTGCACAGGCTGAGTCACACGAACTTCAGGATGCGCTTGAAGAGATGGATATTGAGAAGCGTCTTAGCAAGGCGTTGGAAGTACTCAAGAAAGAACTCATCAGCGCCGAATTGCAAAAGAAGGTTGCCGACGATGTCAATGCCAGGGTCACAAAGAAGCACCGCGAGTACATGTTGATGGAGCAGATGAAAGGCATCAAGCGAGAGCTTGGTATCGAATCGGATGGCAAGGATAAGTTGATTGAGAAATTCAACGAGAAGGCCAACAAGCTCGCCATGCCTGAAGCCGTGCGCAAGGTCTTCGAAGAGGAGATGAGCAAGCTGCAGGGCCTGGAGCCAAACGGATCAGAGTTCAACGTCACCCGCAACTACCTCGACTGGCTTACACAGCTACCCTGGGGTTTGCGTAGCGCGGAGAATTTCGGTATCCAGCATGCGCGAGAAGTCTTGGACGAGGATCACCACGGTCTGAAGGACGTCAAGGACCGCATTCTAGAGTTCATTGCTGTTGGAAAACTGCGCGGCACTGTTGAAGGAAAGATTCTTTGCTTGGTTGGTCCACCAGGTGTGGGTAAGACGTCGATCGGAAAGTCCATTGCTCGCGCTCTGAACCGCCAGTACTACCGCTTCAGTGTCGGTGGTATGTACGACGTAGCAGAAATTAAGGGTCACCGGAGGACGTACGTTGGTGCGCTACCCGGACGTATCATCCAAGCTCTCAAGAAATGTCAAACTGAGAACCCGCTTGTCTTGATCGATGAAGTCGACAAGATCGGACGCAACAGCAACCACGGTGACCCAGCATCAGCTCTGCTCGAGCTGCTCGACCCAGAGCAGAACAACAGTTTCTTGGACCATTACCTGGATGTACCTGTCGATCTGTCAAAGGTTCTGTTCGTATGCACAGCAAACATGGATGAGACGATTCCCCAGCCACTGCTCGACCGTATGGAGGTGATCCGACTATCCGGCTATGTTTCCGACGAGAAGATTGCCATTGCTGAGAAGTACCTGTCACCCGCAGCGAAGGAGATGAGCGGATTGAAGGACGCTGATGTCGTTCTCGAGAACGACGCGATTGTCGAACTCATCAACAAGTACTGTCGCGAGTCGGGTGTCCGAAATCTTAAGAAGCACATCGAAAAGGTTTACCGCAAGTCAGCACTGAAGATTGTCACCGACGTAGGCGAAGATGCACTCCCAGAAGCTGCTGCGCTTACTGAGGAGGGCAAGGCTGCGCAGAAGGAATCGGAGAAGGACAAGAGCGATCTCAAAGAGACTCCAGAAAACATCGAAGAGCAGACAACGGAGAAGCCGCGCGTCGCGCTCAAGATTCCAGACTCTGTTCACGTTTCCATCACCAAGGACAATCTGAAGGACTACGTTGGACCAGCTATCTTCACTTCAGATCGCCTCTACGACTTCACGCCACCTGGTGTTGCTATGGGTCTAGCATGGACATCAATGGGTGGCTCAGCCCTCTACATCGAGTCCATCCTTCAGAACGCACTCTCAGCATCATCAACACCTGGTCTTGAGCGCAGTGGATCTCTTCGAGACGTCATGAAGGAGTCGACGAGCGTAGCCTACTCGTTCGCCAAGAGCATTCTTGCCCGCGAATTCCCTAAGAACAAGTTCTTCGAGCACGCCAGGATACATCTCCACTGCCCCGAAGGCGGTACACCAAAGGACGGACCAAGCGCTGGTATCACCATGGCGACCAGCATGCTCAGTTTGGCACTCGACAAGAAGATCAGGGATGATGTTGCCATGACTGGTGAACTGACTCTTACTGGTAAGGTGCTGAGAATTGGTGGATTACGCGAAAAGACTGTCGCTGCACGGAGAGCGGGCGCAAAGACGGTCATCTTCCCACACGACAATATGAGCGACTGGCTCGAGCTGCCTGAGGTATGTTTCCTCACTTTTAATGAAAGACAGTGCATTTGCTGACACATCGTAGAACATCAAGGAAGGCATAGAAGGCCGTCCCGTGCAATGGTACAAGGAAGTCTTCGACATTGTCTTCCCAGACCTCGACAAGGACGCCGCAAACAAGATGTGGGAGAAGGAACTCAAGTCTAAGAAGGGTGACCGCAAGAAGCGTGAGCAGAAGAAGAAGGAAGAGGAAGAAGAAGAGTCTGGTGAGGACGACGACTGAGCGATTCGCCTCTAGGACAGGATATGTGTAAGATACAGCGAACAGCGAGCTCAGCAGCGCAACGCATTAAGGGCGTTTTTTGCATAAGCATTGGCCAAAGCGCCATTACGATTGAACTGCATTGATAATGAATGATAACAATTCTCTCTTCTCAATGTGTGGTCCAGCATCGAAAGATGAGCGAAGTGATAGATGGTCACGATATGTGAGCTGATAAGAAGAAAGCATATCCAGCATGATCCCTTCTATGCTCTTCCGCTTTCCAAAATCCTGACAGCGGGACGGTCCGTACCTAACTACTCGTGTCACTCACTCTGGCTTTGATAAAAAATCATTTTCACATTCAACTGCCGTGGTACGCAAAATTTCTAATGACACTAGCATCCTTTAAGCTACATATTCAGGGTCTCGACCGTTCGCTGGCAGTGTCTCAGGTACGTACCGATGATGTGTTTTCCCAACCCCTCGTAGGTTTCCGTACCTTTCGTGCATGAACCCCACCACGCGTGGCAGGGGGATCGTGGAATACTGCGCGTATCTGCAACGGGAGTTCTCGTGACGGTTACACCATGTAATCATTATCAATCGAGTCTCCTTGGCCTAGAAGATGAATTTCAAGAATGCCGCGATATGCTTAGCGCACTGCGCATCACCGTAATATTGTACAGTCTGTGACGCAACTGCCACATGTCTGAAGCCACATGCAAAACGATGGGGCTAAAGAAGAACAGGAGAATATGCCAACGCTTCAGCGGCATCTGTTGGTAGTGCATGTGGTTGTGTTTCAGCGCCTTACGCGCAGCTCTTGTGCGTTAGCCCTCGACTCCTTCGTCTGGTGCATGAACCACATTGACGTGTCAACGGGCGCCTTGTATATGTAGTATGAAGAAGGGACAACGCATACTGCGAACTGGAGGGAACGAATCATAGTCAGGGGCTGAGAGCAAGCTGAAGTCGTCGTCAGACTTTTTTGCGGTGGAAGCTTCACTTTTGTTTTTGGTTCAGATTGTCGAAGTCGGCGTCTTGGGGAGGCTGTGGTGCGGCGGCATCGCGCGCTCCGGTGAAGTGAACGAGAGAACTTGTAACAGGGCTTGGAAAAAAGTGTTTAGAGGCGCAAGGGGCTGGGTGAGGCGTATATCACGGTGTAGGTCCTTTGTCAGTGCCTTGATGCTTCGCCATGGCTGTCTACAAATTGTTGGGAACTGAGGCGGAACCACAACGCAAGTGAAGGATCGAGATACATTAGCGAGCGACATCCCTCCGACGTGCAGGAGCAGCTTTACTCGAAGCTTGCCGGAACGGACTCTGTGCGACAGGTTGAGTGGGGCAGTTCGTGTACTCATTGCGACGACGGAGTACCTTCCCGCAAGTACCATGAGGTGCAGTAGCTGCCCTCGTCTACGCGTGGACTAATGTATGCAGGCCCAAATGAGGGGTTTTGCTCATATCGTGATTTGAAGAATTGATGAGGGGCGACGGTTGAGCTAGGGTGAGCAAAGCGACCAACAGCTGGGTTTAATATACTGGTTTTTTCCAGGGTTGAGGAGGGAGAAGGAGGGAAGGGTGGTTGACGACGCAGTAGAGCAAGATGCGACGGTGAGATGTGTGTGACTCTCACCGCAGGTTGTTAGAGTGGCTGTCACACGCGAGCAGGAACCAATCAGTATGTCATCGGTGGTATGTCACGGCGGGACCCAGGGCGCACTCGTGCCTGATTTGACGATCGAGGGACCAAATTCGGGTTTTTGCTGCTGCGGATGCTGCAGGCAGAGGGCCTTTTCTGTCCAATGTGGTGTTGGCGCTTGACCGCCAGCTGTACAGAAGATACATGGCCTAACATAGGGGGCAGCTGCACAGCGCAAAATTTGTTCTCTCTGAATATTATTCTTTCTTGTCTCCCTTCCCCGCTTCTCTTTTGCTCGTGAGACTTGGGACCGAAGGCTTTAGGGGTGTGTGAGGTGCCGACGCCTCGCCTCTGGAATATTTGATTTGCTGCATTTTACTTGGAATACGCTAACGCCGTGTTCGACCGTTCGCCCGCCTGGGGACTTGTGCCTTAGCTGAGCTGATTGGTCCGACGGCCCCAGCCTCAGTCGCATCCATCCCATCTTACTTGGGACGACTCATCATCGCACATTGCATCGCGTCGTCGTCGCCGCCGCCCTCGCCCGCCTCCACTCGCATCCGGACGTCAGCCTGCCCCAAGTCGCCCTACTACTGCCTGCTCCGCCGCTGAGCCTCATCATCAGCAGCGTCGCTGCTCGCCAACCACGGTCCGTTTGTCTGTCATTAAGGTTAGGCGCCAACAGCTGCGCATGTCGCTTGGGCGTCAACTTTAGACACAGACGGTACTTTCGTCATTACCACGGAGATTGTCGTGCAGAATTTGCAGCCGTCGAAATCTGCGAGGGAAGTGGAGTGGCACGGAGCATGAACTAGATCCATGGACGTCGGAAGCCACAGTTACACACGACCGCGACACAGCATGCAGCCGGCGCCAAATCGATAGCATCAATCCAATCCATCCATATCCGACAAGGGATCTCCCTCGCAGCGCAACCACACGGCAGCTCACCTCACGCCTGCCTGCGTTGCTCCTTCCTCGCACCGTGAAGGCTGGCCGAGGGGGTTAAGAAGGCTGGGAGAGCCGAGCCTGACAACCAGAAGATGCCGCTGCTATCAGCCGACAATGGCGACACGAGCAGGAGTGCCAGCCGGCAGCGTGCGCGCACCGAAGTGGCCGAGCACAGGAGCATGTGGGACCGCCTCAACTTCCAGAAGATCGGCTCCTGGCTGAAGAAGGACGAGCACACTCCGCCGCCCTCGCCCACCAAGTTTGCCAAGCAGGCGGCTGGTGCCAATAAAGAGAACAAGGAGGAGAAGAAGGAGATGAAGAGGCCGCACTCGAGTGGTGGGCTGCTGGGGAGGAGAGGCAGCAAGAAGGTCATCCCAGGGCTGCCTAGACCCCTGACCTTTAAGCGCATGCAGAGCGAGAAGAGAGACAATCTGCTCGAGGTACCCGAGACCGAACCACGGAGAGCTGTCTCGGAAGACCGCAAGAGCTCCGTCCCCTCGAAACGAAACCCCTCGCCGCCTCCAATGTCCATGCCGTCCATGTCTGCCCCTGACGTCCTGAGTCCGAACGAGAGCAACAGTGAGAAGGAGAAGGAGTCATTGCGGGAGATGGATTCATTGCGAGGAGTCAAATCATTCCAAGTCGAGTCATTGCGAGAGGCCGACTCACTGCGAGCGGCATCGTTGAGAGCGGCTGAGTCATTTGCAGATATAAAACGCGGGGAACGCACAATTGGCGGAGGACCCGACTCCAACATACCCGCAGGCGCACGGCAGGTGGATTACGGCATAGAAGAACCTGAAGACTACATGTCTGCCGGCGAAACGTCCACCGTCGAGGGGCCGCCTCCAGTAGAGAGGCCGCCGCCCCCGCCCCTGCCGCCAATGGAGGTAGCCGATGCTTTCTCGGAACACGGCTCGCATCGCTCAGGCTCGGACATGGACGATATACAGTTACAGGAGGAGCTCGAGGCCAAGTGGATCCTGAACCTCAGCATGCACTTCCGAGACATGTCGGATCGTGAAAAGTTCTTCGTCACATTCGCCGAGCAACCAAACAAATGGAGGAGGGTGACAGTATCGTGCGACTACCGACACCTAGAGCCCGACTCACTCGAGTCTGATCTCAAGACGCTGCACTACCAGCGCGACAAGAGCTCCCGAATCTACGAAGCGATCCGTGACTCCTTGGCGAGCATTCAATTTTACGATACTGTCACGAACCTCAAGCTCGAAACAACGGATGGTCAGCTCCATGTGCACGTTACCGAGGATATTAATGAGATCATCCCGTATCCAGCCACGTCAGCAATCGAACACCTAGACTGCAAGCGCTTCCGGGAGAACGCAGTCACCTTCGACTCCCACATCTCAGGCTTCGTGTACAAAGTCTCAGTCAACAACAGGACATACATCAAGAAGGAGATTCCCGGCCCAGATGCAGTCGAAGAGTTTCTGTACGAGATCAATGCTTTGATCAGCGTGCAAGAATCCAAATGCGTCATCAGATTCGAAGGTGTGATAGTTGACGAGCAGAACGAGCTTATCAAAGGCCTGCTAATCAGCTATGCTGAGCAAGGCGCGTTGGTGGATATGATCTATGACTTCAAGCCAACAGGCCAACTTTACTGGGAACGACGTGAACGATGGGCACGACAGATCATCGAAGGTTTATCCGAGATCCACGAAGCCGGCTTTGTACAAGGCGACTTTACACTCTCCAACATCGTCATAGACAACGACGACAATGCGAAAATCATTGATATCAACCGTCGCGGCTGCCCTGTCGGCTGGGAACCACCTGAGCTAGCCAAGCTTATCGAAAGTGGACAACGAATATCAATATATATTGGTGTCAAGTCGGATCTCTACCAACTCGGTATGGTGCTGTGGGCGCTAGCAGAACAGCAAGACGAGCCGGAGCGCCAGCAAAAGCCACTGACCCGCACACTCGATCGGCCAAACACCGATGTTCCAGTGTATTTTCGCGACATCATCAGAGCCTGTCTTAGTGACACGCCCCGAGCGAGACCATCAGCAGCAAACCTTCTCAAACGGTTCCCAGAGGACATACTAGATAGAGATTTCAAGCCCAAGGCTGCTATCAGAAACAGCGCCTCTACGCACAGGAGCGACAAGGAGTACATCGACCCCAGGACGGCAGTTGATCTCGAAGACATATCAAAACACCGCCGTCACTCACGGCAGCAGTCGTCGTTCGAGGAGATTCATGTGCCCCGTACGGAGTATCCCACATCTTCTGGCTCATATATCATTCCCAACAACGACTCCGATCGTGGACGCTCCCCTGGCCCTTTGAGCATTGGCAACAGGACCGGACGGAGTGAATACTCGCCTTATCCTGCTCACCGTTCCGTCATGTCGCTCGACGACTCAGAGCTTGAGAATGAGCTTGCAAGTCTACCAGCCAGTCGAGAGACGAGATGGGAGCAAATCTACATCGATGGTGATACCAAACTTGTCCAAAGAGGATGCGCCGACCTTGACGTCCACGACTTTACTACACAGGAGCCGAAAGATATACACTTCACCGGTCCACCAAGTGAAATGGAGAATTCTTTTCTAGGTAGCAGATCAGCCGAAGACACTCCTCTAAGGGTCTCCTTTGTCAGTGGGCTCCAGCCAACTGAGCCACATTCCATGGAAAGCAGTCTACAAGAATCATCTGACCGCGGCCGTGACCGAGAGATTGGAAACAAGACTTCCTTTAGCAGTCGAGTGCATGAGCTATCACAAGGACCACCAGATCACACCCCCTCGGAGCTAGATGCTACGCCAGATTACTACGAGGGCCGGCAGTTTCATATACCTGATTCTGCCGTGCTCGCCAACCTGGAGTACGACGTTGCCATGGACTCTTCTGCTTCCAACACTGCACCCCCATCACGGGTCAGCACTGGTTTCTCCGTCTTCGACCGTCCGGAAGCCTCGCGGAGAACTGGAACGGGTTTCTCAGTCGCACAAGGATACCGTATGCCACTGCATCAAGATTCTGGCTTTGGCGAGCCCGAGCGGAGATCGTTCGAAAGCGAGCGCATGCGCCAAAGTATTGAAAGCATCAAAGACCTGAACTTCTCCAGCGAAGACGAGGCAAGAATCGACGAGCGTCTATGGGATGAGAAAAGTGGCCCAGTATTCGGCGATGGTGTCCGTGGAGCTGAGCTAGAGATTAAGCCAGAGCCCATACCAATATTTACCATCCCAGCTTCGCCGCAGAAGAAAGAGAAGCAGAAAGAGGCGCGCACATCGATGCCGCCTCCACCAATACCCAGTGTTGGACCGTCAAACGTACTGAAGGTTGAAGATGTTCAAGACAAAGCTTTGGAAGAGAAGAACTCGAACACCACTATCCGACCAGCCAGTAGTCGTACTCCAGTCTCTTCAAACACAGGTCCAAAACCCGTGGATTCCATGGATGTTGTTTCAGCCGAAACCAAACACATTTCGAAGAAAGCATCTAAGAAAGCAAGCACTGTCGGCTCATCATCTAAGGATAAGCTGCCACGAAAGGCTTCACACCACGACCCCTTCCTCGATGACTACATGTCACCAGCCGAAGAATCCGACGGTGACGAAGATGACAAACATCGCGCATCGAACGATCTCTCTGCCTACCTTTCTCAGTCCATTTCCTTTTAACCACTCCATCAATTTTTCCATGCGCGAACATGAGAAGCAGAAGAAGAAGACTTAGGTCTCGGTTCGCAAGGACCAAAAGTTTGACATTGAGAACGTTCATTCGTTACTCCTTTCCATTCATCAAGTCACACCGTTTAACTACATTGCCATTCATTTTATCTGTCTTCATACCAAGTTTAGTATCATTTTAATGTCTCTGTATGTGTCTGTTCATTCATTCTCAACTCCTTCTTTTAGGCTTTCTATTAGCGTTTTGTGGGTGTTCATATCTGAGCAAGCGTTCATGTTTTGGATTGGTTGGCGTTAATCTGTGTGGTTGTGTCGTGATTCATTTCATGATGGACGATCTGGGGTTTGTTTGGAAATTTGCAGTAAAGACAGGTTGTGAACATCTCCCATTTTAGGCGTTTTTGTGCAAGTTGGATTGTTTAAGAGCGGGGATACCAGGTCGACTTTAGCATTTGGTAGCATGGTATGGATGGGCATTTCGGAGAATCACATTGCATTTACCTCTTGATTCTGATCACTCTCCACATGCAAGCATGAGTCCAGTCTAGTACTAATGTCTGTGGCGATAAAGCACATCGAGACTCAAGCCTAAGCTCGAAAGTTATAAGAAGTCACAACAATGATAAGTGAGTGAGTAGTACAGCCACTACATCAAAGAGAGAGAAACTGAACATCTCTTCAGACCATACCTAGGTAGTACTCCGTCCTACTACAATAAAGCGTATCAAGAGGTATGTAGGCGTGGATAGAAGATCTAGAAGTCTACAATGCTGTTTATCTTTATAAGTTCTTCTGTTAGGAGCTGCAAGGTAGAGCTTATCATTTCCATATTGTTCATTCTTTCCCTTGTATGTAGTGCGGCCATTGATCTAATCAGAACGCACTGATGCAGGCTGTATAGGCACCAGCTGTAGGGGAAGTTACTCTTGTGCACAGACCATATCGCGATCGCGTCAGCAAGTCTTTCTCTCCCATTTAATGGATCTTACGATTCCATCGTTGCACACATTCAGACGACTCGTGTATACGGTACTACAAGCAATCGACGTGACCATCTCTGAACTGGTTCCCGAGACGTACGATTCCACTTTCCCTGACTCCATAGACGGACCCATAACTACAACATGGCGAACGTATCACAAGGACTATCCAAGCTCCCAAATGAGCTTCTTCTCGAGCTTGCTGCATTGCTCGGCCCTGCCTACCTCCGGCGCCTCAGTCAAGTCAACCACCGCCTTCTCGACTTCGCCCTCGACTATTCTCGAACACATGTCAGCAGACTCGCCGCTCTACCAGACGATATCGTACTGAGAATCGTTGCGTATCTGGGGAATTTTGCGCATCTGGGAAACTTTGCGTATCCAGGATGTCTGGAAGATCCGGGAAATGGGGGGAATATATATCTAAGCCAACTCGCACAAGCAAGCCATCGGTTCTATCCTCTTGTTATGGACGCCATCCTGCGCGAGGAGGTACGCACGCGGAGTGTCAGGCTGATGAAATTTGCTCTTGACAAGAGAAGGATAGGGATGGTAAAAAGACTATTGCAGAGGGGCGCGGATGTGGAAGCACGTATTTATCACGAACCGAGGCTCAGATTCTACAGTCCTCAGTGTTCTATGCACTGCGTGTGCTTTAGCGAGGTGTGCTTGACATTTTCGCCTTTATCAATCGCTACATCGCACGGTGACGTAGAGATGGCCAAGTTGCTCCTGCATTTTGGTGCAGACGTCCACGCAATCTCTGCACGCAATATTGTGTGTTGTTACGAGAAAAAGTTACGCACACTTGTATCTACGCCACTTCTACATGCAGCATATCACGGTCACGAAGGCCTGGTACAACTGCTCCTGCAAGCTGGCGCGAGCCCGGTCGTTCAGGACAGCCTTCAAATACTTTCTGTAACCATAACCGAGCGACACGAGCATATCGTATTACGGCTTTTGCAAGCTCTGGATTCCGTCAATGAGCCCAGTGATTCCGTCACAAAGGAGCTCTTTCGGGTGGCTTCTGAAGGAGATTTCCGATCACTTCCGTCAGAACTGGTTAGGAAATATGAGCATGTCATCCTACGGCGGTTACCGTCTGTGACATCAACCGAGTGGCACCAGGAAGGCTATATTGCAGCTATCATGGAACTAGCTGTAGCCGCAAAGCTCGTCAAGGTTGTCGATTATCTCGCTCAATTGAAAACACAGCTCCAAATGGAACAGACGGGCTACCTTGATTCGGCGCTATACAACATTATCTCATATGATACCTGCAGAGGCGAGATTCGTAAGAGGGAGCTGCATCAAGAGGTCTACCAAATCGTCGAGACGCTGCTAGCGCAAGGTGCAAACCCCGATGCATCTGGGCAAGGGGAGTCTGCTCGAGACATGGCGTCAACTCATCCAGACCCTAGAGTAAGGAACCGGTTGCTACAAGCGGCACAAAAGCAGCCTCCTAAAGACCTGGCCTCTCAAGTAGGACGTTCATGGGTCGATCCGTCGCAAGCTTCACCGCCACATGTCCCAAGACGATCAAAACGATCGCGCCTGCCCCCTCCAGTAAATCTATGGGAATTCGTAAAGCCTCACAACTGGCAAGGGCAATCTGATGATCAGGAGAGCGATGTGTCAGCTGTTTCAAAGAGTAATGAAGATGATACTAGTGGTGGTCAAGTGACGAGTGTCTCGACCTCAATTTCAATAAGCGCAGTCAACGTCTCAGGAGACCACACAAAGCTACAGTCACCACCTACTAGTTTCAATATGCCCTCAATTCTTCCACCGAAAAGTGTATGGGCCGAGATTCGTTCCACGACAACACCTGCTTCAGCACAGGCAAGGGCAAGCCAAGATCACGCATTTCCAGCCTTGTCAAGGCCGCATAAGACGAGCATGGCCAACATCAAAAGCAGCAGCATGGCTACTGCTGCGTTCAGAGGCAAGACTGAGGCTAGCAAGACTGAAGTTAAGGCAAGTGACACCAAGCAGACGTATGCGACTGGTGTAGGTAAGACACCAAGCACTCAGCAGAAAAGCGGAAAGTCATTGAAGGGGAAGAAGAAGTGGGAGAAGCTAGTCCTTTCTTAGCCTCTACTCCGGCGTCATGAGGAACTTTCCTATGGGTTGTACTTCCAACAATTGTTCCTGGAGATAAATACTACTACTTTATTAGTGAATATCTAAGCTACAGAGCAATATCTCATTTAGGTAGTAGTGACTTTTCTCATTGTAATTACTCATATCTACTCAAAACACTACATACTCAAACATCTTCTAAATCTTGTGCATGTCCAGATGCGCGCCTCTAACTAAATCTCAAGATCTTGAACATTCAGCTTCTCGTATGGATTAGAAGGCGACGACCCTCATACCACGCTTCATAGGCATGTTAGCCATCTCAGCGCGCCGGCGAGCGGAAGAGGTGAGGAACCCAGCTGGGTACTCGACGACAGCGTCGCCAGAAGCAGGGGCTGGTACCGCGGGTGCTGCAGACTGGCCATTCTGCTCTTCAGCAGGGACTGGCTCCGCTTTAGCAGCGTCGTCCTGCTGGTCTGCTTCGCCCTCGTCGTCGCTTTCCTCAGCTTCGTCTTGCTGGTCACCCTCCTTGTCGTCTTGTTCAGCTCCGTCTTGCTGTCCAGCTTGCTCTTGCTCTGCCTTGTCCTTCTCCTGCTGCTTCTTCTCGTCCTCGGTAGCTTTCTTGTCAGCCTCTTCCTGCTTCTTCTTCTCTTCCTCAGCGGCTTTAGCGTCAGCCTCTTCCTTCTTCTTAGCGTCTTCCTCGGCCTTCTTCTGTTCCTCAGCAGCCTTCTTCTCCTCTTCCTTAGCAGCTTTGTCAGCCTCTTCCTTGGCCTTCTTGTCCGCTTCCTCTTGCGCCTTCTTCTCCTTTTCGGCTGCTTTCTTGTCAGCTTCTTCTTGTTGCTTGGCCTGCTCCTCAGCGGCCTTCTTCTCTTCCTCAGCCTTCTTCTTTTCTTCCTCAGCTTTCTTCTTCTCTTCTTCGGCCTTCTTCTTTTCCTCCTCAGCCGCGTTGGGCGTCTCGGTGGCCGCAGGCGCAGTAGCATTTGCAGTGGACGAAGCGACCAGCATGGTCGAGTTCGCGGCCTCGCCCATTACTAAGGAAAAGCTCTCAGTGACCATAGGCGCTGGTGGTGCTGGGTGGGTCATGGACATGTTACCAGCCGCAGGAGCTTCAGGAACAACAGTGACAGCAGCGGGAGGGGGCATAGTGTGTTCTGGCGCCGCCTGCGTCTCCTTAGCCGGCATCTCAGCTGGCGGTGGCATCTCGGCAGGAGGAGGTGGAGGAGGCATGGTGTGTTCTGGTGCTGCTTGAGTTGTGTATGCGGGCATCTCAGCTGGAGGAGGCATCTCCGCAGCAGGCGGTGGAGGAGGCATCTCAGCGGCAGGCGGAGGCGGTGGCATGGAATGTTGGGTGACCATGGGGGCCGCAGTCTGTTCGACCATAGTTGTAGTCTCTGGCGCAACAGTTTCGTGAGTGATGGCCTCGGCTGTAGTTGTCGCTGCAACTTCTTCGGTAGTAGTGGCTGCTGCTGAGATACTGGCTAACTCCTTGGAAACGTGCATGGCTTCCATGGCGTCTGCAGAGGACTTATGGGCTGCATCCTTAGCCTTCTCCGACGCAACATGCATAGACTCCATGGAATCTGCGGAGGCCTTGTGAGCGGAAGCTTTGGCCTGCTCAGAGGCGACGTGCATGGCTTCCATAGCAGCGGCAGACTCTTGATGAGCCTTTTCTTCTGCTTCTGCTTTGGCTTGGTGCTCGGCTTCCATCTTTGCTGCCGCTTCCTGGTGTGCTTTCTCCTCCGCTTCGGCCTTTGCCTGATGCTCGGCCTCCATCTTTGCAGCGGCCTCCTGGTGGGCTTTGTCTTTGGCCTCTGCTTCAGCTACATGCATTGACTCCATAGCATCAGCGGCAGCCTTAGCAGGATCAACTGCTGGGGCGGGCGCAGCCTCGCCCATATGTTCGGTGCGCGCTACAACCCGGGACGG